TCTAACTCGTGAGGACATGTTTGGTTGTTGATATGAGAGGATGAATTATTGTTGCATTATTTTGAATTAAAATGTATGAGAAGGATGCAAGCAAGTCATTCTTCAAAGCGAACATATCATACAAACACATAACAGCAACACAGATTCATCGCCTCGAACACCTCATTGATTGATCACTGGCTTGGAGCAAAACACTCAATCGTCGCGGACCCCACATTGGAAGCCATCATGGACACCACCACGCAAAACATCAATAAAATGTTGAATAAAGCACTCCTTCAAGTGGTGGTGATCCTCCATTTGTGCACTTTTGAGACCCCTGTTGAGTGAGAGATGCACCAGAGGCCCCTCATTGGACCTCATGGACACCACCACGATAAAATTGTTGTGTAGTCCACTAAATCAACTGTTGTGTCGACAAAGGCCAACATCAATGAGTACGTTGACGACCGTCGCAACACTACAGCAGACAATGGGCCAACATCAATCACTCCATCATCAACAGTGACATAGTTTCCTTGACATACTGGATTGTAGCAACAGTAACAACACCCACCAATACCATCAGACTGTTGTGGCGATTGATAACACGCTGTACATGGTCGTGACGTAGCAGTTGTGGCAGTGGTGTCAGTCGTGGCAGTCGTGGCAGTGGTGTCTGTCGTGGCAGTCGTGACAGTCGTGGCAGTCGTGGCAGTCGTGGCCATCATGACAAAGGAGACCTTGGCGACTGTATACGGTAGCGACCATCATGAACACGACCATGAACACGACGATCACGACCTGACCATAACCATGACCATGACCATGACCTTGACTATGACCATGACCATGACAACGACCATGTCCTGACGATTGCAACTACCACTTTTTGGCGTCTTTAAGGTCGATAACAAATATGGAAATCAATAAATTCCACACTGGAACCAAATATGATTGATAAAATGTAATTGATTGATTGATTGACCGTTAATCATTCATATATACTCATCATTCAATCAATTAAATAATATATTCGTATACAACAATATTATTATTATTTGTTTGTCGACAACATTTAATGTTTGGGGGTGTTTGTCGTGTGTAAAAATGAATAATGATAAGGGATACTTTGTCGTGCTCTATCAGTTTTACCATTTCCATGTACCCAATCCGCTGTCTCATTATGTCTGTTAATCGTCAACAATGGATAGAATGACTTTCGTATAATAATATGTTCACCATGCTCCATCTTGATTGATCGAGTACCATCAAACGTAGTAGTGAACTTGATAAATAAAACAACTGGCCCATCCTGTCTACATGGCTATTGCACTTGTGTGAGTTTGAATGGGTTTAAATTGAGTGAGCGCAAGCAGGGTTTATTGCTGGCATATCAAGACTCTGATGAGGAAAAGTTCTTTGGATGACCAATGGTGACTCTGATGGTGTTGTCGTGGTAGATGATGTAGTTGATTTAGTTGATGCAGCAGCAAGTCTGAGCTATGACTCCATAAAGGTGTCCATATTGAAGAGAGTATGCTCATTCAACTTTGTTGTTGACTCCTCAGTGCATGTGATGCCAATCGTTTGAAGTTTGAAGAGTTGCCATCTGAGATTGGCGATCTGATGAAGGCTGAGTTGATCAAAATCTGCATCTGCTCTTGATTCTGAAGCTTGATGTCCTGGAGAAGTTGTACCATCTTCGCAACTGTGATAGAAACATTATTAGTATCAATCGAACACTTAATTCGCTCTTATATGTACTTACGATCATTGTCATCACCTCCTCCTGCAGCACCGGCTAGAGTGTATATGTTAGTATTGAATGAAGACATTGCGCCGATGTTGTTTGTACTTACGAGCTTGGTGTGTCATTCTTCTTGACGATATCTGCTGCTCTATCTTTGATGTGTTCGTCCGACATCGCTCGACACTGGTTGTATTATTAGAAGTAAAGATTATGTATGTACAGTTCGTTGATGAAGTTGTTGTAGTATTTGTTGTTGTTGATGTTGTTGGTCGAATAATAAATGAGTGAGTTGCGCCTTGAGTGTTAGTGGTGAAGATTCTGCTTGTCCCTTTTTTGGAAACTCATAAATAAATTAAATCAAATTAAACAATTAATCTCTCACAGATATAACATGTCATTATTCAAAGAGTACTATTGGGACGAGAACTCAGAGTTCAGAGAGCGTCACAAAGCATACATCAAACAAAAGGTAAGATGCGAGTGCGGCTTCGAAGTTGGTCGCACCAATCTCAATCGACACAAGCAAGGCTACATCCACAAGCAGTTGATGGCCAACAAATGATCAAAGTGATATAAACTAATTATCTTTAATCAGTATATAGAATGAGTAGATCAACCAGAGACATTGGCGGCAGACTGAAGAAGACAGACGTGACAGAGATTAAGATGACAGGCAACTACACCCGAGCCGACATCGAACGAATCGCGCAGCGAGACAGCAACACGCTCCAACGATACGGTGCCAACGCAAGGATAGAGGTCGTGCTCGACTACGGCAATCATCAGTATCGATCAGGCAGGTTCACCAAGGTAGGCGAGCCGATCATCATGTTTGATCCTCACGAGTACGATGGCGCGCCCATCACAGAGCCTGACACATTCAAATCGTTCTACATCTACGTACATCAAACAAAGGGAAAGGCAGGTGGCTGCGACGGTGAATGGAGCAACTGCCTCTACCACTGCCTCCACGATGCCTACCCAGACCAGGTGACAGAGCACTACGGCAAGCCATCACAACTCAAGAAGGACCTAAAGCTCAATGTCGATCAGAAGGTCAACATTTTCACTAAAGAGAATGAATGGTCAGAGGAGGTGCTTGAGGTGTTGGTTGAGTGCCTGTTCACTCTTTTTTTTCATGTGTGGTGAGTGTGATTGTGTGCGAGAAAAACCACACCTTGAACAGACACCAAGATGGGCGAAACTCACGAACCGTCGAAAAAATTTATTATTGGTTCGCCTTCGTGTTCGTTCGTGTTTCGTTCGAGGATCTTCGAAGATCTGTCCTTCGAAACGGAGCTTTAAACACATCATCATCACAGTTTTATTTTACAAGATTCGACGGTCACTACACCGACCTCGTGGCCGATACCAAGCAGTTTCTTAATGATGCTGTCCTCAACATCAGAACCACCGAACCTGGAGAATGGGGTCTCACCTTCATTGTCGTCCAGCCTCTCCCGCACGATGCTCAGGAAGAAGATGTTATGGACTTTTTTGCTCAGTTCTAATTAAAGGCCTCTCAATGCATCCTCCTCTCGTGCTTCCTCATCAAGTGCCGCGAGATCAACTTGCCGCAGACATCGCACGGTATCCTCTCTGTGTTGTAGGCCTTGATTCTTGTAGATGGAGAACAGCTCGGCAATCATATTGTTCAGTTTAACCTTGTATTGGTCTCGCTCCTTCACCAACTGCACTCTTTGCCTATGGATATCCTCCTGGGCACACTTATACCATCTCTTCAACTGTCTCAATGCCCTGGCAGCAGGGCTCCTATTCACATAGCATGACTCGAAGTTCAACCGAAACCGATTCACATCCGACCCGACGGTTCAGTTAAATAAATTTATTTCAAATTTTCACWCACACACAGACTATTCGAATCTATTCGAAGTTGGCGCGGTTTATTCACTTTCTAGACAACAACGGACGGCAACGACACAACAAAGACATTTCATTCAAACGAAACAACTACATTACAAATATAATATCCTACTACTCTTAGTAATAATATTGCATCCATTAATACAAGCAAGCGAGCGCAGCATTACATGTAGACTGTCTAGAATGACAAGAGGGTCAACAATTAATGATTAGGCGAGTAAGAGAGTGCAGTCTCACTTATAGACTGTTTAGAATAATAAGAGGGTCAACAAACAATTAATTATTAAGAGAGTACAGCGAGTGTATCCTCATATGTCGGCTGTTAGAAGGGATAGAGTAAACAATCGATTAATGATTAAGCGAGTAGGAGCGAGTGCAGCCTCACATGTAGACAGTTTAGAATGATTAGAGGGTCATTAATTAATGATTAAGCGAGTAAGAGCGAGTGCAGCCTTACATRGAATGGAGAAAGAAACATTWCAGACGGCTTGGAAGACTCTACATGATGACGAGCAAGAGTAGCTTCATATCCAATTGGCGCCATCTGGACACAATACAGTACGTATAAAGGTAGCGACAAGGTCAACGAACGAACAAACAAACAATCAATCAATCAAATTAATACCTTATATTATTATTATTATTATTATTATTATTATTATTATTATTATTATTATTATTACATATTTACATAATGTCTAGTGATTCTGAATCATCTACATCAACATGGCGCTTAACATGCTGAAGCTGGAGTACAAGAGCTATTGGACCAAGTACTCCAACAACAACATCAACAACCAGCCAGAGCGCCCACCTCCTGAGGATAGGTTATTCCCATCAACCAGTTCATCCTCGATCGAACCCGAGTCTGATGTAGAAGATAAATTAATCTAATATAAATAGAATGAATATGAACAACTGTTAACTTGTCAAATGATTATTTGTATTCATAACTCGTCGACAGTTATTCACCAATAATCGGGTCGGTTGGTCATCGTCCCAAAAATTAACTATATCCGATGAATAGGAGCCCTGCCTGGCAGTGTCTTTTTTGTCAAGATACCGGAACATGGAAGGGTCAGCGTCCTCAATATCATCGTAGGACAGGTCGTCCGAATCATCGTCTGACAGGTCATCGCAATCGCTGTCTGAATCATTATATTTAGACACTGCTGCTTTGATATCCTGTTCACGCTCCTTTAGAATGCGATCAGTGATTGAATTTATCTTGTTGGTTAACTCTCCCTGGCTATTGATAAACAATTCCGTGCTGTCTTCCATTATATCCAGTAGTCTATATTTTAAACTCTCCTTCGCCTTGCCATATCCCAATGGCGAACGATCCAACTGGCTTGGTCATGTTCTTGACTCTGGTGTTGGGACAGTATCCCTCATATCGCAGGTCGCCACACGCCTTGCCCAACTTGGGGTAATCGATTGATTTCTTGCCTGTCTTCTGTGTCCATGGTTTGGTCGAGACGAATCCATCAGTGTGCACGCGCTTGATGCAGTCAATGTCGTCCTTTATTATCGTTCCAATCATCTTGCGACCACGAGAGATGATGAATGGCATGATGCGAGCGAATGGTGTGTCGAACATGTCGGTGTTGCAGGCCGACTTGACCATCGCGTTGCCATTGGCTGTTGGAGTGATGCGATCGATTGAGTAGTACTCGTCAACGTTGATATCAATGTGCTTGATCGTTCTCTGTCCGTCGCTGGTCTCTATCACCTCTGCGTCGCACTCCATGTTGACGCATTGCTTGGTCTTGTTGCGCTTGGAGAGAGCGCCCCAGAGACGTTGATAGAGACACTTGCAGAGCTGCTCTAGTCTAGATTTGGGCTCACATGAATCTATCCAGCCGAGTACCTGATCGATGTACTTGCCAAACAAATCGGAGCCAAACTTCCTGCAGCTGCTGTCGTAGATGAGCGCGTTGGCCTTGTTGCCAGTCTTGAGGTTGAATGTCAGCCCTAGCTCCTTGGCAAAGATGAGGTCGTAGTGAGTGTAGTAGTTGTTCTTGTTGTGCTTGAAGGCGCCATGAGTGCCAACGATGGTGGCGCGGTAGATACCGAATGGGATTGATTTCATTGCGCTCAGCTCCTCGTTGGTCAGATGTTGGAACTCGCCACACTTGATTGGGATCATGAAGCCACTGCTTCTCAAGATGGCTGCATACATCCTAGCGACGTCATATTTGAAGAGAGCACCAACATGTTGAATTGCCATCATCAATGGGCCACCTGATGCCTTTGATATCCACTCGCCCTCCATCTGACCGATGGGCTCTGGTTTGACAGTTTTGTTGTACGAGAGGAACAGCTTGATCGCAGCCTTTGGATGTTCTGTCCTKTGTGTACATGTCGATGACGCCGTTAGTGTGTTCCTTGAGCGCGTCGGCATCAGCTTTGAACGAGTCAAGCGTCTCCTCGAGAGTCATGCCCGAGAGGATACGGATGTACTCGCATTTGTCTTGGTACTTGCGTCTCTTCTTGTCGATAAACTGTTGCAATGTGATGGTGCTGTACTCGTCGTCATCGTAGAGCTGCACCTGTTCTCCTTTGAGATACTTGAATACGATTGGCTTGATGTAGACATCTCGCTCGTTGTGTCGAGAGTATCTGATGCCCTTGCCTGCATAAGTGCCTTCCTTGTCTAGTTTGTAATGACCGTTGGTTAGTATTAGGTTGACCTCTCTTGTTGCCTTGCTGGGCGAGGCGTAGCAGTGATCACCTTTGACGTTGATTTTGATGTTGAGCCTGTCCTCGAGTTCTGGGATCCGCTTGATAGAGACCTTCTGATCGACATTGAGCTTTAGGTCCTTCTTGAGTTGTGATGGCTTGCCGTAGTGCTCTGTCACCTGGTCTGGGTAGGCATCGTGGAGGCAGTGGTAGAGGCAGTTGCTCCATTCACCGTCGCAGCCACCTGCCTTTCCCTTTGTTTGATGTACGTAGATGTAGAACGATTTGAATGTGTCAGGCTCTGTGATGGGCGCGCCATCGTACTCGTGAGGATCAAACATGATGATCGGCTCGCCTACCTTGGTGAACCTGCCTGATCGATACTGATGATTGCCGTAGTCGAGCACGACCTCAATTCTGGCGTTGGCACCGTAGCGTTGGAGCGTGTTGCTGTCTCGCTGCGCGATTCGTTCGATGTCTGCTCTTGTGTAGTTGCCTGTGAGCTTGATCTCGGTCACGCCCGTCTTCTTCAGTCTGCCGCCAATGTCTCTTGTTGATCTACTCATTCTATATATTAACATTGAGATGTTAATTTATATCACTTTGAACTTATTTGTTGGCCAGCAACTGTTTGTGGATGTAGCCATGCTTATGTCGATTGAGATTGGTGCGACCAACTTCGAAGCCGCACTCGCATCTTACCTTTTGTTTGATGTATGCTTTGTGACGCTCTCTGAACTCTGAGTTCTCGTCCCAATAGTATTTTTTGCATAATGACATGTTATATCTGTTAGAGATAAATTGTTTAATTTAATTTATTTGTAGTTGATTTACCAAATTGGGACGAACAGATCACTTTTCACACCACAGCTTCTCAAGGCTCAACTTTGTTTCTCACTCATTCATTATTCACAACCACAACAACAACAACAACAAATATTACAAATACTACAACAACAACTACAACTATTATTTTGCATTATCTCTTAGTAACCCTATACCCATATCAATGGAGCAGCAACTCACCCAAGCCCAGCTCCTCCAGCTACTGCTGAAAGCTGGAGTACCTGACGATGTGGCCAACCCACTGTCCCAAACAATGTTGCAACAACGTGTCAATACCCATGAATCAATACTTTCAGTGTTAACCAACAGCGATCTACGAGGTCAGGTCTTCAACACTCTCGCAGTAGGCGATGTTGCGAAGCTCACCGCACTTGTCAAACCAGTTGCCCCAGCTCGTAAGTACAAACAACATAGGCGCAATGTCTTCATTCAATACTAACATATACACTCTAGCCGGTGCTGCAGGAGGAGGTGATGACAATGATCGTAAGTACATATAAGAGCGAATTAAGTGTTCGATTGATACTAATAATGTTTCTATCACAGTTGCGAAGATGGTACAACTTCTCCAGGACATCAAGCTTCAGAATCAAGAGCAGATGCAGATTTTGATCAACTCAGCCTTCATCAGATCGCCAATCTCAGATGGCAACTCTTCAAACTTCAAACGATTGGCATCACATGCACTGAGGAGTCAACAACAAAGTTGAATGAGCATACTCTCTTCAATATGGACACCTTTATGGAGTCATAGCTCAGACTTGCTGCTGCATCAACTAAATCAACTACATCATCTACCACGACAACACCATCAGAGTCACCATTGGTCATCCAAAGAACTTTTCCTCATCAGAGTCTTGATATGCCAGCAATAAACCCTGCTTGCGCTCACTCAATTTAAACCCATTCAAACTCACACAAGTGCAATAGCCATGTAGACAGGATGGGCCAGTTGTTTTATTTATCAAGTTCACTACTACGTTTGATGGTACTCGATCAATCAAGATGGAGCATGGTGAACATATTATTATACGAAAGTCATTCTATCCATTGTTGACGATTAACAGACATAATGAGACAGCGGATTGGGTACATGGAAATGGTAAAACTGATAGAGATGAGTGGAAACTACACATTCTGGAACCAATCCACTCACTCAACATTGGCCAACTGAGGTACTTGACTGTTGGATTGATTGATTGATTAATTGATTGATTGTTAACATATTGAATGATTCCAATCGATTGTTGTGCATCCAGTCCATGTCACTTACATTCAACTTGAGTACAGAGTCATCGGGCAACAGTGATGGCTTGGACGTTAGGGAGCACAAACAATAGATCATACATTTTTCAAACAACTTCGGAATCAATTCAAGACTAAGAGATAATAATATTGATGGAGATAATGAATGTTAGTATATATACGAGGATCATTGACATTGTGTTTGATGATCCACTTCATGCTTGGAGATGGAAGATCTCATTATCATTGGTATCAAAGAGATTCTTTAAGATTGTATCAAATCATATGAATAAGATGTTCAACAATACACAACTCTCCAAAGATATCATTCATCTACAATCACCTTATTGTTTAATCAAGAATATCAACTCACTTCATATTGATAATCCTTATTTAAATGATATTGATACATTACTACAACGACATCATGACGTTTATCATAATGTTCAATCCCTCATTGTTGACTTTGAAGGTGATTGTCAAGAATTTATAAATGCCCTGCCGAGTGTCATTACTAGTCTCCCTCAATTACAACATATATCACTATGTGAAGTTGATGAGACCATCATTCAAACATTGCGATCAAACATTGGCAGAGAGAAGATGTTATCAAGGTGACATTGACCGAGTGAAAGGTGGCCATTTCATATCAACCTCCTACGATGGCAACAATCACATATATCTGGTCCGTGGCTACGACCCAAATCGAAACTTATTAGATCGTGTGGATTGTTTCGACATTGTCACACAAAAGTTCAGAACAGTCGGACGTCTTCCCTATGGATTGGCCAGGCCTACAAATTGTAGCCTAGGCTACAATCCATTTCAAAAGCAACAAAATCTATATAGCTGGTGGACATACATTGAATTGTGCTGGAGCCCCATCCAATCACGGAAATCTGGTCTCTTACAACACTATTAACAAGGTCACTCACACGATGGTCGCCTCAACAATGATCGATACCAAATCAATATGTTTCGATAAAAGTGGCCATGTGTACTTTTTGGATGGAAACACATTCATGAGGTACGAAATAAGAAACAATCAACCAAAACAACTATCTCCTTGCCCGGTGTTCCAACCCTATAATCAATTGGTGTTCGTTCGATCATATGGTATTATCTATCTTGGTGGCAAGAACCAGAATTATCGATACTCATTTAAAGATAACAAATGGAAACAACTAATAGATCAGGATCCTATGATGACCCGAGTTGGTCATTCTGGTTTGTGTATTGTAGAATAAACACAGGAATTAATAGTTTTACAAATAAATAAATAAATAATAAGTTAAAATATACTGTTTGTTAATACAAGTATCAAAAAAGGACACTTCAACTATGAGTTGGGAGTTAACAACAAATGTGGTGATAATAATAATTAAAATATTAATTAATCAACCTTTGTTTAGTTGTAGAAGGAATAATAATAATTCCAGCTCAATCAAAGATAAACTTTGATTCAAAAATAATAATAACTGAATGGTTGTCTGAGAATAGATTAGATGAAAATTATTTTATTATTATAATATTTTTTTTTAGAATCCTATTAAATAGTAGTACCGTAAAGTAATAATTTATATTATAAATAAAAGTATAAATAATTAATTAATATTAATATTAATCAGAGTACCTATGTGAAGTGGTCTTAGGTTGTAGTTGGAACTGGACAGGGTCTAGGTATATAGGGGTTCGACTCCCATGGTACCAAACTGTTTTTATCCCTCCTCCTTCTCCTATCCTCCTCCTTCTCCTCTCACATCCAACATGAGGACATTTTTGGTGAATATTCTCTTATTCCTTATCAAACAAAGATGTAGATTCTTTTGCACTCACCAAAGTATACTTTAGTGATTGAATAATATGGACGATCAAAGAAGACCATAATTGTTTTACTTTTCTAATAAATCGAACTTCAAACATAATTTTGTTGATTTATTTTGAATGGCAAAATAAGCAAAATTGGCGCACTTCATTATTAATTTCGCTTTGTACATTTACTTTATTCATTCATTCATACATACATACATATAATACACAGACATGACCTCAGTTCATCAATTCAACAATATATCACTTGGTGGAAGAATTGGAGGTGTACGTACTTTGGAAGATACTCACGTCAGACATTGACACTCGCTCGATCACTCACACGCTCACTCATAACATCACTCAATGACAACAACAACAACAGACAAGAGGTACACTAAAGATAAACTCAGCTGGTCTAGCATGGAAGACAGAGGCAGGCAGAAGTGAGACAGTTACTTCAGAGGATGTTGATAAGGCTTCATGGATTAGATTGACACCAAAGCTTTATCAACTGAACTTGGCAATGAAGGGAGGCTCTATCGTCAAGTTTGATGGCTTCAGAGAGCAGGACCATGAGTTCCTCAAGAAGTTCTTATCAGAGAGCTATCACGTCGACCTTGTGACGGCCGAGCTCTCGACCAAGGGCTCAAACTTTGGTGTGGCTTCGATCGCTGGCTCAATGGTCACATTCCAAATCGACGGCAAGACCTCGTTCGAGTTCCCCATCAGCGACGTGTCTCAATCAATCGTCAACCCAAACAACAAGAACGAGTTGACCATTGAGTTCCAGAACGACTCGACACTCGACGACGAGGACGAGTCGCTGGTCGAGCTGCGCTTCTTTGCGCCAACCCACGCAAAGGACGGCGACGAGGAGGACGAGGACGAGGAGCATCCCATTCAGGACTTCCAAGAGACATTGCTCGCAAAGTCAGACATTAGCAACGTGGGCAAGAGCATTGCCCAGCTCAGCGACATCAACTTCCTGACGCCACGTGCTCGCTTTGAGATGGAGATGTATCCCAACTTCCTCAGACTGCACGGCAAGACACACGACTACAAGATATCATACGACATCATCTCGAAGCTATTCCAACTGCCCAGTCAAGATCAGAACAACATGTTCTTTGTCATCAGCTTGGACCCACCCGTTCGTCAAGGCAACACCAAGTACTCCCATCTCGTCATTCAGATACCCAAGGAGAAGGAGGCTTCACTCGAGCTCAACCTATCAGAGTATGTCATGTCATGTCATGCCAAGTCAATCAACATGTACGAACAACGCATTAACACACTTTACTATACTAGGGAGGCACAACTAAAGTATCAAGACAAGCTGTCCCCAACGATGAAGGGAACATTCTATGTGTTGGTGCGTAGGATATTGACATCGATGACTGGAAAGAACATTATTGTGCCAGGCAACTTCCAATCGTTCAATCAAGCCAACTCGATCAAGTGTTCGCTAAAGGCCAGCGAGGGCAACCTCTATCCACTGGAACGTTCATTCTTCTTTATCCACAAGCCGCCCACCTACATCAAGTACACCGACATCCAACTTATCGACTTCTCACGTGCACCAATCACCGTTGGCAGTGGCCGTAACTCATCGACCAGTCGTACATTCGACATGATCATCACACTCAAGGATTCCTCCACCATCCAGTTCACCAACATTCTCAAGTATGTAACCTCAACCTCGTCCTCCTTGTTCATCTCTCTAACAAACACATCAATCAATCAATCTACAGGGACGAGTACAGTCTGTTGCTTGACTTTATAAACCAGAAACAGATCAAGGTCGCAGTTCCAGATAAAGGAGTAAGTTGCTTTGATGATGGAGACCAACAGGCCATTGGCTAACATTCACTCACTTCTCTCACATGTTTATTGTAGGCTACACCAATGCAGTTGGTTGACGATGAGTCGTCCGACGAAGATTATGTTCCATCTACTGAAGAGTATGTATTGTTAGCCATCAACATTGATTGATTGATTGATTGATAGAATGACCATTTGCTAACTTTGTATTTGATGATCAACAACAGGTCCGAGTCTGAGCTGTCGTCTCAATCAGAGTCTGAATCAGAGAAGAAGGCCAAGAAGAAGCAGAAGAAGTAATCGTCTATCGTCTTTGGGTTGTCGTAGTTGTTGCCCTTCTTGCATATATACATTAAAGCTATTGCGCTGATTCTAATGGATGACAAACAATGATGGATGGAAGGATGATCGATTGATTGATTATGACCTTTGTACAGTTGTCATTGACTATATATTACAGTGATTCTTGTTGTTGTTGTTGCAGTGGTTGATCATCTTGCTTCTTCTCCAAGTACACCTTGTACTCATCGGGGAATGCACTGGCCATGTGTTGATCCAACTCATTCCTAAAGGACTGTATACATGGCATACTTTGGTCAATAGCTAGGTCGTTGTTGATCTGCCGTCCACATCAACGATATACATACCTTGATTGATTCAATCTTGCCCTTTGTTCGCTCGTTCGCTACTAAACAGTTCTGAAGTGTCTCTTTAACATATAGATCAGGGTTCTTACTCTGATCAATCACTTTGAATATCTCTAAAGGTATCTCGACATTATCAAACAAGTCCTTCTGACTCTCAACCTTCTTATATAATGTTATAATCTTTCCTCTGTTATATATATATATATATATGTTATATAAGTAGTTAGTTACTGTCATACTGTGATATTGAACATTACTACTTACAACTTCTCGAATAGTACAGGCTGGCTTTGACTTTGGAACTCTTCAATTACTATTATTGATCGATTTAGTTCCTCAACCAAGTCCTCTACAGTCTTTAACAACTCTTGAGGGTTACCTTGCTGTTGTTGTTGTTGTTGTTGTTCTGTTGACATTGAATTGTTATTACTATCCATCATCATTGTTGATCAAGATCAAAGTGAATGAAAGTTGTTTGTTCATTTTGGACTTTCATTCATTCATTCAACGCTTGAACATCACTCAATCAAATACATAATATAATGACAAGCACAGATTCATTCTACTTCCCTCTTATCAATGATGGTGTACCATTACAGACTACATTCAATGATAATATATTGATTTGGGTATGACGATACCTATATTACTCAACACACTTGAGACAAGTCCACTAACTCGCATCACTCAATCAATCACATACTTACAGCCTGCATTGACACTTGGAAATGTGCCACAGTTAGCAATAGACTTGATTATCAATACTTATCAATTGAAGAGAGTTGGATTCATACATAATGAGAATGTTGTGCCTTTGATTGGCAATGATACATTCGATTCAACAACAGAAGGTGGACAACAACAAGGTACAATGTCACTAAGTGTTGAGGTGTTTCAATCACAGCAAGCCAAGATCACACTGGTACAACAACGATCACCTATATTGGAAGGCTGCATTCACAAGTTTGCAAACAGTCTGCTACAATGGTACAAGCAGGCTGGATTCAGGGAGCTTCTGTTCCTAGCGAGCACCAATGCCAACAAGCGAACCGACTCGCAGTTGACTGGAACACAGCTGAGATATGTTGCTGCCAATGCCGCCGCCGACTTGACCAAGTCGATTGAGCGTGCCGAGCAACTGTGTTTGGTACCACGCATGGAGACTGAGGTGGAGGTCGATGGTGACATCATCCAACTGAGTGATCGATTGACTGGACTTGGTCGTGAGTTGATGCGTTCGTCAAACAATACCCAGCCCAACATCCCAATGCTAGCACTTGTCCTCTTCTGTTCGGAAGGAGAGAACACACCAGATGCAATCAACATGGCCAATCACTTGGCCGTCTACACTGGCTTGGCAAACAAGGGTAAGACTACTGCTTCATGTTTGATTGAACTGAAGACCATACTGACATTCAATCAATCCCATCTAACAGGAGATAAGATCGAGTTTAAGATACCATCGAGCTGGAAGCTGCTCCAAGGACCATCATTTGATCAATCTTTATTCTTCTGATCAGCGCACCCGCCGCCTTGTACAAATAAACCGAGAAGGAGATGTTGTCCATCGAGTGAACGAGTGAATGAGCGAGTGAGTAAGGTGTACCAATACATAGTAGTCCACTCTATCCAAATCACTTTAGTTCTTCTTTATCGAGCGATAACCATCAATGGATTGGAAGAAGTTCCTTGCAATGAGTTTGGTCCAATGCAACTCTAGCGACAAAATAGAAGCAGAAGCTAGATTGGCAATTATATACTGTCCCAATTCAAATCGTCCAAATGCTGTATACAATAGCCAGATATTGGTTGGAATCCTGTGAACGATCAATCCAACTAATATTAAATGATCGGAGGAGGGAGTTAGGACATGATCATTGATCTTTGATGACTGCTGGCGATATCCAGAATACATACCAAGTGAGAAGAAACAGCTAATGATGTAAAGTAGAGTGAATCTTTGATTGTAGTTGTTGCTCCAAGAGATAATAGTACTGAATGGAACAAGTACATCAAAGGTCAAACTGAATGCTCCTGTAATGAAGGCTTTCTTAATAGTCTATAATCAATCAATAGGTTAGCCAATTTGATCAATCAATATACACTGGACATCATTGACAGACTTACAATACAAAGAACACATCCTACAATTGTTACGATGTGATGGAGGTACATATCTTTGGCGGTACTCTTGTAGATGACCAGAATAGCAAAGTCGGCAATGTGGAATAACATTGTTGCAATGTAAACATAGTGTAACTCTGTGATTCCACTTCTTTCTTTGTTGAATATTGCCGTCAGACTATAATAAAGAATGGGACCGGCGAATACTGTTCTGATCACTCGTTGGTACAACTCGAATAGACGACCTTTTTGCTGGAGGATTTTGGTCTGTTGCGCCGCGCCCGGGAACATCTGTAGCAGCCACCCGACTCCATAAAGTGACAATATTTGGAAGATGACTATTGGTGTTACAAAGTAGACCAGGAACATCATCAATGGTTGATTGGGGCTGGTCACCTCGATTGGCAATCCAAACACATTGTAAAAGAGTGAGTCGTCCAGCTTCAATTCCACATCTTGATAGTCGAACAAATATGGATTTAATTTATCCAAGTTTAATAATAATACTGCCATAATAATAATTATAATAATAATATAGGAATAATTATATACTTGATTGATTGAATGATTATAAAGGAATATATTATGATTGGAAATAATAATATATATATATCTATTAAATGTTTACTTCCTTCCTCCTACTTGGACGATGATGATGATGATGGCACTTACTACTACTTTGTGTTCTTGTTGATGACCAAAAATTACAATGCATTCATATATATATATGAAGGATAATCCTTCAACAAACATATATCGAATCAGTCGTTGCTGTCATCGCCATCCAGTGTTGATCGGGCTCACTGATTCAGTCGACTCACCTACCTACCTCCACTCATACATTTATTCATTCGGCCAGCCAGGTAGACCACTTGAACTACTTGTGGAGCGTCACACTCAGAATTCAGGTTGATGGACACAACAATAGGTACACACGAATGTGTTCGAAATATTATCTGCTTCTTACCTTTCATTCATTCATTCATGCTTCAGACGCTTGACACTTGGTTGGAAGTGATTGAAATGAGTGAGTGAGTGGATGAGTGAGTGAGTGGATGAGTGATTACTCGTCACTTTGACGAGTCATATAACATATATATATATGTACCCCAACACAACAACTGTTCACCAACATGTTGAGACATTCATGCCCCACAATCTATCCATACATCTGTCGAGATGACATCAACATATAATTCTCCATTTTCCCCGGGCTTGGACGATCAAGTGTATCTGTTCTGTCTCCCTATCTATCCTCCCTCCTTCTCACCCACAACACTTGTGAATGAACATCTTGAGGGTTGGGTTGAGTATTGTGTAGTGTGTTGGGTTGGTGTGGGTAGTGAAGTAGGGTTGAGGGTTGTTTGATTGATTGACTTGATTGACTTGATTGACTGATTGATTGATTGTTAATGTTAGAAGGATTGGAATATATGAACTACTACTATTACTTTCGATAACAAGAAGTGATCGTCCAATTCTACACTTGTGTTTAATGTTTGTACTTGTTGTGAAGTTCTGAATCGAAATGGAATGATCATGACTCCGATGAAATCTGAACTTGAATGATCTCATCAAAGAAGAGAAGCTTTGCACAACAACAACAAGTAACAGATACAAACAACAACATATAAACATTATGGCACCTACATTGTTGACTCAAGAGGAGAGAACTACTTTGCTCCCAACCATCTCTGGTTGGACAATGGACCCATCAGGAAGAGACGCCATCAAGAGAACCTTTACCTTCAAGGACTTTGCTGAGGCTTTCTCTTTCATGACTCGCACTGCTATCGTTGCTGAGAAGGTATGACAACTCAATACTTATTCTAGTGATAGTTGAGCTTGTCTCAAAGTGTTGTGTATATTAATCAATCTATTCAATCAATGTTCATGTGTCGACATACATAACAGATGGATCATCACCCAGAGTGGTTCAACGTCTACAACAGAGTTGAGGTTACTTTGGCCACTCATGACTGCAGTGGACTGTCAAAGAATGATATCACTTTGGCCAAGGCTATGGACAGCTTCTACTGCCATTAAGCTGTAGCAAAAGAGTATATATTAAACGATTCTAGTTGTCATCTTTAAAAACTATCTATCGACTCTAGTAAACTACTACGGTTAACATTATGACTATTGCCGCCTGTTGCCATGCTGGCAACCTCAACTCACTCCTGGATAGCCAGTGAATGACACGCCACACTCCTCAAGGGCACGAGAAAAAGTGAAAGTGTGTGTTTGTATGAAGGTAGGTGTATGTTGTTGTGTGTGTTTGATGGTGATGATGGTGAAGGTGGCGGGGCTTCCTTCATTTAGTTGTTGTTAACCATTTATTACATATATAATATATATATCACTTTAATCAAACATACATTGTCTGATTGAAATCTATAAACATACAAACAATCAAATACAGATCATATACAAACAAACACAGAACAGATAGATAGATAGATAAATAGAATGAACCTACCACAACAGAGCAGCCTACCAATGAATACATTGGATGAACCAGTTTATAAGACCATTGTAGGTATAGATTGGTCATTAGATACTGCGATAGAGATCTCTGTCTGACATATACATCGATAATTATAGCTTAGAGATATCAAGACTGTTGGATATAAGTTATATCATGTTATATTGCCTCGTGGAAATGCTGTTTCAGTACTGAGGGACTGGGACCTTTGGGGTCCATTGCTTCTATGTCTTCTAATGGCAATGTAGGTGTTCAGGCAACGCGATACCAAATCTATATAGGCGCTCACTCATCAATCAATCAATCAATCTCAAACACAAACAGTATGCTTAGTACATCTGCAAAGGACGATCAACGTGCACTGGTATTCGCTTTGGTGTTCGTAGTTGTATGGGTAGGCGCAGGTGTAGTAACAATCAATGCTCAACTACTTGGCGGTAATCTGTAAGTCATGTCATGTCATGTCATGTCAAGTCGAGTCAAGTCAGGTGACCTTGATACTAACAACCAACACTTTTAGATCACTGTTTCAGAGTGTCTGTGTTCTAGGCTACTGTGTCTTCCCATTGACAATAGCAACATTTGTCATCTGGGTCGTTCAACTCTTCATTCACAACCTGCACATTCTGATCAAGTTGCCAATTGTTGGAGGATGTCTATTCTGGTCAACCTTTGGTATGTCTCTCACTGACGATATAGATAGATAAGGACAGACTTGGACAGCACCACAGCAACAATGACTAACATATCAATCACCATCTACATCAACAACAGCATCATATGGATTCTTGGCATCATCAGTTCCACCCAGTCGAAAGGCATTGGCAGCATATCCAGTGTTGTTGTTTTATGTCTTCATTGCATGGATGGTAGTTGTCCAGTAAGATAAATGATCATTGTTCACCTGAGACTAGGAAGATGAATATGAAGATGAATATGAAGAAGAGATCAAGAAGAAGAAGAAGAAGTTGGACATTATCCATCAACAAACATTGCTCGCGAGCAGCCTTATCCATTTAATGGTAAATTAAAGAAGCCAACAACACTTGTTGGCTATCGTTGTAAACACCCTCAAGCAGCCTCATGTACCCAGCAGTGCACTGGATAGCTTCTGTCTACGCTCCACCTCACTCTTTGAATAGAACATCTGGTTCTTCTTCCTGGTCTGCTCCAGCTGTCTCTGCTCTGCCATTTGTATATTGAGAGGAGGTGGTTTGAACTCTATATAGTTTGGCTGCTTTTGCTGTGACTGTGACTGTTGCTGTGGCGGTGACTGTTGGTGCGGCTGAGTCTGTCTCGGATACACTATTTGGTCTATCTTTAACAAGAGACATACGACATCAATGACATTGCGCATTGTGAATAACTTGGAGCGATAGGTGTCGTAGATGCCATGATGTGATGGGTCGATGAATGGTGTGGTTGTCCTTGTTCGCAAGTCCAGATTGATGCCCTTGCCATCATTGTCGTCATTGTTATTGTATTGATGTAATAGATCGATGTGAAGTGTTTGTGATCCACTGTTGAGCAGCAATATATTTGACAATGATTCCAATGCTCTGGCCATCAACTTGTTTGCCATAATATCGAATACATCCAGTCCACTACTATCTTCCTTATTCTGTTGTTGTTGTCTCCTAAGTTGTTTGGCGATTGACAACTCAACTGATTGAGCTCCGGGAAGTATGAAAAGATCCTCAAAGCAACATTTGGCCACGCCACATCCAGTGACGAATGAGCCAACCTTGTATCTTAGTGTCAGGGGTGTAGTGGCCACGAGCATTACTGTTGCCATCATTGGTTGTTCGACCAACTGACCATCATCACGTGATATTATTCCGCTGAATTGAACCTTGTTTGACTTTAAAGATGACAGGCTATTTGAGTTGATGTCTAACAGTGTCGCATGTTTCATTCGTCCAACAAAGTGTTTCTTGAATGATTGTTGCCAACTATCATCATCACCAGTATTAGGATTGGTGACCATGTTGGTAGTCTGATGTAAGATGCTATTCAATGATTTGATGTCCAGTCCTTTTGAGATCACTCCCATCAATTGCTTGGAGACATTCCTTAAGACCATCATTGGCCTGCCATTGATGGGGCCACCATCATCACTAAGTATCTTCATTGATGTATCATCAATGTTACAACTCGATATTACAACATCCACATTGAGCTGCCGCAGTCTTCTAATCTTTGACATTGTGATATCCTTCTGCTTGTCCAACAATTCATTCATATGTTGTGATGAAGTGAATGAGATGGCTGTTGTGTCTGCAATCTTTCCAGAGTTGCCATCACCTTTTGAGTTGTCCATCTCCAATGGCTCATTGATCAATATAATGGACATTGACTCGCTAGTCTTGCATGTCATGTGATGATGATGGTCAAGGTCCAAGATGAAAGAGTTGAGAATGAAAGATGACTTGAAATGTTTGTTCGATGATTGAATGATTGGAGTGATGATGACCTGATCTCTAAAGTTGATACGCTGTCTCATTTGTTGTGATACTGTTCTCTTGTTGTACATTGCCATCATCATACCAGAGACGACATCAGCCACCTCACTAGCCTGTTGTTGATCCTTGAGCTTGGTATATATCGATGAATGAACTGTTGAGTATAACAATCTTGGGTCCACATTAATGATCAACTCTTTGATCTGATCACTTGACATTGCATCAATGTCTTCAGGTTTGAGTCGTTCACCATCATCACTGTTGTTATTCATCAACAATGATACACGACATGATGATAACATTGGTTCAATTCTCTTTCCAAGCTTCTGAAGTGCATAAACTAATGATATTGGATGTATGTGTCTATCTTCAATCATCTCCATTGCATCACGAGATAGTCTCTCAATCAGTAATACAAGTTGACAACCTCCATCATATGCAACGTACTCCAATGATGTCATTGTTCTCTTGATTATATCACTGATTGGATGATCTAGCTTGACCAACTAAGTGGGTAGTAAGTAGGTTGGTTAGTAAGGGACTACTCATTGATTGAGCAAGTGAAGCGAAGTTATGTATACCTTTAGTATCTCTGATGCTTTATTGGTAAGTGTTATAGAGTCTGCTGACTGTTGTTGATCACCTCCATTGTGGTTACTGTTGGTATCATCATGACTTGGTAACATCATTTGGAATGTACCGTTTAGACCAAAGCATGGTTTGATCAAGGTGGACAATGTTGATAATGCAGTTACAATCACATCAGCTCTCTGATTGGACTCAATCACCATTGAGTCCATGTTGATTGATACGTTTGATATTTGTTTGTGAACATATAAACTGGCCGAAAGTATAAGTAATCTCTCAAGGGTCATTGACCTCGCCAAAAGGAGTTGATTTCATCAGTATGACTCATAATAGGATAGAAAGAAGTTCAAGAATATTAATACACTCAACCTATTGAATCAACTTAATATACTATTTGTTATTTAGTTTAGTTTATTTGAATAATAAAGAAGGAGGTCGGAACTAGTACGTGTTGGTCAGACTGGAAGTTCATTTCGGATGGTCGGAGGACATCGGGAATGTGATTTGTCGATTAATCTATTCCCCGAAACGAATGATCATTGCTAGCTATAGTGATCAATCCCAACACTCAGTGCTCACCCACATGGATCACAAACAATTTGTAATACAGGATAAATTGTTGTTTGATTATAACCAATCTATCAATATTTATTAATAAAATAATATAAAATATTAATTGGATATGTAGACTAACTGTCTAGTTGACATTACTACAACCAAACATTTACCATGGTTTTACATTCCATTCAATTATGATATCATAATGTAGAATGTTTCCAAATTCATTACTATTTATTTAAATCATATCATTTGATTGATAGACCAAAATTACCAATATCCAGATATCCAAATAATGACTCTAATCAGTAAGTATTAATAGTTGTAGAAATAGAACTTGTTCCAATATATTTACAAAACAATTCAAGGTTGTCTCAAACATCTCAGTGTTGGTGCTTCTTTAGCAGGCTCCAGATCTGGTGGACATCATTCCTCATCACATCAGAGCTCTACCAATTACCAACAACAATCCATTAATACTTTTAGTTCAGGTGGGTTTGGATTCGGAGGAGGAGGGTCAGGAGGAGGATTTGGTTATGGATATGGTGGAGCAGGAGCAGGAGCAGGAGCAAATGCAGGAGCAGATGCAGGATCATCTTCTTATTCATCATCCGGTCCTGGTTCAAAAGCAGCTGGGTATGGATACGGATACGGCGGATACGGAGATGGAGGGGCAGCTGCAGCAGCAGCAGCGGCGGCAGCAGCAGCAGCAGCAGCAGCAGGGGCAGCTGGAGGATATGGTTATGGTTATGGTTATGTTAATGGATAAGGTGGCTCGGGAGCAGGATCAAATGCATGATCATGTTTGTATTCGTCATCTGGTGCAGGTGTAGATGCGAATGGGTATGGATACGAGGGAAGGACCAGAAAAATAATAATAAATAAACTCTTTGGCACGATGGGCCACACATCACAACCATACCATGATCAATCATTTGGAATATCTCTCGATCTACACGACCAATCAGTCCATCATTCATTCAACGTGTCTATCTAACTGCAATACATCAATGAACATCTTCCAATCAACTTCTATAGACTCGTCTTGTATTTGATTGAATTGTTAGGTCACAAGTATGTTGTTGGTTTTGATTCATTTGCTTCAGTCATATCATATATACATACAATCAGAAGTATAGGAGTAGAAAGATGCTGTACAGGTAGTCATTCATTCATTTTCCATCATTCAGCACAGTTTACAGACATATATGACATCACCTCGAGGGTATCCATATTGTGCTGCGATCGTAATAATGAAGTATAGTTATCACTGATGACCAGATTGGTTCACTTATCCGTTGTGCTCTTTGTTGTTGTCTGGCTGCTTGTTGATGTTGTTGTTGATGTTGGTGTCTGTGTTGATGATTGCAAGGTAGCCTCTCTTTCCCTTTTCAGCTCATTGGATACCTGTCTCAATCTTGTTTGTTGTTCATAGTCGAATGAAATCATCATCATCATCATCATCATCATTGGTCTGATTTTAGTATGTCTGTCTGTCTAACATCGTGTCTCAATCAATCTTGTCAGCCATACCCATCATTGAATATGTAGTATCCACTTCCTGCACCAATGAGTACAGCTCCAATGAATGGCAATAGTCTCATTATTATTGTTTATATTATATTATATGTTGTAGAGTGAAATCAATGTGAAAGAATGTTTGAACAAACGACAAAGAAGAAGTTCCAATTATTCATTTTTTGTTGTTATCCCATAAAATTGTGGATACTCGTTGGCAATGAGGTTTGGCTTTTGAACAAATGTAGCATTACCTAATGGTGTGATCACTTTAGTTCACAGTATTACCAATATATATTGAGGACCCATTCAACACACCTATAGAGAGCAATGTATCTACTTCGAGCGTCTTCATTCAATGTTAAACGTGAACCAAAAGAAGGTACATTTTACATCCCTATTCCCAACCTTAATAAAACATAAACTTTAACAAAGATAAACAAAACACATAAATAATGATCAGATGATTGATGTTGGAAAATAATAATTAGGTCTGAAATTAAAATATGATTCGGTTCGATTCAAAAACCAATCATAGTTCTCAAAGGATCGTCATTGGAACATGATAAAGTGATGGAGTTGTCGAGTACTGTAACGAGGAATAATCATCATACTTGGTCGTCGTTCCCACTCTGATGGGCAACAACAGAATCCCAATCTTCCAGACCCACACCTTTGAAGTTAAAAGATGAAAGAATCATCATGCGAGTCGTGATTATGTGTCATTTCAATTATTAAACGAACGACAATCTAGACGACGAATATAAATATATACAACAACTTATAACTTAATGTTGATGTATAACAGTATCAAACATACACAAACATATATATACAAATAAAATGAGCAAAGTATGTTATGTTGTTGATTGTGATTGTTAGGGTCTTGAGATGTCCGTCTACTCACTCGCTCACTCATTCATTGTTGATTCAAGTTAAAGTTCGATGATGTAGAGAAGGATGAAAAGGACATGGCAGCAACACAGAGTCATAGACACTTTAATGAATTCAGTATCAAGAAACAGATGCTTGCTTCGATTGCAGGTGGCATGGTAACTGCAATGGCATTGACACCACTCGATGTTGTAAAGACAAGATTACAGAATCAACCAAATGTAGCTACTGCAGCTGCTGGTACAATATCAAACGCAGCATCATCATCATCACACTTCTCTGGAACAATCGATGCCTTAATCAAGATATCAAGGAATGAAGGTTTACACACTCTATGGCGTGGACTGACGCCTTCATTCTTGATGACAATACCAAGTACTGCAATGTATGTTACACTTTGATCAAAGTGACACACTGACGACTGACCTCCACCTACATCTTAGACACTTTACAACATATGAGTATTTTAAACAACATATAGAGAGGTACACGGACAAGGACAATGTGTATATTGCACCATTGATTGCTGGCTCACTTGGTCGTGTCGTGTCGGTCACAGTCACATCACCTTTCGAATTGATTAGAACAAATTTACAAGGCATCACTAATAGGAAGACATTACACTTTGTTCCATTGATACGCGAGATCGTTGGCAATGTTGGACTTACTGGTCTGTGGCGTGGTCTGTCTCCTACACTCATGAGAGACGTTCCATTCTCTGCCATTTACTGGTCATGCTACGAAATAATCAAGGTGAGTGAATGAGCGAGCGAGTGAGCAAGTTAGTTCGTTGATGTTGGAGTAAATACTAACATACATCCATCAAACCAACCATTGATTCATTTTACATAATCAATCATTGGCATCATCGGCATCATCGGCATCATCGATCAATCATACATCTGGCTCCACTCACTCAATCAATCATTCATTCGATCAATGTTGGCAACACAAACACACAGAATAACTTGTTGGATCGCTATAGTATCAATATCACATCGGAACATAAGAAGCGTGCTTCTCCTTTCTATATCAACTTTGTCTCTGGAGCAATGAGTGGATCAATTGCGGCAGTGGTGACAACTCCAATCGATCTGATCAAAACACGTATACAAATGACTGCTCAACTGAGTAACAATCCATCGAATTCAACATCATCGACATCATCAGCGGCATCCAAATCAAACCAAAACAACAGTATTATTAGTAGTAGTAGGAATAGGACATCAGCAATTTATCATGCTAAAGAGATTTACCGAGAGGAGGGATTGATGGGATTCACAAAGGGAATGGTTCCAAGGTTGGCAAAGGTGGCCCCGGCTTGTGCCATAATGATCTCCACCTATGAATGGGTAAAGTCAGTCAACTTGGATGAGTTGGCAATGTCCAGTATCAAATAAACTAAATATCATTTACTTTGGTACCATAAAATATATTGGCAACTACTTTGTTACCTTCCAAAGTATACTTGTTCTATGTCGACATATTTATTCCTTGTTTCAATCTTGGGAGTTTTCATACAAAGAGGTGATTGGTATTGAAAATTGTTATGGCTAATCATGTGATTTACTCTATTGACACTTCACTTCTTCACAGAGGGAAAAGAAAGGTTGTGGATTCTGGATGGAGTAGAGGTGAGGAGGAGGAGGAGGATTTGGGAAAAGTTAAGGTACATTGAGAGTTGAACTCATATTTACTTCGACCCTAGAGGAATTGTATTATTAAACCGGAGCCTCGAAGTAAATATGAGTTCAACTTTTTCTTTATGGTACAACTTAATAATAGGAGTTTAGATCTGTAAAATGGTATTTATTATTTTTATTTTTCAGATCTATTATAATAATCTTCCCCTCAGACAAACAATCATCCTAATAAATAGTTGTACCATAAAGAAATAAATTAAATTAAAAATTAAAGTATAAATAATTAATTAATATTAATATTAATCAGAGTACCTTTGTGACAGTGGTCCTAGGTTATAGTTGGAATTGTCATATTACCCTACGGTCTAGGTAAATAAGGGTTCAACTCCCAAGGTACCAAACTGTTTTTTCCCTCCTCCTCTCACTTCCAACATTTCTAATAACATTCTACTGTAGATTACTTTGACACTCACCATAGTATACCAATGAATACTCTGGCAATTACTTTTAATCGATCAGAGAGAGACAGACAGATGTAGTGTTAAAGGGGATATAACTGTTTGTGTTTATTACATTGTACTGCAGTGTTTGAGGCGTGCTTTGTGGACAGACAATGTCCTGAGCTCAACCTCTTTGGTGTTGTTGCATGGCCTTGGCAGATATCTGTTTGGCCTGTCTGGTCCTAGCTGGACATTGACAGGACATTCAATACCTTATCATGTTTGGTCCACAAGTGTTGAGCACACTGTTGACACACTCTAACCTTGTCCACGTATCCAATAGCCTTGGCTTCTTGATTGCAACATCTTGCGCAGAATAAGTGGCCACAGTTCCTACAGTGATGCTGGTGAAGTGAAGAGGGAGATGGAGTTAGTTGGTCGTCCCACATGGATATGGACAGGTTCCAAGACCAACACTTACCCTTCTCTTGAAGAATGTAAAGATGGACAGACAGCTGTGACACTTGTATGTCGAGTCATCGGGATACCATAGTGCCATGCCATTCTCTGCCTTGTTGGAGTTGAGTTCATCACTCTGTTGTGAGTATTGTGAGTGGCCAAGTGTGGACTCTCCATCACATCCATGTGGACTCGCTGGATGATTGTTATCGTGACGCTGTTGATTGTGATTGTGATTGTGATTATGATTGTTGTGATTTGGTAGTTGATGATGAGAATTGGACATTAGGAGTGATCGACGATATGCAGTGGTACATTGCTCTTGCACTCGACTCTTGACAACGTTTAGCAGTGTGCTGTAGTCCTTGACAAAGACGTCCCACTCTTGTCTGGTCTCCTTGAGGTGCTCCTTTGCCTCCTGCACCTGATAGTGCAGCTGTTCGACGCGGGGCTTGATCATCTCGCCAGAGTACTCGAGGGAGTTGCGCGACTTGTTCAGCTTCTGCTCCTTTTCCTTCTCCTTCTTGTTGGACTCGAGCTCCTTCTGCTTGGACTCGAGTTGGATACCGCGGATGCCCTGTACCCATCTCCACATCTCGACCTCCTCCGAGACCTTGAATGTGTACGTCCTTTGTTGTGTATGTACATTGAATATCCACTCCTGCTGTGTCTGTTGTTGTTGTTGTTGTGTGTTCTGTTGCTGTTGCGCATTGTCCAGTTGTTGTTGCTGCTGGTTGCTGCCAAAGGCAAAGGAGCCCGACATAGAGAATGGTTTGCTCATTGACGTCGATAGTGCCGCGCCACTGTGATTTAATTGTTGTCTATTGTTGTTTCCATTTTGTTGTTGTTGTTGTTGTTGAAGTGAACTTATATCAACAGATATTGATGTGGCAGATTGATTGATCTTTGTCGTAGTGATTGATGATGGTGTAATAGTCTGACTGTTCCTATTTGAGTTGTTGTTGACCACTGGTCTAACATGAAGTATCAACGTCAACAGTATACTGCCTTTCAGCTCAGTCTTTGTATCATTGACATAGTACTTGAGTGAATCGCCTTCAATACAGAACCATCTCCTACACAAGTTGTTGTTCAAGATTAATTGAATGATAAGATTGATTGATTGATTGATAGACTCGATGAATGACTTACTTTTTCCAACTCTTGTATATTCCACCTTCTTTGAGAAGGTAGCCTTGTAGTTGAGTTGATGGTGAGCTCTGATATGGGTGGATCGTTGTCCTGTCCATTCTTAAGAAGGTAGTCTATCCCAAAGAATGAGGTACTCATGCACTCAAGCAATCGTCTCGTCTCGTATCTATCTATCTCTCTTTGACTTCGACCGAATGACTAACTGATTGATTGACTGATTGTAATGATGGTATATTAATAACTTATTGTTCGTTGTTGTCCCTGGTGTATCTTTGTATCACTTGTAGTCTCAAGCGAATGGCCCCCACACCCAAACAACAATGCGACGATTTTGATCAATCAAGAGTTTTGATCATAATTCGAATGATTTTGCGTTTTCCTTGGAATTCGAGGTCTCCGATCCTTCCCGAATGGGTTGTCTCAGAGGGTACCTGGCACACTTTATTCTTATTATTATTGTTATTATGGTTATGGTTATTGTTGTTATTGTTTGTTATTGTTGTTGATCATGTTGTTGTTGTTCTTGTGGCTGTACCTGTGGCTGTGCTTGTGGAAGCTTCTGTTGCCAGTTCAACTGGTCCTTCTGCTCGGCTGGGGCTGCTCCTGCTACTCCAACTGGCTTTGGCTTCTTAACATACTTCTCTTTGTTGTTGTTGCCTGGTTGTTGGGGAACATGTTGCTTCTTTGGTCTGTTGTCATTGAGAGTATGAACATTTCCTGGTTGTCTAGGTTGTTGTTGTGGCATGTTTGGTTGTCTTGGATGCTGCTGTGGAGCACCTTTGCCTTGTGGCTTATTGGGCTTGTTCTTTTGGGGCGCTGATCCTGCGGCTGCTGCACCTGGATGTGGTCCACCGGGAGCAGGTGGATATCCATGGTTTGGAAGATGTGGGAACATTGGTGCCATCACTGGTGGTACTGGCACTGGAAAGTACATTGGGTGAGGAGGTGGAGCATGCATAAACATAGCTGGATGCTGGGGCGGCTGTGGCTGGGGCTGGTGTTGCGCGCTTTGCAGTGATGCTTGGATCATCTGCATGAGGGGTGGGGGCTGCTCGACCGGCTTGCTCTCCTCTGCCGCTGCGGCTGGTTGGGGTGGCTTGTTGAAGAAGCTGGCGATTGGAGGTGATGCAGGGGGATTTGGAAGCGGGGAGCTCTCAAACATTTGCTGCAAAAGCTGCGAGGCACCTTCAGTCTGCTTGACCTCTGATCTAGGCTTCTTCTCCTTCCTCTCCTTGTTTGGCCTGTTGTTGTTGGCAGGTGCCTGTTGCTTGGATAGGCCAGGTGGTGGGGCAGTAGCCTTGTTGTTGTTTTGTCTTGGCTGCTGTTGGTGTAGCTGCTGTTGTTGTTGCTGCTGCTGTTGTACTTGTTGATGAGCGTGATAGTTGTTGTGGGTGGTGTGAACGCTTGGGTACTTCTGGCCATAGACGACCAACTCATCCTTGTTGAAGTTCTTTGTGTACTGCTCTTGGCGCTGGTAGTAGTTCTTCCTCTGTTGTTGTCTGTAGAACTCCTCCTGTTGCTGCCAGGTCAAGTTGGGGGGCATCTTGTCCTCCCTATTATGCTGCTGTTGTTGCTGTTGCTGCTGCACAGAGAGATGCGCACCTCTGCCATTGTTGTTCTGCTCCAGCTGGACCTTCTTCCAATGCTCGTATGAGTCCACTCTTGGCTCCTTGGTGCGACGCGCGCGGTAGTTGACGTTGGCAGTGGGCTTGGACAGGTTGAACAGTCTGGTCTTGGAGATGCAAATGCCACGCTTCTCTGAGCAGGTGCCATCGAGATTGGTGCCACTGAAGCACTCCTGGTCGAGGATGACGTCCACCTTTTGGTCCTGCACCGAGACCACGGTACCGTACAGGCCAAATGGTATGTTGCCCTTGTCGAGCATCGTGACGACGCGATCACCCATGTTGAATATCTTGGGCTTCTCGGCCATCTGGAAGTTGGCCAGTTGCTTGGCGTGGTTGTGGTTCGACATGAGCAAGGGACTGTTGACCGCATTGCTGTTGTTGTTGTTGCGCTGCTGTTGTTGCTGTTGCTGTTGCTGCATGGCCTTGGAGGTGGCGTGGCGCTCCAACGAGATGATCGACTCGTAAGAGGCTGGCTCGATCACAAACTCTGGAGCGGCCTTGGCCACCACGGTGATCTTCTCCTTCTTGGACTGCTCGAGATAGTGCTTCTCGATCCTGGTCACAGTCTCTTGCTTCAGACTCTGTGTGTCGCACGGCACCAGTCGCTGCTGGCGTATCTTGGTCTCCCTCATGAACTCCTCGATCTCGGCGATGAACGCTGCACGCTCAGCCTTGTCGGGGATCAGTGACGAGTAGTCCACATTCTTCTTGCTCGAGTCGGTTGAGTGCAGATCGAGGATATCATGTATGATTGGGAACTTCTCCAAGTAGCTCTTGATCAACTCGATCGCCTTGGAGCTGTACTCCCATCGCTTGAATGAGTTGCCGTTCTTGTCGTTCATTGTGGTGCCACGACAGTATCCCATCAACTGCTGCTGTCGGCCCGTGTACTTCATGTTGAGACCAATGTCGGCGGTGGGCTTGTCGACAAAGAGCGCGCCGGTCAACAGCGAGATTTGGACAGTGGTCAGACCCAGCTCCTTGGCGACGACCTGCAGCGTGTAGTAGTCCTCGACCTCGCGGCTGGCACACTGATGGCCAAACTCCATGTCCAGACTGGACACCTTGAGCTCCAGCTCCAGCATCTGATCGTAGTGATGCAGCACGGTTCCGATCGCTCCAAAGTTGTCCTGGTTGATGTAGATCACCTGCTTGCCAATGGGGAAACGCTTCTCAAAGGGCAGCTCCTCACTCTCCTCATAACGCGAGTCGGCCTTGACCTTGTCGTAGGCGACCATCAGCTGCAGGGGGAAGTGCTCAATCTTGTCGTTGTAGCGCTTGACCTTGCGGCCTCCGACCTCTGCGTCGACACCGACCAGGCGCACCACGTGCACTAGCACGGTCGACTGGATCAGGTCGCGCACGTTCATACCCGAGCGCAGGTAGTCCATTGGGATCTTCTTGATGTCCTCCATGTAGGAGATCTTCTGCACGGCCATGTACTCGATGGTGTTGTCCGCTGTGATGTGCTGGTTGCAATCGGAGAAACCAATGATCTTGGCCTCAATGTGGTAGGGCCAGTTAACGTAGCACTTCTTGCCAATCAGGCTCTTGAGCGCGATGAGTGACGACTCGACGGGCAAGGGCGGGTGGATGACGATGGACTCGCGTCTGCTGACCGAGCCCCACACGTTGGTGTGACCGTGCATGTACTCCCAGTCAAAGTCAATCGAGCCGAATGTTGGGAACCCGCTGGGCGAGTTGGGTCCGCACAGTACACCGTCACACAATCTGAATGGCTTGAGACTGTGCTCGTTGAGCTCGGGCAGAACCACCTCTTCCATGTTGGCTGACGACCTGATCAAGTCGTCAAACAGCTTTCTGTTGGGCGACTCGACGTCCTCCTCGAGCTCGGCATCGTGGTAGATGATCCACGCCTGGCGCAGCGTGTTACGCATGCGCTCCTTGGGCGTCAGCTCGTAGGTGTCCTCGTTGGCGGTGGCGTCCAGCAGGCGCTGAAGGTCGGGGAAGCCAATCATGGCAATACCATCAAAGTAATGGCTGTCCCTGGTGTCCACCTCGAACGTCTTTGGATAAAAGTCGGCGATCGGTGAGTTCTCGTCGACCATCAGAGGGCGGTAGGCCGCGGGCAGCAGGTAGGCGCTCTGCGGGGGCAGCACGCTCATCAGCTGCTGGTAGGGGGTGACGGGCGTGCCTGGCTCAAAGTTGAACTCGAACGACGACAGGTCGGTAAAGTCGCAGGCCAGTGGCGCAAAGTAGTATGGGTAGAACCAGCGCCACGAGATGCAGCCGTGGTGGTAGTAGTTGAGCACCCAGAGCAGGCCCTCGAGATAGGACTGAAGGAGGCCGTGCTTGAACTCGGCCATCTCGTCAAAGTTCTCGGGGAAATCGTCAAAGTACTGGCGGTAGTAGGCGTTCTTCCATGCCTGCTGCGCGTCGTCCTCCTTCTCCTCGTCGGCAAAGTCCATGTCGGAAAAGTGCTGCTTGATGTTGTCGATGGCTTGACGCTCAGACTCGAGGCTGGCCGAGTCTTCGTCGCTGGACAAGTCGTCCACGTCGTCGTCGTCGTCGCCGCTCAGGTTCTGCTGCTTCTGCTCATACACGGCGATCTTGTTGAGGAAGAGCTGAAGGCGATCCAAGTCGATCTGCGCGCTGTCCGTCAGGTAGCCGCCCAGGTCCGGCAGCAGGTCCTTGTAGATCTGCATCACGTGGTTGAGGCCGTTGTTTGATATCTCGCAGAAGGGCAGATGAGGCACAAAGTCATTGCCAAAGATGATCATGATCATAATAAAGTCGTCGATGATGCACTCCAGGTCGTAGCCAAACTCCAACGCGTCATTCCTCATCTCCAAGTCCAAGTACTCGCGCAGCAATGACACGTGCAGCATCTGGAAGTCCAACTTTCTCTTTGTCGGCTTGAACGACACCTCCTCTCTCAGGATACTAAAGTGTGGCTCATGTGTTACCAACGCCAGCAAGATCAAGTCTGCATCCAGACCATAGATACAATGGGACTAAGTATAGATAATGATTGTGATGTGTAAGTCAACGTATTCAATCAATCATTCAATCAAATATAATACATACTTGATTAGGGTCCCAATCAGGTGATGCCTTGTTCTTTCTAATGTAGTCGATGATCTTGTGCTCACCCTCGCCAGGGTTCTCGGGTCCCGAGAAGATGATCTCGACCTCGCGCCAACTGAGATCCTCAGATATCTTCTTCTTGATGAAGAACTGCAGACTCTCACTGAGGTTGTACATAAAGTCCGTGCCCGGAGTGATGGCTGCTCTTGAGAAGATGACCTCTGGCACCTCCTTTCCATCCTTCACCATCTGTTCCTTTGCCTTGTTTTCCAGAAAGACTGACAAGAATCTTCTTTGTCTCTGTTGATTTAACTTTGATCTTGGTGCAACGCCTAAGTCATTGATTGGTTAGTTATGATTGATTGATTGATTGATTGAACGATTGAATGAATGAATGAACATACCATCGATGGCCATGTAGAATAACTTGGTTGGTCTGATGATGTGAAACAGTTTGTCGACATAATTGCAGACCTTTCTTATCAGGTCTTCCTCGGAGAAGGACAATACTCCTGAGCCCGTGATCTCCTGAGAGCACGTGTGAATGATTCCATTCATATCTAAATACAAGTTGTCTGATTGATTGATGATTGGATGCGAAGGTATAAGTGGCTGATCATTAGGTCAGTATGCCTTGAGTTGCATACCATATTCAGGTGGTGTAGAGTTGACAAGATTCTGCATGATCTGAGGGTATCTCTCGGATACCCATCTAAAAAACCTAGGTACTCCCATGTCTTAATCTTCTTCTTCTAGTTGATGTTGTTAATGCTTATTGCTATTGCTATTTATAATAATGTTGATATATATTGTTGTTGACAGGTTATTTGATCACTGAGATCGCTCTTTGTCAAATGATTGATGTTGATTGATTGGTTGACTACTTGTTTGTGTCTAGTATGCAGCTATGCTGGTGATATTCTTCTTCTTCTTCTTAATTGTTATATGTAATTATATTACTCTCTCTGTATTTCGATTGTGGTAGTTGTTGTAGGACTATGTTTGTCGTATGATGATGTTATCGTACTAAATAATAATGATAATAATACGTGTACACTCCTCTACTCCTTGTCACCTTCACTTTCTAAATCTCTCTCAAACTCTATCTCTCTCGTCTCTCTTCTCTCTCCTATTATACACGTATCTGTCCTATTACTATGCATATATATATACAACAATATATATAAATATTATATGTACAGTGAGTAAGTAAGTAAGTGTGATTGAAATGAATTCAACGCATGTTCGACTTAATGAAGTGCAGAGTGAGTGTGAGTCCTCTCCATGAATGAAAGAAAATAAGGTGAAATAAAATTATTCAATGTTTGATCGTTTGATGGATTATTTGATCAATATTGGTGTTATTATTATCTTGTGTTCTTCCATCTTTATCCATCCATTGGTAATCAATAAGAATGAATATATAAGTATTATTTAGTGCACTAAATCATTTATCCATTAGGTTTTAAAATTAATAATACCATGTTCGGTTGGTATTATTCCATTTCAGCTTCAGTATTAATTAATTAATTAATCTAACTGAACCATGTAGATGGATTGAATACTGACCAAGCTTGCTTTGGCCTACTGATCATATGTTCTGGTCTGGTTCTCTCATTTGCGGGCTTAAAGTTGATTAATTGATTGATTGATTGATATTATTATTAACGAATTGAATTAATTAATTAATTCCAGGATGATGGCTGAGAGGATACATACCCTGAGTAATAATGTAGAGTTTGGAATAAGATTGAGATCCTTGAATGTCAACTCCAGGTCTTGTAATGAGAATGGTGTGTCATTGTTATCTGTTACCAAGATATAAGGTGTAGCACCATCATTCCTCTTGCCATTAATATAATAAATAACCTCGCGGAGTCTATCATCATAGGCAAACTGGCCTCTAAGTTCATATCCATTTAGTAATACAATGGTTATATCACTTTGATGGTAATGTGACGCATGTTAGCTCATGGATCTGGATGGATTGATGGACGGATGGATACCTACGTTCTCAAAGTTGATTGTTGTGTGGCAATGTAATTGTTTCTCTGTTGCTCTCTTAGTGTCTTGAGCTCGTCTTGTTGTCCCTTCCTCGCCACCATGTAATCTCTGTTCGTCATTTCATCTCTGGTCTTGGCAGCTGGCTTTGGTTCTTGTTTCTTTGGTTGTCCACAAGCATGATCACTTGGGAATCTATGTCTTTAAGATTGATTAATTGATTGAATGAATGAGTCAATGATGTAGTGATTCCAGGGGAGACACAGATATGACATACTTTAGACAATGATTCTGTTTACACTTGTCACATACGACAGGTACAAGTTCTCTGTTTAGACATCTATATGCATTACAAATGTAACTCTTTGGTTTGGAATTCTTGTTCTTGCTATTGTTGTTGTTGTTGTTATTGCTGTTGTCATTGTTTTGTTTACAATCATTCATTAGATGTTTAGCCAATGATGCATCTAATTCATCCTCTCTTAATACAATGAATATCTCTCCACAATCTGGACAGTGATGTGCCCGTCTATCAGTTGGAGTATGACGTTGACAATTGTGTGATTGAGGTGTCTGATGCTCTTGACAGTACTTCAAATGACAGTAATCACATTGAAAAGGTAAGAAGTCTAGAGAATAGAGCGAGTGAGTGTAAGACAAGGACCTTGTATGGCTTGGTTGTTGTAGTCTGATTGATTGCCAATCGTTTGTTACCTAAGTGATTGCATTGTTTAACACCACAATGAGAGCCCAAGTGAGGAAAGTCCATTGTTTGTAAGTTAGTTAGTTATATATCTGTATAACAAGTAGTAATAAATGAAATGAGAATGGTCATTGGGATGTTTAATATACTTTGTGATGAGGGGGAGATAACGAATGAGGTGGTGATTTCGGGGTTGTGATGAGGGAATGGTCGCCTGCTTTTTGATTGATTGTTTGACTTCAAGGCCTAAAAAGGTAATGTGATCACACACAACGTCGTGTTGGGCAAGATAACAAGTGACATGTCCAATCAATAAATCTATTAATTATTCTCTCCATTCCTCAAGATCATCAATTCATTCGCTCAATCAATCAATCAACTTAATCATTAATCACAAACACAAACACAAATTGGTGATTCACTCTACAACTACTTGGATAGAGATAACTATTAATAATAAAAATATTTTTTAGATCTTTAAGATAAGATTTAATAATAATTAATATTTAATTTAGAACTTTCCCTTTTGAACCCAACACTCATCCTCGACAGCGTTGTTGGAGTCAGTAAGGAATTGCCACTGGAGATGGGTCTCGTTGGCAAAGTTGATCACACCGTAGCCAGTCTTCTCGATTCTTGGACCGGTGGACCACTTTGGCAGAGAGACCCAACCATCGATCAGACCCTCCTTGTTACCGGCGGTACCAATGATGAAGTGGACGGTGGCCTTTGGAGCGCTCAAAGTACCCTTGACGGCATTGTTGTTCACTGGCAACGTTCTCTCATATGAGTGAGTGTGGCCCGAGACAAAGATATCGACGTTGTACTTGAGGAACAGCTGGTCGATGGCCTTGATGAAGGCGGCTCTTCCACTGTCCGATGGGCTGCACCATGACTTCTTGGAGGAGCAGTATAATGGTCTGTGGGCCCATGCGACGATCCAACCGGTTGGGTTGTAGGCACGGTAGCTCTTCAGGTCACTCTCGATCCAGTTCCACTGGGCCGAGCCGGAGGAGTAGGTGTCCTCGGAGGAGAAAGACACGTAGTGAATACCGTTGAAGTCGTAGGAGTACCAGGTTGAGCCACTGCTGACCGAGGGCATGTTGAAGGTCTGCAAGTAGATCTTCTCCTTGGCAAAGACATCGTGGTTGCCTGGGCACACCATGTATGGGAGGCGCGAGGTAATTGGGTTAACCTGCGACAAGAAGGAGTCCCAAGTGGCCTGGTTACCGTTGCTGCCCGAATCAGCGTAGGCAATGTCACCAACGTGCATTGCGTAAGAGAAATCATCGATTCTTCCAACGATGTTGCTGATGGTGGCTGCGTTACCGCCAGAGTTACCCTTTTGATTGAACGATCAAAGTGGGTTTGGTGTGAAGGTGATGGGTGGAGGTGGAATCATTCCAAAGAGAGTGAGAGAGAGAGAGATATTGGAAGGAGAAGTAGAGATAAACAATAAAAAAAAGAATAAAGTAGAGACAGAGAGATAGAGATAGAGAGAGGATAGATTGTGGAACCTGGTGTAAGTGGGAGGAAGGCCTTGTTGAGGACCTTGGGCTTGGTGAGGCCCTTGTAATATCTTACCATATCTCCATAGGTGACAACACTGTATGGGGTGACCTTGTTGGACTTTGATGGGTAGACACCAGTGGTGAAGTTGTAGACGTTGGACCAGGTGCCGGTCTTCTTGTCACCACAGGTGTAGTAGTAGGTGGTCATCGACTGGAGACCAGTGATGATTCCAGAGTTGACGTAGCCGGTCCAGCCAGAGGTGCCGCTGAGCGACACACTGGTGGCCTGGGCACCGTTGACGGTGGAGCCAGCGCCGCTTGGGGTGAACATGTTAGTCGAGTACATGATGGATGGAGTGGCGGTCGAGTCCTTGGAGTACCAAGTGACACGCATCTCATAGTCGTGCGAGGTGTAGGCCAACTTGATGCTGGCTGGTGTGACATTGGCAGAACCAATGGCAATCAATGCCAACATGCACACAGAGAACAATGTGAGTGATTGCATCCTAATAAATATTAAGTAATGTAATAATAAGTTATTATTTGTGAATGAGAGTGATGAATGAATCAAGTGTGACCCTTATAAGGTGATGATCAGTTACTCATCATTCAACTGGACAAGTGAAGTCCTTCACCAGCAGAAAGATATCTTGTGTTTGTGTTTTTGGTGTCTGTTCTAGGGCGCGGCAAGTTGGGAACCTGTTCATGGGTTGTGGGCAAGGGGGTCTCAAGTGCTGGTAGGCAGTAGGAATACATAGACCTGCCTATCTGTTTGCAGGCGAGTATCATCTTATGAATGGGCGAGTCAAGAACCTTCGTCTGTCCGACACTTTCACACAATCAATCAATCAGAATGCAAAGTTTGCTTTTTGGGCCGAGACTCCACACGTCGTTTTTGATCAGCGACATTTGATCTGTACCGTTTGTGAAGGTCAAAGTGGACTGTATTACTTTGGAGGCAGCAGATTGGGTTGGATCCTTCTCTTTGGTTTGGAAGCCGATGCCGACATTTGTGTTGTCGTCGAGTCGGAGTTGGAGTTGGAAGTGGTAGTGGCAGTGGTTGTGGTAGTTGTTGTAGTTGTTGGGTATGCAGCAGAGGCATTATTAACTGATTGGGTATCTTGAGTTGGAGTGTCCAACTTTTGTTTCTTTTCTGTCTGTTTGCTATCATTGTCAACATCATTCTCATCATTGTTACCAATCGAAGTGGAGACGGAGGATTCCTCATCCTTCTTTCTCTTCACCGATGTCGACGTATCTTGTTGTAGTTGTTCCTTCTGAATGGTCTCGGCGGTCGTATTCTGGATGGCCTCCATTCGGAGAGCATTCGCTTGTTGCATACACGCTGGCATGTCATTGATGTCCTTGATGGGCGTGCCCAACTCGCCCTCTACAAAGGACATGTAGGAGCAGAATCCATCCTCAGAGGCAATCATCAGGATGCTGCCATCGGGCGACCAACTCAGGTCGGTGATCGTTGAGTAGTGCATGTCCGAGACAATCAACAGTGGCTTAAAGCACTGTGTGTCGTAGATGATCACCGTGTCGGCCGTCGAGACGGCAAAGATCATTCGGTAGATGAGCTCGGGCAGGATGGTTGGGTGTGACGCAGATGTGTTCAACTGGTATATCAGCGGATTGAACTTGACTACCAATGTTGGCTTGTTGGATGGAAGGTGGAGTATTGGCTTGTTGAGTATGTCCCTTGAGAACACATATGAAGTGCACTCATACTTTGACATTGACGGGTTGGCCTTGAACTTGCCAGTGGGCAAGATCAATAATGATCCTTCAGGTGACCATGAGGCTCGTCTAAAGAAGCTGGATAGTTGGTTGGCAAAGTTTTTTGGTTATTAGATGAGCACGTACGAGTACAGACAAGCAAGAAACATACGTTGTAACATTCTCATCATAGAACATCCTGTGATCCTTGCTCAGGGAATCTTCTGTTTCTTTGGTTGGCGTAGATTGAGCACTGTCTATGTGCTTCTGGTCCTCATCATGATGGTCTTGGTCGCAGTAGCTATTGACATATGAACGTCTGGAGAGCAGACTGGCAAGTGCGACATTGAGCTTCTTGCTCGCAGCCGTCTTTCTCTTGGAGGCCTTGCTCTCAGAGTATATTCTACATGTGCCATCGGAGCTCTCCGATACAAGGTATCTTCCCAGAGGGTCCCAACTCACTCCTTGTACATAATGAGTATGTTCCACGATCAATTGATTGCTTGCCCCTAAGTTTGATTGATCGAGAAGTTGTTAGTCCTGGATCCATGAGGCCGCCAACAATAATATAACATACTAGTTATGGGACTCCATATTTGAATGCTATTGTCTGTTGAACAGGATACGAGGTGGAGGCCATTGGGTGACCATGCCAGATCGTAACAATCGGTTTGAGCTCGTAGTACGGCCACAATGGACCACACTTCCTTCATCTGTATTCCATCTTCATTGTCAACAATTGGCGTCTGTTGTTGTAACAAAGGATTCAAACGCCATATTGCTATTGTACCATCGTCACCGCCTGAAGCCAACAGATTTCCACCCGGTGAGAACCTGGCCACATTAACATGCTTGCTATGTTTAGACAGTGATGACAAGTATGTGAACTCAATCTTGTTTGTAACATTGTTCTGTGTATAACTCCATATCTAAGGGTGGTGGATGGTTAGTCATACTGTCCAAATGATCATTTGACAGTTTGATTATATAGTTATCTACCTTTACATCATTGTCTGAGCCTGTTGTACACAGTCTGTTTGAACTTGGATCGAATTCAACAGAGTATATAGGTTCTTTGTTATGCCACAGTATCATAACAGTTTCAATATTGACTTTGGTCATCTTGTTCTGTTGAGTTGTTGTTGTTGTTGTTGTGATATTTATATTATTATTATTATATATACAATGTACAGATAGATAAGTTGGCAACAATCTCAATCGAATGAACTAAGCGCCAAGTTACACTAATTTCAAATTGTTCAAGTTTCGCGCCTTTTTCTAAAGGAGCACTCAATTCTCTTTCATTCTCTTTCATTCAATCACTCATTCATTCAAACATAGACAACAACAATATCATCATTATCATTCACATATATATATATCTTAATAACAAGAACATACTAAAGTGAATAGAATAGGATGGACATGGATATTATCGATCAAGAGATAGTCAGCAAGTTTAAACAGATTGGAATTGTCAATCGCGATGACCTATCAAAGTGTAAGACCAATCATTCATTCATTATGAGGAGGTACATTAAATGCTGACATCAATCATTCAATCAATCAATCAATGAACAATCAATAGTTGATCGCATTACCAAAGAGTTTGGTCTCACACCAGATGCCATCTTTAATGAATGGCAACAATATGCCGTTAAGAAGATGATTAATGAGGACTTTGGCAAGCATATCGATCCTTTTAGAATTCTGATAAAGAAACAGGCTGTGGCTATGAAGCGTGCTTTACAAGAGAAGTATGTTTGTTGAACCCTCGTCAAGCAACGCGCCCGTTCGTTAACAATCCATTCATTGTCATCACAGTGAGAAGCAAGCTCAACTACAACAGCAGGCAAAGAGTCAAAAGACAACTGCAACATCTAGACCAAAAACCACGACCACTACCACTTCCACAACAACTGCTGCTGCAAGACCTAAAGCATCTGTATCCAATGCTGATCTTGACTTTGACTTTGACATGGACGATTCCACAAACAATAACAATAACAACAACAAGAACAATGGAGATGACTTTGACTTTGACTTTGATTTACCAGACGCAGCCAAGAGTCTACTCCATCTCAATGGTGCCAAACACTTCAACTATGAATCAAGACAGAACATTGGACAGTCCACACAATTGTACTGCGCTGGTGGCTTCAAGGCCCCTGCCTCAGACTCCGGCTCCAACGATACCACAAACACCAGCATCACAGTGTTGGGAAAGGGAACAACGAGCAAGGATGTCTACATGAGCGATACGCTACATGGCAGGACAAAGCAGTTGGCAGAGAGCGTGACACAGTATCATGACAAGTTCAGCAAGGTGTTGGGCGTAGAGACCAATACAGACAGTGAGGAACTCATCCGAGCTGTAGGTCGTGTGTGGATCGATCGCTCCTCACTGGCGCTCCACAAGCGTTTCCATCTTCTTGGCAACACTCTTCGAGGTGTGGACTCGTTCTCCATCAACACTCCCGTCAACATATTCACTGGACAAGTGATCATGGTCGAGGGCAAGAACATCCCAGGCTCAAACTTCCTCTGTTCCAATATATATTATGTATGTATCTGGAATCCAGCGTCATTCATTCGTCCATCCACATACTCAAACATATTTCCAGCCCAATCAACTTCCTTTCCATGTGCCAGAGCAAGACTCCTCAGCGAGAATACTGTTTGCAAGTGGACCATTCTCATTGTTCCGTGCCAATGACTACTCGCCATTCAATGACCTTTTGCAGGTTATTCAGAATAAGAAGTATAATATAGTCATCCTCGTAAGTACTACTACATTCATTCATGGACATGGTTTGACCTGACCTAATATCATTCATTCATTCATTGTTTATTAGTTTGGACCATTTGTCCAACAGGCCAACCTGGATATCAACAAGTTGGACAAGACATTTGATCAGGTGTTTGAAGAGTTGATCAACATGCTGGCAGAGATCACCGACACTACATTCATTGTTGTACCTTCAGTTTCTGACCTGTGCCACGACTATGTCTATCCACAGTCACCATTTAGACTGGAATCCAAGGTAAGCATAGTAATGTCTTTTTTCCAGAGAGCCACCTGCAGACTAACTAACATCACGCCATCATACCAACCTCCAGCGCTACAAGAACATCAAGTTCGTCTCCAACCCATCCACCTTGCTAATCAACAACTCCATTACCATTGGACTGGACAACAGTGGGATCGTAGAGCATCTACAATATGTCCTAAGTGATAAGAAGTAAGTTTAGTTGGTGAGCCACTCTCGTTGTCCATGCATTGTATTAACAATTGTAATTATGTTAGGAAATCAAACAAAGTAGATGCTGAATCAATCTGTCGAATGATAATCCAGCAACAGAACTACTATCCACTGCATCCTGCTGAGGTGCCACTGGAGATGTCACGACTCCCAACATTGAGCTTCCCAGGCATCACTCCAGACATCCTCTTGTTTGCCAACGCCGACAACTTTGCAAAGTCTGTTGACAATGTATTGTGTGTGAGTGCCGGTCAGATGGTCGGCAATGAACGTGCTGGCACATACGTCGAGTTGATGATCAACGCTAATAGTGGTGGCAATGACAAGACAGCAATTCCCATCGCACAGAGATCCAGAGTAACAGCAATCAATATATAAACAGAATGAAGCCCAGGTGGAACATGCCTGGACGCGTTCCAAATGTACAATCATTGTTAACTTAGTTTATTAGCGTCTGTATCGTTTGAATACAAGTGATGAGTTGGTACCGCCAAAGCCGAATGAGTTCTTGAGTACACAGTCGATGGGCTTGGATTGAGCGCGGCCTACTACCAGGTTGATTCCGCCCGACTCGGGTGTCGGTCGTTCCAGATTGACGTTGGGGGGGGCCATGTTGTTGTGCAGGGCCATGATTGAGACGATTGATTCAGCGCTGCCAGCTGCGCCCAGTAGATGTCCAATCGCACCCTTGGTCGAGCTCATTGTAATTCGCGCAGCCTGCTCTGGTGTTGTGGCGCCAAACAAGTTGAGGACGGCTTGACACTCGATGCCGTCACCCATTGGCGTGGATGTGGCGTGTGCGTTGATGTAGTCGACCTGTGCCAGGGGGTCTGTGATGTTGGCCTCCTTTAGTGCGTTGGCCATTGCTCTCTTGGCACCATTGCCAGAGGGTTCGGGAGAGGATAGATGGTGCGCATCACCCGTGGCTCCATAACCTGCGACCTCGCAGTATATCGTTGCGTTTCTCTTGAGTGCATGCTCAAGCTCTTCGAGCACCAACACGCCGGCACCCTCCGAGATGACAAAGCCATCTCTGTCCTCATCGAATGGTCTGCTCGCTTGTTGCGGGCGGTCGTTGAACTTGGTCGATAATGCACGCATCCTTGCAAAGCCAATGACTGAGAGAGGTGTGATCGATGCTTCGGAGCCGCCACAGAGCATGACGTCCGCCTCGCCATACTTGATCTTCCTGAATGATTCACCAATGGCGTGTGCACCAGTTGCACAAGCTGACACTATCGACATGTTTGGGCCTTTGATCCTATTGATAATGCTAACAATGCCCGATGCCTCATTGATCAGTATCCTCGGTACAAAGTATGCGCTTGCCTTGTTCTGTCCACCTGCCTTGACCTTATCATGTGTGTTTGTAATGTCCTCCATTGCTCCTACTCCACTTCCAATGCATACTCCCTATGTTACGTATGCGTCAGAGTCAGTCATCTATCCATCTATGAACATCACGAATGTTGGGCATACTTTACAGTCCTCTCTTGTAACGATTCATCGCTTGCCAGGTCTAGCTTTGAGTCTGTGAGTGCTTCCTCCGATGCTACAATGGCATACTTAATAAAGTCACTGCTACCTAATCTATACTGTTTGAATGATTGATATCGTCAGTCACCAAGCCAGTCGGTGTGCACTCATCAGTGACAATCATACTTGTGATGGTACCAGCCCATCATGGAATTGATGTTCATGCTCTGTACCGCGGGGCACACGACCTGCTACTTTGGAGGTGATGTCGTATCCTTCAAAGGTCAGCGATGACAATGACGAGCTATTAGACTCAACTATCTTTTGCCAGTTATGTTGCACGCCTCTTCCGAATGGCGTGATCAATCCCATGCCAGTGACTACTACCCTCTTCATCCTTACCCGCACTTGAGACTTAGAGACAGAGAAACAGATAGAGACTGAGAGAGAAGAAGTATATGTATGAATGTATATAAATGATGACTTGCTTTATTGATTGATTGGTTGATTGATCGAGTGAGCAAATGTAAAATGAAGGGCTTAGAAGGGGCAAGGCGAGGCTCACACCCCAAGGGGGCCACGCGATGATGATCTCAAACCAAACGAATGAATGATGAGGTCAGAATCAAGTCTAGTTAGTGGCAACCTTCTTCTCCTTGTATGTTCCACACAACTTGTCCAACCAGGTGAAGCGTGAGCCATAGTTGCAGGTGAACTCCTTGTGATGATAGTCATGGAAGATGACGCCACCATAGTATGGCAGCAAATTGAATGGGAACAACTCAATGTCGTAGCCAGAGTGAGTGAGGACGGCGTCAAGCTGGCGCAGGATGAACCACGAGTAGAAGGTAAGGTAGTGTGGACGGAGGATAAAGGCCGGTGCAAACGTGGCCATTCCAAGGAAGACTACCTCCACTGGATGTGCATAAGATGCCGTGAATCCAAATGGTGCGCTATAGTAGTGATGCTCCTTATGGATGTTCTTGTAGAACCATGGTGTATGGAAGAACCTGTGCATCCAATAATGGAAGAAGTCCTCGCCAACCAGGCATAGGAACAGGTCGAACAAGTATCTCCACCTATCATAGGTATGATTGAGTGAGTGAATGTGGCGCGAGGAAGGGACTGGACTTGATGCTTGGTATACATACATTGATGGAAGTGGAAGTGAATGGGACATTCCAAGTACTCTCGAGAAGGGGAATGATACAATACCGAGTGGAAGAATAATAAGAATGTAGTTGGTGATTAGGTTCTTGAGGCATCTACTAATATCATCGCTTGATGGGTATCTCTGTTTGATTGATTGATTGAATGAGTGAGTGAGTTGAACGAATGATTGAATGAATGATTGAATGAGCGACATTGAGGAACTTACCTTGGTTTGAATCTTACGAGATCGGAACCATTGATACTTGTCGCAGAGGTAGAAGAATGCTCCACCAAGTCCGTAGAGTACGGCCATGGATAGGTAGAATATGAGGAACAGGCCAAACTCGCCGTAGCTTTCAAGAATCCATAGCCATGCAGTCTCGATAAAGTTGGATGGCAAGGGATCAGTGCCACGAACACTGTAGTCCTGTGATGACTTGAACAGTTCGTATACTTGTTCTAGCTTAATCATCTTTGTTGTTATTTGTAGGTTGTTGGTATAGGTCGAGTATAGAGAGATGAACCTTTACAACAACGTTCGAGTCTTTGATGTCGAGTCTGAGGAAGCCTGTGTGTGTGTGTGTCTAAGTCTATCTTATGTGTTTGAGCTTTGGTCCTGACGATCACCAAACAACAGGGACTCGAGTGATTGTATTTATGTGTGTGTGTATGTGTTAGAGGGGTGATTGGTGTGTCATTATTGACAAAAGACGAATGATCTGAGTGTCCCACCCCTCTCACACACACTTCCCACTTTTGGATATTTGATTAATTTTATTTCTTTCTGTTTGTTATAAGATCTAACAACAAACATATACACAAAGACAATTTATTGCTGGCAATAGAACCTTTACAACAAAAACAAACATACAAATATACAAATATTCAAACAATCATTCAATCTTAACTAAACATACACATTCACACACACTCACACACACAATACTCTTAAGTAATTGGATGATTAGTCATCAATTCAATTCAATTCAATTCAAACACACACATACAAGATGTGTTTACCCAATCCTAGCCAATGAGCACGGGGGATCTGAAAGTGGGTGTAGTGGACTCATGTAAGGGTCGGCGTGTCCATTTCCCCAGCAGTGATCCTATTCCGGGGGTGTAGTAACAATTGTGTAACAAATATCCCCTTCCGCCCCCTCATCTGTTAAGTAACACTCTCCCCTCCTTCCTTCCTTCATTCATTCATTCATTCATTATAAACTTATGAATTCATTCAATCCAATCCAATCCATTCAATCCAATCCATTCTACTTCTATCAACTTATTTGTACTCAATCAATCAATCATACAATCAAATATTTATACTTATAACAATAACAAAGAATTGAATGGAGCCAAATAATAATAATTTAACAATACCTATATTGGACTTTAGAGAGTATTATAAACAAGAGACAAGACAGTGCTTCTTGGATAGATTACGTGAGGTCTTGATCAATGTTGGATTCTTCTATTTGGTTGGTCATGGTTGTTCACCCCAAATATGTGATGATGTAATTAATATTGCCCGCAAATTCTTTGACTTGCCGTCATCATCAAAGATGAGAATGCACATGGATAACAGTCGTCACTTTAGGGGATATGTTGGATTAGGTATGTATGACATCAATATATAATCAGTCAATCAATCAAACAATATATATTGACATATCAATATTCACTTAAAGGTGAGGAGATAACAAATTACAAGAAAGATAATAGAGAACAGATATACTTTAGTAGTGAACTGGAGGTTCCTAAAGACTATGTGCATGGTGAGTCTGAACCATTCCTTGGTATAATTGGTCCAAATCAATGGCCATTGGAATCAGAGGTACCTGGCTTCAAGGAGAAAGTATTGAGATACCAGAGTGAATGCAATCGTATATCCCAAGAGTTGATGAGTGCGATTGCCGGCAGCTTGGACCTCGATCCAGACTACTTCCGTTCTACATTTGAGCACAATCCATGCAAGGATATGGTGATGGCTAGATACCCAACTGTTACACATCACAACAATGAGTTTGGAGTTGGCCCTCACAAAGACTATGGATATCTTACATTGTTACTCCAGGACAATGTCGGTGGACTGCAGGTGCAGGCTCAAAATGGTGAATGGATCGATGCCACACCTATACCAGGTAGTTTTGTTATCAACATTGGACAGTCATTCGAGAGGATGACACAACAGGTGTATGTCGCCACCACTCACAGAGTGTTGAACAATACTTCTGGACGTGATAGGATATCAACACCATTCTTTTTGTGTCCTTCATTGATGTCCAAGATTGAAGTAATACCTCTATCAGATCAAATACTGTCACAACGTAGAAAGGTTGTTACTGATGTCAAGGATCATCAATTACTTCAACAATCAATGTATGGAATCAATCAGTACAATGGAATGAAGAGAAGTTTTGTAAAGACATGGGAGAAGTATTATAAAGAGTTGGAGGATAAGATGACTACAAGTGTCAATCCACAGGTGTAAATAAAATTGTTAATTAACGGTATTTTCAATTATTATTATTTGATCGTATCGTTCATCTAATCTTTTTGGTTTGAGGCCTAGAAGGACCTTGGTCCACCACCAAACTAATCCAAAAACTATATCATTAATTACCCCCACCCCATGAATTAGGTAAACAATTCGTATATCTAGGGAAAGTGTGTTCCTGTTCTATTTTAGTTTGTGGTTAAGTGGAACCACAAAATCATGTCTTAAATCTAGCCCTCTTTCGATTTAAGATTAAGTTTCGATATATTTCAACAAACAGATATTATCCAAATTAGTAAGGTTTATTGATTTATTCGGAAAAGTGTATCACTGTACGCTTGAAGTTACAAATAATAATACAAGGTTCCAGAACTACTAGAGACACTACATTCAGTTAACTACACTCTATCTCTCTCTCATTGTTACCAATGCCAAAAAGTATTTAAACTCATTTATTCATTCATTCGATCCAAGTCATTAATCAACATCTACAATTAATAATAATAATAATTAAAACATCATCAATAATTTTATTTATAACAATGTTTAGAATAATGACTACATTAATTTTGGTTACATTCTTGGTGTGTTCATGCTTTGCCGAGGAGTATTACCAGATTCGTTCGTCTCCAGGTGGTGGATACCAAGTCAACAAGTTAAACTCTGGTGATCCAAATGTCCAAGTGGACTTCCTCGACTTTGGCAACGACTACTTTGACGGTACCCAACTCTCCGACACCGAGACCATTGTCTACGGTACCCTCGATAGCAACCACTTCCAGATCACCGGAGTCCACCGCATGCTACCCATCGACCGACCATCTGACTACAACCGTGAGACCCATTACCTATTCTTTGAGGAGGATGAGGAAGAGTAAGTCGATCACACACTCAATCACACCCTCAATCATTCATATACTTACATTCAATCAATCAATGAATCCAGGGACTACTACTACACCAAGGTCAACATTGACAGCCCAGCAATCAAGGTTGGCAGGATGAACAATCACTTCCTCAACTATCCAATGATTGATAGGTCATGGTTGGATAACAAGCTGTACCAGACCAGCAAGCCATTCAAGGCCATCGCCCGTGCTGAGATCAGAGATGGCAGAGTCGAGGTCCGTGCAGTGTTTGTCAGCTTGATGGATCCAATCAGCAGCCCATGTGCACCGGTACACGATGAGTGTTATGATGGCCGTGTGATCACCTACTACAGAGACCATGAGCGTTGTGTGCACTTTGATCAATGTGTCTATCCTGCCGAGAGATGTTCCAATCGTGTTCCAAGATGTTACGATGGTTACAAGCTGGTCTCCATTCCATCAGGTCGTCGTGGATGTCCACGCTACATCTGTGATCCAGAGTTCTTGCCACAGACCATTTAAACATGTACCTTCATCAGTGTACATAAATAAATAATCCAATCCAATCCAATCCATTTCAATCAAATATACGTATTATTCATCATCATCAACATAAGTATTTGTGTAAGTTGTGTTTGTCGACCCATGATTGAAGGATGAGGACCACCTGTGGTCCACCACAAAGCATCATCTCATCATCAACATCGATGTAGGATTGAATAGAATTGAACGATGTGAGTTGATTGTGTGGCAATAATGATTGATCTTAGGGTTCTATTATATTATTTAAATGCGTTAGAATGGACCAAGTTGAATGAGTGTGTGTGTGTATGAGTCAGTTGAGATTGAGCTTGATCGGAATGAGTCGAATCTTGAAACCAAAATAAACTAGGTGAGTGTTGGTGGGGGTGGTCCGACTTTGGGCTTGTGTGTTGGTGAGTGTAGAGAGGCAGGTCCTTTTGCAATGACCCCACGACCTCTACTCACAGGGGTTAACTGAACCCATCATTAATCAGTTGTTCAGTAAGTCTATCTGTGTGTATCATACATACATATTTTACCAATACATACTCAATCATCAATCAATCAATCAATCAATCATATACCACTACACACACACACTCAACTCACATATACTACCTCTCTATCACTCTGATTGTTGGTGCTTGATTACCAAGGCCACTGACTTTACGTGTACTACTACATATTGACAGAGATCACATTACATCACAACTCACTCACTCAATCAATCAATCAATCAATCACACATCCACACAACTACCTTTATATCTATAAATCTCTACATTCATATATATATTGGATATATTGAAGTCAATCGATCAATCAATCAATCAATAATAGGATGACTGATATCACTACGATTGATAATATCATTGGTTTGATTCCAGATGTAATCAATGAGCAACAGCAACAACAAAAACATGAAGAGCCAGAGCCAGAGACAAAGTACCCCCCACGCGAACTATTGTTTGAGCACGACTCATCATTGATGGAGGACATTGACCTGTCCACAAGTTGTGGCAGTGACAAGAACAACATCAATAGCAGTTGCAGCAGTAGTAGCATAAACAATAGCATGGACAGTGTCAGGATTCGAGATGTGGACATACCCTCACTCACCATATCGACATCCTACGACGACATGTCCTCGCTCGAAGGATTGGGCAGCCACTCACGATCAGTGCCAAACCTCTCCATGCTGCTCAGCTCTCATCATCATCACGATCAAGATGACCACCATTCAATCTGCGACTCGATCACTCCCATTGCCAGTATGTCGGCGGCGCCCTCGCCCAGCCTCCAGTCAGTGGGCTCGTGCGACAGCTTCGAAGACAGAGTGCCAATCACATTGGGCAACATGAAGGACAATATGAAGGATATGAGCGAGCACACAGAGTTGTCTGGACCATTGGTCGCCGGCATCCGACCGACACGTGTCGGCAAGCTCTTTGACCACTTTATCGTGGTGGGTCTGCCACCAACCATGGACATCAAATGCACACAACACGATGAGCGTCAGCGCCACGCGCCTCAAATACTCTACAGCTATCCGCCAGAGACCACTCTGCCCAATGACATGATCGCACAGTTCTGTTTCCCCAGTGGAGTCGAGTCACGCTCATCCCAACGATCAGCCAGCTACTCATCACTCAATCAGATTGCCTTTTGCAATCTCGCCACACTGCTCAATCCCGATCACTCATTCGTCTTCCTCCTCAACACCTCTGACTCACTCTACTATGGTGTATGCATAGTCAAGGATGAAGAACTATGTGTAAGTGTCCACTCACTGGAATCATTCTATCACTCAATCACTAACTCTCTCGCGCCTCATAGTCCCTTCCATCGTTTGTACCAACATCTGATGCGCAATCACCATCGCAAGACACAACAACCAGTAGCAGTGACGGAGGTAGCAATGAAAGCTCACCATCGATCAGGAATAGAGATCAATTCGACGTATGTATCAAGTTCAGCCCAACCAAGCTCAGCCCAGCCCAGGCCCCAAGCATAGCCTAACCCATCATCCACTCCCCCTCACATAGTTCATTGCACCAAGGGTATACTGCCTGCTCACTAGATTCCCCTTCTTCCAACTGCACTTCCAAATACTACACTCGATGCTTGAACGCGAGAGAATGTTGATGTTGTTCTCACTCACAGAGTCGTCTGATCCAAACTCTGACGTACGCACAATGGACATTCTCAACATGTATTATGGCATCAACATGGAGACTGTTCGCGAGAAGATTCAATTCAAGATACCTGGACAGGACTACAAGACCGACTTCCACTGTCCACTGGGCGGTGAAGATCGTTTGATTGCAGACTGGTCACTCTTTACAATGTTTGAGTCGATGAACATGGAAGACATTGTTACAATGTTTGCCTGGGCACTAATGGAACGCTCCATATTGGTTGTTTCCAAGGACCTTGGCAACGTATCATCCTTGATGTAAGTTCATTCGTTGAATGAGCCAGTGAGTGAGAGAGTGAGGGACACTCAACTAACACACATCCATCCACCTCCCTGGCACACAGCTTCTCATTCATTCCCTTGCTTCGACCATTCGTCTGGCAATGCTGTTTCATACCCATCCTACCAGAGGCATTGATAGAGTCATTGGAAGCACCATGTATGGCCAACTCGATTGATTGATAGATTTATGATGATTGTCTAACACTCACACTATCCATCACACACTCCAGTCCCATTCATCATTGGTATTAATGAGCTTCCAAAAGAAGTATTGGCCTCAAAGAAGGACTACTTGATCGTTGATGTGGACAACAAGAAGATCATCTATCCATCAAACTCATCACAAGTACCCACATTACCAGGTTCAAAGAAATTGTAAGAATCATTGATTGAGTGTGATTGGAATGGTTCCAAGCGACTGACACGACACTACAATACATATTAGGTTGGAGACATTGTTGATGCAAAAGAAGGAGACATTCAAACTCCAGAACATTATACCTCTGGATCATTTGAAGAGCAAGTACACAGAGAATATCATCACTACATTCAAAGAGTATCATAGTTGGATTGTGGACCAGATCAGTAGTGGAGTGATCACTTGTATCAACAACTCGGCAAACACTACCACCATCGACGCACCATCGTCCATCGAACTGCTCAACAAGCAGAGTATACACTTCCTGGAGGACCACCATAAGCAGGTTCTGCACTGTCTGCCCGACGACTTTAAACGCTTCTTTGATCAGTTCTTCCACTCACAGATGTTTGCCTCCAATGCCGTCCGGCTGATGCTGGCCGTGCAGGAGCAGCACAAGAACAACATCAGCGAGATTGAGAAGTTGGACGCCAAGATTCAGCTCGAGGAGAAGTCGCGCGAGATACTGCTGGAGCAACACAAGATCGCCATCAAGGGTGAGAACAACCGAGCAGACATCAACACGATCAAACAACTGTTGCGCGAGTCTGAGGACTTGATCAGCGAGCTGAAGGAAGGAAAGAGGAAGCTGGAGATGGAGGCGTTGGCCATCAGTCCAAACAAGAACAACAACTCGCTGACTGCCCTGTTGGGTCTGTCTGAGATCAGGAAGAAGAAGCTAGAGTTTGGCCACAGAAGGAGTAGATCCACCTGTGACCAGGTCGAGAAGAACATCCTGAACAAGCGAGCGAACAAGCCAGCCAGCGTCTTCCCCTTCTTTGACCTTGGTCGATCGAGCCTTTCAAGGTCTCAGTCGCCAAGGTCTCATTCGCCCAATGTCACTGGCGAGAAGGATGACACCACCACTACATCTGGCGAGCATAACAACAACAACAATGAGTGTGGAGACAAGTCACCATCACTTCTATCAACATCCATCGACTTTTCAGAGAAGTGGCGTCAGTTTGACTTCCTTCCAGACATCTTCAAGTCTGCCAGTAGCAAGGCAGCCGCTGCGGCCAAGTCACCAAGTTGATCAAATCAAACAAACATCCATAAAGGTGTGGAACCATTGTGTGTATATAGTAGTCTTTCAAAGATTGGTTGTTTGATCGATTGATCATTCATGAGTCTCTAAATATTATTATTATTATTACATCCATCTATACAATCCTATTATCTTGAGTTCCTTGGCATTGACAACTTCTCGATCTCATCAACAGTTGTGCTCCTGCCTCTTTCATTTCCTGAGAAGACGAATTCACTTCTTCCTTTTCTCTCTTTGTATAATTGATTGATTGATTGATTGGTGATAATGATTTTAGTGAGTGGGATAGTTCCAATCATTATATTATTATTATTATGTACATACTTATAAACATCCTATAACATTCAGACTTGGAGAATAAAGGGATGGTATCCAATTCCAGAATCTTTCGAATTGAACCTTGGATGGGCAGGAATAGGTCGCTGGTGGGTGTGCATATACGATCCTGTAGATAGGCTCGTTGAATATGATCGATGTTCAACTCGTATCGACTTGAGGAGTTGAAGTACTTGTCATAGATCTCTTTGGATCTCTTCATTCTCAACTCCTCCGAGTCGATCAATCTATAATTCTCGGCCTCCAACCAGAATGACAAGTTCTCATTGCTGAACCTATCATACAGGAACTTGCGATAATACAATGCCAAGTTCCTATCCTTTATAATCTGTTCCAGACCCTGTAGTGTTCTGGCTTGTTGTTCAACCTTGCTGGGAGATGATCCCATTTATCCAATCTAATCTCTTAGTTAACTATTTAATTATTATTATAAATTAATATATTGTGTTTGATTGATTGATTGTTGCGGTGTGGAGGATGGAGGGAAAGACTTGGATACGAGTAAGTTTGATTGAATGATTGATTGATTTGATTGGTGGATTCAAATAAATATATATAATAGATATATATGTGTGATTGTGATTGATGTGGAATGTTTAGTGGGAAAAGAAAGATAGAGTGTAAAGAAGGAAGAAGAGGCAAGTATTGACTTTCAAAGGATGTCTTGGGACAACCCTGTACATTTCAAAGAGTCAAGCCCAATAGCCACCTCACTAACTAACTCAACAACAACAATCACACACACACAACACATTGAACTGGACGAAATCTCATGTGATAGATGCCTAGGCTCAAATACAAGTGATACAACCTACTTTGATTGATTGCACAAGCCGGGACAGATGATTGGGCCTTGCCCTATCTTGGGTTACCTTAGGCAGGATGACGTCTCTCTATTATTAGTGTGAAAAGGCCCATTCATTAAGAGTTGTTGTCTATCAGATTGAAAAACATTCACACTCATAGATCATCTCGATAAAAATAGGATTGATGGTTCATGGTAGACTCGCCACCCGACTGCTGCAGTTTCGTTTTGTTTGTGTGTGTGAACGTGTTGAATGAAGTAATCTGGGACGAGATTCAGGGGATTGAGAACAAACTCTCAAACAGCCAATGAAAACGCGACAAGGTTCGCGATCAGATTGTACTTGACTTGGGAGGTTTGGACTGTAATGCCACGTTGGGTAAAAAGACACAATCTGTAAAGTTGAGAGATTACATTACCTAACGGCGTGTTTTGTAACATTATCAATCGGTATCTCTGAAACAATCCTTTTGTGCCATTTCACTTGGACGATGCGCATCGTCCGATGGATGGACGGGTGGATGGACTTTGATGGATGGACTATTGATGGCTCCGAAAATATAAATATATCTTTGAATTATATTTCACGATGTTGTTGTTGTTGGAGATGGATAGATAGAGAAGGAAGGGCGTTGGTCATAGGAGTGTTGACCTTACATTGATATGTTTACAGATGTCTTTGAAGCACACCCGCTAAGTGCGCGCCAACGACGGTTTACTACTACTTTTTATCATGACTGCTACGACCTTTGGTTACATGCTATCATAACTCTTGTTTGTTGCCTCAAAATCAACTCTTTCGACACATGTCTCGTTGATTGAGTGAGTGAGCGAGTGGATGTGGACTTGGACTTGGTTGGACTTGGCCTTTGAAGGTATGAAGGTCACTCACTACCAATGGAACAGATGCGCGGGCATCCATTCTGGTAACCACCATCCATCCATACGTCCGTCCATCCACCATGTCCATCAATCTCCCTCTATCTATCTAAATATATAAATATATTGTTGTTTACATCATTACAACATCTGGTACGGGATACTGTTTCGACTTTTCCTCTCTTATCTCCTCCAAACGTTGTTGCAGTGTTACCTGCTTCAATGGTGTTGCATCATTGTAATACTTGTTGATGTTGTTCTCTTCGTCGTCCAACTTGCGCTGTATATATGTTGTTTAGTATCGTATTCATTGACTCCTGCTTCACCTAACATAACCTCAACCTTACCTTTATAGATTTACACTTTGCCACAGCCTCGTAGAATGGTTTGCAGACACTCTTGTGATGCTTCTCTTGACAGCGCAGTGATGCTACACAGACACTCTCGCACATTGATACGGGAGGAGTGTTTCTTTTAATCTTGCTTTGTTCCTCCTTTGATACCCATTTGTGTTGAACAACATTGCTGCTGTTATTGTTGTTGTCGTTACTCTTTGATTCCATATTATCTGTTCAACTGTCACTGTTGATTGGTTGTTTGATTTTACTTTAAGTTGTGAAGTGCAAGTCCCAGGACCTCAAACATGTTTTGCGCATTGTTGTTGTCCAATTATGTAAGTCCTTATTATTACAATGAAGAAGATATTTCCGAAGTTCTAAAGTCAATGGTAACTTGTTGACCATAGTCTATCAACCAATCTGACTTGGTTGACACTTATTGCCGCTCAAATAATCATACACCCCTTAACATGTTGTGATCAATGAATGTTATATAAATGTAGGTTGGGTCAACTTGGATAGATAGTGAATTCAAAGTTCTATTTATATTATATCAACAACAACAACTGCAGTGTATGAATCATATTTATATGTACAATATATATACTTAATGATGAGTGATCAGCTGACTCGCTCATGACCTCCCCTCAGTCGAACTAACCACACATAGATAATGATGATTGATCAACACACACTCACACCTACACACTCGAAATGGTAAGATTGTAAAGTGATGGTCCGATCACAGTTCCATCACACAACATGTGGTAGATAGATTTACTACAAAGTTGATGTGTGCAATTACGAATCCTGTTAACTTAATATCAATCACCATCCATTATCCATGTCAATCAATCAACCACATTATGGGCACATGATCAACCAATCACATTGGATCACTATTAAATTAATATTATTATTATTAATATTGAATCATGACATTGTGTCAATCAATCCATCAATCAATAATACAATCACTCACTCATAATTGTTATTATTATTATTTATCAATCATTCATTCATAATCACATAAATAATTTAAGAATGAAATTAATATTAATTACAATAATAATAGTATTATTTAATTATTTGGCAGTGTCCAATGCTGGAATAGCACCAGTGATCACCAAGGTGACAACAAAGCCATATAGTGGATGGGTATGGAGCGAGTTTAATCATTTCGATATCGAAGGTACATTCAACATGACCGGCAACTACAAAGCACAAGTCAATGAGAACACCTGTATCCTAGCCTGGACGGACGTCGACAAAATGATCTGTTACACACCCGCTGGCTTTGCCAACAACTCCCTCATCACCCTCTACCTCGAGGATGACATTACTCAAGTGACCTTCAACTTTACCTACGTCCAATGTATGTCCATTCAATCATTCAATCAATTAATTAATCCAAAATTACTAATACTTATAATATAATAATGATCAATCAGACTACGAGGATGATGAGAAGATTGAGAGTCTAATGATTGATGATCCCTCAAGACATCAGTTAACAATTTATGGATCGTATAATAATAGGAGTTATACTGTTATGATTGATGGTGCTGTTACCGAGACAATAATGATGACCCCTTCCGCTATTGTGGTTAACCTTACTTCTGAGGTCAGCGTCGGTCCACATCTTGTCACTCTAAAGATTCAAAACAGGACCCTAATCCAAGAGAATATGCTCATCACCAGAAGTATGTTTAATCAAATTAATTGCCATATTCAAATATATACTTACAATCAATCAATTAATCAATCAAATACTTATAGGCTCACCATATATTACAAAGGTATGGGATGATGAGAATGGATACATGGCAACTTATATTGAGGGCAAGTTCTCGGTGGAGTACCCAATGGACCCTGTTAGAGTGATTGCCTGTGGCCATTCATACTTTGTATTGCCACTCAATGAGAGTATGATCCAATTGACTTTGATCACATCGACGGAGGTAGCTCCAACAAAGTGTGCCGTCAGTGTAGACTCGTCCAACATCTACTACTACAACCATACCTACTCATACGTATGGGCCAGTCAACCGTATGACAATGATTCGATGGCTGACGACGAGGATGGAGACCACCTGCTCCCAGTGCTGCCTTGGTACATCTACTTTGCCATCGTACTCGTGGCCCTGTTTGTGATGGTCGCCATCACCATTGGAATATGTCTGCTCTGCAAGAGATCGCTCAAGAAAAAGCAACAAGACAGCCATGAGTTCAAGCAATGGAAGTAAACCAAAGGCTGGCGGTAGCCTGTCTATCTTGTATTTGTTAACACAACATTTGATTGATTTGGTTGATTGGATTGGAGGGAGGGAGGGGTGGGGATGGGGAGGGGCGCGTACTGACTGCATTGATCATCGTAGCTTGAATGGTGGAGTCGGTGTCTTGGGATAGGTAGGCTGTCCACGTAGAGTATTGTATATTACAGAGATGTCAGGCATCTTTGAGATGACATCGTTCAGTTGATTGGCAAGTAGTGTGCCTCGTTGATTATCAACGCCAAGCAGCAACTTGATATCGATATTGTCGCCAATGTGCATTAATATTCTTTGTGGCGCCGCGTTGCTGTCCAGGCAATCGGACAGATCGGTGAATGATGATGTTGTTGATGATGTTGAGGATGAAGATGAAGGTGATGGTGGTGGTGCCAAATCTATTCCATTTAGCAATGTCGATGTTGTTGTTGATACATGGCTTTGTTTACTCTTTTGAAGAAGTGATTCGCTGAAACATCCATGGATCACTGAAGCTTTCAGTTTGAATGGTGTGGATACATCAGCTGGATCATGTCCAGCAAGTGATCTACATGTGAGTGAACGAGTAAGTGTTAGGTTATGGTCCTGCCTTTGACCCATGAGTCCAATCAATGATGATGATCATACCTGTCGCAATATGTTGATAGACTTGGAATATGCCCGCTTGTTGAGCTCGATGTAAACTTGGTAAAGCATTGATGTTGATTGAGCATCTCTTTCGCATTGAGGTGAGCATCTTCCAATGTAGTGATAGTAGTATTGTTGATGATAGTCGTTGGTTGATRGGCAATGGTTGTAGTTGTTGTTGAAGTTGCTATGGGTGATGCTGAAGTACCAAAGTCGCCAAAGCCATCTTCGTCATCATCTTCACCATTGTTGTTGTCACCAAAGTCGCCAAAGTCATCGTCTACATCATCGTCCTTAACAACATCTTTGATTTGATCTGATCCTTCATCAACAACATTTGTCACAGTATCAACTGTAACATCGCGACCGTTTGTTTGATGATCTTCAACAATATGTTCTTGTTCTTTTTCTTGTTCTTGGACATGATCAACTATATCAACATCGACAAAGTCATTGTCATCGATCGCTTGTTCAAGTGTTGTTGAGGCATCAGTCACATCCTCATCCGTTGGTATAGTAGTTGTCTTTTCTTCTACAATATCTGTTGGTGTGTCTGTATCTTTATCATTGTTGTTTGTTGTTGCATTTGATGACGATGATATTGATGTTGTTGATTGTGATGCCGATGTATGATCATTATTATTATCGTCTATGTTATTATTATCGCTAGTCATTGTATATATTAATAAGTATATAAATAACCATAATGAATAATTGAAGGACACAACACAAGCCGATGTCGTTTCATCATTCATTCGGATCAACACCCGAGTCATAGAATGTTTGTGTTTATGGGATTCACTCAACCAGTGAGTGATCCTTAGAACTGATACAGCTGAAGCAAGCGATCACAGTGTTTATTCGGATGATCACAGATGTTGGATTGAAAGATTGAAGGTTGAAAGTGCGTGTATATTACAAGGCGAGTAGGCCGATGTGTCACTAAGGTTGGTTATGTTGCCATTGCCACTGCACTGACAATGATCAGAGCAATGATTAGGAAGCATATAGTGGCCCATAGACCTGTAGTCTTTGCGTCTTGAGTCAATCGAACAACGCTTTTGGTTGCATTCCTTAGTCGTGCAGATGTTGAGTCGACATGATCATTGATATCGTCCAGCAGTACACCCTGTGACTCTGCTTCATTACCAATTGCAATTGCCAACTCCTTCTGTCTTGTTATACTATATGATAGAGTGTCCAGTATCTTGTCTTGTTCTAAGTATCATCATTCATTCATTCATCGGATCACATGAACATTAAAGTAAGTATATGTTATGTCCGACTGTCTGTCTTTGATTGATTGATTGATCGATCGTCAATACCAACCTTGCATAACATCATTCTGTTTATCCATCAGTTGTTGATTGTTCAATTGACTTGTGTACTCTGATTCCTTTGCTCCTCCCCATCTTCTTGCACCACCTGCTCTCTCTCCATTGTCATCACCAAACAACAGCTTCTTCCTATTATAGTTTGTTTGATACACAAGATGATTAGTACTTGTACTACATTCATTCATTCGCTTATTCATTCATTCATTCATTCAGTCAACAACATACTTTGCATCTTCTGAGAGGTAAGGTGTATTTATACTTGGTTTGGTGCTTGCACCGCTGTATCCACCTCCGTATCCACCACCATTGCCTCCACCTCCATTGTTATATGAGTTCATTGTTATAGTATTTGTACTGTTATATATATATATATATTGTTATAGTTATACAAAGATATTTGAAACAAAGTAAAGTGTTTGAATTCGTTGACGAAGAATGTGTTGTGCCCTCAACAACACCACCCCACTTCAACAAACTTGTTCCTTTGTCTTCAAGACAAACACAAACACTCACACTACTTAGAGATAGAGATATAGTTACAGATACAGATACAAAATAACAATGATGACATGATGATTTATTGATTCAACAATATACACCAGTCAAGTTGTGGTACAAGAGTGTTCTTGTTGACAATCTTGGAGATGATGTGACCGGCATAAATATCGGTCAAGTATTCAGTACCATTGTCATTGATTTGTAATGGACAGAAGATGTGGCCACGTGGGATATCGTTGAGGTCCAGACTCAACCAAGATGTATAGACCATGTTGATTAAGGAGTTGTGCTCACGTTGGTCACCTCTCCACTCACCCTTCTCGGTGAATGGCATAAACACTGTGATCCATCCGGTGATCTTCCTGGCGCCAGATCCACGTGTACTATGCGCGATCCTGCTCCACCAATCTGTGTTTGGCTTCTGTTCGGCCGCCATCACAAACTGGTCGAGGACGGGCAGCAGCAGCTGACACCACTGATGCATCAACTTGGCGGGCACGTCAAACTCGACCAGTCGCTCGGCTTTCTGGCGCAACATTCTCCAGTCCTCTGGCGAGCCCATGATCGTGACCTTGGGCAGGCCACAAAGGAAGTTTATGCGATAGTCAAAGTAGTTCTTCATCGCTGCCATCAGGACAAAGGCACCAACAACTCGGTCCGAGTTGGTGGTCGCCGTGAAGCCTGGCAAGACCCATTCGCGCACCGACGGGTCTTTGATGTTGTTAGCGATTTGATCGGTCATTGCCCCAGCGATCTGATCGTAGTGAGCATTCGACATTGAGCCTTGCCACTTGAGTTCCAATGTCTTCTTGCCATCGAATGACACAAACTTTGATCTCAATGTCTCTGAGTTGGCATTGAGGTAGAATGAGAACTGATTCATCAGTGCAAGCCAGACATCATCCGGTCGGATTACCAAGTGCATGTGTTCATTGTAGGCATCGATGGCAGAGCATATGAATGAGTTGACTGCAGGTCTAATAGTGGATGAAGTTGTATCGATTGATGAACTGATCACTCTTGGTTCCACCTTTTGACCTTGGTCCTGTGGATTAAAGGTGTCCGAAGTATTACCAATCAATGATGAGTATAAGAATGGCCTCTGTACATTTGGATCTGATGTTTCCTTAACATTGGAATCAACAACAAATGTATAAGACATTGGATTCAATGAAGTTATTGACATTAAAATGTATTATCTGTAGGTTTATAAGTGTACTATATTTGTTTGATTTATTAATTTATTGATTGATACATTAACCAGGAATATATATATATTAGATTAGGTCGTTAAAGATATTTATAATTAAGACCATCTTTAGATCACGTTCCATTACTGATGGAGCAAGTCGAATTCAAAATTTATTTTGAAATTCCAAGTTGGATATACCCTGGTCTCACACTCTTTCAAGCGATCATTGGAACTCTATCACTCCAACACATCAATTTAATCAATCATTCAAGCATAAAGATAATAATAGATGAACATCAATGTATTGGTAATCAAAACTCTATTTGATGGACTATCAAATGGGAAGATGCTGGGTGAACAGTGCAGATTGTCATTGGTCAGCTGGTCATTCCACTCGATCGTCACTAGATATATCATTTCTCATGGTCTATGTATATCAGAGGAGGAGTTGATAATGATGACAGAGAAGCTCGTAAACAGTGGACTTGAATGGGGGTCCAAGTACTCCATCATCCCGACACAGGGCATACTCACCCGCTTGCACTTCATTGATAGAGGCCATTACTTTGACTCGTATATGGTCGAGAAGGATTCCCCTAGTCGCAAGGTCATCTCGTTGCTATCTCCTCTGGTGTCCAACGTCCAGACACTTTGGTGCACAACCATCGAGATGGCCGATGTCCTCATTCGGCGTGCTAACGCATCGCCCTCCCACCTCACCCTATTAGAAGAAGGCGCCATCACTCTAGACTTGGGACACTATGACCAAGAGAGCTGGAGGGCGTATGAGACGGGAGGTGAGGCGTTGGCTCACTTTAAGGAGACGCACGGCATTTACGATGATGATGAAGATGAACCATCTCTTCTAGCCGACTTCATCATGGAGAAAGAGGACAACGACGAACTTGATGAACTGCTGATGTACCATCTTTCAAAGAAGCGATGTCTGCGGCACCTCTCAATCATCTCAATCGATGTCAGCCGCCACTATCACGACGATGGCCGCAAGCCTAACGGTCATGGCTTGTTCACATGTTTGTTCACGCCTGCTTTCGACACGATCACATCGCTTCACCTGGTTGGTCGTAGCTCAAACAATGTCACACCTCATATCTCAAACTATTTTGAAAAGCATAACCAGCAGTTCTTTGTTGGTCTCGCTGCCCTGACCAACCTAACCAAGTTGTATCTCAACCTTGCGCTTTCAGAACCAATTCCCCAGTTTGAAGTCCATCTCGCCAACTACTTGAGGACCAATCGGCGTTTGGAACTCTTTGCGCTGGCAGGCTCGGCAACTCTTGGCAGGACACCCGAGGCACTAATGTACTTGTTTCAGGACGCTTCATCGTCAGTCAAACATGTGTCAATAGGATATTGGCTGGCACTCGGCTCAACATTGGTTCCACTAACCAACAAGCTTATGACGCTTGACGTAGCCTTTGATTTTTATAATTACTACAACCATTCCTTCCAATCTTGGATAGAAGTCCTGGAAGAATCGTTCAAGGCCAATGCATTGTCATACAACCAAGACAATGATACCCACATTTGGGATGTGTCCAGATGGTAAGTGATAGGAATAGTTCCAATCAATCGAATAAAAATAATAATACAATTCTATTTATTGGTACAAATTTATAATTGTAGCGAAACTCTGCTTTGAGTTAAACAAATATGTGTTGGTAGTTGACTACGTAGTATGGATACATGGCATGAATGGCATCTTATAATATGTTTTGGACATTGTATAATATGTTGTGCTTCACTTGACATATTGATTGATGGTTTGGCGATGTGAAGTATTGTGTCTTTGTACGTTTGACGGAATCCAGGGAGCATTTGATTGCAATTTGAGCACATATCATAGGTCTCGGCATCATGTGATAATAGATGATCCATGTATGTACGTTGTGTCAATGATTTGTGACATAGCCAACATACTAGATAATGGCACTCACTCTCCATGTGATGTAGTAATCGATCACGTTTGATCGGTCCTCTCTGACATCCATACTGTGCATTGGGGCATGTACATTCTCGTTCAAGACACACCACAGCATGGTCATCCAAGTCAACGACATCCTTGTGGCAGTCAGGACATTGTCCACCATTGTTGTTGTTGGGGCCAAGGTCCTCACCCAATGATCGATCTTCAACGTTGTCCTTTGTATTGTTTTGGATACCCTCATCATAGAATGCAATGTAGGTAAAATGTGATGTGTTGCTGGCTGTGCGAGTCATCTCCTCAATGAATAGTGAGGGGATCAAATACTTGGCGGCCAACTGAATGAACTGATCTCTGTTCCTGAATGCCACCTTGCGCATATGTGTCTGTTGTTGATCGATTGTTTCCTTTGATAACTGATTAACATGATCATGTTCTAGATCATCATGGAATCGTTCCAACAGCATAGTTGCACACTTGTATGCACCTGATTGAATGGCCAAATTGAAGCATCTTGCAGGTTGCACTCCAACCAATGGTTGTGTTGAGTGGTCGATATAGTGACCAAGTAATATATCTCTGTCATAGTTGATGATGTGATCTAGATATCTTGTGCCATCTGGTGACAGTGATTGAGAGAATCGTTGCAAGAACTGTCCATTCCTCTCCAACGTCAACTGACTCTCACAAGTAACAAGCCACACTCCAATCACCATGAGTACCTTTGTTCCAAAGATCGTGAACATCGCCATATTCTCCATGATTGCCATCAACACATCATATCGTCCAAATGACAAATGCATATTGATTATCTAAAGATTAGATTGAACGATTGATTAGCAAGAGGAATGGTTCCAGCCAAACCCTCTCACACTTACTTGTTCGACATCAGAGATGTTTGAGAATGTGATGTTGTTCACATGCATCTCGTTGAAGATGGCAATGGCTTGGTCCACTTGGATGTGTTGTGAGAGCAACATGTTGAAGTACTCCTCGAGCTTGGTGTACTTGAGGTAGCGCATGAAGTTCTTAAAGATGTAGCTTCCCTCCTCTGTACCCAAGAACTTGTTGGCCTTGACGCCCATCTTCATGATCAATGATCTACATTCATATCCACTGCGCTCCACCCTGTCCAGTGACAGACTGTTCACTGATGATGTCTGATCACTCTTCTGTCCATCACAATCATCACCATGCTGTTCAATCAAATTGATTGACACCTCATTGCCATGTATGATGGCCATTTGTCGAGGAGTTGTACGTGTGACATTGGCCATGTGTATGTTGGCGCCATTGCCTAGTAGGTATGCCAGTACTTCAATGTTGTCACTCTTGATTGCCAGGTGACATGGTGTGTTGCCATCCAAGTCTCGGGCATTGACACACTCTCTCCAACTGTCACTGAACGACTCGATCAGAGGAAGTAGCAGGTCCATACCACCATACAGAGCAACGAGATGAAGCAAAGTCCTTCGATGTGGATCAACTGTGTGTAGCAATGATGGTAGATCATCCAACATCAAAAGATATACCTGTTGCTGCTTGGAGTCCAGTACATTCTTCAAGAGATAGGTGTTCCTGCTGTTGAACCATAGGTGATGCTCAACTTGTGCACCCGATTGAACGAGTGTTTGAACGACTAGGCCACTGTGACCATTGATGATCGCCACCATCAATGGTGTCTCATGTGCATTATTGAATGCACACACGTTGGAGTATTGGGCGGTGATTGTCAGGCACTCAACAAGGCCAAGCGAGGCGGCAATGTGTACAGGTGTGTTGCCATCATTGTCAGTCCAATCTGATGTGAGCGCACTGCTAGTGTACAAGTGTTGGAGTACATTTGGATGATTGGACCTGATCGCCACTCGTACAAGCTCGATCACATCAATCTTGTTGAGTTGAGATGTGCCAAGCTGGTACTGTTGTCCCTGGAGTGCGCTTGGATCATCATTACTCTGTTGAATCATTTGTTTGAGTTGATCAAGGTGTTTGGGTGACTGTGACGACTCCATGCGCTGTTGGAGATACCCAACGCAGTCTGTGTGATTGTTGACCTGAGCGATATCCATAGCCGATCGGTTGTGAATGGTCTTGGTGTCGATGGCCGCACCATGATCCAGGAGCAACTTAATTGCTCCCAAATGTCCACCCTTGGCCGCCCAATGTAACAGTGTGAATGAGCTCCATTCCGGTTGCCAATGCTCGCGCATGTCCATCAATGTCTTCTCGATCATCTTGTATTCCGAGTGTCTGAGCTTGACCTTGTCCAGGTTCTGATTCTGCAGATCCCTCTCATGTTGAGCACGTTCCTTCATCTGTTGTTGTTCGCGCTCCGATAGATACTTGTTGGGGAACTGGTATCTGTGGTACTCCCTATGAATGTACTTGCATGTACTGGCCAACTGCATCACCTCCTTGCCATTATCCCAGTTGCCCGTTCTCCTATTAATCAATGAGTGGCCTCTCTTTGACTCCAAAAGTGATGTCAAAGCTTCTTCGTTGCCATCCATTGCTGCCAAGAATAGAGCTAGTTGTTGGCACTGTTGTGAGTTAGGGCGAGGGTTAGGGCGAGGGCAAGGGTCGAGGGCAAGGGTTGAGGAGGCAACATACCATGGCATCGAGGAAGAGGTAGGATGACTTTAGGTTCGTGTCATCGATCAGACGACAGAGTAGGATGGTGTTCTGTTCAAAGAGGGTCAGACGCATGGTGAGTGTACTCATAAGTAGTACACCATGTGTGTTTGAACTGTTGGTGATATCAGCACCATTGTCCAACAACTCCTTAAAGCATCCAATACTATCCTCTGTAATACAAGACATTATCAATCTCCTATTATTCCTCCTTAGACTATACTGTAGCATTGTATTGCTCTTACAGAATTGTAATAGTTGGGAGAATGGTTCTTGGGACATCTAATGATCGTACGAGTGAGTGAGATGTATGAATGAGTGATGGGTGGATTGATGTCGTCAATCAGTCGGTGATCACTTACCATTCTGATTGCCATTTGAGCAGCATCATCAAGATAGTGGCGACTGTACATTGATGCACTTGATGACATGTCCAAGATTGGTTTGATATTCTTGCCCTGTTCAATCATACTATGTAAACCTTTGTACTCATGTTAACAATCGATTGAATGATTGAATGATTGAATGAATGATTGAATGACATACTCTTGGCGTACTTTAGTATAATCCTCCTCTTATATTCATACTTCCAACCAAGTATTGTACCATTTGTTGTAGTTGATGATGATGATGATGGTGCACCAGACTTTAGAAGAAATGAGTTGTTGTACAAGTGCTTCCAAAGACTTTGATCACATGATACTTGTGAGTAGTACTTGTTCGTCCTAGAGAAAGAGAGTAGATCACCAAGTCCAAGATCCGACAATATATACAATAATGTCTCTGTCGGTAAGTTATCCATTTATCATTATAATATAATAATATATATCTGTTATTACTAGTTAAACAACTAGGTGTAGATTGATTGATTGATTCATTGATCACCCAAGTTGAATTGTTATCACTTCACCAAACAGTAATAAACTATTGTTTTCAATCAAAGAGTGCTCATTCTTTGAATTGATTTGGAATTCATAGTTTGATTTAAAGAGTGGGATTATTCCACCCGGAGCTTAATTTAACTCAAATCGATCCCATAAGTATAAGTCTATACTCATAGAATCAGATCACTCTCTACCTGACTGACTTGTCCACCAATTTAGTCAAGAATTGGAACCTGGTTCTACATTCCATTCCACTTTTCCAAGCCTTAATCATTATGATCATTCAAAATTTTTTTTTCCAAACAAAGAAAAAGAGATAGAGATAATGGAGTCGTTGCCATCGACTGTACTCCAAATTATACTTCAACATCTATTGTATGATGAACATACAGCTTGCCCAACAAATAGGTTGGACTTTTGGTGTCTGGCGCTGACTTGCAAGTCTTTGCTGAACTTGGCCAGCAAAAAGTTTGGTGCTCATCATCATGATCGTGATAACTCTCTTGCACCATGTATACTATGGGGCGCAGACAAGGCATTCAAACATCAAGATGGTGGTCTACCACACAGCATCACTCATCTGGTCTTGGGCGACAAGTACAATCAACCAATAATCAAGGGAGCATTGCCGCAATCACTTTTGATTCTTACCTTTGGCAACGAGTTCAATCAAATGATTGCTCCAGACACACTGCCAGACTCAATCACTAGACTCACCTTTGGCGTGCAACCGAGCACACCTCCCAACCTTCAGATCTTGATCTACGGCATCAATGGCTCGTTGTTTAATCAACCTCTTCAGAGCGGCTCGCTGCCCAGGTCTCTGCGCGACCTGAGTCTTGGTGATATGTACAGCCATGCCATCTCGCCCGGTCTGCTACCCAACTCAATGACACGTTTGGCGCTAGGTCGTCACTTTGATCGCAAGCTTGATGATCGCGCACTCCCTCACTCTCTCATATCACTGGAGCTTGGACAGAATTACCACCACGCCGCGTCACTGCCCAGCACCATCCCAGCACTCGAGTCACTCGTACTTTATGAATGCAATGCTTCCAACATCCAGAAGCTACCGCCCGTCACCTCACTCAAGATATGGCATGACCTCAGCTCGGCCATCACACTGCCCGACACGCTCACCTGGCTAACACTGCCGCACATGTACAACAACCCCAACTTTAGCACGCAACTGGCACACATACGATCACTCGCCGTGTTGGAGTTTGGCAACTCCTTCGACCAGCCAATCAACCCGGGCAGCCTCCCCTCGTCTCTCACCTCCATCCATCTCGGCTATCAATTCAATCATATGATCATTCACGGCACACTCCCCTCATCGCTCAAGTCGCTCGAGTTTAGCGACCGATTCAATCAATGTATCGCGCCCGGTGTGTTGCCCATGTCACTCACCAAGTTGACGATGGGCTTCCTGTTTGAGCAGACTTTGGAGCCAGGCGCATTGCCCTCGTCCTTGCTGGAGCTAAGGTTCGGCACGTACTCAAAGTATCGCCAACCATTCGTCGCTGGCACCCTTCCGCCATCGCTCAAACATCTGTCGCTGGGCTCCAACTACAGCGAACCAATAGTCAGTGGTGCGCTACCAGACAGCCTTACATATCTAAAGCTGAGCTGGCAACGCACATTCCTTGTGTGTCTGCCTGCGAGCATCAGGAACTTAGTATGTTCGCCATATCAAATGAATGGCGTGGAGCAACTCCCAATGGACACCAAACGTGCACTATGCCTACATGTATCGTCTCAGTTGGCAGACTCACCCGAACCTGTTGTGATCAGTGAGATGGCCATTGCACAATCACACATACAATGGATGCTCTCTCATGTGCCCTCAGTCATCACATTCCAGGTCAACATACAACTAGGACTCTTTGGCAACATGTCCTTCCAATATCTCCTTCGACGAATCGATCAATCACATGCACTATGGATATCAAGAGCATGTCCATCCACACGTCAGAGATTCATAATATTAAGTGGATAAATGATTGATTCGATCAATGAATCAATCAATCAATCACATATGACAACATAATGTGAGTGAGAAAGATTGGAATGATTCCTTTGAAAGAGTGGGTGTAAAGCCAAGCCCCAAGTTGTGATTGTTCATAACATTTGCCAATCAGAAATTATTTGTAATACCCTCCCCATAGACTTTGGCAAACGTGATGATCAAGTAGTATTAGTTACAGATAATAATAATAGTAACACTTTGAAGACATGATGGTGACTACCAATCTGAACAATATATCATTATTGTTATTAGTTCGCATTGCCTCGTTATTGGATGCAGTGGATAATGTGTGCATGTTGCTGACATGTACTAATCTGTTCAATCTCAGACGATCACTTATCAACTCGATTCCATTCATGTTGGGTCCGCTTCGTAAAGTTAACGCTATTGGAGATGCATATGTTCGATGTAATGATGTATTTGGTGACTCTACTCATCTACGCTTTTGGTGGAAACGATCATTGTCTCCCATCACACTCGGTGCTGGCGGAGATGATGACGAACACGCATTACCACAACTAAAGGGTCTTTACAACCAAACACTCTGTATGTATCGATGGACTCAATCAATCAATCATTGGAATCATTCCAATCACCACTCTTCGATCAATCAATGGATCTATTCCAATCATTTACTTACACACTTTCCATCTCAAGGCATCGACGATCATGATCCTCACCCAACATCGTACGTAGGCATTACCAAGCTCAGGTACAAACACACATCACTAGAACCGATCGAGTTGTTCAATACTACCTCATCACTCCGCAATCTGAGGGTTGGCTACAACATGCACCTTCAACAACTCATAGATTGCCCTCCTGTACTCCAAAACAAAGTTCTCAGTTTGGACTACCTGCAGCCGCTGACCTCACTCACCAAGCTTGGGTTGGATTTCTTTAGAGCGCACTTGGTACCATCGCTCATCCCATCGAGTGTGACCAGGCTATCTCTTAAGTTTTGTCCGATCGCTGTTGGCTCGATTCCCTCTTCCGTGACCAATCTGTCGGTCTTGCAATTGGATCATCCGATGGCTGTTGGAATGTTCCCTGCGTCGTTGACCAAGTTGACACTGACACGATTCTTTAAACACTTCACACCGGGCATCATCCCATCCTCGGTCACACATCTCTCATTCCTTGGTGAGGACGCAGCCTCTGGGGATGCCGGACAATCATCCTCGTTCGAACTTGGCAGCCTGCCCTCTGGACTCCACTCCCTCGAACTCTTCTACTCTCAGCCATTCCAACGCGACATCCTGCCAAGCTCACTCAAACATCTTCGTATCGTCCTTCCCACCCATAAGTTTGTGAATTCAGTCGGTATTCAGCCTCTGGCAGAGGAGGACTCACTGGTGCCCACCTGGTTCCTACCCCCATCACTTAAGAGTCTGTCTCTGCTCCACTTCCATTCATTCACACCGCCCAAGATTCAGCCTGGCGTCATCCCGCAAACAGTGACTTCATTGGAGTGTGCGATGAATGTGTGTGATCAAGAGGTCATGCCAACCGGTCTGCGACACCTTGACTATGTCCTCAACCTCTCACAGACGATGCATTGCCAACTCTCGCTGATGACCTCCCTTCAATCACTCTCGCTGTCCAACTTGACAACAGACTTTAAGGTTCTGCCTGGATCACTGCCGCCATCACTCACATCACTGAGGCTCATATTCTCACCGTTTCTCAATGTTTGGAATATGTCTGCTAGATTGGCCAACGACTCTCTGTACAACTTACCTCATACAGTAACTAGCCTGGACATGAACCCACCTTCTCTTCCAGTTGGACTGATCCCCAATTCGGTCACCAAACTCACACTGCATACTCATGCGCCGCTTCAATCTGGAGTGTTGCCAAGCTCATTGACATCTTTGGAAGTATTGTCAGGGACATGCAAAGATCCTTTGTCAATTGATCATCTGCCTGCGTCACTGACTGAACTTGCGGTTCATGATGTATGCAGGCTTCAGTTAACAGGGACGCCATACTCATCACTGATCAGAAATGTCAGGATAATGAATGAACCTCCTACCATGCCAAAGCAGGTGACTCAAGTGTTTGCCGTTGGAACAAACATCGAGTATCACTACATCGAACAACTCACCAAAGTGTCCCTGTTCTTCAGAATCATCGATCAATCAAGTGTACTCATTCAGTCACCAAACAAGGTTGGTGGATTCCTCGATAGATCGAGCCAATGACAGGCCAACAAACTAAACATGTGACATAATAATATGGGCATCATTTGGACCTGGACTTGGTAGTTTGGTCAATTTATTCGATGTCCAGGACTTCTGGAAGAACACTAAAGCTTGTCAACACGCTTCAACTTGTAGGGGGTTGGGACTTCACTCATGGTGTAGTATGAGTTACCAGTGGGGTCGTAGTCGATGGACTCACCTTGGGTCTCAACAGTGTCGGTCAAGGTGACTGGTGCAGCAGAGAAGGCTGTCTCAAAGGCTGCTCCAGCAGCGGCGCGGAACTCGTACACGCGGTGGTATGTGCGGAATAGGACGCGGTTGCCACATGGGTGGATTGCGGCAGCGGTGACCTGTGAGTCAGTGTAGTCAGAGGTCATTGGCAACTGAATGGTGGCCACAAGGGTCAGTGTGGACATGGTACCAGGGGCGGGCAATGGGTTGGGGAACTTGAAGACGCGGCTGATACCGGCGGTGAATGCCTTGGTCATGACGTAGATGTCGCCAGTGACGGGGTGGACTGCGAGGGACTCACAATCATAGGTGGCTGCACCAGGGTAGACATATGGGAACTGCTCAGCAGCCAGAGTACCACTGGTCAAACCTCCAGCAATGTTTGGCTCAGTCATACGGTAGACAGCGTACGATGTACGCTTGGGTGTTGGCGAGCTTCCAGTGTCTCCGGCGTAGATACACTTGCCGGCGGGACATGGGCCACAGGCGATGTCCTCCCAGTCGAGTGGGGTCATGTTGGAGACTGTGAAGGAGCCGAGTGTAGCTCCGGTCGAGGTGCTAATGGCGATCAAAGCGGTAGTGTCCTCGTTGTGTATGTAGGCCACGCCTGGGTTGAGTCTACTGGTGGCGATACCACTGGGCTCGATGAGTCCTGGTGCAGCGACATTGCCAACAACGACGACTGTGGATGAGTATGTGTCGGCGACGGTGCAGACTTGGACGACTGCAGGGGTGAGTGCGACGACCTGAGCAATGTTGGTCTGATTGAATGGGGACACTCCGTTGGCGGCAGTCTGTAGGCCTGGGGTGGCAAGGATCTTGGTGGCAGCATCAAAAATGATTCCAGTCGACGATGACACCAAACATGTGTCAAACAACTCGGTGTAGCCAGTGGGCTCAGTGATGGCGTTGGGACATGCGGCGCCAGTCCAGACCTGGTCACCAAACCAGAGGGCCATGGTATCGGCAACAGTGGTCGACAGTGCTGGGGTGTTGAAGTTGTAGCTGTTGCCATTCTTCTGGCCGCTGTGGGCGTTGATGGGGTTGGCAGCGTCGGCACCGATGACAGAGACGATGCTTCCGGCAATGTAGCTGGCAAGATCAATTGTGAATGTGTAGCTGGCTGGCTCAGAGATGGTGGCCACGCGATAGTACATCCAGGACTTAATAGCAGAGGTGGTTTGGTCGGAGCGAATCAGGGACCAGCCAGTTGGAGGGGTCATGACAGCAGCAACATTGTTACGGTTGCTCAGATGTGCAATCAACACGTCACCAGCAATGGTACCAGTTGGCTTCACAATAGTCAGTGATGTCAAGGCTTTGCCACTTGCAGAGGCATAAGCACGTGTCTGGAGTGCTGCCTATCATCATTAGTGTCAAAGAGTGTGTGAGTATTATTGGAATCATTCCGGTTGGGTGTGTGAGTGTGTGAGTGTGATTGATTGTCCGACTTACATTTGCAAGACTAAGACAAGCCAAGAAGGCCAAGAGCATGAATACTATTTGTATCTTTTGCATGATTGTTTGAATGATTGATTGAATGATTGAATGAGTGAATGTTAAGACCAATCGGTGTGTCTTATCAGTTCCTGACCCGCGTCTATGTCAAACTAGGTTGACCGACAAGACATACGCGTCCATCCATTCATCGGATGGCACCGAACACCTTGTGGTAGGGCGAGTCTCCACTTCTTTATGGGCTCGTTATGATTGTGTTTGTGTCTTTATGATTGTAAGTTGGTTGATCGAATGTGCCTCTGTGGACGTCTGTTCAAGGCATTTGATCACGAACTGAATGCGCGTTCACCTTGAAATTATTATAATATCTTCGGTTTTACTAATAATAGAAACGACAGAAGATTAAAATATCTCCTTCTACCCAATAAATGTCACGTCGTTCCATTTCTCAAATACGAAGTGATCTCACAATGTCAATGCGGATAGACTATCTTTGAGGGATACATACATACATAGGTTTATTCATTCAATCATTCATAGACGGACACTATTTCTACTTTACACTGTAGCAGGTTGATCCTTGACCAAGATACACCAATCCAATTGAGGCACAATGGTTGTGTTGTCATTGATCAACTTTGATACCAAGTGTCCTGCATAGATCTCGGTGTCGTACATGGTGCCATTGTCATCAATCTTGAGTGGACATGATACATAGCCCTTTGGTATGTCCGATGTGTCTACGAGTGGCCACTCTGACTTAATCTCCTGGTTCCAAAATTGTACTTTCTTCATATCACCTTGCCACTTGCCCTCGTCGTTGAACACCATGAACACGCCAATCCAGCCAGAGACCCAGGTTGGGCCTGATCCACCGCCAACGTAGTTTGCAATCTGGTTCCACCACTTGGTGTCGGGCTTGCCATTGGCCGACTTGATCATGTTGTCTAGTACAGGCAACAACATGTCGACCCACTTCTTCATGTGGCGCTCCTTGCCGTCAAACTCGACGAACCTTTCCACTCGCTGTCTCACTTGTGTCCAGTCCTCGACTGTGCCCATGATGGTGACCTTGGGCAAGCCACAGCATAGTGAGAACTTGTAGTCAAAGTACTTCTTTAGCGTGGCCATCAGGGCAAAGGCGCCAACAACACGGTCAGTGTTGGAGGTAGTTGTGAACGATGGCAACACCCAATCGCGAACTGATGGATCCTTGATGTTGGCTGCGATCTGGTCGGTCATCATCATGGCCAAATGTTCATAGGGTGCAGTGTGTAGAGTGCCACCCGACTTCACCTCCAGCTCCTTCTTGCCATCGTGTGCGACGAACTTGGTGCGCAGGGTCTCGGCGTTGGCATTGACATAGAATGAGAACTGTGTGATCAAAGCCAACCAGATATCGTCTGGACGGATAACAAGATGCATATGTTGATTATATGCCAATATTGCTGAATGGATGAATGCATGGTCTCCAATATGCACGATGGATGGCGAGTCCTTCTCCACACTTGAGCGAGCAACCTTTGAATATGTCTTATCCAAAGCTTTATAATCAAACTTTGTCAAAGGTCTTGATGGAGCAGTCTCCTTCACCTTACTATCCACCACAAAGGTGAATGACTTTGCTGGTTTACTCTCGTCTCTATTCATTATTATTTGTTTGTTTGTTTGTTTGTTGGATAATTATTGAATTGAAGAATGAGGAACAAATACTCAATCTTAACTTTTTTGTGAAAGGTCAAATATCATCTCCTTTCTAAAAATGGAAAATGGGATGAAAGATTCCATGATCGCCGATTCAAGGAATGGTCCTTGACTTGTGGAAATAAGATTGTTCAGTGATTGATATAATATTACAAGCTAATTGAATTTGCATTTCATTATGATCCTGTAAAGAATGATACGATGGATTTGAGTGATAGCTTTGAGGTACGGTTGGCAACAAGTGCCAGAATGGTCAGTGGCGCAGCTATTAATGCCAGGTAGGTAAGTGTTGTTTTGGTGACAATCTGATTCTTATTCCTGTTGTTGTTGTTGTTGAGGTTGGGGTTGTTGTTTTTGTTAATGCCAGTGCCACTACCATCACCAGTAGCATCTTCATCCTGTCGAATTATCTCCTCGGTGATAGGTGGAGACTTGGACTTTAGTTGCTCGAGAAGATGGCTGAGATTGCTGTGAAGGTCGACGTTGTCTCGGTCCAACTCCAGCCCGCGGTAGAACAACTCCTTTGCCTCGTCCAGTCGGTTCAGTGCCACCAGTGCCATGCCCATGCGAAGATATCCCTTGACCCATGTGCTGCGAAGACGTAGCGAGGCAACAGCATCCGCCAGAGACTGCTCATACATCCTGAGCTTATAGTAGGCCGCTGAACGATTGGTGTAGACCATGTGTGATGGCCTAAAGTCGATGGACTTTGAGTACTTCTCGATGGCCTTGCTGTAGAACTCACGCTTGAACAACTCGTTGCCCTCATTCTTGTAGGCGTTGGCCAGCTCGTCAGAGTCGAGAACATTTGGATCAGAGTCGGATGATGCGTCTGACTCATCCACATAGTCGGCATCATCGTCAATGTCGTCCTCCCTCAGTCTGTAGGACGGTGTCGCGCGCTGTGACTTTGGTGCAGTGATCGTGGTCGAGGTTGTCGAGGTCGTTGAATGTCCTCCATTAGCTTGCATGCTGATACCAGCATGCTGGTTGTTGTTACTGCCATTCAATTTTTGACGACTGTTGTCACCAATTAACCTTTCCTCCTCTTGTCGTTTTTGTTGTTGTGATGTTGTTGTTGGATTATGTTGTTGCCGTTGTTTTAACAACTTTTGTCGTTTTTGATGTTTAAAGTCATTCTGATCGGCAATATTAATCATATGTGTATTGTATGCTCTATTTAAATTGTTGTCAATATGGTTGCCATTGCCATTTCCATTTCCATTTCCATTGGTGGTGTGATGGCCATTGCCATTGCTATGACCATTGCTGTGAAGGTGCTGCTGACTATTTATATGTACATCTGTCTCCATCATGCTTATATGATTGTGATTTAACGTATGATATATTCCTATATCATCAATGACAACAATAACATTAATAATACTATTACGATTAAATGTATGTATGTATGTATTACTATTATCTATATGATATAAATGATAATGATTGTTAGAGAGTGACTAACGATTGTGTGTGTGTTGTGATGATTGAGTTGTGTTGAGATGGGACAGTGAGTGAGTGAATGAATGAATGTAATGGAGGGTATCTGTCTGTGTGGATGAATGAGTGAGAGAGGGCGACTAAAGATTTCGCGTGTGAATACAAGTTGTATGTTCGTGTGTGTGTCTATGTACAGAGATAATATATTTGTTTGATTGATTGAAAGAATGAATAGGGTCAATCTTATGATTGACAGGAGGATCGTTGAGGTATGATTTTTTAATTAAAAGTTTAATAACCCATCTTTGGCCCAAATTTCAATGGGAACTAGATTGACATCATCATTGCATGCAATTCAGTTGAAATGAACGACTGATTGACTGGACCAGATATGACCTTGCTCGCTCTACTGTTGGATAGGAATGGGTGGGGCCTTGATGGTGCGTCTAACGTTTCCATGTTCATCCAGTCTGTAGAAGTTGCTCTCATTCATTATCTATTGTCAACGAATCAATCATAATGATCGATTATTAGTATGTAAGGAAGATATTACTAGTAACGCACAATGGCTTGGGATGGATATAGTTACCTTTTTGTTGAACTGCTTAGTTATGATCTTCTCAGCCTTGACTAATTGCTGTGCGATAACAGCTGCTCTCAGACGATCCAGGGGGACGACCTCGGGACACTCGACTAGTGCCTTTTGGATCTCCTTCTTCCAGGCCAGACCCTTGATCCTCAACTTCTTCTTCTTATCCTTCTTCTTCTTGTCCTTCTTGTTCTTGTTTTTCTTCTTCTTTACAACATTTGGATCCTTTGTCATTGTGCTTGCCGCAGCAGCTTTCTTTGTCTCTTTGATTTCCAACTTCTCAATCTTCTTGGCAACCTTTTTCTCTACTTCCTTATCATAGGCACCAACAGCAGTGGCATCCTTGGCACTTATACTTTGTTCTCCTTCCATTCCCAACATAATATTTATATTTATATATAACTAATTTTATTTATTTCTTTATTTGTTATTATTTGATTGTTGTATTATTTAATGTGAATGATGGTATGTTTGAAATTTCATGGATACAATTGCACTCTCTCTCTCTCTCTCTCTCTCTCTCTATCAATGTCAATTGTCATTGAACACAAGTGAGTGTGAATTGTGAGAGCATAAAGAAGAAGCGTAACCCTCACATTGGCATATTCTGACTTTGACCACAACACACACACAACTTCATTCATTCATTCACACACAACATCACCCAATTGTAATTCATTCAATACAATAGCAACCCACAAACAGACATACAGACAGACACCCTCTGATGATCATCAGAAGAGAGAGATTGAATACTTGTGCATACATACATATATACATATTCTTACACACAGGTCTAGAGGGTATACAAGCAAGGCCCCCTTATCACAAACACACTGTCTCGCAAGGAGGCATTCCAGCGACATTGCAATGACAAACAATGCAGATAAGTTGACTACATCATTCGCCACTCTCAAAGAGCATGCCAACTTCAACGTATTGGCAAGAATAGACCATGTAGGACCAAAGTTAAAGGCAGACCGAGGTAGGTAGGTGTGATCATGCATGATAGATTGATAGGGCGGGAGTGATGATGATAGTGATAGCTGACTGACACGTTCATTAGACTGGAATCTCAAGTTAACATTATGCGATGTTGATAAGTTGAGACATATTACTGCGATATACTTTATGGATGAAAGATTGATGGAACATTTGGTGAAAGGGAATGTAATTAGGATCATTGGTTTGAAGACATCTGGAACGTCCAATGGCAAACCATTGTCGCGTGTAAACTTCTATCGAACAGGCTTCACAGTGCACGTGTACAAGCCAGGCTCCGACCTGAACAAGCCCGTCCAGCTCAGCACATACGGCACGGGCAAAGACTACATACCAGACCCAAACCAACAGAGTCTTATTCAGAAGTTGTTTGGCTTGGGCAATGATTGTATCACAATGCAAAACATTGGACAGGTGGCAGAGGGATCATGTGTCGACATGGTCGCGCGTATTGAGAGGAGGGACTATCGACAACATGGAGTTGGACAGATGCTCTCACTGACCATCTGGGATGGAACATTGGATCAATTCAATCAGACCAATGCACAACCAAACACAGTTGAAGTTCATGGCTGGGAGGATGACAACACAATCAAGTTCAAGAATGTTCCAAATGGCACATGGATACTATTCCAATCATTGCTGTAAGATAATGTCCATTATTGATCAATGGTGCACCTGCTAATCAATCAATCAATCAAACATTTGAATTAGACTTAACAAATTCCATGCGACCAAAGAGGTAAAGTTTTGTGAAGGATCATCATTCGTTGTGCTACATCATGGTGATCCAAGAGTGGATGTCGCTGTAAGGTAAGAGCATGACTGGTCTGGTCAAAATTTGTCGTAGCCAATACATGTTTATCCTAACATTCATTCAATCCAATCTCATCCAGGAACTACTTGAATAAGATAAATGATCTTTCTGGATCAAAACAAAAGTGCACCATAGTACCGCCAATAACAGATATTGACTTGGTCGGTGTAAACATATCGACAATCGAAGATGTACTACGTTACCAAAAGGTAAGTGAGCTGGAACCAATCCATCATTCAATCACTCACTCACTCAGTCCACCTCCCAACAGTGCCCACATTACTTTGTGATCAATGTTAGACTGAAAGAGTATTACCCTGAAGCATCACGTATGTGGATCCAGTCATTCTGCCAAAACTGTCACTTGGTACTCCAGTCTCAAGATGGAGTATGCACAGAGTGTGCCTCCAATGAGTTTGTCCAATGGATATATTGTCTCAAGATACATGTCTATGATCATACCGGAGAACTTGAACTATATCTATCGATGGATGAGGCTGTACGTATCATCTCCATCACATCCATCACATCCATCACATCCATAACATCCAGTGGATATCACTAACACATCATCCAATACAATATGTACAGAGACAGTTCTTTGGACAAATGGATACTACACCGGATGAAGCACATGGTTCCCATAAGGTGGCCAATGATCTACTAAAGAGACTGGCCAGATGCAATGTACCATTTGACTTGTGTGTTCGATCCTATCAACCAGAGGAGAAGAAGGGCACTGGCGATGTATACTATCAAGTATTCGCAACCTCACTAACCTTGGAGCGTTGACCTCGAGGAACATGGGGAGGACATGCCATTCATTCATGGTGATGTGGCAGAAGAACGACCTTAGAAACACCTGGGAGAGATGACCATTGCAATTCAGGATAAAGTTGGTGCGAAATTAAATTAATTCAAAAAAATTGTTGATTGGGCACCCTTTTGCCCTCAAAAACCCCTTCCAAACACACCGAGACAACAAAACGGGGCAGGACCACGCAGTCGGGAGGTTGGATCAAGTTCGTTTGAAACAATATTCATTGTATCAATCTCACTAACATACGAACATACTTATAATTATAATATATATATATCACACCAAGGTAGTTAGTGTACTTTGATTGATCTGGATATCAGTTGATCACGCTCACACACACTCACACGCACAATCACAATCATGGACACGGACATGGAGCGTAGGTCTTCGGGATTGAGTGATCGATGATGACTCAATCATTCACACTGACTCACACTCAATATATACATACATCCACATTCAGCAAATGTAACATCGTCAGATGTCCACCACGAGACAGGCCAGTGGTCATCATCGGAGACTGAGGATCCAAGGACAAAGAAGAGGATGCCTTTACAAAAGAGAGCCATACTTAGGAATGCCCGAGCAGCCACAACTCATATCGACTCTACAGAGGATGATATGGAGGACGATGAATACGAGTCCAGGGGTGAGGAAGAGGAGGAAGACGACGATGATGATGATCATGCCCCCGGTGGCAAGATGGTGTCACCAATGATGATGGCCTCCAACCAACATCACAACAACATCAACAGCAACAATAGCAGTCACTTCCTATCGGATTCCGACGCTGACTACAATCCACTCACGGCAAATATTGATACGGACGATGACGAAGTGCCATTGGTACGTCTATTCCAGAAGTTCTTGAATAGAGAGGCGCTCAAAAGTTTGAAACTGCGACACTCCCAGCTCAATTCCAAACTGCAGCGATTGAGAAAGGTTGTCGACAACGTAAAGATCAAGGAGCGTGGACAGCAGCTCAAGCAGGAGAAGGACAAGATCAAGGAGCTCATCAAGCTGAAGAAGACTGTAAGTGCCACACTCACTCAATCATATGACTGGAATGATCCCATGCTAACTGGCCCCACCCCAGCAACTCAATGACAAGATGAATGCCCCTCCATTCTTGCGACTCATGGACAAGGTGGCGTTCACATTAGGACTCATCGTGTTGTTGGTGTCAGAGTTTGTTCTGCTGCGAGTGCCAGAGTTCATGTACCTTTGGTACACGGTACTGATCCTCCCATTGATGGCAATTCGCTTTGTGATGTATCATCGCGCCAAGTATCATTACTTCATGCTGGACTTTTGCTATCTCTGTCAGTTCTTGCTGCTGTTCTACATGTTTGGACATCAATACGTGCTGGGCAACGTCTCGCCTGCCTTTTTCAAACTGGTGTTTGCCCTGTCCAATGGTCCACTGGCATGGGGCTGCATTGTGTGGCGCAACAGCATGGTGTTCCACGACGTCGACAAGCTGACGTCGGTGTTCATCCATCTCTGTCCGCCAATCGTGACATACTGTCTACGCTGGTATCCAATCGACTACCCACTGGAACTTGCATGTGGCGGTGCATCATGTGCACTAACATACAGCGAGACCTATCTTGTACCAATCTACCTGTACACCTTCTGGCAAGTGCTCTACTACGTCAAGACCGAAGTGATCGACGAGATCAAGTTGGCCGATGATCCAGACATCATGACATCCTCGCGATGGATGTCAATCAAGCAGCCACATCCAATCTACAAGGCACTAGTATCCAAGGGTATCAATGTATCTCCAGTGCTCGTCCTAATGCGTAAGTATCCCGTTGATTGATTGATTGGATGATCAAACATATTAACCAAACTATGCCACGGACATCATGGATGACAGTCAGCCAACTTGTATATACATTGGGAACATTGATTACATTGCCATTGATGATGCAATCATTCGTGGCACATTCATTATTCTTGTTCTTCATCTTGGTGACGGTATCTTGGAATGGTGCCAATTACTACTTTGAGGTATTCAGCGAGAATTATAACAAGAGGTTCAAGTCAGATATTGCTGCAGCCCGCAATACTGGTACCGATGGCAACAGCAACAGCAGTGGTGGAAACAGCAATGGAGGCATGGTACCATGCAACAAGCTGAAGATCACATCCATCTTTTCATTCGCCAAGTTCATCACAGTGTTCCTTGCACTACTTATTTGTTTCCTCAAGCTCATCTTGTAGTAATAACATAATCTAATATTAATGTAATTAATTATTTAATTTAATTAAAATCCTCCCCTTCTCCATCCAGTCCAACTGGAATAGTACCGGTCCCAATTTAAAGGAGTCTCTGGAGACTTTGTTGACTAACGTTACCCCCAATCCACACTTCAAATTTCCTCCTCACCTTTGTGTGAACTTGTTGGGATTGCGATAAGCTTGATTGATTGTGGACCTGTTCATTCATTCATTCATTTATTCAATCAATCTTATCCCTCACTATTACAATATATATATAACATTCATTCGCATGTACAGATAATTGCGTCTTATAATCAATCAATCAACATTGTATATATTCATTCAATCAATCAATCAATCATTCAAACACTTTACTCTAATTTATTGATTGATTCAAGCAACAAGAGAGATAGAGAGAGTTAGAGTGAACAAAACAACAATATTGTCTTGATCAAGAAAGACAAGACAATAGTAATTAGAAGCAAAACCATTGCCGATCAGCAGCAGAATCAAAGGCAGCAGCAGCAGCAGCAACAGCAGCAGCAGCAGCAAACAGACCGCTCAGAGTTGGAGGGATCACGCACGTCTGCGTCGCAGCAGCGAAGAAGAAGAGGTCGAACTGAGCTAGAGGACGGCAACGACGGATCATCAATCACCGGCGATAATCAGGACGACCAAGAACAACAACAACAAGAACAAGAAGAAGAGGATATTGACTTTGAAATAGATACCGACGAGCCACAACAACAACAACAATCATCATCATCATCAACACTATCGACAACAACAACATCATCAACAGGTGTACAAAGACCTTTAAAGAAACTACGAATGTCATCAAACAACAATAACAACAACAGTGCAACCAATGGTGTACACTCACATACCAATGGAGTATCTGGCAACTCTGACATGTCAGACGAGTTGATAACAATGAGTGATGCAAATGGAGAGAGTACAGCAGTCAACAAAACCGAACTCATTCGACTGCTAATACAATCACTTCATTACCTTGGATACAAGTATGTCCGACAATCATTCAACATCAATCGAGCGATCAACTAACAATCAATCAAACAATCAAACAAATAGAAAGTCTGCAGAGTTCTTGGAGAAGGACAGCGGTGTGTTTCTCCAGTCGCCCGAGGTGATGCACTTCATCAACAGCACGATGGACGGTGACTGGAAGAAGGTCGAGACATTGCTGCCACATCTAAAGATCAAGAGCCAGAGTGATCTTGATGTATGTTCAAAGTCCACCACCATTACTCATGACGCTGGGTCAACTAACCTTAATGCATGCCAACAACCATCTATAGAGTGTAAAGTTTTTAATATATAGCCAGAAGTTCCTGGAGCTGCTGGAGAACAAGAAGGTGAAGGAGGCCCTAGAGTGTCTACGCGGTGAGATCACACCAATCAGCAAGGATGCCCAGAAGCTACAGACGTTGACCAGTTTGATCATGTGTACAGATACTTTGGACTTGAAGAAACGTTCCTTCTGGCCAGGTGGAGGCGCTCTCTCACGTACCAAGTTACTGAATGACATAAGACGTATGGGAACTTGATTCATTCATTCATTCATTCTTTGTCAATCGATCAATCACTAACTCAACTCCAATCACTCTAGAGTATGTTAGTTCAGAGATCATGGTGCCAGAGAATAGGCTGGAGCAACTGATCATGCAGTCCATTCAATATCAGACAAGCAGGTGTCTATATCACAACACGACTAAATCCAATTATAACTTATTCGAGGATCACTACTGTACTCGGTATGTTTGGCAATCACTCAAGGAATGGATGGTGATCATCGACTAACATTCACGTCATTCACTTCCATGGAACAGGGACCAAATGCCCTTGGAGTGTAAATATACGTTGGCGGGCAAGCACACGGATGAGGTATGGTTCGTCAAGTTCTCCAACAATGGCAAGCGATTGGCATCATGTTCAAAGGATGCACAGATCATTATATGGGACATGACGACTTTGTATGATGACGAGCCAAAGGAGCCAAAGGTGATGGCAGTTCTCAGTGGACACTCAAAGGATGTGTCCTACTTGGCATGGTCACCGGACGATCACTACTTGATCAGCGCGTCTGGCGACATGTCGCTCAAGTTATGGTCGGTCAACGAGGCCGTCTGTCTCAAGACGTACAACAAGCACACGGACGCCGTGACGTGCTGTGCCTGGCATCCAGATGGCAAGCGCTTCTTTAGCGGCGGCAACGACAAGAACATATACATGTGGACAATGCCCACGCCTGAGAACAGCCAGGTGGCTGCGGCTCCCGTCCGCGCATGGGCGTGTGCACGTGTCAACGACATGGCCATCCACCGGGACGGCCGTCAGATGGTGGTGATCTGCCAGGAGAAGAAGATCCGCATCTACGACATTGAGAACGAGCGGCCCGAGGTCAGCATCCCCGAGACCGACGCGATCATGTCCATGTCGCTGTCCAACGATGGCCAGTTCGTCATTGTCAACACGGCCAACCAGGAGATCCATTTGTGGGACCTGGAGAAGCGTATCATCGTGCAAAAGTACCGCGGCCAGAAGCAGATGCGCTTCGTCATCCGCTCGTGCTTTGGCGGTGTCGACCAGGGCTTTGTGCTGTCGGGCAGCGAGGATGCCAAGGTGTACATCTGGCGTCGCCAGAACAGCGTGCTGCTCGAGTGTCTCACGGGCCACACCAAGATGGTGAACAGCGTGTGCTGGAGTCCGACCGATCCATACCTCTTCTGCTCGGCCAGTGACGACGAGACCATTAAAGTCTGGACGAGGAAGTCTTGTTCAGAGATGGCAGCAGTTGCATCGAATAGCAACAACAACAACAGTGGCAGCATGTCAACAACAACACCAAGTAGCAGCAGTAGCAGCAGCAGTAGGAAGCAATAGCCGCCTTACATCCAACCTTTTAGCGCACTACTACGATCACCGCCCACCCTACATTATGTAAATGAAATGGTCCTCCCATGGCCATGCCGCATTTTCCCATTTAACCATGAGCATGCTCATTGACGTGTCCAGCAGGCGACCCAAAAGGACGTTGGTTTTGCATCGGACTTCAACGCATTTTTGCACTCACCCACACTTTTTGATCATTTTTGGAACTTTGAAGGTTCCAATGAACAATTACTCGCTTTCATTCAATCATTCATATCATACTTCTTTGATTACAAACATATACTTATACATGATGGATACCATTAATAACACAATCAGACTTAGAGACGCAGTCGAAGCGGATATACCTCAAATCAGAGAGATATATTGTCATTATGTTCGCACTTCAGTGGCAACATTCGAGGAGGATGAACCATCTTGTGAGGAGATGAAGCGTAGATGGTCAGATATCACTCGTGAAAAGATGCCGTACTTTGTGGCCGAAGAGTTGACCGAGGCAACAAACACATATACAATCGTCGGCTACAGCTACGCAACACTCTATCGCACGAGATCAGCCTACAGATACACATTGGAGGACTCTATCTATTTGCATCCGGCACACTGTGGCAAAGGATTGGGTACAGTGCTTTTGGATCATCTGATCAAAGAGTCCACACGACTTGGATTCAGACAGATGATCGCTGTCATCGGTGGCAGTGACAACCATGGTTCAATCAAACTACACGAGAAGATGGGCTTTGGTGCCAAACACATCCTGGATTGCGTTGGACTCAAGTTTGGTCGATGGGTAGATGTCGTCACACTTCAATTAGCATTGGGTGATGGTTCATCATCAATACCAAGTAAATAATAGATTGATTCATTCAATCATATATTGTACAATAAACAGATAGTGATGTGCTGGAACCATTCCACTCACATTTCATTCATTCATTCATTTCCATTCAACCCCCTCCTTTGTGCAACTTTTGGAGAACAAGCTCAAAAAGAACACTTTTGCAAAAACACATAACATTGTTCATTTTGTTGAACATCGATCATTCATTTCAAATTCAAAGTTAAAAGATATAATACAGATACAGATAATACATATATATATACACACTTGTTAGCAACAACATAAGACAAGAGAGAAAGAAATGAGTCGTACTAAAGTTTGCTACTTCTATGATTGTATGTGTTGTCAACTACACAACATATTCAGACAGTTGACTGTCTCTCATTCATATTTGAATGATGATAATGTTCATTACTAACACAGTTCTATATCAATTCTATTCAATTACATTATAATTAGCTGAGGTGGGCAATCACTTCTATGGACAGAATCATCCAATGAAGCCACATCGTATGAGAATGACACATAATCTCGTGTTGAACTATGGTCTCTACAAGAAGATGCAGATCTTTGTAAGTGAATGAATAGAAGGGAGCAATGATTGAGATCATAACACTCACATCAACACTCAACAATTGCAACAAACAGAGACCAAAGAAGGCAACAGATACAGAGCTTACCAACTTTCACTCAGATGACTATATCAACTTCCTTAGATTGATCACACCAGACAACATGCACGACTATTCCAATCAGTTAGTCAAGTGTATGTATCATATGATCGGAGTTCATTCATTTCCCCACCAAACACACACACATTTATGACCATGATCATTGACTAACTTTTGATCATCTTCGAAAACACGAACACAGATAATGTTAGATATGATTGCCCAGTGTTTGATGGACTGTACAACTTTTGTCAGATTTCATCTGGTGGATCAATTGGATCGGCCATCAAGCTTAACAGGAAGGACTCTGATATTGCAATCAACTGGGCAGGTGGTCTCCATCACGCCAAGAAGTCAGAAGCATCAGGTTTCTGCTATACCAATGACATTGTTCTGTCAATCCTCGAGTTGTTGAAGTAAGTCAAGATCAAGATCAAGATCATGCCCTCTTCCCCTCCCACTTGATGATCATACTAATATTCACCATCACCATCAGACATCACAAGAGAGTGTTATACATTGATATTGATATCCATCATGGTGATGGTGTGGAGGAAGCATTCTACACAACAGACAGAGTGATGACTGTATCGTTCCACAAGTATGGTGACTACTTCCCTGGCACTGGTGATGTGAAGGATGTCGGTGCTGGCAAGGGCAAGTACCATGCCCTTAACTTCCCACTCAAGGATGGTATTGATGATCAGAGCTATCAGAGCATATTCAAGCCAGTATGTACTACTACCCTGTTGCCATCATGTCCACAGTCACTCACTAACTCACTCATTCATTCATTCATATATCTAGATCATCCAAGGTGTTATGGACTCATACAGACCAGAGGCAGTTGTGTTGCAATGTGGCGCAGACTCACTCACTGGTGACAGACTTGGATGTTTCAACTTGTCGTTGAAGGGACATGCACAGTGCGTCGAGTTTATGAAGTCGTTTAAGCTGCCACTGCTTGTGCTTGGTGGTGGAGGATACACTATCAAGAACGTTGCAAGATGCTGGACCTATGAGACATCGATCCTCGTTGACTCTGAGATCACTGATGAGCTGCCGTACAATGACTATTTGGAATACTTTGGACCTGACTACAGACTGCACATCACGCCCAACAACATGGAGAACCTCAACTCTAAAGAGTACTTGGAGAAGTTAAAGTAAGTGATCACACTGTTGAGCCTGGCGATGATCAACATCATATTGACACCATCATGATACTACTTCCAGGATTCAACTTTTGGAGAACCTTAGACATCTCAATCCTGCACCAAGCATTCAACATACAGAGATTCCACCAGATGCTTACAGCTTCTCGGATGATGAGGATGATGAGGATCCAGACGTGAGGATATCAGAGGCAGACAGAGACAGACGTATCCAACATCAGGCAGAGTTGTCAGACTCGGATGAAGAGGACGGAAGGAGGTATGAGATGCTGCATATGGACTCTACGTCAACCATCTCTGCGCGCAGAAGATCACAAGTACCAATCACTGCCTATGACAAGGAGTCGAGTACACCTTACAAGCCATCCCAGAAGGAGAAGTCAGATGTAGATGAGGAGAGTATGGAGATGTAAATGTGAAATGAGTATCAAAGAACAATTAAAAGAAAGACATCTTATTGATGACACTTTGTGACAAAGTGTGATTGTTTGGGGGCATGCCAATTTTGTCCATATCTGGTCAACTTATTTTGTTCCCTGGGGGTGATCAATCATCTGATCTTGGATTCCCAAGAACTGAACTCATCTAATGTGACACCGGCTTACCATAAGGAGCCTATGTTATAAAACATACTTATTTATACATTTATACAACAGATAAATGACATACTCAAACGACGACAACAACAACAACAATAACAATTGTGATGAGGCTGGTGGTATACCAATTGATGATGGAATGATACCACCAGTGCCAAGTCAGGCACCACCACAAATGATCACAATAGAGCAACTTGCAAGGACTGTCGCCGATCTAAAACTGAGCCTGGAAGCCCAGACCAGAGAGACACAGTTGCTACGATTCCAGTTGAATGCCATTACCGAATCGTCTCGACAGACTTTCAAACACTGTAAAGAGATGGTATGCTACATCAATTACAACAGCTGTAACTTTAGTGTAAACAAGGTACCCTCTTCCAAGACATATCTCTTCAAACGAGCACTCATCACTGTATACATCAAAGATGCAATGCCAGCCCCAACTGGACATATGAGCCATCCTTTGACTACATCCCACACAACTACGACTACAACAACATCCACCACTACTTCAGAACTGTCCAAGGACAAGGTCAAGGGTAATGGTACTGTGGAGATAGGTGTTTGGTGCCAGAAACCATTGCCACTCAAAATCAAGTATAATGGCGAGAGAGTGGAGTGTATGGGTACATTGGAACCCAGATTCTATCAATTTCCAAAGGCCAAGTCATTCATGGGATATGGAACGATTAAGATTTCACTCCAAAAGAAACAACAAACTACCAACTTTCAGCCATTAATGGAATCGCAGCAAACATCATCTGGAAAACAATAACTCGCTCCGTTCAGTCAATAATAATTATTCATTGTATTGTGTTGTATTGGTTCCTCTTCTTGATCTTCTTGATGACAAAATATGTGATGATTATAATAATGATTACACCAGCTACTCCTCCAATGACAATGCCAGCGATCACTCCTGCACTAAAGAAGCATTATCGATGATTGCCATGTAACGAACATCTTTGGGATATATGGCAATCAAACAGACGTCTGCCAATATGGTTGATGATGTTGATCAATGTCAGATGTCCGGATTGACACTGAATGGCTCGTCCACCATTCACACTTCCAAACTCGATATTGGAGAGGGAGGGTGATGGACTGGTCCAGGTACAGCTCAGTAGTAGCAACTGTATTGTTGATGAATTTGCAGCCTTCCATTGTCAAGTTGCTGCAGGCAATCCACACCATGTCACCATCGCTTGACGAATATTCTGGGAAGATGGAGTTGGAGAAGGTGGTGTCGGTGATGGACACATTGATGCTACTATTATAGCCACCAGAGATAGAGAGCAACATTGTAAATTTGTCATTGGCATCAAACAGAGTTTGATCAATGCTAAACAAACCCCCATAAAGAAATATCATGGGCTCTTCGGCCTGACCCGGGCAAGTGTTGCCAATGAACGAGATGTTGACAATTGAGAATGGTATGGTTGGATACTGGTAGGTTTCGATGATACTGCCTTAGATTTTGTTGTCACGGAAAGTAGAGCCAAAGATGGAGACGGGCCAATTGATATGGGACCAGAGGTTGTTGACTTCATTACCAATAAACTCGGTTTGGTTTAACGATACTTTGCCTTGAGTGCTGATCATATCTGTTCCATACTCAGAACTACAGTTGATCATCCCTCCACCATTGATTGTCAGTGATGGTCCAAGACTACCGGGGTCCGAGCATGGGCTAAAGCCAGGAAAGACAGTTATCAAACTGTCGGCAACGACCACAATTCCAGAAAAAGTTATGTTGTTCAGCACAATGTTAATGTTGTTCTGCATAGACAAGATGACCTGTGAGCCATTGGTGAAAGTAAGACTATTAAATGTGATGTTGGTTTGAGGAGCTGATTCCGAGTCGAGAATTATGAAGTAGTTCTCGTAGGAGTGGTTTGGTTGGGATGGAACAAGGTCGATGATGACATCCTTTTGGGAGTATGAGTTGGGTCCAATCGTGATGTTAAGGTAGATAGTATCAAGGTTGGAATTGCCCTTGAGGGCAGGATATATACCTCCTGCCATCGCAATGTTCAATGCCGTGTTGTGGATAGGTTGATGTTTGTGTAGTTATTGGAAGCTGTTGATTGCCGATGTTATGTTGGGGCAGGCCATGTTTGGGTCTTGGTAATCAAGTCCACAAATTGTTGATGAGTTGGTGGATGTTTGATCGACGTAGATTGTCGTGGTAATGATCACAACTTGGCTATTGACCGAGATGATGAGAAATACAAACAGTTGGAGTATTAGCAGTAGAAGTAAATATTGATTTTGTTGTTGATACATTATATTATTATATGTTGTCGTAGTTGATCATCAAGAATGAATGACCTGAGCATGCTTCGCCTGATAATAACAATTCTAGATTTAACCTGATGAGGTTTCATCGGAAATGTTAGGGGCGAATCCCTCCAATGCATTGGTTGGCTCAACCAATGAAAATGATGGCTTCACTACTTTTGCGTATCGGAGGATTTTCCCAGGCCCCACTTCCTCAACCCAGGCCCCAATCCCGATTGATTGATTGACCCTGGCAATGACCTTGATTGGATTGGCCCCTGGTGATGTTTGATCAGATGATAACGTAATAAGAGAGTTTATTGTATTTCGTCTTCGAATGAGTTCTCCAAGAGGTTCGACTGTTTGGATTGTTGTGGATAGTATTAGTAGATGAGACCATCGTTGGAACACACGAACTCAGCAGGACTATGGGTGAGTGACTACTTACAAACTCTAACAGATCATCGTCTAAATGTTCCTCATCCTCTTCTTCTTGATTGCCAAGTTTGACATGCTTGACTTCCAGTGGCTTCTTGCCATTGTCTGACAAGGATAAATGTTCGTCTTGTTCTGTTGTTCTCTTTCGTTTCGATCCAGTCGTTTGATCCAAACCCTCTTCGTCTGGGTTATGAAGATCATCATCATTTCCGTTGTTGTTCTCTCCACCATTCTCTTCATCGTCACCATCACCATCACCATTCTCCTCTTCATTATCGCTTTGACTACTCTTACTGCTGTCGGAACCTGACGACAGGGAGTCCACGTCCCCATCTAGAAAGTCCTCCAGCTCCTTGTCTGCATCCTCCAGTGTCTTTTGCAATGTCTCCAGATTAGTTGTCGTTATAATTGTGTCCAGTATTGTTGGCTGGACGGGCGATTGTTGGTTTGGGAGTGGTTGATCGACAACTGGAAAGTCCCTTTCCTTCATCTTCATCCAGTGCAAGTTTGATTGTTCCAACCATTCCTGCGAGACCACTCTCAGTCCCTTTGACAAGGCGATATTAACCTTGGTTGTACCTTTCTGTTTGATTTTTGGAAGAACGTTCGTGTCAGTCAATCGCTGGCCGGCTGATCCATGGTCGTTGCAGTAACATACTCTCGCTGCAATAACATGTGTTGTTGATCGTGTGATATCCTCCTCAACTACCGCTCCAAGCTCCTCTGCCATGTGCCTCAATGGTTGTCTGTTATGTTGGGTTGGTGGGTGGTGGAAGGGATCGATGTTAGATCAAAGTCTTCGACTTCATCACCATCATACATACTTGTGAAGTGGACACTTCTGGGGATACACTCCACTGAATACTATATACACTCCTTTGAATATCTTCTTTCTTACACTTGCAAGTATGTCCTATTAATGATGGTGGTTAGCATCCATGGTGCGGCCTTGGTATCCAAAGTATGTATACATACTGCGACATGTTGCTTGTTTCCATTGTCAAGACTTTCAAAGTATAACTTGTGAACTTCTTCCAGTTTCTCCAATACAGTCTTCAAGTGATTATCCTTCTTCACATCATACTTTATATCGCCTCCATTGTTATTGTTGTTGTTGTTGTTGTTATTGTTGTTTGTATCATTGATTACTTGTCCATTCGAAGGGTTTGTTTGATCAATTGGTTTGTCCGTTGTAGTGTCAGTGGTTGCCAGTGATGTAGTCGTTGTTGTCGTCGTTGTGGTAGTCTCAGTTGTGATCGTTGGTGTCGCTATTGTTGTTGTTGCTGTGTCATTAGTGGTCATTGACGTATCTGTCTTGGTATTATTACTCTCTGCCTCAGTCCCTGATGATGATGTAGTGGCAACAGTGCTAGCACCATCACTGGCAGGAGGAGGTTGTGTTGTGGCCGTCTGATGAGGTGACTGTGTCTCTGCTGGCAACAGGTTTACCATGTCCTTGCATCCTACAAAGTATAGGTCTAACAGGTTGGAGTCAGTATATATTGGTTCGCCGGCGAAGTATGATGTCCTGTCCTTACATGGAGATATCTGGACGAGGTTTCTCGACCTCTTCCACACGTCTGAGCGGTCGTCCACGATCAGGACCATTGAGTCATCGCAAGGAAATAGACGACTGAGTGACTTGAAGCTTAACTCGCTGGTATCATCTCTAGACAAGATCCTCTCTTTGAACAGTTGCTGCTTTGGATCAATCAATTGAGCAATCTCATGTGCATAGTTCTTTGTTCCCATTGTATAAATATGCAATTCAAACAGTTCGTTGACTCGCTTGAGGAAGTGATACAAGTGTGGCCTGTGTATACAGTTGGTTAGCAAGGTGTAGAGGTGGCCTCAACCATTATACAGCAGTGCTGCTCGCTCACCTTATCTTAATGTAGTATCTCATGTTGCCCAATGTGATGGTGTGGATGTCCTCCTTCTCCTTGTCGATATTGCGCCAGAATGGTACTTCAAGGAAGTGCTGCTCCATTATTGCATGTATGATTGTATGATCAATGTCGAGAACCAATGACAACTTGCGATTGGCTATCAAACGCTTTGCATTCTCATTCTCTAGCTTCTGTGCCACATGTCGACTGACCGTCAGATTAGACTGTCCATGCAATATAGCCATTGTATTTGATGTCTTGCCACGATCAAGGTCTCGTCCACATACTGTACACAATCGATTGAACTGAATATCATGTGTACAATGATCAACTTGAAACAATGCATCACTTTGATTGAGTAAGAGTGAGTAAGTATGTGATTGATTGATTGAGTGATGTGATGTACGTCATTCATACCCTTTGTGATACATCTTTGATGTTACAGCTAGTACATTTGCGATGGTACCATCATAGATTGAATGGAGACGCTTCTCTTTCAATTGACCTGCGAGTTGAAACACTGCAAGAGTATCGCCACCATCGACTCGCGAACCCTTTGACACTGTACATTTTATCAGCTGACCATCCTCTTCAAATGGGTATTCAATCGATACTCTATTCATTCTTCTTCCTCTTGTCGTCTACTTTAACAAGTTATTATTAATAATGATTATGTCTTTGAACAGATGATCAAAGTTGAAGTTGGTGTGAATGAATGAATGAGTGCACTTCACCATCCATCGACCATTTTATTTGTTTGTTTGATCGATCAAATATTTGATTGATTGTGTCAACTGGAATACATCCAGTCTGGATGATATATATATACAAAAGTATCTCTCCATTGTCGTTTATTATTATTATTAATATTATTATTAAATGAATGTTTAGATTACATTTTGTCTCAATAACTCTCTCTCCATCGAATAGTTTACATATGATGAATGCTCGGCTGCTTTGTACTCCTCTACCAGACCTCCAACTGCCTCCCTATTAGATTGGTTAATTAAAGTGTCGACATGATTGATTGATTGGTTAATTAAAGTGTCGACATGATTGATTGATTGATTGATTGAGGACATACTTAGCACGATCAAACTCCTCAAGTATATCACCAAAGTTGCACTCTTTTGAATAATTCTGGATAAAGGCCTTCTTGGCCCTCAGCTTCTCATACTCATCAATGACGCCAGAGAATAACTACATTGGAAATTCGATGTTAGTGATTGCCATGATCAGTAATTGATTGGATAACAAACATACATGATGAACACTTGTGTGATTGGCCAACATTAGTCCGCTGACCTTGTGCGATGTTTGAATGTATGGTGACTTTTTGGAAAGGGCCACTTGGATGGAGGCTGGACCCCAGTTGATAAAGTTGACCAGCTTCCTCTCTCTGATTCGCTGTAGACTGTTGTGTACTTGAGTGGGATCCACCTCGCCCTGTATAATGTTCAGCACCGACATGTACTTGCCACTCTTGTACGGCGAGGACACCATGATGTTCTGTTGCTGCAGCAGACGGCGCATGACGTCGAGCACGGACGTCTTGCGCACCGACTCGGCCAGACGATCGACAGTGAGTGGCGTGTAGCCTGTGATGAGGAAGTGGCAGCGTGGTGTGGGGATGAGCGACGCCAGCATGCCGACCAGGTCGTTGTTCATGTAGCCGGGGTAGCGCAGCGTGGTGGTTGACGCCGCCATCACTGTGCTGACGAACGAGTTGGTCTGGGTGAAGGTGGGCGATTGGATGTGCAGGTGTTCCGAGGCGATTCTGTTGAGCGCCGTGTTGTCCAGCACGACCGTGCTGTCGACGTAGTTGGCCAGACGCGCCAATGTGAGTAGCGAGTTGTACGACTGCACGACGATGCCCTCGGGGTCGGGGAACACCGAGTAGGTCTGTACGATCTTCTTTGGATAGTGGTCGGCAAGCTTCTCGAGTATGAGCGAGCCCATGCCACTGCCCGTGCCTCCCGATATCGAGTGACACAGCAAGAAGCCCTCGAGCGACTCGCTGCCGTCGGCCTCTCGGTCGATCATGTCCAGGATGGTCTCGTGCACCTGATCGGCCTGACTATATCCACTGGCCCAGTTGTTGCCAGCGCCACTACCATGCGGTGAGATATATATATTCTCATTGTTATACAAGTTGGCATACTCTGATGTCTTGATCGTGTTGATTACACCCGGTTCTAGATCCAACAATAATGCACGAGGTACATAATGATCATCGTCCGATTGATAAAAGAACACATCCTTTCTATCAATACCTGGTAATGCATAATCCTCCAAGTATCCCTGTGGACTAATACCATGCTCTCTACATAGTTGTTTCCAAAACTCTGCTCCAACTATATGATTGATTGATTGATTGGTCAGTGTTAGGCCATCACCATCATGGTTGACTTGCATGTATGTGTAGTTCTGACACATACTTTGATTGCCACATTGACCAGCTTGTAATGTTATAATCTCGCGAGGCATATCTGTATGTGTATATGTATCTCTTTATCTGTATCTGTATTTGTGTTAATTGAATGAAAGTGTGAACATTCCAACAAACTTGAAGTAAAGGGTGCAATGTGGCTTTGTTTCAAAATTCGCGCCTTTTTTTGAAAGACACTTCTCCCAACTTTCAATCTCATTTCAAATCAAACCAAGTTATCTCTATCTCTATATCTCTACATATACATTATAGGATGGCAACAAGTATATTACAACCAAAGACAACAGATGTTGATATTAGGAAACATGCACAACCAAACCTTTACTGCTCATTCCCAAACCTTGACATTGTAAACGTGGCTCAGATCGAGTCAATGTGTCTATCCCGTCTCTCATGTATGTTGAACACAAGACACAAGACAATGTTGTTGGATGAGTCTACGCAATACAAGGTACACTAACACTCACTCAATCAATCAATCAATCAATCAATCATATGAATGAACATGACAGTGCTCAAGGCTATTGCAACATTTAAACATCAGAAGGAGACATATAATCAGAATGTTGGATTGATATTGAGATCATTCATTGATAGGGATGAGGAACTTTATCAGTATAAGGATGAGGCATCACACTTTTTGCTTAGGATGGCAATGGCAGAGTCAGTGGATCACGACTGGTTCATACAACAAGAGTCCAACCTACTTCGCTATCGTCTTGAACATGCCGAACCCGTCCAACTACAACAGTTCATGGAAAAGTACTCCAACTTTGGCTGGCGAACCATCACCGAAGAGGAATACCTCTTATACTCTGACGAATTTAAATACCTCGTCAAGTTATCCGTATGTTTGATTGATTGATTGGAGTGAGATTGATTGGAGTGGAGTGGAGTGAACATCCCCCTGACTAACGCGCACATGGAACATACTTAGGAATCAAAGAAAGGTGCCATAAAGAGCGACAATGTGTCTGGATCAAGACAGGACTTTTTAAAGATGCCCATGCAAGAGGTGCCAAGATTGATCTCGACAAAGAGAGTGATATTGAAGAGGGGCATCGCTTACTTGCATTGGAGCGACATGAACGAAGTGATCAATGATATTTATGGAGAGTACCTCAAGTTTGCAATGAGCAAGATTAGGGAGGACGGAAACCGTCTGACCGAGCAGTATCCCCAGGTGTCAGAGTTCTTCCACTCGCTGCCACCTCAGAGCACGACGGTCATCTCGACGACCAAGGGCAAGATCAACATCGAGGACATCCAGCCACTGTCCAGACAGTCGTTCCCCATGTGCATGCGTGTCATGTACGACAGCCTGCATCGACATGGCAAGCTCAAGCACGAGGGCCGTCTGGAGTTCAGCACCTTCCTCAAGGGCATTGGCCTGTCGTATGAGCACGCCGACAAGTACTGGAGGAGCGCATTCAGGGGCACCAAGGCAGCAGACTTTGACAAGGAGTACAGCTACACACTGCGCCACACCTACGGACTTGAGGGCAAGGGTATATCCTACTCACCATACAGCTGTGCCAAGATTATTGATAAAGTTCCAAAGGCCAGCGACGAAGTACATGGATGTCCATACCTCTGGAAGGCTGACAAACTAGAACAAAAGCTTCGAGAGATGGATGTTGACGAGATAACAATCCTGGACATTGTTAAATCAGCCGAAGTATCTCCAAATGTAAGTACATGGAATTATTCCACTCACTCAATCATTCACTCACTCATTCTTTCCAATCAAATGAACACATATCCAGTTGTCTTGTGGCAAGCACTTTGCACATCTACACAAGGACAGTAGAGTGAACCTTCCAAACATTATACATCCAAATCAATTCTATGAAGCCTCAAGAGAGTACTACAAGTTGAAAGAAGAGTTAGAGAAGAAGCAACAACAAGACAATATTACATCAGATGCCATGATACAATAACAACAACAACAATGTTGCCATTATTAATAATAACAACTGTTTAGCCATGTGTATAACAATCAATCTGATTGGAGGCCTTCTCCTAGAAAGGCCAAGGTCCATAAAAGGCAACTTTCATTGACCCCTCGCCACTGACTTCTCCAAGTTCACACAACTTGAACATCCACGCAACTCAAATAACTTCAACTTGAACAACATATACAGATACACAAGATAGAGATACAAGAACAACAACAATGTCAGCATTATTGATTATTGATGTACAATATGACTTTATGGAGGGAGGATCACTGGAGGTGAATGATGCTTCAGCGATATTGGACCCAATCAATGAGTTGAGAAAGAAGATGAAGTTTGATTTGGTCGTGCTGTCACAGGACTGGCATCCACAAGATCATGTATCATTCGCCTCAAACAACCCTGGAAAGAAGCCGTTTGACACGATGCCCTATCATGGTGGCGTGCAGGTGCTCTGGCCTAATCACTGTGTGCAGGGCTCACACGGATCAGACTTCCACAGTGGACTGTATCGAGAGCCCGAGGATGTTGTGGTGCGCAAGGGCATGGACAGGTTGGTGGACAGCTACTCTGCATTCATGGACAATGATCACAAGAGAAAGACAGAGATGGATCAGGTATTGAAGGCCGCCAACATCCACACCGTATACGTCTGTGGCATTGCCAGTGATTACTGTGTTGCATTCACATGTTTGGATGCTGTTGCCGCAGGCTACAAGACCTACCTATTAGAGGATGCATGTCGAGGTGTGGCACCAGACACCACAGCATCTCAGTTCAACAAGCTTAAAGAGAACAATGTTACATTCATTCGTTGCAGTGATCTATGCAAGCAGTAACAACAACAAGAGCAACATAATAAACGTGTATACTTATAAGAATGAATGAATGAATGAATGAATGTATTGTGTATGTGCGTCTAAATGATTGAATGAAGTAGCCTACTCTATTCGCAGCATACTTATGATGTATATATATACTATTACACAGAAGGAGTGTTTCTTCTTTGTTGTTGTTGTTGTTGTCTGCGCTCCAATCTGTCTTGACACCTTACTTCAAAAGAGCCTTGACCTCCTCGGATGTGGCAGCCTCCAAAGCAGTGCTTCCATCTGGACCAGTGACATTCTTGTTGGCGCCATGCTTCAAGAGCAAGGCGACAGCACCAGCATGGTTCTCATAGATAGCAGCCAACAATGGTGTGATACCATACTTGTCCTTACCATCAAAGTCTGCCTTCTTTGTAATCAACAACTCCAACACTGCAGTCTGGCCCTGTTGTTATGTTTGTTTGTTTGTTTGATTGATCAGATGTTAGTATTACCATCTTCATCATCATCATGCCAAACCAATCAATCAATGAATGAATGACATACAAAGTCAGCGGCCCAGTGACATGGGTTTCTCTGGTTTCCATCTAACTTCTTAACGATCTGTGGGTTGGCGTCAATGCTTGCCTTGACATTTGCCAAGTCTCCATTCTTAACAGCCCAATCGAACTCCTCTGCCTGTGCGGTCTTTCCAGCGCTCATATTTTGTTAATATCTTTATAAAGTATGTATGTATATGTAAGAAAGTAAGTAAGTGATTGATTGCCTTAACTTGTGAAGATGAAAGGTGGATATTGCTGAAAAAGTGGTCAAAATGGGTGGGAGTGGGTGTAACATCGAACTTCTGTGTGAAAGGTGAATAAACACAATAACAATCCCAAAGTCATTTCATTCATTAACACATCACTCGCTCAACTGTTTAGCATTCACCAATCAAACATTGTTATCTCTTTACACATATATTATAGTCTTCATTATAGTATTATTATTATTATTATTATTATCATTATTATTATTAGTATTCAGTTCAGTATTAGTATTCAGTATTATTATTATTTATAAACAGTACAGAGATAGATATTTAAAAGTGATTGGATTGGTAGTGCGATAGAGATAACTAGCTTACAACCAACAGTATTGCTGACTTACTACGATACTATACTACTTGACTTGTTGATCAATCAATAAATCCTCACGAACAAAAGAACGAACTAACGAACGAACGAACTAAAGGCCCGACCCATACCAAACGATCAAACAAACAATCAATCAATCAACCAATCATATATACATACATAAGGTTGATCATATATACGACATGATGGCTACTCCCGCACAACCGATTGTATGTGTTTGCTGTAATAAACAAGAATATAGAGGTGATGAAGATGATGATGACGTGATGATGATGAGGAAGCAAGGGTCATCTCTTGAATCTTGTTAGTTAGTTGATTGTTTGGGAGGATAACTTACTCACCAACACTTACTCAATCTTTAAATGATGTTAACATATAACATGTAGAACTATGGAGTCACTGAACCAATAAGCCTTGCACTCCCATCGTCATTGGACGTGAAGCTGTCTGAGGAGTTGGAGGCCACTCTGCGCAGCTATAAGTTGTTTGAGTCACCAGAAGAGAGCCGCAAGCGAGAGGAGATCCTAGGCAAGCTGGACCAGATAGTCAAGAAATGGGTCATCGAAGTCAGCTTGAAGAGAGTATGTTTGTACTTTGTTAGTTGGCAAGGCATGGTCTACTCACACACCTAATCACATCTATCAATCAATCAATAGGGATTCACTGAACAGATGGCATCAGAGGTAGTTGCAAAGATATTCACGTTTGGATCATATAGACTTGGTGTCCACAATCCAGGCAGTGATATCGATACGCTCTGCATCGCTCCAAAGCACATTATGCGATCAGACTTCTTTGAGATACTTGGTGAGGCGCTCAAAGTTCATCCAGAGATCACTGAGCTCACTGTATGTCCCTATCACTCAATCTCTCGCGATCAATCAATCAATCAATCAAACATACTAACTCATTGATGATGTCTAGTCCGTACCAGACGCATTCGTACCAGTTATCAAGATGATATTCTCAGGCATACCTATCGATTTCATCTTTGCTCGACTCTCACTGTCTGCCATCCCTGAGGAGTTGAATGATCTTATCGATGAGAACTACTTGAAGAATGTAGACGACAAGAGTATTGTCAGTCTAAACGGTTGTCGTGTCACCGACAAGATCTTGACACTGGTGCCAAACATCCCCAACTTCCGCATGGCTCTCAGGTTTATGAAGTTATGGGCAATCAGTGAGTACTTCAATATCATTCAACCAATCATTCAGACATCTATATCTAACTCCACAACCAACCAATCAATCAATCAATCAGGGAGAGGCATCTATGGCAATGTGTTTGGATTCCTCGGTGGTGTATCATGGGCTTTGTTGACCGCGAGGATATGTCAACTGTATCCAAACGCTGCGCCAAGTACCATCATTCACAGATTCTTCAAGATCTATGAGAACTGGAAGTGGCCAACCGCTGTATTGTTGTGTCCAATCCAGGATGGTGGTCTGTTTGCCTCCAAGGTTTGGAACCAAAAGGTAACGATTATGATGATGATGATCCATTGATTGATCAATCACTAACAATGATCCATCCAACCAAACATACATGTAGAGAGACAAGAGTCACTTGATGCCCATCTTGACACCGGCATATCCTTCGATGAACTCAACGTACAATGTGTCAAGGTCAACACTTAGCTTGTTAAAAAGCGAGTTTGTCAGAGGCGCAGAGGTGACCAAGCGACTGGAGCTACACGAGGCCACCTGGAACGAGTTGTTGCAGAAGGCCGACTTCTTCACACGATACAGATACTACATTCAGATTGATTGTTCAGCTCACAACGCAGAGGAGCACAGGAAATGGTTTGTTGTTTGCGACTCACGAGAATGAGATGGATGGATGGAGCCCGCCAATACTGACACAATCAATCTATCACTCATTCAACAACATATACAACAGGGAGGGATGGATTGAGTCGAAGCTTAGATTGCTGGTATCGAACCTGGAACAAACGCCCAACATGAAGTTTGCGATACCCTATCCAAAGAATTTCGAGAATAAAGCCGCTGCTGCTAGCCAGCCGACTGCACCGGCTGGTGGCGGCATTGGAGGTGGAGGAGCGACAGCAGCGACAGGCGACGGAGCGACGGCGACAGGGGGCGGAAGCGTATGCACAAGCTTTTTTATGGGTTTGACGTTCAATTTCTCGACGGCGCCAAACGCTGACAAGAGCGTTGATTTGACGCGAGCCGTCACTGACTTCACAGCACTCATCAAGGAGTGGGCTGGCAAGACCCCCAACATGGACATGTCGGTGCACTACATCAAGAAGAAGCAGCTGCCCATCTTTGTCAAGGACGAGGGCCCCGAGGAGCCCGTCAAGCAGAAGAAGCGAAGCATCACAGGTGACAACTCCAGAACCAAGAAGGCTCGTACTGACTCACCCGGCACCTCCACTGCAAAGAATGCTGCGACAACAGGTCCCACTGCTGCTAAACCAAGCGCATCAACCACCTCAACAACCTCTACCTCGACCTCATCAACTGGCACTTCTCCAACACAACAACCAAAGTCTAGTGATCCATCTTCCAATTCACCTGGCTCTCCCAAGCAACCGATTGTCAACATCACAAGTGATGCTAACAACACCAACGCGACGACCACTGGCAATCAACCTGTAAATAGTACACCAACAACGGATGTCAACTCTACTACTACTACGACTCTGGCAGCGGCCACATCATCATCATTGACATCGAGCAGTGAAGAGAATCCAACTACTACCACAACAACAACAACAACAACCACTACTACTACTACAGCAACAGAGATTCAAGAAAAGTCAGTCAGCATCAACGCCAACATTGATGTCACCGAGTTGGACTTTATCTCATCGTCCGCCTCAGACTCACGTCCATCATCAAAGAAGACAATCAATCTCATTCGTGGATAGTTATCTCTTTCTGGTCCATTACTACATGGTCCACAAGAACAGTTCATTGGTACTCTTGCTCAATCAATCAATCATTCAATCAATCAACAACAACAACAACATGTCAATCAATCAAACAATCAACTTTCTCTCCCTTTCTCTTTCTCTCACTTTCTTCCCACAACCTGGTTTAGGTAAGCACCAACACTACTCAACTACAACAACAGCATCATATCAATCAAATGAGGTAGACGACTACACCTCCATCCAGATAACCGGCAACCAACAACAATTGTTTATGTCCTTGCGATCAAACGCCATTTAAATAAACTATGCATAAATTGATGACTGTTGTCATCCCTAACTCCGTGCCTTGTAATGTGTGTAGGTATGGGTAGGTCGACCGAATAGAGGACCTCTTCTCATGACTTTGAAGCGACCTACTTAGGCCTCGCCTCACTCCTATCTTTGTGAATCGTTGAATGAATGAGCGTGCCGAGATGCCTCTGGGATGAGTTCCAATTTCCAAAAGAAGTAACTTTGGTAAGACCCAACCTAGATTGATATTTAAGGGGTTCCACCTTATTGCAAATTGCCATTTATATCCAAGTTAGATTCATTCAAAAGGTATCACCACCCACATTCACATTCATATTTACATTCACACATTCATTATTCTCACACTCACTATCAATCTCAAAGGATGTATGAATGAACGGATTCTGAATTGCGATGCGATGGCAATGCATACTCCTCCAACCTCTTTCATCTAACCCACATATTCCACAAACAATACAATACAATTGTAAATGGAGGCAATGGGGAATGTCCTCAATCCTGGAGGAACATATTTAATCACACTCTTATTCAATAACATAAATATATTCATAATAGAGATAAAGAATAATCATTCATTATTTACTCAATCTAAATTAATAGAGATAATTTCATATAATAATATCTTATACCCCAACTCTTTAAATATACAAAATGTACACTAGGACACAGAACCTGACTGGATACAAAGGAAAGGCCAAGAAGATTGGTAAGTTATGTTATATGTTTGGTCAATTCAAACTTTAATGAATGAATAGATTACTAATCCTTAACTAAATATATTTATAGGTGCTGACAGCCATGCTACTCCACATAGAAGATTCCATCATCCAGAGATTGATACCGACCAGTTCATAATTCCACCAGACAGCGTCTACAAGTTCAAGAAGAATGGAGATACCCTAAGAGGAGGTAACAAGGAGCAGAACCTTTGGTAAAAACAACATTTATTACTTATCATAACTACATTCCTTCATTGAGTTGAATGATGTATCAAAGAATAAGAATAAAGTATATTGTTGAAGATCCAACAATATTGCTGAGTAGTGAATGGTTGTCAATCTGATAGATAGGAAGTTGTTATCCTTTGTGGACAACAACTTGACCGAAGTATCGACACTATCCTATTCATGTAAATACCAATATATTATCTTTACTTTACATTATTTCAGAGATCATTGGTGTCCGATGTTTGATAAAAATTGGTTGAAAGGACCTTTGGAGGTCTTTTTTGAGGGCCTTGGCCTTTTCTCACCCCCGCTGTCAACAACAACAATGTTTGATTCGACCCCGAGATAAGGCACGAAGAATGTCAAACTTGGGTGACAAGTGTCAATCAATTCAGACTTTGAGACTTCAGTCTCTCAGACATTGTGACACTCTTGCAAGCAATCACCCACTAAAGTCAAGGTCTTCATCATGTCGTTGACACGTGCTACCATCGCGGCGCATCATGATCTCTCAAACTTATGTCGACAAGACCAAACTGCCTGAATGAATGACTGGATGACTTTGGTGAGTGTGTCTAAATATCAACAACTTGACACTACTAATAAATGAACGTTTCAAGACCTCTCTCTCTTCTGCTGGCTGAATGAATGGAACCGCAGAAGGGTCGTGGTCCAGGCCTCTAAAGACGGACCATCACGCACTCCTTCGTTGTTGACTGACACCAATAATGTTGTTCTCCTAGATTAGACACTCAGACACTCATTCACTCATTCATACTTACAGACAACAACAATAACAGGCAGTCGAAGCTCATTCATAGTTAGATAGCATGGCAATAACAAGATCTTAATTAATACATACTACATAACAGGTACACAGACATACAGACAGTCATACTCATACATACATATCAATATCAACATCGACAGTCACATTCACACATCAACATACTGCCAACAACGATATCTTGCAGCAACATCCATCCATCAACATACACTGCCCTCATAATCATCATCCAAGTCCTTCAATCTCAACATCGAGGTAGGTAGGTTGGTAGCCATCATCTCCACAACCACTCTCACTTCTGTCATCTGGCTTTAAAGGAGTCTGCCTGGCATTCCACACAACAACAACAAACATTGGTGTGGTAGACACTAGTCTCATTGATGATGAACGTTAAGGTCGACTCGTGCAATCAATGTTGCATTGGATTGGACTGGATTGGATTGTTGTTAAAGGCGACCACCATTTTGGTATCGGGTCTCAAAGGACCTGTTGCCAGTCTGGCATATGGAATATACAGATTATGATTATTATTGTGATTGTGGTGATACAAATATATTATATCTAACAGCAGATGTTTATATATATTTATACATAATGATTGACACATCAAATTCATATTGCCATCATGTCACCAACATCATCAAGCTTTCACACTGGCAACTCAATCTATCCATTTCCACCTTCACCCCGTGGGCCTAGCCCTCCTTCCTCCTACACTCGCCACACCCACACACTAAATCAATCAATCACACACTTCACACACACTCTCTGCGCTGGGTGAGAGAGTTGATGTATGGAAATCGATCACCCACTTGTGGTCCTTGGTATACATACATCTATCTCCATAGTGCGTGTGCGGGCAAGGGCATGCCACGCAACCTATCAACTCCCATCATCCACACATCATCAATGTACCTTGTGCCATTGATTGTTGTAGTGGCAGTGGCAGTAGATGTGGCAGTGGCATAAAGCAACAACTCCGTTAGTCAGCTTGAACTGACTCCCATATCATCCATACCATCGATATCAAATAACATCCCTTGGAGTGGCGTCACATGTTCCCCAGCTCCGCTTCATTCAATCACACAATCACACACACCAACATCAACAAAGTGATGTCCTTGCCAATCCATACACTACAAATCATACTTACCATTTGTATTATTAAGGCATTGTTCATTCAATCTACTCGCGGCCAGTCCAGCCCAGCCTCTTGCTCGCCCACTCACTCAATCACTCAATCACTCACTCTGTCAACTTGTTCCACACATCACATCACATTACATCACATGTATCACATTTATACATATCATAACATACACTCTGATGATCAGTATCCACCTTTTTGGCATGTTATAGCAGGTGGCATGCCTTCCACTCAGGGGGCACTCACCATTTAGTTGTTACCTTTCATTGTTGTCCACAGGTAGACACACCAATCCATCCATCCATCATCCTTCCTTCCATTCCAAGCCCATCCATCCATCGATCACATCTATATGCCTGCCTGATTGCTTGCTTGCTTGCCAGCCCCCATAGCAATTATACATCCATCAATCACTCACTACTCTATCCTATCACTCTCTCTCTATATTTGGACTGATATCATCTACATCAATCACCATTTGACCTTATTACAACTATCAACTCTATTTATCTATCTTTTTATTTATTTGATGATCTGTCTCTCGTCGTACACATCAACAACATTTGAAGAACAAGAACAAGAAGAGGAAGAAAGGCACTGACTGTCATCCATCATCACCTACCACCACTTACGTCCACAACACTCTGGTCGACCAGTCAGTCATCTGTCGTTCATTCATTGCCAGGCCATCATCCACCAAATCCAATCTTATCAATCGATCAATCAATCAATCCAGCGTCACACACACACATATCAATCAATCAATTTTATAAATCGTACCTGGCAACAATCAGAGTCTCTGTCCAACCAACCAAGATCACTAACCATTATTTATAACTTATTATTATTAATATTACTACTTTACACTTATAAGATATCCCCAATAACTATAAATATTTATTATTAATTATTCCAAGTCAATCAACAAAATATGGCTTCAATCAGGACATCCTACCCGCCACAGCCCATCGCTCCATTGCCCTCTATCCATACCACAGCATCAACTGACAACAACAACATCATTAATAATAATAATAATAGTGGCGCACATGCATCAATGGATGAGATGGAGAACAACACAACAATGAATATCGATCGCAATCAAAATCACAATAATCATCACAACAATCTCCGATTTGCCAACACACCATCAACACCGGACCACACCGGCAGCATCCTGGCGCCATTCCAGATACCCAAGCAGAATTCCAAGTACACATTGCCAACAGCCATCCTACATTCACACTCCCAATCACATCCCAACCTCAATGCCCACAACAACACCAACAATAACATCAACTCCAAGTATCCACCGGGAAAGAAGTCCTCCTCGCTGGAGGGCGTGTCACTACCCTTCAATAACAACAACCACGTCAATGGCTTTCACACGAGCGGACCCTTCCGCTCAATCTCCACCTCCTCCTCACCAATGACCTCGCCATCACCATCACCCACATCAATGCCAACCCTGCGCAACACACCACCCTCGGGCTCGGCCACTGTCCAATGGCCCTGGGACGTTACAAAGTATTTCGAGACCATCAACATGGTCATCGATGACATGGAGACCAAGTTGAACAAGGAGACACCATCCAGGAACATCATAGGTATGTGTTTGGTGAATCCTGCCCTCCTCACCCGGGTCGCGACTAACATCCATCAATCCACCTTCTTAGATTACAAGATATTCAAGACTTTGATATCCAGCCTGAGGAACCAGGTGGCCTCCACTCAGATCAATCTCCAGACACTACTCCATGACAGGGAGATGGAGATTGAGGACATGATGAGTGAGTTATCCAAGCTGAGGAGTATGATTCACTTCTCAAAGGACGACAAGCTCAAGATCAGTTCTTTGGTGTCCTCAAACAAGAGTCCAAACAATTCTTACTATGCTGGTAATGCTTCAAAGGCCCCACTCTCACTCTTGGACGACGATGATGGTGAGCTCAACATCAGTGATGACGATAGTGATGGTGAGCAATCACTTCATCCAAGAAAGATGTTGAAGAAGGATCACAATGGAGCATCAACGAGTCAACAACACTTTACCAACAAGCCACGTATAATCAGTCATCATTCATTACCAAACATTAACTCGATCAACTCAATCAATGGCAACAATGCACCCGTTCAGAAGCCACCAAAGGAGGAATGGGCCACCGAAGTCCTTCTTAATCTCAACACATCATCCAATGGTACATCGGCCAATGCGGCACAACATGCACTGATCACTGGCCTGCTTCAGAACAGCAATCACTCCTCTCCCAACAACAGTCCACCACATGAGCTCCAGGACCAACAAGGCAAGACCACTCCACCCAATGGTCAGTCCGCCACCGCCAAGCCACAGCTTCCTCCAACCACTACCAAGTTCAACTTTGTCCCTCACGATCTCTCCGGAATGAACCCAGTTGCCAATGCCAATGCCAACCCCAACGCAAACGCATCAGCGGCTGCTGCGGCTTCAGCCATGGTCACCCAGTACCAAGCCAGCGATTTCCAGAGCTCCAGTGACAATGAGGACGACAAGTCCAATGACAACGGTGGTACCGGCGGCTCATCTGGCAAGAACAAGAAGAAGAGAGGCAAGCTCCCATGCGAGGCAACGTCCATCCTGAAGAAGTGGTTGTTTGAGCACAACATGCATCCTTATCCAACTGAAGATGAGAAGGCTGTGTTGGCCAGCAGCACCACCCTATCCTTCAGCCAGATCAACAACTGGTTCACCAACGCCAGACGTCGCATTCTGCCGCGTCAGCTGGACCGCAAGGTATATGGCAGTCCACTCTTTTCGCACTTCTCCATGGTGAACAAGTGATCACCCAACCGTACTCATCCAATCAGTCAATCAACCAATCAATCAATCATATATTACCGAAGGTGGAATCTATCATTCATCACACCTATCCACAAGTTTGGTGGCCTGTAAATATACACATACTTGCTTCGTTGTGTTCCCGCGTGGACACGACGCGCGTTGGCATCCATCCAGGAGTCCCACCCCAATCCAATCCAATCCAATCCAAATCCAAACCTTGTAATAAATAACCTTAATTTATTCGATCCGATCAATCAATCAATCAATCAATCAATCAATCATTGGCTAGAAGGTAATAATAATATATGCGCAACAGTGTCCAATGACTTCCAAAGCCAGAGTTTGTGCGCGTGTGTATGCCCTGGCGGTCCAGGGCAGGAGGACAGGGTAGAGATGTCCTAAGCTCTTACAAATACATGATAGTGGAACACATCCTTGATACTTTGGAGGTAGACAGGGTTCTGGAAACATACATATCGCTCACTGTATTCGCCCAGTGAATGATGATGTTGCAAGTACTGTCTGACCTCATCCATTGACAAAGGTAGTAGACACCATAGTACATAATGAGTGATGTCATCTTGGCAGTTGTATGGGAAGTCATTCGGTCTAAACACAATCCTCTGTTCTACGTTATCCGGTACGATTACTCTCTTCTTCTTCTTGCTGTTGATGTTGTTGGAAGCTTCCAGATTGTCTGCGTCAATGTCCAAAACTGGGAAATCAAAGAATACAGAGAGTATGTAATCTCTGAGAGTGAAATAGTTGTCTTTGACCCAAAGTGAATGTTCGCGCATCCTTTGTTGATGTTGATCCTTTCTGCCTAGTTCATGTACTCGTCCCTCCTCTATTATAATCTTTAGATCATGCCAACTTCGTTCTATTAGGCTATTCTCATGTGAAGGAGGTGGTCCACCAATGATTGATGTAGTCGCTGGTTGGATTGATACCATACTACTATGATATATATATATATATATGTAATGTTATTATCTGTACAAATGAGTTCGTTCAAGATGATGATGATGATACATCTAACACATCGTCCATCATCAATCGATCAATCAAACAGTCCAAACTGCATGCATTATAATATCTTGGATTTTTGTGATCGACCTTGAACTTAGTTTTCCAAGCACATATTCGTGTGATCAATGTCGGTATTGGGAACTTGCGAGCAATACTGCTGCCATCCGACCGACCTCATCAGTTACTGACTCACTGACTGACTGACCGACTCCATCCATCAATGCCATCCATCAATCAGGTGGTAAGGGGTTAAACACTGATGAGAGTATGCCCAGAACATTGGTGTTGTCGCCTTTGTCCAGATTCAAGAATCCACAATTGAGTGATTGCTTTGCGAGGAATAGTAATGATGTGTTGGAGATCCTTCTGATGTACACGGTATGGTTACAATGCTTGATTGTTCGGACGTTCTTCATATGCCCGAACGGTATACCATCGATAGCTGGCAGCCTGGTGCTCATCTGCAACCACAACTTCTCCACAGTGGGCGGGATGCAGTGTGGTCCGAACGAGTTAAATCCGTAGCTCAATACCAGCTTGCGTAGAGATGGTGCCCAGCCCTCCATCAGGTCGCGATTGAACATGCCTCCAAAGCTGATGCGTGTGACACTTGCGGGGATGGTGCCGACTGGTAGCTTGCAATTGAACTTGCCACCGAATTTTATAACTTTGAGCGTGCCTGGCAGTGTGCCAGGCTTGTGCAACTCCTTGTCAAAGTTCTCTCCAAACTTGAGGTTGACAAGTCGTCTTGGCAACACCATGTCCTTGAGCTCTTGATTGAACTGTTTGCCAAATGTCAGTGATGTAAGACTCTGCGGTAGTGAGCCCGCCTGCAGTCTTTGGTCGAAATGGTCGCTGAGAGTGAGTGATTCGAGATGCTCGGGGAAGTGGTCGAGCAGGCCGTCAATGCCAATCCTGATTGTATTGACTAATGGCGGTATGAAGTGATGGGCCAACTCGGCCCCTCCAATGTCCAACCTCTGTAGATTAGGTGGCAGCTCGACAGACACGTGTTGAGTGAATCCCTTTTCAAACTCTAGCGATGTGATTGATCGCGGCAGCTCGCAAGTGATTGATTGAAAGTACTGACTTGGAAATATGAGTGTCTCGACGTTTGGAGGGAGATTGAGTAAGCTGAGGTTCTTTGATACGCGCAATGTCTTGATCGATAGTGGCAGTTTGGCCCCAACCATCATCATGATAAAGTCAGGCATCTCAAAGTGAACGACTCTTTCGGGTATGGAGTCGGGATGGAACACCGCACGATAGGGCATTTCGAACTTTAGGTAGGTGACACTCTCGGGGATCCATCCAGCAGGAACATCCAACCAATTGACAACCGAGTGTGGAGACAGTGTCAAGTGAGTAACAGTCGATGGGATGATCACAACGTTTGAGTTGGTGAGCAATATCACTGTGGCACACGCTGGAAGCTCCTTGACATGGTCATCCATGAGATGAGTCATCCCATACTTCACGGTCAACTTGTTAAGATTGCGAGGATAGCAATCCAATGGGATGTTGTCTGGATTGACCAGAGCCAGCGAGTCCAAACAATCTAATCGAGACCTGTTGACTCTTTGCAAGCTCTTGAAATCTCCAAAGTAAAGCTTTACTTCATGTCCGGCCATCACCGTATTCTTGTGTACCCTGTAGAGGCCGACAGAGCCACCGGAGAGTTTTGGAGAACGACCAAGTAGTTGACATAGTTCATTCAATTTGGAATCGGTTGAGATTGATGGCAGATTGAGACGTATATCGTTGAAGAAGTTTGAAAGCAGAGGCAGCCAACTACGTGTCATGAACCTCTGTCCATTATAAAACTGTTGTATTCTCTGATTACAATGCCTTGTCTGTCTGATACGCAATCCATAAGTTGTCTTGCAAACCAAACAGAATGATATAACATCCAATGTACGTTCAATATATCCAGCTATCTTCTTTAAAATCAACACTGGGAGCATCATTATCTGTTGTTGATGTTGTTGTCTTTGAATGATTGATCTTCAAAAGCAAAGGGTACCCCCTTTGAACCTCAAACTTAAATGAAGGGAGGTCCTTCCCCTACTCTTACCCTTAGCTTTTGATAATTCACTCAAAGACACACAGATAGAGACAGACATAGAGATACAATTGATTGAGTGAGTTGGAGATCAAGAAGTATAATGAGTATACCAACATTCTATACACCAAAGACTCCATCGACCACTGGATCAGGAGTGACACCAACGACAACATCATCATCATTGGCAGCATCACAACCTCAAAAGGAAGCGGTCATTGGTACAAATGATGATGCAGCCTCATGTAAACTGTTGATATCATTCATTCATTCATTCATGTACTGGAGTCCAATACAACCATTCTTACAAACAACACCAACAGATCAGCTGTAAATATAGGATATTACAATGACAAGTATGTTCATTACTTTGTCAAGAAGCCCATCAGAAGACCTCCTTTGATCAATCGTGGATTCTTCTCTCGTGTCGAAACGATCGAACAGCTCACCCAACAGTTCTTCTCAATATACTCTGGTTGTCCAACAGTCCAAATAGTCAATCTAGGCTGTGGCTATGACACCTTCTACTTTAGACTTAAGGTATGTTGATGTTTGATTGATTGATTGATGGAGTATGAATGAGTGAGTGGCTAACAAGACGACAACATAACAGAGTAGAGGACTGGTCAAGAATGTAACATACTTTGAGGTGGATTATGACAAGGTAGTCACTAACAAGATAAAGATCATTCGATCTTCGAGAGAGTTGATGGATCTCATTGTGGAGGAGGGTCAGGATCCTTCATTGGTTGTACAAGACACTCGTATAATGTCCAAAGATTATAGATTGACGTCAATCGATCTGACAGCAAGCCGAGATGTCATTGACAATGTATTCCAATCACTCAACATTGATTACAATGCTCCAACAATGTTCATAAGCGAGTGTGTAATAGTCTATATACCAACAGAGTGTGGCAACACCCTAATCAAATGGGCTGCCGACCGGTTTGCCGAAGCAGCCTTTATAACATACGAACAGATCAAACCCTATGATGAGTTTGGTGCAATGATGATCAAGAATATCGAGGTATGTCGTAACTGAATGGACATGGACGCACTTGGACTGACCTGGACTAACCTGACACAGAACAAAGGATGTCCACTTCTTTCAATCACATCATTTCCAGAGATCAAGGATCAGAGGAACAGGTATCTTTCATTGGGTTGGAAACGAGTTGATGTACTTGACATGCTGAATATATACAATCAATTCATAACCAAGGAAAGACGTAAAGAGTAACTATGATTGATTGATTGAATACTCATGGACATGGACATGGAAATAACTAACAATTAATGTCAACCTAAAGGACTGAGGTATTAGAGATATTTGATGAGTTTGAAGAATGGAATATGATTCAAGGTCATTATTGCTTCGTGTTGGCCATCAAGAGTGTAGATCAATCAAAGACTGTTCAATATCACTTTGAACAACAACAACCGATGCCGACATTGGCAAGTGGTACGAACACAGTGTCGTCCACCACATCAACAACACCTGCAAAGAAATAACAAGTAGTTAGTTAGTGGTCATCAATTATTGGTCAACATCAACACTATTATTCGTTCAAACCCGATACCAGATACTATCTAATTATTGAACTCAACACCTCCTTCACCGTATTGTTGGGAACTGATCCACCTACCTAAACATCACAACGCCAACCATCCATTCGTGTAACATTCGTGTCTGGTACGATTAGTGATCCACAAGTATGGGCGAGACCCGAGATAGATAAAGGGTAGGCTTGAGAGTGAGTGGAGAGAGATACTCTGAGACCATTTGGAACCCATCGGCATTAACTAAACAATTGGTCCACGGATCACTTATGACTCCAACAACAGGTATGAATCTTCGTCGGTGATTGGGCACCACACAATCTAAAGATCGTTAAGTTACTGCAAACGACTTGATACATTTTGTGATTGGATAAAATAATTTCAAAATAATTCAGAACAAGCTGCTGAAATTTCAATACATTGGAGTGCTAAGCTCGTGGTCTTTACACAGGGCGATGAGCCTAAGGCCAGTGTCACAAATGCAAAGCAATTTCAAGTGGGCACCAAGTGATCCCCAATACTCAAAGATATTTTACATCAATTAATTTTTTAATTGTTTTATGTTACTACTTCACACAAACACACCACAAAGCTTAAAGAGGCTTAGGCCTCAGGCGGATGTGTGTTGCCGGTAACTTATGTGTGTAGACAGTACACCAACCACACACCTCGGGTTGATAGACTTGCCCATCCACACCTCTCCTCCTATCCTCATACCTTGACTTATAAATCAAACAAGTCACATCATCCTAAACATTTAATTATAAATACACATACATATAATATAATCAAACACATACATATACATAAACAAAATGTACAAGTCATTCATTGCTATCTGCTTGCTGTTTGTCGTTGTTGCCAACGCTGACATCTGGACCAACTGTGGTACCCCATCGGACAAGTTCACCATCACCAACGTTGTGATCACCCCAGACCCCCCCATCAAGGGACAGGAGATCGTCGTCTCTGCCTCTGGCACTCTTTCCGAGACCGTCACCGGTGGCACTGCCCACATGACCGTCAAGTATGGATTCATCACCGTTTTGAACAAGCAGGAGAACCTCTGCGACATCCCCAACAGCCCATACCCATGCCCAATCGCCGCCGGTCCATACTCTAGAACCGTCAACGCCACCATCCCAGGCAACGTCCCAGGTGGTTCCTACAAGATCAACGTCGTCCTCAACGACGAGAACAACGCAGAGATTGCCTGTATCGATGTTGCTGTCAAGTTGTAATTTCAACAACTTATCTGTTTGTTCCAATAAATACTCTATACCTTTAAAATCAATAAGTTATCTCTTTATCTCTATCATTCAGCGAGGGTAAGGGCGAGGGCAAGGGTAGTGTAAGTGTGTTGTTGAAAAGTTCACTTTTGAGTATTCGCGCGCACTTCCATCGTGTGTTCGACAAGTTTGAACTTATATTACTAATCTCATAGTTATACGATTGATCTGTTATAGATATTTATATATATTATCATATACTTAGTAGTGCAATATGAGTAATAAACAAACAACAAATGAAAGAAGACAGATTAGAAGAGAGTATAGATTGCTGATACAGGATACACAGAGCAAGAGACAGGACCTAATCCAACCAGAGAACAATGGACTGTCTGAACTACTCAAGAAGGGAGAGGATATATATAGTAGAGGTATGTCTTGTACATTACACCATCCTACAACTCAGTGATAACTAACTTGATCTTTGATTGAATGTGTACAGTACAACACCCTAGAGAGGCAGCATTGGACTCTGAGCTGCTGAGTCTGGCGTCACAACTTGGTTTGGAACAATCACAGAAATTCAAGGTCACCTTTAACTCGTTTGATAGCGAGGGTTTCATCACTAGAGTGAGGGACCATCTTATGCAACTGAGTGAGGACAATGATGTCAATGAACAAGGATGGAATAGGTTTGGTCAGGCCGTGAACGAGCATTACAACACCGTGCCCGAGTTTGACTTTATGTACGGCCCAATGAACATTGAGATCGTGGAGAAGCAACGCAAGCAGATACAACGTCGTGCCAAGGAGGATGTCGGCAAGGTCGAGCACGCAGAGAAGGTCACCGACACAGAGACCGCGAATGCCGAGTCGACAAGTGGTCGTGTCCAGGCGATGAAGCAGTACATTGAGAAGAAGAGAAGGATCGACTTTTTGGACATGGTCGTCAACAAGCAGTCGTTCTCAAAGACGGTCGAGAACATCTTCTATCTCTCCTTCCTTCTCAAGGATGGTCAGGCCCGAATCAGCAACACTGATGGCTTTGAGAATGTTGAGGCTTCTCAGCCTCCCGACGAGAAGGACTACACAACTGGCAAGGCTCTCCAAAGACATTCAATCATCAAGATGGACTATGAGACATGGCAGGTATGTGACTCATAAATCAATCATTCGCTCACTTTATCAATCACTTACACGCATCACATATACTACTCCAACTCAGATGATGACAAAGTTAACGAGCACGCTGGACGACTTTGATATCACGCAGAGACCACAACCAGTCGTTTCAGTCACAGAACCAGCAAGGCAACAACAAGATGATAGAGCAAACAAGAGACAGAGGAAATAGAATACACCGTCGCAGACTCTTACTGAGCCTGTTGTATAGTAGTTGTAGTCGTAGTCATCATAGTAGTAGTAGTTCGATCGTTCGAATTTAGTTAATTGATCAATGCAAGCCTTTGTTCTTGATGATACTGGTCTTTGATGGCGTCGATGCTGCGGATGACTGCGCAATCTGGTTCGATTTGCCTGTAAAGTCATGCTTGTATATTGGCAACGTCTTGCTAGATGGAAGATTGGACTTGGTAGCAATTGGCGCTGATGCTACCACTTTGGAGGTATTGGCAGTGGGCGGCTCGGGCACATCAACGTCATCAAAGCTGAATTCTTCATCATTCGCATTATTGCTCATTACTGGGACTGGTGTCTTTGTCGCTGTTAATGTAGCTGCTGCTGTCTTGGGGATGGGTGCAACAACAACAGGAGGCAGAGGAGTAGTCGTTGTTGCAAAGTAATTTGGTGGAGAATGGCTTCGATGTGGAGTGGTAGTGGTCGTGGTTGTGGACGCCAGTGAGGGAGTATGAAGAGAGAGTGGCTTGTTCAATGTGAGAGGAGTGTTCGTTGGGTTTAATCGCAAGGGTGTAGTCAGCTTGGCACCTTGGCTGCTGGGCGGGGTCAATGACTTGATTGGTGTAAGAGTGGAAGCATTGAGATTTGGATTGGGATTGGCCAGTGTAACAGCAGATGGATTCAATGTAGGTTTGACAGTGAGTGTTGCCGCGGCCAAGGCTCTTCCACCCGCCGATGCTGTTATGTCTTCTTCAAAGTCGTCGCTGTAATGATCCATTATGGCTGGTATATTGTTGTCCTTGCGTGTCGTGATATTCGCATTGGCATTCGAATTCGCATTCATAGTCGTCTTTAAACTTGTCGGCAAGTTCAGTGATTGCGATGAGGATTGTGGTTGTTGTGACAATGACAATGTCTTTGATGGAGATGCCATTAATGTAGGAGCAGCAGTGGCCAGTGATGGTGTCAGTGATTGAGGTTTGGCGGGTGCGGGAACCAATGTCTTTGTAGTCGTCGTCGTCGGGGTTGTTGTTGTCTTGCTTTGGGGAGTCGGTTGTTTTGTTGGAGTCGCTATTGTCTTGTTAGCTGGTTGGCCAGCCTTTGTTTGTACTAAAGCTGATGGAGCTTTATATTCATCACCATGCTCATCATCATTCGTCCTCTTATATTGTTTCTTTGCGTAGCTTGCTATTGATGGTGATGTCGAACAGTTAGTCACTCATTCATTCAACATCATGGCATAACATACGTTTAGACTTGTTATATTTGCTTGTTTTCTTGTTTGGTGGCGGTGGCGGAGGATTCAGACCAAGATTATCAGCGTGTAGCTTCTTAGCCATTTTCTTTTCAATCAGTTCCTTCTCTATTTGTTCTTGTGTCTTGATTGGTATGTCTTGATATATTGATTTGGGATTGTACTCAACAGGGTTGTCCTTTTGTAACATCTATGTCAATGATTGATTGGAGAGAGAGGGTGAGTGAATGAGTGAACGAGTGATCGATGGTGGCTGCCTTGATTGATTGATTGTATCCTAATCCATACCTCAAACTCTTGTGTTGCCTCTTCAACTCCTGGATCGTTGGGCGAGTAGACAAAGTCGATGTTTGAGATGACAATGTTGATGTAATGTGACGTTGGTGATGGGCTGAATACGGACGTCTTGCGAAGTACAAGAATCCAACCGTTTGCCAACTCGGGATAATAGTCGCCAACGATCTTCTTCTGAATGATGCCCTTCATCTCGCCAGAGGGATCACTGATCACAGTTTGATAGTCGCCCTCTGAGGCCACCAATGACTTTATCATCACCACAAGCTGTGGCACCTTCTTTTGATAGCCCTCTCGCAGTACATAATCAATGTTATACTTGAGCAACGGGTTGTTGTTAGGGTTCTCTGTTGTCATGGAGGATATGGTTAGCTCGTGGAGGACATGTTGTCATGCGGGCAGGACAATGTTTACCGAATGGAGGAAGACCCCTGTTCTTGAGCATTAGGACCCAGGGTCCTTTGGAATAGTCGACGGGGAACATGTCATAGGTGAATGAATCTTGGATTGTGGCCTTCATGAACACTGTGTTCTTGATGATTGGTTGTTGCTGTTTGTTGGCCCCGACAGAGGGGATGGTCTGGCCCTGTTTCAAAGGAGGCAGTGATCCCGCTGGTCCAGGGAATCTACGTGTTGGTGTATTGTTGTTGATATCTACAGGTTGATTATTGTTGATGTTGTTGTTGTTGTTGTTCGCATTCACATTGTGATTGACGTTTGGGTTGACACTGATGTGTGCCGATTGATCGTTCTTAATACGCTTGGTCGATGCGTTTAAAGGTTGTTGTTCATCATTCTTGTAAAGTGTTTGCCGTTGTTGTTGTTGAGGCGCTGCTGATGTCGAATGTGTCGGCTGCTTTGGTTTGATAAATTGATGATCATCATTGTTGTTGTTATGTGTGGACTGTCCAGCAGCACTGGTCGTCGTAGTCGTCGTAGATGTAGTCGTTGGTGCAGGCTTTGAATGTGACTGTACAAAGTGCTGATGTCTACTCTGTAGTATGTTCTGAAAGTTCCCCTTCTGTATCAGATCACTTGTATACTGTGTCGATTGTGACTCTGTCATTGATATATCAAAGTTCTTCGCTGTCTGTTGTTGTTGTTGTTGTTGCTGCTGTTGCTGTTTATGTACATTGATGGGTGCAGCAGCAGCGGCAGGTCGTTGTTGTTGATGCATCGTTGTATCAACATTGTTGTTTGGTGCTTTGATCGTTGAAGTTGTTGTTGATGTTGGTGTAGTTGAGGCAGAAGTTGTGACATTATGTATTGGCTGTTGTTGTTGTTGTCGTATCTGTAAAGGGTTCTCCTTGGGAGCCAAAGCTTTGGCCACTGGTACATGAACATTCGTATTGTTACTGCCATTTGTGTTTATGTTGGTGTTGGTGATGTTTGTGTTGATGTTGACCTTGGCATTGTCATTGTCATTGTCACTGTCAAAGTCCAAGCCTTCAAGATCTTCATCGCCATTGTCCATCTTGGTTGATTGATTGTTTGATCGAGTATAAGTGAGGGGTGTGTCAAATGATGTACATCAAAGAGAAAACAGGAGCGAACACTTCTGAAAGGTCAATTTCAAATTTACAAGAAAACATTTTATCTCTTTATCTCTATCATCTCACTTTGCAACTTGTTCTTCGGTTCCTCAGCAGATGGAAACCACTTGCATTGTCAATCCCAATCGCATCGCAAGGTGGAGGCTCCATCATAAAAACTTCGTCGATGCGATTGCTGATGATGATCTAGCACTCTACCGACCCTGCCAACAGCATGCTTCTGTGCATCTCTACAACCATGACACTTCTTTGGCAATGGTAAACCACGTCTGACATAGAATGATTGTTCACTCGCATTCAATATCCATGACTTGTAGCACAGCGTGCAGCGCTTGGTCTGACCGACAGGAGACAATCGTCTAGTCGTTGTATGAGTAGGAGTAGGACTATACACTGGCAGTAGTCCTGCTGATGCATCGTCAGCAAGTTGTTTCTTGACAACACGACATGGACGACAGGTCCTTGGCAGTGGTATTCCCTTGCCCTGGAAGAATGACGCCTCATCAGCTAGCATGGTCCATGGAGTGGTACACACCTTGCATGGACCCATTGGACTACCATAGAGTGGCTGTGCTCCGAACTTGAGCAGCACTTCCACCTTCTGTTGTAGTTGTGCTAGCTCTGACAATGAAATGTTTGATTGTTGCTGCCTGTCCAACTGCGCTTGGAGATTGGCAATCTGGATCTTCAGGTGTTGGTTCTGGTCTGGTGCAGGGTCACCAACTGGAGGACAGTCATCATCATCGCTGTCGTCACTATCAACAAACAACTCATCATCATCATCATAATCATCGTCATCCAATGAGTAGACTGGACGAGGCAACCTTTGGAAGCTCTTGTCCTTGCTAAGACTGTCCGAGATCATCTTGACATGTTGGATCATCGTGTCGGCGGATCGTCTGGCCTCGAACGAGGTCAGTAGCTTGGCCTCCATCTCCATCTGTGTGATTGTGATGACAAGTTCATCAACAAGATTGAAGCCACTACATATCTGCTTGAGGGCTTGGCAAGATGATGTGATCTCATGGGTCATTTGCTTGATGGCTGACTCAATGAGCTGCTTCGCATCATTGATGGATGATATCTTGGATTGGGCCGTGGACATGCCCATCTGCGCCTTCTGGTACTTGTCCTTCATGTGTCCAATCTCGACCTCCAATGTCTTTTGCTGCTTTACGATGGTGTGTCTTCCATGGTAGTGAGTGATGTAGGAGCATCTCTCTGGACATTTGGAACAGTTGTTCAGTCCATTCATGGCCACACAGCCAGTGAATGCATTGTCACCCTTGGATGATATCTCTTCAAGTCCACAATGTTCATGACAAACATGGTTACACTCACTACATATCGTGTTGTGATATGGTGTGTCCACCATCTCGGTCGTCATCACGGTCTTCTTCTTGGTGTAGTTCTGGAACTTGGCCTGGTCCGATGAGTACTGTCCAAGCATTATTTGTGCCTGCCAGACCTCATCCTGGAGATCCTGGATACGCTTGATGTCAATCTTGGCCTTGTGAAGAGTCTGCTTGATCTTGAATCGATGGTTCCTCATTGTACCAAAGGCCGAGGTCGACACGACATCCTTCCTGGCAATGGACCTCATCATCTTATTGACAGTGAACATAGACTCTTTGAACTCTCGTTTAAGACTCTTCTTGGCTTGGTCATTCCAAGTGGCGGGATCTGTCGAGAAGGCCGAGTTCTCCATGTGGAACACCGAACGCGACTGGAGGTTTCCCAGAGCCTTGAGGTCAAAGTTGCGATTGTACTCTTGGCACTTGGTGAACACAATCACCAAGTTGTTGAGTATCACATCGGGGATGGAGCCCTGGAGACGGGTGATGGCACTCTTGAGTGAGATTACATCACGGCAATCCTTCCCATTGATCAAGAGGATGATGGCAGACAATGAAGATGCCTGGTCAGCGGCATTGATGATCTTGTTGATATTGATCTCGTCTTGATGTATGCCACGCGTGTCGGAAAGGCCCGGTGTGTCGATGAACACATAGGTATGTCCATCCTTGGTGAACTTGTACTCGGTACATTCATTTGTCTGGCTAGATGTTGTATCCCTCACATTTAGTTCACTATGTCTCAAACCTCTTTGTGTTGGCTTTAGGAACTTTGTCTCAATTGATACCTTTATATCATTAGGGAATGATCCCTCCAAGAAATAGTTGGTGAGTGTATTGATAAAAGTTGATTTACCTTTTGATTGGTGATATTAATAAAGTTAGAATATTGTCTTTCTGTGTCTTGAACCTGAATCACATACCAGATCCTGTTTCACCAACTACCAACACAGAGGACAATGAGGAATAATTGCTAGGTCTAAGGTTAACCATCCTTAGAGTTATTATTATTTATATTTATATATTACAATATAGAGTGGAGTAAATAATTGAATGAATGAAGGGATGAATGAAGGAAGGATAGTATGCTCATCTTCTTAATTTGTGAAGAGAAAGAGAGTGAGTGAGAGTTTCCACTTTAGAGAAGTGATGGAAAACCCACCAATTTAGTTTGTTGTTAGCACTCCTGGCTGCAACCCCATCAATCAAAGAGTGAGTGAGTGAGATTGGTGCGAGACCAAGTAACCTGAACTTCAACTTTAAGAGAGAAATGGTGTATACCCTTAACCATAGGTTTTAAAAGGGATAATGTCTCGTTCTTATTTAGTACTAGTACCTAGATGTCTATTATAATATTCACTGACTCAATGACGTCTACATCAGCAAACTTTGGTCGACAAAACTTTGATGACATTCGACTTTGTCGACACTTATTACACTTTAGCAATTGACGCCGAAACACATAAACTCATTCATATATATAATGTAAGGTCAAGGACAGCACAGGACAAGACAGGTCACAATACAGCATTACAAGCAGGTGCAGAGTCTCAGGAGTAAGGACTGACATGAAATATCGATCATTCAATCAATCATATATAGATAGATAAAGATGACACAACCAAAGCCTACTTGGTATCAGAGACTACTGATGAATTTGACTTCAGAATCAATTACAGAGACTGCAAAGAAGATGTTCTACTATGGATATATACCACTTGTGTTACTGCATGCTTACAGATCAATGAGACGTCCCGATGCCTTTGGTCTAATAATAGGTGGCGTTGCTCCCAAATAAACGCCGCATGATGTAGCTACGAACGATAACAGCAGCAGCAACAGCATTATATACATAACAACAACGACATCAAGCGTACGAACGAATGAACGAAAGAGTAATCGATAGTATGTTTAGATTTATTATGATCATTAAGGATACACAGCATTGCGAGCGACGGACGACACGACACCTTAGATATGCCTCGAAATGGTCTCGTATGGAATCAATGGCGATGTCTTGTCAAGCTCGATGGCAAGCTTGAAACATTCGGATGCACGCTCAATGTCACCTTTGGCCTTCAGCACGATGCCAAGTTGGAACCAGGCATAGTGCGACGTTGGATCGTACGAGCGTAGGATAGTCGTCAGGTTGTTCTCGGCGAGGAGCAGGTCGCCACCTGCGACAAAGTGGTTGACGGCAGTCCTGATGGCACTGTTGGTGTGTGATGGATCGATGGTCAGGGCCTTCTGATAGTTGGCCAGAGCGTCCTGGCGGAGATCCTGGATCTCCAGCATGAAGCCCTGTTGGTAGTACACGTCGGGGTTGTCGCGACAGATTGAGTCGGCCTGGCTCAGACAGGCGGCGGCATCCTCAAACATTCTCTGTTGTGTGAATGCCTCACCAATGGCCAGCCACAGCTGGACGCGACGGCTAGTCTCGCGATCGGCCGTGGTGTGAGAGGTGGCGCGCACGCGTAGCATCTCCTTGGCGCCCGGTGATGTGGCATCATCCTGGCCCTCGGACGAGAGTACCTCGCTGCCACGGTGGGACTTCTGGTCGGTGGCACCCGAGCGGATGTCAAACGAGACGATTGATGATGGGCCGCCCGATGTTCTGTTCCTGGGCACCGAGTCGGTCTCGTCCCAGTCCTCCACCGATGTCAGTGTGTGATTGGACAGATGTGACATGGCCGACTTGTAAGTGATGAGGGCTTGTGCGCCATCGTCCAGTGCGATCTCCAGCTTTGCCTTGGTCAGCAGCAGCTCTACGTTGGTGGGCGACAGTGTCAGTGCGTGCTTGCACGCTCTGTACGCCAGCTCGTAGGCCTTATTGGAGGACAGAAGCAGTGCCAAAAGGTTCCAGCTGGCAGGCTCGTCCGGGTTGATCGACAGAGACTCCTGAATGTACTTTAGGCCGAGTTTGACCTCACGAATGTATGCATATATCAGTGCCAGATGATAAGAGATGCGGTAATCTGATGGATCCAATTGATGTGCACGCTTCAAGTTCTCTCTGGCCAAGTCCTGATTGGCCTGCTTCTCATGCGATGACTTGCACTCCAATGCCTTCTTCTCATAGGCCACACCAATCAACAAGTAGGCAGTTGCCAATTGAGTTGGATTGATTGAGTCCATGTCCATCTTTGTCACTTGTTGAGCCAATGATAAACCTTTGGAGAACTATTGATTGATTGATCGTTTGAATGAGTATGATTGGTTGGTTGATTGATTGATTGGTCAGGGATGTGGACATACCTGGTTCAATTGGTTGATGCATATCTTGGCGCCCAAGAGGTTCAACTCAATCTTGTTTGGAACCAAGGCCAAGCACTCCTCAATGATGAACAATGATCTCTTGTACTTGCCAGCACAATACAATGACAGTGCCAACTGCGACCATCTATGTACCTCTCCAAACTTTGTTGATAGTGATCGTTCATAGTTCTAATTGATTGATTGATTGATTGATTGTTGGTGGTCAGTGGACAACTCCATCCATCCATCAAACTCAATGATGACATACCTCAACAATCTGATAGTACTGTCCCTTGCGACAGTATCCTTGACACAGGTCGTCGTATATCTCCATGTCATGCTCGGTGATGGGCGTCGCGGGGTTCTGCTGTAGCTGAGTGAATTGGACATGCTCGACGTTATGGAGACAGAGCAAGGCCTCTTCAACCTGATCACCTGGATGATAGAGATGTCCAGGCACAACACGAGACTGTTGTTGCTGTTCAGTGTTGTCGAGCAGTGGAACATAAGACTGATTGCAAGTGTTTCGCAACAGTGCGTGGGCCAACTGTGTCAGTGCACTCTTATACTGTGTCGCTGGCAAGATGACCTGAGACGACAGGCAGTTCCTCAATGTCTTTACGCTCTCTGTAGTGTTGCTGTTGATTGATTGAGTGAGTGAGTGAGTGCCATCGATGCTACGCAACAACAAACATACCCATAGTAACGATTGATGTTGGCCATTCGGATAAAGGCCTCGACTACAAGTGGCCTGGTAACGACATCGATGGCACGGAATGACTTGAAGTAACGTAGGGCCACATCGATCACACCTTGGTAGGAGGCCAAGGCCATGTTGCTCTTGCCGAGCGACTCTTGACACTTGCCCTTGATGCTGAATGCCTGGACGATGATGCTCACCTTTCTAAAGTTGAGTATCATGTCGTTGTTTGGGTTGTTGTAGGGGTTGGCCAGACGAGCCATGTCCTCCAACGCCTTCTTATAATCATTTCTCTGATAGTCCACCACGCCCAAGTATGCAATCACCTCTTGATCATCTGGTTTGATAGTGAGTGCTTTATCCAACATTAACTGTGCATCCAAGTAGTTATTATCAGCAATATATCTCTCTGCATTAACTAAATACTCTAATACATCATTTGGTCTGTTTGATTGATTGAATGAGTATGATATGAGTCGTAGTATACTACTATGACACTTACGTTGAAGTAATCTTGGCATACTTCTTGAGCAGTGACAGGAGAGAGTTGAAGTCCTTCTCAGACCTCGCCTTCTCAATGTCATACTCAATAGCTACACGCTTCTTGTTACGTATCGAGGCTGTTGTAGACCCAGACATTGTTGTTGTGTGTATGTTTATCTATCTAACTATCTATCTATCTCCTTCAAGAAGTATATGATATAACTTCATTAGGTTCTCCTAAAAGTTAGGGTCTGACCCACAAACAAAAGGCCGATTCATTCCCAGTTCCAAAACACCACAATTACGACACTATGATTCTTCAGAGGATCAATCATTGAAGTACACTTTGATCACAAATAATTACAGTATATCTATCCTCTCATTATTGAACAACAAATATAAATGTTTACAATCAATAAGATATCTGATTGTATCTCTCAGGGTCACATGATCATTGTCAACTTCAACATTAATCAATCAATCAATCATTTCCCACAACACACACAATCCAACATTAGCCATATGATTGGATTGATCTCACACCACCACCATCATCTTTAAACAGATACACACATACACTAACAATCAATAAGATATCTGATTGAGTGATCACCCACACATATACAGATACACACTCACTCTCACTCAATCAAACATAAATACATCCATAAAAAGAAATGATGAGGTGTATACTGTTGTTGTTGTAAACAAACACATTGATGTGGTCAACCATCCATCCATCGATCCATCAATCCCCCAATCCACTTCCAATGTTGTATATTTAGTTGTTTGTTTATGGCGATTCATGTAGGTTGTCTACCTCAATCTCTCTCTTCCTTCCTTAATCACTCTTCTGCTTGGCGCTCATGGATCCTTCCAGCCAGACCAACCCGGCCATCCATCCATCCACCATGATATTATTATTATCCTAGGAATGATGCTTGGTACCAAGCAAACTATTCCTCTGATCAAATATACTTAAAGAGTTTCCTAGTTATCCAGTTTTCCCCAAAGATCCCATCCATCAAGCAATTAAATGGATCATCAACAACAACAAGCTAATCATCCATTCATGTTACACATGAAGACTTGCCAGAATGATGTTCAAGAAGTTGGCAAACTACTGGCAAACAAGTTCTACAGAGACAACATAGACCTAAAGGATAAATATGGTTATCCAGCATCACATTACGCCATCCATGTATGATATGTTAATGTACCAATATTGTTGGAAATTGTAGGCCATTCATTAATCAATCAATCAATCAATCAACCTGATATATATTATAGTATGGACACAAAGATATACTTGACCTGTTGATTAGACATGGGGCCGATCCAACTTTGAAGAGCAGGGCTGGTTGGTCGTGTTTGGATGAGGCTAAAGGAAGAGGTGAGCGTGAGTTGGTATCAATGTTAATCACATCAAAGAGACTACACAAACAAACTACCAACAAGTTCATTAGCATATTCAATGCCATCAAGGATGTAAGTACCTACGTACGGAACCATCTAACCAATTCAAGTCATCATTATTAACAAACACAACTTCTATACTCTTGTTAGCTTCCAGACTTTGAGATGGGTATGGCTATATCATTCATAGATGACATTACCCAACATCTTGACTTACTAACAAACCTTACCTTGTCATGTAGAGATGCATTGGGAGATGAAGAGTTGGTTACCATTCGTTAGCAAGAGAGTGTGTCCAACTGATGACTTTAAGTAAGTTGAGAATGAGCGAGAAAGATGGGAATAACTGACTAATTACCCATCACATTATGACAGGATATTCAAGAAGGGAGCATCCTTTAGAGTATACACTTCATACTTGGACCCTGAGACACAGAAGAGACAATCAATCTCATTCATCTTGGATGGACAACAGAGTATGTTATTCAAGTCAATACATAATCCACTACTCCCGCAGCTGGACTAACAACCATTTAATCAATCAACCAACCAAACCAACCTTATAGAGAAGTTCATGTTCTTGGACTCAGAGAGCAGAAAGTATAAGGAGTTGGTATTGAAGGACTATTATTATAATCTTTCCAACTTGGATGAAGAGGTCGACTTGAACATGCAGATCAATAGGACAGGACGAGTGAGGATACTTCGTGAGACTGTCCAGTTCAAGCCTATCAAGACACTGACTGGTTCGGTAAAGAATGAGGTCATTGGACAGCCGGGTTGGCGCGCAGACACCTACTCAGTGTCCGGTACCAACTATCTAATGTATCGCAAGTTCTTCAATGCCCATGAGAAGAAGTCGCTTAGCTCAACACTCCATACTCTGACCAATGCTCATAGTCGTGACTACTCGCCATTGCTTACTGACAACACCCGTCGAGTCAATACTGTTCGCGACACTGCCATGAACAGCAAGATAACATCAAAGAACTACTTTGCCGTGCCAAAGGGCTTTGACTTGGAGAGCCACATGTTCAAGTCGGAGAAGGTGGCTCATAAGAGCAATGGACTGCGATGTAAGGGAGAGACCATCGAGTCACAGTTTGAGAGCTTCGAAGGAAAGGTTTGGCTGTCCCATGAGTTCCCCAGAGACATGCGCCAACTTATGCCAGTATTTGATGCCATTGCCAAGACCAACAAGGTGTTTGCATCAATCAAGAACATATTCTCATTCGACTTCCCCAACAATGGATTCCCTGTAAAGATATGTAAGTATCCTCTCCATCAAATATCCATTGATCACTCACTAACGCCACCTGGAATTTGATGGACATCACAGACTTCCCAATATTCCCAACCTTTTATACAACTCTCATCTTTAACAAGTATGTTGAGAGAGAGATTGAGGATCATCATTTTGTTTATCACCAGCCAGAACAACAGAAACAACAACAATAGATCAAATAAATATATTTATAGTTACTCATGAAGGGGAGTATTTGTATCCAATTGAATGTAATTTGTTAACAATTAAAAATATCCCCCATCATCTCGATTTTGATTAATATCAAAGTCAGAAACCAAGGGATTAATAGCTTCAGTATCAGCATCAGCAATTGTTCTAAAAGGGGCGTAATTTCTTTTAGGTGATACTGTATAATATTTAGTTCCCGAATTAATCCTAATAAAAATTTAAAAAGGAATTAATAAAAATTAATTAAAATAAACCTCTTATAATAATAATTACTCTCCTTCTCCTCCTCCATAAGAAGATGATGAATGACGATGGTTCATTTCGCCATTAATAAAATTTGATATATAAATAATATATATATTACAATTAGGATTAAAAATATGTTCTTCATTGTAATTAATTGTTTGGTTGATTAATTGATTATATATTTGCTTAAATATATTGGATTATTTGAATCAATCAAACAAATTAATCAATCCATCCAATTATCYAACAATAATAAAAAATAAATCAAATTTGATGAAAAYACCAAGGTATTTTACTTTAATATTATTATTATTTAAATTAACCAATTAAGAATGACAAGAATGAATGATGGAAACACCTCATCATCCTATATATATGTATCTTATGATGCATGTGTGACTCCTTTGTTTGATGCGATAACTCAAAATACTCGGTCAATTTTACAACAAGAGTAAGTGGAAATAAATTATTGGGTTCTTGTAATATTGATAGTATCAATGAGGGGGATATATACAACTCTAAATCATAGATTAGAGGTCCACCAATTCAGGTGCTCGTCAGGAGGAATGTCAATATCAAAGTTGTACCAAGCATATTGGATATCTCCAGAGACATATTTTCGAGAATATCACCATCTGTCCTCTGACACCTCTGACCACAAATGATCATGGACTTCCCATACCGTCGTTGATTACCCAACACCTTCAGTTCAGCCAGTTCTAAACGATACTCTATTGATTCATCACCGCGTGCTCTATGTAGCATTGTGGAAGTCTTAGATGGGACTGTAAGTAATAACATTATCAATGACCAATGAGATCAGTGACACTCCCCATACTGATATTTTAGAAATATAAACTAGGAATTGATATAGATCGAAGTTGATAGTCTTGAACTTGATCCTGAAAGTTTGGTCCCACACTTTGAAAACCATTTCCAACCAAGATGTCAACAATTCAAGTAACTGTTTGGGTCACATCACGATCAAAACCACTCACAAAAACACAGTTGTTGATGGACCTTTCTTGCCAAGTTGTGGTTTTTCAACCTATTTTTAACCATTCTCTCTGACTTTGAAGTGAAGTATTATCTGTATCGCATTATCTGTATATATATATAATATATATGTTGTAACATTAAATAGGAAGGAAGGAGGACATTGGGTTTGTTTACCATGTCCGATCCAAACAACAACAACTTTAATGGCGGCATTGCAGTGGCTAGCAACAACAACAACAACATCATCAGTAATAGATCAAAGGGTCATTCAAATGTCAAAGAGTTAAAGAGATTGTTTGAATCAAAGAAGGTGGTCGTGTTGGATAAGCTCAGTTCATTGAAGTCAAGTAACAAATACAAGAATCAATCATCAAACAACAACTCGACCGTCACATCACCTTCACTGCCATCGACGACGCCACAAGTCACCGTTGGGTTCACTACAACATCATCAAGCAGCACTGGTAATCTAGCAACACATACTACTCAATCAAAGCAACAACAACAACAACAGAGACAGACAACGACATCAACATCAACATCAACACTCTCATCATCACCTCCAACAACTACAACAACAACATCAACAATATCATTGACGACATCATCAGATAAGATAAATGATGATTACGTGTATAGTGAGTCAGAGTTGTCGGCAAGGGAGAGGAAGTACTACTTTTACGTGAATGAGGCGATTAGGAAGAATGTACCGATAGTGCCATCATTGGCAATAAGGAGGAAGTCATTGGATATAACACACTCACCTATAAAGGGCTCGATGGTCCACTCCTCGCCAATGTCATCATCCTCGTCCACACTGCGCATACCTCAGTCATCGAGCAAGGGCAAGACACCTACAAAGCCAACTACGTTATCAACATCCACGACATCCACGACGACGACAACAACAACGCAACTCAATAGCGATACAAGTTGGATCAAACTACGTAGCGAGCCGGAAAAGAAGAAGATTGATCCGACATCACCACGCGCAACACTCTTGCAGACAAAGAGCTCGTATGATCTAAAGCCCGTGGGCTTGCTCGACTTTAGCAGCGCGATCACATCTCCATCGATCTCAATCTCCTCGACAAAGTCCAAGGAGGAACCGACAAACACTGGCGGGAACAAGAAGGCCCCTATGATGTCTGTGGCTGTCACGCAGGATGACTCATCAGCACTGCTATCGCCACGCAAGAAGAAGGACGATCACCACCATCATCACCACAGCAGCAGCAGCGGCGACAAACACAAGGACAAGGACAAGGATAAGAACAAGGACAAGGACAGTGAGCGATCAAAGTACTTCTCATGGGCTCCACTGCGCAGGATGCGAAGATCTTCTTCTTCGATCGACACATCATCACCTCTGGCAGGAACTGCTCCCAGCGTTGTGGTTGACTCCCCTCCACTAACAGTACCATCGCCACAGATTATACAATCACCTCCCAGAGTGGACATTAGCGGCGGAGGACGAAGTAGCAGCAGCAACACACTCAGGCCAAAGACACACCGACACCATCTGTCCCAATCGTCCGAGTCCGAGTCGGGTTCATCAACATTCCCTCAGATTGTAGTCACAACCAACGAAGACACCTCATCGTCGTCCAAACGATTCGTCTCGCACTCAATCACCATTCTCAAGAAGGACTTGGAGCGCATGTCATTGTCGTCTCCCTCGTCACCCACAGGCTCGCCGTCGTCCACACCTTCGCCGGAGCCCCTCAAGCCCAAGAAGCTGATATCTGTAGCCAAGACCATGCAGCGAGTCAACTCGGAGGACATCCTCATCAAGACGGCACGCATCGAGCCATCAACTTCCGAGCCCAGCTCCCCAGTGCTGTCGCCAACCAAGGCCGACGTGTCTTCATCGGCGATTATACTGCCCCGTCTCGAAGCCATGCTGCACCACACACGTGCTCGTTCGTCATCGGTTGGTACACTGCTCGAGGCAGCCGGCAAGTATGAGGTGGGTGACATCCCCCCTCTCAAGGTGCATGTCACCTCGCTGGATGAGTGTTTGGAGCAGATTAGCAAGCCTTTTGAGAACTCTGCCAGTGGTCGTTGCTTTGTCTTGGACCTTGCCAACTGCTCGTTGGGAGACGATGGTGTGCAGCAGATCGCGGAAAACTGTACGGACCCCATCGAGATCGCCGACCTCAGTTGGAACGACATAACAGACGTTGGACTCCAAACATTCGCCGACCTACTACTCAAGACCCAGTCACTATTCACCTCCCTCAGTCTACAAGGAAATCAAATCCAGCCTCCCTCTCTCCAAGCTCTCTTTGACACAATATCACAAATCAATGGTATGATTGGGACTCTCATTGATTGAATGATTGATTGACACTAACATACATGCCTCCACACAATGTAGAGAAGAAGAACTACAAAGGATTTGGATTGAACTTGAAGGAGACTGGAATTGAGAATGAAGGAGCAGAGTTCATTGCCAACTATGTTGGTGCCAACAGGTATCCACCAATGATTGGACTGAATCTGACTTGTGCCAGTGTGACAGACATTGGAATGAGCCATATCTCATCTGCCCTGGTCAGGAATACATTCCTCACCACTCTGATTCTGGACGAGAACTACCTTGGCGATGACGGAGCATGTCTGCTGGCCGAAGGTCTCAAGTTCAACAAGTCACTCACACATCTCCAGATGCGCAACACGGACATTGGTGAGCGCGGCACAATCGAACTGTGCAACACTTGTAAATTCAGCACGAGCATCGCGTTGCTCGACCTCTCGCTCAACCCCTGGCAGCTCAGCGGCGAGATCGCTCTGCAGTCACTACTCAACACCAAACAGATGATGAGCAAGCGACAAAAGATCGTAGTGCCCAGAGTTCTCTGGAAGGACGAGGGCATTGGCGAATGGGAGGATGAGGAGGTACAACAGATACTCCAGCACTTTGGAACAGAGAAGCTTGTTGACTTCCTCATCAACGGTCTATCTCTGTCGCCGCTCATCCAACAAGACAAATTGTTTGAGCACTTCAAGCTGGACACGACACATCTCTCCAAGATCTTCCAGCACATTGTCAGTGTCGATCCCAAGCTTCCCGACAACTCCAGTCACTGTCTCAAACTCCTCGTCGAGCTATTACCAACACATCTCAACAATCACATCTTCCTCACATCTTTCATCAATCATCTTCCATCACTTGTATCAATAATTGATAGAGCTTTCAAGGTAAGTTGCACGAGATGATCATGGCGAGATAGGAGCAGCAGCACTAACACTCAAACTCAAACAGAGAGTGGACATGTTCTTCCTCAAACTACTGGAGTTCTTCAACCTGTTGATTAGATCAGAGAACATACAATGCTTTGAGAAGCTTAACGAATGCAGTATCTTTGCAATGTGTTTGGTATGCTACCCTTCATGGACATGGAGTATGGTGTATGGAATGATACTAACATTGATCAATCATACCTCCGTCATATCTAGGATCTACTGTTTGACTTCCCTACCAACAATATACTGCACCAGACTGTACTCAACCTATTCATCTCAACAACCAAGTGTTCCAACTTCTCAACCTTTGAACAGAATGTAAGTGTCACTGGTCATTGATGTTCCACTATCCCATCTGCCCATGTCTAACCATCCCAATCAATCAATACAGATATTCAAGGTTGACTATCTAAGCAAATTGATAACATTCTTAACATTGGAATACGATAACATACCTGGCAATAGACGACCGAACTTTGGACATTTACTCGAGATATCCAACTTGTTGAGCAAGTCCTCAACGAAACATCCATTCCTCACAACAAGAGAGTGGAAGGTGTACAAGCGTGACGTGCTGGACAAGGAGATGCAACTGCAGGAGAGCTTCCTCTGCGGCTTTGTACCCGACAAGAATCTCAAGCTGGACAAGTCGCTCTTGGACAAGTTCGAGAAGGAGTTCAAGAAGTAGTTAGCAATAAACATGCGAGAGTGTATGTATGTAAGGTTACTGTATCATGATCTCCGACTGCGCAGTGGCAGAGTTAGCAGTCGGACGCTTCTTCTGCAAGTGAGGCTGGTTGAGAGCTGCAACTTGCTAGTTTATTTCCTGGATCTTCTTGGGTCGGCGGCCTTCTTGGGGTCGGCCTTGTTCTCCTTGAGTGCGCAGGTACGGTTGAAGACCAACTTCTCAGCGGTGGAGTCCTTGTCGACGCAGAAGAAACCAGTCCTCTCGAACTGGAAGCGGTCGTACTCCTTGGCGCCGAGGATGGTGTCGTCGGCCAAGGCGTTGGGGATGATCTCCAGCGAGTTGGGGTTGACCTTTGTGATCCAGTCGTCGCCCAGGTTCTCCTCAAGGAAGAGATGGCCGTAGAGACGGACCTCAATCGCGGTTGGCTTCTGTCCAGACTTGGATGAGACCCAGTGGATAGCCTTGGTCTTGGTGGCGTTGGTCTTGTCGTAGGTGACACGCAGCTCGGTGACCTTGCCGGTGTTGTCCTGGATGACCTCGTTACACTTGATGTTGTAGGCGTATCTCAACAAGACCTCCTTGTTGGGGGCCAGACCAAAGTAGTTTGGATCGTCCTGGAGACGGAAGTCGGTGCGCTCAATGTACACGACGTTTGACAGCTGCACCTTGTGCGAGCCAGCGGTTGGGATGTGGGGGATGTTGTTGACGGTGATCTCCTCGGTCTGTCCCTCGGGGAAGTTGGTGATGACCACCTTGATTGGGTCGAGCACAACCATCGCACGGGTGACCTTGTCGTTGAGGTCCTGGCGCAAACAGAACTCCAACAGCTCGTATGGGATAGTGGTGTTGTTGGCACGAGTAACTCCAATAGTCTCACACAGCAAGTTGATGGACTCTGGAGTGTAACCCTTTCTCCTAAAGGCGTTCAATGTGCTCAATCTAGGGTCATCCCATCCATTGACATGCTCTGTTTGAGTGAGGAGTAAGGAGAATGTGTTAGTGTATGGTATCGAGAGACACTAACGACGACGATGATGACTTACTATCCTTGACGAGAGTGATGATCTTTCTCTTGGAGAGGACGGTATGTGTGAGGTTGAGACGGGCGTACTCCCAGACGACTGGACGATAGAGGCCGAGGACGTCCACCAGCCAGTTGTAGGACAGTCTGCGGACCTCAAACTCCAAAGTGCACAGCGAGTGAGTGATGTTCTCGATCGAATCGACCAGACAATGAGTGTAGTCGTACGAAGGATAGATGACCCACTTGTCTCCACTGACTGGATGTGGATGGTACTTGATTCTGTAGGCAATGAGATCACGCATGCATGGGTTTGGGTGCTTCATGTCACCCTTCATTCTAAGGGTGGCCTTGCCCTCCTCGTACTTGCCCTTCTTCATGTCCTCGAACAGGGCGAGGTTCTCCTCGACCGAGCGATTGCGATAGGGTGAGTCAGTCATGTTCTGACGACACTCTGACAACTCCTTTGGTGTCTGATGGCAGACGTACGCGTATCCACGCTTGATCAACTCGATAGCAAGGTCGTACAATTGGTCAAAGTAATGTGATGAGTATGTTGTATCGCATGGCTTGTGTCCCAACCAGCCTACATTCTGTTTGTTTGTTGATGTTGTACAAAAGTGTTAGTATAAGATTCAGCATGCCAGTATGTGTTCGCGAACTCACCTCAATGATAGAGTCGATGTATTCCTGGCTCTCCTTCTCTGGGTTGGTGTCATCGAAACGAAGATAGCACTTTCCACCGTTCTTCTTGGCATACGAGAAGCTGAGATGCATAGCCTTGGCATGTCCAATGTGAAGGTATCCCTGTGTATATGATTGATTGAATGATTAGTCGACTGATCGACCTCGAGGAAGATGCTAGAGATTGATAGAACTTACGTTTGGCTCAGGTGGGAAACGAGTGACGACCATGCCGCCAGTCTCCTTGAGATGCTTGGCCAAGAGATCTGGGGTCTCCTGGATGTTGTCCTTTGGATCGGGGAAGGTAATCGACTCTCTGTGGATTGAAATACCGGCAAGCTCGGCAAGAGACTTCTCCTTTGGTGCCTCATTGGCAACTGGTGCAGCAGCAGCGGCGACTGGTGCTGGCTTGGTCTTGGGGACGGGTGCGTTGTCAGCCTCAGTCTTTGGACCGAGCACCTCGAGCACCTTCTTGTCCATCTCCTCCTTGATGTCTCTGGACTCGGCCCACTTTAAGCGCTCACGCACGGTTGCCAAGTAACTGGCCATGTTGTAACGATAGCGCACCTCCTTCAACTCGGCGAGACGCTCCTCGATGAATGTGGCGACGGCCTCTCTGACCTGCTCCTTGGTGATGACGACGCCAACACCGCACTGCTTCTCAAAGTCGGCCACGTCGAGATCCTGCGAGCCGACGCGATGCAAGTAGTCGAATGAGGCCTGGATGTTGATGGCTGTCACAGTCTTCTTGGCGACGCACTGGGCCAGCACGGCACGATGCTTGAGTGCGTTTGCTGGGTACTTTGTCGAGATGAGGTAGAGCAATTGTCCAACGGGCTTCTCACATCCATCGACTGGTACACCAGCCTCAGTGATAATGTCCAACAAAGTTGATGACATTGTATTATTTGAGGCAGCTTCCTTTGCCTTTGTGGCATCCAATCCAATCTTTGTGAAGCGTTCAACAAGTGCTTCGTCTATTACTGCTGATGGTTTTGGTGGCATTTTATTATTAAATACTTATATCTATCTATCTATCTATCTATAAATATAATGTATATATATTTAACTTGTAATTGTATATAAATGAATGTATGAATGAATGTCCATGCCACCTTTTGATTTAGCAATAAGGTCGACAAGTGAGAAAAGTGAATGAATATTGGAAAAAAAAGTGTGAGTTCGGGTTGGACAATGGGGATAATGGTTGAATCTTGAAGTTCCTTTCAAACACTCGAACAGGATTTGAGATTAATTATTTAGTTTCCTATCTATTTTTAAAGTTATATTTATAAATAATAGTATATGTTAAGAGAAGTACATACGAGTGTTATGTCTGAGACAAGTCCAGCCGACCCATTATTACAACAATGACCAATCTGATCGTTTGTAGATTGGTTGTAGATTGTTGGGGGTAGGTGTCACTCATTCAAAATTCAAATTGGTGAAGTTGAGCTCAACGACGTGTGAACAGCAAGCTTTTTTGATGGATGCGGTGCATGTGGTCATGTGGCGCGAAATAATGAATGAATGAATGATGGAAGTCAATATACTTGTTACACATCCATCATATTTCATTCATCAATCCATTTATTCATTCATACATACATCTGTACATATATAAATACATTTAGTTGTTAGTATTATTATTTAATTAAATAATTTATTTACTAATTGATTGATTGAATATTAATTAATAATTATTTTAAACGCATAGATCTGATATAAACGCACGCGATACGACACAAACACTCGGGTGTGTGAACAAGGCAAAGCAAATCAAACAGACAAACAAACTAGACAACAAGACAAATATGGATACAAAGGATACAGTCACATCATCATCAACAACTACTACTTTTGTTAGTAGCACTATGGTATCATCATCATCATCATCGACATCGTCATCGTCGACAGGTGATGCTGAACCAATGGCCATCACAGACACTGTTGCAGTAGCCAAGAAGACAATGACAACGAAAAAGACAACGACCGCTGGTGGCAAGAGTGTCACAACTGGTGCCACACTCACAATTGAGACAAGCACAGGCGGTGGTGGCGATCCTCCAGCAGCGATCGAGGCATCATCATCATCGTCCAATAAGGCAACAATCAAGGAGATTGAGGATGTTGTGTTTGACGAGGATGACAAGGCCGGCGACGAGCAAATGACAGACGACAAGACAGAGGAGAAGGAGAAGGAGAAGGTTGCTGCAAAGCCTGCCTCTGCAAAGACTACAAAGGCTACTGCTGCCGCCGAGAAGAAGACTACTGCGGCCGAGAAGAAGGCTGCTGCTGCGACCACCGCCGCTGAGAAGAAGACTGCTGCTGCCGCCGAGAAGAAGACTACTACTGCCGCCGAGAAGAAGACTGCTGCTGCTGCCGAGAAGAAGGCTGCCGCTGAGGCAAAGAAGACTGCCGCCGCTGCTAAGGAGCAGGAGGAGCAGGAGGAGCAGGAGGCAGAGGAGGAGGCTGCCGCTCTAGCCGCCGAGGAGAAGAAGACTGCCGCCGCTGAGAAAAAGACTGCCGCCGCTGAGAAGAAGGCCGCCGCTGCAGCTGAGAAGAAGACCGCCGCCGCTGAGAAGAAGGCTGCCGCCGATGCTAAGAAGGCTGCTGCCGCCGCTGCCAAGGAAGAGGAAGAGGAGGAGGCCGAGGAGCCAGCACCAGAGAAGCCCAAGACAAAGACAACCAAGCCCAAGGCCGAGTCCAAGAGGGTCATCCCCAGAATGATCGTCAAGGAGCCAAACGAAGACAAACCAGAGATGACCAGAGATGAGGAGAGGATGGCCAAGCTTCGCAAGGTTGTAAGTACTTACACTGGAACTATATTGCGTGCGGGCGTCCATGCGTGATACTGATGTGCACCAACCAACCAACCAATCACCTAACAATAATATAGGAATGGAAAGATCTGATCCCTATTGGCTTCGAGCTGAAGGAGTTGGAGACCATGCGCAAGGAGCCTTGGTCCTTTGACCAGTTGAACAAGGAGCTCAGTCACGGATTCCTGTCCAAGGCCGAGCACCCACTTTACATCTTCATGGGCGCTCAACCGATCGTCGAGAAGAAGGTCGCACTCAACATCCCCTACATCGTTGTGTTTGATTGTTTGACGCCACCACCTCAGAAGGTGTGCAAGGCATCGATCCAGGGCGCCACAGAGGAGGTGTTTGACACCAGCAAGGACAACAGATTCAAGGTGTCCTGGCTCCCATACATCCGTTCCAAGCTCTTCAACCAGGACTTCACCAAGATTGCCAAGCCCATCCAAGCCCTCCAGTGCAACTCTCGTGGTCGTACCTCCAACGTCATCCCCGAGGAGAAGCTCATCGAGATGCAATACCTCCTGCCATGTATGTGTTGTTTGTCAGGTGTTGGTCCATGGGGAACACATGCTAACTCACTCACTCAATCAATCAATCAAACGCAGACATTAGACTACCTCAGATCGTCGAGAATCTTAAGCAAATCGATGTGACCGCAGTCACTTTTGACTTTGAGGCCCAGCTGACACCTGAGCAATTGGAGAAGGAGAAGAAGCAGGCTGCAGAGGACGATAAGAAGCGCGAGGAAGAGTTCACCTCCAAGGGCAAGATGGTCCGTTTGACAAAGGCCGAGAAGGAGAAGATGAAGGCCCGCGACGAATGTCTCGCCCGCGGCTGCAAGATGATGTTCATCGCCTATGACAAGGCCGTCGACACACCAACGGCATTCATCGACGAGAAGAAGGAGGACGATGGCATTACAGATGAGTGCGCCATCGAGCTCAAGAGGAGGCTCAAGGAGGAGTTTGACAAGGCTCGCAAGATCCGTGGCGACTCCTTCGCAGCCATCCAGAAGGAGGTGGCCGATATGTCGCCAGAGGACAAGGAGAACTACCGCAACTGCAAGATCTACAAGTTCTACCCAACACATCCCAAGATCGACGTTTCAAAGTACTCGTCCAAAGTGGTCAACCGTTTCTTTGGCAATGCCACCCAGGTCTTCCCCGAGGAAGCCGTCAAGGACCTGTCCGTCGTGAAGTTGGCCAGCAAGGAGGAGCTTGCCGAGGCAAAGGCAGACTATGATCGTGACGTTGCCCAATATGAGGCCCAGAGACTGAAGCACGAGGCAAAGACAAAGGTTCAGAAGGAGGACAAGACTACTACTACTTCCAAAAAGAGAAAGGCCACCGATGATGAGCCAGAGAAGAAGGAGGATGAGGAGATGCCAGAGGCTGATGCTGAGGCTGAGGCTGAAGAGGAGGCTGAAGAGGAGGCAGAGGCTGAGGCCGAAGCAGAGGAAGAGGCAGAGGCAGAGGCAGAGGATGAGACACAGCCAAAGAAGAAGGCAAAGACCTCAAAGACAACTTCAAAGACCACCAAGGCTGCCGCCACTACCAAGTCTACCAAGGCTGCTGCCACCAAGACTGCCAAGACCACCAAGGCTGCCACCACTACCAAGACCACCAAGTCCAAGAAGTGATCAACTTACTCCAACAACACAATCACTCAAAGGAATCGTTCCACTCACGATTCCTCTCTTCCATACAAGCAGCAAGCCATGTCCGCCATCGCGCCGACCTGGTATATATTACCAAAAATGTTAACTGACCAGTTCATGTCCCAAGTCAATCTTTGGACAGAATATCATATCATATCATTTAACATTACACATACACACATCCAAGTGATGGTGATGAGTCGACACTCAACCATAATAATAATTAACAAATAAATATCTATTTCCATCTTCGCGAATAAGCACAACGTTGCATGCAAACAAACAAATAATCGACAAAGTTCAAATAATCGACTATTATTCATTCTAAATTAAGGTGTTGTTGGTGTTGTTGAGGCAAAGAACCAACACAACCCATTCATTCGAGATCAATCACTCATTCATTCATTCACACACATATTGTAATACATACACATAATATATATTTATATTTATTTATAAAGATGATGGCAACAACTCCACCTATAAACACAGCCACTCCTGGAGGAGACGAGTTCAAAGAAGTGTCAGTGGATATTGAAGGATTGGCATTGCAACAACAACAGATACCTACGACAGCAGTGACAAAGCCTTCATACAGACCATCGAGCCCACCAAAGAGCATAGTGATGTTTGATGGCGTATGCAATGTCTGCGATGGCTTTGTACACTTTGTCTATCCCCGCGACACACAGAAGCGCTTCACATTCCAGGCGTTACAAACAATCAAAGGCAGAGAGATACTACAATACTATGGCATACCCGAAGACCTCTCCACCATTGTACTGATCGAGGAAGAGTCCAACACCTACTTCACCAAGTCCACCGCAGTACTACGTATTATGTATTATCTACAAGTATGTTATCTAACACTGGGTCTCAATCAATCAATCAGAGATTAATGATACTGACATTCAATCAATCAATCAATCAATCATTATCAGAGACCATATCCACTATTGTATTCATTCTATTACCTGCCGACATTCTTTAGAGACTTCTGTTATGGAACGTTTGCAAAGTATCGCTACTTGGTCATGGGCAAGAAGGACACTTGTATGTTTAGTCCAGGTCTGCGAGACAGGTTCATCGACTGGAGGAGTCCCATCATCGAGGAGGAGGTGGTCGACGACAACAAGGAGATGTAAATCAATCCATTCGTCTCCTATCCATCATTGTACATACCGAGCTACAACAATAACAACAATAACACATATCTTGTCCATTACATGTGACCTTACATACTCTACCAGTGACACTATGATTAACTACTAACTATACCCTATAATATGTTTATTTACTACTCTTGATTAGAGGACTGGTTCCAACCTTGCCATTGAAGGAGGACGGTGATCCCATGGGCGAGATGCCCGACGTCATGGAGTTGGAGTTGGCCGTGATGGTGAAGCTGTTGCTACCACCACCTATGCTATTGCCACCATTGCTACTGCCACCACTGTTGCCGCCACCACTGCTGCTATTAACGCTACTGGTCGAGGTGATGGTTGCAGTGATCGTTGGCTTCTTGAGCAACTTGTCCCACTGTGGCTTGTTGTGCAAGTACTCTTGTCGCAGCTGGTTGAGTGATGCGATGATCTGCTCACACGATGGACGTTGGCTGGCCTCCTGGTGCACACACTGCTTATACAGTGCGACGAGACCGGCTGGACAGTGCGAGGGCAGCGTGGGACGCAGGCCCTCCTTGGAGTTCATCATGATCTGGAAGTCCATCTTGATGTGCTGGAACTCGGCGTACGGTCTCGAGTACTCGCCGTTGATGACGCGCATCAGAAGCTCCCAGAACACAATGCCAATGCTGTAGATGTCGGACTTGGTGGTGTAGGGGGAGCCGACGCCGTTTGCCACCTCTGGCGAACAATAGGCAAACGTACCACGGATCTTGGACAGCGTCTCCATGTTGTCGGCAGTGTTGAAGCGTGACAGACCAAAGTCGCACACCTTGCACTCCCAGTCCTCGTTGACCAGCAGGTTCAGCGACTTGAAGTCGCGATGCACGATCTGAGGCGACCAGTTGTGCAGACACTGGATGCCCAACGTCATCTGCATGGTGAACTGGAAGAAGCGGTCCCAGCCAATGTCGTACTTCTTGGTGTTCATGACGTGGTACAGCGAGTCGCGACTACAGTACTCCATCACCATGCACAGCTTGGGGTCGAGGCTTGCGCCGTAGAAAGTGACCATGTATGGGGAGCGTATGGACGCCATGATCTGGAACTCCTTCTTAAACTCTTCCAGCTGCGACTGTGTCGTGATCGCCTTGAGCACCTTGACGGCCACCTCCTTTCCTCTGAATATGCCTTTGTACACTTTGCCACTGGAGCCTGCGCCGAGCTTGAGCGTGTACTCGAGCTCCGAGTGATGGATGATGTAGTTGCCGTTGGCGTGGATGCCCTCCAGGCTGGACAGCGTCTCCTTGAGCTCGTCCGACGAGATGGAGCCGGTGGACTCGATGCTGTTTGGTGTGTTGAGCTTCATCGACTCCATTGAATGGTTGAATTTGTTGTTGTTGTTGTTGTTATTATTGTTGTTGTTGTTTGGATCGCTGCTGGCCAGCGCTGCCTGTTCCTTTAATATTCTACAGTTCTTGATGATCTTCAGTCGATGTCCGCTCGATGTTATTCTTAGCGAGTCCAAAGTCTTCTCATCAATGTCTGGCAACAGGTCCATGAATATCTCCTCCTTTACAAAGTTCAACCAGTACTGTTCCATCTCTATCGATTTCAACCAACTATAAACATCTGTTTGTTTGTTTGTTTGATTGATTGAATGATTGTTTAGTATGTGTTGCCGACGAGTTGCCATGTTACCACCCTCTCGTTGCCAGCAAACTTACCTTGTACATTCTTAAGGAAATTGATTACTTTTACATTGCCTCCTTGAGTGGAGAGCTCATAGCATGTCTTCTTCTCGTTACTCTTGATCGTGATGTCAGCGCCAGCCTTCACCAGCACTGATACGAGGTCCTCGCGGCCCAGATGCACGGCAAAATGCAATGGACTCTCGCCACGTGTCGTCACGACGTTGACGTCGGCACCGGCCTCGAGCAACAGGTTGACCATTAGAAGACGGATCGAGTTGTTAAAGATCGACTTGTGCAACGGGGTCTCGCCGTGCTTGTTCTGCAGATTGACGTTGACGCCCTTCTTTAGAAACTGCTGGAAGGGCTCCTGGCAGTTGGGTGTCTTGAACTTCTGGCAGAAGTAGTGCAACGCCAGGTTGTTGTCGTCGTTCGTCAGGTTGACATTGATGCCTTCGTATGTCAGCAACAACATCATCACCTGATCATCACAGTGGCTCGCCGCCACATGCAATGGTGTGTATCCATTCTTATCCTGTTCGTTAATATCCATCCTTTTTAAAGTTGATTGATTGATTGATTGTTTGATTGTTAGTGATTGATCGATTGAATGAATGATTGGCAACATGTTATAACATACTTGTTAACTTGATAGAAGTTTAGTATCTCACGAACAATGTCGTATGTACCTAATCTGAGGGCAGCGCATAGTGGCGTCTGGTCCATGTTGTCAGGCTCAGTCAACTCGATCTTGGCCTTTCTGGCCTGTGATAGACGGGCTCTGACCTTGGCCAAGTCTCGCTGGCATATTGCCTGATGCAATTTGTTGAGTGATTTGTTCATGAATGATGGTGATGTTGGTAGTGAAGTTGATGACCTTCTTGCAATGATCTCGTTCATCCAAGACTTCTTCTCAATTGATGATGTCATTTATCCTACTACTACTATCACTAAATATATATATTATGATATATAATGTGATTGATTGTTTGTTTGTTTGATTATTTAATTGGTAATAATACAATGATGATTGATTGATTGGTTGGATGTTATAGTGTATATATATATGTATATGTATATATTTATATATTTATATGATGATGAATGATTGATAGTTGAATGATTATAATAGTTGATGTATCATATCTATTTATGAGTTATGTGATATTGATGATGGGAACAAAGAATGATTGATTGATTGACAAGGGTCCAGGTCTACAAACAAATGGTTCGACCAATGAAACAAGGATGTCAACAACAATAACAAACAAACAAACAAATTAATGGTCAATGATTTCTAACTGCTGTAGTTGCTGTTCTAGCTACTATAGACTATATATCCTATCTCTGCTGTTGCCGCGTTTCTGTTTGTCGCCGCTACTGTTGCTAATGATTGGATTGACTTGATTGATTGACTGACTGACTGGATTGATGATTGACTGACTGAAGTGATACTGCCTGTTGCTGTTGCTTTGATTGACTTGGATTGCTAATGCTGTTGCTTACTTGTTTGCTTTTTGTTGTTGGTTGCGGTTGGACTATTGTTGTGTGTGTGCTTGTGTGAGTGAGTGTATATACGAAAGTACAGGAAGTGCGTATGTTAGTTGAGTATTACCAACAACAACAACAACAATCGAATATAGAGTGATAGTGATAGAGTGATAGAGTGAATCTATATATATTGTGCGTGTGTGTGTGTGTGTGTGTGTGTGTGTGTGTGTGTGTGTGTGCGTATTTGTGTTTGGTTGGTGTTTGATGTACTGTAGATGAGAGTGGTGAATGTGAATGTGAATGGTGAGAGTGATGTGATTGCTTTTGTTGTTGATGTGGTGTGAGTGAGGGAGGCACAATGGTCACTTTGTTTTCTTGTGTTTAGGTGTGGGAGTGAGTGAAAAACAATAAAATTAAAAATAATTATAATTCAAAAACAAGATCATCAATCAAAACAATGATTTCAAAGTTGGATCTTTGATGTAGTTGCTTTTGTCACTTATTTTTCGAGGTGAGGTATCCTCCCATTATGTGATTGTTTGGTTGATTGATTTTGAATGGCAACAAGATCATAAATCACAATGTCGTTGAGTGTCAGGACCTAAGATGGAATAGTTCCGTTTTAACATACTCAAACATTAACCTTATTACTTTATTCGATCACATTGACTATTCTATTTGGGATTAATCCAATAAACACCATCAAAGGACCTATCACAATAAGTTAAACCCGAAACAATAGTTTTTCCACAATATCAAGGAATTTTTCCCTCACTTTCCCTCCCTGGTCATTCACCCAGTTTTTGACAACGAAACATTCATTTTATGAGCTCGTTTATTTAATTAGATAGTATACAAATATATGAATAGTAATAATGTCAGAAGTATTCAGTTATAAACAGTCTTTGGAGTATTTTGAGAACTTGTTAACTAGTTTAACTACTGATGATAATAATAATATCCTGTTAACGAGTGAACAACATCAACATTCACTTGGTTTATCAATCATATGCCTGTCAGAAGAAGGCCTTAATTCCTTCAATTATGCTCAAACCATAAACTCATTGCCCTTATTGACCAAAGTATGTACATTGACAATTCATTCATTCATCACTCAACTCAAACTCAAACTTATACACAATTATTAGTTATGTTCAAATGAGAATGTTATTAGGGCACTACCTGTGAACCATAAAGATATGTTGTACAGGTTGTTGAAGGAGGCAAGTCCACAACTATCATATGGAGTATGGAAGCTCAATGAATCACGCGGGATCAAGATTGGAGTCTATGATGTAGCAATTGCTCATCTTTGTTCGATCAATACATCGATGAACATGAATCATCTATCATATTTCATTCTGGATCGATCATTCCTCGTGAGTTTGGTTGCCACTCTCGTCAATCAACCCGATCTACAACACAACCTATTGTTACAATATCTCAAACTACTTCGAGGTCCTATACATGAGTTTGATCCAAACACTTATGGTATGATCATCGAAGCATTTGGATCTGAACATGTTGAGCGTGAACTTGATCAATGGTTCATGGCGCCATACTCGCAAGATCCCACACTCATCCATTCCGAGCTCGAACAAAGGCTCAACTACCTCCTCTCAATGCCAAACAAGTCCACATCGACCCTCCTACTCAATCACAAAAAATACCTTTTAAAGTATGTCATTCATCATTCTAATAATATCAATCATTATTATTATTTACTAATTCATTTATTCTTTCAAATTAGGTTCATCTGTACTTCTTTGAAACAGTGTAGCTTGACCAAGTTGAAGATGTTCAATAACAACATGTCCAAAGTACTGACAGTTGTGTTGATGGATGATGAGGATCATGTTGTCAAAAGTCAATCATTGATTGATCTCCTGAAGGATGGACAAAGTAGATATGGAGTAGATGCATACAATGTCTACTTTAGAGAGCTTCATACACACATCAGACCAATTGACTCTTTACTTCCATTATATGAACTACTAAATGCCAACAACAAATCCTCAGTTATCACACTCTTTGGATCATCATTCCAACAAGTAAGTCTTTCATTCATTTATTCACTCAATCACTTCCACTCATTAATGTACTCACTAACTCAATCAATCAGCATTACAATAGATATGAATCATCAATCATTAGTTTGTTGAAGGATACCAAGAGCCTTGTGCTCCTCAATGGAATATTCAAATGCTTTGGTACTCGTAATGCAAATGATCACATGGACATTTTCAAACCAATCTTGGATCGCTTAAAGATGATTGATTCATCAATCAATATCAACAACATTGATCACTCAATTCAATGTGATGGTTTTGGATGGGGATTGCTCAGCCTCATTGACCTGCTCGAGACTAATGACGTCCTCCTTTGCAAGAGTGACTATCCAATCGACAAATACATGGACATTGCCATTGCTGCTCTATTGGTGGCGTCAGAGCCCTTTGCCACACAGAGTGATGAGGACCAGTTCATTGAGCAACATCGACCATCATTGGAGAGATACATCAGGCTCTATAGTAATCAGATAGTCAACAACTTCACACCAATCTCATTCCTCAATGCACTTGCTCGTCATTCAATGTTGGATGGTGAACTCATCACTAATCTCATTCGTAATGGTGGAGGTCGCAACCGTACTCTTCAACAACCTCGACATCTCGGTATCTTCCTCAACTCATGTCGTCCGGACCCTGTGGGGGCATGGATCAAGTACATTGATAGGGAGATCTCCTCCACCTATTCTGGAGATTTAGAGATACATACTATTCCCATACTACTCTACAATGAGATTGTCAACGATTGTCCGCATGTTGGGTCGCGGTTCCACATTCTCAAGTATCTTCAGAGCATCAAACTGTTCACACCAAAGTATATACCAACATACATCTACAAGACTACATTGCTGGGTAACAACCAACATGATGGCAATGATGACTTCAACCATCATCTTCAACTTTACAAACAATTCAAGATGAAATCATTGGCATCTATTTATAAATATTCAAAGAGATCAAGAATGATTGATCATGATGACCAAGGACATAGACATGGAGATGGATGGATCAACCTTCCAGAGTTGTTGCTCAAACAAATATTTGGATATCTCACACTGGAGCAACCGTTGGAGTCCAAATGGTTGGTGGAGTTGTCGACAGTGTCCAAGCAATTCCATCGAGAAGTGTCAATCTCATTGTGCAACACAATCAATCCAACAATATCAATCAGGTCCAAGATTAGTCATTTGGGTACCAAGTACTGTCTCTTCCTCACACCTCCACTGCATCTCAAAGTTTTTGACCTTGTTCACATACCATCAGAGCACATAGAACTCTGTCTCAATCGTTTGGTATCATTACAAGTCGAATATTATTTTGATGAATCAATCTTATTCACCAAGGTTGAAGCCCCCAATCTCAGACATATCCACTTCAAAGAGTCTGGTAGCGATCCTAGAGACTCCTTCGATAAAGTGTCAGCCATCGTGGGACATCATAAAATATACATTGTGGAAGAGAAGTTCGATCATGATAAAGATGATAATGAAGTTGAAGGTGAAGTTGAGGAAGAAGATGAGAGAGATTATGGATATAGCAATTTCTATGAACAGAGTCGAGGATATACAGCAATATATCGACAAGCATTCAAACATTTTCTCCAACATTACATCACCAACAACAATAACAATAACAATAATAATTCAACAACATCAGTACAATCAATTGACATTGAGTCAACATCACCTTTTGGCCCATCACCAAACTTGATCCAAGAATATCCATCAACTAGAATCAAGTTCAAATGGAATCCAGAGTTGGCAGAAACAAGATTTCTCGACTATTGGAACCTCTCAGATGGCTATCCAACTCATATACTAGAGAGTATGAAGTCAGACCAACTACAACATCTCACATCAATTATTAATCCAGAATGGCAATCAATCACATATTTATCAGTGGCCAATCAGGTGCGAGAGTTGACATTGGAACCATCGTGTTCCGGACGTGATGAGAGGAATCTTCCTCAACATCTTGCTCCCTTGAAAATGTACTATGAGAGTGCTGCGTTCCAAAACGTGTGCTCACTCAAATTGTTATTTGCAAACATCAATCATGTTGTTGTGATGATGCCAACGGTATCAAATAACATTGGATCAATAGTGATGCAGATCACTAATTTGAGATCAATGGTATTGTCTGATATATCTCGATCATCAGAAGTGGATCAGATCATTATGGCATTATTGGATCACCTTAATCAATCCATATTCCGCAAACTCACCAAAGTAACATTGACAATCAGTTTCCGAGGTAAACGAGATCCATTCATCTTTAGACAATTTCTTCGATGTTGTCCCCAATGTCCACTTCAGCTAGTACATCATCAATAAAACAAAATGGTATTATATTAATTTATTTATCTCTCCAATCAATCAAAGTATGGAAGTTCAATCAATGAGACACATTCAAAAAAACTACCTAAATGAGGCAACTCAATTGGACGAAGTCTTCGAAGTCTTTTTCCGAAACAGTGTCTTATTCATAACATAATAGTAAGACAGTTATATAATGTCTAAACCTAAAGTATTCAGTTATAAGCAGTCTCTAGAGTATATTGAGATGTTATCTAGTTTAGATGACAATGCTCAGTTAACAACAGAACAAAAGAGTTCACTTGAATCATCAATCAAATGCCTATATAGTGAACGCCATAATTCAATCAATTATTATCAAACCACCAACTCATTGCCAATATTGACCAAAGTATGTGTAGACCCTACCATTCATTCATTCATTCATTTATACATTCACCAACTCAACTCAAACCCAAACACAAACTCAAACTCACACATACACAATCATTCAACCATTCAATCATTCATTCATTCACTAACTCAACTCAACTCAATTCATCTCTATCTATCATTAGTTATGTTCACATGAGAATATGATTAGGACAATCAATGTAGAACAAAAAAATGAGTTAAACTTGATGTTGACGCGGATAAAACCATACATATCAAATGGAGAAATGACGATCAGTGTATCAAGTGAGATCAAGATTGGAGTATATGAAGTGGTACTTGCTCATCTCAGTTCAGTAGTGATGGGTGGATGTTCAGAATTCCTTCAGAATCGATCATTCTCAAGCATTTGATTGACAGCCTTGCCAACAAACCTGATCTACTACACAACCTGTTGTTGCAATATCTCAAACTACTTAGACCGAGCTTTTACCAGACTACATATGAGTTGATCATTAACGTGTTTGGTTCTGATCGTATTGGACGTGCGCTTGAACAATGGTTCAGAACGCCAAACATGGAGATTGCCATTGCTACATTATCGGTGGCATCAGAGCCATTTGCCACACAGAGTGATGAGGACCAGTTCATTGAGCAACACCGACCATCATTGGAGAGATATATCAGACACTATGATAATCAGATAGTCAACAGCGCCACACGAATTTCATTCCTCAAAGCACTTGCTCGTCATTCAATGCTGGATGGTCAACTCATCACCAGAATCATTCAAAAATATAGTCAATGCAGCTATAGTGAACAACAAGTTTCACTCAGTCACTTCCTCAACACGTGTCGTCCAGACCCTGGGGCAGCATGGATCAAGTATATTGATACCACTATCTCGTCCGCAAGTACTGGAGAGGGGGAGATCTATTCCATTCCCGAAGCACTCTACAATGTGATTGTCAACGATTGTCCACATGTGGCTGCACGCTTCCACATTCTCAAGTATCTTCAGAGCATCAAACTGTTTACGCTAAAGCAGACACCAACATACATATCCAAGAGTATACTGTTGGGTAACTACCAACATGATGCTGATGGCAATGATGACTTCAATCATCATCTTCAACTTTACAAACAATTCAAGATGAACTCATTGGCATCCATTTATAAATATTCAAAGAGATCAAGAATGATTGATCATGATGACCAAGGACATAGACATGGAGATGGATGGATCAACCTTCCAGAGTTGTTGCTCAAACAAATATTTGGATATCTCACACTGGAGCAACCGTTGGAGTCCAAATGGTTGGTGGAGTTGTCGACAGTGTCCAAGCAATTCCATCGAGAAGTGTCAATCTCATTGTGCAACACAATCAATCCAACAATATCAATCAGGTCCAAGATTAGTCATTTGGGTTCCAAGTACTGTCTCTTTGTCACACCTCCACTGCATCTCAAAGCTTTGGACCTTGTTCACATACCATCAGAGCACATCGAACTCTGTCTCAATCACTTGGAATCATTACACGTCGAATTTTATATTGATAATGATTCAATCATATTCAGTGGTATCAAACAACATTGTATCAAACGAGATACAGATCAAAGAGTTGAGATCAATGGTATTGGCGGATATATCTGGAGAATCCAATAACTGTCTGGCATTATTGAAACACCTAAATCAATCCATATTCCCCAAACTCACCAAAGTATCAATCACAATGCATAATGAATTCCAAGATGAATCTAAACACGAAAGATTCATCTTCAAACAATTCCTTCGATGTTGCCTTCAATGTCCACTTCAACTTGTTAATTATCAATAAACTGGTATCGTTTCTGTATTATTATTTGTTGATCAAACGACAAATTAGTCCCTATTTCCATTTATGGAAGTTCCTGATTCATCACAACCCCCACATCTACTCGTTTTTGCTTTGACAAACCAAGTCTACACTTGCTCTGAATGAATGAACTATTACTATTACATGCATGTTATAAATATATATATATCATATGAAGTTGTACATATATCTATATCTCTTCGTCATCATTGAATATCATTAGTATTGGATCATCAACGAAACAAAGTTTCAAACTCAATCAATCATCACTATGAATACATCGATAGGATATATAGATGTAGGTGATGATACCAACAATAACAACAATAGCAACAACAATAATAACGAAGATAGATCACATAGTATATATTATGATCATAGTCATGTAGACCTGGGGATTCAAACCCATCACAGTCAATCACAATCAAATGTTCACATTCATCATCAACATCATCAACAACAATATACAACAATAGAGACAGACTCTTTTGAAACACAGAGTCAGGGCACAACGATAACAGTCACAGCAAGTCAGTTTCATAATGATAGCTATATAGATGATGATGATATTGAGTCATTGGGCATGGATGATATGGACTCGGTTGGTTCAAATGGTCTCGACGAGAACGATCTCCAGAACATCGACAAGTACTTCTCAGAGGTCAACATCAACGATTCAGCGAGCAGTAGTAGCAGGTCACAACAACATCATCATCAACAACATCAACATCATCAACAGCAGCAACGTATTGCGATCATCAATGGCACGACACAGTCCTCATCGTTGGGCAATCATCATGGTCATACACACTCACACTCACATCATCAACAACATCATCACCATCATGTTGGATCACTGGACTCCCAGCCTCACCTGTACATAATACCAAACTATCAGCCTGACTATGAGCATCACAAACATGGACACGCAGCAAATGGACATGAGCAGGACACTCCCTCGACGCCACAGTCCTCACATCCAGTAAACTTGTTTGGCGACCACAGCGACAACAACAACAATGGTACGATCACCAAGCCCATGGCCATTCCCCTTGCCACATCACCACCATCACACCCAAGCAACCTGCTCTGGTTCGAACCAACTCTGGTCAACATGGTGGACAACGAGCTGGATCATAGCGAGCAGGGATTGTTCAAGTTCCCCGCCATACCACAGGACAACATCTACAAGATCATCGACCTCTCGCACAACAACATCGACACACTCCCGGTCAACATGGCCTCGTTCGCCAAGTTGGAGCAGCTCATCCTGTTCAACAACCAGATCGAGCAGCTACCCAGCTCAGTGGGCGCGCTGACCTGCCTCACCATCCTCGATCTGTCGCACAACAACCTGCACACAATGTGCCCCGAGATTGGCACGCTCACACATCTGCGCGAGCTCTATCTCTGCGGCAATCAGCTCACTGAGTTCCCGTCGACCTCGCGGCTCAAGTCGCTGAGGAAGCTGCAGCTGGACAACAATCAGCTCCAGGAGGTGCCAACGTCGTCGCTCGAGACGCTTGGCCAGCTGCAGACACTCGACCTCTCACTCAACAAGATTCACACGATTGGCGACATGTCCAAGCTGCGCAGTCTCAAGGTGTTCAATCTGCGCAACAACAATATGACCGACCTCCCGCCCAGCATCAAGTCGCTCGTCAAGCTGCACAGTCTGTCGCTCGATCACAATCAGTTTGGTCACATCAGTGAGCATGCACTACAAGAGTTGACGCGTCTGGCCAAGTTGACGATCAGCGACAATCGACTAAAGTGCTTGCCATTGTCCATCAGATGTTTGTTGTCCCTTATCGAGCTGAACGTTGCTCAGAACCATCTGGACGCGCTGCCCGATACCCTGTGCCACTTGGCCAGCCTCAAGAAGCTGGATATCAGCAACAACAACATCCGGCGACTGCCCGCCGACATTGGCCAGCTATCCAAGCTGGCCGAGCTGCAGCTCTACAACAACCTGATCAGCTCTTTCCCGCTCAGCTTCCTAAAGTGTCGCTCGATCAGGGACGTGGGCGTCGACGGCAACCCGTTGCCGTCGATGTATCACATGGGCATCAAAGCGATCCGCCATCACATCAAGAATCCACACTGCGACGACATAGACTATGACAACCTGCATGAAGCCGACGTCGAGTCGGCCGCGCAGATCATCAGTTCCAACCCGAGAAGGAACATCGAATCCGAGGCCTCAATGGCCAGCAACAACCCCACGCACACCAACACCAACCCCAACCAAACGATCATTCACCCGAGCAACAACAACGCCAACAACGACGACCACACAATCGAAAACATACAGCCAATGTACAGAGAAACACCATTAATACGTTCACCCCCAAGAACTAAATACGCTTGGGAGATAGACTTCAACGAGCTGGAGATGGGCGAGCTGATTGGACAGGGCGGCTTCAGCCGCGTCTACCACGGTCGCTGGCGACAGCAGGAGGTGGCCATCAAGCAGATCGAGCTACAGTCCTACCGCTCACTGGACGACTTCCGCAAGGAGGTCGGCATCCTCAGCAAGCTCAAGGCGCACGAGAACCTTTTGCGATACTATGGCGCTTGCGCCAACGCCAAGTACTGCTACATCATCACCGAGTTTCTGCCACGCGGCTCACTCTACGATCTGCTGCACAAGGAGGGCACACGCGGCCTCGTCCGCATCGACACGCCTCTCATACTCAAGTTTGCACTGGGTGTGGCGTTGGGCTGCTACAACCTGTCCAACTACGACCCGCCCATCTACCACACCGACCTCAAGTCCAAGAACCTTCTGATCACCAACGACCTACACGTCAAGATATGCGACTTTGGCCTCGCATCATGCAAGAAGAAGGACAATGGCATGGCGGACGCTGAGCGTCTTGCCTATGTCTACTACGCCGCACCAGAGATCCTAAACAGTCGTCCATTCACTGAGAAAAGTGATGTGTATGTATTAAATACCTGTCCCCCCGCTGCTCCAATGTGACTGCTCGTCTAACCACTCGCTATTTGCGCCACAAACAGGTTCTCATTTGGAACGATATTATGGGAGCTCATTACCAATGTTATACCATTCAATGGTATGACACCGATGGAGGTTAAGGACTTCCTCAAGTCTGGCCAAAGACTGGCCATTCCATCCGAATGTCCAGAGTTCCTACAACGACTGATCACAGACTGCTGGAAACACAACGCCGAGGAAAGACCCTCATTCGTTGATATATACTATCGTCTGAAGGAACAAACGATTGCTCCTCCACCTCCTCCTCATACATAATGGACAATAATAAACCATCGTCCCCCATATGGTACCAGGATGTCAGAGGGCAGGGCTTATATTGGCGACAAGTCCCTTTTCCGCATCAGTGGAAGTTTGAGTGTGACATTTGATTACATATGTATATATTACATACCAATGTCCAAAGTTTGTTCTTGAACATTCTGTACCATATTGGGAAATAAATAAAGGCCTGTCGCATACCATATAAGGTTAGATTCTAAAAGAGATAGTCGTGTTGTGTGTGTGTCTTTGATGATCGATCACCACACCACAACACACTACTTCAAACAAACAATCTATCTTGATGTAGTGTTGTTGTTGACAAGAAGTGTTCATTCATTCTACAACATACATACATATATACATACACATAATATATATATTCTTGAATGATATGATTCATTGTAATAGACATTAAATAATCACAACAACAATAGCTACAGCATATACAATCGTATAATCATTTATAAAGGATGTTTGTTCATATATTCTCCTTCCTGTTTGGTGTATTTGCAGTGATCATCTGTGCAATATACCTATTCATTCGTCTACTAGAGATTCTAGATGATAAGACAGAGAAGGAGTATAAACAGATATTGGCTGATGCAATAAAGAAGCAAAGTGATAGAGTAATATCAATCAAACAATCAATCAATCAATCAACTTTGATCATTCAAACTCATACTCATACATACATATACTTATAGAGAACAGATACATCTAGGTTCAATGCTGAGAAGAAGGGAAGGATATTCATCAAGTCACCAGATGCCTCAGAGACACAAGAATGGTATCAATGTGTTCTAAAGACAAACATGTTGTTCTTGTTTAAGAATAGTGATGTATGTACATTGAATGAATGATTGATCAATGGTTGATGGTAGTACTCATTCACAATCACAAACATAGGAATCATCTGCAGCAGGCGTTATATGCTTCGATGGATGTACGATCAGTGTTATAAGGAACAAGACATCAAAGTTCCACAAGAAGAATGGTATTATTGTTACGAATAATGAGAGACTGTTGATGTTCCACTCAAAGACATTACACTTTTACTTTGAGAATGGCAAGGAGCTGGAGACTTGGTTCTGGTTCCTCAAGGAGGCCGCCGCACTGACAATCAAGAAGACGGCCGACGAGGACGCCTACATGAAGCTGTGCCAGAAATTCTTTGTAGATCTGCCCATTCGTGCACATGTACCAAAGTATCACATTCAGTCCACGGGCAACATGGGAGCGCCGCCCATCACACCAGCAACCAGCACGCCAACAACTGGACATCGCCGCTATCCCTCCAGTGGCTCATCGACTGCCTCCTCACCAAAGCTCTCACTCTCTCCAACCGATTCACTGACACCAGCATTGGAGGAGTCGATTGTCAAGGAGAGGAAGTCACATTCATCGTTTGTGCCATCGTCCAGTTCATCATCATCATCTTCTTCTTCACAGCCATCAGTCTACTCATCGACTATTATCACTGGCAACAACAACAACAATAGTTCATCGTCATCATCAAATGGAATGGCCGGTGGCATGCTCGAAACACCAGATCTAAACAGTACAGTGATCAAGTATGATTGGTTCAATGTACTTCTTGGACGCATATTCTTCAACATGTACAATTCAGAAATGCTTCTCTCTCTATTCGCATCCAAGATCACAAAGAAGCTGGACAAGATCAAGAAGCCATCAATCCTTGTACGTCATGTCCATCCACCATCCTCGCGTATACCTACCCTTTACTTACTCCTCAAACAATCAAACAATAACAGAAAAGCATCACTCTCAAGAACATCCACTTGGGACCCAACCTTCCCATCCTTCAGAACTCCAACCTCTTGTTCGTTACACCAAAGGGTGAAGTTGTAAGTTGTTGATATCCACCCGCCACATGCGTCACACGCCGGCTAACCAATAACTTGGCAATCCACCAGAGTGTCGACTTTGATTTAGTATATCATGGAGGATTCACATTGACTATTATGATCGAGGTATCATTCTCAATCAGGGGCAGATCTATGACCATTCCTTTGGTGATCTCAGTGTTGATCAAATCACTGCAGGGTAGGGTCAATCTTCAACTGCTTCCACCACCATCAAAGAGATTCTGGGTCGGATTCTACACGGAGCCTCAGTGTGAGTTGGAAGTGGACACGTCGATCGGGCCATCAAGGTCAAGCTACTTCAATCTGCCCAAGATTGCCAAGATCATCATTAACAAGCTGAAGGCAGAGGTGTTTGAAATGATGGTGTTACCAAGTGCCGAGGACTTCCCATTACCTGGTAGCAAGAAGAAGAAGGTCGATGCTGTCGACCTTGCCACAACAACATCAGCTACTGCGACCACTAACAACACAACTGCAGTCCAAGCGAACCCACAGACAGCCACTCAATTCGGTATGTGTGCACGACATTACTCCATGATTGATTGGTTGATTGATTATGATACTTACCTTTATTCCTTTACAGCTGTTGGAAGTCCTATAGACAGATCATCAGAGGCCAACCATACTCCTCAGTTTATTTAATTTTTAATACATGTACATGACTCATAGATTACAAATATCTTATTATATACTCGATCAACCAGCGTTGACTTTATTCTATTCCATCGATGTTCCAGCCATCACCATCTGATCCTCATGGATTATGGGCACCTTTATCAACATATCCTCCTCTGCCTCTTCCATATGGTCTTGAGTCTCTGATGAACTCTCTTCTTTAGCTTCCAGTTCATCAAGTTCTTTCTCCCTCTCTGCATCATCAACATGATGATCAAGGACAACATTCTCTGTCTTTCTCTTGATTGTATCAGCAGTGACTCTTCTCCATACTCCAACACAATGGACTTGAGCTCTAACTTGTTTGATGGCCTTGATCCATCTACCTTTTGCTGTTCCAGGTTGTACCATTGCCGGACCAACATCATCCACATCGCTATTCGAATCAATATCTATCTTGTTCTGACTGACATCATCACTAACTTCACCTAGTATGTCGTACTCCTTCCTAGTAGTGGCCGCCACGACACTCTTGATAAAACTCTTAATAATCACCATGAATTGACCACTGTCATACTCATCGGCGTACTTGAGAAGTTGACCAACAGGTAGACTTATTGCTCCAAGTCCTACGGATGCGAACCATTGACGAATGGATAGAGGTACTGATCCAAATACCAGTCCTCCAATCTGTGCTGCTACAATTTGAATAAATATGGTCATTGCCATGACCATCATGAACTGCCAATGATTCAATATATCTCCAAACACATTCTTGGTTGCTGATCATTGATAGTATAATTAGTGAGTAGATTCATACCAATTGATCATTCCAATCTAACTAATAACTTACAACTCTGTATCCTTCTGCTGTTGAACTGATTGAATAGTTGTAGGAATACAAATGTGTTGAATATAATGTCCTGTCCTCCGGTGAAGAGTAAGATGATCAAGATGATAGTCTAAAAAGGGTGTTAGGAATGATGTTCCAGGACTCCTCAAATCCAAACTTTACTTACCTGGACCATTGATTGCCCAATGATGTTGAACCACATTCCTTTGTTGATTAACTTGATAGATTTACCTTGGCTAATGGAGAAAGTTGGTTAGTACTTAATCATCCATTCTACTCATCTCAATACAACGATCTTACGTTGCACTATTTAACAACTCATTTCTTGGACTCTCGGTGGCAAGTGAGAATGATCCAATGGTCTCCATGATGAGATTGATCCATAGCAATTGAACAAGTGTCAATGGACTCGAGGATGAAGTAATGACTCCTATAATTGTAATAATCACAGCTGCACCATAGACAGTTAACTGGAATTGTAACATTTTCTGGATTGAGTCCATGATGTTCCTTCCCCATACTATTGAGTTGACAATTGAGCTAAAGCTATCATCAATCAGTATAATGTCTAAATCAAAGAAGTTATTGTTAATCAATCAATTTTGAAGATGGTACACATGTGAAAACATACCTGATTCCTCTCGAGCTATATCAGTTCCATTCTTTCCTTTGCTATATGATACATCTGATTGATCAAATGATGGAACATCATGGGTGTTGTCTCCGGTCACTCCCACAACTTCTCCATGTGCTTGCAGCATTGTTATAAGATCAAGCTTGTCCTGTGATGATGCCTTGGCCAACACCTTGATCTTTGGTAGCATTTGCTCAACCTCCAACTTTGACTTTGTGTTGAGCTCGCTGGCCTCCATACATATATCATCATTTGAAAGAAGTCCACATACTTCGGCAATTGCCTTGGCATGATCAATATCTTATATTGATTATATTTGTTAGTAGTGATTGGAATGATTCCAAATTGATTGATATAGTGCGATGGACTTACTCTCATGAGTGATCAATCTTGTGATGATACCAGCATCTTGACAACGCTTGATGGTGCTTGGGATTTGTCGCCTCAGTGGGTCTTTGATGCCAAATACACAAATGAGCACTAGTTGATCAGGTTGATATGTAGTCCAATCTCTTTCATCGACTATATCCATGTAGGCCACTGAGATTGTCCTTAAACATTGCGATGACATTAGCTTCACACGATCCATCATCTTTGTTCTCTTCTCTTGACTTATATCCACTACCACCTTCATATTTCCAATCATGTGAGTGGACTTGGCGATCAAATCCTCTGATGATCCGCGAATAACATATCGATATCCATCTGCCAGCTTGTACACTGCCCACTGATCACCTCTTGCAGTGCTTGGACATCTTGCTCTTGTTCCAACAATGTCCAAGCCCATCTTAGATGCGAAGGACAGCAGGGCACACTCCACCTGATTTCCAATCAACCAGGATTCTTCCAAATACGGGTCGTACTGCTCAAATGCCAAAGAGTTGACGGCTATTGCTTCAAAGAGTAGATCATGTTGAGCACTTGATAGTTGTTGAGTGATTGATGCATGGTCAAGTGGCCCCAGTTCTTCGTTCACTTTGACTCCCATCACAGAGGCGGTCACCACATTTATCTTATCGTCCACGGTCATCAGTCCAGAGATGTCGGTGCATATCGTTGTGACAGTGCCCATCTGTTCGAATGCATGTAGGTTGCGCACCATTATGTTGTCCTTGATAATCCTGCCCGTGTTGTAGGCCAATGCAAAGCTGATGCACTGTGGCAATCCATCGGGAACGATTACACATATGATGGTGGCGGCCAGGATAAAGTAGTTGACTACAGCCACAATGAAGTTGGTACCGCCATAGTTACCATCGTGTGCCACACTCACTATAATGTGTTTGATCACTATTATAAAGAATGTGCACATGGCCACTACAACACTAACCTTTGCAATATTGTTGGCCAAGTTTGTTAACTTGTTGTACATGCTTGATTGTGTGGTGTAGTTGGGGACCTGGACTTGTTCGGCGGCATCTTGGAGGGGTGATGGTGATGGACTGGATGTCCATGAATGGCGATAGTCACCAATGCATACGACCAGTAGGCTGCCATATCCCTGGACTACCTTGGTACCAGAGTAGAGCCTGCTTCCATCCCGGGGCTGAACACAATCTGATGAGTATCCATCACCAACTTGGCAGGCAAGGTTGAAGCTGTCGAGCAGTATACCATCGACGGGTAGGATGCAGCCAGGCTCGATCATGATCACCTCGCCAACATTTAGCTCCCTGGTGTTGACCTGCTTCTGGACACCAGCACGCATCACTCGCACCATGCTTATGTCGGCATTGTTGATGGAGCTCAAGCGTTTAAGTTGCACCTCCATGTAATACTTGTTCAAGCTGTTGACTATGATGACGAGGCACACTGCTCCGATGACCTTGAGACTATGCGCCCATTGAGTACTTCCATCAACAATCAACACAACTATCTCGAGGAATAGCAATAGGATGAGCGAGTGATGTCTGAAACCTTCGGTGATGGACCAGAGTACGGCAAGGGCTTTAGTGTACCATGTACCATCAGTGTCTGATGACATGCCTGGAGCACGGATATTGCTTCCAAACACCTGTTTACGCTGTTTAAAGTTGTCGTAGGTCTCGTCTAGCGGCAATCCAGCCTTGATATCAGTCTGGAACATCTTTTCCAGATGTCTCCTCCAAGGTACCTTCTCATTCTTCATCATATCATCAATCAATGAACTATCATCCTTGTCCATTAACTTGGCACAATATATTCTATCAGTGTCGAATCTGGAATTATTGATTGGTTAGAATATGGAATTGTTGGTTGATTGATCATTGCAATCACATACATTGAGTGAGACATGTGCTCTAGTTCTACATCGTGGAACTCTATTATTGTGGATTTATGGTTGTTCTCGAATAGCTTGACTTCGACTTCAACATCTTTGTCATGTTGATCATCAATACTATGTTGTTTTGATGATGACGCTGCATCCACATGTTCATATCTTAGGAATGGCAACTTATCTTTGTAATCCATGTTTGTCAAAGAGATAGATAGGGAGATGGACTATGAATGGAGTTGACTGAGTGAGTGACATAACATGTCATTTCATAGTCTGTTGTATACTCCAATACTCCATCCTCTCCTCTACTTCCTCCACTTATCCCTCCTCCTCACAACAAGCATGTCAGCTGGCACTCTCTCACACTCTTTGTGTCACATCCCATCTCAGGCACTGCCACATGTGACAATATATCAGCCAGTGACTGCTTGATGTGTGAGAACAGTGTTTGAGAAAGGAGTACTTTGGAAAGACCTCATGTGAGCTAGGGCTGATGAGTGTGTGATGCTTGCTAAGGCTTGTGTGTATGTATGTATTTGCCTCTACACACTCTCTTTGTTGATGTGAGAACCACTGGTGTGTGTCAAAAGGGGTGATCAGCTGACTGATTGATTTGATGTGAGTGTACTCAATCAGTACTTCCAAGGAATGAATGAAAGTCAAGTCATATGATTGACCGATTGATTGATCCAGACCATATCATATTTATATGTTGTGTGATTTGAAGAGTACATCAGTACTTCCAATGAAATGACGCGATTGAACAAGTCGAATCTCGTAGTACTCGCCTTGTTTGGATGTTGGTATCTGTTGCTTGGTCTCATGTGTCTTTTTGATGATGTTGTAGAGGGTGCTGACAGAACGTTCACATGCCAATGCAAGGTTATTAGGCTCGCGTGTGCTCCATCCAAGCAGCAGTGCACTGAATATATCGCCAGTGCCAGTGAAGTATCCGTCGATCCTTGGTACGGAAAGGCGGAATTTACGCTGTCCCTTGGCTCCGCCAATGACCACAATCTCATCGTTGCAGTCATCCACCATACAGCTTGTTATTATCACATTGGCAATGCCCTTCTCATGTAATTTATCAATCGCCATTATAGCGTCCGCTTCTGTATTTATCTTGATTCCTGTTAAGAGTCTATATTGATCAAAGGATATTAGCCGACACCGATATGAATCTATGAATGAATGATTGACTTACTCTGCCTCTGTTTGATTTGGAAACAGGTAGTCTGCATGCTGGATGACTTCGTCGCGATATATGTCGACCAAATCCTCAGGAACATACAGCTTATTGTTGTCCCCAAGTACAGGATCACAAACTATGTAGGTTGTATGATGTTAGACGGAGAGTCAGACACAAGAGCGAGCGTGTACATACCATATGTGAGGTTAGGATTGGCCTGCTTAAGTGTACGAACTATTGATAGTACAGCTCTTAGTGTCTCGGCGTTATTGTTGTAGCCTGTTAGCACGTGTGTATAGTTGTCTGAGAGATGGTTGGTGGTCAGCGTCTGGAAGATCTCCAGAAGCTTGGCGGCAGACAATGATTCTCCCTTGAATGCCGAGTACGCAGTATTATTTGATAACTGTACAGTGTTTATGGGATCTACCTCTATACCCATCTGTTGTAACGCCAACACTGCACACTTATTTCCAACATATCCATGGCATACCCATGATTGAATGGACAACACATTATAATCTTCTCCTCCCATCTTGTTTGTTTGTTTGTTTGTTTATATGTCCAACCTCCTTTCTTTCTTTCTTTCTACCCTCACTCTCTCTTTTCTTTATTATCTTTATCTCTTTTAGTTTGAGTGAGTGAATGAATAATGAGATGAGATGAGTGAACATCGTTTGAGTGGGTTGTTTAGTGGATGGTGGGGTGAACATGCGCATGGATCTGAACATCCAAAAGAGGTAATAAGTACATAAGGGTTATTGTTTATTCAGATGATCAGATCTCAAGATCCTCTACACAAACTAAACATTTCCTTTCTTATCGATCATCTCTAACTCTATCTCTATGTTGTTAGACAATTGTAGAAGAAAGGAATTCTTGGAAGCGCTGTGAATAGTCGGATGGTGAAACGGACGATATCTCCTCGTTCGCTCCATACTTGATCGTCTTGTAAGAGTGCTCAATCTTCTTTCTCAAACTATACAACATTAATATATCTATAATGCCCATGAAGTAATGCTCCTCGTTATGATGACCATCCTCTCCAACTCCCTTAATGCCTCCCTCATCCTGTTGGAATGCACTTGTATAATGTCTAGAAGTACAAGGTAAGTTATGTTAGGTAAGGTTGGCGTTTGAACGGATAACTAACGAATGAATGATGAGGTACACATACTCTGTCAGATCACCCAATGATATATTGAGGTCCTTAAGGTCTAATGGTGGATTGTCTTCGAAGCTGTCGCCGAGGGTACTGCGTAGGATGGAGGGCGAGGGTGGGTCGCGATTGGCATAGTGGATGCCAATGAGTAGGGAGTAGTCCATGATGTTGAGTGACTCTAGTAGTTGGCAATCCTTCTTGATCTGATCGAGAAAGGCCGTTCTCCTCTGTGCTCCGATACAGATCTTCTTCTTGCGGTTCCTAAAGTCAATGTCCTTCAACGTCACTGTGTCGGACTTCTTGTCATTGTCCGATGCCTCGCGGCCCACAATGGAGCCCTTGAGATCGTAGCGCTCGTGGATCTTCTTGCGTGTGGGGAAGTTGTTGCCCATCACCACGAAGCGCACCTGGCGGCCGCCGTGCGGCTTGACCCTGAACAGGCCAAAGAAGCGCGGCAGCAATGTGTTTGGATTGGTGATTAAGTGATCGGTGTACGATGGCAGCAGTTGCCTCAGCAGTTTGGCCTCGTCCTTTGGTATAGTCTTAATGATGAACTTCATGTCATGTGAGAAGAAGAACAATGATCCACTCTTGCCTGGCGTTGGCAACTCGCGCAGCGCGTTCTCTCCGTTCTTCAAAGTGTTGCACAGGGACACCAAGAAGTCGGCCTGATCGATTCCAAACTGATAGCGCAGGAAACGGAAAGCTGTAGAGCAGTAGTCCTTAAACTTGAAGGGTCCTGTCGAATGCGCCTCTGTCAGCTGAGAGCCTGCCGAGTCAAAGCGGAGCTCCTTTGGTGAGTGGAAGAATTCTGTCTTGTTCTTGAAGTCCTTGGGAGTGCGTAGAGTGTGGAACTGATGTGGCATATTCGAGTTGGAGCCGCTCGTACTCATACTCTTTCCAACAGCATTCCTAATGCCAGTCTGTATGTTTAGCATCAATGCCCATGAAGGGTGGCCCTTATATATAATCTCTCCAAGCAAGTTCTTCTTATGCTCATGTGTTCTAGCCTTGCGATGTGACAGTCGTCTGTCAGCTATATGTATATAACATGTGTCAGTTAATCAATCACACGACCAATCAATCAACCACTCTATCACTTACATCGTCTCATTCTAATTCTTTGGCTTTGACTTAGTCTGGACTTGGGCGTTGGCGAGTCGGTGAAGCTACCGCTCGGACTGCTCTCAAGTTCGATGCTGGTCTTCATGGTTGGTGTGACTGTTAGCGGCGTCATTTGGAAGCCGCCAACGCCCATGTGACCATTGGATGTGGATGCGCCAGTAACAGAGAAAGGCGAGGGCATCTGTGTCTCGCCGCCACTGCTTGGCGAATCGAACATTGTGACTCGCGAAGACGAGCTATGCTTGAATATGACCTGCTCGCAGTTGATCTCGCTCCTGACACTGGACACGCCCAGTTCCTCTGGCGCATCCGAGTCGGAGGACACGCTGTCACGTGTGAGTGGGTCGGCCTTCTCGCGCTCGACCACATCGCCCACACTTCCGCCACCCTGTCTCTTGGCTATGTATGACAGGTCGTCCAGTGAAGTATATTGATCGCGAGATGGCTTGTCGGCGCCATCATTGTTCAATGTATTCTTTGTGGATGTTGTGGATGTGGTGGATGTTGATGTAGTTGGTGGTGCCAATGTGGAAGTCGAAGTTGAGGTCGAGGTCGAGGTCGAGGTTGGAGTCGAGGTTGAGGTTGTATTGGCAGAGTTTGGTGTATCCATCATCTGTTTGTTTGTTTGTTTGTTGTTTGTAACTGTAATATTAGACTATCTGGTTGACTGACTAACTGATTGGATGATTGATTGATTGAATGATTGATTGATCAAGTGCTGGAGTGACTGTCTGTTGGCCAATATTTATTGTCACAAGGTTAGTGTTGACTAGACCGGATTGGATTGGACTGGATTGGAGGAGGTGGATAGTATTAGATTATATGAATAGTATGTTGTTGTTGTTGTTTATATAAGTTGGTAGAGTTTGGGATTGTGATTGTGATTGGAGATGATGGATGGTTGGATGGACTGGCGTGTGAGTGTGAGCGTATATCTCATCATCTCTACCTCTATACCTACACTCCACTCACATCCAGACTTTGACTACGAACAGCAATCCAATCACAATCTAGCACACACTCACCCATCACACATCACACTTCAAACACACACACATTAATCAACTTGTTGTCAACATCCACCACCATCCATCATCACACCCTCTGGCATAAACAAACACCATTAGTTCGCCATCAAACACACACAACACAATACCGATGCTTCCAGTGTTGATCACACATATACATGTTCACTATATCAAGCTAGCTAGGGTGTTGTATCGTATGTGGTGTCGTTTCCTTGTATATATCTATGTTTCCTTAATCATTCCATCCATTCGGGTTGTCTTTCTGTCTCTCTGTCTGTGTTGATGTGATGGTGATGGTTATGGTGATGGAATGATTGATTAGACACCTACCTTGTTGAAAGAAGTCAAGTCAATACTTAAAGGCCTTTGTGTTAAGGACCAAAAACACTGACTATTAGTATATTATGGACATAAAAGTAATATAACTGTTTAATTGTGTGTGATTGATTGATTGATTAATTGATTGATCTATCTGTTGGACACCGTCTCTTTTGACATGGAGATGAAAAACAAGGAAGGTATCATGATTATGAGTATATCACATATGTAACAGAATCTTTGGCGTCATTTGTGTGGTCCACTTGAATGAAGGGCATGGACAGTGGTTGATCAGTTTAGTGATGTGAGTTGCACCCCACCTACCATTCAAACGAATGCACACAAGCCCCATCACATCATCTTAGGTGGTGATGACCCTGCCCCTTCTTTTTCATCCACACACCTTTTTGTAAATGTTTGGACAAACAAAAGTTGGTGATCATTTCACAGTTTGGGCCTCATTTTGTTCAAACACCAGGATGTTTTTTGTTTAATTAATTAACAAAAAGCCCAATGATGTTATAATAATGATTGGTGGGGGTGAGAGAGATAATAAGACAATTGTTCATAGTGTCTATACCAAGTCAAACACACCTTATGGTGTTGGGGGAAGAGTGGTAAACAATTGATTTATTGATTGACTAACCGTTCCAGCAGTGTCTGGAAATAATAATAACTCCCCATCATTGTAGGCTTATAACTAGACTTGGTAATAATTGTTTATATTGATGTAACCATTATCAAATTACAAATGTTGGATCTGTTGACTCTAGACTGATTCCTGTACTTTCTTGGTTGTCCATTTTGAAGGCTAATTGACATTAGTTGCGGCCTATCTCTTCAATTTTGACCTAGGTATGGTCCTTTCATTGAGGACCCCCTTTGATTGAAACTAAGTCTGGCCGGGACTTGTTCAAAGATAGAAATCTGGTGATTATCTGGTGATTGTTGTGTCTTGCAATAGGAACTATGCTACTATTGACTTGTATATATTGACTTAGAACTTGATTCTCTTCTTGATCTCGGTGATCCAGATCTTCATGTCCTCTTGTGATGTTGCCTTTAGTTTGATTGACTTGCAACAGTTGAGAGTGAGCACATCGTTTGGACCATGCTTGAATATCTTTAACTTGTTATTCCCCGTTGCACGAATACAAAATGTAAACGTCTTGGAGTTGACAATTGTAATCTCCACATTCTCAAGCTCAAAGAATCTCTCTGATTCTCTCTCAAAGTTGCCATTGGTATATGTTATCAAACTATGTTTGATACTAAAGAATCGTTGACTCCAATTATTAAACTTTCCTATATTTAGTAATCATAACCATAAATAGTAATAATAGTTAGATATTGATCGTATCCTTATTTGGAGATCAATTATTTGTATGTATAATATAGTACAATACCTTGTTTCATTAAGAATCCACTTGGATATTTGACTTCCTTTTTGTGTGGCTCCATATTCCTACAATTATTATTATTCCTTGTTATATTATTACAGTTGTTATTGTCGTTGAGGTTGATGATGTTGCATGTGATTATAGTATTAACTTCTTCCTCTGGCATTGTTGGTATTAGTACAAAGTAATATTACTAGTATGTTGGGAGGGAGGATAAGTAGAATGAGAGATTGAGTATTGAAAGATGGTAAATCGATGTAGGTATTGAGGAATATGGATGTTATTTGGAACTGACAAATTAACCGTTTCTTCCCTGATCATTTCTTGAGACACCTGTTTGAACCTTTTGACAGAGGGTGTTGTTACCTTGGTTGAGCGGGTGGGCATCATCCGGGATGTGGTGGAACCAAGTATTTCCAATGCAACCTGAGGTGGACCTTCTTACACACACTATATGTGGATGTGGTTGGTTGAATGTGTGGTGCAGAAGGTGGGTAGGCAACGGATAACATTGGTTGAATTAAAGACCACCCACCATAATCGATCATTGTTTGTTTGATTGATTGATCAGTGTGTGATCACCAAAATAGATACACACAATCACACACACACAATCAATCAATTAGCCCTGGTGGATGGTTTGAGCGGATGATCTGATCGGCAATCCACACATCCAGAGTTGATCTCCCTAATTCCTCATCGTCATCAACATCGTCAGGCCTATTTCTCATTGTTGGTTTAAACGGGTAAGACGTAGAGTTACTATTTCCACTTTTACCCGTTACAGCTGTAAATCAGAAGTCGGGAGATCATAGTTGATTGATTGATTGAGAATGATCTAAAAAGAGAATAATGCTTATTACGTATTATGGAAATATGAATGATGTGGATGAGGAATGAACTGACATCACATGATGTTTGTGATTATGATCACCGGATATGGAATAATAATTAATGTTAATTTACATTTGAGCACCTGTTGTCGTAGTCGCCTGTGATGATGACGATGTCACCAAAAGCACCTTCTTGATTGCCATTAGCTTCTCGCTGATGTTGACACTCTCCCTGTCAGAGGTGAATGTGTTCTCAGTGCCCAGCTTTGACACTGTATCAATCTGGAAGAATATCCTCTCGAGCAATGGGTCCAACGTCTTCTTCAAAGTGGTCAGTTGACTCTCGTCGGGTATCGGCGCCATCACCTTGACATCGGGTGGCTGCTGGTATCTGTTCTCCGTGTACAGCTCGTGCAATATCTGTTTGATACTCCTGATTGACTTGCCAATATCGATGGCCTCTGGCAGCGATGCGTGCTCCAGACCCTTCTTCATGACTGTCAGTCTATCCACTATCTCCTTGGTTGTCTTGCGACTCTCTTGAGCGTAGGACTTGCGCTTCGATGGTGTCAGTGGCATTGACGCGTCGCCTCCACCACCACCGCTGGATGACAAAGGTGATTGCTGATTCGATGTTGAGGTTGATGATGATGAGGACTGCAATGAGTTGCGGCCAGAGCTTGGTGCTCCATTGTCCTGGCCACCACTGCCACCTGATGGCATGGCTTGGTCTACGATTGACTTGAGCTTACTAATGATCTGTGCCAATTGAATAACATGCTCCTTGTACAAGAGTGTGTGTAGCTTGGTCTTTAGAACAAAGATGTACTCTGAGAGGTCTTCGATGGCCATGTGAGCAGCACGCTTCAACTCAAAGTGTTTCAGCTCGTCGACGCCCGTCGGTGGATTGGCCAACTGTTCATTTGATAGCACATGTATCGAGTAGTTTGGTGGCTTGTTGAACTGTTGTAGGAATGACTTTATATCATTCTTATGTATGTTGAGCTGTTTCTCTGACGATTCCACAAGATGCTATAGTAATATGAGGTGGTTAGTCCATGCCTTCCAATCAATCAATCAATCTCCCGTGATCTGACTTACTCTCTTTGAGTCGCGAAGTGCTGTCGATAGTTTGATGGTGACACCATAACTTGTCTCTTTCTCAATGCCCTTGGCAATGGCTCTTAGTTGGGTCCAGATGTGCTCACTGATCAGTGACTCTGTAGTTCCCTTGATCTTGTTAATCTTCTCGGTTGTGTCTGTGTCCAGTGTAGTCAGCAGTGTCAGTGTGATTGGCTTGGAGTTGGGACTGGTTACTGATGATGGTGATGATCCAACATTATTGTTGTTGTTGGTGGGGCCATTGTTGTTGTTTGATGAGGAAGTGGGAGTCGAAGGAGTCTCCCCTTCACCCTTTGAAGGCGATGGTCCTTGATTCAAATCGAATGCTGACAGAGTCAGTGGCAAGGATGGCCTAGGTGGCGCTGCACTTGACCGCCTGCTGATACTGGAAGGTGTAGATTCGTTGTTGTTGTTGTTGTTGCTCTTTGATTGAGGCGCTGTTGGTGATAGGGAATTTGACGCAGCATTGGCAATAGATGGTGGACTGCTCGTCGTGGACTCTTGCTTGGCGGATGAAGTTGGAGTTTGAGGGTTGGCTGATGATGAGGATGATTGTTCAATTGTTGATGAGGATGTTGGTGACAGATGTGAGGACTCCTTGTGAGGAGAGCCACTGATGTTCAAAACGGGCGGCAATGATACAGGGGATACGGGCGGCGAGCTTGGCTTGCGCGCACCGTTTTGGCTGGAGGACGCCTGAAGGGGCGGTTTGATCTTGATGATGGTTGTAGTCTGTTGAGTGTTCTGTTGCTTGGGGATTGTAGGCAGCGACAGCTTGGGCGATTGCTGTGGGTTGGTAGCATTGGTCAGCTGTGTCTGTGTGCTGATCTTGTTCAATCCAATCGTTGGGTGTTGCTGTGGCGTCGATGAGGGCGACGCAGAGTCGCCGGCGCCACTTGCCGCACCGTGACTGTTTGTCGCCGATCCGCTCTGATGCGATGGTATGAAAGGTGTGGCCATCGCCTGGATCTTGGTAGTGGGCACCGTTGGCGACTTTGTCACACTCTCAAACTCGTCTATCCACAACCTAACAATGTCCTCCGTATTGATCCTATCCTGCTTCATATAGTATATCTCTTCCTCGGGTCTCAGAAAGGCGCCCGTGAATATGGCCGCCAGCGACTGAGCGTCCAGCTTTGTCTGGGAGCTATTACAATGCACTCGCCACAACAAGTCCAACACTGCCTTTATCGTCGTCCTGAAGCCCTGTGGCAGATATGCCAGGAGGAACCTATAAGCCCACAATCTATCTTGATGTGATAGGATAGCTTGATGGATTGATTGAGTGAGTGAGTGACCAAGATGAGGGGCAATGGCTGGTGACTGGATACATACTGTGAGTCAAGAGAAAGCTATCGTACAGTTGGAAGGAGAAGAGTGGCTCGGACAGGGATAAGAGGTATTGCTTCAGCATCTCTGCCACCACAAATGGACTGTTTGTGAACGATGACAGTTGTATCTGTTCAATGTCATTGGTGATGCTCATCTCTGTTTGGGGAGGAGGATGAAGATGTTAGAAAGAGGCCGAGCCAATCAATCAATCAACAACGACATCGATGAAGACATACCTTTGAGCAGTTTCTTTTTACATTGTTGTACATCGATGTCTAGCGAGTCGGATGGCTGTTGTACAAAGATGTTCTCAAGGGCGACGCCCTTGACGAGGAGGAATCGGATGAACTTTAGGAGGATGGGTGGCGGCTCAGACATGGGCGGCAGTGTCACGCCATGCAATAGATTGACAGGCGAGCTGATATTATAATGATCGATCGGTGTGGTTGATGAGAGCGCAGATGACGATGGCAGAGGGTTGGACACCAATGGTGAAGCTGCATTGGCAGAAGTGGCAGCTGCACCCATTGTTGAAGTCGATGGTTGTTGTTGTTGTTGTTGTATTTGTCCATAATGTTGTTGCTGTTGTCTTGATCCAGTCAATGGATGATTCAAAGTATGATTGATGGCACCACCCAACAAGTTGTTATTACTGCTGCCACCTGGTTGGTTCGATGCCAACACTGGACTTGAGTTGACATTTGCAGCCGACCCAATGCTCAAAGATGTTGTAGGTGGTGGTTTTGCGTTTGCTTTACTCTTCCAAGCCATCGATATCAATGTCTATATATTCTGGTTCTAGTTATGTATCTGGTTCTGGTAATGGTTCTGTTTGTTTGTTACACGCTGAATGATGTTGATGATGATGATGATGCCGCTGCTGTCTCAACGTTTGAATGATTGAATAAATAAATAAATAAGTATAATAATGAATGAATGAATGAATGTACAACTAAATAATAATAATAATAACACAACTACTAAGGCAGGTGATGTGAATGAACAACTAATGATTAAGTAAATATGATTGATGTGAATATAATGGGATTGGGATAATAACAGCAACAACAACAATAAGAACACCGTGTCGTTGATATTAAACAAGATAAGGATAGATAGGTTGGTAAGATAATAGTCCTTTGCGACTTGGTCCATCCATTTTTTAATTTAGCTTCAAATGCAAGTATCCAGCCAAGCTAGTTGCATTCATGTATCATGATACATACACACTCTCTTCTCTGGCATGCAATTGATTGAGTGAAAGGTGAGTGTATTGGATGGGTGGGTGAATGAGTCCCCATCGAAGTCAGATCTCGCCTTTGTCTTCAAAAATGGATGGTTTGGGTGGGTTTCAGATAATATGTGTGTTCGATCTTGATTAGTTGCTCGTCAATGTTCCGTGTTGGTGTTGAACATACAAACACACAAATATTGTCAACAACATACATGTACTTACTTAATTTGCGTAACTTGTGGTGGATGGGATGGAATGGATGATTGATTGATGACAAGATGTTGCCGACAACATTTCGCGTCCATGTAACAACATCAACCCATAGTTGTACATCAACTTCATGCACCAATGTACTTCAACACATCCAATTGACTTGACTTGAACTTTCCAAAAAAGATAAGTTATATATCTTGTTGTTGTTGTCTCTTATGATATGGATAAGTTGTCCACCTTGATTGATTGATTGAATGAATGATTGATTGACTGGAAGGGGAATTTCAGAAATGGAATGAAGTAATATACGACTTTCAAAGTGTCACTTTGCCAACTCACTAACTCACTTTATCCCGACAAGTAAGTGAATGAATGAATGAATGATGTTATGTATAAGAAGTAGACAACATTGTTTGTTACATAGTCGTAGTGGACTATTTCAAGTATTAGATAGTTCGACAACAACAACAACAACAGGTTATGTTGGAATTAGGTCTATATCATTCTTGAAACGTCTGTTTAAGTCATGGCGACATGAGGTCGACGATGATGATGTACATTCAACAACTCAATCAAACTCAACTGTCAAGTATCAATCGATAGGTGATGCATTAAAGTCTGGCAAGTCATCATTGTCACCTGTAAGTAGCAATAGTTAGTAGTTCATTGTTTGATTGATCGAATGAATGATGGTATTGACCTTGAAGCATGATATGATGTTAGGGATTCCAATGGAGCAAACCAATGCCTGCATCAGCAGCATCAAGTACAACAGTATTCAAACCAACAGCAGTATATTCAATTGGTAACAACAATCAAGGTCAACTTGGATTGGGTGATTGCAAGTCAGAGTCAACCTTTAGCTTCCTAGACTCATTATCCAACGTCTCTGTAAAGTCATGCAAGTCATCACTCTTGCACACTGCACTCCTGACACGTAAGTACTCAATCATTCAATCATTCATCGATGATCACTTGTCTAACAACCTACCCTCATTAGACGACCACGACATGATGACTTGGGGCGCTAACTTGCACTTCCAGATTGGACACAAGGGAGGTGCAAATACGAGCATCTTCCCAAGCTTTGTAGAGAGTCTGCCGTTCTCTGTAAAGGCTGGCGCATTCCCAAAGGATGCTATTTTGGACTTGGCATTGGGAGGATGGAACTCATTCGCGCTGACAAAGGCTCCTCGCACTGGCGCCTCACACATCTATACTTGGGGCAACAATGCATGTGGACAGATGGGCATCGGAAGCATATTCAACATTCAAACCCCGTCCATCATTCAATCGCTGGCCACCTTCAACATTGTGCAGATTGCCAGTGGTGGATTCTATCACACGCACTTCCTAACGGACAAGGGCATGGTGCTCAGCTGTGGACGCTCGGTCGATGGACAACTTGGAATATCCAATGTCATTGCCGGTGGCGGCGGAGGCGATGCGGACAACTACGTAGCCATTCCGATCAGGGCCGACCTGCTCTCAGACATTATCGTGAGATCTATCACATGTGGAGTCTTCCATTCGTTGGCCATTGATGACAAGGGAGATCTGTATCAATGGGGCCGAGGCGAGCTGAGGAAGGAGAGCAAGGATGATGTTCATTACAATCCGATGAACCAATTCAATCGATATGACAGGACTGCTGACATGGACAGAGTGTCCAAGATCACTGGCATCGAGGGTCGAGTGATCCAAATCGCTGCAAGTGACAACCTCTCATTCGCACTCACCGACGATGGTGTGCTCTACCAATGGACGTGCATGGACCTCACGCCCATCAAGCTTGCTCATCCCGAGTTCAACAATCACAAGATCATTCATATTAGTACCAGTCCAACGCATACAGGTGTCATCCTACGACCTGACGACATCGAGTCATCATCGTCATCATCATCAGCAACAGCAGCAGCATTGACTGATGTTAATGATCAATCAAACAACAGCAACAGCAATAGCAACAATAAGGTATTTATATGGGCGAATCGATCATTCTCATTGGACAAACAGTTACATGGCAGCATGTTCTCCACGGTCACCGAGACCAAGCAACTGTTCAACTTCCCAAGCGATCACCAAGTCGTGGACCTTTCATTAGGCGCTCACTACGCTGTTGTCTTGGCCGAGCAACGAACTACCAACAACGCCAACACCGCCAACACAACCATCACCCAGAGCTAGATCAAATAGATTGATAGATTGATTGATTGAAGTTTATAAAGATATATAATGATGTCAAGAGACCTACTTTGTAAACACTTTGCTGGCCACCTCCTTGATGGTGGACGCTGCGAAGCGCATGTGATCTTGGGTGAGCGCGGCGTTGACACAGAGACGAATCGATGGCTCTGGCAAGAACTTCTCAGTGTCGACGTACTTGGCGCGAGTGATCAGCAGACCCTTGTTGAGTGACTCGACGACGATCTGCTCGAGAAGGTCTTCATCCTGGTCGCGATTGCCTGTCGAGTGGGTGGCCTGCACGCGCAGATGCAGCACGGGCGACAGTGGCGAACCAAACAGCTGCAGGCCGTTGATGTCCTGCAGTTGCTTGAAGATAAACTCAATGTTGTTTGAAAGCTTGGTCAGTAGGGCCGGGTCCCTTTCCAGCAAGTCGATGGCCTTTGTAGCCGATGTGGCCAAGAATGGTGGGAGCGAGGCGGAGAACACGTAGCCGACGCAGTTGAGTCTCTGATGAGTGACGACCTTCTCGTCACCAACACAGAATCCACCTCCTGATGAGAATGAGTTGGCCAAGCTTGCAGTTGTGATCTCAATATCGTTTTGCTGATCACGTGATTGATAGAGTGAGTGAGTATGGTTGGTGATCATGCATAGAGTGATTGATTGATCGATCGATGCTTACATTGATACCAAAGTGCTCGGTGATTCCACGTCCAGTCTTGCCAAGAACACCTATCGAGTGTGATTCATCAATGATGATTCTGAACTTGTACTTGTCCTTGAGCGCCATGATCTGTGGCAGGATGCACAGGTCACCTGTGTTGTAATAGATACCCTCCAGGACGACGAACTTCCTTGTGATCTTTCCCTTCTCGCCGTGCGTCTGAGTCTGTTCGAGCACACGTGTCAAGTCCTTGATGTCGTTGTGGTTGAAGTAGTGCAGACGACTACGTGACAGCGCCAAGCCGACCTGGATGGGCTGCGAGATGCACTTGTCTGCGATGATGATATCGCCAATCTTGGAGAACGAGGGGATGGTTGTCGAGACTGTCGCGTAGCCCGACGAGTACAGAATGGCTGGGCATGGGTACTTGAGGAACTCGCCCAGACGCTTCTCAAGATCAAGATGAACATCGATCGTTCCGTAGAATCCTCTGGGTCCACAAGCGCCAACACCATACTTTCTAATAGTCTTCTCTGCGTCAGCCTGTTATTCATTCGTTCATTGTTTGTTTGTTAGTATGTATGTTTGATTGAGTGAGTGATTGGAATTATTCCAGAGCGTGATCGAGTGTGATTGATTGAGTGATTGAACGGTTCCAGGATTGAGTGATAGTGTGATTGAGTGTGATGATTGAATGATTGATCGATTGATCGATGATGTATGAGTGACTGGAATAGTCCCAATCTACGATCAAGTGATTGAGTGTGATGATCGAATGAATGTATTACCTGTATCTCTGAGTTACCAATGAAACCTAGATAGTTTGAGCGAGCAAGGTTGAGCACGTTCTCTTGGCCATTGACAGTGACGTGGGTGGCGTTGGATGCCTCGGTGATGGTGATGTTGTTCTTTGAGTTTCTGATCATCATTGGCGTCAACTTTGGTGCCAAAGGTATGGGTCGCCACTCACGCAGCAACTCCTCCTCTTCAGCCTTTGACAAAGCATCAGTATGTCTTGGTTTAAAAGGTCTCTTTGTCAATAGATATACAATGAACAACAACATCACACCATGTATAATAAGATGTGGTCCTCCATTTGCTGTCAAATATTGAAATGCACTATCAAATGTTTGAGTTATAAATGACATTATTATTATTATTATTATTATTCTTATTATCTGTTTATACTAATATATATATATAATTAAGATGTGAATGATAAAGTAGAGTGTTTGCAATGTGATGTGATTGAAGTGATTGTCCCGCTGGTCTTAAAGTTTGAAAACGAAAAAACACTCATATTCAAAGATTTTGAATTATTTATTTGATTTTGGAAGGTTAGATATAGATTAATGATCATTTGACAACTTTAGTGGATGGATATCCCATTCCTGGTCAATAATTGGTCATTCCAACAAAGATGCAAACAACATGTTTTCCAAACATCTTGAATTATTGAGGCTTGGAATGATTCCATATCATCCATCTGCCAATCAATCAGAGTCCACCAGGTGATTAATTAGTCCCAATCATCATTGGCAAAGTCTGTGTTGCGAACGTATACTATCCAATGCCATGTTGACTTATTGACCAGTGATGGATGTTGGATAACAAGTTGATTGAATTGATCAAATTTGTCTTGATCCACTATTATCTCTTTGTTCTTATCTGTTAAGTTATAAAGATATTGAATAGTTGTGTTCTTGCTAAACCATGAACATAGTGTATCAAAATGGTTGTTGTTGATCAAGTTGAATAGATCGGCAGAGATTGATTGTGACTCAAAGTCATGATGGAAGAGCATCTCCATCATGGGGTGCTGACGGAAGTGTCGCACCTGGTTAAACGACTTGACAAACTCAATGTCAATGGTCTCGACCTGAGGATGGCTCTCGTCATACGTGAACTTGATCAGTGGTCTTGTGATCGCGGGTGGACGACTGAACCGATCAAACATCAATGATAGGTTGGTGATCTTGCACTCGGGCGACTGCATCAAGTACTTGTTGACATCATCATTCAATGCATTGTTGTACTTGAACGTTGTGAGTGTATCGCGTGATGTCGTCTGGATGTAGTCGAGGAGTGCCGCTTGGAATGGTTCCCCGCCAACATCCATCATCATCAGTCCCAGATGAAGCACCAGTGATTGCAATCTAATACCATTGATCGTTAGGGACTGAATGATTTCGGTCATTCGTTGGAATGTGATTTGACAAAAGATGCTCAGGTCATCGATGATCCTTAGCTTCTGAAGATTGCGCAGTGCTGGGAAGGACAGCAGTGATGCGGGGGGTTCGCAACTAACGCGGATTGACAAGTAGGCCAGGCCGCCATCAGGCAGCGCATCGAGCACTTCCCCAAACTCCTCTTTAAATCTTTTATCATAGACTGTTTGCCAAGACTTGAGTGATGTGCCAATGTTCACGGATGACTTATTGTTGACGCCACTGATCAGGCTGAGCGTGTCGTATATCCTTGCCCACAGATATCGAAGTGTAGGAGTTTGATCATCCACAAACAGCACAGGACGGAGTGTCTTCAATGGTATTACACCGCCTCTTGAGTGATTACTATACACCAACAATGATCGGAGTGTGCGTTGGTAGAGTGGGACAAATACTTGGTGATCGCCATTGTCATCGTCACTTTGAGGAGGCACAACGATTCGTCCATGATCGACCAATTCTTCAAGTTCATCGAGTGAAGAACAACGTAGTGTATCATTGATGTATCTTGCAATGAATGAACGTATTCGTTTGGATATGAGACTTAGTGATAATCTCCATCTTGCTGCCTCTGGACATCTCTTTGGACTAGTAACAGAATTCCAAGAGAATTGAATGATCATGTTGATCAAGTATTCACTAAGTACTATATGTTGTTGTTGGTGTTGTTGATCCATTGTGGGTGGCAATAGTCCAGAGTGTTGTCTCTATCTGTATGTTATTAACTCATCCAATGATCTGGTCCCATGAATGAGCCAATGATTATTCATTTTTGGAGACGACAATTCTCTATCTTTTCCTAGATTGTTCAAAGGTAAATATCCATCATCACGATTGTCTCTTTAGATTTGTTGTTTGTTTGATTGATTGAATATCTCCACCCTGAAATTGAATGATAATTCAGGAATCATTCCAGGTTAGTTTTTCCATCGACCAAATAATAATTTGAATGTTGATGTTCTTATAAGAACATTTATACTATTTAACTTATAAACTATCAATACTTGAAAGACAGAGGTAGAATCAACATGGTTCAAACGATTGATTGTTTTGTTCAGATAATTATAAAGTGTCCCATAAATGAAATTATACTTCCAAGAACAAGTTTTGGCGCCATTTTGTAAACAAAGATACTCTAATTGGCAACTCACACATTCTCTTCACTTCACTTGTCATTACCATTAGATACAGATATATATATATATATTAGATAGATACAGCAGAGAATGGCAATTGGTCGAGCAGCCACAAGCAAGAAAAGAAGTAGCTCGTCTTCTTCAAGGAAGAAGAGATCATTGTTTGGTATGATTGATTGGTCAACTCAATCTTTATAATGGTGATGGATGACGATTACTCACTCACTCAATCAATCAATCAATAAAATATAGTTCAAGTAATCATGTCAAAGGCAAACATAAAGAAGTTGGTTTCAAGTTGGACAGATAGATATAATGAGGATGCAGAGGAAGCGACACTTGAGTTGGTAAACTTCATGGTGGAGGCTGGCGGCGCAGAAGAAATGACAATGCAAGAGTATAAGAGCTCTTTCAAGAAGGGCTCGGAAGAGGTGTGCGAGAGCGAGGACTCAAAGACATATCCTCTGGCCAACAAACGATCAAAGACGACGCCAACAGCCTACTGCTCATTCTTTGAGCAGGTGGTGGCCAAGTGCCAGACGTCCATACTGTTTGATGAGTACCTACTCGAGATGATCGTGCTATGGTCCAAGGAGTTTGCCGAGGCCAGCAGTCGAGGCGTGCGCCACGCCACCGTTCTGGGCTGTGTGGCCATCGTCGAAGCCGTGCTCAAGGTGTGCTCCGAGTTGAAGCGCGAGCTCAACCTCACCAGTCGACAGATATCATCAGAGGGCAGTGTGGGCAAGAGTACAGAGCGCCTAAAGACACTCAAGGAGAACCAACTGCAGCTCACCAACAAACTCAAGCATCTCGAGTCGTTGGTCATTGGCAAGTTCTACGCCACGGTATTCAAGACGCGCGTCAACGACATTCAGCCCGAGATCCGAGGCATCATCATCGAGCATCTCCCCGTCTGGATTCTCGAGCACCCGTCACTCATGCTCTCTGGCGACCTCCTCAAGCACATCGGATGGGGATTGAATGATTGGGTAAGTGTTCAGTCGCGTGTTCGCGTAAATCCATCACCAATCTAACTCACTCACTCAATCAATCAATCATGACGAACAAACAGGCCAACGATGTTAGGATGTCAGCAGTCAAGGGATTGATTCAATTGTACAGCAATGAGGACCACCTCACTCAGTTCGACGACTTGACTCAGGTGTTTGGAAACAGAATCGTGGACATTGCCAGTGCGGACAAGGTCGACAAGATATGCGCAGAGGCCATCAAGTTGGTGGCTATAATGGCCAAGCACTCTTTGATTGAGCAGGACAAGATGGAGCGCGTGTTTGACAACTACATGGTGGACAACCCAGTTATCACGCACGCAGCGGGCGACCTGCTCTTCCAGGTGTTGATCAAGCCACACGATGAGAAGCTGGCGTCGCTGCCCAAAGGCGACAAGAAGGGCGCCAAGAATGAAATGAGACAGCAGCAGTTGGCAGCGGTGTTGGACTTTTTGGATAGCAAGTCAAAGGCACCCGACGTGCCCTACTACCTCGTGCTGGCAATGTGGGAGCAAGCCGAGCACTTCTTCACCGACTGGCCATTCTTTGTCGGACTGCTCAACAGTCTCGAGGAGCAGGACTACACCGAGAAGCAGTTGATAACCATCACAAGAATCATCGCGGCCTCTGTCAAGATATCCTGTGGCCAGAAGATACCCGTATTTACCATTGACGGTCAAAAGTTTGTTGGCCAAGACCCTCTCAAGCGCAACGCCGTCGAGCCCAAGGTATGTTGTCATCACTCTTCACTCAACCCTCGCTCGCTAGCTCCATCACTAACAATCGATCAATACCAAGTATGAGGATACAATGATTGAGATCACAACCAACTTCCTTGGTGTCATTCCAGAGTTGCTGTCACAGTACAAGTCGGTGAATGAGCTGGCCATCAATCTGATCGAGGTGGCCAGGTACTTTAAGATGGAGACCTATATTACATTGCGACAGCAGACCAAGTACGCAGACCTGTTGGATGTGATCAATGAGGTGTTGAACCTGCATCCCAATGAACGACTTGTCGAGACCGTCGCTCTCACCCTCCTGCACCTGTCCCAATGCCCATCCCAACTCGAGTCTGCATTCAATCTCACCATTCAACAGCTGTTCAGTGGACTGATCACCTCAATCAGGAACCTCAGCGAGCCATCAGAGGACGCAGGCAAGGACAAGGCAGAAGAGGAGGACCCAGACTCACAAGCCAAGGCAATAGCTACGGCAACAAGCAACGAGAAGCTCTACACATTACACTCACAACTGGTCAAGCTGCGCTTCATTGGCAGCCAGATCAATTGTGAGGATCCTGATCTACACCTCCTGCTACTGCCGCTGATGGATGGAATGGTTGGCAATGCTCTCATTCAGAACTCAGATTACAGGGAGAAGATCATCATGACCGCCACCATGTGTCAATCGCAGATGATCATGTGGGAGGTGACCAACATGGAGCCTGACGTAGCCGCACAGGCCCCAATATCCAAGGCCAGCACCCCGCTCTACTTCATGTTCTACCAGTTTGTACATAGAATGAATTTGATACTAGAGTCCAGTAAGGCCACCAACAGTCTGAAGCACTTTGTAAGTAACATTGGTCCTCCTTCACTCACCCAATTAATCATTCAATCAACTAATCAATCAATCAATCAATCAACTCAATCAGGCATATGTAACACTTACAGAGGTGTTGTTATTCTTTAATCCATTGCTGGAGAAGTCTGTAGCAGGCATCCTCTCATTGCACGTACCCAAGTCCTACAAGTTACTTGAGAGCAAGTCTAGGGTGTTGTTTGAAATTGGTAAGTACCATATATAGTCCTGCCTATCCTGGCCCGCCTCGCCACTCACTGACCCATTCAATCATTCATTACACAAACAATAGAGAATGATCATGTCTTTGATGCCATTAGAGCCAGAGCGGAGGATGAGGATGAGGAATTGAACAACGAGGAGACAAGGAGCAGCAACATGAAGAAGAAGACTGGCAAGAGTAGTAGGTTGAAGAAAGGAAAGAAGAAGCAAAGAATACAGACAGAGTCAGAGGATGACGGTGATGATGAGGAGCAGGAGGAGGAGGGAGAGGGAGCCGAGGATGAGGAACATGACAAGTCAGAAGCAACGTCTGCATCCGACAAGGAGACAGCAAAGAAGAAGTACAAGTTCAATGTGGAGAAGGACACCTTGCAGTTGGACAGCGCAACTCAGTTGCGCATCGAACAACTACTCATCACGACAATCCAGGCCATCGAGACACGAATCATTCCACAAAACATGATTGGTGTGGTGCTGAAGCAAGTGGCTCTCTCGCCTGGACCAAGATCGCTGGCCATCATCAAGGAGTACGTCGCTGTACTGAGGTCCAGAGTGACAGAGATCAAACAAGAGGCCGCAATCATCTCAATGATCATCAAAGAGTTCTTCCACCTGTGCGACTCAATCGAGGATGACAAAGAGCTCAAAGAGCATATGTATGGACGTCTGCGAGGTCTCATCGATTGGATGTGCACCGAGTTCATGAGGAAAGGTATGTTCCATTCAATCTTTCATTCAATCAATCAAAGAATCGAATCAATCAAATGCCTAACTATCCATGATGCTTTGGACCAACCTAGACTCACTTGGACAGGTGTTTGAGAGTGGACTTAAGTACTTCTTTGGCAATGACCACACCAGCCCTGACCATCCACAGTTCCTTAGATGTGTCAGCTTCCTTATCCCCAAGCTCACTCATGAGCAAGCTGTAGAAATGTATGTAGCCATTCCATTCACCTGAGTTTGTGGCTCCACAGCTCACTAACCATCATGATCTTCACCATTACTAGAATGAAGAGGAAAGAGATCTATGACGAAAACGACGAGGATTTCAAGTCATTGAACAATGTATACAAGATGGTGGAAATGATTTCAAACAGCAAGAAGAAGAGTCTGAAACGAAAGGGCAAGCGAACTGATGAAGATGGAGATAGTGACGAGTCGAGTGATCAGCGAGTTGATGACGATGATGAGGACCCCATCGAAGACGACTATGACGAGGAGGAAGAGTTTGAGCTGTCGCAACAGACCAACACCTCCACTCCCAAGAAGAAGCAAAGGAGATGAGATAGATAAATATACAGATAGATAAACTCCATTGATGTAACCATTGATTGAATGATTGAGTGATTGATTGATTGAGTGTGTGAATATATCTACAAGTAAACGTTTATCTCTAAAGTCTCTGGAAGTCTTCGTTTTTGGTGACTGTGGCGTGATAAGCGAACGAGCCTCCTCGAAGCAAATATGATATGATGATGCCAACGATCTGTTGTTGTCCAAGGTCGGAGTATAAGCGTGAGTGAGTGATCATTCTATCCAAACAATCAAACATTCCATCCCATCAATCAATTAAACAAACAACAAGTGAGTGGCACTGATTGATTGATTGATAAGATGGATGTGTAGTGACTACATACATAACATGCGATGAGGGCAAAGTCCTTGATCATCCATAGTGTGAATTTATGTGCCTTGATCAGCTCCCAGAGGAGTGATACACCTGAGAGTGCCATCATCACCAACAGACCCATGATAAAGAACCACAGCAGAGTGCTGTTCTTTGTCTTGGCTCCGAGGAATCCTGTGACGGCCACAATGATCGTACCAATGCATATAACAATTCCAATGAGGAATATAGAGAACACTGAGATGATTGCCAATATCAGCAATAGCAAACACAGGAAGTATATGGCCTTGACCTTTGGTTCAGTTCCTTCAAACATCTCTTTCTTTCTTTCTTCTTTCTATATCTGTATCTGTATCTCTATCTGTATCTGTTTGTAACTCTTTTACCAAACAATGTACTTGTTTCAAACTTAGGCCAACACAGGGAACAATCATCATTCCTAGCAATGCTCCAAAAAGGAGGGCTGTGTCTCAGTTTTGCAGGTAAGTTCGTATGAATGATCAGGGACTCGCAAAACGACCCTTTTTTGATCAAAATATCAACCACCACACTGGGAGCCTCTCGGAAGTATCTGAAGAATTCTGTCGTTGGTATCGGGGACATACAATTATGATTGACTGATTGATTGTTCTTTACTTGATCATCACCAGAGTATGATCGAATCCACAAGCTACTTGTTCTGCAATTTCTTCACTCTCTAGGTTGTTATCTTCACTGAACTCCTCCACTCGTTGTGGCAGACACATGTTGACATCGTTGGAAGCACCACCTCCMCCGCCAATACCCAGCTTGCCTTTGGCCATGCTGCCCCATGTATACAGATGTCCACTCTTTGTAAGTGCGGCAGAGTGTGCTCGGCCAGCGGCAACTTGCACCAATGTATCATTGCCAAAGTGATTGTCTGGCGGCAGACTAGTTGGTGTGTATCGATTGTCTGTATCTCCCAGTCCAAGTTGTCCACTTCCATTCCAGCCAAACGACACCAATGCACCATTGTCATCAATGATCAATGTGTGAGAGAAGCCACAAGACACACGTCTTGTACTATCCTTTGTTGTGATTGTCAGTCCATCAATCATCTTTGGTCGATATTGATGTTGGTTGTCGCCATGGCCAAGTTGTCCAAACTCGCCACTTCCCCAAGACAGCAGTTCTCCCCTGTCTGTGAGTGCCATCGAGTAGTCTGATCCTGCATATATATCGACAATCCTGTGCTGCCGCAGTTGATCCAGCACGACTGGCAATGTGACCGGGGCAAGGTCGTCTGATTGGCGACCGCCCAAACCGAGCTGTCCATCCTTGGCCCATCCCCAGACATAGACCTCTCCATTGCTGCTCAGCGCCATTGAGTGACCCCATCCACAAACTGCTTTGACAATGTTGACGCCATTCAGTGCGGTAACCTTTGTAGGTGTGACCTGATGCAGCTTATCACCATGACCCAGTTGATATTCTGATCCAACGCCAAAGGAGTATAATTGACCTTGTGTATCTACAATGAGTGTATGTCGTCTACCTCCCGCCACACTCTTTACCAACAAGTCATTATCATTGTTGTCCACACGTGTAGGGTACGTGGCCTTGTAGTTTGTCTCCTTCTTTCCCTTCTCTCCACCTACAAATGATGTCCATCCCCATGAGTATAGTTTGGAGTCTAGTGATTAACGGGTAAGTACAAGGAATGATTGGGTCTCTATCAATCATATACATACCATTGCTTATGAACATGCTGTGATAGTGACCACAACCAATGTAGTTGAACTTTGAGTGGCCATCGACTTGTTCAATGTGATATGGATAAGCTTCGTAGCCATCTATGCGACCATTAGCTAGTTTACCATCGATGGCACAACCAAAGGAGTATAACTTGCTTGTACTAGTACTTGCCGAGCTCATACTACTCATACTCCTCGATTTAACCGAGTGTGTACTCAATGTAGACAGAGCAGTGCATGTCCCTGTCCCCAGTCGTCTAAACATATTCATGATTATAACTATATCTTATGCTGTATGGTATGGTATGTACACTATAGTGTTTCTCAATTTATACCTTGCAGCTAACTACCTAATCGTCTGTCAATCAGTTCGTTCAAATTGTATGTGAATGGGCAAAGTGCCTTGATTATCTTCAGATCTGCGAACTTGCTTCATTTCATTAAATGAACACACTACAAAGAATTCATTCAACTCCACATTCGTCTACATTCATAAAGATAGAGATAGAGATAGAGATAGAGAGGCAAACAACAACAATAACATGGTTGTTTGTGCGATGTGTATAATATGTAGAAAGGAGTTACCTTATCTTGAAGTACCTAAACATGTTAGAGAGGAATGTCTACCATCTCTAGCAAAAGATTATGGATTCAGCCTACCGACTGTAGAGGAGTTTGATCAGCTCAAGTCTCAGAACAATACTCTAAAGGATGAGAATGATACCCTAATCAACAAGTTGAAGCAACTTGAACAAGAGGTCGAACTACTACAACAGAAGCTACTTCCACCGCCTCATCAACCTCCTCCTTCTCCTCTGGCTGCTATAGATCCTCCACCTCCTCCTTCCCATCCACCTCCTGCTGCTATTGATCCTCCTCCACCTCCTTCACATTCCAACATCAACACCGACAACAACACTGATAACAACAACAACAACACCGACAACAAAGACAACAAAGACTATTTTGAATACAATATATTTGAATCTGGTGGTGGCAATGATTATTACAATGGCAATGACAATGAAGAAGATAATAATGAAATTGAAAGCAAGTGCAATATCAATGTGAAGAATGAAGATGTAGCCATGTCAGAGTCAAGTGAATCAACATCAGATGCGGTCGAGTCTGACGACGGCGGCGGTGACATTGATGCTGGTGTGGATTGGCAAGCATGTCCATTATGCACTGAACTCATCATGATGGACCATTGGAGCGATCACATGTATGCTGATCACAGGGATCTGGTGGAGAGAGAGATTGAATTCTTCAGTGGCACTAGCAGCAACAACACAAACAGCAGTGCTGGAAACAAAAACAACAAGAGCAAAACACACAAGAGCGGAACAAACAACAGCACCTACAACAACAAGAGCAATGGTAGCAAACCAGTCACACCATCAAAGAACACAACATTATCACCAGTCACAACGCCAAAGTCTACTACACCAATCACAACGCCCAAGTCCACACCAAAAACAATGACACCAACAAAGATGGAGATTATGTCAACGCCAAAGTCACCAGCAACCACGACGACCACTACGACTACGACAACTACAACAAAAACAATACCATTGACACGCCAACGGGCAAGAGCACAGTCACCAATGGCCATATGTGGAGTCAATTTCCCAATCATTCTTTTGAGGATGATATATCAAAAACTGGATCCAGCGGACAAGGTGCTATTTTCACTAACATGCAAACAGTTCCACACATGGCTGCGGGAACAGTCACAACAAATCGAACAACAAGTGATCTACGAGCATGAAAGTCCTATCAAGCGTGGAACAATCCCATCAACAGTCACATCTCTTACATTCAACGACTCTTTTCACATTGCCATTCCACCGGGAAAACTGCCGTCGAGCATCACCTCGCTCAAGTTTGGTGCCAAGTACAACAGAATGTTCAAGAAAGAGGTGCTCCCCGACAACCTCATCGAGCTGACATTTGGCAACAGTTTCAATCGGCACATCGATGATGATTCATTCCCCACATCACTGAGAACACTCAGCTTTGGGCAAGGCGGCCAGTTTATGAACAGCTTCAACATGAAGCTTACCAAGCGCACTCTCCCAAGGGAGCTCACATCTTTGACCCTTGGCGCAGCCTACAGACACCCGATGGAAGCAGGAGTACTCCCACCGGCACTCTGCTATTTTGACTTCTCTTTCAATGCGGTGCTGAATCATCAAGTGCTCCCTTCATCACTGCGAACACTCAAGTACATGCGACAACTACCCGAGAACTTTGTCTATCCCCGGTCCCTCACCGAGTTGAGCGTCTATCGACAACCAACCACGGCGCCTGCAAGGATCAAATTGCTCTCCTTCATCTCTGCTAGTATCCCTGCTCCCGTTGCGCTGCCCCCGACGCTCACCTATCTGAGCGTTGAGAATATGGTGATTGCGCCACGATCACTCCCTCAAGAATTGCAAGTCCTGGAGTTTGGTCCAGTATTCAACCAAGTGATCGAGGAGCACATCCTTCCGGTGTCCATCACCACGCTCAGGTTTGGTGCCAAGTACAATCAACACATCAACCCAGCTCACCTGCCTTCGGCACTCACATCGTTGTCGTTCGACAACTGCAACTTCCAGTTGCACACCCCCAACTCCCTGCCCAACTCGCTCCGTCGACTGAAAATATGCTCCAGCCCAAGCGACCAAGAGTACACCAGCACCGGGAAACCATTCCGCGAGGCAAAGTTGACCTCGCTAACCGTCGACCTGACTGGCGAGGAGAAGTTCCACGAGTTTGTCACCCTTAACCTTCCAAGGTTGGTCCTAGCTTTCCCAACAATCACAACCTTCATCCTCACTCATAGTACTTTAGACAAGGAGTGCATCCTGCGAATGACTGCAGAAGGTGGCGTAGTGGTGGCGACACATCAATACGATCATAGTGTGCCATCAGCATTTAGATTCTTAACAAGAGATCAATTACTTGAAGCACCTGACCATAATGATAATGAAGCAACTTAGCAATGTTGGAAATGGCCACATCAATCATACTCATGATTATGTGGTGCTGTTCATTGATATCATGTCAATCCTCTTGTCTTCTCGTCTGAATCTGAGACGCTTCTTCAAGAACACGCCAGTGCCAATGGCTGCGGCCAGTAATATTGCCGCGCCTCCAACGGCAACAGCGATTATCCACCAGTTGGACTTGTGTTCCACACATTTGTTCGTCAGTGAGTCCACACCACTGTCGGTTAGATAGGAGAAGTTGGGGTCGATCACTGCTTGATCGCGGAATGAAGGGGTCACGAGCGCGAACACGACACCAAGCGTATCGGCTCCCTGGGTGTAGTTTGTCTGCTCAAAGAATGGATCAGTGAGGTCGAGTGTCCTGACATTGCTCACGCTGAGTCTTGAGTCGACCTGCACCACATTGATGAACTTGGACACCAACACCTTGTCACCGACCTGCATCTCAATGTAGCGGAGGTCGCTCTGCTGATTGGGGTTCTGGCTGATTGTTGAATCATGGCATCGAGTCGACTTGGAAGGTGATTGGATGCGATAGATCAACTCGAGTGTGTTGGTATATGATTTGAATGGCCAGCCTGCAAGAGTAACGTCGGACTTGATCGAGTTGGCATCAATGAGGATAGTCTGGCCGCCAAAGTCCAATGTGGTCTGATTGATAAACTTGGTAATGTTGACTGTGATGTTGAAATCTTGGATATAGGATAGTGTACCAAATGATACTTGATTGGTTGTAGTGTTTACATTGATATTCCATTGTACATCAGCCACTGGATATGTTACCAAAGGTACACCATTGCCATCCATCTCACGTATATGTGTGAAGAAGATTGAGAACTCTCCAAATAATGCACTACTTGGGTTGACAACAGGGTCAACATTGGTTGTTGATGATGCTGTAGTATTACAAATTGGACCATTGTATCCCTCGGTTGTACAATTACATGTACCATAAATACATTGACCTCTTCCAGAGCAAAGTGCTCCTGGTCCACATCCATCTGAAGTTTGGAATGATTGAATGAGTGATTGGATTATCAAACTTGGGCAACTTTGGGTACATACCTGTGTAAGTAAAGTTTAAGATGTTTGATAGTTGTCCACCAACATTCAATTGTAGTTTGTTCTGATTGAGTCCAGGGGGAATGTTGAAGCTGATTGATTGATGAGGTTGGATGATGGATAAGTTTAAGTTGGAGTTGATAGATTGGTCGCCATTGTAAATGAGTTGGATGACTGATGACTCATTTCCAAACTGATCTCCAGTTAGTGTCACTAGACCACCATCAAATGGAGCTATTGATAGTGATTTCAACACTGGTGGATAATAACCAAGTTGGACTTGATTTGTAGTCTTGTTATTCTCCACATATAGTACAAGTGATCGAGCTGACCCATAACCACTTCCAAACATCACACCAAGAGTGTTGTTGTTCTGGAATGGAACAATGTAGATTGGTTCAATCTTTAAACCACCTAATACCAATGTGTAGTTACTGCTTGATAGTTTGAGGTTGTCCACTGGGAGGCTGATCCAACCACCAGAAGTAGGAATTGTGAAATTGCCTGTCGTCAGGAATACAGGAGCAGGCAAGGTAGTATTAAATATAACATAGTAATAATTGTAAGCACCGACCAACTGCTTAAAGCTGAGTCCTGTCTTGGTATAGTCAGCTGACAATATTGTCATTGTGATGGCTTAAGTGGAATGGTGGGATTGGTTAGGAGTTGGACGTTTTGGTATGGCTTCTTGTACATACAAGTGTTGGAGATGACTGCTGTACCGGGAGAGAAGATTGCGCTATTTATAACATTGTTGGTCAGGATGTTTGCACCTTTGTGCGGACCATTAATGAACTGGAAGCTTGCTAAATATGGATGTTAGAAAAGGGATTGTTTGTTTGAATGACGAGGGTATGTTACATACTGCTGACATTCTTTGATGGATAGTACATTGATACATTGCTGAATAAACTTCTAACAAAGATCATATCACTTTGTTTCACTGGAGAGAATACCTGACATGGCAATCCTTCAGCCACAAAGTATTCTTTAATCGGAATACCAGTGCTATAATAATTGCCAGTTGACATGATGAAACTGGAAGTATCCTTGTTGTCTATGAATGATAATAAAAAGATTGTTAGATCATGATGCATTTGAACAAACCAAAGGTAATGATACATACACATAGCAATCCTTGAGATATCTTTCATGAGTACTCCACCAATCTGTATATCAACTGCTGATATACCTTGCAAGGAGGTGACAGTTGTGGAGTTGATTGAGGCAGTAAGGTTACAAGTAAATGATCGATCAGGTACTAGCATCTTAAGTGGCTTGCAAGCTACCTTGAGGGTACTGATCTTCACTGACTCCACATACTCTAGCGAGTCACCAAAGTTCTGCCCATTGATTGTTATCAAGTCACCAGCATACAATCCAGGATACATTGATGATATCATTGGCACTGTTTGATTGAGTTGGTCATGGTCAGTTGTTGGTTGATTGATTGGGTTGAGACTGAGAGTTTAGGGGTACATACTGTTTGGATGGTATCCCTTGTGGGAGTAGCTCTGGACACCATCCGTGATGAGTATGTCATACTCACCAACCATGAATGGTGTAGGACACTTGACTGATGTGCTGGAAACTGTGTTGAGTGTACATTCAAAGCTATCTCGCTTCCTTGTACTGTTGGTGATTGTAACTTTAAGATTTGATATGTTGAATGGTCGTTTGTCCAAGTTGGTGATTGTTATATTTCCAGGTTGGCAGTCTGTTGGCCATACAACTGGATCTTTCTCACCACCATACTCAATGAGTATACCTCCAATGTTCTGTTCAGTAGGTGACAGATCATCCCATGCATAGTTACGCCAAAAGTATACATCAGTCTGAGGTTCTGCTCTATTGTTATCAGGTTGATTCCTAATGAATCTACAGTAACCAAAACACTTGCTATACTTCCTATCATACAATGGTTGGCCAGCCTCTGGTCCAGTTTTCCAAGAGTACAACGTCTCATCATTGGGTGGTCTAGAGTTCGCTCCAAGCCATAATGATTGATCATCAGCTAATCCAATATGTGAATGAGTTGAGTGAGTGAGGGAGTGGAATAGCTCCAATGTGTGTATACCAACATACCCATTTTGCTCACAACAAAGTTGTATTCACGTTGTGTTGTGATTGTGGCGAGATAACCTTTGGGATACTTGGAGGCAACATAGGCAGTTGCTTCATCATAGGTGAAGTTGAGTTTGGAACTATCTGTCGAGTACAACAAAGTGTAGTTATGCCCATTGTCTGGATTGGTGAATGTTGTTGTGGTCACCTGACCAACGACCAATCCATATTTGATAAAGTTGGAATGAGCCAACAATGCTACAACTAATATGAATAATATTGGTTGTAATGATGAATCCATGGATATATCTTATTCTATATCTTGTTAGATAGATATTAGGTTTGATATTATGTTTGATAATAATTGTTGGAGTGTTGTTGATGATCGTGGTGTGGATAGGATTGGTTAGGAAGAAAGAAGAAGAAGTGGAGGAAGGACCACTCATCAGAGAAACATCGATCATCACGCGACACTGGGTATCGGAGTGATCAAAGAGACGGCTGTCAGGTCTTGAGGTATGCCCAATACCAGTTTGTAGATATTTTGGTTCTCATCTTAAGAGACTCTTCGTGGTCCACCCACGATCACTAAAAAATCTGCAAGTCTGGTTCGTGTAATCCCCGATGATTTGTAACGTTTGATGATAGTGATCGCGTATCTGTTGCTAAACGTGTCGATTGGCTGTGGCAGGGACAGTAATAGTTTATTCTTACCATCTCTCCATCATTCTTCGATAGCATACTTCAACAAAAGGTCGTTGACCATGCTCAATCCCTTCTCAGCTGGCAGCTTCTCCAAGTCCATCTGTTTGAACTCCTCCAAGAACTGATTGATGTTCTTCTTCAATGACTGAGGCAAGGTGTGTGAGTTAGTGGGTGAGCTCGGGAGCGAGTGATTGAGGCGTGCCGGTACCAGTACTTACATTTGATTCGAATGACTCTAGCTCGTTGGCTTTGGCCTTGGCCACGTCGATGACCTCTTGTGGGAAACCAGCCATGATGGCTACGTGTATACCGAAACTTTGATCGCAACTTCCTTCCTCAACCTTGTACATCAATGTCAGTCTGTTGTCACTAATGTTGGCAGATACATGAAGGTTGTTGACCACTGGAATCAGGTCGGACAGGACAGTGAGCTCGTGGAAGTGAGTGGCAAACAGACAAAAGGCACCGATCTGATTGCAAATGTACTCGGCAATGCCCCATGCCAGGCCAAAGCCATCATAGGTGGACGTACCACGGCCAAGCTCATCGATAATGATCAAAGAGTTCTGAGTTGCCGTCCTCAAGATGTAGGACGTCTCGAGCATCTCTGCCATGAACGTTGAGACACCACGAAGTTGACTATCACCTGCGCCAATCCTCGTCAATATGCAGTCAACGATCGAGATTGATGCCTCGTCAGCTGGAACAAAGCAACCAATCTGTGCCATCAATATAATGATACCTGTCTGTCTAATGAATGTTGACTGTTTGTTTGATCGATTGAGTGAGTTAGTGAATGAGATGGATGGATGGATCGATCATGGACATACCTTTCCACCCATGTTTGGACCAGTGATGACGTGGAACTTGGACTTGTCGCGTATTAGTTGAATGTCGTTTGGAATAAAGTTGACGCCGTCTTGTATCTCAACACAAGGATGTCTGCCGCCAACAATCACAGTGTCTCCAGTACCCATTGGATGCATCTTTGGTCGAACAAAAGGTGTTGGTGCTGTTGCTGATACATGTGCCAAACTAATGTTTGATTGAGTGAGTTAGTGAGTGATTGATTGATTCATCGAGTGATGAATAACTTACTTTACATATACATCAATGGTGGCAATAAGGGCACTCAGCTCATCGACCAATGGAATGAAACTGGCGGCCACATCGAGAGCTTGTTGGACAAGTGATTGTTGCTTCTCGGAGTAGAGACTGGCGAGCTTGGTGTACTGCTCGTTGAGTGTGCGCAGCTCGGTGGTGGAGAACCTGACTCCGTCCTTCTGTGTACCATGTGTGAAGTACTTGCTTGTGCTGCCACGAATCAGCTTCTCATCCTTGCGACCCATCCTGAACAGATAGCCATCCTTGTCCGACTGATGCAGCTTGAGCTTTGCCTCATCGATGCCCAGGTCATCGGCAATCTTCTCTCGCAATTGATTGATCTTGTTCATGACGTTCTTCTTTTGTGTGTCGATTTTGGAAAGCACCTCGCTGAATGTCGATCGGATCACATACTCGTGCGAGTCGTTGGCCAGGTCCAGGTCGATCGTCTGCTCGACCATCGCGAGGTACTGAGCAAAGTTGCTGACGATGCTCTCGAGGGGCACGGTGAACGACTCGCTGACAAGCTCAGCGCACTGGCCCGAGTAGTTCTGTAGCGATGACAGGAGCACGGGGAGACGCTGCACGATGCCGTAGAGGTTGACGCAGTCCTCGAGGTTGGCCTTGCCACCGACAAACTTCTTGGACAGACGGTCGAGGTCGCATATCTTCTTGAGGTCGTTGGACTTGAGTGATTGGCGGAGTTCGAGCGCATCGACAAAGACCTCGACAAAGTTGAGTCGCTTCTCAATCTCGTCGGCGTCGACTAGTGGCTGCTTGATCCACTGCGCCAGCTTCCTTGAGCCCATTGGTGTGTTGCACTTGTCCAGCAGGTTGAAGATGCTCATCGACTTGCTGCTCTCGTCGTCCGAGATGATGTTCAGGCCGCGGAACGTGGCCGAGTCCAGACGCATGTAGCTGTCGAGATTGAATGTCTCCAGTTTGAACTTGCCAAAGTAGTTGGGGTTGGATAGCAGGTCGAGATGCTTGATGAGACAGCTGAGCGCCTGCATTGCGTGCTCTTGATTGAGCTCATTCAGCACGCTGTTGACCGAGCCCAGCAACGTGGTCAGGTCTTGCTCGATGTTCTTGACGTTGAAGTCCGCGTTGGGGATGTCGGTGAAGGGGAGGTCGCAGTCCTGCAGCTTCTCCACCACTCGCTTGTTGTCTACACTCTTCTCGTCCACGTGGATGAGGCACTCCTTGACGCCCATCTGCAGCAGGAATGATCCCAAGTTGGACAGATGCTCGTTGTCGACGAACTGCAGGACGCCCAGTGTCTTGAGACTGGCGTCTCCAAATGCCGCACCAATAACTCTGTTGCCCCGCTCGGATGACACGCGCAGTGCCACCATGAGTGATTGACCCTTCATATTGAGGACATCCTCGAACATTTGAATGTTGCCAGGTGAGCAATGTCTGGACACCTCCCACTGATTGATTCTGTTGGGCTTCTGTGACCATATCTCCACGCGTAGTTTCTCCGCCACCAACTTTTGAACGACGGTTTCAAACTCAATGCCCTCTCTAATCGTCAGATAGGCAAAGCCAGGCTGAGCATCTTGTGATCCGCTGCCAATATTGTCATCGAGCATTGAACCGGAGCGTGATAGAGTTGGTTTGGCCTTGCTTGCTGCTGCTGATGTGTCAACACGTTGTTTCTTCAAAGGTGTTGAAGGTACATCAGCCCAATACTTGAGGGCTTTCATTGATTTGAAGTGTAACATTGCAACAAACACAGCATCATCACCATGTATTGAGTAGTAACCCTGTTCAATCATTCATTGTTAGTGTTGTCCTACACATTCATCTCCTGCTTGCTTTGGCTCTGTCTGCCCTGCCTACCTACCTTTCTATCGAATAACTTTATAACATTATCTTTCTTCTCTATTGATTTATAGAATGTAACAAATCCCTTATCCTCCTTCAACTGTACCTTCTCATCCTCTGCTGATGGTTCCATTCTTGTATGTATAGTATGTATGTTGTAATGAATGAACAGGCAAATGAATGAATGTGTGACGAAGTGTAGTGATTCAAATTGAAGTTAGTTTCGCGCGCAAAGTCACACTTCCAAGAATTCAAGATCTTGCCTTTGACACACTTAATTAATTGAAGAGATATAACAAACAACAAATAATTGAAGTTATGTACAATATGTATTATTTGTATTTATTGTATTTATAAATATATCTATATATAAGAGATTAAATTAGTTGAACTCCTCCTTGATGACAAGACCATCCTTCCACTCTTGCATAGCCCATTGAGTCTTTTGTACTCTGTGACCGCCATAGGTGAAGTCCATATACATCTGGTATGCTGTGTTGTTGCCATCGATGATCAACTTCTCAACTCTTGCCTCGTGGAATGTAGCGTTCTTGAGGAAGTTCTCCTCGGCAATCCTATTGGCAGCCTTGCCCACACGGTTGGTTGAATCGCCCTTCTCATACATCACAATGTCCTTGTGATAGTACTTGTCAAAGATCTCTAATATTCTGCCCTCCAAAATACCCTTGAGTATCTCTTGGATTCCCTCGGCCACCTGATAGTTCTCGGACTTAAAGCTATAATGTGGCACCTGTGCTACTGGTGCTGCTGCTGGGACAACCTTGGCAACTGTTGGAGGAACCTCAGTGGCGGACTTGGTGCTTGACTTGTGCTTTCTTGAGAAGAGACCCATGATTATTATTTATATTTGGTATGTATTAATGAATGTAAGTATATATATAAGTGTTTGATTACTTTGTAAGCTTCTTGCTGTAAGTATCTATCTTTGTTGTTTGATTGTTAGATTGTTGAATTGATGTCTTTACCGATCCATCAATCGATTATTTATAAACAATGGATGGACAATGTCCATTGTCAATTGGAGTAGCATGTTGCCAAACAATTTCTTTCGATCACCAAGTTGGAACGATTCAGTGATATTCAGGAACCGAGTGCGCCCTTCCAATTCGAAGTCTTTAGAATTGATTGGAGTCAGTGTAAATGACACTAGTGTTTATTTGAATGGTCTCGAGCAAAAGCGCTTTACGACCCCCAAAGTGTAGACCCCACCCAATAATTCCGGAAGTGAAGAACAATCCTGAAGCGATTCCGGAACCCCCACCTTTATTTGTTCGACCAACTATTTTGACCTGGTTATTTGGTCAACAGTTGATTATTATTATTTTTCATTGACCAACAAAAACATTATTATTGTCTATATCGGGTATATTTAAAGATTTATAATTATCGAATACCGGACAACAATAACAAACAAAAATACAACACACACAAACATAACAATTTATTTTTATTATTAATAATATATATCTATCTACGAAGTACTTCCAACATGTGTGTTAATGAAGATACACAACAATTCGCAATTAGTAACAAACTGACTCTTAAGGAGTAACTTCAAACACTTTGAGTTATCATCTGGGGATGAACTTCCCAAATGGGTAATCTGGGTTGCTTTCTCTCGCTTCCCATTATTTAATTTTTCTTTTTTTTTTCATTTCATACGAATGTTGGGGGTGAGCCCATTCGCTTAACCCTAAGTCGTTCGCACTGACAACACATACACGCGTATTCTCATACTTGCTCAACAACAAACATATAATTATCTATCTTTATATCTATACATACAAGCTTTAACTCAACAACATTACTTTGTTACTTCTTAACATATTTTCAAACTACTATTCATATATACATTAACATTGTCTTACTTTTTTTTAAAGAGTAGACTTTTATATTAGACGTTTTGTCACCTGCTTAACCGGAGTGATAGAGCTATAATATAAAAGAGCACCAAGTACTTGTGCTTAACTAAACCCCCTTCGTGGATTCGAAAGCCGTTCTCCTACCCTTTGTTCATACTACCGACTTTATGTCCAAGGGGTGCCAAAGGAAGCTAACTTCTTTCAACTTCACTCTCGCACTCTACGTTGCCGACACAGGAATTTCCTAGCGTTCGCTATTATAATCTATTATATACTATAATTATATACTATAACACAATTTCACAAGCTATTATCAACAATCAATACTCCTACTCTTAATATATTCTTAAAATATCGAACCGACACGACACGACTCGAATATCGATCGATACACATATACAACACCTTACACTCAAACAAAAAGAACGACCGTTTAAACAACAACCAAACATACTATGCCAATCATGTAAGTAGTTAGCTGATATTTCAGGAATATGTCACGTGACACGATAAATATCACGTGACCGACTCGTCTTTTTCACTTTTTTTTTTGATCATCTGACCTAACATTTTTTGTACTTCCTTTCTCATTCTAGGACAACAAACAAGACCTTCAATGAGTCCGATGCAGGATTTGAGGTAGAGGAGCAATGCTTCCCAGGAGGATTCGAGGGACCAGAGAAGAAGCTCGACATTCGTTTCCATCCAATTAACAAGACTGGAAAGTCTCAACCATCTCGTTTGGGACTCCGAACACTCAACAAGGAGAGATGGCAGTCCGTCTTGGACTCTGCCCGTTGCACTATCATCAGCCAGACCAGCAACGACTTTATGGACTCGTACGTGCTCTCAGAGTCATCGCTGTTTGTTTACCCACGCCGTGTCATGGTCAAGACCTGCGGCACCACCACTTTGCTTCACCTCGTCGATAAGATGGTCGAGGTTGGCAGAGAGTGTGGCCTGGAGATTGAGATGGTTCTCTTCTCGCGTAAGAACCTCAACAACCCCCACAAGCAGGTGTTCCCTCACTGCTCTTTCGACGACGAGGTCAAGTACCTCAACAAGACCTTCAACGGACAGGCCTACGTGATGGGCCCCCTCACCAAGGACCATTGGAACCTCTACATTGCTGACATGCGACAGGGCAACACTTTGCAGCGCACCGAGCAGACATTCGAGGTGATGATGCACGATCTCGACCAGGAGGTCATGAAGCAGTTCTTCAAGCGCGAGGGCGTCACTGCTTGGGACACCACCGTCAGCAGCGGCATCGCCAACCTTATCCCTGGATCCATCATTGACGACTTCCAGTTTGAGCCATGCGGCTACTCGATGAACGGCCTGCGCAACAAGGCTTACTGGACCATCCACATTACCCCCGAGGACCACTGCTCCTACGTCTCGTTTGACACCAACCTCGCCGTCGCCGACTACAACCAGCTTCTCCAGGACGTCCTGGCCGTGTTCAAGCCCGGCCGCTTCACTGCCGCCCTCTACTGTGAGGATGGTGCACCATGCGGTGACCCATACTCTGCGTTCAACATTGACATGCCCGAGTTTGCCATGACCAACAAGACAATCCACGGCTTTGACGGTGGCTACGATGTGGTCGTGTGCAACTTTGACCGACAGAATGTCCTATCCAAGTCCATTGACGGTCCAACTGGTGCAGCCCAGCTCATTGAGTCAAACAATGTTGATTGTAACTTCATTGTTGCTTGAAACACTCAGTCAGTAGGCGATCCTTAGCCAGTACCAATCAGTCATTCAATCATTCACTCAATCAATCAGTCACCAACATCCATCCATCCGCCCATTCATTCATTCAATCTCAATCAACCACCAATCACAAGGGGGATGTCTCCATCCCCCTTGGTAGTAGAGTAGGAGTAAACATTATTAGTGGCCTTCCGTCAAACGGACAGCATTCAAGTAGCATCATATCAAACTCATGTTAGTGTACAACGTATTATTATTGTTATTATTATTATCCAATGATTTATTGGGTAAACTATATATATCTGGGGAGTTTGATTCCTGTTCGTGTTCGTCGTCGTCGTATCATATTCGTACATGTCTTTGAGCGCTTTGTATACATATTTATTCCCTGGAGTTGGAGTAGCCGCGACTTCCACCGCCACTGTAGCCACTGGTGCCACTGTTGCCGCCACTGCCACCACTGTTCATGGCGGTCATAAATTGGGAGCCGCCGGAAATGGTGGTCTGGTTCTTCCTTGTTCGCTGCATCTTGAGTTGGGGCAGTCCGTCATCCTCTGTTGGCTTGTAAATCTTCCAGATCTTGCTGCCAAAGATAATGAGCATGGCAGTGAATGTGGTGAAGATGGCCATGGAAGAGACGATGGCGTCACGACTGCGCTGGCTCTCCACGCCTGCCATCAATGGGATGACGATGAACAGCGTGAATGTGATGAGGTAGGTCACGGTGGCGAACTCATGGGTCTCCTCAAACTCCTCGAGATCGATCACGCGAGTCTTCCAAGAGATGACGCATCCATAGAGCAGCTGGAGACCGTGGAACACGAGCAAGGCGTACAGGATGTTGTCACCATGTTGGTTGTTCACACAGGTTTGAGTGAACTCGTACTTGCCAATGCCGTCGAGGCCAAGCGAGTTAAAGTTGGTTGGGCCGCCAACGCCAGAATACAAGGCCAACAACAGGAGGTTGAGCAGCAAGATGCCCGAGTACAGGTTGTACACACGCTGTGGCATGATGGGCGAGATCTTGTCTGACTTCTTGGCGAGCAGCTCATTGAACTTGAGGTAGATCCTGGTGTTCTTGATAATCATGAGGCCCACGAGGAAGGTGTAGCCGAGCGAGATCATCCAGACACGGGAGATGCACAGGCCCTTGGTCTTCTGATGAGTGTTGAACAAGATCACACCGATTGGCACCAACAATGTTCCAAGCATAAGTCCACCGATGAACAACAGGTTGGAGTATTGCACTGGCAACTTGTTGCGCAGGAAGATGCACATGGTCATCAGGACCAAGCCGGCGAATATCTGAATGGACGATACTGAGATAAAGACCTTGTTGATACGATCGCGGTCATAGATCTCGGTGGTTGGCACTGAGTAGTATCCCTTGTCCACAACGTCATCGTACAACTCTGTCATTGACAACATGTCGGCATGAGTAATGCACTTGGAGCCAAACACTTCAACGTTGCGATCGGTACAGAGGTATGGGTGTGAGTTCAAGTCATTGGCCTTGAGCTGGTCCAACACAACCGAGGCATTGGATACCATTGATTGTGTCAACTAATGTATGAATAATGTTGGTTAGCGAGTGATTGATTGATTGGATGATTGAATGATTGAATGAGTGGACTTACCAAGAATGAGAAACGATCAAGTGTGTAGAATCCATTGTTAAAGTCGAGGTAGTGATGGGTGTTCTCAAAGGACTGATCTTTGATTGATTGTCCAACTTGGGTGAACAGGACGTGATAGTTGGTTACGATGCTCTGGAGAACAAAGTCGCCGAGGACGGACTCGTGAGGGAATCCATTGGAGCCAAAGGCGGCAACACCTTGCTTGAGGAAGGATTGTGAGACGCTCATGGTGTACTGGCTCTGGGTGATGGCATCGATCGACAGACCCTTGAGTATGTTAACGGCGCCAAGTGCAGTGTCTGGGTCGTTGTACGATTTGGTCGAGACGACATTGACCACGGCGTTGGCATTGGCAGCGGCCACGCCAGAGTAAAAGGCGTTGGCGGTGTAGTAGTTCTCCACGGGTGGACCGGGCACGACCAGTCCAATGTTGTTCCTACTCAGACCGGCAATGTATCCAAGCATGTAGAATGGCGAGATTGGGTTGAGGTCGTACGACGAGATGTACTGGTTGCTGTCCTGGTGCACGCCGGAGGTCCTGATCAGGAAGTAGACCTTGCGTCTGGACGCGTAGCGGTGGGCGGCGTCAAAGGCGGCGCTGGCCTGGCTCGGATCACAGGTGATGATGTAGTTGTATCCATTGTTAATGCTGCTGACGATGTTGTCGTAGACCTCGTCGTACGTGTTGACCATCTCCAGGATGGCCGACGAGGATATTTGCAACTGCTGTTCAGAGCGGCCAGCGCCTTGGTTGACCATGTAGTTGAAGGAGACGTCCGTGATGACGCCTGGCAGCAGGACGGCCATCTTCAAGGTCTGGCCCAAGGCCATGCCCATGAAGGCCAATGTCAACAGTAGTAATATATGTGTGTGGTTGTTCATGTACATGTTGGTTGATTGTGTATGTGTGTGATTATGTGTGTGTTTAAGATTGATTGATGATTAATGGACTACAGGAAGTAGACGAGTTTCGAACAATGTCGTCTTGGGCAAGGTTGGACCAAATGTGTTGTTGTTGTTGTTGTGTTGCGCGCTGTTGTTGAGATTATACATGTACCGTCTATTGTACCATCCATGCAAGCATTGATTGATACGATCAATCAAACCAAACCAATGAGGAGATACAAAGAGGTTTAATTAATAATCGATCAATCATTGACACTGTATCCTCATACACTTCACACACTCACCCTCTAACCAACACCAACACTAACAGGTCCAGATGGATAAGGCCAGACACCACCATTCATGCCCTCACTGAGTTGATAGGCCCTGTATCATAAAGCCCCACTATGTAGTGTAAACAATTAGTCCTGCCCAATCACATTGCTCAAGGACCTAACTGGCAACACACACAATCACTATTGGCCCCCAAATCAAGGTGGATGCGAAATCGACCTGTGGAGACCAAAAGGATCGTCCCCAGTGGACCCACTACCCCCCACATAGATCAAAAACGAATGATAAACGATATCTTTCAACCACACACACACAATCAATCACATAACTTACTTGAAGCACCCCCTTTCTGTCATTGTTGCCGACTTGATCTTTCAATCAGCTTGTTTGGGGAGATAGGGCGGGGTGATCACCTTCTAAATGAAGGACAGTATCAGGCGATATTAATTGCATCGATTGACCAAAGAATGGTCATACAACAGTACATTTGCACGTCCCTTTGCCAACGAGCGAAATGGAACGAACGTATTATCATACCCAGATCGATCGATATGGGGATGCTGTTGGAGATAAATGAGTTTCGGGAGGTTTGATCTGATCTGTCAGTCTCGTCAACTGTCGGAGTCTGTCTAGCCGGCGGTCAATCAGCTGAGGGTATGAATAGAAACTAGAAACTAGAAATACCACCTGTTGTCGCAGATCAACCTGTGATCAACGTTGTTGGGGGCGGGCGAGTACATGCATTCATGAATGAATGATTGATTGATAAAGCTGTCGACTTGAGGAAGACGACAAACTAGTCCCAATATTTAATCTTGCCATCCCATCCACATGTGACCACTTTAGACTGTTCAATAGGATGCCACTCTATGCCGATGCACACTTCGTCGTGAGCGTTCAGTGTCCTATTGTTATTGATTGGTTTGAGGTAGTCAGTAAACTGCCAACAGGGAGATTGGAAAGTGGAGAAGGGTGCATTGCACGAATGGACATTGATCGATCTATGATCTCATCGACCATCGAGTGAGCTCACTAACTAATGTTACATACTTATAAACTTTAGATGTCTTCCAGTCCCAGAAGTACGCCTTGCCAGAGCCGTCACCACTGATCAAATACTTGCCATCAGGCGAGAAACCAACCTGGCATGCATAGCCAGCCGATGTGTGGCCTTGGAATCTCTTCTTCTTGTTCATTCGGAACTTGTCACGTGCGCTGTATATCAGGATTTGGTTGTCCATTGACTGTGCGGCAAACCACTTGCCATTGGGATGCACGGCCACTGCGGGCATGCTGTGCATCTCTGGGTCACTGATGTACTTGATCACGACTGGGATGTCCCACTCCCAGACTCTCAGCGACTTGTCATCACTGGACGATACGAAACGTCGGTTGTTGTCGATAAAGGTGAGCGTGTTGATGGCGCCCATGTGCTGGTCGTACTCCTGGACGACGGTGTTTGAGTTGGTGTCGTACTGGAGGATCTTGCGATCGGATCCACCGACCAGGAAAAGGTGCTGCTTGTCCTCGTCTGGATTGAACTTGAGGCAGATGGGCTCTGCACCATTGGTGTAGGATGAGATGATCTTGCCTGTCTCTGTGTCCCATAAACGAGTGATACGATCATATGCACAGGACAAGAACTGTCTGCCATTGTTTCTGAAGCAAATGTCACGAACTGCCTGTCCATGTCCAGTGTACGTCTGGATGCAGTCGCGCTCATTGTACACATCCCAAATCTTGACAGTGCTATCCTTGCCTGCTGACAGCAACAGGTTGCCATATTTGGGCATGAGACGAATGGCCGACACACCCTTGGTGTGTCCAGTCCATGTGTGGATGAGCTTCTTGGGCAGGTAGGCATCGTTGACGCCTGGATGCAGCTCGGGCGATGGCTCCAGCCAACTCCTGCCCATGTAATCTCGCGTCTGCTTCCTGTGCATTGTCGCAGTGACATCTGGAGCATCCTTACTCTTCTTTTGCTGCTTCTTGCGCATATCCAAGTAGGACTGCTGTTCGGCGCTGAGCACAACATTCGAAGCGTCCTGTAAGTCCTGCTCGACCTGTCTCGACTTGAGCTCGATCTCCTCCTCCTTGGCAGCCCAAGGTCCTTGGTATCCCTTCACATCGGAAGGGTCATCATGCTGTCGCTTGTTGTTCTTCTTCTTTGCCTCTGGACGTATATTACTGCTAAACACAGTCATTCCCTCTCTATAGTTGTCCAGATTACCAATCACTCCATTGCCACTTGGGTCTGCGGCGTAACCAAGTGATTGGAATGTATGATACTGTTCTTTGAAAGCAAAGTCATTCACATGGAATGACTCTACAATGCCTGTCTTGTGATTCTTCAATGCTGGGTCTATTCTTTGTTCTATGTTATGTATGATTGAGTGAGTGATCGTTCGTTAGCATTCGTCATGTCATTGTAAGTCATTCAATCAATCATTCATACTTGATCTTGAGAATGGTGTTTGTGGACCTGCTATATCTCCATGCATGCTCTCGTATGTTGCATTGTATGTAAGTGCTCTTGCATTTGGGTCTATCTTATTCTCAAGTACCTGTTGTTGTCGATGATGATGATGCAAAGATGTTAGAAGACGCGTACTCATTCATTGTTATCATTCAATCATTGTATACTATACTCTAATAGATTGTACTGAAGGTGCTATAGAAGTAGGTTTAAATGATGTGAACTCCTTTAGTTGTACATTATCTTTACATATTGTCTGTGTGCTGTTGTTGCTATTATTATTGTTGTTATTTATGCTGTTGTTGTTGGTGGAGTCTTCATCATCATCACTACCATATGCAGCTAACAAGTCCATTTATAGTGTGTATGTATAAGTATGGTGTATATATACAAATAAAGTAAAGGTATACTTAATATGAGCTCAATCAAGTAAGAATGACTAAATTAGAATGAATGAAGTCGACACCTTTCGCGAAAGGCAACTTCACACAAACAATGCAAACACAACATTCTTTTGTGGAAACTACGTCTAACAATGGATCGAACGAATGAATAAGTGATTGTAATGTAATGTCTGTACATGTTTAATATTAAATATATATTGTATGGTCTAATGGTCTACTCATCATCATTGTCAGTGATACGCTTTCTTTTCTTTAACATTGTCTCATCACGCCTGTTATTTGTTGTTGTAGCGGTGTATTTACGATCGGATGTCACTATCTTATCACCTCGCCTGTCTTTCCAACTGTCATAGTCTGCAGATGCCTGATATCCTAGTTCAAAGACATGGTTCTCTCTAGACGTCAGATTGGACTGCAGTCTGGATATGTCCGTGTTCTTCAAGTGCATCGACTGCGTGAATATGTTGAACAGGCGTTGCTTGAACACCTTGGCCAGTACCCTAGCCAATGAATCATCCTTAAAGCTTCATTCACAAGGTAAGTAAGTATTACATTCATTCATTCAATCAATCAATGAACTTACAATGCAACTATCATTGAACCATAACGATCATAGTAGGGGAACTTGCGCATTGAAATGACCTTGGCATCAGCCATCAGTTTGTTCTTGAAGTCCTCGAGATATATTACAGGTGGTGAGTTGGATATGATATCATTGTTATTCAGTACCTTGGCGAGCCAGAATGGTAACTCAAGTGATGTGCCCTGTTTCATCTGTATGATTGATTAAGATAAGTCGATGTCCTACCTACCTCTCTACATTGCTAACAAACTTACATCCTGATGCATGGATGACTGGTCCAAATGACCCAAGTTATAGCCGTCCGTTTCAAAGCATGATACTATCCTCTAGAGTTCAAAGATATCGTGACAAGTTAGTCAATCATGTTAAGGATATGGACATGGTCATGGAATGTTATTCATACTTACCTCTTCCTCTGCGAGTATCTGATCAATATCGTAATAATTACTTTGATGTTGATATGACATGTCTATTCAATGAATGAGTTGGAAGAAGTCTTATATACAACAACAATCATTATACCAAGGTCCATATGAACTTTCAAAAGTTGGTAACCGAATCAAAGTGGCGCCTTTTTCAAATTTTGATCACTCTTCCCAAACCCTTGCCCTAACTCAAAAAGAGCACTACTTTAAAAAACAAAGAGATAGAGTTTATTCAAACAAAAGGAGTAAGTATTATAACTAATTCTTCTTTAAATGATCGTTGGAGTCATCAACATTTAGAAGAGGAATTTGGTTCTCTTCGTCTTGTTCCTCTTTCTTGTTGCTTGCCAGATCAAGATCTTGAGATTGGATCTTTGGAACGGCTCCACCAGCAATGGACTGGCCAACAAAGTCGCCAGAAATAATTTGCACTGGAGATGAGGGCAAGAGACCTTTGTGGAGGATGGACGCGACCAAATGATCGATACCAACATCCAATACTCCTCTTACTCCATCCAATGCAACTCCAGCAATAGCCATCACCACTGGTACGACAATTGAGTTTCCCTTCTTGTGCTCCTCAATGATGTGATCAATATCCTTGACTACTCCAACTGGTTTGAACTTGCCATGCGAAGATGTCTGTATTAATGTCATCATACAATCGTAGGACGCTCCAACGACAATAGCAATACCAGCTGCGACTAAGTAGCCTACACCGCCACTAAACATTATGACTCCATTCATGACCAATGAGCGAGTGGACAAGAGAAAGGACTCTTCAGCGCGCTTATAATTTCCTTTGGCAAGGTGGTATAAGCCTATACCATGGCCAACAATTGGTATATTGTCACAGAGATGGCTGAGAGTGTCCAGAAACTCGAGTTGGATTCTCTTTGCCTCCTTATTATTGCCGGCAATTGAATGTATTAATGAGTTGACCTGGGACACCACTGGACAGTTCCTGCTAAACTCGATTTGAATCTTTCTGGCCATTTCCTTATCACCAATAATGGCATAAATCAATGATATGATTTGGGATGCTCCCGGAACAATGGTTAATTTCATTGTTATAATTATTATATTGATATATATTAATATTAATATTTATGTATACAAATAAGTATTGATATACTTTCTATTCCAGCGATCAAACAATTAGGGTATTTATAGACCACCATGATTGATACTTATAAGTTCAAGTTTTTAATAAAGTGATTGATAGGGTCTATTAACTCAATCTTTCAAGTTATTGTGGGTGATTACGACTCTACACATCGTTTCAATTATATAGAGTTGGTCAATCTCTAGATATATGTAGATGTTGTAGTTAATGATTGAGATTACCTCCACCGTATCAATATTAACTAAGGTCCAGCCTCAATCTAATTTTTAAGTATGAAGTTGATGATAAGAAACGAAATTTCCAGATCTGCAAGCCGAAGAGGTTTATCAGATGTCCCGTTGTGCCCCACTTACATTTATTACATACATTGTTATTGAGTACAGATACGAATAATATATATATAATGTTATCGACATCAAGTGTAGTCAGAAGTCTGTTTAGCACACGTGTCACACCAGTCTTTAGCAGAGGTGGAGCAGCATCAGCAACAACTTTGTTGTTAAACAGGAGCTCATACTCAACCACAACCACGACTGGAGCATCATCGGGTTCATTGGCCGATGAGTGTACACTCGAGCGTCTGTCTGGCAAGGATGCAGGTATCAGTGTGATCTCATTCAATCGTGCACCCGTCAAGAATGCCATTGGTGCCAACCTGCTCAAGTTGTTCAAGAGCCACTTGCAGACTCTGCGCTTCGATAACACTACCCGTGTCGTCCTTCTTCGCAGCACTGTCCCAGGCATCTTCTGTGCTGGTGCCGATCTCAAAGAGCGCGCTCAAATGTCACAACAACAAGCATCCGAGTTTGTCTATGACCTGCGATCATCTTTCACTGATCTCGAGGTATGTTTGATTGATTGGTTGATTGATCGAATGATTGAGTGATGATGATCGCTAACACAATTATACGTAGGTCATGCCAATGCCAACGATCGCTGTCATGGAGGGCGCAGCACTTGGAGGTGGAATGGAGATGGCCATCTCATGTGACTTTAGAGTTGCCAGCAAGTCATCAAGGATGGGTCTGCCAGAGACAGGTCTGGCCATCATCCCAGGGTAAGTCGTCGCCCCACCCTTCCCATGCTCACTCGCTCACTGACTCACTCAATCAATCACACGATCAAACAGTGCAGGTGGCACGCAAAGACTCCCAAGACTCATTGGACCAGCATTGGCTAAGGAGTTGATCTTCACTGGCGAGATATTGAACTCACAGCGCGCAAAGGAGATTGGATTGATTCAACATGAGACTGAGCCAAACGAGGCATATAACAAGGCATTGGAGTTGGCAAGATTGATCCTGCCAAAGGGACCCATCGCCATCAAGGTGGCCAAGATCGCAGTCGACAAGGGAATGAATGTAGACATTGCCACTGGCATGACCATCGAACAAGCATGTTACGCTCAAGTCATCCCAACCAAGGATAGAACTGAAGGACTCACAGCATTCAAGGAGAAGAGGTCTCCAGTTTACAAAGGAGAGTAACTTCATTCAATCAATAATGATCAATCAAACGATCTATTAAATGTCCATATTTGGAAGTTGTCATTAATGATTGTGGTGGAATCATTCCAATCAATTTTAATACCACATCGGGGGTTGGTTCGTATGGGTACGTCATCACCACGACATTTTTGATGAGTAGCACCGGACCACTTTGAGAGCCTCAAACAGGTCCACTTCGTTCATTCATTCACTCATTTATCATTCAATCAATCACTCAAACATAGTAATAATAACAAGATGAGATTGTTCTCAGTGTTGAATCAGAGATTATGGCAACCCTATCTAAGGGCCTTGGACTCATACCCCCTCGTCAGTACGTAGGCCTTCCCAATGATCACACGATCAACTTGCTCGCACTCACTCAATCATCACACTCATTCAATCACTCAAACAACAATCACACTCAATCACTGGAATCATTCCATTCATACTCACTAACTCACTCACTCAATCAAACAAACAGCTAAATCATTGTCGACAGCCGCATTGATGGGCACTGGAGATGTTATAGCACAGAGATTGGAATATCATTATAAGAGCCCAAGTGAAAGAATGAAGACGAAGGGTTTCGAGGTGGATGTGAGGAGAGCATTGACAATGACTGGAGTAGGTGCCTTCTTCTCAGGCCCCCTCCTGCACTTTTGGTACAAGCGTCTGGACATTTTGGTTCGTGGCGAGGGCGCACTAGTAGTAGTCAAGAAGCTGGCATTGGATCAACTCGCATTCGCACCTGTAGTGATCTCTGCTTTCATCGGTCTGATGGGCACACTCAATGGCAAGACACCCAGTCAATGTATACAGGCTATTCAGAATGATCTGTTCTTTGCACTCAAGGCCAATTGGACACTGTGGCCACTGGCCAACGCGATCAACTTTGCACTCATACCACCATCACTCCGAGTACTCTACGTATCCACAGTCAGTGTCTTTTGGAACATCTTCTTATCGAACCTTGGCAATAAAAAGCATGACGAGGGTTCAACTACATCCTCGTCTTCTTGATTGACCAAGTTGATTGATTAGTGTGCATGTGTGTGTGTCGCCTTGATGTAGAGATAGGACTCATACATGTTATGGTAGTACAAGACATTGGACAATGAAGTACCTGTCAATCGGGGTGTCTTGGTGGGACAAGCCAATCTTTGAATTGATGTGATCACCCACAAACCCCACTGATCACACACTGTTTTGATCAAGACCGTTTTGTTTGATTAAAAATACTTTTAAAGATGTGATCCCAACATTCAATCTGATTATTCGTATCGACAATTCATACTTATACATAAACATATAATATATATATACTCCACTCACTCAATCAATCAACTCAAATCAAATCAAATCAAACTCGCACCGACATAATCGATTGTGTCTGGTAACGCGACAAATATGACTACTACGACTACACCACCAACGCCAACAACCACTGACACTCCAACTATAACGACAAATACAATGAATAACCCTTCTGCAGACCCGATAATGACAACGACAACGACAACGACCAACTCAAACACAACAAGTGGACCATCCTCACCACAGCCATTCCTCAACACATTTGAGAACTCAATCGATCTGCTCGACTCACTGGACGACTCGCCACAGTTCAGGAAGCAACTACGCGACAATGAGCAAAGTGTCGAGGAACTAAGCCAGAGCATCAAGAAGCTGCTCAAGTCTGCGCGCCAGACCTGCGACCTGGGCAACGAGTACAACAACTCATTCCGCACATTCACCGACGACGTCCTGTCCTACAGACTGGATGCGCGCGTCAATGACGAGGTGCTCGAGAAGGGCATGATCAAGTTCGCCACCGCCCTCAAGGAGATTTGCAACTATCGCGAGATGCTGCACATTGAGATGGAGGCGCTGCTGCACAACCCTCTCAGCGAGTTTGCCGACAACGACTTGAAGCAGGTCAAGGAGCTGTACAAGAAGTACGACAAACACAGTCAGCTACATGACACGGCCGCACTCAAGCTCGGCCAGATCAAGAAGAAGCACTCCAATCGCCTCGAGGAGGTCGGTCAGGAGGTGACGGACATCTATCGCACACGCATAGCACACAGCGTGGACTTGGTGGAGAAGATGAATGAGCTTCAGGCACGTCGTCGCTTCGAGTTCCTCGAGATGTTCTGCGTGTACCTTCAAGCACAGTCCACCTTCTTCCACCAAGGCTACGAGTTGTTCCGCGACCTTGAGCCACAAATGCGCATCTTCTCCAGCTACCTCCAATTCACCAGGAAGCACTTTGATGAGACAAAGCATCAACAAGAGGTACTCAAGCAAGATATTGTCAATGTATGTCATCGTAGCGTTCATTCTATCGATCAAACAATCATGCATGCTGACACCTGGAACCATTCCACCCCACCACCTCCATCACGTGATCGATCAATCAATTCAGAGATCCAACCTCTCATCCTCCCCATCACAAACACATACACATCCTGCCAGCAAGCAGTTCTTGCAGGGTCGTGCATCAGATGTAGCTTGCAAGAAGGGTTACTTGTTCAAGAAGTCCAGCAGCAAGTTCAGCAGACGCTTCTTCTCATGCGATGATGGCAAGCTATCATATTACAAGAGTGGCAATGTATGATGATGGTCGATGATGACATTGGTGATAGTGATGAGGGACTGGTCTAACATACCTTACCCCACCTTAGGAGCATACACCGAGACATACATTCAAACTATTCTTGACAACAGTGCGCATTAGAGAGGACTTGGAGCATAGGAACTGCTTTGAGGTACTCTCACCTGACAACTCACTCATTCTACAGGCAGAGTCAAATGAGAGCATGATGGAATGGGTACAAGTGTTACAGAACTCGACGGCCAATCTCATCAACAACATCTCACCAACCTCAGACAGACCCAGACTACATAGCTCTGGTGGTGGACACAACAATAACCACCACAACAGTGGCAACAGTGGCAACAACAGCGTAAATGGTACATCATGTAATATAGTCAATAGTAACAATAACAGTAACAACAGTAACAGTAACAATAGCGGCAACAATAACAACAACGATCTCACTCAATCATCATCAACAGAGGATGAGGATACACCACCACTGGCCATTCTACGAAGTTTGGACGCGTCAAACAAGATGTGCTCGGACTGTGGCGCAAAGGATCCAGACTGGGCCTCAATCAACTTTGGCTCAATCGTCTGTATCGATTGCTCAGGCGTACATCGCAGTCTTGGAGTGCACATTACCAAAGTGCGATCACTTGTCCTCGACAAATGGGAGCCAGAACTATTTGATGTATGTAGTAGCATGGAGAAGTGTGTCGCGCTGGATGACGATAGAGTAGTGAGTAGTGAACTAACAAAGTGATGGAATGGATGTGTAGATGATGAAGCGTATAGGTAACAACAAGGTCAATCAGATATTCGAGTCGAATGTGGCAGCGGACAGAGTTAAACCGACAGCAACATGTTCATTCGAAGCGAGAGCAAAGTGGATCAGGGACAAGTACGACAAGAGGTTGTTCGTGACCTTTATCGAGAAGCCACTGGTCGAACTCAACTCAGTATGTAGTCTGGCGACCAGGTATCATTTGGAACTATTCCACTCATTCACTCAATCAATCAATCATTCAATCAATCTAAATAGATGTTATACAAAGCAGCTGGAGAGGGCGACACTGGACACTTGCTGGATTTGATGGCCAGCGGAGCAGACCCTAATCACTACGACCCGGAACATATGTACAGATCACCACTGCACAGTGCAGTGGCCAATAACCAGGCGCAGAACCTTTGTTTGTTGCTACAGAATGGCGCGCAGACAGGTATACAGGACATCAATGGCAACACGGCATTGCACGTGGCCGCCGACTGCGGCAGTACGAAATGTAGCATACTGTTACTGATGAAGAATACGGCGCTACTAAACATCACCAATAAGGATAAGAGGACTGCACTTGACCTGGCTGTGGACAAAGGGCAGGTGGGCTGTGTGGCCATCCTTCGACTGTCACAGCTACAGCGAGATGAGAACAGACAATTCGACGACTGCTTTGCCGATGTGCTTCGAGGATTCTCTGGCAATAAATGATGTTGAAGTAGTTTGTTCAAATGCATATCCATTTATTATTCCGTGTATTACTTATGGGTTTGGATTGGAAGTGGCTTGTCAGAGATGACACATGTGGCACACCAATCAAGATATTTAATACTGTCTAAGTCTTCGATCTTTGTCCATATGTCTTCATCGATGGAGTACCTATAGTTACCATCGCCTCCCTGAAGCACCAACAATGTGCCAGGCTGTGCTGTACATGTCACCAAATGACCAAATATGGTGTTTTCTTTATCGTCTTTTTCATCGTTATCTATACTAATCCACTAAATCATCATCCTCTTGATCATCATCCTCTTGATCATCATCCTCTTGATTATCATCCTCTTGATCAAAATCCTCATTGATGAGGGGACCATCATTCTTGGTTATTGGCATTGGTGCCAACTCTGTTGAATGCAGTTTGATGGACACATTGTCTATTGATAATGGCATGCTGATGAAGCGACCTCCAACAAACAGGATGTATATATTGTCCTCGTAGAGGGTGCATGACTCAACCTCGCCCTCCAACTCACACCAATGCACTTGCTCTCTTCGGTTGAGATCAAATGCATTGATTGAATTGGTAGAGGATTCTTTGTCAATGCAATACAACCAGTTGAAATGTTTGAACATGAACGTGACACATATTCCGTCATCGAGATCTCCAAGATGAGAGAGAGCCTGTTGTTGCTGCTCCTCAGATTTGCTAATGTTGAATGTGTACACTCGAGAGTGACTGTCACTTTTATCATCATCGTCTTGTGTTGTGTGGCCAATCAGATAGATGAGTTTTTCTCCATCAATCCAGGCTGCGGACATGTATTCGAATCCTCTTGGGTTGACAACTCCTTCTAGTTGGATGTCATGGCGCCAACTGCGATCGATAACCGAGAATACAGAGTATGTTTGTGGAATGGAATAATAGTCCCCTGTTCCAAAGACGAAAACATCACCATGAGCGTACACAGCTGATGAGCCTAGTGTGTATATGTAGCCTAATCCATCGATATCCTCCTGTGTCCACTTGTTGGTCAATGGTCAGAATAGAGCGTAGGAGTCATGGTCGACGCACATGACATGGTTCTCCTCGATCGAGGTCATGAGTACTTCTCAGAGTCTTCCAACAGTTGGAAACTGGACCTCAGTTGATCTTTGATGCCATTTAATCTGTTGGTGTCAAACTTTGCCTTCAGCCGTCGAATGAGTTGGTGTTGTAGAGTCATCTGGACCAATGTCAACAGTTCAATGTCGGTGATCTTAATAACAGAGTCTGGTGATGTTGGCAACGTTTGTTCAATGAACTGATCGAGTGATGAGCATGATGCAATCGCTTCAATCATCTCATTGTCCAATTCAACATCGTTATTGTTGTCCACAGTTTGTTTGAATGTATTGGTAATGGTCTTGATCTCATTTATGATGCCAAGCATTGTTGTTTGAGTCTGTTCCAACCTGTCATTAATTGTTGAGTTGAACTTATGTTCCTCAATGACAAGCATGTTATGCAGTTGTTTGAATTGCTCCGATACATCCATTGTCGATTGAGTCAATGTCTGATGTGTTGCAGCCAGTTGTTGAAGAGCACTCCATAACAACTTCAATCTCAATTTTGACGAGTCATTGTATTGACGCTTTTCAATCAATGATCTTATATGCTTGACACATTCAACATCATGTCTCTTGTGGCTTGAACTCATACACAGTTCACAAACCAGACAGTTACAGTCGATACATATAAACCTCTGATCATTGAGTGACTGACAACAGTGTTTCTGTGATTGTTGCCTCTTTTGTTGCTTCTTTTGTTTCCTCTTTTGTTGTTGTTGATGTTAAATTTGAAGCAAAAAGTCCAAAAGCAACTAGAATGGCTGGCCAGCCATTTTACTTTGGCGATTTCTTTGGCTCTCACTTTGGCAAGGCAAACAAACAAACAAACATTGTTTATTTAGTATGTCGCTAGATGTTAAGTATGGATTGGACGTGGCTTGTCAGAGATGACACAGGTAACAGTCCAACCAAACTCTGCTACAACCATGTCTTGGACTTGGATCTTTGACCATGTGTCATTCTCGATGGAGTACTTGTAGTTCATATCACCGCCTTTGAGTACCAACAATGTTCCAGGTTCCGATGTTGATGTTACCATGTTATTATATCTTTGTTGTTGTTGATCATTAAGATTGTCATCATCATCATCGTCGACGTCATCAACATCAACAACATCCTTCCTCTTTGTAATCGTTGTTATTGATGCCAACTCTGTCGATTGGTCCAACGTCGTCTTCTTCCTGGACAATGACATGCTGATGAGGCGACCTCCCACAAACAGGATGTACAGCTTGTCCTCGTGGAGTGTACATGCGTCGACATCATCCTCCAGATAGCACCAATGCACTGGCTCTTTGGTCTTAAGGTCGAACACACTGATTGAATGATGGTCCGAATCATTGTCCAAGCAATACAATGTGTCGAAATGTTTGAACAAGTAAGTCGTTATGCAGCCTTCTTCGAGATTGCCGACATGAATGAGATGATCCGGGTTGTCAATGTTGAGGCTGTACACTCTAGACTGTCGATAGCCACCAGGGGTCACGTGGCCAATCAAATAGATGAGCTTGTCTCCATCGAAGCATGCAGCCGACATGTATTCGAACCCATCTGGATCGACTACTCCATCGAGTGGTATGGCGTGGCGCCATTGCCCATCGACCACCGAGAATACAGAGTATGTAGGTGGCGGGTTGTCATCAACACTTGTTCCAAACACATAGATATTGCCACGAGCGTACACTGAAGATGAGCCACGTTGGTAGATGTTGTCAATTCCCTTGAGTCCGATTAATGTCCACTTGTTGGTCATTGGCGAGAACAGTGTGTAGGATGTGCTATTGATGAACATGACCTGATTCTCGAGTTCGTCAGTGTACTTGTCCGAGTCCTCCAACAGCTGAAAGCACAAGCTCAGTTGATCATTGATGTCATTCAATCTGTTGGTGTCAATCTGGACTGAGAGGGGTCGAACTAGTTGATGCTGTGACGTGTTCATCGTTTGAATTGTGCGCTGGACCAATGTCAGAAGTTCAATGTCTGTGATCCCAATCACAGGGTCAGATGATGAGGTTGTTGGGTATGTTTGTTCGATGAACTGATCGAGTGATGTGCATGATGTTATTGATTTAACCAATTCAATATCAATGTCTGTGTCTGTCTCCATCAGGTCATCGTTGTTGTCAGCGGCCACAGTCTGTTTGAATATATTGTTGATGTTCTTGATCTCATTGATGATATTGTGAATGTTTGTTGATGTTTGTTGTAATCTGTCATTGATTGTTGAGTTGATCTTGTGTTCTTCAATCACGAGCATGTCATGTAGTTGTTTGAAGTAATCACTGACACTCTTGCTAGTGTTGGTCAATGTCTGATGTGTTGAAGCCATTCGTTGTAGGGTACTCCACAACAACTTCAATCTTGATGTTGACGATTCATTATATTTATGTTGTTCAATCAATGATCTTAAATGCTTTACACTATCTGCATCATGTCTCCTATGACTTGAGCTCATACACAGTTCACAAACCAGACTATTACAGTCGATACATATGAATCTCTGTTCATTGAGGGTCTGGCAGCAGTACTGCGGCTGTTGTAGTTGCTGTTGCAGTTGTTGCTGTTGCTGTTGCAGATTTTCTATATCCATCTCTACTGGCATATCTTTGAAACATATTACTTGTATTTGTTTGTTGTGCGTGGTTTGAAACTTTTTTGTTTTGTTTCCGCTTCTCTTGCCCTCAACCTCCCCCAACTTCCGTGTTTCCATTTTTCAGTTTCCTGCTGCCACACTCTTACAAAGTTTGGAGACACTCTTCAACAACTCTTTGATTCAATATTAATTAATCAATCAAACAACCAATCAACAATATTTAAAGTTTATTATATTCAAATATTCATATTGTTATATTTTGTGATAAGATAAAGAGGTCTTTTTTTTCTCTGATCAAAAGTTATCGCTCAATCTTGTCCATTGTCCAGTTTCAATTTCATAATTCCAGTTCTCCCCTACACCAAGAAGAAGGTGTATCCCAACATCCTGGGAGTTTGGACTGTAGTGCAACTTATGGCAATGTTTGATGTTCTTCTTTTTAGGCGGGAATTGGAGAGTTTCGACATGTTTGGTCAGGAGGCACACACGGAGGAACGTGCTGTCAGTCAGAACATATATATGATTTCCATCGAAAGAGAGTCTTCTCCAAGGTTTAGCCCGTCGATGTGAGTTTCCCATTCCAACGTGTTGACGTTGAGTGCCAGAATTGTTGAGTGATGTATCTGGTGATAAAACCCACCAACGACATAAAGTTTTCCATCGTGAAAGAAGGCACCAGCCGTGTTACAAGGTGATGGTAGCGATCCAAATCGGCTGAACTCTTGTGTCATGATGTTGAAACGTTCGACAAGAGCAGAGGATTTTCCATTAACAATGCCACCCACCAAATAGATATGGTGATCTCCATCGAAGCAAGCTGAGGTTGAACGCCTTCCCTCTATTCCAACGATGGGTATATCGTTGTACCAACGTTGCTCCAGAGTTGAGAAGCGGGCATAGGTGTTCGGGCTCTCTTTGCCGCCAAAAACATAAACATTGTCTCCATCGTGCACCATTGCATTGGTGGCACATGTACGGCCCTTGAAGTCATATATCAAGATCGGTGTTGATGAGAGTGGATTGAACAAGGTGCAACTATCTTCAGTGAGGGAGAGGACTTGATAGCACGGGTGGGGATCAATAAATTTGAAGCAAGATTTGATGTTCGACTTGATGCTCTCCAACAATGGGTAACTCGTACTGACTTGGATATGACTGAGCTTGATGCTCATCGGCTTCTGTGACATTCGCTCACTCTCCTGAATGGCGTGCAGCAACTCAATGTCATTATAATCAACAACATTGATTGATTGGTAGATGATGAGACCGCCACTTGCGATGAACTGCTCCATTGACGCTGATTCATTGATTAAAGTCGTCACGCTGTTCATGTCAAGTGCATCATCATCATCATCATGGCCAACATTTGAAGGCTTGTCCAACAAGGTACCATTAGTCAACGATATGATGTGGGACATTTCCTCTTTGATTCCCTTTTACACTTGCTTGGCACATGGACACTCAAATATATGAGTTTGCCTCCGTCATATAAAGCTGCAGTCGGGTATATAAAATCACCATCTTCCTCAATTCCTTCGAGTGGGATGTTATGGCGCCATTGACGATCGGCCACAGAGAACACAGAGTATGTTGGTGGAAAGGTAGCACTCGCACGCGTGCCAAACACATAGACATTGCCACGTGCGTACACTGCCGAGGTGCGATGTTTGTATATCGCGCCAATCCCATACAGTCCGACTTTTGTCCACTTGTTGGTCAATGGTGAGAACAGAGTGTATGAGCCTTTATCACTGATGAGCATGACACTGTGATCGAGGTTATTGGTGTACTTCTCAGAGTCCTGGAATAGTTGGAAACTTGAACTCACTTGTTCCTTGATATCATTAATTAGGCGAGTGTCAACCCAACACTTTGCAGTCAATGGTTGAAATAGATGATGCCGTACATTCATGTGCTGAGCAGTGCTTTGAACCAATGTCAGCAGTTCAGTGTCGGTGATCATCGACCCATCTGATGATGTTGATTCTGAAGTTGGAAATGCTTGTTCGATGAACTGATCGAGTGATGAGCATGTTGTTATCATATCAATGTCTTAGCTCAAACCATCATCGTTGTTGTCCAAGGTACTTGATGTTGATTGTTTGAACAGGTTGTTGATGTTCTTGATCTCATTGATGATATTGTGAATGTTTGTTGCTGTTTGTTGCAATCTGTCATTGATTGGTGATGTGATCTTGTGCTCCTCAATCACCAGCATGTCATGCAGTTGTTTAAATTGCTCCGATACATTCTTGCTCGATTGAGTCATTGTCTGATGTGCTGAAGTCAGTTGTTGAAGATTACTCCATAACAACTTCAATCTTGATGTTGACGATTCATTATATCGGCGTTGTTCAATCAATGATCTCAAATGATTGACACTCTCAACATCATGTCTCTTATGAGTTGAACTCAAACATAGATCACAGACCAAACAATTACAATCGATACATATGAACTTATGATCATAATTTGGTGACCTACAACTACAATACTGCTGCCGATGCTGTTGTTGCTGAGGTTGATTATTTGATGTAGACATTTAATATATATCTGATTATGTATCTGTATCTTCTTTCAAAGTTCGTGAATGAATGAATGATTCGAAAGTGAAGGGGGACTATTTAGTTTGAATTGGATGCGGCTGGTCGTTGATGACACACATGACAGACCATCCAAATTCATCTATCTTACTGTCTTTGCCGTGCTTGATCTTCGTCCACTTGTTTCCTTTGATCGAGTACTTGTAGTCCATATCACCACCTTGAAGCACCAACAATGTTCCAGGCTCTGATGTTGATGGAACCATATTGTAATATCCCTTTCCTTTCTGTGCTTTCTCTGTTGTTGATGGTATTTGAGCCAACTCGACAATATGATCGATGGATATATTCCTCACGAGTGGCAAGCTACCTAGGCCACCATCTTCAAATAGAATGTACATATTGTCTTCGTATACTGTACAGGCGTTGGCTTTGTCCTTGACGCAACACCAGTCAACCTGCTCACCGGTGCTCAGGTCGAATACATTGATGGTATGATCTTTCGAATCGTTGTCCATGCAATACAAAGTATCGAAGTGTTTGAACATGTATGTCACTTTGTGACCTTCATCGATATAGCCAACTTGATTGAGACGTCGTTCCTTCTCTGGTGTGTCAATGTTGAAGCTGTACACTCTGGACTCCTCTTCTTCGTCATTTTGTCCAATCAGATATATGATCTTGTCTCCATCGTAGCATCCTGCAGTCAAGTATTTAAACTGATCATCTTCATCAACAACTCCTTCGAGAGAGATATCATGGCGCCATTGACCGTCGGCCACGGAGAACACAGAGTATGTTGGTGGCGGGTCATCGTTCTCACCCGTACCAAACACATAGACATTGCCACGAGCGTACACTGCTGATGAGCCATATTTGTAGATCATGTCAATTCCTTCCTGTTCGACAATTGTCCATTTGTTGGTCAATGGTGAGAACAGAGTATACGAGTTATCGTAGATGAACATGACATTGTGATCGAGGTCATGCGTGTGATTCTCAGAGTCCTCCAACAGTTGGAAGCATGATCTCACTTGATCCTTGATGCCATTCAATCTCTTGGTGTCAAACTTAGACATCAATGGTCGTACAAGTTGATACTGTCCATTCATGTGCTGAACAGTACTTTGAACCAATGTCAGCAGTTCAATATCGGTGATATCCTTCATTGAATCAGTTGACCCCTGTGACTTAGATGTAGATATTGATGGGAACGCTTGTTCGATGAACTGATCAAGTGATGAGCATGTTGTGATCATCTCAATGTTATTGTCCAAGTCCTCGTTATCCACGATACAAGATGTTGGTTTGAATATGCTGTTGATGCTCTTGATCTCATTGATGATATTGTGAATGTTTGTTGATGTTTGTTGCAATCTGTCATTGATTGTTGAGTTGATCTTATGCTCCTCAATCACCAGCATGTCATGCAGTTGTTTGAATTGCTCCGTTACATTCTTGCTCGATTGAGTCAATGTCTGATGTGTGGTTGCAAGTTGTTGAAGAGTGCTCCATAACAACTTCAATCTCGATGTTGACGAGTCATTGTATTGACCTTCCTCTATCAATGATCTTATATGCTTGACACTCTCAACATCATGTCTCTTGTGACCTTTGCTCATACATAGATCACAGACCAAACTATTACAATCGATACATATAAACTTATGCTCGATGTTAAGTGTACGACAACAATCCATCTGGTCTGTGTCCATTACTATTATCTTATTATCACAATGATTGAATGAATGTAAAACCGAATGAAGATGAGTTAGTGGATATTATCATTCTCTCACTAATTCACTCAACTCACACGATCGATCAGATCATATATATAATAATGGAGTTACCATTAAATGTCATCAGGAATGTACTGATGTACCTTTGGGATAATGATGTACCCTCAATTGACTGTGCATGCTTGAGCCTCACATGCAAGAGAATGTTCAAAGTCGTACACTCAACTCACATCAGACTACATCGACATCGTTTGAGATGGAGTATACTCGATAAGACACATGATGAATATGACAAAGATATACATACCAAGACAGTCGACACATCACAATCACTATCACTTGGCTACTCATACAATGAAGTGATCACAAGTGATACTCTTCCACCGAACTTGACATCGCTGACCTTTGGTCACTTTTTCAATCAGGTGATAGATGTTGGATGCCTCCCTCAATCAATTGAGACACTTCACTTTGGTGACAGCTTCAATCAACCTTTGAACAAACATGTACTGCCTCGCGCACTAAAGTCTCTGTACTTTGGCGTCGCCTTCAATAATGATGTTATGCATCTTCCAAATGGATTACATTCACTTGTGTTCAAGGATAGGTTCAAACGAATGATCGCGCCAGGTGACCTACCTGATTCAATCACATCATTGTCGTTCTCAGACTGTAATGCCGAACAAACTATCATCCCTGGCCTGATGCCCTCGTCACTCACCTTCCTCAGACTCGGGGCAAGCTTTGACCGTCCATTGACAGTTGGTGCCTTGCCATTCGGCCTCACATCACTGTCGTTTGGATACTGTTTCAATCAAGTACTGATACCTGGATCACTACCAGACAGCATCACAGACCTATTAATGGGCAATAGTTTCAACACAATCATTCAGCCAGGATGTCTTCCGCAATCACTCCTGACCCTTACGTTTGGTTATCAATTCGATCGCGAACTGGAGATTGGAGTACTACCTCAATCAATCACTCATATATCTTTTGGATGTTGTTATAATCGATACATTGGTCCAGGTGTAATCCCATCATTGGCGCTGAGGTCCTTGAAGATGGGACATGAATTCAATCGTGAGTTGACTCCAGGCACGCTCCCAACCACCTTGACCAAGTTGTCGCTCATCCAGTACGACACACAACTTGTGCCAGGCTCATTGCCATCATCACTTACATGTCTGGACCTGGGCAATTGTTTTGACAAGCCGTTCACACGAGGACTGCTGCCCGACTCCATCACCAAGCTCATCTTACCAAGTGCCTACAATCAATCATTTCTACCTGGTGCACTACCATCATCACTTCTCAAACTAAGGATTGGACGAGTGTTCAATCAAATGATCATGCCAGGTGCCTTGCCTCAGTCGCTCACATGTTTGATCTTTGGACGAAACTTCAACATGATGATGCCGCCCGGCGTGCTACCACCGTCACTCACCGACCTCAGACTTGGAGAACAGTACAACATGATACTGGGCAAGGATGTACTACCCAATGGATTGAAGAGTCTGACTGTGTTTGACAAGTTCTATCGTACATGTTCGGCGGGACCACTGGGCAGACTGCTAAAGGGCAAGCATGTACTACCAACATCACTTTGCAACATCACCTTGACAACACATACAACACCAGATGATACAATACCAGATATAACCAAGAGTTTCCTACCATTCATCCATCAATTTTTAAAGACAATATGCTGTTCACAACATCTACGAACCAACAATATCAATAACTTTAGGATTATCTACTCTTATGAGTATATAAAATCTGGTGCACTATACATTGAACTTAGAAGGATTGGACCTGTACCTGAACATGGACATGGAACATTCATCTGCAAGTTTGGATGTTACAAGATTCCCCAACAACGTCATTTCAGCAAATGGCGACCCCTGATCATTGTGTAAATCTAGCCTCTTGTTGGCCATAGAGGTCATGATTGTAATACCATTGCATCACTTCAAACTACTCCATCACTTGCTCCAGCCACTTCCTTCAAATATTGTCATATTGAAAGAATAAATGAAAGAATGCCGCTCAAATCAATCAATCAATCATTTAACCAATCAAACATTCTCCAAACACAACTGCTGGACTTTGTGGTCTTTAAAGGAGGAGAACTTTCTAATGCAATGCCCTGATCCCAGTGGAACATGGAAAACATTCATTGACATCATCCTCAAAGAGCGAACACCATCACAATTGGCATCGGGAGCGAAAAGCATTCGGGAACAGGTCAGTGAACGGCTGAATAATATATTCTGCTCCTAGAAGAACTAAACTATTTGGTCAAGTGGTATACTTCTTGGACACATTCATGCGCATCTTCAATGGACCCAATGGTCACCAACATCACAGATTGTTGTCAGAGCCATTCATTGTTGAGGATTCAAGATATAGAGGCCATGGATTAAATGATATAATTAGACCATGGTCTATTGTGGACATTGATGACCGAGCGAGTGAAGTGCACTCAATCAATATCAACAACAACAACAACACACGACCACAAATACCTCTGACAATAATCAGAAGTATAATTAGAATGCTCATACTGGATCATACGACCACAACGATATGAAAGGTGTCTCTGGCAACAGTGATCTCGACTTTCCATCGAGAGGTGGCGTCAATCATTTCAAACAACCCTTTACCAACACTATGTGTAGTTATGTCCTTCCTCATACCTCATATTTGTTCGCGATTCTGTCTGTTCAAGAACTTGCGCAAACATATCCATGCAAATGACATTGTTGATATAGACATAGACCACCTGCCACAATTTCTCGACCAGCTTGAATCATTGACATTGCCATACTCTGGCTATAGAGCCCTGGATCAATCGGAGCAATACCGATACATGAAGATATTTGGCTTGAATCAACTCAAACGAATATACTTCATTGAGTCTGCCATCCCTCGTAATCGCCAAATCAAATGCTCCGGTATTGATTACGTGGTTGTGGTCAATGGTGTACCAGAGAATGACGCGCCAAATGCTCTCCCACTGTGGCTCGATCACTATGTGAAACATTGTCCAAACTTGGAGAGCGTGTCCATCAATGCGCTCTATCCTGAAGGGCCATTTCCCAAGAATGTATCCAACAACATCATCCATCATCACCTTCAACTCTGGTACCCAAAATACATGAGGCTTCATCATGGACGACTTGCCAATGTTAGCCACATCACATCACTCTTTGTACCATTCAAATCAAAAAATCTCCAATATCTTCCATTGTTCATCAACATCAACATACTCCACATCACAGTCTATTCTCATTATCGGACCTCTCAAGATCAAGTGATGGATGTTCTTCAACAACTGTACAGATCTGCCGGCAAATTGACATCACTGATTGTTGTAGTGCCGGCAATCAAGGACACAATCCATTTGCTTCCAAATGTTCGCAATAGTATCCAATCGATAGAGATCAGATTGACTGATGATGAAGTTGCAATCACGTCCACTCTTGATGGCCTAACTCATCTTGACATTCTACGCAAACATTTGGATCGAGCTATCTTTGATCGACTCACTCGACTCTCCATTCAATATGTTCTTGAAGGTCATGTAATACCATTGCATCGAGACATCCTTCTCAAACACTTGATGCTGCCACTTCACTTCCTTCATTGTGTTGGACTGAATTCTACCGACAGCGACCTACTACATTACCTGTCCCTGTCACTCTCACTGGTGTGGCGTGATCCAACAACAACAACTACACATAGATAATCGGCATCGAAAATGACCGAGTCTCAACACACCAAAGTATCTCAATTTGTGTTTTTTTTCGTTTTTTTGTGTTTAAAGGAGTGTGTTTACAAAGCAGAGGGTGCGTCAGTTGAGCTGACCTCATTCACAAACATAAAAGGGTAGGTTGTCTTTCTATTTGCATCATCTTTGTGTGTGTGTGTGAGCTGATCTGTTGACAAGATTCATTCAAGTGAGACAGACAGTGACACTGAGACTAGACCCAATACATTCATTCAACTTGAACACTCACTTTGACTCATTCATACAGATACACACACACAAACATATTTATATATATATACACACATACAATCAATATTACTACCTTTATAGTATTAATAGTGGGATAGAGATAGTTATCAATCGCACACAAGTTAGCTATCTGAATCGACAAACCTGTATCAATCATTCGATATAGTATAGTATAGAATATAATAATAATAGAATAGAATGATAGACATCGATCAATACCTGGACTTTGGATTCCCGGTGGACCAGATCAAGTTCTTCATATGTATGATGGCTTCATACCCATTTGCTATGATCTTGAAACGTCTGCCCAATGCAAATATGAAGCATATACTGTCGATCGTGCTCGGTATCACTTATTGCAGCTTCTCACTTGGAGCCTACAGTTGGGTGCACTCGCTGATCAGCTCGACCGTCGTCTATATTTTGGTCAACGTGCTGCCAAGACGTGTGGCGCACATCTACGTCTTTGTGTTTGCCATGGGCTACATGTCCGCCAGCCATTGGTACCGCATGTACGTCGACTACATGGGCTGGACGATGGATTTTACCGCGCCACAGATGGTGCTCACACTCAAGCTGACGTCGTTCGCCTGGAACCTATATGATGGATCGCGTCCAGTTGCTGAGCTCTCGGCCGACGAGAAGAAGAGATCCATCAAGAAGATCCCAACCCTCCTAGAGTTCTATGGCTTTGTCTACTACTTCCCAACCTTCCTCGCCGGTCCAACCATCGAGATTGGTGACTACCTCCGTTACACATCCGGTGAGATGTTTAGTGAATTCGTAAGTACATCACCATTGATTGATTGATTGATCGATTGACAATGACTAACATTCTCCTGATTAGAAAACAATTCCAAGTTCTGGATTTGCTGCTTTGAAGACCTTTGTATTGGGTCTTCTCTGTTTCCCAATCCTTACTCTAGGCGGTACATACACTGTTGCATATCTCTTCACACCAGAGTTTGCCATGGAGCCATTGTACTTGAGAGTGTTCCGCATGTGGTTCCACATCGTACTCTCCAGATTCAAGTACTACTTTGGCTGGTACGTCTCAGAGGGAAGTGCCATCCTCTCTGGTATGAGCTACAATGGTCTCAAGGATGGAGTTCCAACGTAAGTAATCACATTGCCCAATCATGCCACCATGATCATCATGATCACTAACAACCAATACTAATCAATCAAACATATATATATATAGATGGGATCGCCTTACAAACGTCGTTCCACTCAAGGTTGAGTTGGCCTCGAACATTCGTGATGTATCCACTTATTGGAACATGGGCACTGCTGATTGGTTGAAGACATACGTGTATTTGAGATTGGCCCCAGCTGGAACCAAGCCATCGTTCAAGTCCACTATTGGCACCTACGCCGTCTCTGCCTTCTGGCACGGATTCTACCCAGGCTACTACATCTTCTTTGTGCTCTCTGCCTTCTTGACCGAGGTGGCCAAGGACATCCGTCGCAAGATCCGTCCATACTTTGTCAGCGGACCAAAGGACACACCAATCCAGCCATTCAAGCTTGGCTACGATATAATTGGATCGATGATCACCGCTTGGTTCCTCAACTTTTATGGCGCTTCCTTCCTTATCCTCAGCTTTGACAAGACTCTTGTGCTCTGGCGCTCGTTCAGCTTCATGCCACCAATCATTCTCGTTGGATCATTCTTCATTCTTAGATTCTTGGTGCCAACACCAAAGTCACAAAAGGTTGTTACCAAGTATGCTTGATTCTCAGCAGTATCATCATCTTTGCCCTCCCCCTCCTACTCTTCTTCATCACCTTCATCAACATCTCCAAACAAAGATGATTGATACGATCATTATATTAAAGTATACAATCCCAATCAATCCATGAGGCTGGCTCATCATCATTGGTGGACAAGCATGTTGGGCGTGTGTGTGTGTGAGTTCGTCGTGTTGGGTGACATTGTTGTCCTCACCCCCAGGGTTAATCGAAAGAGAGCGCATGTTGGGGGTTGGGTTGACGAGTCTGAACCCAGATTCATTCATTCATCTGAACCCAAAGACAAACAATCTCGAGACATGTGTCATTAACAATGCGAGCATGAACATGAATGAATAGAGAGATATACAGATACACATATGATAATGAATGATCATGATTATGATGATCAACTTATCATCAATGATAGTAATAGTAAAATGACATCGACAACATCAACTTCTTCAACAACTTCAACAACTTCAACAACTTCAACAACTTCAACAACTTCAACTTCATCATCAAGAATGAACGACATCGACGAGAATAATAATAATAAGATTGTTGTTGTAGACTTGATATCAATGCCATTGGAGATTTTGGATAGGATACTTCATTCACTCAATCAATCAACTTTATATACTTTATCATTGGTCAATGCACATTGGCACAAGATTATAATGTCAATGTGGCATACAATAGACTTGTCCAAGGCACACAGTCACTACACGCATCTCAGTGCCAAAGTAAAGCTCTCTCTTCAGACTCTAAAGAGGTCAGGTGCTGCAATACATTCACAAGAGAACGGCAATGGAAATGGCAATGGCAACGGCAACGGCAACGGCAACGGAAGTGTCAATGGTAATGGATCATCAGCTTCAAAGTGGATGGCAAACTTGGAGTCGATAGTGAACAACTTGGTGTCTAATTATGGCTTCCTCATACCGGGGCTGGGCTCGGATTCACCTCCAATCTTCCAGCGACATAATCATAACTTGCTAAAGTCAAAGGCCGCCCAACAACAAATAGCCAGTCAGTTTGAATTGCGAATCGATCGTTTCTTTGAGGACATGAGCACGCGTTACCAACGCGTCGAAGTACTAGACCTGAGTGGCTGCACCGACCTCAAGTTGGCATCTCTCTCACTACTCGTTCGCCAGTTCTCGTCCACGCTAACCAAGCTCGTCACGCGTCGTTGCAAGTCTGACACAATGACTGATTCAGGATTCGCCCAACAAGTCGTGGCGATGGCGCCTAAACTGCGTACACTGTGTGTTGGCGAGATGCCAATGATTGGCGACGAGACCATGGAAGCACTATGCTCCACAACACCGGATATTGAGTGTTTGGGCCTGGCCCGATGCCACAAGGTCACCGACCGTGGGATCCACGCACTGGCCGCCAGCCAGCTGTGCACTCGAATGCGTATACTGGGCCTTAACCATCTCGCACACCTGTCCGACGGCGCCATCCTTCAGCTGGGCATGGCCTGCAACAACTTGGTTATATTCAGCGCGAGCAACCTCAGAGAGTTGTCTGCCGACACGATGGCATCGATCTTCCTGGCATGTCCACGCCTGGGCTCAATCGACTTGGGCGGCTGCGAGAACACAGACGACACGGCACTCGAAGCCATCTCGATCAACTGTCACGAACTCTTCCAACTCAATGTCAGTCGATGCAAGCGACTCACATCACACTCAATCAATCTGGTGGTCAAGCAATGCAAGCAACTGCGTATACTGTTTGTATCGCGTACGGCAATTGACGATGATTGTCTGTTGAATGCCACGGAACACCTACAGCTCGAGGTACTATATGCCATGGGTTGTCCCAATCTCACTGATCGCACTGTGCAAGGACTGCTCAAGCTGGGCAACGAGCGATTGATTCGCATGAACATCAACTTGTTGTCATGTCCCAACGTCTCACAATCACTAGTGTCGATACTACAGCATCTGACCAAGCCGACGCCAGGCGAGGGCCGCGGCGCGTGCATTGGTGGATCTGATGCGAGTTGCACGAGCAGCTCGCTTCTAATGGACGACGAATAACGAATAATCAATAATCAAACGAACAAATGAATCAATGGATTTGGATGAATAAAACGACCGAGTTATCCACATCGATCGTTGCGAGCGAACCTTCTTCTACCTTTACTTTGATGATGTCAATGATTGCGATGATGAGGATGATGATGGATAGTTGAGTTGATACTTGGAGAATTGGTATGGAGGTGGCGGTGAGCCTCCAATCTCGCTGGCCTGTTGGTATTGTTGTTGCTTCTGCGCCACTGGGTAGGTGTATGTTTGGAAAGTGTTGTAGGATGGTGTATACGATGAGGATGATGCTGACGAAGTTGGAGTACATCCTTTGGCAGTGTAATGATTGTTGTTGTTGTTCGATTCCTGGACAGGTCTAATTGGCTGGACATTGGATGGCAATATACTTTGATAGATTGGAGGATCTTGCAAGACACATTCATAGTCCATTGATGGAATATAGATATCAAGTAGTCTCTTCAATTGGATCGACAAGAGAATTGAGTATACACCCAAGACCATCCAGATCAATGAACTTATCATGGCTATGATAAGGACATCCTTGTTGTGGAAGAACTGGCCATTATATTGTTCATCCTTTGCTAATGTTACCATGGCATACACAATACCAACGAAACAAAGTAGACATGATATCGATCCAGTCACTTGGTACTAAGAGTAGGATATGAGTTAGGAGTGAATGAATGGGCATGGCCCAACAACCAACTTAAAGTACTTACAGTGAGTAGAAGTAATCTCTTACGATTGAGTGTAGCCACAATACATATTAAGATGGATACGATTGAGATTATACCATTGACAAGAGTGAGTACACTGGCGAATAGGCATGGTATGAGTAACATTGCCATCAACGCCAATAATATCTGAAGTCTAACAGTGATCCTATAAAGAGTGTCCTCTCTCGTAATCACTGGTGACACAGACTCAATGTCTCCAGCTTGGAAGTAGTTAATAGATGAGTTTTGTCCAGATGGCATTCTTTACTATTCTTTGTATCTCTCTCTCTACTCAAGTTAACATCACAACATCATAATGAATGAATGAATGAATGATCAATAGTGATTGAATACCATCCTCTCATACTCCTCCTCTGTAAGTGATAGTGAGGCGTATACGCCACCCTAATTACTAACATGTAGCTTTAAACATGAATGAATGAGTGCGTGAGTAAGTTAGTGTGGTAGTGATTGAAGGCTTGCCACGCTGCCACACCAACTGTTATAATCATTATACTTGTGAGTGTGTGTGTGTTTGAAAGGATTGATCGATTGATTGGCTTCACTACTCTAGTGATCATACACACACACCTCATGAAGGCCTCAAAGGTCTTTGAAGTTGTCAAGAGTAAGTAATGAAGTTCAATTATGAATAGAGATGATGTCGTCAGGACATTTCACAAAACAGTGCGAATGGATGGTGATTCTTCCCAAAAGTTTGGGAAGTTGCATTGCGAATCTTCCTTAGAACTTCCAATTTAGGGTAGTGTTGTGAATACCAAACAACAACAACAACAACAACATATTTTATTAATAAGATTTATAATAATGTTGTTTGTTTTGGTGTTACTTACACCTGACTGAATGTCTGACGAATCCATCAACCTCTCAACTCTTAAGTTGTTGTTGTTGTTATTGAACAACTTACTTAATCCAATAAACTAACTACTACACTACCACTACTACAATATATATATTAAATATATATAAATATATTTTATTATCTGATTCATTCATTGACAAACAAAGGTTTGGACCTTAACACTCACTCGCCAAACACACTCACTCACTCACTTACGACAGAGATAGAGATAGAGAGATAGAGAACAACATTCATTCAACGTGGACACATTCGAACCACACACACATCATACACATCATTCACTTCACTCGCTCAATCATTCATTCAATCAATCAATCAACTCTCATTGGTCTTTGACTAACATCCTCACCTTAATGACATATTAAGTCATAATATAGATAGTTAATTAGTTAATATATATATTTATTTATATATATAAATCATATATAAGAGGATGAGTGATAGATTTCATCATCTTCAGAGGCCGCTACAACAACAGCAGCAGCAACACTCGATCGAGGACTTGTCATTTGAAGACTTGATATTTGGTGAACCTGATAATGAACAGCAAGATGCCTCACAACATCATCAACATCAACACCAACAACAACATCTGTTATTGCGTCGACCATCACCTGATTCACAACATCTTCAACAACATCTACTACAACATCAACAACAACAACAACATGGCTTCTCATCACCATCATCACAATATATGGCATCACCAATGATGCCAATGCCAATGCCCATGCCCATGCCAATGCCAATGCCAGTGCCAATGACATCGACGTCGACAACAACATCATCGGCTGCAACTAATATTGTTGGCGTGGGCTTTCCCAAACTCTCCAACAAGGAGAAGCGACACGCAAAGTTGGACAGGTCCGATCGCCACGCCGTGCTGATCAGCTCCAAGGGCGACAGGATCAACTTGGCCGTTCTGTTGAAGCAGCTCGAGGAGTGTGGATCGGTGCGAGCACATCACTTTAGAGACCGACAGAACTTTGGCTTTGTCCAATTCCTCGACTCTGACTCTGTGGACAACGCCATCGAGCGATTGAGCGGACGCGAGATCGATGGCCAGACATTGCTCGTCGAGAAGATCAAGCGAATCACACCGGGCAAGGACCCGCGCATTGCAACTGTGGGCTCGCCACAGTGCTCCTCGTTGCCCACCCAGCTGCCGTCAATGATGGAGAACAAGCCCGACACGACGTTGGTGCTCAAGAACTTGCCGTTCCTACTCAAACAGGTGCAGCTACAAGAGATACTCGAGAAGATCAATCCGTCTGCGCCACAATCAGTCAACTTCCACTATGACAGCGTGGGAGTGTTCCGTGGCATGGCCTTTGTAAAGTATCGCCTGCTCGAGGACGCCATCAAAGTGTACGAGGCACTCAATGGCGCCGATGTGTTTGGTCGTCGCGTGCGTCTAGAGTACAAGCGCAAGGTTAGCAAGTCAAGCGAGATCCCGCCAGAGGTGCTCGAGGATGAGAAGTTGCGCAAGGTGTGGGACCAGCTGCGCGAGTTCAGAGATGACGTCGCCGCTACCGAGATCACCTTTGCCGCATTCACTGGCGTCCAACGAATGTACATACACAACATGGCCGAGAAGCTGAAGCTAACGCATACGTCTGTGGGCGAGGAGCCCAATCGCTCAATCGTCATCAATAAGAAGCCGCTGGCCGTTGGCACACCGACAGGCGGCGACGACGCCCTCTCGGCGCACTTCCTTTCGTCGTCACCTACGCCCATTGGTGGCATGCACTTTGCGATGCCCTCGTCGACCACGCCAACCAACTCTTACTCCTCGCTGTCGTCCACGCCAACCTCATCAATGTTTATCAACAGCAACAGTGGCACTGGCACAAAGCCAGTCGAGGTATCTTCGAGTCTTGGCAACTTTATCCTCTCCAACACATTGGTGGCGGCTCCATCGCCAAACGCTGGCGCCTCAACAAAGTCGTCCACGCCGTCGCTGGGCATCATCAACGATCCCAGGACAACGATGGGCACGTCATGGGAGAAGTCACCGCCAAACACCGGCCTGCTCTCATCATATCCTCACCTCACTACACGTGGATTTGGTATCAATCGCGATAGATCATCCGAAATAGACATGTCAACATCACCAAGTAACTTCAACTTCCGAAAGGAACCAATCAGTCATCCTCACAGTATCAATATCAACATCAACAACAATAACAGTAGCAACAACAACAACAACAACAACAACAACTATTATAACACAGGTGGTGGTACACCTGGTGGATATAGCATCTTCCAAGCAAGTGCCAGCTTACCATCATCAATAGCCAATGGAGGTGGAGCAATGCATCACTTTAATCATTTCCCAACAATTCAAACAACAACAGCCACAACAACAAATGTATAATGCACAGCCACAACCAGCCACAACAACAACAACAACAACAACAACAACAACAACAATTTAGTATTAGCAATAGTATATCGATCAATGGATTTGGCAACAACAACAACAACAGTAACAGTAATAGTAATGGCGGTGGTGGTAGCAATAGTAATAGCCTTGTTTCATCACCAGTATATCGCCAGCCAAAGGGTCCAGATGGGACAAAGGGCTTCACCGATAACTATAGGACAGCTCGCAAGCCAAGCCCTGCATCCCCCAATGCACCCGGCGCCAACTAACGAATCAATCAATCAATCAATCTATGAATGAATGAATGGACACACAGACGAAAGACCACATGACCACGACGACGACTACTACAACATCTTCAACATCTTCGATGGACAATAATATTATTATGTACGATTATATAACCTTTTTCCAAATACTTGTTCTCAGCTGGCTGTCTGGCTGCTACATCAAACACGTTCGAGCAGCAAGCAACAAGCATTGCTATGATTTCAAAAGGAATACAATGAATAAACCATTCAGTTGTGTCCTCTCCCTCCAACCAACCTACTCCTATATTGATCATCAATATAGCATAAGCATCATTGTTCTATACCACCAGATGATTAAGGACCATTCTCCATTCCATTGGCAACATAGTCACGCCTCAATCATAACATAAGTGGGTCTTGAGAGTGCGAAACACACTCGCCACTGCAACACATCAATTAAATGATGTGATACAGATATTGTCATATGATAATTGGTCCCTGGCTGTGATCAATATATTTGGATATGGAATGGCTTGCTACCTACCCCAATAATGGCTATGAGAAGTGACCCTCTCTATTTCTTTTTGTGTTGGATCATTAATCATCAAAGGCAACAACAGTGTGTGTGAAAGTGGTGACTCTGTTGCCAATGTGGTCAACATATGATCAAATGGGGTAAGATCAGTCCAACATGTTGTTAATACATACAATACCTGATAATGGGGTGTCAGATATAGTAGTAGTGAGGGCCAACCCATCTTGATTGCCAACTACGAGTCATTGCTGTTGATGGTGGTGGCAACGCGACCTAACCTCAATGAGAGGACACTACCCATTCAACCATTCATAGACCCTCCCCAATAACCAAGTAAAGTAAATAAGATTAAGATTGAGATAGAGTCCTGACTCCCAATATATTGGTAGCGGGATCAATCGATTTATTGTTTGAGTTGGAGTATGTGGTTGTGTGTGTTATCAATAGGTCCATTGAGTGAGGTTCGCTGCTGGTGATTGCAATTGTAAACAAAGTTTATAAATAATTATTATTGTGAGATTGAATGGAATGGTAGAGTCTATCAAGTCCTGGAAGGACGATACGATGTACGTGCCGCACTCCACACACTCCACATCTCCGATAACTCTATCTAACATTCTCACTTTAAAGGACATATATATATAAATGATCATATTCATTCAAATAATTTAGTATACAAATAATTAGTCAACTTAATAATATTAATAATAATAATTATAATAATAATTTATTTATCATGAAGATATTGTTAGAGGAGTTTGAATATTTGTTGGAATCATTTATTCAAAGTGAAGTGGAGGATAATAATAATCATGCTACATTATTCCGAACCAACAAGTCAATAGTTGTGGAGATGATCAAGATATATGTTGGTGCTGATCATGCATGTGATATATATATTCGTAGTATACTATTACCTGTATATTCACATATTAATAAGTTGGAAGCAATGGGCAAACAGTTGGACATCAATCAAGAGATGGAAAGATTGTTGGAGAGGATTGTTAGCCTGATGTATATATGTCCGAGACGAATCCAACTCTGTTGTCACATGTTAAGACAATATGTTTCCAGGAGGTATACCGAACATTGGAGGTCAATAGTTTGCGGATTCTTTTTCCTCAGGCTGCTCTGTCCTGCAATGGTTTCACCATCACTGATGGGTGTCAAACTCATACGCAACACAATCAACAAAGACTTGGTATCCGTTGCCAAACAACTTCAAATGAGGTCCAACTCATCGAATGAAGCACCTGCCTCCGACCCAATCTCAATAATATTGGATCAATTATCGACTGATACATCAATGATAATGATGATGAGTCCAGATCATCAATATAACGAGATGGATAATACTATTGATGTGACGCCAGACTTGTTCATGGAGATGTTGGCCGCAGCCCAGGGCATCATAGACAAGATCAAGCCAGCATTGATCAGTGGCATCCAATCACAAAGAGACAAGATATTAGAGATTGAAAGGATATTACTACCATTGCATACAGAGTATATAAACTCTACAAATGTAGAGTATGCAATGGAGACCAAGTTATCTACAACTTTGTCAAGATCACTATCAACACCAACATTCAACAAGTTGTCATTATCATCATCATCAATATCCTGTACATGTCCAGAGTCTGCTGGACAAACACCACTTCTTCTTAGAAGCAATACTAAAGCAAAGCTATTCAAGTAGCATTCCTTCTTAACCTATACTTATACTTCGTACTTGTAGTATTACATGTTATTATCTGTTCGACTTATACTTGATTTATGGGGATTGTTACTTTTACCAAAACATAGATTCCCCACTCTCCACCATGAAATCTGCGATCCTCAAGCCAAAACCCTGGTGAACGAGGGTGCAACCAATCAACATCAGGTTTCAAGATTGTTCATTCAATCATTCTTATATTATCTTATTATTATTATTATTACATACATATACATAGTACATATACATAACACAAGTGATGAGTGATCGTGTGAATAAATTAGAATGACATCAACAACATCAACAACATCAACATCAACATCAACAAATAATAATAACAATAACTATGGACGTGGCAATGTTGAACTTAAGGATAGTGTTGGACTTGGACATCCTAGAATGTTAGCAAACTCTGCGAATAGAATAGAGGAACAATATGTACTCAGCTTACTTGCCAAGGCCAAAGATCCACGTCATCCCAAACTAGGAGAGATCATCTCAGTGTTTGATAAGGTTGGTACTTGAAACGAACACGACAGCCTGTCACTCACTCACTAACACGATCAATCAATCAATCAATCAATCTAGCTTGTAGAGTTGGCCAAGGTCGATATAATGTCGTTGACAAAGCAGAACTTTGATTACTTTCACATGTTCATGAACGTCTTGCTAGAGCTGCCGGCGTTCTCATTGAGCGACAATAGAGATCTTCATATGATGTTACTAAAGAAGTTGAACGGTCTGATATTCTCAAACATTCTGGTGCAGACCTATTGTTGTAGCGATCGCTGGATCATCAAACTGCTCAATCTACTCATTGGATGCACGCGTGACTCTGATGTCATTGGCGAGATATCCATCACATTGCAAATACTCTGTTGTTTCAACATCACTCCCAAAGAGCTCAAGTACCTCTTCCGTCTAATGGAGAGTGTCGGTGATGAACGTGTAAGTACGAGCACGCACGAGATAGTGCAAGGTGATCACATGACCTAACCCCTGCCAACCAATCAATCACAACAGCCATTCTATTGGAGTGTACTGGTCGAGGTACTTGAGTACATACTGCGACCGCGACAGGGTCCAGATTCATACTTCAACTTCAATCAGAGTAATGGCGGACTGATGATTCCAGAGAAGGTTCCATTCGATGGAGGATATACATTCAGTTTGTGGATCAATGTGGAGGATTTTGTCGATCTGCGCTACGCTCCCATCTTGTACAGCTTCTTCACAGATATTGAGACGGGCTTTGAATGCAGCTTCCAAGGCCACTCACTACGCTACTCTGTCAAGACCAAGAACAAGAGCGCAGTGCAAAAGTCGCAGTTTGTCTTCCACCCCAAGCGATGGTACTACATCACGATCGCACACGAGTACTTCCTGTTCAAGAAGAGTCAGCTGTCGTTCTTTGTCAATGGCAAGCTGGAGGAGAAGATCCCCCTGCTCTACCCGCGCAACGACACGACCTACACGCGCTGCCATGTCGGCAACTCATCGACTCTGAACGCTGGCTTCATCGGACGCATGGGCTCAATACTGATGGTGAACGAAGCAATGACGCCCGTCGAAGTGCAGGCGCTCTACAACCTGGGCAAAGACTACACCCTGGTCATCGAGAAGCTGCCACGCGAGGGCACCATTGGCATATTCAACAACGAGATGCACCTCGAGTCGCGCAAGATCAAGGTGTTGTTCATGTACTATCCAAAGGCTACCGACAAGGCCCTGTGCTTCGATATTTCCAGCGGCGAGCTGCCGCATGCCGCTACGATGGAGGGCGTCAACATCATCAAGACTACTTCGCCCATCGACCAGCTATTATACGTGGGCGGACTGCCTATGATATACCCACTGTTCTCACAGCTAGGACATCCGATTAACGGCATCGACACTATGCCAGCCGACATCAACGAGCAGACCACAATCACATCCACATTCATACAGTACATCACCATCCCAAACAACTCGACACATAGCCCCATCGCGATATTCCCGCGACCCACCAACTTTGGCCACCCATCGATCGTGTTCCGCCTGCTCAACACAATCATCGAGAACAATGCAGTGTTCCTCGAGCAGATCGTCGAGACACAGGGCTTCCAGACCATCTCTTTCCTGCTGCAGTCGCTGCCGTCCAGCGCGCCATTCTGGACGCCTGACGACATTGAGACGCTGAGTCGCCTGCTATCATACTGCGCGTCCAACCCCTCACTCTACACGCTGTCAATCGAGCATCTCATTTTCCGACTGTTCCAGCTCTGGTCCAACACGCACACACTCACACAGATGGCCCTGTTTGAAGCGATCAGACTGCGAGTCCAAAACAGCGCAGCATTTTGGCGTGGCAACATCAGAGTGGAGCGATGGTTGGAGATCATGAAGCGTTTCTACACGCTTGAGATGGTACTCCCAAGCGAGCAGACACCAACATTTATCGCCACAACAGAGAGGATCAAGCGATCGCGATCGCAGATCATTGTAATATTGCGCGAGAGTTGTATGCCGGTGTTCTCCATGCAGGAGACGCGCTGGCTGGCGCTCTACCTCAAGGAGTCCACCGTGGAGAATCAGGACGACATCACAAAGATGCTGGAGGACATGCTGCCCGCGCAGCACCTCAACTTCACCGCCAAGGATCTGTTCTTTGGCGAGCTCATCAACGACCAGCCCAAGCCCATCCAGCAGTTTGGCCCCACACAGATCCCATTGCCCAAGCACCTGGCCTATTTATGGGACATTGACGTTACGGATGAGATGGCGCGACGCAGCGAACTGGTGCCTCTCGATGAGAAGCACGCATATTTATTGTATCGCCACTGGATCAAACTGCGACGCACGAGAGCTGGCAACCTGAGTGGTGCCAAGGTGAAGAAGTCATTGGAGTTTAGCACACAGACACTGTACAACATGCCACTGATATATCGTCTGAAGGAGTTGGGCATACCAAACACACACGCGGCTGCTGCCTCATCCAGCGCGTCAATGGTCACATCGACAATGTCACCCACGACCATGTCCCCTACTACCATGTCGCCTGCAACAATGTCGCCGGCCATGTCTCCGTCGTCCTCTCCGCCACGACCAAACAGCCTGCTGAACAGGACTGTGTCATCATCAGTTCAAAGCCCAGGCGCCAGCAGTAGTGACCCCTTTGGACAGAACGCGACATCCCTGGTAGATTACGAGGACACGACCGTAGTACGTTGGAAACTGGACCGCTCCGAGGGTCCAGGTCGCATGAGACGCAAGCTCAAGCGCAACTACCTTGGCTCAGACTACAAGGGATTGTCCAAACAGAACAAGTTTGGAAGGAATAGACGTGCTATCGTGGACATCTATACATCGGACAGGGATCGCTACTACATCGATCATGACTCTGGCGATGGCCTGGGCAGCATCATTGTTCGACTGCGTCTCGACCCACTACTAGACCCCAACACAACACTTGCTATCGAGCGACAATTGGGAGCCTCCAACTCATTGTTGGGACTGGACCAGCAACAATTGGACACATCTGTGTCAGGCAGTGGCAATACGAATGCGCTCCAATCACCTGGCATCACACGACAGGACTCGACCATTGACAAGTCATCACTGATGAGAACACCCACCAAGCTACAGCATCAACACTCAATACTCAACACCAGCTCACCGATCAAGAACAGTCTGTCGGAGACTTCGACGCGCGACCTTTTGTCCCAGTCTCAGCAACTGCAACAGCCAGAGAAGATTGTTGGCGTGTATCAATGTGGCATGGTCACGCCCATCGGCTTGATCAAGGGAGTGCTGTCACTCACAACCCTTCAGCTCTGCTTTGACAAGTCACCGCCTCAGATCGACGAGGTGACGGGCAAACTGACGCTGGAGCCAGACCACGGATGCGTGCGCATCAAGAACTACTACACATTCAAGGTGAAGGATCTGCTTGAGATACATCGTCGACGCTACCTACTGCGCTGGAACGCCATCGAGGTGTTCCTGCACCACAAGAGCTACATGTTCACGTTCGCCTCGGACAACGAGTCGGTGCAGGTGTTCAACAAGATCACCGGACTTCACCCGCCGCAGCTCAAGGTCAAGCACGCAGACTCGCCCTCCAAGCTGATCAAGCGACTCAACTACACCCAACGCTGGAAGAACCGTGAGATCAGCAACTTTGAGTACCTGATGCATCTCAACACGATCGCCGGTCGCACGTACAACGACACGTCACAGTATCCAATCTTCCCACAGGTGGTCGCGGACTACCACTCAGAGCACCTCGACCTCACCAGCGACGCATCGTTCCGCGACCTCAAGAAGCCGATTGGCGCGCTCAACCAGCAGCGTCTGGACACACTCATCCAACGCTATCACTCGTTCAACGATGCAGAGATCCCTCCATTCCTGTACGGCAGCCACTACAGCAACTTTGGCATCATCGCCTACTACCACGTGCGTCTCGAGCCCTTCACCTCCTACCACCTGTCGCTGCAGAGCGGTGTGTGGGACCACCCGCAGCGCATGTTTGAGTCGGTGGACCGCATGTGGGACGGCGTGACCAGTCCCAACCTGGCCGACGTCAAGGAGCTCACGCCCGAGTTCTTCTACATGCCTGAATTCCTGACCAACAACGAGCACTTCCAGTTTGGCTTCCACAACAGCACGTCAGGCGACCTCATCCTGCCACCATGGGCGCACGAGTCGCCCGAGCTCTTCATCCAGAAGAACCGCGAGGCGCTCGAGTCTGAATACGTCTCGATGCACCTCAACCACTGGATCGACCTCATCTTTGGTTACAAGCAGAAGGGTCAGGCGGCAGTCGAAGCCAACAACGTCTTCTTCCATCTGACCTACGAGGGCAACGCCGCACTCAACAAAGAAGACCCCGAAGAGCGACGATCAGTCGAGTCACAGATCAAAGAGTTTGGCCAGACACCACCACAACTCTTCACCAAGCCACATCCAAAGCGCAAGACTCTCAAAGAGCTCGACCGTCCACAAATCGACATACTCACCAAGTTTGCCAACCTCTTCCCCAACGCGCTACAATTGGGCGCGGCGCAGGCGCAAGCCAATGCAGCCAATGCCGACACAGACACAGATCAGCAACAACAATATCCATTCAAGATACTCAAGACCAACAGCTGTCTGCCACTCGTGCACATTGGCGCATGCTCAGACAGCGACACAATCGTACTGGTGTACCGCGATGGTGTGCTGGCAGTCAATCAGTTCGTGCCGACACCCTCCAACAACCTACCATTCACATTCGACATTGACAAGACGCTGTCCACGTACAAGGAGAAGCAGATCGACACGCTGTTCATGTCAGACTCGGTCACATGCATCAGCAATTGTTTCGTGATGACGCCCGACGGCAAGATGCTGTTCTCCTGCGCCAACTGGGACAGCATCTTCAAGTGCTGCAACATCCAGAACGGCAAGATACATCGCATCTACCGCGACTTCCACCGCGGCATGGTCACATGCATATCGATGGGCTCGAGCGGCCACACGCTGGCCACGGCCTCGACCGATACCACCATCCTTGTGTGGGACGACGTGTCCGCGCTGATCAAAGAGGCAAAGACCAAGCCCGCATACCGACTGTGCAGCCACGACGAGCCAGTGCACTGCATCGACATCAACGAGGAGTGGGACCTGATTGCCAGTGGCTCGCAGGACCGCAAGTGCATTCTGCACACACTACGCACTGGCAACTATGTCCGCACGATGCTACACAAGGGCGCCGTAGAGATTGTCAAGATATCGACCGTGGGCCAGACCATCATTTCATACTGCTCCATGAACTACTTGTACGTCCACTCATTCAATGGCAAGCTTCTTAAGATGGAGCAGTGCGACGAGCGACTATACGACCTCAAGCTTACTGGCGAGTCGGTCAAGAAGGGTGGCGTGCTTGGCGTTGGAGACTCAGTGCAATTCCTGGTGACAGGAGGCACTCGTGGCGTCAAGGTTCGCAGTCTTCCCGACCTCACCATTGTAAACAGCTTTGACAGTCCGACCACTATCCGAACGGTTGCACTTGTGGCGCGTGAGAAGTACATGATGATAGGTCTGAACGATGGCAATCTAGTGATCATTCCATTCGAGACATCAGTCTAATGGACAACTTGCATGTTTGAACCTGGAATAAATGTCAACTATGACATGGACATGATTGGTACCAAAAATAGATAGAGATACATGGGATGACGTTGTACGGACAAATAATGTCAACTTCAGATGTCTAATCATTGTTGTCCATGGACGACATTACGGGTGCATTGTGTTTTTGTGAAGATAAATCCATTTTTGGATACTGATCACACCTTTGTGAAGGGGTTGATTGTGTTTTTTGGGTCATTCTTTTTTGATCATTTCTGTGCGAACAATCATACACACAGGTCCAATGCCTGTTCGATTAGTGGGCATGGAATCCACATACCTCAACTCAATCAGTTAGTTGTTTATCTTTGTTATTTGTATCAATACTCTTTATTTATTTATTTGTGTGTGATCAATCAATCAATCAATCACTCAATCAATATCTTAAATCTAGTTTGTTAGATATATCAAACAATCAATCAATCACAATGGTAGAGGACACTCCTTATCAACATCAACACCATCACCATCACCATCACCAACATCATCAACATGGCGATCACCCTACAGTATTGGAGAGAGTCAACAGTTTTAGATACCAGGTGGAATCAAAGACCAGATACTTGTTCCTTTTGGACATGGGCAAGGCTGAGATCAACATCAATCATCACTATCACAGGAGTAAACTAGGTGTAATAGTCAGTACAATAGTACTAATAATCATAGCATTCTTTATTATAATCACTGTAGCACAGTTCTCAAAAGGTAACATTATCAACATGTTCCATCAATCAATCACATGATAAATCACTCACTCATACAATCAATCAAAACAGGAACACCATCAATCATATATAATGCAAATATACCTTCACAGTACAATCCACTTCTTACACCAGAGGTTGGTGTTGTATTATTACGCAGTGGAGCTATCACAAAGATTGATCCGGCTCACGTCAGTGTGGTGTTCCGATACATCACCATCACTGATCAGGACACAAAGCCACGCGTGGTCGAATACCTCAACGTAACAAAGTGCACATTCTCCGATAATCAGCCATCGGAAGACGCTGCGTCCAATGTGTTGACCGACTCGGCGTCATGCCCACTCGAGCAGGTGGTGATGTCGGGCTCCTACGCCATGAACACCTACCGATACCTGGACATTGGCGTCGTGCGCTGCACATGCGCACCCAACGACACATCATGCGGTTGCTCGTCCGACGCAGACTTTAAGAAGTACTACTACAACGACACTGCCATCAACATACTCATCTCTGAGCACATACCCTCGTACTCAGTGTTTGCGCGTCGATTCAATCTCTTCCCTCCCAACCCCAACTTTGCGCATCCACCAACCATTAAGAACTACACTCAATCCATCTATTGGTACAGCTCCCAATACGTCGTTCAAAAGGTCGACATCTCAATCAGACGCAAGAGTATATACAACGCGCCAAGATTCATCTTTGATTATGGTTTTGGAGAGTTCTACAGTGTCGGAGAGGTATGTCATTCATTCGATATTAATCAATCAACTCAATCACTCACTCGATCACTCATTCAATCAATCGATCAATAGATTATTTCGAGACAGGTCGATGCTTCAGCTGCTGGAAATGTCTTATTCAAAGCTTTCGTTAGACTTGATCAATATGAGAATCAGGAATTTCGTCAGAGCCCTGGCTTCTTGCAATTGATTGGATCATGGGGTGCACTCTGGACATTCTTCAGCATCACAGCACTTCAATTGGTGAGGATGTATAACAAGAGGATGTATCATTCATCTTTGGCCAACTCTGCACCATCATCTCCACGTGTTGCTGGTAGTCGACTGCCCCCACATCAGCATCACACGACAAACAATGATCATCATGAAAGTCACCAGCAACATGGTGACATCCAACTCAAATCAATGCGTAGTTCAAGGAATATATTACATGCCAGTAGCACCAGTTTGGAGAAGTTTGCTTGGGAGACCAGCAGGACGCAACCGTCTGGCGGTCTGACCTCGAGCTATGACCTCAATGACAGCAACAATCACATTGTACACAGCGACAACTATCTAAACTCTACCGACTTTGGCAGCAGCGAAAACATGGCGAACAACAACAACAACAATGGAAGCAGCAGCAATATGAACAACAATAATAATCTTAGTCAACAGTTTGAGAACACCAATGTAGAGAGGGGATAATCCCCATACTTGTTGGAACAATAAAATAAAATGTATTCATATTCAATAGATGGGGAGTCGATAGAACTTGGTAGTACTTCCAGCCTCAGGGTGGAAATGGAGAGGAGATAGAATGTACTTTGTCAAAGTATGGATGTTGAGAGGCATCAACTTGGTAATGGGCACTTGCGTATTTGAGTAAATATTGTAACTGCCAATAGAAACGATATATTTGCAATAGATTTCCAAATAGGAGATATTGTTGAATATTGGTTGTTTGAGTGAAGTGCAGAGAGTGGACAGGTGTCTTTGAAGTGAAGAATTAATATCGGACTGTATGATCTCTTGAAAATTGGTTACAAGTTCTAACTTGTTGATAGGGGTTTGTACCTGGGGAAGAATATCAACAACATGAGATAGATTAGGAAGTTGGATAATTAGGGTGTCCAGTTCTCCAGTGTTCCTCACAAAATAATTTTGAAGTGATTCTAGTTGATCTGGAGATAAAGAAGAATTTGGTTGAAGATCAAATGCATCTATTATGAGTTTGTTTAGATTCTGGAAATGACTTAGTTGGTTAAAGGAGATCTTGAATGATATTTCCAATACAGTGATATGTAAGAAATTAAATGAATCTTTCTGAAGAAAAAAGTTTGGATTGAATGATGTTTGATATAGTCTGACTTTAAATTGTTTAGATGGAATATCATCCAAATCGATAGTTTCAAAGGGTTCGAAAGAATGAACTTCTAATGATTGAATGGACTTTCCAATATTAAAAGAGAGAAATTTCTTCAATAAACTAGTTTCGGTTCTGTCATATATAGTTAAGATTTCTAATCCATAGTCCCTCTTGTAGTTTTCTAGTTGCCTAGGTGATGACAACCAAGAATACTTGGAGTGTATATCAGGCATCTCAATAAGTTTCAAATGTTTTAAATTTGGAGCTTTAAACATTAATTGATGTCCCTGATATGAAAGCGTCATTGTTTGTTTCCTGATTCTGCTAAAATCAATGGGAGCCACCAATGATTCCAATTGATTAATGAAGGATTTAAAATGCTCTAATGGAATATATTTAAAAGAGAATGCCTGGAAATTCAAAGGAGGAGATTTGAAGAGACAATATTTTGATCCAATATCCTTGATTGTAGAGCATATATCATTCTCATTTGGTAGCCATTTGAAAATCATAAAATGGGAAATTGCCAAATGAAACTGTGATGATACCGTTGATAATAAGACCTTCCACTTTGAACTAAGAGTATTGTCTTTTATAAGTAGTTCAATTATGCCTCTCATTACCATAATTGGCAATCTTGGCATTGGCATATCAATAGGGATAGCATTAAGATAGCTGGATTCTTTGGAAAATAAAGAATGTTTCTGAAACTCTTTGAATTGTTGTACTAGTTCAGGGTTTGATGAAATATTGTCCAATATCAGTTTTTTTGTAGCTTTGTAATTGGTTTTGAAAATATCATAATTATATCCAGTCATATGTTTATAATAATGAAGGTACTTCAGAAGATGAAGCAAAGTTGTTGGACACTTAATATAAATTATCATAAGTTTGGAGACTGAATAGCCAGAGCAGGAATCTTTGTTGACCAAATGAGGCATTATATCATCGATAAAATCTGGTCCATTTAACAGAGAATAATAGATGCATTTGGAAATAAATTGATAATTTTTTAAAAATGGAATAAGTATTTTTAAATTATCCTGGAAGAATTGTTTGATAATTGATCCATTTCGATTATCAGTAATAATATCTTCAGAACTCATTATTAGAGTATTAGGGGATACCTTAAGAATCATCGCCATTGCAATATCAAAGTAATTATGTAATTTTTCACCTCCTATTTGGTATAATGAGAGCAATCCACGAATACAAGAGCTGATTGTCATAATATAAGAACTGGTTGATTCTTCTCTCCTAATATAAAAGTCATCTTTCTTTTTCAAGTAATTGGTGATATTGTACTTTGAAATACCAACCAAATGATTGATTAGAGATGAAATTAAAGGATGTTGATAAGTTCCTTCAATGTTATTGAAACATTGGATAATTGTATCAAGAACAATGAAACAATTATAATCAGTGCCATTAAACAAATTCAGAATGTCTTTTTCATATTCTTTGTAATTCTATTATTATTATTATGATAAGTATTATTAATAATTCATCTGTTTTATCAAACATGATTACGTACCTCTTTAATAAAATCTTTCGAGAGATTTATTAATCTAGATTGGTTGATGTGATTGATTTTAGTAAAACATTGAAGATATTTCTCGACGGTCCCAAGGTATGGATAGAGTAGTTTAAATAGTTCATTTGATTCTTGATGGATGTCGCAAGCCAATAAATTGATCATTTTATCATGATTTTCCTGTTTCATTGTTGTCTTATCTAGTATTATATTGAATATTCTCTTTAACTCAACCCATAGAGGAGAATGAGAAAATAATTCAGAATCATAATATATATCAAATTTATCCTTTAATCCTTTCATTAAGATGCTAAATAAAAAATTAAAGTATAAAATTAATAAATATAGAAAAAGAGAATAAAAAATAATTACTTACTCAAACACTAATTGTTTGTTATTGATCAAAAATAATGAAGTTTGTTTGTTGGATAAATAATAGAGGACATACATCTTCGTCTCCAAAATTGAATCCTGACGATATTCGTTGTCGACGACCTCCAAATCGTTATTGTTATATACATTCGACAACAACCAAGTCTCTAGAGCCTCCTCAACTCGATCAAATCCAAATGCTTTGCAAATATTGAAGTAAACGTGCTCATGGGAACCATACCTTTTGATATATTCAATATAGAGAGGGAAAAAAGTTGAATCTATAATGTCATCATTTTCTTTGAGCTTTCTGGTATCGAGCAAGGTATTAAGAAATTCTGGATTTGTTAAACCTGGTAAATGGCTATCCTCTTTGTCATAAATGGATATGATCAGGAAAACCTTTGTAACCTCTTGAATGTTGACATATATTATGTCCGTCCACAAATGACCAAAATCTGATTTTGTTGGAAGATCAATTGTTTCATCATGGTCAAAGTCATATATTCCTACTAAACAATGAATAATTGTATCTTTGATATTGATATTCTCAATTTCATCTTGATCGTTGTCTATACATCTAGTTAAAGTCTAAAAAAATATAATAATAAAAAAAATTATTAATTATGAGTAGTTTGGTATTGATGGAGAAAAAGATCTAACTCACCTCTGACAATATAGGTAACATAGTAGAAAGGTCTTGAAAGCTTCTTTTCATTTTGTACTCATCAACTCCAACTTTCAATCTCTTAAGTTGTTCCGTTGACAAAGTATTATCTTTTAAATACTCTTTTAATATATTAATTATAGAACTGGTCATTTGAAACAAATATATATTGTTGTTAACTAACTAACTAAAATTAAATGGATTAAAATGAAATACTCTTGGTATTTATAACAATGTGAGATGTTCCTTAAGCGTGTCACATCTAGATGTATACCCATCCAGATCCATTTTATCTGGATGGGAATGTGTTGATTATATATTTATTTTTTATTTATTTAATGTCTTTCGAACACTTGAAGAATAAGGAAAGATTAGAGCAAGGGTACAGCCTCGTTGAGACCAGAGTAACCACGTCTGTAGCGAATGTATCCAATGCTACCCATGATGACACCACCTAGGAACATCAGACCTCCTACAAGGGCAAGTACCACCTCGGGTACAATGTTGAGTGCGCGCAGAGTCTTGAGCTGGCTCTTGAGCTGGTTGATGCTGTCGCTGCTGGGCATGGCAGTCTGACCAATCTTCCATGATGGATAGTAAATGTTGGACGAGATCTTGTTGTAGAGTTGCCACGAGCCGTCCCAGGCGGGGATGGTGTTGTCCACCAAGAAGTTGAGCTGGAGCTTCAGGTTGTAGTAGAGCGCATTGCCAGTGATTGGCTCGAGATCCAGTGGGATGGCGGCGTTCTCGTAAGTGGGGTTCTGGCCGTCCACCTTGGACGAGATACTGGTGTCAACCTCCCACATGTCCCACAGGGTGATGAATGCGGGCACTCCATCCTGGACAGAGGTGAGGTTGGCAAAGCCGGCCTGGGTGGTGAAGTAGGTAGGGTCGACGGGGAAGCTGTCGTTCTGGAGATAGTATCTCCTGGTCTTGATACCATCGACGTTGGTGTCGTTAAAGTAGTTCAACTGGATGGTGCGGAAGATGTTCTCCTCAAAGATGTCCAGAGTCTCCATCTTGTCCTGGAGGGGTGGGAACTGACCACTCTCGACGTAGCCCTTGACGGGCACCGGCGAGGCCCAGAATGGGAGCTCGGTGAGGTTCTGCCACTTGACCAAGGAGTTGACAAGACGGTTGTCGTTCTTGCCAGAGTTGATCGTGGTTGGTGGTGGGATAGTGTAGTTGGACTGCAGAGCACATGGTGTTCCGGCTTGCAAGTAGTTCAGCATTGGGTCGTTACAGTTCCATAGCCAATCGCCAACAGTCTTGGTTGCGATCAGTCCACCTCCATTTGTCATTATCTGGCGTCCATAAGCTGCAAAGTATCCTTTCGAATTACCAAGCTATATGTGATTGGTTGATTGATTGTATTAGTAATCCAAACAAACATGTGCAAAACATGACACGCTTACTGTAAACATCCAATTTCCCAATGCTGCAACTGTAGTATTATCCATTCCCCAGATGTTGACTCCTCTAGGGTCTTCCATTGCGAGTGCTGCCAGGGCCTAGATTGAATGATAGATGGGATGGTTAGTAGTCTGGTCTCCGGGGGACATATGATATATCATGTCACATACAGCTCCACCATTGATGTTGTTGAGGTTGTATGGTCCAAAGTATGGTAAGAAGAAATAGGCATATAGCTTCTGGATAGGCTCTGATAGACCGAGGATCTCTGGTGCGCCTTGAGTTGGATTGAAGATGTTGTTGATAATGTTGAACTGGGAGATTGAGGTACCGTTCAATGCCAGTCTATTGTAGAGCTGGCAGAATCCGAGCATGGGGTCGGCCATGCTGGTAGCATTGCAACTCGTGAGAAGGGGCGTGGTGGCATTGAGCGAGTAGGAGTTGGTTCCGTTCATCCACCAACCGATGACAGAGTTCATCTGGGCAGGGGTGATGCCCAGGCCAGTAGTGAGCTGTTGAGTGGCGGTGGCTTCACCAAACGATGCATTGTACCAGAGTGGCAGACCAACGGTGTAGTTCAAGATCGACAATCCAGAGGTAGCGTCAAAGATCAACTTGGCGGCTTCAACTGTGATGCCTGTGGGTGGGTTGGCACCAATGATCATTCCTGCCCAATGGGTCGATGTGGTTGGCAACTGATGGACGGTTGTGAGAGAGTTAGGATGAGTGAGCGTGCACAAATAAGGTCGATCCACATACAGTTGTGTCATTGGCCCATGAACTGTAGAAGGCATCAATGGTAACATCAGCAATCAATGATTTGAGCTGATTATTGAAGATTGGGATAACATTGTAAGACAGGGCCAAGGTCTTGAAGTAGACAGAGTTCAGGTATGGCATGAACATGCTTAAGTTGGGGGTAGAGAGTGAGAGAGGAGAGGTGTTAGTCTGTGCTGTCATAGGCCTTGTCAATGTCCACAACTACTCACTTAATAGTTGGGAATGTACCAACCATGAGGAAGCTTGTACTGTCTTTAGTCTGTTGCATAAGTCCAATGAATGCTGTGAGCGAGCGTGGATATGATTGATGGATGGGTGTTAGGAAGACTCCAACTCAACATGGGTCATGCAAGCCAAAGAGACACATACCTGGGTTGATGTTGGTGATAAGAGTGTCCTCTGGCAACTTGGAAGTCTCGGAATCAAACTCGTAGAACTTCCTCTGTGAATAGGTGGCCTGGTTGCCATTGTCTGGGAACGAAACGTTCAAGTAGTCCCAGTAGTAACGGTAGTTGAATGGTCCAACTTGATTATAGATTGGTTTGCCTCCAGCGAGTACGTCTGCAGCGTTGGTCTATACATTGAGTTAGTTGTATTCGTTCAATTACTCAATGTTGGATTAGAGACATACCAAGTTGTAAGCATAGTAGTACTGCAGGTAATAGTTCTTCCTTGATGATTGACCTGACCAATTCTCATAGTATGAACTCGACTAGATGTCAGTGAATGAATGGCATGACATGTTAGTGTTGTGGACTGTGGATGTGATCATTTAGTAGTTGTTATACATACAGGTGAAGATACTACGATACCATCCTTTACAGCGTTATCACCGACACGCTTGACTACACCTGGTACAACAGCCAATGATATAATGAATAGAATGAGTCCGATGACTCCGAGGATACCACCTCCGATCGCCATTCCTTTATGAGACGCCATAATTTCTAAAATTATTTATCTATCTCTTTTTGAAATGAATGTAAATAGATAGTATAGTTAGAGAGTGAGAGGTATTTGATTGATTGACTGATTGACTGATTGACTGATAGTTGTTGTTAGTGTTGATGATTGGTCCAAGTTGTTAGAGTGAGAGTGTGTGTGTTGGTGTTGGCACCAAGCTAGGGGTTGACACACTCACATACACACACCCCATTACAAGTGACTGATACAATGCATTTGAAAAGTCATGGTAAGGATCATCAAACTGAACAGAGAGGGGTGCGAGCTGCAAAGACATAAAATTAAAATGAGCTCACAAGATATCTCGATCACTTCACTAGATTTCATTCAAGTTCCGAAACTAATCCCGAACCTCTATGAATTGATTTAAAGGGATACACACGATTAAAGCAGTGTTCTACTCAATGTAGAACGTGATAACACCTGTTCAAGGTCCCAATTAGGAAGTTGAATACATAAGCACACACACTCATACATTCACACACACAACTACAATGAATTGAAATTTACTCTCTGGTTTCGAGATCTACTCAATGAACTTGGTCTTGTCTTTGAAATGCCCCTGTCATCTTCTTCAATTCCAGAGTTAACACCTACTATATTACTATTCTTAATATTATTATTATCATATTCATTGTAATAATTATACTAGTGTATATTTATATTAATAATAATAATGGGATTTAAAGAAACCTATGATAAAATAGGTACAAGTAAACAGATAGTATTGTTTCTTAGTTTCCTCGGTGGTTTCGACTTTGGTTATAATACAGGTGTAATATCTGGTTCATTACCAAGAATTGTAGATAAATATGATATCAATGTAGTCATTCAAGGTCTAATAGCAAGTTCAATTATCTTTGGTGCTATGATAGGTGCTGTTGGAGGTGGTATCCTAGCAGATAGAATAGGAAGGAAGCCTGTCATACTACTAATGGGTAAATATAATGTATTAGATAGAGATATTAATCATACTTACTTTAGAATATTGTATACATTAGGAGCATGTACAACTGCTGGTGCAGTTGCTTCTGCGGCCATTGGTAATATAGCTATTGCTGCACCAATGAGAATAATACTTGGTCTTGGTGTTGGTGCTGAATCATCAATATGTCCATTGATGGTTGCCGAGGTAGTACCAGAGAACAAGAGAGGAAGATGGGGATCATTATTCCAAATATCAATTACAATAGGTCTACTAATAGGTACAGTCATGGGAGTTATACTAAAGAGAGCACCACATAATTATAGATGGTATGTCATTCATCTATTTAATCATTCCTCAGAGACTACAATATCTAACCATAGACATTAGGATGTGGGGAGCTGGAGCTGTACCAGGTATCTTCATTATGATTCTTTGGTTGTTTATCAAGGAGTCTCCATCTTGGTTGGCAAGGAAACAACATGAGAGAGATAGAGTCAAGGAGAAAAATGAGAAGTCAATGTGGGCAAAACTTAGAGAGAAGAAGAATAGAAGACCGATGATGATGGGCGTGATCTTGGCTGTACTCTCACAGTGGACTGGTATCAATGCCTTTATGTACTTCTCAAGAATCATTTTTGAGTTTGCTGGATTCGACCAAGAATATGGTCCTCTTGTTGGAGCTGTAAGTCAAGTCACCTTTGTCAGTCAAGACATTCGTTCATTAACCTAATCATTACTATATAGTCGATCCTTCAAGTATGGAATGTACTCACTACATTAGTTGCAATGGTGTTGGTCGATAGAGTTGGTCGTAGAATCCTGTTGTTCGTTGGTGCCATCGTCATGACTGCTAGCAACTTCTTCATCGCATTGTTCTTTGTTACGCTCAAAGGAGATGTCAGAGGTTGGCTATCAATCGTCTGTCTCTTTACATTCGTCGCTGCCTTTGAAGCCTCCATTGGTACACTTGTAAGTCAACCCGAAACCTACACCATCCCCTCATTACTAACAATCAATCAATCGTACTTTATAGTTCTGGTTCGTTATCAATGAGATTCTAGATGATGATATTAAGAATATTGGTGCACCAATCATCAATGCTCTTCAATGGTTCTTCAATCTGAGCTTGACATTCTTCTTTATCAGTGCTGTGACATTCCTTGGAAAGTCAACAATGTTCTGGGTATTCTTTGCAATTGGTCTTGGATGTACTACAGTTCTCTGGATATTCCTTCCACCCAAGAAGGTGGTTACCATGGGTGTTGCCAACCAGGATCAAAACAACTCTGATCCATACGCATTGTCATCAGATGATCCTACTCCCAAAGAAGGTGAGACACCAGCCTTGACATCAGCGTCATCTCCTCCAACTGCCGATCGTATTCCAATGCCAATGGAGATGAGACAATGATCAAATAATAAACAAATACAATGTATATAGAACTACTACTACTTATGATAATATTTATTATTGCAACAACGAATGTGGTGGTGATCAGCCTGTCCTGCCCAATCCAATACTGGTCCTATCCTTAGTTGTTAAGTAGACGCTCGATGGCAGCATTGACATTACCGTTGGTTGCTGTGAGGGCTGCGATGTTCTCTACCTCGTCGGGGAAGCCCATCTCTTGCAGCTTCTGGAGCTGGACGCTGAATCGCTCGGCAGGTGGCAGCTGAGCTGATGCTGATGTTGGTGGGGCGCCAAATGTGCCAGTATGCTCAAATGGATCCATGCCGCCCATTCCTCCCATACCTCCCAGCATCGACATGGGATCGCCACCCTCACCAAAGAATCCATTCTGTCTGAGTGTGCCCATGGCCTGCTGCATCTGCATCATAGCCTGTAGAGTGTTGGGGTTTGACATCCTGGACCAGAAGTCTGGTCTTGACATCATCTCGCGCATCTGTGGGTTAGAGTCAAGCATCTGTCTCAACATTGGGTTGCTCTCGGCCATCTGTCGCATCTGCTCTGGGTTGGACATCAATGATTGTATAGCGGGGTTGGACATCATCGCTGTCAGTTGAGCTGGATCCATATTGTTGAGCATGCCTGCCATGTCACCCATGCCGTTCATGCCTCCCATGCCGCCTCCCATGCCACCTCCCATGTTTCCAAACATGTTGAACGGGTTGCTCTGCTGTGTAGGACTGGTTGTTGTGTTGCCGCCAGTTGCTGGTGCTGGTGTGGTGGTACCAGCTGGTCGTGGTTGTACACCTGTTGCAGCTGCTGGCTGAGCCCATGGGTTTGGCAGAGGAGTGTCTGATGGAGCGTTCTGAGGGAACAACGATGAGAATGGGTTGTTCTGCTGTTGTTGGTGTTGTTGGCTTGCAGCAGCGTTCATCAATGGTTCCTACATTAATTGAGTTGTGTGAGTGATTGATTGATCGTTTGATCGTTTTGATTGGCTCTATTCATCCACAACATACTTGAACATCAGTATACATTCTGCGCAACATATTGAAGCCTTCGGGGTGATTCTCAATGTTGACCATTGCTCTGTCTGTATTTCTCATCATCTCACGCATCAGCTCTGGGTTCCTCATCATCTCTAATGATTGTCTGATCATCTATTTGATCAAACAGAGGGTGTTAGCATTGACCAATCACATCCTTCTACTTCATTGTATACATACTCTTGGATCATTCAAAACATGAGCAACCTCTGGGTTATTACTTATTACACGTTGCATCTCTGGATTGCTCATCATCATCTGTCTGAACATCTCTGGATTGTCGATAATGTTCTGGAACATTGGAGAGTTGAGAGCATCCTGGAACATCTGGTTGTTCATCATCTGGCTGACGTTGGCTGGCATACCAGGCAGTGTTGGCATGGTTGGCTGTGTGTTTGCATTTGGTGCCTGTTCTGATGAGGGTGGTGCAGCTGGTGGCACAGCACTCTTTACCAAGTGTACTGTATGTCCATCCTTGATATCTATGTAGTTATTTGATTGATTGATTGATTGAATGAATGAATGAATGAATGAATGAATGAATGAATGAGTATATATGATTGTCGATTACACAATGTGAAGTTGGTTGATGTACATACTGTACTCGGACAATTGCTGGTGATCCTTGAGAACATGACCAGAGTAGATGATTCTTTGTTGAGCGGGTGGGATGCTAGACTTCTCATTGATCATTTGTTTGAACTCTGCTACAGTGATTGTTGTCTCGACATCAATAGCAAACTTATCGCCAGTTGACGATTTGACATTGATGTTAATAGTCATATCTTAATCTATCTATCTATCTATCTATTTAACTAATATATTTATATTTGTTTGTTTGTTGGTATGAATAATAATATGGTGAAGTGGAGTGAGTGTACAAATATATATAAATGTGTATTATCTATCTGTATTGTGAATGAATGAATGTGAACAACACTGGGGGAAGGTGTTGTTGGATGAAGTTGTAGAAGAAGAAAGAAGTGTGACGTGTGTGAAGTGATGATTGTGAACTTAACTTGAATTAATTTGAGTTTCCAACCCTACCTTACCCTTACCCTTGCCCTTGCTCTCGCCCTAACCCATGACCCTAGATTGATGGACAAGACAAGAAACATACATACATATACTATTATATAATTATACATTTATTGAGGGATTGGAATAGGAATATTGGACTATCGATCAATCAATTAATCATATCCAATTTGTTCCATGTTCCACACCAACTTCTAAAATGTTTGAAGATGATTACCATTCATCATCATCGTCATCATCGTCATCGTCTTCATCGTCTTGTTGTCTGTTTCTTGTGATCATTGATTCGAGTGATGGAGCTCTTGCGGGAGGTGGAGGTGGTGCAGCAATAGATACATCGTCGTCATCATCGTCATCGTCGTCATCCTGTGTGGAGGTTGGAGGCGCGACAAACACTGAAGGAGGAGGCGGTGCTGGAATCTCAGACGATTGTGTCAATATCATTGGTGGAGGGAGTATTGGTAGTGAGGCTAAAGATTTGTTGTCGTCGTCGTCATCATCGTCGTCATCATCATCTTCGTTGGTGGCTGGCACGACTGGTGCGGGTGGTTTGGGCATCATGGCCAGGAGGTTGGACGAGCTGTCCTCTGACTCGAGCATGGCAGGAGGTGATGGAGGGGGTGGCACTACGGTGGCCGATGCTGTTGGGGCAGAGTCAGACATGCCATCAGGGTTCAGCAGAGCATTGGGATCAAGTCCATCGGCTATCATCTTGCCACGGAATGCTGCCAGGGGTACACCCTTGGCCTGCAGGTTGAAGTAAGGCTTGTAGCGAGGGTCGTCGCGATATGTAATTGTAGCCGACGCTGAGTCATCGGCAGACGATGAGGAGCCGGGAGGGGGAGGAGGGGGAGGAGGCGCGGCAGTGCCGGGCATGGGAGGAGGAGGTGGAGGAGGCGTGGTGGCCTTGAATCCGGGAGGGGGAGGAGGTGGAGGTGGGGGAGGTGGAGCGCCAGATGCGCCGGGTGGAGGGGGCGGTGCGATTGGTGCCGCGCTGGTGACCGTGCTGCTCGTCTGGTTCATGATGGGTGCGTCGACGGTGGGCAGCGACTCGAGGCCGTCAATGGAGCCCAGCTTGATCTCCAGCAATGACATTGTCACCTCTAAACGATTCAGCTGATTGCCAACATCGCACAGCTTCTGTTCACACAAATAGTTGAACCTATTAAGAAACTGTGTTGTATTTATAACAAAGTTGTTTACATATGATAATGTCTTCTTATGTGATATCGATGCTACATTAGCATAATCTACGTAGACCTGCATTCTCTATACTCTCTATATCTATCTATCTAATCTAATCTATCTTTCTTTCTTTATGTTTGAGTTTGGTTGTTTGATATGATTTGATTTGATTGATTGAATGATTGAATGAACGTGAGGTATGATGATGTGTATATGAATGAGAATGTAGTATACACACAAGTGTATATATGTGTAATATGTATTTGTTTAAATGATGATGTTGAGAGAGATAACAAACATAGCTTTGAGATGTGGGCAAACACAGATATTTGCCATTTTTGCGAATTTATTAAAACATGGAAGTCTCCAGCGATTCTTCACACGAACTTCCATTACCAAAGATTGATCAAACTCCAAGTAGAAGATAAAATTGATAATTGTTGATTCTTTGATTGATTCGGACTCCCAAATATAATGATTGATCAAATATTCAATCAATGGAACTATTCCATTTATTTCCAATTAGACTGGAAATCCAGCCAATCAACTAAACAATCAAACAATCAATCAAATAAACAATCAAACAGGCCAACATGTTGGTATTCGGAATAGCTATATACACTCTCTTTTATATTTATTATATTATATTATATTATATATTAAGTTATTATATTATTATTATTAGTATATCGATGTAGGTTTGTTGTTATTCATTGTTGACTTAAAACTGTTTGTACGCTGTAGAGTTGATGACTTGTTTTTGGTTGGCGTATGTGATGCACTACCACTACTTCCATTACTGCTGGCACTACTTGATAATACGCTGGACTCACCCCATGACGACGTCGACACGCCACTCAGCAGTGCGTTGGACGATGACTGTGCGCCAAATGGCGGTGATGCCGACATGAACATCGACGACGACAGGTCCGAGTTGGTGGGCGACGTCGACAGGTAGAGCGAGCTGCCGAGCGGCGACGGCGAGCCGGCGTCCGGAGAGCGCATGGCATCCTGTTGGCTGCCGGGTTTGTAAAGTGCCTGGTGGGCGATCTCGCCAACCATGCCTGTGATCACCTCCTCCATTAGACTGCCTACAAATTCGTTGACGTAGCAGTTGATCTTGATTGCCGTGACCCATTGGTCGCGGTCGGCCTCGGTTGGCGCGTATAAGTTGGTCTGCTTTCCTTGGATGATTAGACAGAATGGCCACTGGTCCTTCTTCTCATTGGCCAGCGCCTGCACCTGTACGGCCTCGGACAGTTCGATCGTCTTTGAGTTCTTTTGTGTCTGACTGCGGCAGTATTGTAACTGGCCGCGGGTCACGCGGAAGTAGTACTTGGTCATCGAGCGCACCTTGGCCTCCTTCATCAGGATGCCCTCCTTCTTGAACTCGCTTGGCTCGATGCTGTTGAGTCGCGAGCTGTTGATCTCCTGCAGCAACAGCTGCATGGTCTTGCGTACATCGTCGTCGTCGCTGTTGCGCATGGACAGTTCGACGAATGGACAGCCCCAGCGGAAGGCCAGCTCGGCGGCCTCCTCAGAGGACACCTGTCGCGCCAGCGTCATGCAGTCGGACTTGTTGCCAATAAGCAGACACGGCAGACGTGCTTCGGCCTTGCACGCCGACACCTTCTTGTAGAGCGCGTCCAGCATGGTGAAGCTGTTGCGCGATGTGATGCTGTAGATAAAGATGAAGCCCTGTGCCATGACCAGACGCTCGCGCGTCAGTGAGTCCACCGCGTGTAGTCCGCGCGTGTCCACCATCTTGATGTGGTAGCGTGTGTCATTGTGATGCGACTGAACGATGGTCTTGGTCCATTCGCTCGTCTCGCTGTAGCTGCTTGTGAAGGGGGACTCGAGACAACGTTGGATGTATTGCGTCTTGCCGACGAACAGGTCGCCCAGCACCACGACCTCTGTAGTCTGTTGTTGAGGTGCGCTGGCGCCCATTGCAACCTTGTTAGCGGCTGCGGCGCCGCTGCTGTTGTATGTAATGCGATGCACGAGGTCGGTGATGCAGGATGTGATCTGAGCCTCACGCTCAGCGCCAAAGTGGTCGATCTCGACCAGTGGGTACAGATAGAGGTCGGCCACACGCTTTGCCTCGTTGTAAGGCACCTCGCGTTGGCGAGCCATGCCAGAATCGTGGTCAAGCTCGCCCTGTCCATAGCCGACCATGCTTATCAGCACGTTCTCAGTGCCCTTGTCAAAGAGGATCTTCTCACGCAGCTGCATGAACATGTTGAAGGTCTCGCGCACGTTGACATTGTACACAAAGATGAAGCCGTGCGCCTGGCGGTTGTATGCGTCGTTGATGCCCCAGAACTCCTCCTGGCCGACGGTCGTGTGGATGTTGACGTTGTAGGTGCCGCCGCTCTTGGTAGCGATGGGCCGCCTGCACGGCAGCTCAATCGTTGGGTCCAGTTGAATGTTGTTGTTGAGGAAACTGGAGATGAAGCGCGCCTTGTTGCCGCACTCGTCGCCAATCACCATTATATCGATCTCCTCTGCCGCCAGACGTCCGGTGGGCATTGCCGTGCTGCCAGTAGCGCCGCTCATTGCGACGTATGGTGGCGGCACCTCGCCAGACAGTCCGATGGCCGATGAATAATGTGCCAGTTGGTCGATGTGTGATGTGAATGAAGCGGGGCCGCCCGAAGAAGCATGGTCATCTTGGGCAAATGCTGCAAAGCTTGGTCTTCTCTGTTGCTCCCTCTTTATCTGCCACAATGTATTTGACATTTCTTTAGTTTCCTTTGTTGGCGTGTGTGGCGGTCGGTTTGTAGTCTAGTCGCGGTCAGTTGTAGCGCGAGTGTGTGTGGTGAGTTGGTGTTGGTGTGTTGTCGCTAGGAAGTCTTTTGTCTACGCGCTTGTGTGTGTTAGTCTAATGTGTTGACTTGTTGTAGTTGTCTAATGGATAGAGATAGATGTAAGTATAAAGTATAAATATATTATGAGGTCAGGTGATCAAGTTATGATAAGAGTGAATGAGTGAAATGATTGAATGAGTGAGTGACAGGCAGGGACAAGAGAATAGAAGACAAGTCAAGTCAAGAGAGAGATATATGTTGTCGGGGGGAAATGATATTATTAATATATGTATATTGCTGTTGGGTTGGTAGCAATGATTGGGATATCAGAGTGTTGTGGAGTGTGGACGATGAGTGAGTGAGCGAGAGAGAGTGAGGAAGGTGAGGAAGAGACGAACGACTCTGAGCTGAGGAGGTCGAGACAACAAAGCCCCAATATTCACTTGTTGGGTCCACCAAACAACAGGCAAACAACGGTCTTCACACTCAAGGTAAGTGTGTTGAGAGAAGAAGACAAGGTCGGGGGTGTGGCGACCGACCTTGATATTGATTGATGATACTCTACATATGTGTAAGTGTATGGTCTGGATGATTTATATCTTTGTTTGTTATTGATTGATTGATTGATTTATGATGTTGTTGTTATTAATTGATAATAATAGTACACACACACTCACATTTAGAACAAGACAACAACAAGTATTTATCATGTGCAGGCAAAGGAAGAGGTTTAGGTGATATTGGGGTGCCCCATGAGCTTGCCCCGCCCCAACCTATCAAGTCCTAAGACGAGTCGCCTTCGAAGCACTCGGCCTCAAGGTGGCGAGGGGGGTAGGCGGGCCACAACAGTCGAGCAAATACCAAAAACATGATGGCCATCATTTTGATTAACGACACGATGGATTCATCGTCACCATTTGGAAAATTGATTAAAAGAATAAATAACCCGTGACACTCACGCACGCGGACCCTTTGGTTATAAATCTGAGATCAGGTGTGCGGGTGATCTAAGCATGGTATGTACCAATCAGGTGATCGAGCGATCTCCTAACAATCTGGTTCTGATTTCATCTCTCTTCTCTTTGTTTGTCTCTCTCACTTTCGAATTATAGAATTCAATGAGAGTGGAGTGGGTGGGTATCGATGGTCGATGATCATTGAACCATGGTTATTGCCATACCTAGGTTTGGTTATTGTCTATCTCGAGAAATCAATCTTTGTCCAAGTCTATTGTTATGATGTTATCAATAATAATGGGTCTCCGACTTGTTAATAAATAGTAATATATATTGTTATGAGATATGAATAATAAAGTGTGATTAATGGATGAGATGGCTGGGTTGGATATTATTGCGAATGAACTTGAATGATGATCATACATCAACAACTATCTTCAGCGCCAACCATCTATCATCATAATAATCAATGATTGATTGTACTTACACTGAGTAATATTGCAATCAGTCCATCATTCAATCAATCAATCAATCAATCAAACAATGTTTGTAGAAAAGGTCATCACCAACCATTGTTCATTGGCGATCCATGTCCCCGAGACACATTCGTCTGGAATTGTGCTGTGGTGTTGTATGTCGTGTGTGGTTGTGATGTATGAGTGTTTACACTAACATCAACACACACACACATCCATCCCACCTACATTAATGATTGATCGCAATGCGATGGCAATGGAAGTGTAGGTTGATGATGTTAAATAGTATTCTTAGGATCAGTCATCATACTAAATGATGTCTATTTAGATCTAAGACATTGATTTTATATCTATGTCTGTTATAATCTTACAAGACACATTATATATATATTTATGTATAAATGTAAAGTTGAGTTGGCTGAGTATTATCAATTGATGTTGGGTCAACATTAACACCAAGGTGGAAGCGCGCAAATTGAAAACAGTGAAGTCAGCAATGTTAGAGTGTTGTGTGTGTTTGTGCTTCGAACAAAGGCAGGTGAGGTCACATGATCACAAGGTGTTACTCCTTGAAGACCCCTTTAGACTCAAGTGTGCCTCCCCATTCATTAAACTTACTCTCTCTAGTATACACACTCATATAATACATATATATATATATTGTTAACAAATACAAATTACAAATACAAATAACATAAACAGAATACAGAATCATGAGTAGCAAAGGTTATAAACATCTTGAAGAAGATGTTGTGGATGATGATGTGGACGAACAAGTTGATATAGATACTCCAGGACATGGTGCGACAAGTCGTGGTACAACAAACCTAAGTAGTAGTAATAATAATAATAGTAATAATAATAGTAATAGTAATATAACAAACTTATTGAATGTAACTTATTACATCGATGTTGAGTGTGAATGAACATGGGCATGAATGACCGAACTGACTGACTGAATATATCTTTATCTTTAGAGATTGGGCCACAATAATGGAGCTACTGCAGTTGGTGGCGGTAAACAACAGAAGGAGTTCCAGATGGAGCATTTGAATAAGAGATATAATGATGATAATGATGAGGAAGAGAATGCAGAGAATATTAATAATGATAATAATGATTATGATGAGGAGGATGACGAGAGATACTCACGAGCGAATGATATGTTACTAGACAATGAGGAGCAGTTCTTCAAGACCAACTACTCTGCCACACGATGTCTTCGTCGACTGTTTATATACCTACAGCCACAGTTCTGGTTCTACATGTTTGGCTTCCTTGCCCTCTCAATCACAACCCTTTGCCAACTATTACTCCCATACTACTTTGGTATGTCATGGTTGCGATCACTCTATAAGTCAATCACATGACCCGCAACTGACACTCATTCAATCAATCAATCACTCTTGGAACTATTCCAATCATTCAAACAATCAATCAATGATCATATATATATATAGCGTTACAGATTGAGAACACTATGGATCAGGTCGTGATCAATAAGATATTCCTGGATAATCCAAACTTGAACAAGACACAGATGTTGGAATCGTTTGGACTTAGTCTGGACGAGAACTTCAATTGGTTCGATTCATCAAAGTACTTGTTACTGATCATTGCCGTTCAAGTACCATTTGCATTCGTCCGTTACATAATGTTCACAATTGCCAGCTTCAACTTTGTAACGCATCTCAAGAACGATCTATTCCGTGCGGTCCTCATGCAAGAGGTCACATACTTTGATCAAGGCAAGGGCAACGAGCTCAATGCCATCATCACATCAGACACTGTAAGTGTCCACCAACATCCACTACCCTCCAGCTTGATGGCACTAACAGTCAGCCACTATATATATAGCTTGTTCTCCAAAACATCGTATCGGTTGCGCTGTCAACATTCTCGCGAAGCATACTACAATGTGGAGGATCAATCTTGATATTGGTGTTCCTGTCATGGCGCGTCACATTGTTTGTGACATCATTCATTGTGATCTTTGTCGTTGGATATTTGGTGTTCCGCTCGACCATCCTCCCAGATACAAGTACATCCAGGAGTTGCAGAATCGCGCATCACAGATCGTCGATATGACCACAACAAACATCACCGAGATACGTCTGCTCAATGCTGAGAGCAAGCAACTGCGATCATTCGAGACCGAACTAGAATCAACGCATCGCGCATGCAAGTCATCAGTGTTCACAACTGGATTCTGGATTGTATGTTTGATCGATCAATCACACATCTGATGGACTGACTGACTAACCAATCAATCAATCAATCAATTGTAGGCAGTTGGAAGTGTATTGGTGTTCTTGTTGATGGTGGCTGGATTCCTGTTCACTTTGAGCGAGACTGTGCACAGGACAATCTATCTCTTCCAATATGTGCTGTATGCATTGATGTTGTCAGTGTCTGTCAGTGGCATGTTTGGTATCATTGGCGAATTCCAGAAGCTGTTGCCATCGTGTCGTCGAATCTTTAGTCTGATCGATCGTCGTCCAAACGTCGCCTTCAGCTCTGGCGTGCCAGCCTCAAACAATGACACCAACATTGCATTCGACAGCGTATCATTCCATCACAAGAGTGGCAGCACATTGTTGAGCAACATCTCGTTCAAGGTGCCCAAGGGCAAGATGGTCTCTGTCGTAGGACTATCCACGCAGGCCAAAGACATGCTATTCGCACTCATTCAAGGCATCCATTATCCAACCAAAGGATCACTAATGATTGGCAAGGTTGATACACGTGCCCTAGACCTCCACAGTTTCCGCGCCATCTGTTATTCAATCACATCCAACACAGTCATCTTTGATGGAACTGTCGAGCAGAGTATGTCAGCGCTCGCACTAGATGGATGGGCTGTTCGCTAACATACCTCCACTCAATCAAACAATTAATCAAACAGATATTAGATATGGATTGAATCATTTATCACAACAGAACATCATTGAAGCTTCAAAGAAGGCCAAGCTTCATGACTTTATAATAAGTCTACCACAGGGATATGATACGATGTTGGGCAAGGAGCGTATTCTTGGAACAGTTCACATTCAAAAGATATCATTGGCACGCGCATACCTGAGAGACCCAGCTGTGTTGCTGGTGGACGAGTCATCATGCATCAACGAGACTGCCGAAGACTTGGTGACGCCACTGGAACAACTGATGAAGAATAGGACCGTACTGATTGTTGCCAATCGATTGACTACACTCGAGAAGTCACACCACGTCGTTGTGTTTGACGACTCGCATGTTGCCAATGTTGGCAGCCACAGCGAACTGTCGCAGCAGTCCACCACACTGTACAAAAACATACGTATGTCTGACTGTCTGACTGTCCATGTCACGTGACCCCCTTGGTCTATGGTGGACAACCCAACCAAAGATGTCCATTCGACTAACCATCATCATTCCATTCCTCGCACATCACATCACTTCACTTCTCTGAACACCTGCCTATCATTCACGTTCATTCGTTCATTCAATCAATCATTCAATCAATCATTCATTCACGTTCACCTTCACCTTTCAAACAAAGTGTCCAAACAACACTTCATTGCAAGTTCAATACAATAGTTAGTGCTTCACCTAAACACGTGGCTTCCAACGAAGACGACATCACACAGACATCTCCCTGCGCCCATCATTGGCGGGCAGGGAACTTTTGCAAACATTCGAAAGTGTGTGAGGGTGATGGAGGCCTTCAGGTGGGTTAGGCCCAAGCCCCCAGTACGGTGAGCAACCCCACCTGTAGACGACCAAACATTGCCCATGGGTAATTAAAGTCCGGAGCACACGAGCGACCCCGACACTGATTTCTTGTCCCAGATACAAACACACTGTCATGTGACCGCAGCTTCTAAAGCCTTGCAGTGGCCAGGCGTTCCCTAAATTTACTTCCATGGGTTAGTCGACTGGCTTGGAACCTTGGCCCCGTCTGATCGTCGCACGCCACTGTATTGTAATGTGTGTGCTTGCAAAGGACCAATGTGGTGATGTTGCTTGTTTAGAGTTACCTTGTTGGCTCTGCAGCTCCACAAATCATTCCTGAAACCAAACAAACCGATATCACCACCATCCATTCAAACATCCATCCATCGATAGACTGCTGCAGTCCAGTCCACAAGATGAAATTGATAGGATGGTTCTCACTTTAGCTTGATTCACTACTTTCAATCATTCATTCCACCCAGTTACATGGCCCAATGGGCCAGACCAACACCCTTGGCGGCCGCCACTCATCATCATCCACCCAATATCAGATTGGTTATGTGTTTATTGATTAGTGTCGTCCATCATCTATGTGTGTGTTCTAGACCTCCCAACTAACTCGAACCTACCTGCCTACCCCTGGACACTGATGGCCTATCCTACACCTACTCTACACTCTACACCAAATATATTGTAGTGATTGATTGATTGATTGAAGGTCAAGTTAGATATCACCATCATCACCATTTGATGTTTTTGTGTGTGATGATATTGAACAAACAACAACAACAACAACTCAGAGTTACTCGCTTGCTTGCTTCCCTTCCATCAACAAACCAAAGGAAGGCAAACATAACAAACCAACAAAGATCAGATCACAGACACTCGTAATACATACACAACACATACATACATACACATAACCTTCTACACAACAACTTCAACAACCAGGCAGGGTTGATTCAAGTTCATTTTCACAAAGAGTCCTTGTCCAAGTTCAAGTCCAGACAAGACCTGTCACTCAATCAATCAACCAACCAATCAATCAAACAGTGAAATTGAATCAACTTCAGTTCCAACAGCAACAACAACTAGTACATACAGCTACCCAACTCACTCGCTCTTACTTAGTACGGTTGACTACTTCTTGGACGCGTCTGAATACCTGTGCCAGACAGCCAGTTAGCATCATCTAGCTAGCAGCTAAAGGCTGTGCCATACCTTCATCCATCTACCCTCCTCTCTCCTCCCTCCTCTTTTTCCATCCTTTGAGGTAACTACATTCTTCCATCATCATATTACATTGACATCAGCACCACAAACTCGCGCGACTCGACCACACACACACACCCCCACTACCATCCAGACACTTAACACACGAAACCCTTTGAAGTGCAATCGTTATCCAGCTACACACTCTCACACACACAACATCATCATAATCATCATCTATGTTATTGGCAATACCCGTTATTATAATTATCACTTGCCTGTCTGATTATTGTGTGTTGTGTGTGTTCCACTACACTTTTCATCGATGGTCTGATCGTCGACTGGATGACTCCAACACATGGAAATAACAAACCAAACATGTTTGATTGATTGATTATCTGTTCCAGTTGGCGCGGCCCTGTGTCAATTCAACAACCAACAACCAACAACCAATCAATCAATCAATCATACACACACACAAACATCATCACATCACATCGGAAAGGAATCTGTCCATTTGCTAAAGAGCAAGTAGTAGAAGGGTGTGTGTTCCTGATTGTTCAATACACACTTGTTACAGAAACAGAGATCAATCAATCACTCCTTCCCTCATCATCATCATCACCACCAATCATCATCATCAATCAAACTATCAATCAATCACGGCAAACCTCAACGACCATGTGTCGATGAGCGGGTTATAGTTATAGTGATGTGGTTATTGGATATCGATCATCTGTGTTGTCCACTGCGACGTCAACATATATTATTAGCCTATTTAAGTAGTAGGACAGTCCTTCCTTGTGATGTGTGTGTGTGTGTGTGTGTGTGTGTTGTGACACTTCCGCAAGGAAGCTTGAAGTTTGGAAGATGGGGATTGATTGATTGATTGAATTTGAATTGGTTTGGATTGGATTGGATTGTGTGTACAGTGGCAGCAGCGATATGCGATACGATGCGATGCTTGCGATGCCGTAATTGGTGTTGTTGATGATGAAGGTGCAGTGCGGTGCGGTGCAGTGTTAAGTAGTGCGGTGGCATCCAAATAGAATATAGGAGTGAGTGTAGTAGTAGAGGGGCTGTTTGGCAAAGACAGCCACTCAAACCTAGGACCTAATAATCCAATCATTCATTAGTCCTATTATTATATCTTTCCAAACTCATTCAAATCATTTATACATTCACTAATCAAATACACCACTTTTGACTTTACTCTTGTTGTACTTTATTTAACTATAATAATTATATTTATAAGTATGTTATTAATTAATTTATTATTATGTTGTTATATTCAATTCAATGAATAATAGAATGTGTACAAACAGTGTGTCAGCTGACGTGGAATGACCCTTCATGACTCGCGATGTGTTTCGACTTTGGGAGTTTCCTCAACTTCCAGGGTATTTCCCATTTCCACCACAAACCACATCTTTGACCCAATCCCAAGCAGCGGAGACATCGAGTTCAATCTCCAACAACACATTCAATCTCAGACCCAACAACAACACAACTTATATAATGTGTCATTCATTGAGCTCAATCACATGATTACTAACAATTTCGCAGTCTTACTCCCTCCTCAACCTTTGTAATATACAGCGTAGTTCCATTCCATTCTCCAACCCTACCCAATCCTCCAACCAACCTCCAATCCCCAACCTCATCCTTTCCAGCTTGCCAGCCATCCCATCCATAAACTCAAGAAAACAAACAATGAACACAACTGTTGCCGTAGTACCTCAACAGCATTACTCCTTCGTCCAGTCCTCTCCACATTACTTCCCTTACTCTCAATATTATATTACCAACGATCAACAAGTGGCACTTCCACAAACATCCCAGCAACAACAGCCACTTCAACAGCAACAGACACAGACAAACACACAGACATTCTGCAGATCATACAACAACAACAACTCACAACCTTTGACACCTTTGGTCATTGCACCATTCTTATCAACATCCTCATTCACATCCTCATCTTCATCAACCTCAACCTCTGTATATACCTTCAACAACAACAATAATAATAACAACTTGATATCACCAACCAACTCACCTTATATGGCCATTCCATCATCTGTTGCAGCAAACTCTCTGGCGCTGGGCCGCCCAAGGACAAAGGTTGGATGTAAGAACTCTGCTTGTGGCATGCTGTCAAAGGACCGCATCAACTTGCTGCTCAAGATAATCAAAGAGAAGAATAAGGTATCATCAATCGATCATTCTATAACAATTGTTCTGTCGATCGAGGAGATATTGGCACTGATTCTGGAGGAGCTGCATCGTCGCGGCGTGGTCCTGGCCAACTATGGCGTGCGACTTGTTGGCAGCACGGCGTCGGCGATCATCAACAGTCGACAGACCACGGCCGAGCAGTCGTCGGCCTTTTACAACGACATTGATCTAAGTCTGTACATCACTCGTCATTCGGACTTTGCCACGCTGCTCGACATTGAGGAAACGATAATCGTGGCCGAGGTGCGTCGCCAGACTGGTCGCGAGCTCACCAAGAAGGACGTGTTTGATCAGTTCTTCCGCGAGCGTGTCAAGGTGAACAACCGCGAGCACGACGCTGACAAGGACACGGACAACTGGTCGCTCATCACCATTGGACATGAGAAGGAGCGTCTCATCGACATCAAGTTTGTCAAGAAGATCCAGCGACCCTACGCATTCTCGATCGACTCATTCCACATCATCCTTGATCCCCTGGTCAAGGACTACATGTCACTGTTGCCAAGCTGTGAGAAGAAGGACACGGTGATTGAGTCAATGGACCTCATCGACACCTCCTCCAGTCCCATCCCCATCATAATGACACCATCTTTGTCAGCCAGCTCGTCCGAGGCCGTGTCGCCATCGACCTCTCCAGCACCCTCAACATCATCCTCATCAAGCTCGTCACCGCGCACCAATGGTGGCTTCCCATTTGTAAACATCAATGCCTCCTCATTTGAACGCGAGGAGGAGACACCTGTATCATCACCAACATCACCATTGCCATCGCCATCGCCCTGGAGTGCCGTCAGCCAGGTGTGGTCGTCAATGCCCACCAGCGCTGCCAACACCTCCAGTCGCGACCAACAGCTGCAATCCAGAGACGACTTGGACTTCCCTCCATTGATCCCTGTACATTCATGTAAACCAGCAACCTCTTTGCACTGCGACCTTAGCAAGCTCGAGAGTGCACTCTCTCCCCGTGACCCACCAACTCCAACCAAGCCACCAGCATTGACCATCACCAACTCGCTCACCCCACCAGCCGCTGGCACTCCTGGCGCCAACACCAACAACAATCCACTGTATCGTGTACAAGTCTTTAGCGTTTATGGCAACTTCCACAAGGCCAAGCAAGACTTGGAGAACAATCTGTTGGTGACAAAGGATCCACATCTGATAAGGAGAGGTATATTTAGGTATTGTGCCGAGATGGCCAAGGGCCGCATATCAAGCAATCCAAGCCTGTTCAACGAGGTGTTCCGCGAGAGCTTCTTCACTCAGGACAAGATGAAGCCAGCAGAGTTTGAAAAGACTTTGCTCAAATATGTCATCAAGCATCGAGCTGAGGCCAAGAGCTTCCTCAAGCATCTAGAGTCCATCCTCATCCAGCCCTACACTCCCAGTCCTTCAAGTTCAGTGACTGGCACACCCACAAGCTCACCTCAACTTCATGGTATCTCAACATCATCATCGTCATCGCCAGTGTCAAGGCCACCCTCGCCACAGGTTATCTTTGATCTTGAGGACAACAACAGCAGTGTTGTCAACAACATTGTCAACAACAACAATGCCAACAACAACATAAGCAGTAACAGCGAGACCAAGTTCGATGTATACTACTTTGATTATCTGAATATCATTGCCAACATACGCCAATCACTTCATTGTGATGATAAGTTTGATCAACTGTGTAGTAGCAAGTTGCAACACGATGGCACTTCAATGTCCATGTTTCCCAACAACAACAACAAGCAAGGTTGTTAATGTACATCTAACCAATAAACCATAATGATGTTCAGATCTTTCAATCCAGAACACTCTGATTGAGTGATTATGTGTCCAAGATGTAGTGTTGTGTAACCCCCTATTGATGGTCACTAGGGACCAGGACATCGCTGATCGTTTGTGTGTGTTGGACTAAAACCAAAGTGACATTTGATCAGATGATTCGTCGTGACATTCATTATCAATCAATCAAACACAACTACAAATATTGGCACCTAATAACATGTTGTCAACATTAGGTCGATCACAGATCACTCTACAAAAGGTCCTAAAGGCTCAAGTTGGTGGAGGCCTCCACCCACTAACCTTCACACCTATGGCCAGGTACACAACCATCACATCTTCAAAGTCAATGCTCAACACCGGTCACAACATCAATGTTGGTGCAAGACAAATGCGCTCTACACTCTTTTCAAGATCATCATCGTCATCAATCATAAATGTCGACACCCCATTCAATGTCATTGGCCGCAACAGCAACAGCAACATGAGCAGAAGTTACACAAGCACATCATCATCATCATCAACTCAAGAACAAGAGAGTCAGAAACAAGAGCAGAAGCAAGAACAAGAAGAAGAGGTGGTCGAGGACATTGGTAGAAAGAGAGTTGGAAGATGGTTGTTGTTCTCAGCTGGACTTGTTGGTGTGATGGTTGTAGTTGGTGGCATCACAAGACTCACTGAATCAGGTCTATCAATGGTCGAATGGAAGCCCATCGTCGGTGCCATTCCACCACTCACTCAACAACAATGGGAGGAAGAGTTTGATCGATACAAGCAGTATCCCGAGTATCAAAAGTATGTTGTTACCTGACCTCGGTTGAAACCATCCCAACCCCAACTAACTCACAATCACATCTAGATTGAACAAAGGAATGACATTGAATGAGTTCAAACAGATATTCTTCTGGGAGTACTCACATAGATTGATGGGCAGAATGATTGGTGTGGCATTCTTCTTCCCCTTTGTCTATTACTTGCGCAAGGGATACATCGATAGGACTCTGGCAAAGAAGTTGACGGCGATATTCTTGCTCGGTGGAGCACAGGGCGCACTCGGCTGGTACATGGTCAAGTCTGGATTGGACGAGAAGTTGATCGTGGGCGAAGTGCCACGTGTCAGCCAATACAGACTGGCCGCACATCTTGGCTCGGCCTTTGTAATCTACTCCTCACTGCTCTGGTATGGTTTGGACCTGGTGTCGCCGAGACTCTCCCAGGCGGTCAAAGCAGGACTCAAACCAAATGCAGCGACACTCAGTGTCCTGCGCTACGCCTCGCCTGTCGCCGGCATGATCTTCCTGACGGCCATGTCTGGCGCATTCGTAGCCGGTCTAGACGCCGGATTAATATATAACACATTCCCACTGATGGGAGGCCAGTGGGTGCCCGAGGACCTGATCAATCCACGCATCCAACCAGCCTACAAGAACATGTTTGAGCACGATGTCACCGTGCAGTTCCAGCATCGTGTGCTGGCCACACTGACCTACGCCTCAATCCTCGGTCTGACACAATTGGCTCGCCGTGGACGTGGTGGACTAACACCTCGCGCGAGATTGGCCGCCAACAGTCTGGCTGTGATGGGCACTGCACAAGTGATCCTTGGTATCTCCACACTCCTAACATTCGTCCCAGTCTCACTTGGAGCCAGTCATCAAGCTGGATCCCTTACACTCCTTTCCATAGCCATCTGGTTACTACATGAGTTAAAGAAGTTGCCTAAGTAAATAAACTTGATTGTGTGTGCGAGGGTATGTTTATGTGTGTGCGAGGGAAAGTGTGTGAGGGCCAAGACCCCACATCGACCTTCATGATGGATCATAAATTGAACAATTGTGATTGATTGATTGAATGGTTCAATGTGTATATTAGTATAAGTATAAAGTATAAAGTGTAGTAGTAGTAGAAGTAGTAGTATAAGTAATACATATATATATATAATTAGAAGTATAGGACAGGACAGACGAACTACTGAACGAACTGATCGATCAATCACATGTCACAGGTCGATCAACCACCTCAGTGGGCCGATGCCCTGAGCAAGATCCTCCTGGATCTCAAGAATAAGAATGAGGAACATAGACAGAAGGCTGCCAGAGGCCTAAGAACATATGTATGATCAATCAATCACATCACATCACATCAATCACAATCATACTCACTCACTCATTCGCTGTCTATGTAGGTAATAACTCAATTCAGAGAGATGTCTAATGAATCGTTTACAAGGTTCATGGGCGATGTAAATAATATACTCTTTGAGCTGGTGAATAGTAATAGCATATCTGATAAGATTGGAGGTATTATGGCCATTGACGAGTTGATTGATGTGGACTATGATGAGAATGCATCAAAGGTGACAAAGTTTGCCAACTATCTACGTATCGGTCTGTCGACGAACGACTTGACTGTGATGCTGATGGCCTCCAAGGCGCTGGGCCGTCTGGCCCGCTCATCCGGCACATTGACCGCCGACATTGTCGAGTTTGAAGTGACACGTGCGCTCGAGTGGCTGAGCGGCGACCGCTACGAGAACCGTCGTCACGCCGCCGTGCTCGTGCTCAAGGAGCTGGCGCAGAACTCCCCGACACTGTTCTACGTGCACGCCGCCAACTTTGTCGATCAGATCTGGGTGGCATTGCGCGACACCAAGGTGGCGATTCGCGAGGGTGCCGTCGAGGCGCTGCGCGCCTGTCTCGAGCTGATCGCCGAGCGTGAGAGTCGTCTGCGACTCCAGTGGTACCAGAAGATCTATGACGAATCACAGAAAGCATTCAAACAGAATGGCTCGCCCGAGTCCATCCACGGCTCACTGCTCACCCTTGGTGAGCTACTTCGCAACACTGGCGACTTCATGTTCAACAAGTTCAAGGATGTCTGCGAGACCATCCTCCGATACAAAGAGCATCGTGACAAGCTCGTTAAGAAGACTGGTACGTTGGGCTAGACTGGACTGGCACCTCCACGATTCACATCCTAACCTCAAAACCATCCCCCCATCCATTCGACAGTGATCACGTTGCTACCAAGCATGGCACTCTTCTGTCCAAAGGACTTTGTACATCATCACCTTAACAACTGTATGATACATGTGTTGGCATCACTAAAGAATCAAGGAGAGCGATCATATTCATTCATTGCTCTGGGCGAGATCGCGTTGGCCGTGGGCGGTAACATCAAACCCTACCTGGAAAAGATCGTGGTGACGATCAAAGCAGCCCTGACGATGAAGGGCAAGCAGTTCAATCCAGAGGTGCTCACCTGCATCAGTATGCTGTCAACGGCCGTCGGCCCTGTGATGATCCAGCACGTCAATGCCATCCTCACACAGATGTTCACGCCCGGTCTCACCTCGGTGCTGATCGATGCGCTGCGCGACCTCACCGTCTCTCTACCGTCGCTCATCCCTCAGATTCAAAAGATGCTGCTGTCGCTTGTGTCGCAGGTGCTGGCCAACAAACCATTCCAGGAGCCTGGCACTCCGTCACAGTATCGCAAGAGCTCGGGCACATTCCAGGGCGTGTTGGTCACATATACGCTGCCCAACCCCGACTCGGATCCATCGGTCACCGCGCTGGCCTTGAAGACTCTGGGCTCATTCGACTTCTCCAATCACAACCTTTTGGAGTTTGTTCGCGACACTGTCTCCACATTCTTGGACGACGACAACCCCGAGATTAGACGCGAGGCAGCCATCACATGTGCCAAACTCATGGTCAAACCAGGCGAACCGGCTCCCACAAGAGGCCACACATCAGTCATTGTGGGAGAGGTGCTGGAGAAGCTGCTCGTGGTCGGTATTGCCGACCCCAACCCATCAATCCGTCGCACGGTGCTCAGCTCACTGGACACTCGATTCGACCATCACTTGGCGCAGGCTGAGAACCTGCGCAGTCTGTTCATCGCGCTCAACGACGAGGTGTTTGAGATCCGCGAGCTCTCCATCTCAGTCATTGGCCGTCTCACAATCCGCAACCCCGCCTACGTCATGCCCTCTCTCAGAAAGACACTTATCCAGCTGCTGACTGAGCTGGAGTTCAGCGGTGACAGTCGCAACAAAGAAGAGTCGGCACGTCTCCTCGGACATCTGATCGGGGCCTCTGAGAAGCTCATCAAGCCCTATGTCGATCCCATACTCAAAGCCCTGTTGCCCAAGCTGCGCGACAGCAATCCACGTGTTGCATCATGTGTGCTGGCCGCACTGGGCGAGCTGTCTGTCGTGGGCGGCGACGAGATGACCCAGCACATCGACCTGCTTCTGCCACTCATCATCGAGACACTTCAAGATCAGTCGTCGACTAGCAAGCGTGAGGTCGCGCTCAAGACCCTCGGACAACTCGCATCCAGCACGGGATATGTTATCCGTCCCTTTGCCAGATATCCCGCGCTTCTCGACATCCTGCTCAATGCTCTCAAGACCGAACGCATCCCATCAATCAGACGCGAGGTTATCAAGGTGCTGGGTATCCTCGGTGCGCTCGACCCATACAAACACAAGATGAACGAGCTTGGACAGCGACGCGAGGACCCCAAGTTGGACGACAAATCCTCGTCCAATGGCGTGTCGGCCATTGAGCTGGTCACATCCCCAGCATCTGAGGACTACTACCCCACAGTGGCCATCACGGCCTTGATGAAGATTCTTCGCGATCCATCATTGTCCAGCCATCACACGAGCGTCATCCAGGCTGTGATGTTCATCTTCAAGAGTCTGGGCCTGAAGTGCATCCCGTTCCTCCCACAGATCATGCCGCCCTTCCTCCAGGTGATGAACACGTGCGAGCCTGGCTTCCGCGAGTTCCTCTTCCAACAACTGGGCTCACTCGTGTCGATCGTCAAGCAGCACATTCGTGACTACCTTGTCGACGTGTTTGCGCTGATTGAGAAGTACTGGAACTCCAGCTTGTTGATCCCCATCATCAATCTGGTCGAGGAGATCTCATCCGCGCTGAACGACGAGTTCAAGGTGTACCTGCCCAACCTGATCCCACAGATGCTCAACGTGCTGCACACAGACCGCTCTCCCAAGCGCCAGCCCACATCCAAGGTTCTCAAGGCACTCGAGGTGTTTGGCACCAACCTGGACGACTACCTCCATCTGGTGATCCCCGCAGTGGTCAAGCTGTTTGAACAGGTGGATGTCACAACGCAGGTGCGCATCCTGGCCATCCAGACCATCGGTCGTCTGTGCAAGAAGCTCAACTTCTCTGACTATGCCTCGAGAATCATACATCCATTGGCTCGTGTACTTGATGTAGACGGACCCAACGAGCTCAAGGACGACGCACTAGCCACGCTCTGCTCGTTGGTCTTCCAACTTGGCTCAGACTATGCAATATTCATCCCAATGGTTGGCAAGGTGTTGGCCAAGCGCGACATCCAGTTCAACACCTATGAAGTGCTCGTGTCCAAGTTGCTCAAGAACCAACAGTTGATTGGTGCATCGGGCGGTGACAATGACTTCCCAGGCTCGCGACACCCCGACACAGCATCCGAGGAGGCCACGACATCTGTGTCTCCGGAGATGGGCTTCAAGAAGCTCAAGGCCAATGAACAGCATCTCAAGACGGCCTGGGAGACTTCACAGCGATCCACCAAGGAGGACTGGGTCGAGTGGATCCGTCGTTTCTCTGTCGAACTGCTCCGCGAGTCTCCTTCGCCCGCACTACGCTCCTGTCTCTCGCTGGCCCAGGACTACCATCCACTGGTCAGAGAACTGTTCAATGCCGGCTTTGTCAGCTGCTGGACCGAGCTTCACGAGCAATACCAAGACGAGCTGGTGCACAGTCTCGAGACTGCGCTCAGCTCGCCCAGCATCCCACCCGAAACACTACAGACCCTGCTCAACCTTGCAGAGTTCATGGAGCTACATGACAAACCACTCCCAATCGACATCAAGACACTGGGCGCGCTGGCCGAGAAGTGTCACGCCTACGCCAAGGCGCTACACTACAAGGAGATTGAGTTCCAACAATCAACAGCCGTCACCAATCAAACAATCGAAGCGTTGATCAGCATTAACAATCAGCTTCAGCAGCCTGAGGCGGCTATTGGTATCCTGATCTTTGCACAAAAGAACCACAGCGTCGAGCTCAAGGAGAACTGGTACGAGAAGCTGCGTCGCTGGGAGGACGCCCTGTCGGCCTACGAGAAGAAGCAGAAGGACGACCCACACTCAATCGAGAACACCCTGGGTATCATGCGTTGCCTACACGCTCTGGGCGAGTGGGAACGTCTGGGTCAGCTGTCGCACGAGGTCTGGAAGAACGCCAACGAGTCGACCAAGTCGTCGGTGGCGCCGCTCGCATCGGCGGCCGCTTGGAACTTGGCCAGCTGGGAGTCAATGGATGAGTACGCCAAGGCCATGAGTCAGGAGACGATAGAAGGCTCATTCTACCGCGCCATACTAGAGGTGCACAAGGACAACTTCACCAACGCCCAGCATCACATTGAGCGCGCACGCAGTCTCGTCGACACAGAGATCACTGCACTGATTGGCGAGAGCTACAATCGTGCTTACAAGATGGTGGTGCGACTGCAGCAGCTGTCTGAGCTAGAGGAGATCATCGAGTACAAGAAGTGTGGTGTTGATGGCACCGATCGCAAACAGCTTATTCGCAACACATGGAAGACGAGACTAAGAGGCTGCCAGCACAACGTGGACATCTGGCAGAGCATCCTGGCGGTGCACTCACTGGTGATTTCGCCACACGAGGAGCTGGACATGTGGCTCAAGTTCATTGGCCTGTGCAGGAAGAGCTCGCGTATGGGTCTCGCTCAAAAGACGCTCACCATGCTGATGGGTCGCGACCCTGCCACACAGCAGTTTGGCGGCATCCTGCCCAACACACATCCAAAGATCACGTTTGCCTACATCAAACAGTTGTGGAGCGCCGGTGCCAAGCCTGCTGCCTTTGAGCGATTGCGCACATTCGTCCAGGTGCTCAAGGATACCGAGGACCTGCCGCTGCAAGCCCGCGCCTACTTGAAGCTGGGCGAGTGGCAACTCGAGCTTGGAGTGACACTGAACGAGTCATCCATCCCAGGCGTCGTATCCTCATTCCGCTCCGCCACAGAGTGTGATCCCAACTGGTACAAGGCATGGCATTCATGGGCCCTCATCAACTTTGAGGTCGTCTCACACTTTGAACAGAATGGCGGCACGGCCGAACAGATTGCCAGCCACTTGATCCCATCAATCCACAGTTTCTTCCGCTCGATCGCACTGGCGCCCGAGAAGTCGTTGCAGGACACACTGCGTCTGCTCACTCTGTGGTTCAAGCACGGAGCACAAAAGGATGTCGAGGCCTGCCTGCTGCAGGGCTTCAACACAATCAGTATCGACACTTGGCTTCAGGTCATACCTCAGCTGATCGCCCGTATCCATGCACCAGTGCTGCCAGTCCGTCGCCTACTTCACGAGCTTCTCGACTCGATTGGCAAGGAGCACCCACAGGCGCTTGTCTACCCGCTGACTGTCGCCACCAAGTCTCAGTCACCGGCGCGACTGGCCGCAGCAAAGGCCATTATGGACAAGATGAGGAAGCACACCAATCTGATCGATCAGGCGCTGCCAGTCAGCCAAGAGCTGGTGCGCTGTGCCATCCTCTGGCACGAGATGTGGTACGAGGGTCTGGAGGATGCCTCACGTCAATACTTTGGCGAGCACAACCCAGATGCAATGCTTGCCACCCTCGCCCCGCTGCATCAGATCATTGAGAAGGGACCAGAGACGACGAGCGAGACATCATTCATTCATGCATTTGGTCGCGACCTACAGGAGGCGTTGGAGTGGACCAAGAAGTATGAGCGATCGAGAAAGGAGGGCGACTTGAACCAGGCATGGGACCTCTACTACCAGGTGTTCAGAAGGATTTACAAACAGTTGCCACAAATGATCTCGTTGGAGCTACAGTACATCTCGCCTCGATTGATGAACTCGCGCGATATGGAGCTAGTTGTGCCGGGCACGTACAGAGCCGGCGAGCCTATCATCAGGATTCAATCATTCTCACAGGTGCTCAGCGTCATCCCCTCCAAGCAGCGACCAAGAAAGCTGACGATCATTGGATCGGACGGCCTCGAGTATACATTCCTGTTGAAGGGCCACGAGGACCTTCGTCAGGATGAGAGAGTCATGCAGTTGTTTGGTCTGGTCAACACGTTGCTCAGCGCCAACCACGACACGGCCAAGTCACACTTGAGTATCCGTCGCTTCAGTGTCATCCCCCTTTCACCCAACTCTGGTTTGATTGGCTGGGTGCCTCACTCGGACACACTTCACGCACTGATTCGCGACTACCGTGAGAGCACCAAGACTCTGCTCAACATTGAGCATCGCCTAATGATGCAGATGTGCTCTGACTTTGACAACCTTACACTGATGCAAAAGGTCGAGGTGTTTGAGTACGCCCTGGAGAACACCAGCGGCCAGGACCTGCACAAGGTGCTCTGGCTCAAGAGCAGGAACTCTGAGACATGGCTGGATCGTCGCACGAACTACACAAGATCACTGGCAGTGATGTCCATGGTGGGCTACATCCTGGGACTGGGCGATCGCCATCCCAGCAACCTGATGCTGGACCGCCACACGGGCAGAATCCTGCACATCGACTTTGGCGACTGTTTCGAGGTGGCAATGCACCGAGAGAAGTTCCCCGAGAAGATCCCCTTCCGTCTGACCAGAATGTTGATCAACGCAATGGAGGTGTCTGGTATCGAGGGCAACTTCCGGCTGACGTGCGAGGCTGTGATGTCTGTGCTGCGCAAGAACAAGGAGTCATTGATGGCCGTGCTAGAGGCCTTTGTCCACGACCCACTGATCAACTGGAGACTGCTCACGCCCAATCACGAGAAGGAGACCAAGATCAAGCAGGACCTGATCGATCACGAGTCGCCAGAGCCCTCGCTCACCACCTCACCCGTACACAGACAACCCACGAGAGGACGTGTCGACGAACAGGTTGAGGAAGTTGTTCCAGAGGCATTGAACGAGAGAGCACTCTCTGTTATCAATCGTGTCAACAAGAAGTTGACTGGAAGAGACTTTAGCAAGGATGAGACATTAGGTGTACCAGAACAAGTTCAGAAGCTAATCGATCAAGCCACATCACATGAACACCTTTGTCAATGTTATGTTGGTTGGTGTGCATTCTGGTAAACTACCAACTTGTCTGGTATGGACTGGACTGGACTGAACTGGCACACATCATTCATTCATCATCAATGACTCAAACATTCAATCCATGGATTCCATCATCCAACATATATATATTATTGTTATTATTATTATTTTTATTAAAGAGATGTATATAGAACATGCCCATTGTATTGTCCGTTTGGTAGGATACCTTCTACTTGTCCTTGTCCCTTGTCCTTGTCAATTTCATTTGGCAACAACATGATGAATTAAAGAATGACAATGATCATTTGACCATAAAGAATAATGATCGATCGAGGAATCCTAAAGAATTGGATTATTGTATGATGCAATCACATTCAATCAATAATAGAGTCGGACGATCTTGGGAACCATGGGGACATAGGAGTTGGAAATGAATACAAGGTGTGAAATATCAAATTATGGGGGTGTTCCACCAACAGTGAAGAAGGTTTGACAACACCTTTGACCAGATTGGTCTAAGCACCACATTTGGTGAACATCGATTGAATTCAAAAAGCGAGTGAAAGAACATTGCCAAAGAAGATTGAAGAAGATTAATTAAGGGACAGATGATATTTATAAAGGGTCATGACTCTGGTCCAGTCAGTAGACTTATTATTGTTAACTGTAAACAAATATAATTAATATAAACAAATAATCTTTAAATACTCTTTTAATACAAGAAAGAATAATGGCACAAAGCAACACTGTAAACAGAAGATGGTTGTTGGCATCACGTCCACATGGTGCACCAGTACTTGATAACTTTAAATATGAGACTGTTCCCATTCCAGAGCCTGCTGATGGTGAGTTGTTGCTAAGGACCATCTATCTGTCTCTAGAGTATGTTGTTGATGTTTGAATGAATGAATGAAATGACTATCAATCAATCACTTACACTATTCTCATACTCTTCTTCTTCTTTCAAACCCATCTACAGCCCATATATGAGAGGTAGAATGAATGCTGCCGAGTCATATGCTGCACCATTGCAGATTGGTGACGTGATTGTTGGAGGAACTGTGTCTGTGGTGGTCAAGTCAAACCATCCAAACTATGCCGTTGGTGACACTGTTGTTGGTTACCTCGGATGGCAAGACTATGCCATTTCAAATGGCAAGTTCATGGAGAAGTTGAAGGGACCAATCTTGAACCACCAATCCCTGGCACTTGGTGCACTCGGTATGCCAGGCCTCACTGCATACTTTGGCCTCATCGATATTGGTAACCCCAAGCCAGGTGAGACTGTTGTGGTCTCTGCCGCCACCGGTGCCGTTGGCTCTTTGGTCGGACAAATCGCCAAGATCAAGGGCTGCTACGTTGTTGGTATTGCTGGTGGTCCAGAGAAGTGTCGCTATGCGGTCGAGACACTTGGATTCGACAAGTGTATCGATCACAAGGATGACAACATGGCTCAACTGTTGAAGGAGGCCTGTCCCAAGGGCATCGATGTCTACTTTGAGAATGTTGGAGGAAAGGTGTTCAATGCTGTCCTGGACCTTGTCAACACTGGTGCACGTATCCCAATCTGTGGACTGATCTCTGTCTACAACGCCACCTCCTACCCAGTCGGACCAGACAGAATCTCTGCATACAACGGCAAGATCCTTTCAAAGAGAATGCGTGTCCAAGGTTTCATCTCCACAATGGATTATGGTCACAGATACAAAGAGTGTATGTATAATGGTATCATGAGCGATTGATCAAACAACTTAAACAGTTACTAACCGATTCTCTTCCAAACCAATACAGTCGCTGATGCCATGGGACAATGGGTGTTTGAAGGCAAGATCACTTACCGTGAGGACGTTACTGATGGATTGGAGAATGCTCCACAGACATTGATTGGTCTACTCGAAGGCAAGAACTTTGGAAAGGTCATCATCAAGGTTGCCGATAAGTAGAAAAGACAACAACTCCATCTCACCATCCTGTAATGATGGGGACACAAAAAGACATCCAGATGGGATGTCTTCTCTCACCTAGAATAATAGTTTACCTATCTCCCCCCATCAGTCTCATACTCTCTATTACATTCAATTCACAACCTGGCAAAGCTCCAAGGATTAATCTTTGTATTTAGTTATCCATCCAATCAACCAATCAAACAAATAATAAATAAATATTTCCAAACAATACAAATGTTATATCTTAATATACAGTTTAATTAACAAACAAATACTAAGTTAAGTATCTGTTGGTGTTGATTCAACCAGTTGTTGCTGCTACGGCCGCTGTGTTGTTGCTGGAGATATTTACTTGGCCTTTGGAGCACCTCCCAAGAGACCGTTGGCAGTGTTGAACAGGTTGATTGGCGAGCTTCCGTCGGTGATCATCACGGAGCTGAGACCCAATCCCTTGAGCAGCTTGGCCTGCATCTCTGGACCAGCCTGGGCAATGGACTTGATGGTCTCCTGACCGATGGACTCGACCAACTGCTTGAACTTCTTGGCCTCGATGGTGGAGAGCTCACGCTGTCTGTTCAACTCCAACTCGTCGATCTGCTTCTTGTAGGCAAGCTCGGCCTCACGCTTCTGCTTGACGAGCAAGAGCTCAGACTCGGCACGGATCTTGGTGGCCTGGGCACGGAGCTTGGCCTGCTCGACGTTGGCCTGAGCAGAGATGGACTGAGCCTCTGCGGTAGCCTGGGCCTCAGCGGTAGCTTGACCGGTGGACTCGACGGCGGCAGATTGAGCCTGCAGCTCCAAGAGGTCCTTCTTGGCCAACTCGGCGGCAGCCTCATCATTAATCTTTTGACGCTCCAGACGACCACGAGCACCCTGCTCGAGCTTCTCAGCCTCGTGACGGGCAGCAGCCTCCTGGGACTTGGTGGTGATCTCGATGGCGAGCTGGACAGACTTTTGCAGAGAGTCACGAGTTCTCTGGTCGACTGGCTCGACGGACTGAATATCAATGTTGGTGATGATCAGGTTGTTGGCGTTGAAGGCAAAGTTCTCCTTTGGTGCTCCGTTCTCGTCAAAACCAAAGACGGCGTGACGGATGATCTCAGCAGAGCGCTTGTGGAAGTCGTCGAATGGGACTGAGGCGACAGCACCACGGACACGCGAGGCGATGGCCTTGCAAGAGTCACCGACAAAGTCTGGGACCTGGAAGATCTTGGCGGCCTCCTCAGTCTGGGTCTTGTCGACGATGAACTGCCAGTTGTATGAAAGCTTCAGGGAGAGCTTGGCGTGGTCAGAGGTCTCGACAATGACGACATCAGTCATAAAGTCTGGTCCGAGGTAGAGGGCGATGGCCTTGATCATGTGTGGGCGCTTTGGCTTCTCACCAGAGAGCGAGAGAACGGTGAAACGCTCATCTGGACCCAACATGACTAAGTCTGGGCCAAAGACGACACGGGACTTCTTCTCCTTGTAGTCGTAGATCTGGACGGCAGAGTTGTGTGGTGCGCGGTAGGTGACGACACGGGTCTTGTCACGGTTGTCAGAGAACTCGGGATCGTTGGTCTCCTTGGCGAGGACCTCCTCGACGGTCTTTGGCAACTCCATTGACCACAACTCCTCGTTTGGCTTAAGCATGTATGAGCGACCAGAGATGGTGGTGATCTTACCGCTCTTGATGTCACGGATGTAGATACCCTCATTGTCGTCCAATGGGATGGAGTCACGCTTCTCGACGACCTCAACCTGGACGGGTGGGACGTAGTCACATGGGCCGTAGATCATCCAACGGTCACCGGCCAAGTGCTTCTCCTTTCCGTCGTCAAAGGTCTCCTTAGCGCGGAGCAAGAGGGCCTCCTGCTCATTGAGAATGTAGATGGACTGGATGCGGTTGCCCTCGAGGGACTCACCTGGACGCAGGAAGAAGGACAACTCACCCTTTCTGAGCTCCTTCTGACCAAGCTGTGGCTTTCCATCGGTACCGATTGGGTCCATGACGACACAGTACTGACGGTTGGTCAAGGTGGTGATGTTGACCTCACCGACGACGGTCTCGTAGACGTCTGGGATGTGGGTCTCAGAGTCGTTGGAAGTGACCAACCACTCCTCACCAGCCTTGCGCAGCTTTCCACGCTCGTCGGTGAAGGTCTTGACGGCCTTGAGGTGGAGGGCCTTCTTATCGGTAAGGATGTAGGCGTTGATGGTATCGATGACCTTCTCGTCGACGCCTGGCAGGTAGGCACCCACCTGTCTGATCAACCACTCCTCACCAGCCTTGCGGGTGGCTCCGTTGCGGTCGAGCAAAGCCTTGTTGGCACGCAGCTTCAGGGCTTGGTTTGGTGCAATGATGGTGGCCTTGACCTCCTCCTCGATTCTAACCTCAATGCGTGGGATGTAGGTGGCGGGACCCTCGAACAACCACTCATCACCAGCAACCTTGGTGGACTTGCCATCGGTGAAGTCACGCAGGGCGTGCAGTCTGAGTGCCTTGAGCTGGGGCACGATCTGCAGGGCGGTGACCTTTCCAGTGAGCTTCTCACCTGGGTAAAGTGGGAAGGGCTCCTGGGCGAATCTGATCTCCTCATCTCCGTGTCTCAGCTTGACCTCACCAAACTCGTTGAGCACCAGGGCGCCCTCGGCATTGCGCACGATGGGGTTGGCAATAGTGCAGTAGTGTCTAAGTGGGATCATGATCATTGGCTCTGGACCAGCAACCACCTTCTCGTGGTCCTGGCGAGTGAACGTCAGTGGACCAACCTCCACACGTGTGACGTTAGTATTGTTATCCAGAACATGGATGTAGTGGTGTGGCTTGATTCTGATGACTAAATATATTTATATTAAGTGTTTGATTGAGTGATTGATCGAGTGAGTTAGTATGTTAGTGTGATTGATTGATTGAGTGAGCGTGATCAGTGCACTTACCAGCGTTGGCGTCGGTCATTTTATATATATATATGTATGTTAATTAAAGGAGATAAGTTAATATAAGTAGAGATGAGTGAAAGGACAGATTGTGAAGATGATGTTTTGAAATCAATCGATTGATTTTATTATTGATCAAGTTGAAGCACAGTTTGGCTGATGTCACTTTTTTGTATGATGTGCACATCGAAGATTGAATGATATTATTATTATTATTAAATTTCATTTTATTTTCTAGGAATGTAGTGAGAATAAAAATTTAATTTGATGAGTAGGTAGAAACTTAGATACTTTGTTTTTGTTAGTGTTGATGGTAGTGTGTGTTGGAGGTCAAACACTTATTGTCGACTTTTCGTTGATCCTCACTGGAAACAAGAAAGTTGGATAATGTTCGCACTTCCATTCTTCCATCCACCAACATTGACAAACACAATCATTCCATCTATCAACAACATACATATTATCTGTTATAATAGTAAACATTTAATTATCACTTGGTTGTAACTGATCTAAATGAAACAACAAACACAAACATAATGTACATCCACTCATCATTATATGAATAACAAACATAGATTTGATATTGTATATATATCTGTCAGAATCCTGATGATGACTGATGAATGACTGAATGAATGAATGAATGATTGATCACAATGATGTGGAGAGTGAGTATAATGAAGTGCTTGAAGAACCACAATGGTAACTTAAGGTTGATACCCTGTACCATCTATTAAGATTAGCAAAGTTTGAATGTACAAGGCATGGTGAAGATCAATGTTTGATACCAAAGATTAGGGAAACAACACATCCCTGTTCCCGAGTGTTCGTGGATGTTGATTGGTTCTTTGTACACCTTGAAACAATCTATCTCTATCCATTCTTGTCCAGGGTTTATGGTCGCCAAACAAAACAAAAATCCTTTAAATTATGACCTTAATATCTCTGTGTCTCCTATCTTTCGGTGTATGTATCTCTTGTGAAGATAGATAGTGATGATAATTGTGAACAATGATGTTCTTTCGACTAGTTCTAACATTCATTTATTCATTCTACACTTTTTTGTACAGACCACCGATGGACGCATCATCGTCCCGTCTGAACTCGTTATTTCAGAGTCAACGATACAGCCAACTAGATCTGGTTGGTTCTATTCATTGTAAAAGTGTAGGTTTGTAGTCGCTGCATCGACAACAACTACTGCACATACCCACCCCTGCACTACCAATTGGGAACCGAAACGATTATTATTATATTTATGCATGCATATAAATATATCTTGCAACAATGCACGAAACCATCGGATCGACTGATAGGAAGTCTGAAAAATTTAATGATCAATTCTTGAAGTATTCGTTATCAACAGTGGCCCAAGCATGGCAAAGTCCCCACCCGAAAACGACAAAGTTTCGCTTACACCCATGTCGCACTCACAACGGGCATGGCTCAACCACTGGTTGTCATGTGATCATCTCTCTCTTTAGCATTTCATCGACACGCCGAAGACGAATACTTAGTCTGGTACCCCCCTAGCGGGTTCGGGTGGCCAGGTCGCCAATCAAAGGCCCATTCTGGTGGGAAATTTAGATGGGGCAGAAGAATGAAGGATAGTTGACCATTCGGATCAAAGAAGCAGTGAGCGCGACTCCTACCATGGATATTTAATTTAATTACTGTTTGTCTTTGTGTGTGTACCACCCCAACCATAGTTCGTTGGTGCACTGATGGGCATCAACAAGACCGACTGACAAGGAACAAGGCCTGTGTGTGTCACATCTAACTCCCCACCTCTGGGTTGAGTTGATTGTCTAGACGATTGAATTCTGATTTAAGTAAGTGTCATACTTGCTTGCTTGGCTTGGCTTCCTTCTCTAAGTAGTGTTGTTTGGGTCAATTAGTATCAATCATTCGTCAAGTGCATCACATACATATAACCCTGTGTGTTTTATAAATTACATAAAGTTAACATAAATATTTATTCTGTTACATCAACCAAACAGAAGTACTAGCTAGATAATATTTCCCCAGGTTGTGAAGAAGCAAAGGAAGTAGGTTCATTCACGATTGTAACATTACCCCCGCATGCCCCCACAAGTCCTGCAGATATTTGACTATCTCAAGGTTAGGCATCTCCCAATAACTTCACGCCCATCACACCAATTGATTGCCCATCAATCATTACTTCATGTGACACCCCCTCCACATACTCGGACAACCACATCCAATCCAACAAACATATCTGTATCCAACTCAATCATTGCAGCATCCTCTTTTCCTATCTATCTTTATCTATTCATTTATCTTTCTTGAGCCAAGTGAGCAAAGCAATCACTGCGGTGAACCCATCCATCCAATTTTCTTCCATTGCATATTGCATTCATTCATTTATTCATAATCCATCCACAAACAAACATACTACTAAACTAACCGCAAGGAATTGGAGTGGAGTGTTCAATACCATCACGTTCATGTAATTATACGATTGATGAAGAACTTATATATCACGCAAGCACACATACAACATACATTTAATTGATTACCTAAACATATATAGTTAACCCATTACTTAATCAATCAATCAATCAATCAATCAAATAAATTGATTCGATTGGTATGATAATCATCAATCACTCATATTCTCCCATCACACTGTTGCCAACTCACTCATCAGGGGCCATCACACAATCCCCCACCACACCACACCCCAACCAAAGGTCGTTTCCCAATCAGCAATCAGTTAGTTAATTTGATCACATGGCACATTCCGTCCCGATGTGGCCTCCACCCTCCTCCACCCTCTTCCTTCAATCTCAAGCTACCAATCAATATACTCTATATACATCATACTGCAGTGTACCGTACGGCACTTGCCACCCCGGTACTGGCTGGCTGGAATTCCAGCATCATCAGCGTCGTCAGTGACAGTATGTGGCGGCCACATACATACAATACCATATATCATACATACTATACTATCTATCTTATCCACACACCGCACCTCTTCATTCAACTGTCAATACCACCCGCAACCCACATCTAATCAAAGGTGGCCCAAACAATTGATGGGTCATCAACATCACTATCACAATCAATCAATCAATCATCCACAATCGACAATTTCATACCGTACCAATCAATCCTAACTCTGTTGCTGACCTTACTACCCTTCCTTAGCCAATCAATCATTCAATTATTAATTTATTTATAAGTTACCAACATCTCTGACTTTATAGTTTGTTTGATTGTTGGTATAGGATAAGAAGAAGAAGACATATATATAATACCTGTCCTGTTTAAATTACAATTTGACCCGAGCCAAGAATGAGAGTTGCTTCCACATTGTTATACATTATAGTCCTTGCTGGTATTGCAGGGATCACATTCTCAGAGAACACGCCACCCTTGGATCGCGCAAATAGGTGCGAGCCCTATTTCGGAGATGCTGCATGCCTTGGTCTTCTAAAGTCTCCAGGTATGTAGTGTTGGACAGACCGCCGCCCATTGATCAATCAATCACTAACACTACCTTTTTCCAGAATCTGTTTTTGTTGCAGCAGGATGGACACAGGAGAGACTCCTTAATGAGATGAATATTAAAGCTATTGGCCTTTTAGCGCAGAACATTCCAGAGTGCGCACCAACCAACTTTACAAACATGTTTGTCTGTAACACGGCATTCAAACCATGCATCAATGTCACATTGCCAGACTCCACCACGATTGCTATGCGTCAGGGCGAGTGCCAGGCTGACTGCATGACCATCTTTAACAAATGCAAGTTACCGGCAAGCCTTCTGAACTGCAGCGATACCTATCAGAACACCAATATCATGCTTTATCCACCTGCCAGCAATAACTATGACCTATCACCCTACGGCGGACCTTCAGCCTACACTGTCGATTGTCTTCGAAATGACTTTGCAACCAATGGATCAATCATAATCAGTAGGTTTGATTGATTGATCAATCAGTCTGTGTCCAAATGTGATCACTCGCTCACTAACTCATTCACTCACATTACTTTCTAGAATGCCCCGCTCCATTGCTCCCAAGAGCATCGTATGGCGAGCAACAGCTGATTGATGAAGCGAATGGATACACTTTTGCCAGCCCACTTCCATGCGTGTTCCCATGTCCAGCACCAATATTCAAGGATAGCGAGTGGTCGATGCTCCGCAAGATGGTGGAGGTCGTGTCGATCATCTCCTTCATCTGTACATCACTTGTGATCTTCACCTATCTGGTGATCAATCCCAAGCGTGATCGTCATTCAATCAGTCTCACATTCATGGCGTTTGGCATCTGGTGCATTGGTATCACTGATATGATCTTGGCCGATCGCGGAACCAGCGTCTACTGTCCCGAACCCGACAGAATGGGTGTTCAATCCGATGCATACTGTGGTGTCTCTGGCGCACTCTACCAATTCGGTGCTGTCACTGGTGCCATCTGGTGGGCAACAATGGGCTTTGACCTTTGGTTAGTTATTCGTAGAGGTAAGTTCAGTTGGTGAGGCAGCTGGGACGCACACATTTATTGATCAAACCTAACTCAACCTTTCACAATCAATATATAGTTAAGAAGCAGATTTCTTTCGAGAAGTATTATATGGTCATCTTGTCAGTGGTCTCTATCTTCTTCACAATCCTTCCAGCTGGTATGAAGAAGTATTCAGCCTCATTCGGTCGTATTGGGTATGTACTTCAAGCTTTGAATGAATGAATGAATTAACGACTAACTGACTTGAATATATTACATTTATAGATGTTGGATTGGTGATGATATTGTCCTGGACGGTGTGTTCTGGGCACCATTCACACTGTGCATCCTGGTTGGAGCAACATTCATCAGTTTGATCTTGCGCGAAGTATACAGGATTGTGAAGAGAGCAGAGAATGGAAAGAAGAAGTCAACTAGACTGCTCAGATTCAACTTGAAGCCATTCCTGATCATTGTTATCCTGTTGGTAGAGTTCATCTATCTGTTTGCCTACAACCTCTACTATCAGATCAACAAGAACAACATCAAGCAAGACCTGTCCGATTGGGTCCATTGTCTGATGGAGAGAGGCCAGGAGAACTGCACGCTGAAACCGCTGCCTCTGGGTGCGCACTTCACCTACTTCTTCTTTGTGCGTCTCCTCGGCATTGAGATCCTGATCTTCTACGGACTGAACCGCCGCTCCAAGGCCATCTGGGCCAACTCAATCTTCTTCAAGAACAGATTCTACAACATCAGCATGACCCTGGAAAAGACCAGCATGACCTCCAACAGTCAGACATCTGGCCAGAGTTCAAACAGTGTTCGCATGTCAAGTCAAACTGGTATTGAGGAGAGTAGCGTTGACACACGAGAGTGATCAAACGAACAAACAAACGAATATATAGACACTATTAGTATTGTCCATCGATGGACACAAGTTATCCATTTAATAATTACATCTTGTACCATTCATTCTCATTCATCAATCAATCAATCAATTAATTAATTATTCAGTGATCAGTTGATATGTGTTGGATGATTGGACCAACGATGTATGATCGTCGACTTCATCATCATCCACGACGACACCTATACCACCACTGCCATGCTCGCTGCCAGGCTTGGATGATCGGTCGTCAGCTCCATCGATATCATCGACGTCATCGCGGTAATTGATAATTGACACATCTGCCTCTTTGAATCGGAATGCAATCACCATGAATACAATGGTGGCTAATGACATTACGCATGCGTACAACAAGAACTCTTGCCAACGCTTGTCCATACTGATGCCATCGACCACAATGACAACAAACATGTTGCCCAGTGCAATGGAGAACAGCCACATCGACATGATTGTGCTCTTCATGTTGGCCGGTGCCTGAGAGTAGGCAAACTCCAGACCTGTCACCGATATCAGCACCTCGGCGAATGTGATTGCCAAATATTGTGGCAGTTGCAGCAGCACTGACACAGTGTTTGGTGGGCTGTTATCAATCTTGAGCTGCAGCATAATAGTAAAGACAAAGGATAGCACTGATATCCACATTCCAATCCAGAGTCGTCTCAGAGGATGGAATTCAATCTATATGTTTGAGGACGGGTAGGGTAGGGTTGGGTTAGCGAGTTGATAGCGAATGTATAGTCTAACAAGGTAACATACATTCCTTGTCCTAAGTGGTCGATATATAAGGTATTCAATGAATGGAATGAAGAGCATGACTAGGATTGGTTCAGCACTTTGTACTTGATCAGCTGGCATGTTATATGATCCAATGCGTAGGTCCATCTGTTTGGCTTGTAGTGTCCATCTACTTCCACTCTGATCACTAATCGCCCAAAAGAATGGCAGTGGCACAAACACGAGCAGGACGTTCAATGCCGCCTTGACCGAGTCGACCAGATGTGAGTCGTACTTGACGCGAGCGCGATCGAGCCAATGAACACAGTATGACGACGAGCCACTGCGCATTAGTCTGACCTTTTCGGAGATGGCACATCCAATGACCTTGGCCGAAGTGAGTAATATGCTACCAGTGATGGGACGTCTCTTATATGATCGCGAGCCAAGAACAAAGACAACAGTTGCAGCAATGATCAGCACTGATGGTAGGCCAAATGCAAACCAATAGCCAATATATGTTCTGAAGAGTGGCGTGAGGAATGTAGACAGAGATGCGCCAATGTTGATGGCAAAGTAGAACAGCTGATAGAGTCTTTGTACAAGATCCTTCTGACTATTGTCCAACTGATCGCCACAGAATGTTGACACGACCGGTTTGATTCCACCCGTTCCAACACCTATCAATATGAGTCCGATAATCCATGCCCAAGGTGATCGCTCACTTGGCATGTCACCCATTATAGCTGGCACTGCTGAGATGGCCAAGAACACGCCACCAACTGAGTACACCAATGAGAAGTATAGTATCGTATTGTATTTGCCCAGTATACTGTCTGCTACATAAGCGCCAAACATTGGTCTTTTGGTCGAGTTAGTTAGGGATACATGATTGAGCACACGCTAGCTAGCAATGACCTACAAGAAGTATGCAACAAAGTTGAAACCATGTAGAATGGAGGTGGCACTGTCATCGCTGTATCCCATGAATGATGTGAGGTATAATACCATAACGGATCTGATTCCATAGTATGAGTATCGTTCACATACTTCACTACCAAGTATATAACGTACTGATGAAGGTAATGATTTACTACTTGTCTCTACATTGTCTATATCATTGTTATTGTTATTGCTGTTGTTGTTATCACTTGATGAAGTCAACACTTTGCCATAAGAGTTGTGATTACTTGAGGATGATAGTATAGCACTTCCTTCCTGTGCAATATCGTCATCCATCATCAAGTGTACTATATATATTGTGTGTGTAACTGACACACAGAGAGATAGAATGAATGATTGAGCGACTGTTGGCCAACAGATATTTGTTTGTAGTGAGTCGTTTCAAATTAAAATTTATGAGTTTATTTATGGGTTGGCCTTAGTCTAACTCTCCAGAGGAACATAGGTATCTCCAAGTCCTCTTCTTCTTAGATATAATATTGAATGTATTATTACTGATACTATACATATCACCGGTGATGCTACTAACAATGTAGTAAACACTATACCTTCATTCTTAATTTCTTTACATTCACAAGATCCTGACGAACCTGATGATCCTGAGGAAGATGAAGAAGTTGAAGTTGAAGATGTCGTTGAGGAAGTTGATATAGAGGTTGTAGAAGATGTTGACGTTCCTGAAGTTGTAGAGGTTGTAGAGTTGATTGATGGACATTGTATTATTGAGTTGAAGTTTGATAAACACACTCCGCATTGAAGTGTTTCTTCAGAGTAGTTCATTGATACACAATCTGAATCAGATCCATAGTTATAGAATGTTAATGAATTACTTTGTTGTTGAGTAAATATACCATAATATAATAGATTTGAATTACAATCATATATTGGTACACATTGTACTTGTGGATATTGTTGACATGATGGTTCACCACCTTGACAATCTATACCATCACAATATACACATATATTTGCATAAGTATTTGGAAGTACAATTCCATAACAACATCTACTACTACTAATTAATATTATTAAGATTATAGAAATAATATTATAATACATTTTAAATATTAATATTATTTCTTTGTTGATGAAGATATAAGTAAGTAAAAAGAGAACAGATTGATTGGTTGTAACAATTAATATAAATGTAGAGGAGGCTGACCCATCATAGATAGATAAACAACCAAAATTGTTTACCACCTTTCAAATAACTGTCAGTTGTCCAATCAACAACTGTTTTGATCGGGGTAGATCTTTTGATTGAGTAAATGATCACAAAGTGGAAAAGTAGTGGGACCTCATTGGAAGACCTCAAAAAGCCCACATTGTCAAGAAGAGCATGATCATTCCTTTTATGCCTATCATCGCTAACTGATGGACTTGATAAGTACATATGCTGATGATGACGATGATGAAGATGATCAAGACAAACAAGACAAGGAGGTGAACAACAAAAGAGAACTAGAACTAGACGAAGATGATCGTAGCAATAAGAGAATAAGGTATACCAACAATACAGATAATGATGATGATCTTCATGACTTGCCTGATCTCCCCGAGGAACTATTTAGTTCATCAGACCAACAACAGTCAGCTGAAAGATCACAGAATGGAAAGAAACGACAGTATGAGCATGTTGAAGGCAACTACCCAACATTCGTCTTCGTCACTATACCTATCGAGCGAGAGGACATTGACTTGATGGCACGCGAACTCAGTGTCTTGGCGAAAGAACTCAAGATAGACACGGCCATTGAGAATCATCATATATCACTGTCACGCTCATTCCCAATGCGCGAACATCACATAGATTCATTCAACAAACAACTAGAGACATGCTTCAAGCGTATACATGCCTTCTCAATCACACTGGAGACGGTATCCACTTTTGTCAATGACGATCAGTCACGTCTATTCCTCGCCGCCAATGTAACAAAGAATGCCAGTCGCATGATACAATGTGTAAAGCAATTGGATGATATACTTCGAGGCTTTGGATTCCCTACATTTTATGATGTATGTATTTCTTGATCACTCGAGTGTTGGATCATCCACAGAATGCTAACACAATATATATATAACATCAGAATCCACTACCTCATCTCTCATTGTGGTCACGTGCATCCAGTCCCGATGATGAACTTTGTAAGAAACCTATAATCAATAGAACACTGGAACAGACGACAAAGTCTATACTCATTGACAAGATATATTGGACAATTGGAAAGTATGATTACTCAATCGATCTGGCCACCATCTGAGTATACTTTATAACTTTGTGTATTATCTCTAGCCTTCTGGAATCACGGAGCTTCCAAAGACAAACGAATACAAAACATTTCAAAGTTATAATTGTCACATCACATTTCGATGTCCATGGCACATGTGCAAGGATGTCATTGTTGTTTTAAGTTTATACGTATGTTTAAGTGTATGTGTATGGGAATGTGTTTGTATGTTTGTTATCTGAACAACCCGATTGACATAAACCCCAACAACAACACATCAACTCTGACATGCAACACCAACATCCTCACTCAATCACTCGCCCACACAATTGAACACACATACACACTCTTGATCATGTGATCATATTTATAACATTAGAAGATAAGATAAACTGAAGGTCTTGGTTTGGCTGGTGTACACCACACTCACTTATATATGTGTGGAAGGAAGTATGTATGTATGTATTAGTATATGAGCTCGCACTCGCCGTCCATGGCAAGTCTTCATCACCCCTATATAGGCCTATCAATATAAATCTTGTTTGCATCGGGTGTGATCACGTATGTAATCAATCACCATCCATCCTTCAATCCATCCATCTATTTAGAGAGAGTTACTTAATATTGTTGTGCCATGCCACACCACATCCTTGCGGCGACATCAACAACCCAACCCATCCTTTACGTCCTTCCTTAACTTAATACTTAATATTAACATTAAGATTGATTTGATTAATTGGAAGTGGAGTGTCAACATCATCACACCTTGTTTAATTGAACAACCATAGTAGTTGTATCATTGTACCTCTACCTATACCACTACTATTACCATTACAACTATATAACTTAACTATGACCATGACATCATATCGAAATTATATTTTTTTATTTATAATATTTATTATATTCACAGGGTTGTCTTCTGGACAACTGGCTAATTCATCAACATCAAAATCAAAATTAATAGATACTCTAGCAGCAATAACAACATTGAACTTAGGATCGGGGAATTCACCTACACCTCCAGTCCTCACAGTTCCACCTGAGTCCTCAACTTCATCTTCCACATCATCACCAGCAACAACTTCATCATCAACATCATCCACCACCTCATCCACCTCTTCAACTTCCTCATCCTCATCGACAGGTCAGTCAGCTACCTCAACATCATCAGGTGGTCTGCTGACAGGTCTACTAGGAGGCGGCACAGGATCAGGAGGTGGATTAACATCACTACTTGGAACTATTGGAGGCGGAGGAACAGGCTCGATCGTCACGATCAATCTATCATCAGATTCCACTACATCATCACCCAAGAATAATACAGTACAGGTATACACACCGAATTGCAATGGTACGACCTGCCCCAATGGAACATGTGTTGTAAATGCCACCTCATGCTCAGTCGACTCTGCAACTCAGAGATGTCCAACTACAACACCATATCGTTGTGATGATGGTACATGTGCCACTGATACCTCAATGTGCACATCGAGCAACTCTACAAAATGTGAATATACATGTCCGAATGGCAAATGTGCACCATGCGAGAGTTTCGATGGATGTCCACTATCACAACCATATCAATGTCCCAATGGACTATGCGCCAAGTCTCAATCATATTGTCAAAGATGTGACAATGATCAGCTTAGATGTTTTGATGGATCATGCTTAAATCCATGTCCAGATGTAAGTTGTGCTCAACATGTTGTTTCCCCTCCTCCATACCATATGCTGACACATCAGTCGCCAATCATGTAGCCACCATATTATTACAAGCCTATCCCTATTGAAACATCGATACCAATCAATACTGTCCAGACACTCATACCGGTCAACTCTTATAGTAATCCATCAGACTATTCAACTAGTCAGAAGAATGTATTGGATATCACAATTGAACCAGAGACATTCCCCGCCAACACTTCATTCTCAGTGTTGCCCGTCGCAGATTCTTACGTGGAGACAATCACCATTGGCAGTGACATTGCATTGCTGGACACTGCATTCCAACTCAATATGTTGTCCTCTGTTATCAACATTACAGCTGTTCACCAAGGTATCGAGCAGACCAAGTTTGACAAGAGAGTCAAGTTGACCTTCAAGTTGACTATCAATATGGGAGTGCAGCCTCACAACGTGTGTCTGGCCTACATTGACGTCATGAGCAATCGATGGGTGTGCATACCTGGTGCAGTCGAGTCTGTCGTGGATGGACAGGTCACAACCTATACCGATCATTTCACTTCATTTGCATTGTTGACTACGATGAATGGAGATGGCAGTGGAAGCGGAAGTGGCAATGGCAATGGCAACGAAGGTGGAATACTATCAATATTCAATGACAGAAGGATAATGTATGGACTGATAGCAGGATGCTTTGGACTAGTGATCGTTGTACTTGTGGTCGGAGTACTATTACACTATCGTAGCAAACATGGAGGTGTACGTCGTTGGCTGGTAGTCAGACGTGGCAAGTCACAGCAAAGACTTGACAAGTCCACCGATTCAATCTCTTCCTCAACATCATCATCTCCATCAACCTCGCCACCATCTACACCTGCACGCAGTACATCATTCATCATCAAGATTGTATAACTTAGATTGATTGATTGATTGACCAAGTGCACTCATTGTGATTACAACTGCCGAAGTTGTTTCCACTTGTTAATAAACAAACATTGTTCGACCATATTATTATTGCATTGTGACCAGTGCTTTAGTCATTCGCGAGTCACAGATGAACATTCAATGTCAAACGCGAACAGATAAAAACAAGATAGATACAATGTCTTCAGATAATCACAATGATGATCATTGTCATCAACAACATCACAACAACAACAACAACAATAACAACAACACTGAAACAAATATAGATAAAGACAGTGGAGTTGTAAACATAGATATAGAGAATGAATCATTCTTGAAAAGGAGGATAAGGAAGTACTTGGAGGAGAATCCTCAGCCAAAGTATGTGAATGTACCGTTGTTTGTACATAATGATATACCTTTGTCAACATTCTTCATGACGGCCGGTGCTCTCACCTCTGTCGGTTTCTTCATTGGTGTACTGCTAGGTGCCAGAAAGAATGGAGGCATTCGCAACACAATGCGTAGCGCACCTCCAGGTGTAATTGCACTCTCACTCAAAGCACTTGCCGCTGGCAGTGCACTGAGCATAGGTTCAACAGCATTTCTAGTATACGGTTTGAAGACATATTATAATGTTAATACTGTAAGTAGTCATCATATGCCCGCGAGAGAGCGAGACTAACACCTTCATTGAATAGGTCAATGAGTTTGGCGATCTGATGTCCTCCAAAGTGTTGGGAATGGGACTTAGTAAGAAGATTGAATGGGAGCAGCTGCCAGAGAGTCCACTGGCGCCTGGACAACTTCAAAAGGATAACAATATAGATGATGAGGATATAAAGGATGCGATACAGGCAATCTGGAAACCAGAGAACGACATGTCTGCAAAGCGAACAAAGAACATCAACAACAACAGCAACAACAACAGTACACAAAGTAAAGACAATAACCAGGATCAAGTGGATTGATTGATTGATTGATCGATCATGATCTTTATCTCTATCTCTGTCACTGTCTCTGTCGAATTCATTGAATGGATGGGCCACACAGACACTCTCGTCTGGTGTATGCTCCAAATGGAACTTACTGCGAACAATCCTTGATGACATCCAACACCTCTGGATTGGTCTCGAACAGAGGCTTCACTTGGTCAAAGTATCGTCTGGCTGTGGACTTGACGTAACCAGAGAGCAACTTGGTGGAGACTGGATCGATCATGGGATTCTTGAGCAATGTGCCCATGCCGACAAACAGCGTGGTGAAGAGCACTGATTGCTCGTTCTGCGCTGACTTGAGACGGAGCTCCTTCTCGGGCGAGTTCATCGATGCCTCGTAGTCCTTGGTGAGCGTGTCGATGATGATGTTGGTCTTCTCAATCGAGTTGTTGATGATCTCCCACACGTACGGGTCGGTCACGGCGTCGCTGTGGCTGCCCGACACGAGGTATGTGACGGGGTCAATGGGCGACAGGATCTTGTATGTGATCAGCTTGTCAATCACAATCACGATGTGCTGGTGCGACGAGCGCCAGAACTCGACAGTGCTCTTGATGCACTGGTGACGGTCCTCCGTCGACTTGATGTTGGTCTTGAACAGCGTGACGTAGCGCTCGACGGCGTAGGTAAGATGCGAGAAACTGGTCGATCCAAGATGTAATATACACTTTGTCACCAAGTCGACGACGTTCACCTGCTCCGTCGGCAGTGCGGCAACATATTGAATAATGTTCTCAATTGGATCCTTCTGCTTGAACATCAACAACAATCTATGTGATTGTGCCACCATCTCCTTAATCTCTTCATCAGCTGTTTGATTGATTGTTTGATTGGTCATGGGATGAGTTAGTGAGTGGAGGTTGGAAGTTGGAAGTTGGAAGTCACACGTGACTGTCCTCTTGGATGGACTTACCAAAGTCTGGCTTGGGGAACTTGAAGTTGGCTGTTGGTGCAGATGGAAGGTATGGATGGTATTCTTGTGGGAGGAGTTGTTTGATCTTGTCGAGATAGGAGAGACGAACGATGGACTCGAGCAGATGCTTGAGGAACTTGCGCTGCAGACTGACGAGAAGCTCGTTGTCAGCGTCGGGCGTGGTGGTGATGGCTGTGCTCCAGTCGGCCCACACCCACTTGTACTCGTAGTTGCTGAGATGATGGGCAAACATCAGCGCGAAGCGGCTGACTGCCTCGACGTCCAGCTGATCGATATTCTCGTACAACATGTTGATGGCATAGGCAAACACAGGGATGATTGTTGCGTGCTGGTCCTTGAACAGGTCGACAAACAGTACAGAGTAATATATCGATTTGAACTGTGATTGTGGCAGTCTGAATGCTTCAGATAGGATAGTCTGGTATGGTGTCAGTTGGTTAGTTGGTGTGTCTTGGGACCATGTTGGCGCTCAATCAACATACCTCTACGACTATATGATCAATCTCGCATTGAACTGGCAGGGTATAGATGAACTTGCTTGCATCTTTGTGATTGCCATTGAAAAAGTAGAGGATGTCGACAATGTACTCCTCAAGGACGTGTCTGTCGATCGGTTGCAATGATCCATCAGCACTGTCATCAAACAAGCGGAACACTGGTCTAGTGAAGGTTGGATAGTTGAATTTCTTTGGAATAGGTTAGTCAATCACATGATCAATCAATCAATCAATCACCTGATCATCTGATCAATCAATCAAACATACAGAGTCATCGGATGGTATAGTGATTGGTGGCAATACATGCTGGCTTGCTTCGCTAAAGTCAAACTGCTTGTTGACCTGTATGATCGCAGTGCACTGCCAGTTGTTCTCCTTTTGTAGCTTGATCTGCTTCATCAACAACTCCAAACGGTCGTCATTCTCTGTGAACGTCTGGTAGAACTTCTTGTCGGCGTGTGATCGCGACGAGAGGTATGACTCCAACTCCTCGAGCAGACTCTGCAGCTGTGTCTGGTGTGTTTGGGCGAGGTGGCCCGCCACCCAAGGGATGGTTGTCATCACCAGATACACGTAGAAGTCTGCTTTAGTCTGTGTGTAGTCGGCCTGATTCAATACACTCAACAATGTCTCAAACGTCTCAAACATTGACTGTGCTGGCAATACATTAGTGAGCACAAGTCCACCAATGAACCTAACCAACAACTTGGCCGAGTTGAACCTCTGCTTTGCCAAACAATCGTTAAGCTCTGTGTTGTCGCGTATTGAGTGATTGAGTGATTGAGTGAGTGAGTATCACATTGGTCGCGTCGCGATCAGGTTGACAACATACCATCGACCAAAGTACAGACGATCTCCTTGCCAAACTCATGATTCTTGAGGTTCATCTTGCCAACGATGGTCGCATAGATAGGTGTCTTGTAAGGCAACTGTGATATGCTGTATGATGTATGACATGGGTCAGTCAATCAGTCATTGCAATGACTCGCGAATGCTCGTCGACACGGCGATATGATATATGATAAGTTACCATTTGAATAGGATTGTTTGAATGTTGGCATTGTTCTTTGAGAGATCTGGAAGGAGAACACTGACCAAACCTTCGATGTTGGACTCGAGTGCCGATGTAGACTTGTCACCGATACGCACAATGAGTGATGTCAGCTTCGCCTTTACATCATCCTCTTGTGGTGGTGCAGACGAAGATGACGAAGACTGTGCACCTTGATACATAGGTCTTGGTGGTCTCTGACCACCTCCCTGGCCACCTTGATATCCACCTCTTCTACCTGCATTTGGTGATCCATATTGGAATGACATATCTATATATATCTCTCTCTCTATTAATAGTTATATATATATATTATAACTAAATTAATCAACATCTGACAAACACAATCATTGACTTTGCGATCATTCATGAAACACGAACTTTGAGCTTCACAAGACTCAACGACTTGGCCATTTTGCGAAAAACTGACATACCCTCACATCACATCTCTTCTCTGTATTGATCAAGATAGATATAATGACCTGAGGCCAATCAATCAATACCTTGAATGCAATGTATTGATGTCAATGTTGTTGTGTTGGCAACATTCCTTTAATATACGTGATTCTGTGAATTTCTTTATTGTTGAGTAAAGTGATCGATGATACAATATCTTGTAGGATAGTTATGAACAGGCGTTGTTTGGATCATTGGGATTACCAGGTCAACATATAATATATTGTATTGTTCAGTCGACTCACTCAACAACGTGAATTAGATAGAGAAAGATTGAGAGAGTGAGGGAGACAATCCATGAAAGTTGTAATAGTTTGAATTCTGTTTCTTGAATTGGGGTTGACTCATGGTCAGTTCATTCTCATTCCCTCAAACACACACACAATGATACATGTGTATCTTTGATGTTTGTTGAAGAGGAAAGGATGAAGACGATGGATTAGTATCAATCATCGTAGTGGCAACAACAACATCGTTGGTCTGGTTGTCAAGGCCAGTCACTTCTTGACTATATATATGTCAAGTCACTTGACGACACATAACAAACATGTATTAGTTTAAAAGAATATTTCATTATACATCATCTGTAGGTTTGAATGAAGGAATGGATGAATGGAAGAATGAATGAATGAGTTACTAATCAAACAAATTGTTTAGACTAGGATATAATAAAATGGCAACCAGAGTTTTGGAAAGGATATGGGAGGTGATGTACCCTTCAAAGGTACCTCCACTCGGTGAACCAGCCTTGCTAAGGTATCTGTGTCCAAACTATCACCACTCGACATCAACACAGACGATGATAGATATGGTGCCAGACCTGCCATTCTACATATGGCGCAATATACTCAATTATTACATCTACAAGTTTTATCGCTACAATATCAAAGTGGACAACCAAGAGCGCGCCAACGGTCTGATCATCCAGGAATTGCTCGACCTGTGTATGGTGTCCAAGACCTGGGCGCGACACGTCATCCCCTTCCTCGACTTTGGCACCTACCACGTCACGTCATCCGAGTCCCTTCGCCGCTTGCTCGGTCTTGTCACTACACAGGCTGAGGAGAGCGTGCCCTATAGCATCACGGCAATGAAGCTCGACATCTCGTCCGACCTCCTCTACTCAATCAATCATCGTAGTCGACACACGTTGCTAAAGAGCCTCACCGGCATGCGCCAGCTAAAGGTGTCATTCGGCAGCATCAACGTCGAGCACAACAGTCCCATGTTGAAGCTGTTCCATACGAGTCTGCAGGTCCTGGACCTCACGCGCTTCACTCAAGACTTTACAAGCTATCCCACAATCTTTGCCAGTCTACGCGGCCTCTCCAACCTGCACACGCTTAACCTTGGTCACAACAGGATCGGTCCAAACATCATCGATCACCTTGTGCCATTCATAGATGAACGCTCATCGCTAACCAACCTCAACCTGGAGAACAACCTGTTGGCCCACGAGGGTGGAGTGGCCCTGTTCAAGCTTCTTGCGAGACCAAACAATATCGCCACACTCAATCTCTCGTTCAACCTCCTCATGGACTCGGTCCAATTTCTCGCCGACACGTTGCTTGGAGACTATGACGACCTCAATATGGGCGCAAGGGCACTGCGCAATCTGAACCTCGACGAGAATGGCATTGGTGAGGCGGGTGGCATGGCGTTGGCCCATATAATAGCCCATTGTCGAGGCATTCGCACGTTAAACATTGGCAACAATCGATTTGAGAAGGCATCGCTCAATGCCATAGTGGCGGCGCTCACTGACAACAACACGCTGTCCGACATCACATTGTCCTGTTACAACAACAAGATGAGTGGACACTTGTTGGCCGCGTGCATCAAGTCCAACACGACACTCAAGCATCTGAACCTGATGGTCAACGACCTGGGCGCCATTGGCAACGAGTTGTTCCGCGCACTCGAGGGCAACCGATCCGTGACCAACCTCAACCTCAGCTACACCAAGCTCAAGAACAACTCCAAGAGCGAGATGGAGCGCATGCTCGTCTCCAACACGAGCATCACCCAGCTGAACCTCTCATACGCCTTCTACGACTCGGACATCTCGTGCATCCTCCGCGCACTCACACTCAACAACACGCTCACCGATCTCGATCTCTCGCTCAACTCGATCGAAGCTGCCGAGGGTGTGCTGCTCGGCACGATGCTCCGCGACAACCAGTCCATAACTCATCTGAACCTGTCTGGCAACATGTTAAAGAGTGGCGTTGAGGACATCATCCGCGCACTCACCTCCAACAAGACATTGAGATCACTTGTGTTGCGCAAGAACCAAGTTGGCACGGTCACCAAACGATTGTTATTCAATCTTATCTCGCAGAACAATGTGTTGACGCATCTCGATCTCAACCAGAACCTTCTGGACGATCAGGCCGGCCACGAGATCGCATGTGGACTGGCGCTGAACCAGACGCTGCTCTACCTGGACCTGTCGTGCAACAAGTTCCAAGAGGCATCGGGCGAGAGCTTCATCCAGACATTGAGCAACAACAATAGTTTACGCCACATCGATCTTGTTGGCAATCTATTCGGTCGATACCTATCCAATGAGTTGGATCAGAGGTACAGCTTCGTGCACATCGAGAATGATAAGAATGGACTTAAACTCAAGGCCACTGTTAGTACATTCGCTGTTACAGTTGGACCTGCTGCTCCAGGTGGTGGTGTTGGTGGTCAACCAATGGGTAGACTCCAATCAATTGTCAATGGCATGGTTGCATTATTACGTCGACTCACATCACGATCCTAATTAATACAATGTCGTCAATCAAATCATTCAATCAATCTTTGGGTTATTCATCAAAAATCGCATTTTCTTCGAATAAATCAGACTTTTGTGGACTCAAATGACAAGAAACAACTTCTCGATTGATGTCATTGCTTGTTTGTTCAACCATTTGACGACGTTCATTCATTTGACAAGATATTAGAGTTATATTAGTTATATTTATGTTTGTGGACCATTGACCAAACAAGCAATGACATCAATCGAGAAGTTGTTGGTACAGGGTATTAGAAGTTTCAATCCAGACGAATGTACTGTGATTGATTTCTACAAGCCATTGACATTGATAGTTGGTGCCAACGGTGCTGGTAAAACAGTATGTACCTGGGATCGATACATCATGCATGGTTCATTCAATCAATCAACTAACAAACGACCAAATGACAGACCATTATAGAATGCTTAAAGTATGCATCTACTGGTGAGATGCCACCTAATTGTGCGAATGGACAGGCATTCATACATGATCCAAAGATTGCAGGTAGTGCAGAGGTCAAAGCACAGATAAAGATGCGATTCAAGAATCCACATGGCAAGCCTATTGTAGCCACTAGGGCACTATGCCTCATTCAAAAGGCAATGAACAAACAAGAGTACAGGCAACTGGATGCCTCATTACAGAGCTTCAATGCTGATGGACAAGTAAGTTTGATTGATTGATTGATTGATTGGATGATGGGCACACTGATACTAACTTATAATCACTCATTCAGAAAGTTAGCAAGAGTCTTAGATGTGGAGACTTGGATAAGGAGATACCAGAGTTGATGGGAGTGTCAAAGCCAGTGTTGAAGAATGTGATCTTTTGTCATCAGGAGGAGTCTAATTGGCCATTGTCAGAGAGTGCAAAGTTAAAGGTCAAGTTTGATGAGATATTCAATGCGGTGCGCTACACCAAGGCACTAAAGTCAACAAAGGACAAGCGAAAGGATATCACGGCGTTGCTCAAGGAACAGAAGCTAAAGCTCGAGGTGGTCAGCACCAACAGGGACCACGCCACAAGGATCAGCAAGGAGATCGCGACCATGGAGGACAACCTCAAGAAGCTGAAGGACTTTGTCAAGCAGATGGCCGCACAGCTCAAAGAGAAGAGGGCCCAGCACGACACGATTGGCGCAGCCATGAAGCAGATTGAGACGGCATCGATTGAGCTCAAGACGATGGAGTCGCGCAAGATGGAAATTGAGCGCTCCAAGGACAGACTGTACAACTCACTGCAAGAGGTCTTTGAGGAGCCGGACGAGGAGCTCATCTTCATGGGCAAGTCATTCAACGATGAGATGGAGACCATGACAAAGGCCGAGGCAGACCTCACCGAAAACCTGGTCAAGCTGCAAACCGAGAAGGAAGCGCTGTCCACCAGAAAGAACAAGATCAGCATCGAGATTGGCAAGCTCGAGCAATTGATGAAGCAGGTCGAACAGCTCCAATCAAACCGCGACAAGCAGGCCGCCGACCTGCTCGACCGCTACAAGCTGCAGTTCGACAAGGACACACAGTCGCCTGCCGAATTGATCGATGTGCTCAACGTGAAGCTCGAGGAGATATCGGCTGCGATCAAGTCCACTCAGACATCTTTCCAGACACGCATCGATCAGTGTGATGGCGAGGTGCAGAGCAACATTGCCCAGCGCCAGAAGCTCGAGGAGCGACTGTATCAGTATCAGTTGCAGATCGATGCCAACAACAAGAAGCTGGACGCACTCAAGATGGAGGCCAAGAAGGTGCAGTCGCTCAGTGAGCGTGCCAGCGAGTTCTTACAGGCCATCGACAGAGCCGAGCGCGAGATCGAGGCACTCGAAGCCAAGCACTCAAGTGTGGACTATGAGCAACAGATTGCCAAATCGATCAAGCAGCGCGAGGACATAGAGGCGAGCATGACATCAATGCGCGATCTTATCAAAGTGGCCAACACACAGTCTTCCGCGCGCACAAAGCTCGCCGTCAAGAAGAATGATCTGAGCAAGAGGCACGCAACACACGACGCGGCACTCAATGACAACAGACAGTTGATCAGCGAGCTGTTTGAAGGCGAGCCCGACATTGACATGCACAAGCTGCGGGACCATGTCCACGCGCGAATCGAGCAGCTGGACAGCGAGCGCAACGAGAAGAACGAGGAGCATACTGACATCACGCATCAGATCAGTCAAATTGAGAGCGAGCTAAAGATGGTGCAACAAGAGAGGAACAACAAGCAGGCACAGGTCAAGGCGCTCGAGAAGAAGCTGAGCGATCTGGACGAGAAGGACCGCACGGACTTGGCCAGCATCATCGAGCAACTCGCTCACAACCTGCATCAGTTGGAGCGATCACATACCATCCTCGAGTCTGAAGACGTGTTGTACAAGGAGTACATCGACAAAGCTCACTCAGAGAGTGAGTGTGGCCTGTGCAAGCGATCAATGGCTGGCGACGAGATGGATGAGTTTGTGCAGCGACTCAAGACTCACACGGACGACCTCCCCACCAAGCTGGACGAGATCACCACCAACATACAGACGACACGTGATCGCCTCAAACGATTAAGCGAAGCCAAGCCACACAACGACCAGTTGATACAACTCACCCAGGTGGACATTGTCGCGCTAATCAAACGCGAGAAGGAGATCAATCAGAGCATGTCGGACAACCTGCAGCCCATGAAGAAGGAGCTCAGCCAGCAACTATCAGTCTTGGATCAAAAGCTAAAGATGGCTGCCAAGCTAGCGGTTGTGGCATCATCACAATCAACGCTGCTCAATGAGATCACTCAGCTCGAGAAGGATATTGCCGCCGAGGAGAAGTCACTCGGTGGTGGCAGCTCAGCGGACACACGATCAGCCGAGCAACTGAACCACGAGTACGACACAATGGTTCAACAATACAACTCGATACGAAGCGATATTGAACGGCTGGAGGCCGAGCTGAAGAAGTACCGCGCCGAGCTCTACACACATCAACAGGCGATATTGTCGTGTCGCGAGAACATCTCTGCGGAGAAGGGGTCGACCGAGATCCTTGAGCGCATCAGACAGAGTGAGAAGGAGTTGTTGGCGACCGTTGACCAGCTGCGCCAGACCGTGAGCTCGATCAACGTTGAGCTGGACACTCTGAAGCAGCAGTTCACCACGGACAATGAGCAGTTGCAATTGCTCAGGAGTCAACTGGAGGCCAAGTCCTCGGCGCTTACCAAGGAGAAGACGTTGTTCTCAAACAAGCTTGTGACGCTCAGGAACATCCAGACGCAGATTCCTCAGGATGCAGACCAACACAAGCTCAAACTGGAACAACTACTCGAGGAGAACATTGGCATTGACACCCAGATCAAAAACATCAACGAAGACTACTCAAAGGGCAGCGGACACATCGACTCGATCAGAAGTAACCTGGCGCAACGCGATATTTACAAGCGAACGATCAATGACAACATCCAATACAGGCAGCTCAAGAACAACTGCGACACACTCAATGCACAGATTGCCAAGAAGAAGGCTGCAGTGGCTGCAGTAATCTCGCCAGAGGACCAGGCCACGCACAAGACACTGGCTGAGGAGATCAGCAACTTGAAGACCAGAGTCGACAAGGCCAGTGGACAAGTCGAGGCCAACGAACAGCACATCAAGTCTTCACAGGCCGAGCTCAACAAGCCCACGTACAAGGACATCGATGTGACGTATCGCGACATGATCATTTACGCCGAGGTGTTGGACCAGACGGGCAAGGACTTGGACAAGTACTACAGGGCACTGGACAAGGCTTTGATGAAGTACCACGTGCTCAAGATGCTAGAGATCAACAGGTCGATCCGCGAGCTATGGACATCGACCTACCGAGGCAATGATATCGACACGATTGAGATTCGCTCAGAGGAGTCGACCGCCGCCAACAAGACAATCAACTACCGTGTGGTCATGGTCAAGGGCGATGTTGAGCTGGACATGAGAGGCAGATGTAGTGCTGGCCAAAAGGTGTTGGCCTGTCTAATTATCCGTCTGGCACTGGCCGAGAACTTCTGTACCAACTGTGGCATCTTGGCGCTGGATGAGCCAACATCACATTTGGATCGCGCCAACATTGAGAGCTTTGCCAATGCACTGCTAAACATTATCGAGGCCAAGAAGTCGCATGCTGGCTTCCAACTGATCATCATCACTCACGACGAAGAGTTTGTCCAGTACCTCAGCAGAGGTAACTATGCAGACTATGTTTGGAAGGTCACGAAGGATGCAAAGTAAGTAGCACACTATATCTTGTTTGATTGATTGATCATTTATCTAACCAACCCAATCACATCACTCAATCTCAATAGCCAACACAGTGCAGTCGAAAAGAAGGAGATATCCAAGATGTAATCGAGTCCGACCATCAACCAACAACCAATACAACATTGTACATTTCATCTAATCTTTGAGATATATCTGTTTCCAGAATGATTTATTGAGTCGCAACATGGTCATCTTAATGTTCCTGCTGTCTCTTTCTCATTGATTGTTTCTTGAACAAGAAGCTAGAGTGGATGCCACTGGACCAGTGTTTGTTTCATTTGAGCTCCATTGGACATGTTTGTGCAGCCAAAGGATGGTTGAATACCTGCTGCAACTCTGCAAGGAACATGAGGTGTCTTAAGGACAGAGTCATGGCCATCATTGATTGAAGTAAACAATGTATTAATGTCCAATTGTCAGGTACACTGAACCAAATGCATCTTCGGTGGCACGTTGCTTAATGTACCTCTGCTTGAAACCTCCAGCAGCTGATTGTGTTTGATTTCTGGAAGGAAGTGGACATGTTAACAAGGTGAAAGAGAAAGTGAGTCAAATGGGGAGTATAATATAGTACACATACGGTATATGATTCTTCAAAGCCATCTCATCCATCTTGAATCCCTCCAGAGGTGTAGGCTCAGCGAATGGAGGTGGTTGTCTGTTTTGTTGATCATTTCCACCTCCAGGTGGCGCGTTGCCAGCCTGTGGCATGGATCCAGGTTTGCCAGACACTTGGTAGTTGAATCCAGACGATTGGGCATTGCTAGATGATGCCACAGTGGCCATGCGATCATCATCGTCATCGGGCAAGATCGACGTTGCACTCTCCAACTTCTTGGCGGCGGCAGCAGCCTTGCTTGAGGCCTCGGCAAATGTCAACATCTCCTTCTGTCTCTCCTCCTCACGCTTCTTCCTATCAATCTCCTTTACGTCCTTGGCCGATATCTTACCATCGGCCAAGTCATTCATTGTCTTTAGCGTCTCTGCCTGTCTGGCGGCCATCTCCTGCTGATCCTGCATGCGATAGAAATTCCTCTTCTCCTCACGTATCCTCTGCTCCTCGGCAATGGATGCGGCGATCAAAGAGTCCTCCCTCTCCTTCTTTGCTCTATTCTCTGATATCGATTGTTGATTCGTCCTTTGATATTCCTTTATCCTTTGTTGTGCTGTGGCAGCCTCCTCTCCACCCTGTAGCAATTGGAATACTTTTGATTGTTTGGAAGTTAGTTCCAGTTCCTGGACCAGTCTCCATCATGTCCACAAAGTAAAGGATTGTTACATACTTATATCTTCAACCAACTCCAGGTAGTTATTATATTCGAATAAGTCTGTGAAGTTATCCTGTCTCTTGTTGAACCTGCGTTTGATTGAATTGTTGAGTGATGAGTCCATGACCCAGGTCCGAGGCACATTATTACCGATACATACGTCTTTAATACAGTCTTTCTTGTTTGGTTCTCTTTGTCATTGGCACCATCATCGAATCGTTGATTGACGAATGCCTGTCTTCTAAGAGGTGATGCGCACTCCTTGCACATAATAACCTGATCCTTCTTATATGCTGCATCTATACATGTTTCACAACTAAATCATCATCAAAGTAACATTGTAAGCCATCATTCAATCATTCATTCATCTAATCATTCAATCATTCAATCATTCATTCATCATCAACATACTAAATATGCCCACAAGGAGCAGTCAACAGCTTTGTATTTGGATTGATGTAACGACTTGATTTACATATTATACACTCCTCATCATCATTCATTCTTTACTCTATCTATCTTCTTTATATATATGTACACTTGATCAATGATTGATGTTGATTGAGTTGATTGAATGAAGTTGAAGTTAGAGGTAATGATGAAATGAAGGAAGTTCGAAAATATAAAAATTGATTTTTTTTTTGTTCATCACACTCCACTCGAATGCGAGCGAGACCTGCTCGCGAATGTTAAAACATACGATTGTTTGACATTCAAACACTTTGTTTGTCAGCATCCTCACAGATAGATACAGATAACTTTCTTATATTTATTATAAATAATAATATATAATAATAATATCCAACCTAATAACACTATTTGATTTCAAAGATGGTAGGAATCATATCTTAACCCATGTCCAACCCCCTTTAACAAGGGCCTGCCCTACTTGATGACCCGCCATCACAAGTCCCTTTAACATCATAACGCTTTAAAAGACACACCCTTAAATATTGGAGTGATTGTATGCGTTTGTTTTGGGGATGGTCGTCAACGTAGTCTCAAGGCACAAGTGTTGCGTACTGGAAAGCATTACTCCTTATCAAATCTCAGAAACAAGTATCACAACTGACTGAGCTGCGCGCGCGATCGAGGAGGAGGAAGGAAGGAGTGCTCAAAACGTTGTGACACACCAAGATAAATGGGCGTCATTCTTACCAAGTTCTGTTTCTCTCTCTTTTTGTTACTTTAGGGTTTCGTTAAGATCGTTAAGAGCAAGGCTTACTTCAAGAGATTCCAGGTCCACTTCAGAAGAAGACGTGAGGGAAAGACTGACTACCAGCAGAGACACCGCCTGATCCAGCAGGACAAGAACAAGTACAACTCGCCCAAGTACAGACTTGTCGCCCGTATCACCAACAAGAAGGTCATCGCCCAGATCATCTACTCCAAGATCGTCGGTGATTTCGTCCTCTCGTCGGCCTACTCCAACGAGTTGCCACGCTACGGTATCACCGTTGGTTTGACCAACTACGCCGCCGCCTACGCCACCGGACTGTTGCTGGCCCGTCGTCTGCTCACCCAGCTCAAGCTGAACGACATCTACAAGGGACAGGAGAAGGTCACTGGCGACGACTTCCTCGTCAAGCCCGTCGACGAGAAGCCACGTCCATTCAAGGCCTTCCTCGATGTCGGTCTCACCCGTACCTCCACTGGTAACAAGGTGTTCGCCGTCATGAAGGGTGCCTGCGATGGTGGTCTCTACGTTCCACACAAGAAGACCCGTTTCGTTGGATACAACGCCGAGACCAAGAAGCTCAACGCCGACGTCCTCCGCAAGTACATCTTCGGCAACCACGTCGCTGAGCACATGAAGCTTCTCCAGACTGAGTCCGAGGAGGACTACAAGAAGCACTACAGCCAGTACATCAAGGCCAACATTGGTCCAAAGGACCTCGAAGCCTTGTACACCAAGGCTCATGCTGCCATCCGCAAGGACCCATCGCCAGCCAAGAAGGGCGAGAAGAAGCCTTCCGACCCCAAGTTCGCCAAGAAGGCCAAGCGTACCCTCCGCCAGCGCAGAACCAGAATCAACCTCATCAAGAAGTCCATCGAGAAGAGAGTTGGTGTCAACCCATCTGCTGCCGCCGAGAACTAATAAACCAACCTTCAATCATTGTGTTGTCAGCGCATTGTGTACCTCAACCTGGAGGGGAACATTGCGTTGTCGCCATGTGATGTGATGTGCATGTGAGTGTTGTCAAGGCCTTCCCTTGCCTTCAACCTCTTTCATCCACCAACTACCCTCCCTGACTACTCTGTAGACAAGTGTCTTGACTACGTCTCCTCGTGTCTTTAATCACAAAGGGCAGGGGCTTCTATGATTTTTTTTTTTTGATCAACACACACCAACACCTTTTCAGATTTTTTCGATTCAACCCATAAGATGGATGGTCCCACCATCAGTTAAAATATCTTTGGGGTCTAAGTATCCAGGAGTAGGGGCTAGATTGATATCCAGGGGCACTCGATGTCAGGTGCAAAGTATTGATCAATTAATAACTACATAATTGATTCTATCAATGTACCAAACTATCTTGGTCCCTACTTGACACTTTGATCATCTTCATCTCAAACATATCAATCAATCAATAATATATCTAACAAGTAATAATAGATTGAACAAAGATGAGTAAACTGATAACTATCATAACAATACTTCAATTGTTATTATTAATAATCAATTATAATGGTAATATATTTTAATTTATGTAATATTTGGAATTAATATTAACAAATAATATATATTATTAGGTTTAATCAAAGGACAAACATTAATAGCATCAAATCTTTATGGATTCTATAATAATATGTTGGGAGTTGGTTGCTCTTATGCGATGATATTGACATTCAATACTACAAAGGTGATAAAAGAGAATTGGTTGAGATATAACATAGAGTATCAGAGTATTGAATATGCTACACAGACCCAGACCATTCAAATACGCAACTTCTTCACCTCCTATGGCACCGACATACTTCAAGGTTCAGTAATCTACGAAGACAACACATTCACCAACTTTACAACATCTTTCTCATGTCCAGGTATGTCTAATTTGATAGATAAGTCACTGGAATCATCCCACTCACGCTTAATCAATTGATCAATCAATCATAGCACCAGACACCAAGTTGGGCGTGAATATCTTGACTCCTTTGGTGTACAATAGAGTCAATCCTTATGTAGAGTATAGGGAGAATCTGCCTCAGTTGTTCTTGACCAGAAAGGCTGGACATAGAGTATCAGCACCATCACAATCAATATTTATAGATATAATGTATTATAAGTTCTATGTATCGATTGATCATCCATCATGGTTACCTACAAACTATTATGGTTGTCAAGTAGATGGATATTTATGTGATATTCAATTCGATTCATTCACTCCATCAGGTAATCAAACTATATGTTTGGTTGGATTGGTACCAATACCCACCAACGTCCAGTTTGACAACAGGAACAATGTGCACCTGACCATCTTTGATCAGGTAGAGAGAAAGTACGACGTCTTCATATCCAGCTACCCCTTCACACGCATTACATCATCCAACTCAGTCAACCCCAATGTTACAGCGATTGAAGTACTGCCTGACCCATCATATGGTCCAGTGTCATATACATCTCAGTTCACCTATGCAACAATGATCAACTCTACTTCAATAACCAACTATGTCGCCAAAGTCAACACACGTTATGTATATGGTGCGTCAATGAAGCGAGTACTTGGATCACCCGAGACAACAACAGTGACAGTCGTGCCAGGTCGAGTCAGTTCATCACAATACAACTATGTATATCATTCCAACGGAACTGGAGGATACACAGAAGTCGGTCCCAGCGTTAACTATTACATCAGTAAGTATGGAACTATTCCATCCCTCAATCAATCACATACTCACTCTCACCCACTCATTCAATTAATCAATCATTATAGAACCTTGGAATGGAAATCAACTTATTCGACCATTCAATATGAGTCTGACTCCAAGTCCATCAGTACCAATAATTAATTTATTGAATGTACGTGCTGATATAATGTTGATGACAGATTTCACAATGATGTTCCAGAGCAGAGTTGGCGAGGATGTATCAAGTTCTGAGCCATTCCCATTTGGATACACATCCAACTCCAACACATCCAATCTACCATTCTCAGTCACATTCCCAGTCAGTACCTACAATCCCCAACTCATACTCTATTTCACCAGTCCAGCAGTTTGGTACAGTGACCTCATAGACAACATCAATCCACCACCCATCAATGGTAAGTTGATTGATTGATCCATCGAATGGAATGATTCCAATACTAACTTAATCTATCAATGATAGACACTGATCCACCCATAATCTTGAACATGACAATAGTACCAATATCACAATTTAAGTATTTGATCATTGTGGAGATCATTGATGACTTGAGTGGCTTCCAATATTTGGCGCTTGAGTATCATAACCCAACAAAACATGTTGTAATCACTTCATCAGACTTGGTCCATGGCAACAACAAACATGGTATATACGAGAAGATCGTCAACAATCATGAGAACATATTGACAGAGTTCAAATGGTTCTTGATCAAGGACAATGCAGGCAACACCAGAGATCTCCCAGGCTGGGATGACTACCCTTTCTTCTTCAACAACCGTTTACAAAACGTCAACATGTATTCACCAACCAGTATGTACCTACCCCTCAGATAGGCACACTATGTAATCATTCCCTAACCAAACATTATGATGATTTAGTTACCATCACTGTCAACGACATTACAATGTTCTACTTCAACTACACTCATATGGATGTTAGTCTATCAACATTGGAGAATGAGTTGTATTTTAATACTACAAAGAATGATGTGAATTGGAAGCCAGAGTTCACATTCGGTCATATCGAGGAGAATAGGTTATACACGGCATTCGGCTACTACGATCATGTTAGACAACATTACATAGTACCGTTCACAGTTCCAGCTCGTACCTTCACGACCACACTCCAATACTACATAGTCGCTCAGCCCAGACGCATTGACTACAGTCAACTCGCGTTGGACTTCCCGTCCAATACCACGGTCGAGGTAGTTTCATCATGTAAGTATATGATTTATTGAGTGACTGGAATCATTCTAAATATTAGCTCACTCACGCATTCATTCAATCAATCAGATGGAGACGAGTTGCCACCCATGATCACATTCATAGAGACTTATTCTGGAAATGTTGTGGATGTCGATGTTGATGAGACTGTGACTATTGGATGGAGATTCATGATTGAGGATAGACCTAATGGATTCGCCAGAGGTTCATTCAATGTTACAAGTGATGTAGATTATCTTGTTAGACACTTTGATATATCTTTCATCAATGCAACATATGGTACAAGATACTTTGGCCATTATCAAATATTATTCAACGTCACTGGAGCATACCGTAATCAAACATTCTCATTCAAAGATATTATATTGGAGGATATACTTGGTAACAAGCACAACTATTCATCATTGGAGGACAATAGAGAGTTCAACTTAGTATCATCTACACTCACACCACTATCCAGAGTGATGAACTCCACTGAACTCAGTATCAAGATACAGACCAAGAGTACTGATGTTAATGGCCCTGTGCTCCAGAATCTGGATATCCGTACCAAGTCAGTTGATGTTGGTTCCCAGGACCGAAGAGTACATCTAGAGTTCATTGTCTCAGATGACAAGGGATACTCAATCAATCATCTCCCAACAGTATACTTCACATCCGATGTATTCCAGATCACATCATTACCAACATCAATCATCAATCAAACTGGAAACACAATCAGTTTCGCATGTGATGGTCAACTACCTTATGGATTTGGAGTTGGAAATGGAATGGTATTGGTATCCATTTATGGATTGATGGATACAAGTCAGAATCTTAATGGATACTCATCAACTGAGTTGGCTGCACTTGGTTTGGAGTCAGAGATCAAGATAACACTCACACAGACCGTACCTTGGATTGAGGATACATTGCGATCACATGGATCAGTGACTGTGTTTGGCAAGAACTTTGGATACAATTCAACTACTGAGGCAGTCATCACACTCAGCACTGGTGAGATCAGAGTGTCACCTACATTCCAATCAGGTACAATGTTGATATTCAACAGTCTGGAAATCAAACCAACAAACAACTTCACAATAGGTATTGATAAGACACCTGGTGGATTGTCCAATGTTGTGCCCATCATATATATCCCGCCAGGTAATGACAAACGAGATGTCTTTGTACCATGCCCAGGAGCAGGAACATCCTCAACATGCTCTGGAAATGGAATATGCATGCCAACCCTTGGTTGTCAATGTGATCCAGGATGGTATGGACCTGATTGTGGATCAAGTAGGTACTTCATTCCACCACCGGAATTATTCCAATCACTCATTCATTCAATCAATCAATCAAACTAGATGTCATTCCAATTGTGCCACTGGTCGACCCATCTCAGCCTTCGGCCACATACACGATCAATGATGGTGGACTCAACATTAGTGCCATGATCAGTATTGTAAAGTTGATAGAGTATGATCAATCTGGATTGGTTTCAATCATGCAGTATGATTTGAATAATTGGACATTGACCAACTCAGTTGGTAATGTATCCAATGAGTATGAGACTATTGTGAAGAATGGAGCATCGATCAAAGTGACCACGCAATGGTACTTTAGCAACTCCACCATGCCCACCACCGTCTACTTTGCAGGCGATCCCAATCAAGTCCAGCAATACACTCTCAAGGTATCGATTATGATCACCGACTATCCATTCAGATCACGTCTGAACAGTCTTCAACTTGTGATGAATGCATCGATTGATGCTGTCTCAGATGGTCAGTCATGCTCACTCAAACAGTTGGTCATGGATCAGAGCAACTCGAGTGTGGCATGGATGAGGCTACGCATCAACAATGTCAATCTCTATGGACAGTTCATTCAAAAGGTCATCGTAGACTATCGCAACGCCATCGCTCGTACCGTGCCACTAGACTCCAACTCGCAGGCAACTGACGGACACTCAGCATCAACATTGATTGGAATCAATATGCCCTATTTTGACATGTTCGCAGCGATTGATCCCAACTTCCAAGTGTTGATTGACTCTGATGGTGACAAGAACAATAAGATGGACTATGACAAGTGTACCAATCAATCAAGTTCATCAGGATTGTCCAAGATGGCATTGATAGGTATCATCATTGGTTGTATTGTAGTGGCTGCTGCCATTGCCACTGGAGTTGCCATGATGTTGCGCAAGAACTATCATGAGAAGATGGACAACAAGAGAGTACAACATCGTCTACGTGAGTTGCAGAAATAAATGTTTCAACATGGATACATGACATCATCTTGTATTTGGTACAATGTCATGGTTTGGTTTGTGTAGAGTGATGGTGGACGTGGGGGTAATGGGGGGAATTGGTAGACCAAACCCTAAGGCCGCAATTGTGTGTTCCCGAGGGAATGGTTAAATGAATGAATTGATGATCAATCATCTATTTCGGGTGAATTGTCGGCATTGTTTCGGATGTTACCACAATTGTAATTATGAGTGTCATATGTGGAAAGACCCAGGGAGACCGAGAGCCAATCGACTTTTGATTGATGGGCTATAGTGCAAACATTGAGATATTTTTTATAAATAAGGCCCTATTCTGTCCGATCACTGCCCATCATTGATATTTATTTAAAGGTGAAACATACCTCATGAATGGGATCATTATCTCAACGATTCCTCGAGGAATGACTTCAACAACAACAACAACAACAATATTAATGGGTTCAAAATGGACGTGGCTTCCTGTTCCACCAAGTTTGAGAACACTAACACTGATTGGAGTGGAGTGAGTTAAGTGGAGTGATCATTCTTTAACAAACATAGATATAACAATCATTCAATCACTTTCCAACAATGATCAATCATATTATTTCTCTCGCAACAGTAGTGATTATCCTTAATCTCTTTGTTGGTAAGTATTTATGATTAAATTATGATCAAACCAAGAATGATATATACTAACTAATTGACACCCAATTATTAGTTGCCTGTTTATCAGCATCACATCCTTATGTTATATTGGATACCAAGGCAGCTGGGACTTTAACCAAAGATGGTTGTTTGGTTGATGTTTTAATTAAGATTGATACAACACGTTATATTCTCACTATAAATGGAGAACCAATTAGTGACAACTTAAGGATATTGGACTATGAGCTCAACATCCAGATTGGAAGAAGCGAAGATAACAGAGTACCATTCGGTTCACAACTAGTGACAGGAAACATCACTGTAGTCGGCAGTGCCACCACCCAAGACTGGAACGCGACATTCTCATGTCCATGTAAGTCATTCAATCAAATATTGGAATTACTCCAAACGATCAAATATGACTAACTTGTGAATGATAGTCCCTCCTTCAACATTAGAGGTATTATCCAAGACTCCCTTGGTATCAAATAGTGTCAACCCATTCCAGTATAGTCTGTACACAGCTTTGAATGATGTGTCGTCATACTTTACTTTGAATACTCCTGTTTCAGGACCAAGTAATCGAGTTGGTTGTTCTGCCTTTGGATACATATGCCAGATGTTTGAGTATTATAACACCAACGCAACTTCAACCAATGGTTATACCACATATATGTTATCATTGTTTCCAGATCAAGTAGGTTATAACTACAGTCAAGATATCACTGTATTATTGGTATCATCAGTTCAAACATCAGCATCAATCGTCTACACATCACCTTATGCAGGACAGTTCAAGTCCAATGTCCGTGTCAACTCAGTTGTAGCCTATCCCTCAGAGTCATACAAACAGTTGGACTATACTAATATGAAGGTAGACTTCTTTGTCAACTCGACCGGACTCAGCTACATAGTCAACAACCTTACAGAATGTAACACTGTCGTCAAGAGAGTACTCGGATCACCAAGCACCTCAGTCCTATCCTACTACTTTCATATGATATACCGTCCGGTGGAGATTGAAGTCCAACAAGTCAACTCCAGTCTCAAGACCACTTCTTCATTTTCTTGGTCCAATGGTAAGTACACCCTCACTGGAATCATTCCAATCAATCGATCACTCACCATACACTCAATCAAACAGATAAGTTCCCTGATGTTACCACAGTTCCTTTGAATATCCAGTTCAAGGAGACGGTTTCAAGTTTTGTGACTACTGTTATTGATGCTTCGTTGAACACTTTCAAGTCTCATCAGATATCGGGAGTAAATGAGATTCAGAAGACATACGTCTCGTATCCATTCGGCTTCAAGTCCAACTCCAACCCATCATCACTCACCTTTGAAGCTGTATTCTCCATGAATGAGTACCGCCTTCCCAACACCTCAATCTCGATCTACAGACCTCAAGTTGACTATGCATCCTTGGAAACCGCTTATGGCAACACCACCAGCATCGGTATGTTACTTCGCCCTCCCTTCCCTCACTTGACTACTCTAGACTAACTCTTGCCCTCGCCCATACATATATATATCAGATGATCTACCTCCAAGTTTGATCAATCTAAACTTTGTAGCGATTGACCCATTCACATACTTGGTACAAGCAGAGGTGAATGATTCAATGAGTAGAGTAGCAACTTTGATGTTGTATTATGGCAGAGAAACAATTGATACGATATTATTGACATCTGCCGATGTTGTTGGTGGTGGTGGAGATAACAACAATCATGTATTCTGGGAGTCCATTGTAACTATCAACAGTAGGAGCACCAACTATATACCAAGACCACGTGAAGTCCATCTATTTGACTATACAGGCAATCAGATGGCTTCATTAAGCAACTTTGGCCGAGTATACTCCTTGATCTACAATGCCAACTTCAAGACCATTAACAGTCCAGGTTGTAAGTACCTCCCTCCATCAATCACTCACTCACTCAATCACTCAATCACTAACTCACTCAATCAATCAAACGAATAGTACCCATCACTATTGACATGATCACTACATTCAAGTTTGATAAGTATGTGATGGATGTATCGAGTGGATCAGTGAACAACAGGTTGTTATTCAATATGTCAAAGATTGTGTATAGTTGGAAACCAGAGTTGGTCTTTGGTGATGATTTACAGAATCCAATGTATCGTGCTCGTGGTAAATATGACTACAGTCTTCAGTTGTATGTCATACCATTCACAGTGCCAGCCAGGACGTTCACAACCTCCATGAACTACTTCATTGATTGTCGACCAGAGCACCTCGACATTGCCTTCTTCAATCTCAAATTCCCCAACACCTCCACAGTCCAGATCATCTCAACATGTATGTTATGCCCTCATTCAATCAATCATTCAATCAATCAATGACTAACACTTCACATGATCAAAGATGGTGATGAACTTCCACCGATGATCACCAAGATATTGGCTTTCCCAAACAAGACAGTTGATATATCAAAGGGTACTTCTACTTTGATTGGATGGGACCTGACAATTGAGGATGTACCAAATGGATTCAGCAAGGGAGTGTTCAACATCAGTAGTAATACCGATGGTCAATACCGAGTGATCACAATTGGTAATGAACAATTAGTTAATGGAGTCTATCAACTTAGATTCAACGTATCAATGTGGTTGAGAACACAAACATTCACCATCCAAGACATCCTACTCATTGACACTTCAAACAACACTGGTCGATACCACAAAGACTACTTTGTTGGCCCTGACAACCTCATGTCCTCCATCAACCCACTTGGAAAGGTGATGGGATCTCCAGAGCTAAACCTCACAATCATCAGCAGTATGTACCCAATCACTCAACCAATCAATCACCTATTAACCATCTCACATTCTATCTCTCAGACACTGGAGCAGTGACAGCACCTCAAGTAGTTAGTGTTCAGTTGTCTAGGACTAGTGTGGATGTTGGATCAAGTGATAGGTCAGTCGGTATAACGTTCACAGTTGATTGTGGAACCTATGCCTATGCATTCGATCATTCGCCAATGGTATACTTCACATCATCATTCGATCAGATTACTGGATGTACTGCTACATTATTTTCGGATGATCAAGTCAATGTGATCATATTCCAAGCCAATTGTACACTGCCATATTCATTTGGATGGCCATCACGTGTAGCCTATCTCTCCATTCATGGACTTATGAATATTGCCGGATACATGTCTGGATTCTCGAACCAAGCACTTCCCAATAACAACGTCACAAGATTGGACATCTCATTCTCACAAACAAGTAAGTACTAATCACTCAATGCACACATGGAACCATTCCACAAACTTATTCAATCAATCATATTTAGCACCCATCATTGAGAGATATTTGGTTTCACCTGGATCAGTGACTATCATTGGAAGGAACTTTGGTCTTGCACCTGGTTTGGTCAAAGGTGCACTGGACTTTGGTAAATCAGTTGGTATGCCATTGGGCATATTGCCATCAATCCAATCAGGTTCAATGTTGATCATTGAAAGTGGGTACATCATGGCCAAGCCATTCAATATCACAATCAAAAACCTTGGTATTTCATCAAACATGATCCAAGTCAACGACCTACTTCCAACTAATAGCAGTGGTGGCAATGGAGGTGGTAGCAGTGGCAGTGGCGATACCAATGGTAACTCTACACAGCCAACGGTTACGTGTCCAGGCTCCCCACCTTGCTCCAATAATGGCGTGTGTAGTCCTACTCAGGGATGTCAATGTGTGAGTGGATGGTATGGCGAGGACTGTCTTTCAAAGGTGACCGACTCTGTGCCAACATATCAAGATGATCAACCAGAGACAACTATTGTCGACAACAAGACATCTACCATCTCGACGATCGATGTTGTCAAATTGAAAGAGTTTGACAATGTTGGAAACATGGTCGATCAGATGTATTTGATTGATTGGAAGCAGGAACCAATGAGTGGCGCAACGAACAATCTGAGCAAATCATACTCAATCTCATCAAGGGGTGGTGGACTGGTCGTTGTCAATGTCCAGTGGTTTGATCAGGACACCGATATCCTCTTTGCTGGCGACACCATCCACATGAAGAAGTCAACGTTGAAGTACACAATCAACTTGTCCAACTACACATTCAAATCAACGTTGAACACACTTCAGGTCATAATGCGTGTGGCCATCAGTGGACCTGACAGCAACACTTGCACACAACAAAGTGTTGGCAACATTGACGGCGAGGACAACAGTCTATATTGGATGCGTCTGAGGGTCAATGACGTCAGCTTGTACGGACACTTCATCCAGCGTGCATTAGTTGATAATAGGACACATATTATATCAAATGTATTGTTGGATTCATCTGAGCAACAATCAAACAATCAGGAACAGGCAACAATGATAGGTATCAATGTACCTCATTTTGATCATCAAGTTACACTGGACCCCGATTTTCAATTATTGATCGATACTGATGGCAATGGCAGTGGTACATGTGGATCAAGATCAAAGTCATTATCAACCAATGCTTTGATAGGTATCATTGTTGGCGTGGCAATAATAACAACTGCCATAGTTGTAGCTATTGTGATGTGGAGACTTAAGAAACATAAAGATATCAGACACGAGAAACAGATGCAAATCAAACTTCAAAAGTTGACATCATAAGTATCGCCAGTCTGGCATAACACAATAAACTTCTTATTATTAAAGTAATCAATGATTCTCTACTTAAGGATTGAAGGACCATCTAATTCCATTATGACCTTGGACAATGCCCAGCCAGTGGACATATGAGTGAGCATGGCTGCCGTCTGAGACAAGTTCCATGTTTGATCCAAACTTTCTGGAGTGAGTGTGATTGAGTGATTGAATGAGTTAAGTACATACCATTACATGATTGAGAGCTAGTCGCTGGTGCTGCAGGATGATTGTGTTATTTGGCCTTTGGACTCTTGAGTTGCTTCAATGACCATCTATCTCTGGGGGATACGATGTCTAAGACTTGATGAAATGGTGATGCAAAGTATGAGTGGATTGAGTAGAATGTTGTTTGTTTTGATAGATGGCAGAAACGAAACATGTCGATTCGAACGAGCTTATAGAGGGCATATATCTCCTCAAAGTCCTGCCATCTCCTCTTTGAATGTGTTCTCTCGATATGATTCATGAATTGCTGCATATGATTAAACTCTTGAATTCTATGACTTGCTATTGATTGGATATAGCATTTGAGGAATATGTAGGGCATGTTGATGACATACTGTCCATTATTGTCATCTTCTAATCTTATTATGGATTTCCTTTCCTCTTTCTCAAAGGTAGTGTTGGCTCCTTCTGCAGGAACTTGTTGGTCCAGGTAGATATGAGTGTTCGTGAGACACAGTGCAATCAGTACATGTGCATGGAGTGGCGGTGTGAATAGATTGCTGTAGGAAGTTCCTTTGATCTTGCCAACGAATTGATTGACAGCAGCAGTGAAGGTGGTGGATTCATGATTGAGGCTTGGATAGAAGTCAAAGATGAACAATTGCAACAGTCTTGGCCACCCACCCAGTGAGTCGAGGAGAAGTTGAATGAGTGGTGGGACATGAGTTATACCGAGTAGGGTACTAACAATACTCTTAGTATCATCCTTGCTCAGAGGAGGAAGTGGAATGACCTTGGCCGCATGTGAGGCGTCTTTAGTGATGACCTCATTGAGTTGGAGTCGGGGCGTTCCAGCATGGATAACATTGAGGAATACATCACCGACATTGTGGATAAGGACATGTTGATCAAGACAAAGTCATTATCATTTGATTTGTATCATTGTTGTTTGAGTTGCGAGTCAGCAAAAGTTGTAACTAATATTACAGATATAAGAAACAGATGTATATCAAACATCGAAAGTTAACATCATAAGTATGCTATACTTAATAATATTATGCTACCCTTGCTAGTGCCTCTCCTCCATCAATCGTGATCCCTCCCCTCCACAACTCGCTTCCACAACCCTCGAGATTGATAGTTTCCTTTGACAAACCACGAAAAGGTAGATATTTGTTTCGAAAACGTTGAAGATTGGTGGGGCGAATCCCATCTTCAGAAAGAGGCCATGATGGGCGACAGAGGGCAGAGAACTAAGATATTATTATTGTTCCGATTTCCTATTGGAAGATTCAGCTGATCGGTCAGGATGGACAGTCCATCATCATTATTCTGTACAAAGTATTCTCTAACATTTGTTTCCTGACTATCTTCCCCTCCACAACACATTGAATAACTTCATCATTATTATACACATTCAAATATTATTTATATATATATAATTGAATATCTATGTCTAGATTGATAATAATAATATTATTTATTACCATATTTGGTAATTTGATCAGTAGGTCCAAAAAACGAAGTCCTTAGAAGTTGCCCCACTCACACACTCACACTTAAATCAGATCAAACACAATCATTTCGAGTATTGGATACTAGGGCCATTGGACAGTACACAAGTACAGGATGTAATGTTGAAGTGATCATTCAAGTTGATACAATAAGTCCAATTACAAAGATAAATGGATATTCATCACTTGTGACTAAAGATCATCTTGTATTCGATGTAAAAAATAACCTACAAACCATACGTGTCACCAGTCTACCGCCAATGACATTCGGTAACACTATCACTGGTAACATAACCGACAGTACTGATACAACCGTACCTTGGACCATATCATACTCATGTCCATGTAAGTTGACTCAATCACTCGCTCACTCGCTCACTAGCTCACCTTGTGATCACTCGATTGGTCATGCGATCCAACTTGGAATCATTCCAATCACTCAATCATTCACTTTGATCACTCCACTCATTCACTTTGATCACTCGTTTGATCATTCGATCCAATCTTGGAATCATTCCAATCACTCGATCAATCACTAACAATCACTACTCAATCAATCAATCAATCAATCAATCAAACATACTTAGCAACATCAACTAAGCTGGCTGTTGTGTCAAGTACACCGTTGGTGTCGAACAATGTCAATCCATTCCAGACAGTGTTGTTGGGAATGTTCAAGGTTGTTTATGATGTTACCTCGTTCGTAACATTGAATGTACCACAGACTGGCCCCTCAACAGTAGTGACATGCTATGCCAATGGCTACTCATGTGATCTGAGGAAGCATTTCACTCAATCAAACAACCCATCCATAACTACATATCGCGTGTATGTAGTACCGAGCACTTTCGTAAAGATAGACTTCACCAAGGTCATCACATTGATGTTCACCGCGGCCCCATTCGGATCGATTACCCTGGACTTTGCGTCGCCGTTCGCAAATGCCACCGAGAGCGCTTTGAACATGGTGGTCTATCCCGATCCCCTGACATACTCGCAAGTCGACTATATGTATCAAAAGGTGGACATCTTTGTAAACTCAACAGGTCAAGGACTATCATACTTTATATCCAACATCACAGCAACCAACACCATTATCAAACGTGTACTCGGCTCACCAAGTACATCAATCCTATCCTACAACTACCAAATGATGTCACATGGCAATGGACCCTCCGACATCATTGGGTTCACCCAAATCGACTCCACTCCCAACGCATTATCTACATATCAATGGACCAATGGTATGAATGACCTTGCCTTCGCCCTAACCCTCGCCCTAACCCTCGCCCTCACCCTCATTAGGAAATCATCAAATACCATCTGGAAGTAAGATTGGTCTGGTGCTGATGGATAGACAGAACTTGTTCGTGTCAATGTTGACGACGATGACAATGGAGACATTCTTGGGACACTCAATCAATGCATTGAATCAGCAGCATAGGAAGGCAATTGAATATCCATTTGGATTCATCTCCAACGTCGATCCCAAATCACCATCATTCGAAGCAGTATTTGCCATGAGTGAGTACCGACTACCCTACTCTCACATTGGCATCACCGGCTTTGAGTTTGACAATGGCATCAACAGTACTATTTTCCCCAACACCACCGAGATTGGTATGTATCCTCATCATTCATTCAATCAATCAATCGAATGATCACTCACTAATATTCAATCAAACCATCAGACTTATACGCACCAACATTGATCAATATCACTTTTGTACCTATCAATATGATGGAGTACTTGGTACAGGTGGAGGTGGAGGATGTGACGAGTGGATTTGGTTATTTGGTATTGGAGTATACTACACAGGATAAGTTAACATTGTCTCCTGCGGACATGGTTGGCGGTGATATCCATCATGCATACTTGGCCAAGATCATAACAATCCCATGGCAGAGTTCCAACAATGCACCAGCACCCAACACAATCTACATCTATGACAATGCTGGAAACGAATGCTCACTTCCATTCATTGGCTCAGGAGTGATCTACAATCCACAGCTCAAAAGCACGGCCGACAGTCCAGGATGTAAGTAATTACATCCAATCACACTGGAATCATTTCAAAGACTAACCCATCACTCTATCAAACTTAGTATCAATCACTTTGGCGGATATTACATCATTCACATTTGAAAAGACTGTTATGGATGTATCGAGTGCGTCGATGAATAATACATTGACATTCACAACATCAAAGTTGATCAATAATTGGATACCTATATTGGTGTTTGGTGATGATCTCTCCAATCCTTATTATAGAGCACGTGGTCATTATGACTATGCTACCAGTAGCTACATCATACCATTCACAGTTCCAGCCAGGACATTCACCACCACCATGAAGTACTACCTCGAGTCACGTCCAGAGTTCATCGACGTTGCACTCTTCAACTCCAAGTTCCCCTCCACCTCATCAGTCCAGATCATCTCAACTTGTAAGTTCATCCATGTACTTTGATTGATCATAATACTAATCAATCACTTTTGAATGAATATAGATGGCGATGAACTTCCACCAATGATCACAAAGGTTGTGGCAGTGCCTTCGAAGGATGTTGTGATTGATTCAGTGGCGGATACGACGGATGTGGGATGGGACTTGACTATTGAGGACCAACCAAATGGTTTCAGTTATGGTAGTGTCAACATTAGTAATTCATTGGATGGTCAATTGATATCGATCAACTTTACAAACAATGACGTCGAAGCAGCCACTGGTATATACAGACTACGTATCAAAGTATCCAAATTCCAACGTGTACATAGTATCACAATTGAAGACATAATGTTGGTTGACACTATGAACAACGTTGGACGATACGCTCGTGACCCAAATGGACTTGATCTCATGACCGCCATCAGTCCCCTTGCCAAAGTCCTCGGATCACCCGAGCTCAACATCACCCTCACCAACTCAGGTATGTCCCAACCCTCACTCAATCACTCCTGGAATAATCCCTAACATACCCCTCACATACCATCACTCAATCAATCAATCATAGAGCAAGAGTTGTCACCACCACAGTTGTTGTCAATGTTCGTGTCAAGACGTGATGTGGATGTTGGTAGCAATGATAGATGGGTACAGGTGAACTTGTCAGTGTCTGATACCATATCTGGATATGACTTGGGTCATTTGCCAACAGTATACTTCACATCAACATATGATGAAGTAGTTGGTTATCAAGCAGAGTTTGTCAGTGCCAATGCAAATGGATCAATAGTCAACTTTACAGTCAACTGTCTACTCCCCTACGGATTCGGATCACAAGCAAAGATAGCATACCTCTCCATCTATGGGTTGATGAACAAAGCACGCGACCTTGGTGGATACTCAAACAAGGCACTAAGCAATCATCCCAATGCCTACATCAACTTCCTCAACATTCAATTCACTCAAACAAGTAAGTACTCACTTATATTCAATCAATCACTCGATGGAACCATCTCACTCAATCAATCAAACATTTTTAGCACCTATTATTGAGAAATACTTGGTAACACCTGGATCATTGACCATTATTGGAAGGAACTTTGGAATGAATCCTGGACAGGTCAATGGTGTATTGGGCTTTGCTGATGTTGGAAACGTAACAAAGTCACCATCATTCCATTCTGGTATAATGTTGATCATCAACACTCCATCAATCAAGTTGGATTCATCATTCAGTGCAACAATCAACAACAACAATATATATTCCAACACAATATATATCAATGCAGACCCAACAAACAATGGCAACGGCAACGGCAATGGCAACAAGACACAGCCGACTATCACATGTCCTGGCACCCCAGTATGTTTCAATCGAGGATCATGTTCCCCAACTGTTGGATGCATCTGTGACCCAGGATGGTACGGTAATGACTGCACTTCAAGTAAGTACAACTCTTTTATTCAATCAATCAATCAATCAACTCACGCAATCAAACGTATAGCTGTAACTGGATCCGACCCAACATACGATGGCGAGAAGCCAATGACATCGATTGTTGATGGCAATACAACAGTTGTGTCAACGATCAATGTGGTCAAGTTAAAGGAGTTTGATAATGCTGGGAATATGGTTGATCAGATGGATTTGATTGATTGGACATTGATCAATGAGACTGTAAATGGCAAGATATACTCTGTCGACACAAGAGGTGATGCCAAGATGAAGGTGGAGATCAAATGGTTCGACCAGGACACCGACATTCTCTTTGCCGGAGACACACTACACATGAAGAAGTCCACACTCAAGTACACGATCAGCATGTCCAACTACCCATTCAAATCAAAGTTGAACATACTACAAGTCATAATGAGAGCATCGATCAATAGTTCAAACAGCAACTCATGTTCAACCAAGCGTGTTGGCAACATTGATGGCAATGGCAATGATGATGGTTTATACTGGATGCGACTCAAGATCAATGGTGTCAGTCTCTACGCACATTTCATCCAGCGTGCATTAGTTGATGGAAGACCACATGTTATATCAAATGCGTTGTTGGACAAATCTGAACAAGAGGCATCGATCAACAACATCAACAACAATCAGGCACAGGCAACAATTGTAGCAATCAATGTTCCACATTTTGATAGAGATGTCATACTTGATCCAGATTTCCAATTATTATTGGATGTTGATAAAGTTAGTGGAGATGACAATGATGCAATATGTTCATCCAAGACAAAGTCATTGTCCACTATTGCAATGATTGGAATTATAGTTGGAGTGGTGGTAATTGTTCTAGCAATTGTTGCCACAATCATATTACTTCGCAGGAAGAATTTAAGGATGATCAGGGACCAAAAGAGGATTCAACAAAGACTCCAAAAACTTCAACAACACCAATAATAATAAAAATAATATTAAACTTTAAAGTAGAGTACTCTACTTCATGGATATTTATTAATACTACTCCTCAAAATACGACATTTCTATCATAGGAAGGGGAGGTCGATTAGGATGAAACACAACACGTCTTGATTGTGGATCGATAAAAGTATCTTCTTTATCGGGGATGTTTGAGAGATGGATAAAATTTGAATCAGGGATCCACTTAACTTGAGGATCTAGATCCAGATAAATGTTTGAGGACACACTATCCATAAACTTGGTACCTTCGGGAATCACATTGTGTCCATATTGTACTTCTTCACCCTCAATAACATTCCAATTACCGAGGACAATTGTCTCCTCTTGTTTAGATAAAGTTCCTTTAACATTTAATAATATAATTATTATTAAAGATATATAAAAAATATTATATTTATTAATAAATGACATTTAGTTTTTATAAATATATATATTAATTAGTAACAAATTGATATAACAATGTTAACAATAAATATTTATCTATTTATATATTTTTATCACGATTCAATCGATCAACTTTTTGTAGGATTAAGATAAAATCTATACCATTAATATAATAAATATAATTTGTTGTAAGTGGTCCGCTCAACCCCCTATTATCACATTACAAAGTTGATTGTTGGAACTTCAATTTCATCCAACATGCATAACCCGTAAGGGTAAGTTGATGGAACACCAATCAAATGTTTATTAAAAATCTGAGAGACACCTAAGAACAACAATCAGGAACAGGAAATAATGGAAATCTTATATCCTAGTCCTGTAAAGGCACCATTTTTGAATTAATACTTCATTTTGCAAACAACAAATAATGAATGAATACAGTAATAATAAGTAATAATACATAAATTATGGAGAACCATTGGTGTAAGAATCATAACTTGGCACATAGGTTTATATGTTTAGATTGTAATACATTGATATGCGAGTTGTGTATATGTTCAACTCACAAGAAGCATGATGTTGAGAATGCACAACATCTTAGATCATTGATTGATCAACGTCAATATAATGATTCATCAATGTCAAGGTTGAAGTTATTATGGAGTACACTTAAACAGTTATCAACAACATATCAATCATTGACAGATACCAACAAAGAAGTGACCGATCACTTCAAACAACTACATGATATGTTAGTTATTGAGGAGCATAAGATAACATCACCAATCAATGACAAGTTACAACAAACATCAACAATAATACATAATATAATCAATGAGATCAAGAACATCAATAATATATTCAGACCTATAATAACAACAACAACAACATCGACAACAAAGTGCTCAACAACAAGTGATGATGATGTCTTGGACTTTGACTTTGAACTTGATATTGCGATGAGTGATATCGTTCGTTCAATCACATCTTGTGACTCTATCGATCAGTTCATCGATCAAGCAATACCAACACAGTCATCCACCTCATCCTCCTCAACAACACCATCGTCATGCGATAGCACTCAGACCTCGGTAACAGACAATGACATTGAACTGCTGATAACTATTCAAGGTATTGTGGAGGCGATGAACACGACACAACATCAATTGGTCAGACCATGTACAGTGGAGGTTGACACAGACATGTTGGACTCAATCAAAGATCACCTTCAATCATGCTTCAGACTGTTGGACGACAATGATGATGCTGAGAAGTACACACATGGTCTTGATCATCATGTGATGTGCATCGGTCAGGATTCATACTCATTGTTCAATCCAATCAGCAATGAATGGACTCATGTCAGAGATGAAGGGAATAAGAACATTGAATACCTATTCATGTCAACTGTATATGCACGTGGAAGAGTGTATCTATTTGGTGGAGGCATCAACGACGAAGCCGAACAAGCACTATACTCAAGGTTCAATCTAGACTCTCGACGGTGGGATCTTCAACAATCAATCGATAATGTGTCAGGTGGATATACCATCGCCTCTTGCTATGATGGCAATCAGCTAATCTACTTGGTGGGTGGCATATCCGGTTCAACATACTTGACACGAGTGGACAGCTTCAACATTGACACCCAACAGTTCACTCACGTTGGGGATCTCAATCAAGAACTGACTGCGACCTACCTAGTGCACCACGACAACATACTCTACTGCATCGGTGGCCGCTCCAAAGACAACCCCCTGTCTGGCAAGTGCATCTATACATTCAACCTGACCACCAAAGAACAGACTACCGTCGACTTGCCAACATATGTTACATCATATTGCCATGATGGACGTGGAATGCTGTATCTGTACTCCAAAGCCTTCAACAGAATGTCATTGTCCACAATGGAGCTTGTAACACTTGCAACTCCACCTCATTGTCCTTTAAGGATGAATAATATGGTATACAGTTCAACATCACCGTCAAGGGAGGAGACAATACTCCTGCTTCAAGGCCACGACTTCAACTTCCGTTACTCAATCAAACATAACGAGTGGACCAAGATCAACGACAATGATCCAATATCAAAGAGGGATGAACATGGAATGTGTGTATTATACGACAAGCCTATTAAACAAGGTGATTAATCACAGGTGATTGGTGAACTTGGGTGTCTCATGATGCTTGTCCTCTGCTCCGTTGGCATATGAGTGAATGGGGATGGCGGCGAACTGCTCTTGGGTCAGTCCTTGTAGACAGTTGATGCTAACATAGATGAACTTTCCATAGCCTGGTATGTCTGTCTTGAGATAGGTCTGAGTGCCACATGTCTTGCAGAAGTAGTGATCCACTCTCTTTGAGGCATAGTTGTACACTGAAACAGTGTCCTCTGATGAAAGCAGTTTGAATGAGTCGAGGTTGGTCACTGGGTGTGCCCAAAGACGAGTGATGAAGCAGCTCGAGCAGTTACAACGACCACTCTTTCCCAAGTCCTGATCAAGGTCTGCTTGGAACTTGACGTTGCCACAATGACATGCAAGATTGAATGTCTTTTGAGGTGTTGGTGTTGCAGTCGTTGGTGTTTGAGTTGCTGATGATGACGCTTCAGTTGACATGTTTGAATGATTGATCGAGTGTGCTCGTTTGATTGATAGATTGAAAGGGTCACGAGTGATTGATTATATAATTCTTGGAAGTTGGTGATCCACGAATGGTCACGTGACTAAAAACAAGGTGTCTGTCCACATGGAACCTCTTCGTGGATACCTGGGAGGAGCATGACATTTGGAATAAGCCCAACTTTATTTGGTATAAGGGCGGCCAATCCTTGTCCTTCCCTCTCGTTCAAGTTGTCAAGACAGAGAGTACTTTACATGATGCGATCACATTCGTAGCATCATGTTACAAATGTTTGGTGAACTTGGGCGTGTTCATAAAGTCGTCATTGGCACCATCACCATACTTGAAGGGTAGTGATGCGAACTGCTCTTGAGTGAGGCCGAGAAGACATGGTACACTGACGTACATGTATGGACCATAGCCTGGATAGTCACCTTTGATATGAGTCGGAGTGCCACAGGTCTTGCAGAAGAAGTGTTGACACTGCTTGGTGCCGTAGAGGTATTGAGATACGTTCTCCTCTGGTGTGAGCAACTTGAATGAGCTCATATTGTCAATTGGATGCACCCACAACCTAGTGATGAAGCAACTTGAACAATTGCATCTGCCGCTCTTTGACAAACTCTCTTCCAACTCTGCTTGGAACTTTACATTGCCACAGTGACATGATAGATCAAACAACTTTTGTATTGGTGTTGTCACTGTTTCTGATGATGTTGATGGTGGTGTTGCTGTATCTGTTGACATTGTGAATGATTGATTGAATGATTGATTGATGATTGAAAGTCAAATTCATGAATGATTTGGTACATCAACAAGGAAGTGAATGTAACCTTGTAAAGTTGAGTACTTCCAGGAAACCAGGTTATAGTACTACTACCTACTAGTTTCGAGAAATGGAAGATTACATCATGTTGACAACATTGTTTATTACTGCATTATTATTTCTTGAATCCTAGACTTGGTCACGAACCCATATGGATTAGCCCATTTATCATAAGGATAACTCTTGGAAGATGGACAACAAAAGAATAATTGATCGTTGATTCTTATCAATTTGAACATACCAGTGACCTCCAGAACCATAACCGAACTCGGCAGTTCTTGAAGTATGTGAACAGAATGTCTTGTCAATACTGTCTTGAGTTTGATAAGTGAGGGTGGTAGTACATTGATATCCAGTTGTTGTTTATAATCGACCAATTCCAACTTTGTGACTGATGGTGGTATGTCACCTGGCTTGATATTCCTTGCATTGGATAACTTTAGACTGGTGATAGATGACGGTAGGCAACCTGGCATTTCATTGGCAAAGTCAGAGCCACTGACCCTCAACTTCTCAACACCAAATGGAACTGTAAGGTGACTTAAAGGAGCGGTGTGCATCTGGTAGACGCTCCAGAAAATGACACAGCTCTTGAGTGATGATGACATTTGGCTAATATCGAGTGAAGTGATATCATCACCTTCATTCAAAGTAAGTCGAGTGAGTTGGGGAAATCTTGATGCGGTGACATCGTTCACCCTACATGTCTCATTAACATTGTCTACAAACAACTCTTTTAAGTTGGGATATTGATGACTGACAGGGATATAGGATTGGACAATGAGATATTCCAATGAAGGACAGTCCAAAGATAGGTTGATGAATGATCGTGGCAAACTGATTTTTTGGAGTCCATTAGGTAGATTGACCAGATCATGATGATAAATATCATTCTGTGCTTCGATATCCAATCTAGTGAGGGATGATGGTAGTACACCATTTACTGATTGATTGAAGAACTTGCCAAATGTAATTGTAGTGAGAGTAGTTGGGAATGTGTTTGGATAAATGATTTGATTGAACTCATTGTTGAATGATAACTCTCTAAGTCTGTTTGGCAATGATCCAGGTGTGATTGATCCATTCCAAAGTGATACAGATATAAGATTCAATAAAGTAAGACTGTCTGGAAGTGGCAATAATTTTTTAGGATCCAATTCACCTCTGTCCAAAAATGTAAGTTGTAGTCCTCTTAGAGTATTTGGTAGAGATATTCGTTGAATATTGTTGAAATCAGTGCTTCGACCAACATATACCAGTAGTGAGAGAGGTAGATGTTGCATTGAGAATATATGATAATCCAGAATCAAATTGACCTCCACCGACCTCTTTACCAAATCATCCAACAATAACTTAGTCTCATTCCAATTGGGATGCAAATTTGACAATGGATGTGTAGTTTGTTTATGTAATGGCTTCACTTTTTGAAAGAAACATACCTCTCTAAGGCATGGTAAATTCAATTGTTCTTTCAGTTTGTCTAAATTAGTGAGGAGTTGATTGAGAGTTAGACAGGAAGTATTCCACGATAAAAATTGTAATATATGTACCTAATAGTAATGGATGATTAAGTGAATAATACTCTTCCAATTTGATTATTAAGAATGATTTTGATCGACTATCAATCGACATTGACCATTTAATAATGTCTGTATATGATTTTAGATTATCACATTTACTCAAGATATTCAATCCAACAAAGTTAAGATATTTGGATCTATTTTCAAACAATCTTTTCGATACCATAGATAAGAATATCCTATCAACTACATCTTCCAAAAATCCAACAACATTGGAAATAATAAATTATGGTAATGTATCCATAATAAATAACTATTTAATAGATAAATAATAAACTATAATTAGTTCAATTTTGAGACCACACTGATATAGATATTTATTCATTGTATCGCACATGAGATGGATCGCAGAAAAGTACTTCCATCATGTGTGAATGAATGTGTGTGTGTGTGTGTGTGTGTGATCACTTCATTAATTATTGAATAGTTGTGAATTTTGTCCAATTAATTAATTAAAGGTGATAGATAATATACGAATTTGAATGAATGAATGAATAAATGTTTATTTAGGATAGAGTGCCATATATCTAATTTCTGATTGGAGTCTATAGTTGGAAATGAACCCATAAAGATTGGGCTTATTACCTTTCTGTGATATTGGACTCCTAAAGAAAATGTACATGTTGATCCTAAACAATTTCAAGTGTGCGAATGATCAATGATCATGGAAAGGAAGATTTTTACAATTTATTGAAGTCCAGAAATAATTTGAATTAATTGATTAATTAAATAATATAAATTGGATATTAAAGGTGATTGGTATACTTTGGTACATCCATAAAGTTACTGTTGATTCCATCGGCGTAGCGGAACTTGATGTTGGAGAACTCCTCTTGGGTCAGCTCCTCGAGACAGTTGATACTGGCGAGGATGTAGCGGCCATATCCTGGACAGTCGCCCATCATGTGTGTCTGGGTGCCACAGGTCTTGCAGAAGTAGTGCTCACACATCTTTGTGTTGTAGACGTATTGGGAGACGTTCTCCTCTGGTGTCATCATCTTGAATGTGCTCAGGTCACTGACTGGATGCACCCACATTCTAGTCTTGAAACAACTTGAACAGTTACATCTATGTCCCTTTGTAAGCTCCTTCTCCATCTGAGCTTGGAACTTTACACCTCCACAATGACATGATACAGTGTACAGTCTTTGAGGTGGAGGAGTGACAACAGGGGTAGCGGATTCGGACATGAATTGACTGACTGTTACTTATTAATATATATATATTATGTAATGTTTTTTAGTTTGTTGGCGTATGATTGAAAGGAATGACTTCTGAAGTCAAGGATTAAATGTCCGAAGATGTCCTCGTTTGAGGAGAAATGAAGTTTACAAGAAATCATGAATATATGTATAACCCATCTTGCTAAAGAACCCCCATTATGTTCATCAACCGTGTTCCATCATGAGTAACCCCACCGACCAAAAAGAAAACGAAACGTTGGGGTTTATCCCAAATATAATGTTTTGGCGCCAATCAGCTCTTCAGATATTAATAGTGATCATCCGATCGAATGTAATCTGAACATAATCATATGACTTTGGTGCAAGTACAGTCTGAATTGACTCTTCAAACACTCATAACCCTTTATTTCCAGGAATTGGACATTGAAGATATCTCTTTATCATTCAATCACCGATTCAATTTCATAGTGAGTCTTTATTTAAACATTCAACTTACTCAAATCAATCATTCATCACAATACAACTTTAATCACTTTCATCACTCAATCAACAACTAATCAATCAAATAATGGAAACCAAGGAACCAACCCCTCAAAAGACCTTTGACTTTGCTTGTCACTGCGGTGCCGTCAAGTTCCAGTGTGAGCTGGACCATGATCTTCGTCAGAGTGGCCGTTGCAACTGTTCAAGCTGCTCAATCACCCGTCTATGGTGCCATCCCGTCACCAACATTAGCTCATTCAAGATGTTGACACCAGAGGAGAACCAATCCGTCTATCGCTACGGAACAAACTACACTGGACACTACTTCTGCAAGACCTGTGGTACCCAGACCTACATCAAGGGTGACCATCCAGGCTTTGGCACCTACTCCTACGTGAGCATCAACTGTCTTCAAGGATTCACTCAAGAGCAATTCTCTGCCATTCCCGTGCACTATGCCAATGGAGCCGAAGACAACCACAAGGATACTCCAAAGTTCACCAGTCACTTGTAAAATGATGATCGTCGTCATCAAGTGATGTAATGTCCAACATCTCACACACTCGCACACATTTGACAAGATAGACGTAAATGTCTTTCTGTCATCATCACAATCGATCAACACATAATAAATATACTTATATATATTATATCAAACAAATATTACATGTTACAATAATGTGACTCAATCAGTTGATTGAACTTGTCATCGTCAAACTGCAAAGCTCCAACAAAACATGTGTTTTTCACACACTTTCAATGAATCTTCGAAGCAGAAATTAATCAAAAAGTGGTCAATTTCAAACCTCTTTCAGTCTTTGTGACATGTCAACCTCAATCATAATCAATCTTACCTTCTCAAGGTATAATATAATAATATTGTTTATATATATTGATATAGATATATATAGAGATAAATAGATAATGGATTACTTGACACACTTGACTCATAATGACAGGGGCATAAAGTTCTCTGATATATTCAACACGACGAAATTTCAATGGACTCAATTGACACGTGATCATTATTCAGTGTTGGCAAGAAAGTTGAGGAAATTAAGTAATAGAAAGGATTATGATAGTATTAAACATATCCTATCACGTTTGGATACACTTGGAAATGGTCTACTGCACACCATCATCCTCTCATCACAAATGTACGCCTCTGTCCACGAGGCCCTGCAGCCCATCTTCCAAATGTTTCCAGATTTGCTCAATATCAAGAATGAAGAAGAGGAGGTATGTTGTTCAAAGTTGGTCCGTCGGGTGACAGTGCAGTGAGTGATCGGGTCATGGAACTATCCCACTCACTCATTCAATCAATCAATCAATCAATCAAAAATAGACACCATTACATGTAGCAACACTAAATGGAAATAGACAGATGTTGGATGTATTGATTGGTCTTGGTGCGGATGGATCGATGGTCGACAGGAGGAATCTGACTGCACTTGATATTGCGACGTGGCTAAAGTCAAATGAGATGACAAAGTCGTTGGGAACACTAAAGACATCAAAGTTGACGGTGGTCGGCCCAGATGATCCCAACAGAGAATCACATGTGCCCATCTACCAATGGGGCCAGATGCTCACCTCATCACTTACGCTCAACTACGTGTCGGCACCGACCAGTCTGTTGTTCAATCACGTCGAACACTCACCTACCACCGTCAAGTTTGGCAACAACTTTGCCATCATGCTTACGGACACAGGTCACCTTTACAGCTGGGGACTCAGCAGCTACGGCAAGCTTGGCCATCGCTCCAAGAAGGACCTGTCCATCCCCACACCCATCAGCGCGCTAAAGAACAAACAGATCGTGGCCATTGCCTGTGGAAAGGACCACACGCTGGCACTTGACGAGATTGGAATCGTGCACGCCTGGGGTAACGGCTCGGGCGGACGACTTGGAGTTGGAAACACCGAGGCAGGCTTCATCGACACACCAACAATCATCCCATTCTTTGGCGACAAGAGTGTCACTGCCATCAGCTGTGGACAGGACTTCTCGATGGCCTTGTGCTCGGGCGGACAGCTCTACTCATGGGGAAAGGGCACGATGGGCAACTTGGGATACATGGGCGAGAATGGATTCGACTTCCAGGTGACGCCCAAGCTCGTTGAGAACCTGCCGCCCATCTCTCAGGTGTCATGTGGAAACTGGCATACGATCGTCCTGTCAGAGGAGGGCGAAGTCTACACGTTTGGATCAAACAAAGATGGCAGACTGGGCGTGCCCATCAAGACTTGTGCCAGCTCGTCGACACCCCAACTGGTCAAGTTTGACAAGAAGATCAAGAAGATTGGCGCTGGCTCCAACTTCAACGCCGTGCTCACAGACACGTCAAACTTCATCTATACATGGGGCTGCAATGCCAACAGCCAGCTGGGTGTGCTACTGGAGGGCCACGACAAGTTCACAGCGACTCCACAGTTGGTGCAGGCACTACTGCCCTACCCGGTCAGTTCGATCGAGGTTGGCTACGAGCACGTCATGGTGCTCACAGACAATGGCGAGGTCATCACCTTTGGTAACAACTCCAACTCACAGTGTGGAGAGGGCGAGGCCATCAAGGAGCTGTGTAACTTCACCAAGATCAGGACACCGGCCAACTCCACCGTGTTCAAGATCGCAGCTGGAGGCAACTCCTCACTCATCTCATTGACCAGCGGTCACAGTCTGTTTGGAACAGAGTTGGCATCTTTGTTGGGCGACACCAGCTTTGCAGACCTGCGTCTAACCACCAGCGGCAGTCAATCATCCACCGAATATGTTGAGTGCCATCGTGTGATTGTGGCCAGTCGTGTACCCAAGCTTCATCAGCTGCTGATGGACGAGCACAAAAGTCCCAACGCCAAGAACAAGATCAACGTAACAATGACGTACAGCGTGCAAGCCAGCACTGTGGACAACATCACCTACATCGACTTCCCAAACACATCGATCGAGTCGCTCAGACTACTCACCAAGTTCAACTACACGGACCATGCACACCTGTCCGTCTCCATTGTCGAGGAGCTGGGCATGATGGCCACGGGTCTGGGACTCGAGCGTCTGGCGTATCTCTGCAGCATTGGTCGCACCCGCTCCCTCGAGACCATGCCCTCGTCCAGTCTCATTGGCGACCTGAACAAGTTGAACGATCAATCATTCGCCAAGCACTACTACGACGTCAAGTTCAACATACATGAGCAGGGCGAAGAGGTGGCGACAGTAGTCCAATCATTCAAGGCAATGCTCTGTCTGCGCTCGCCATACTTTAGAATGATGTTGAAGGGACAGTTTGTGGAGACGAGCATGGAGTCAATCGATATGTACGAGATGTCAGTGGATGGCTTCAAGAGTCTGCTGCATTACTTCTACAGCAATGAGGTGCCGATCGATCCCAACAACTGTGTGGAGTTGGTCAAGCTGGCCGACTTCCATCAGCTGGGTCGCGCCAAGGAGTTGTGCGCCGCCGTGCTCAGGACCTACATTGACAACGACACCTTGTTGAACGTCTACAAGTTCTCTCTACAGTACAATCTAAGAGTGTTAACAGTACTATGTGAATCAAAGATAATCAAGTTACCCAGTGATGATATCAAAGTAGATACACTACCAAACTTTGATGAACTATCAGAAGAAGTCAGACAACAAGTTCTAAAGATGGTCGATGGATCATCATCAAGAAGTAGTAACAACAAGACAACAACTAGTACAACAACAAGCAGTACAACAACAACAACAACTTCAACAACTAGTACAAGTGATAATAATAATAATAATGTAGATAGTAGGTTTAGGATGGGAGGTCGTGGCGATGATGTACCAACAACTACAGGAGATAGGAAGGTACCTTCTGTGGAGTATGATATAGATGATCACAGTGGTGTACTTAGAGAAGAAGAGGAAGAGAGATTGAACAACAACAAGAAGAAAAAGAAGAAGAAGAGTTGGTGGAATCTATTCTAATAGATTGTTAAGATTAAGGTGAACACCTGTGTATAAATATCAAACAAATAGATATTACTCTATCTCTATCTCTCTCTCTCTCTCTTTCATTGATATTATTATGATGTAATCCACCCTAAGATGGACCCATTCTTGACCCAACCCCGACAATCAGATAATTATGAACCCATAAACAAACCCTGGTGACCCGATGAACCTTACAAGATATTTACACCTCCAAGGAAGTATTGAAGAGATACTTTACTTAATCTATCTTAGGACTAAGATGATGTTGTTGTTGGTGCCCAAACCATTATATTAAATATATTGGGGAGAGTGAGGATAGTTGACCCTGAAACATCTATTGATCCATCATTAATAAAAATATCTTATGATGATGGAGGGTATACCTTGTAGGTGTAGGTGTATACTATTTTATCTACAATCACTTTACACTATCGTAACATAGATTATTTGATTGATTGGAAGTGATAAGTGCGTTTATATCGCCAGTCACTCACACACCCCATCATGATCAAGACTCCGTCTCCATCAGTTTTTATTCAGTTGATCATTATTATCTATTTGACAACAAGTATGTATATATAAATAAATAAATAAATGTCCTAACAAAATAACTAACTAACCTTTATATGTTATAACATAAGACAATGGAGTATTATCACAAGTACAATTGATGAGGCATGTTGGATCATATGTTGAAGGTGGAACAGGTTGTAAACTGGCTGTGGCAATGTCTATTCCAACAATTAGTTCAACACCACTTCTTATAACATCAGCTGGAAAGATTTTAATATCTGACTTCAACATCTATGATGGTTCAACAGGCTCTTCAACATTCTACATCGATACCCTTACAATTGGCTCCAACTTCATCACTGGCGAGGCCACAGACGGCTTCAACAACATTCATAAATGGAACATAACTTATAATTGCAACAGTATGTATCATCATTCATTGATTGATTGGGTGAATGAGTGACCGATCAATACTGACCACACTGGAATCATTCCATCCACACACAAACTAGATATTTCAACACCATTGAATGTTACATTGAATAGTGGAATGACATTCAATATGGTTAATCCATTCATGTATACTACATATCCTAATCCTCCCGAACCAATAAGGATGTCAAATGACTTTTATGTCCTTTATGTCAAGATTGAAGAGTCTGGATTAGATCCACTTAATGGTTATACTGTCTCAACATTGGGTTATGATGCTTTGATCAAGTTGACGACACCTCATCCAACTCATCCAACTTATCAAATTGGATTGAATCCATCACCAACTACAACCCCTATCAACAATGACTACACTCAATCTATCAATCTATTGATCAAAGATAGATTGAATCGAACTGCCACCATCACAATACCATCATATGTCCTACTCAATCAATCAACATCATCGTTCATCCTTGAACCAGGTTTGTCGACACAGTTCCCCAACAATCCCCGCCCATACTCTCATTACAGTATCCGGATGTCATCGACCAAGCCAACACTGCTGACACTCTATCCCCACGATGGCACCTATTCGTTCAAGTTCATGAAAGGTGGCCCTCAGCACTACTTCACCGAGAGCTGGATGGTGGCCTACACTCAGACCGGCTCGCCACACACACTCTACGAGCTCAACAAGAGGTTGACCAACAAGACTAGTTGGACATACAGCTATACAAGTCGCCAGCCCAATGCCTCGGCAATGGCGTTCACCAAGGGTGTACTCCCCAACACTCCAACGGGCTCAGTGGTGCACAGCTTCAAAGGATCACTCAACTATCTGTCCAACTCGTGTGTGATGAACTCTGACAACCATGGTCTATCAATCCCATGGCCATACCCATTTGGTCTTGCCTATCGTCCACTTCTCCCAGGCCACGTATCCACCACAACCTTTGCCCTTAACCCATTACACAAGGACTACCTCTTTAACCTCAACTGCAACTGGGAGTCAATGGACAATTCATCATTCGCTCCGCCCACAGGTATGTATTATCTTGCCCTTGATTCAATGTTCATCTTGACTGACATACCTATTCAAGTGGACAAGATACCTCCCGACTTCACAAGCATGATCYTTTACACCAATCTCTCAGTTCTCATATCACTTGTCGATGCAGATTAGCGATGCTGGTAGTGGATTCGATACGATCACATTCGAGTACACTTATCTACATTCGTTGAATAGGAGGTATAGGTCATTCACTCTGACACCTTCTAATCTAGTACAAGGTGATATACATTATGGTGTCTATGAGACAATTATAACATTCAATGATGTAGCCGTTGGTCTGCCTGACGAAGCCAGAGCATATGATGGTGCAGGCAACAGTAGATCAATTCAAAAGTTATCCTTCAACGACTATTACATCAACAACAGAATGCAAGATATAACATTCAACTCTCCAATAAGTAAGTGTTCCAGGGTTCATGAACCCTCGACCCTCAACCCTCGACCCTCAACCCTCGACCCTCAACCCTCGACCCTAACCCTCGACCCTAACCCTCAACCCTCACTCAACCAATCAATCAATCCAAACCAGTATCATGTACATTGGATGATATTACAATGTTATACTTTGATTCATACTTGATGGATGTTGATAATGGTAGTGTTGGTAATACATTATATTTCAATACAAGTAATAATGATATCAATTGGAAACCAGAGTTCTATTATGGCAATGATGAAGAGAATCCAAATTACAAGTCTGTTGGATATTATGATTGGTATAGAGGAATGTATGTCATACCATTCAATGTACCACGTAGGACAATGACCAAAGAGTTACAATACTATATTGTTGCCCGGCCACAATACATTGATCACCAACAACTCAAACTAAAGTTTGGATCAGCCACCGCCTCAGTCAACATAGTCTCAACATGTAAGTACCCCTTGTCTGCCACCTCCCATCAATCTCTAACCATTGCACCGGATATTAGATGGCGATGAACTACCACCTCTTTGTCTTGGACTTGGCGCATACCCTTCTCCAATGGTCTCATTGAATGTCACAGATAATATTGTGATTGGTTGGATATTGACTATTGATGATGATCCAAATGGATTCTTGGATGGCTATCTCAATGTGATTAGTGATGTAGATGCTCAACCAAGACGACTCAATTTGACATTATATAATACAACAACAACACCATCTGTAAAGAGATATATTGGATCATTCAATTTAACTGGCAAGGCCAGAAGTCAGACATTCACCATCCTTGACATCGTACTCAGAGACAACAGTTACAACATTGCCAAGTACTCATCAGAGACCTCAATATCAGCCACAATCAATCCAATTGGTTCCCTCATGGTAAGTGGAGGTGCTCAACTCTCGATCACCACAACCGCAACCTTAAGTAAGTGCCCTCGAATGGCTCCATCCCAACCCATCCACAGTTATCTAACATTGCCAAATAGACTCAGATACCAATCCACCTACGATTGGATCATTGACAGTGTCCCCGTCGACCATTGATGTTAGCTCAAGTCAGAGATCATTCTCATTGAACTTCATTGTGTTTGATATTGGATCGGATGTATCTCTACGACATTGGCCAATGGTATACTTCACATCAAGATTGGATGAGATTGTTAGTTATCAAGCATCAGTGATGAGTACAGGACCTGGACAAACATCATATCGATGCTCTGGTGAACTACCATATGGATTTGGTGCAGCCAATGGAGTAGCATTCATTTCAATATACGGTCTAATGGACAACTATCTCAACCTCAATGGATACTCCCACTCAGACATCATTGCCTTGGGCCTGTCATCATCATCCACACCCTCAATAGCAATCACATTCACTCGATCAGGTAAGTTTGTTCGTGAAGGTGATAGTCCCACTACACTCACTAACTCAATCATAATCAGTTCCCATTATCGAGGAATATAGGAGAACTGTTGGAGCGGTGACTTTGTTTGGAAAGAACTTTGGATTGAATGACTCATTGGTCAATGGTACACTTCAGTTCTCGGAGGATGGAAGTACTCATTCGGTCAATCATGTATTCTTAACAAGTAGAATGATCATATATAATAGTTCATTGATATCGGCTACGAACAACTTCACTGCTCAAGTCATGGTCAAGGGACAAGCTTCCAATTGGATGAACATCATATCAACTCTACCAAAGCCACTCCCAATCATCACCTGTACCAACAATTCATGTCTACATGGTGGAGTATGCTCTACGACCATGGGTTGCCAATGTACCTTCGGTTGGTACGGCAACGATTGTTCATCAAGTATGTATCCAGAATATTAATCCAAAGTCACGTGATCAATTACAATCACGTGATCAATGATCACGTGATCGATTTCAATCATGTGATACAAACTAACTTTCACAACCATCAATTAGCCATTATCCCAGTCATTCCAGATGTTGATCCATCAAGTCCAACCATTATCTATGAGTACCAGACATGGCTATCTAGCATCAATGTGGTGATGATACGCGAGTTCAGTGATTCATCACAGCCATACAGAGAGTATCATCTGAAGGACTGGACCCTGGAGTCCTCCAATGCCTTGACATCAATGTACAAGATTGATCTGGTTAATGGAGCAACTGTGAGAGTCAAGGTGGAATGGTTCACAAAGGATCAGAACATATCATTCGCTGGGGATATCATCCAGATGAAGAACTCCACACTCAAGTACACCGTGAGCGTCTCAAGATACCCATTCAACAGTCGACTCAATACGCTACAAGTCGTAATGGAAGCATCGATCAACTCGTCAGCTGACCAGTCCTGCTCTAGGAAACAGATTGGCAACATTGATGACCAGAGCAGTATCTATTGGATGAAGCTCAGCCTCAACAATGTGGAGCTGTATGGTCATTTCATTCAACGGGCAGTAGTTGATTCACGTGTGGCTACAGTGTCCAATGTGATTGTTTCGTCCAATGATTCAACGGCACACTCTGCCACCACATTGATTGGAATCAATCTGCCATTCTTTGACAAAGAGGCTATACTTGATCCTGATTTCCAATTCCTGCTAGACCTTGACAACACTGGTAACAATGGAGGTGACTCACTTTGTTCCAACAACAACAACAACAAAGGAAATGGTAACAATGGTCTTTCCACAGCAGCATTAGCAGGAATCATTGTAATGAGTGTAGTGATCGCGTTGACCATTGTCATTGGAAGTGTGATATACCTTCGCAAGAGAATATCACAAAACAAGGAAATAGAGAGAGTTAATGCCAGAATGAATGTTCTACAACAACAACAACAGAATAAATAATTGATAAATGAATGTTCTGTTCAGACCCTGAGACTTGAGTGGACCAGGCAGGCTCATCATCTAGCCACATCAGTCGCCATTTTCGGAAACATCTTCCACACCCCACTTCCATCTCCACAACACCACAAGCTCGATGATCTTCTAACCCCTAGTTCACCACTAAGTAATCGAGAATGAGCCGAACACTCATAAGTGTTAATGACCAATCTACCCTCACTCATTCATTAATCAAACAAACAGATAATAACATAGATATATATATAATAATGAACTTTACAAATTATTATTGGGGCATACCTACATCAAGTATAGATTGGTGTGAATTGAACTATGTAAAGTCAACATATATCTGTGAATTCTATAATACATTATCAAGTCTGGTCATTAGTTTATATGCTGTCTACGGTATATACTTAACAAATATAATATCGATATCAGGTCACAATGCATTTCATGTCCAAACATTGAACAAACTTGGTCTACAGCGTCGACTTAACTTTGGTCTACTGTCACTGGCTGTCGTGGGTCTGGGCTCAGCGGCATTCCACGCCACACTACTATATCAGAACCAGCTTTTGGACGAACTGCCAATGATCATCACTGCACTCATCATGCTCTACATACTCATAACGATTGGCGAGGACAAGCCCACCAAGAATGGCTACAAGGGTGGTGTGCTGGGCAACTCATTCCTGCGACACGTCATCCCCTACATGCTGACGGCATATGGCATCGTCATCTCAGTGTGGATCATTGTGATTCGCAATCAGCCCAAGATCCTGCAAGTGTCTTATGGCGCACTGGTCATGTACATCATCGGTCACTCATTCTACATTATGAAGCGCAAGAACGTTGGCTACTTTAGTGTGGAGAGACGATCGCCAGATGTCTACCTCTACATCTACTCGTTCGTTGCATTCCTTGTGGGCTACGTCTGCTGGGTCACCGAGCGAATGTTCTGTGTGGATGGCTACGTAATCTATGGCGTCCAACTTCATGCGATGTGGCACATTGCCACCGGTCTTGGCGTCTTTGTTTGGATCCAGTTCCTCGTATGCTCACTCCTGGAAGCCAAATACTACACCGTGTCGCTGCAACACTTCTTTGGTATCCCATCAGTCTATGCCGATCCCAAGAGAGTCGATTAACTTAACTCAGCAGCTACATCTTTTATTAATATTCGATCAATCAATGATATGATTGATTCACTCACTCACCGGACATTAGACTCGGGTACTGTCCTAAATATAAATACTTCTTCCTCCTCATCGCTACTAAACTCTGATATCCTGTCGATTGTTGTGATGTCAACATCCTCATTCTCTGTCTTGTCGTCTATCTTCATCTTGTCGTCATTGGCTGTTGCACCCTGTTTGTCCTGATCGGCGCCAGTGTCGGGCGGCGCATCAAACTCATCCTCGCGCTCCACATACTCTTCATTCTCTTCTAGCTCCTTGAACTCTGGCGCAAAGTCACTCCATCGCTCTGTGTAGACTAGTGACCAGACAAAGATCACGCCACTCACACCGATCGTCAGTATGAGGGGACGCAGAGGATGCCAGTAGGCATGGTGCAGGCCTTCCTTTGGGCCCTCCAAGTCCTTGACCAAGCCTCCATTGATGCTCCACACCAACATGCTCTGTTTGGACTTGTGTTGCATTCCCGCTAGGATATACTCGCAGTTGTTGCTAAAGGTACAGCTTCGCCACTGTACTCTGTTGATGATGTCTTGGAAGTCTCGGACGAATGCGTCCATCTCCAAGCTGTACAATCTGATGATCTTGTCTGTGGCGTTGACCAGCATGTATCTACCATTGCGACTGAACTCAAACTCCTTGATGCCTGCGCCAGATGGTATCTTTATCGTGCGATCCACTGCCAATGTCTTTGGGTCCAAGAATGTGATCTGACCCTTCCAATCTCCAATGACAATCCTCTTTCCATTCCTACTATATACTGCTATCATATTACATTCACTTCTTCCTTTCTAGAATGGTTGTAGGTGTGTATCTTGCTTGTTAGAAGTCATGTGATCGAGGTGACGAGTCTGACATGTCTGGCTTGCAACATACATTGAGCTCTATCTCTGGCATTGCGCAAAGGGGCGTCGTCTTCTTGGTTGAAAGGTCGACCAGGAGTGGAGGTGAACCTGAAGGACATACTATACAAAGGTCATTGTTCCTTGGGTGTAGCTGACAATGTAGCAGTGGAGATGCTGATTCAAACTCCATCTTCACCTCCATTGTTGCAGTCACAACATTCCAAAGTATCAATGAACCATCATTACTACAACTGATGATCTTCTTGCCATCTCTAGTCCATCTATTATTTCGCATATGTTAGCAACTTGTTCATTCATTCATTCATCTCGAGTCGGCAACATCACATACCCTACAGAGTTGACACATTGTTTATGTTCGATCAGTTGCCTTGCTATAGACATTGTCTCAAAGTCCCAGATGGTCACTGAACCTGATTGATTGCCAACGCATAGTAACAGACCACGTCTATTGTATTGAAGACAGTTGGCTTTGTCACCAGCTGGGTCGCGCAAGTAGTACTCGACCGACTCTGGTACATCACCTGACCTGAATGGATCTTGCAAGCTGAGATTCATTGCTCTCCTCTTTCTCTACATGCATATATAATATGATTATTTATATATCTGACTCGACTGATTGATCATGTGATCAAATGAACTTGAACTTTTTGATCAGTCGGCGACACAAGTTTTATTGTTGTTCAGGTTGTTGAGGTTGTTGGGCAACCATGAATGGATATTGAGGTGGCTGGAATGGATATGGCGGTGGCAGATATGATGGATATTGTTGCATTTGTGGAGTAGCAGCAGTAGTGGCAGCGGCCGGGGTAGGGACAGGGGTAGCACCTGGATATCCATAAGGTGCCTGATGGACATAGTAGAACATCTGTTGTGGAACAAACTGTTGCTGTTGCTGTTGCTGTGGATGGTACATTGGTGGCATGATCATGTTGTTTGGCATCACGGAGACATCTTTAGCTTGTTGTTGCTCGATCACAGGTGAGGTCGACATTGTCGGAATAGATGGTGAGATGACTGGAGTATGAACCTCCATTTCAAGTGGCGCTGGCACTGGCAATGGTTGGTACTTGAACGTTCCATTCCTCATCTTCCTAAGAATGAGTACGACAATGACAAAGATTACTAAAAGGATACCAATGACGATCATCACTTGGATCTCAAAGTCTGTTGGGCCATCATCATTATAGCGACTGTCATCATTTGTTGTTGTTGTTGATGTTGTTGATGATACATATGATGTGGATCCTGATGATGTACTGTAGTAAGTAGTGGTGTACTCTCCAGTAGAGGTCGAGTACACTGGTCTTGAAGTAGTGCTGGAGAAGGTACTAGAGTATGGGACAGTGGTCACAGTGGTTCCGGAGATGCTGCTGGTTCCAGAGTATGGAGTATTAGTGATGCTGCCAGTGGTGCTGCTTGAGTAGGGGCTATAAGTGGTGCTACCAACAATGCTGCTTGAGTAGGGGCTAGTAGTGCTGCCAGAGATGCTGCCAGTGGTGCTGCTTGAGTATGGGCTATAAGTGGCGCTGCCAGTGGTGCTACTTGAGTATGGGCTATAAGTGGCGCTGCCAGAGATGCTGCCAGTGGTGCTGCTAGAGTATGGGCTTGAAGTGCTGCCGGAGATACTGCTAGTAGTGCTGCTACCAGAGTATGGTCTAGTGGTGAAACCGCCAGAAGTGCTGCCAGAGTAGGGGCTAGCTGTGGTGCTAGTAGTGCTGCTTTCAGTAGAGATGCTGCCAGTGGTGCTGCTAGAGTATGGGCTAGTAGTGCTAGTAGTGATTCTGCCAGAGATACTGCTTGTAGGGCTAGTGGTGAAGCCGCCTGAAGTGCTGCCAGAGTATGGGCTAGCAGTGGTAACGAAGGTGTCAGTGGTTGATGCAGCGATGGCGATGTTGAATGTCTGTCCAGACACAGCCAACAGCACCAGTACAACAAGTACAAGCCTACTATGTATTATCTCTAACATCTTATTATTACAATTAATAAAGAAAGTGACCCTTTGCCGAGTCCTTGATCAATTAAAACCCGATGAGGGATGTGAAAATTGATCATCACTTTGGAAATGGGAAAAGTTTATGATGGATGTAATATTGTTGCAGTGTTTCCACTTCCATGTTCTCCGCCAACACTGGCATGCGCATGTTGGCCCGCTACTACTCGACTCTTGACGACATCTTTTAGAATGTCCTCGATGGTCTCCATCTTGGACCTTAGTGATACAACCTGTAGATGCATGTACATGTACATTGAAATGGCCAGCAGTAACATTGCCACCAGTATGAATCCAGACAATGTAAGACTACCATACTTGGTAGACAACTTGAGTTTGAATCCCAATGGTATCTCCTCTTTGGTATGTTGTTGTTGTTGTTGTTGTTTTTGTTGCTGTTGTTGTAGTTTGGATGCTGTTATTGATGATGGTACACCAAAGCTACTACTTATGTCTGAGAGGTTGCCGGAACTATTATTTACAGGTAGGCCAATGTTGGTAGGCTGGGGAGAGCCGATGGGTATCGATGTGGACGTGCTGTGGAGCACGGGTGTGTGATGATGTGAATGGTTGGGCGATCCAACGTTGGACACCTGGCCCGAAGAGGTCATTAGGTGTTGGCGACTCCTTGACCGCAGATGATGTGGCTTGGGCGAGTCGAGCGTGGGAGATGACACCGCAGGCTGCTCCTCATTCTTTAGACGGGCAATAGAGTCGATCAACTCCTTCTTGTTGTCAATACTACGATTGAGCACCAGTTGTGAAGGCTGCGCTGTGATCATTGTTGGCTTGGGCTTTAGCTGCATCGTCTTTTGTATCTCCTGCTTGGCGAGTTGCACCCACTGAGTGAAGGAGCCCTTGGACTCCTTGATGGTGCCCGCTTCGATCTTGCTCTTGAACCACGTCTTCTTGATGAAGCGCACACACAGCTGGATGGACAGACGACATGTCTCGCTCGATGTCTCCACCACATCCCACTTGGCTTCGATACGAAAGTGGTCGCCATAGGGTATGTCCAACATGATAGTGTCAGTCTCCACTGCCAGCTTCTTGTTGGTCAGATGATATCGCTGTGTCTCCTGTATCCTTGTCTTGTCGGGGCCAATTGGAGAGTTGACTGGGGCCACATACTCCAGCTCACGCACCGTTCCAAAGCGCTCTCTATGAGTCCAGTTCTTCACAACGATATTACTATCGCCTCGCTTGGCATGATAAGTATGAGCAAAGTTACATTGATCCGAGCAGAGTACCCTGAAGAAGTTAACTACACTGATGTTAAAGTTCTCTACAAGTAACTCCTGGAACTCAGACACTTGATTGATTGATATGATTGGAGTGAGTTGAGTGAGTAAGTGAGTGATGTTGATGATGGTGATCCATATGATGTACATACCTGAACTTTCAAGTATCGAAGCCTGTTCGTTGGTCGATAGGTATTGCTCAATGTCACCATAGAGTTCGTCGAATGGACTCTTCTCCTCGGCGGATGGCTTTGGACTTGCCACAGTTGCCGGCTTTGTCGCCGACTGTGTAGCAGGTACATTCATCTGTGCCTTGCTCAAGTCTGTTGTTGATGTGTTGGTATTCAGTGATGATGTTGATGGTATAGTTGTGTCCACCTGTGATGATGTTGTTGACTTGTTATTATTATTGTTGTTGTTGTTGTCGATTGAGTTGGCGATGCTCTTTTGTTGTTGTTGTTGTTGTTGTTGTTGCTGCTCTGAGCCAATGATTGATGCTGACTTCAAGTCAGAGGTCGTCAGCTCACTTATACTTGTAGAGGAGGATGATGTATCTGTTGCAGTACCGTTGGTAGAATGACTTGTATGATCATCAAACCCGATCATTTGGTCTTCCTCTGCGTCGTCGTCGACACTTTGGGACGATACATCTTCATGGGTCTCACCCGTAACGTCACGCCACGCATCCAACATGTCGTGATAGGTCTTGTCCCTCAACACAAACGAGGCAAACACAAACTACAGATTGATTCATCGTTTGATCGGAGGGTCAGAATATCGATCGGGAGTGTCGTTTCGATTTCGAATCAATCAATCACTTACCTTTTGTCCATTCTGCAATACAAGTTCTATACCAACAGGGAAACGCTTCTTTGTTATGCTTATGATGTCCTTGATCATCAATGTCTCCATCGTCTTGATGCCAAAGATCTTGGACTCGAAGCAGATGTAGTTTGTGAACAGGTACATGCGCCCATGCAGCAGTATCTGCCTGTAGAGCGCAGCCGAGTAGTCGTCTATCAGTATCTCTGACGACGGCAGTTTGAACTTCTTAATGTATGGATTGCTCTTCATTCGATTGTCCAGCGTCTTTGAGATTGGTGGTTCGTCACCAACAATCGTCCGATGCTTGCCTGGCAGCAACAACTTTGGCGAAAGGAATGGCTTGCGCTTTCCCTGCTTGTCGGCATCGCCGCCCGCATGCTTAAAGTCATCGCTCTGGCTCCGCCCACGATGAGGAGTCGACGATTCCTTGCTTCCACTATTATTGTAATCTTTGCTCTTGGGGCGTTCGCCGCGCGCAGGTGTGGACGAAGCCGACACTGGTGCGCTTATATTATCATTATTGGAAGGAGAAACAGAGGCTGTTGTCGTCGTCAATTGAGGAGATAATGATTGAGCTGTATTCAACGGAGACATTATCGGTGCACTTGTTGGAGCGGCACCAACTGACAATGAAGGTGATAAGCTTGCCATCATTTATATACTCGCTTTCACTCCTCCTTCTATCTTCTCTAATGTTTAATTGATTGATTGTCTGGGTGACCAAAGGTAGTAATATATGTATAATTATGGCAAACAAGTATATATATAGTATTGATATCCTATTATATGTTGTATTTCCTATTCCTAATGTTATATATATCCTGTATTACTACTGCTTCTATCAATATTTATAAATGTATTTATCCAATGAATGGATGCTTTAAATGTTGTGTATAATAGTACTATTATATATTTATGTTGTTGATGGTGATGGTAATGGTGAAGATGAAGGTGATGTTGGTGTTGACCTGGTATGGTGTGTTGTGTGTGTGCGTGTTGGAACTTGGAAGTAATTGATGGCGCGTTTAGTTGAGTGGTGGCGAGTGGTGTTGTTGCCGACACTGACACTGGATGTTAGAGATAGTGGTAATGGTAATGGTAATATATAACAAGCCAAGCCAAGCCAAGCCAATCCACAAATATATATTTATAAATAATTAAGTTGAGTTTGTTGATGTCTTAAGTGTATATAATTGTATTGTGTTGTTGATTGAACGATGTTATTATTATTATTATTGAAGCTTCCAAACTAATAATAAATACGCTAACACTGGTAAAAGGTATGTTTAAGTTTACGCGAGGACAAAGAAAGAGAGAGTTGTCAACAAACAAACAAACAAACAAACCAAAAGGTACAATGATAGTGAAGTTGGTGATAGAAATAGAGATAACTAATGCTACTGTTGGTTGTGAAGTTAGATGTAGATCACTGATGCTGTTGCAAAGCCGCCATCATCACGAATAGTGGTGAAGCATCACTACTTATATTAATCGGAAGTCAAGCAAGTCATTCGACGCGGCGAGACTTACACCAACCTTGAAGGTAGAACGGCCAAAGATTGTGGGGTGACTCGACCATGGTGCGTAGGGCCAGGTGATGGTGTGATCATGCGTCCAACATCATCGCGAGCAAAAGTGATGCCCAGAGTTCGCGTTGTGGTGCTTTGGTTAGCCCAAAAAAAAACTGACGCAGTGGACACGTTGACACTAGGCCGGGGACAGAGTCCTTGGTTCGCAAGTGGTGCCCTAATAGGTCCAATTGACTCTAATTGCGGTCAACTCTTATGCACCGTTTCGTCTTGGTCAGATGAGAGTGTGATCGCATAGAGCAGAGACTCTGGCGTGGGCAAAGATGCCGTTGCTGACACGGCAGGCCTGTTGCCGCTGATGTTGTTGTTGTTGTTGCATCGAAGTACCGCGTCTCCTGTTGTAGGGCCTATCACTGCGATCTTAGCCTGCGATAGAAGAGGATGTGTCTGTTGAAGATGGCTCATGCACTCGAACCCTGAAGGGCTGAAGTAGACCACCCAGTCCAGCCGTGGAGGTATGGACAACCCATTGTCAGTCTTGACAGCGAGCGCATCAATCAAAGTGTCACCAGAGATGTTTGTCGCTGTTGACGTGGTGTATGCAGTGACTTCATCGACAAGACATCCACCCTGTACAAGAATAGTTGGTAACTCGTCTCTCCTTAAGTTGCCACATGGATAGAGAAGTCGTTGTCGTTGATGTTCACTCTCTGATGTAGGAATTTCCTGTCTTTGTACAATCGACTCAGCCAATGATCTGGCATTACCAAGAACAACTGCATGCGATAGAGATGATGTGTTTAGGCCTATACTCGTGGCGATGGACTTTAAAGCATTGAGTGAAGTCTGACCAACAATATAGAGTTTCTTCTCAGTCAACCAACACTTGATAGCATCAATCGTCGTCTCGTCTTGATAAGTATCGATCATCAACTTGATTGTACCAACTGCATTACAAGATGTTATAACCAATGAGCTATAACAATCTACATTATCTACCATACATTGTTTCAACCTATCCACATTACAATATGTAATCTTTAACAATGGCATGAAGTATACATTATATGAATGATCTTCAAACAACTATTAATTCAATCATTAGTTCATTAGTTCATTAGTTCATTCATTCAAATTATAACAAGTTATGTATTCTTACCGATTGATAGGGATCAACATCAGTATCATCCTTTGGTGCTTTAAAGAATAGTATTGACTTGTTATTGTTCATAATGTTGTGTAGCGTGGATGGATATCATCGTCTGTCTTTCTCTCTTTCCAAAGTTGTTTGTCAGTTGGGTCAGGGGTTCCCAAACGATTTTCGAAAAGTGAGTTGATTTTTGGTCCTTGTGGCTTTTGAGGTCTAAAGACAATCCGGTTAAACTTTCCACATCATCACTCGCAACAATACTACACACACATTCACTCGATCAATCACACACATATACACACACACACACACACACACACATTGATCACTGATCAATCAAATCAAATACATCAGTAACATTCCTTATTACTTGTTTATCTACAAACATTGTATTCCTTTACAGCATGCTTTGATTGGACACTATCAACTTGCCAAACAACAATATATAGTTTACCATTTTTCCTCTCCTTCCTCCCTCCCTCCTTCCTCCTCTTCCTCTCCCTACCCTACCCTTTTTTTAAACCATCAACCTCTCCTCTCTCTCCTCATATCACTTCACATTACTATCCTTTGATTATACATTGTACACTCATTCAATCTCCTTTTTTCCGTCCTCCTTCTCCTTCCTCTCTCCCTCCTTCCTCCCTTTTTCAGACCCTTACCGATCATCCATCAACCAACAGCAGCAGCAGTAGCAGACAGCATATCCTATTTATTTAAACAATAGCAACAACAACCAACAACACCAATAACACAACAGCAGACAAACATATATATTCAAGCAGACATACAGCAGATAGACAGACAAGCAACAACATCATTCAAACAAACAAACAAAACAACACTAAAATGACAATCAAGAGCCAGGACGTCTCGAGGGACCCTAACGAGGCCCGGCAAAAGTCACTCGAGATTGATAAGACCCTGAAGAGGGAATCGACCAACACATCTGTGTTTAAGATCCTGCTGTTGGGCTCATCAGACTCGGGCAAGTCCACAATGTTCAAACAGATGAAGATCATCCAGGAGAACGGTGGCTACACAGAGTCAGAGTTGATTGCCAATCGAGGCCTCATCTATGACAACATCGTCAGTCTAATGCATCTGCTGCTCGAGGCCATGTACAATGATCGCGGCAGCAACTACGAGCTGGGCACCGACGACCTTATGTACTTTGAGGATCCGGCACACTTTGAGCGTGCGGTGCGTGTCAAGCATGCCCACGCCCTCCTTCGCGCCGGCCAAGCCATTGCCAGTTGGACACTCATCATCCAAGACATCATGACCCTCTGGCAGACCAACGAGATACAGCATCAATACACCATCAGAGAGAATGGTGGTCTAGGCTCTTCACAATATCAACTCAATGATTCAGCTTCATAGTAAGTGTACCCTATGGGCGGAATGGCAAGGCTCACTCACTTACTTACTCATCTTGCCCAACAGCTTCCTCAACAACCTAGATGCGTACTCAACAGAGACGTTCATACCGACCGAACAGGATATACTTAGAGTACGAACAAAGACAACAAGTGTCAAAGAAGCTGAATATGTGTTCAGAGGTCTACGATTCATGTAAGCTTACATGTGAATGAATGAATGTGTAGCCACTCAATCACTAACAAACTCATACTCATACAACAGGATGGTCGATGTTGGAGGACAGAAGAGCCATCGAAGAAAGTGGATACAATGCTTTGATGGAGTGTCAGCGGTGTTGTTTGTGTCCTCGCTTAGTTCGTATGACCAGGTACTCGAGGAGGATGGCAAGACGAATAGGTTGGAGGACTCGCTGACACTGTTCAAAGAGATTGTCAACTCGACATGTTCAAGAAGAGCGCGATGGTATTGTTCTTGAACAAGGTGGATATCTTCAAACACAAGATCAAGCGCGTGCCCCTCTCCAAGTACTTTAGCGATTATAATGGTGGCTCAAGCTTCAAGGCGGCGGCCAGCTTCGTTTCCAGTCAATTCCTGAAGCGCATCGAGCCCAGACGCTCGTGCTACCAACATGTGACATGTGCCATCGATACCGACAATGTCAAAGTTGCCTTCCAGACCATCATCGATGACTTTATCAAGAAGTCCGTGGCCATGTTCTAGTCATCACTGTGTGGGCGCGTGGTTCGCGCGCGTGGTCTGTGCCTAGCTGGCTGGCAGACTTGCGACGCGCATCCAACATCCTTCCTCCTCCCTCCCCTTTTCCTCCCAACACCTCCCGCCTTTCTTTTCATTTCCTTCCTTTCATTTCCTTTCCTTTCATTTCCTTCCTTTCCCATCCACTCCTCCCTTCCCTCCCCTTTCCTTTCCTCTCTCCACCTCCTTTCCTTTTCCTTTTTCTGTACCTTCCTACTACTCTCTTCAATCGATCATCCTCTCCTCTACTTTACAAGCCAAAGTGTACATTTACCATTCAATTCCCTTCACATATTACTCAGTGCTTCATACAATCTATACTATACTATACACCTTGCATTATTAGTTACCGAATCAATCTAATAAAGCACATTTTAGAGAGACGACCTTTCCCCTCAATCACTGCCTCACTGTTGGCAACATACAACAGATCTTTGGATACCAGCCATCTGTCAATGGGAATGTGTAGCGCCCATACCCCTCTAGGAATGGCACAAGTGATGATTCACTGACTAGATTCGTTGCCCATCAATTTATTCCAAAAATAATCATTATCGTCATTGATCATTGTAACAGGGCCTGACGATACACGACACAATTGATGTGTGTGTTTGAGGGGTACTAGTAGGTGGTGGGTCCAAGGAGTGTTCCCCAAACACATTCGTCAGACGCCACCTTACGACCCACTGTATTTCAAAGGGGTGTGTTCCCAACAACAACAACTACAATGCATTGCTTCAAGCACATCCAGTAACATTGTGAACACACTTATTCATTCATTCATTCATTCATTCACTTGACTTATACTTATAATTATACTTATATAATAAATAAATAGTACTAGTAGCAACTTAGTTAATACCTTTCCAACCCTTCCCTCCCTTCACCTTCCAAGAGCCACTCAATGGTCCATCCATCAATCCCTCTCTTGCACATCGACTGACATACAACAGACCCCAAACAAACATTACAACAACTTAAAGAACAAACAACAACAACAACAACAACAATGGAACAATTAGTAACATCATTGAAGAAGCAATTTGCCAATAACGGTTTCAATATCGTCGAGCCGTTCATGGTAAATGATTACAACAATGCTTGCAAGTACAAGCTCAATAATATGGGCAATGACAATGCGATGGGCTTGGTCGTGGGCTGCAGCAAGCACTTTTGGGAGCACTTTGTACGCTTCATTGTCGATCTTGACCAGATCCCCAAGGACCCCATGAACACGTTCTGTCTAACGACGATCGAGCAAGTGCTCTCTAGCAACGACGAGGCGCAGAAGCACCGTTTCGACGTGCGCTACGACTGGAACACCGTTCAGTCTGGCCGCTACGCGCACATGCAAACCGCCGGTCACTTTGCCGGTGTCGCTCACTACGACCAGGACGTGATGTGGTCGATCCATCCAGAGTATGGCCTCTGGTTCGTCTTCCGCGCCATCATTGTGTTCGACGTGCCCTTCACGGGAGAGCGTCCGACGCCCGCCCGCAACCTCTTCACGACAGAGGCCAAGCGCGAGATGATGAAGTGGACGACCGTAGCCATTGACGAGGGTTGGAGCAACCTGGAGACACGTCTCAAGATTCGCGAGTCCTGTCCACATGGACGCGAACTGTACCGCTACGAAGGTGACATGTTTGATTACTTCTATCCAATCCAGAGGTCGGCTCGCTCTGTCCTCGAGTCAATCATTCAACAGCATGACAGCACAGTGGAAGGACGTCTGCGCAAACAATCTTCCTCCTCATCGGCCACCCCCTGTAACGATGATACAATCGTCCCAGTCTCCGTGCCACTCGTGTCGACAGTTCCAGACACCATCATGTTGCAGCCATAGGTGATGGATGAGCGACATACATCAGAGAAGAAGTCAGTCATTAAAGTTATACCGATGCGATCATTCAATCAATCAATCGATTGACAGAAGTGGAGGTCCATCCATGTTTAATGTGCATCTCTCAATCAAGTGATCGAGTATGTTTATCTATATTATTATGTTACAAGGTACATTCAATGTGTCCACTGCTTAGGCCTTCAAAGCTGGCTTGGGCTTCTCTGAGAGTAGACGTACAAGTGCAGCAGGAGGAGCGAACCAGTTGTTGAACATTCCAATTGAGACCAACTCTGGATCGGACAAGACCTCCTTCTTTGAGTATATCAGTGTACATACCAACAAGTTAACAGGGTACATCAGCAACTTCTTTGGCATTATCTTGATGAATAGTCCCTATTCATTGCATTGTGGTTAGGAATATAACAAGGATGGGATGGATGGGATGGATGGGATGTCGCGCAGTGCACACTTACATAGAAGAAGTTGTTGTTGGTGGCATAACGCTCTACCATCTTGTGAAGTGACTCGACTGATGGGTTGGTAGCCATGGCTATCACAACTATAAGTATTAAGAAGAATGTAGTCTTAAGTAAAGTATTGAATATGAATACAACAATGTTGAACAACAAGTTCAACGTTCCAAATAGTATTGCAATCAATGTATCTCTAAAGTAAATGATCAATGCCAATATAGATATAGTTGATAACGCTCCCATTCTTCTTCTTCTTCTCCTTGTTCTTGACTTGTAAGATAACTGTTAACTGATACAGATAAGATGGTATTGAGGATAATGACTTGAGAATCGAATGATAATGACCTCAAAGTGTATCCAGGTGATGAGTGATTGATTGAGTGACCCAAACAATTATCTGATTGGTTGCATGCACACTTGTGTTATCAAGTTTACTCATTTCTGAGTTTGGTGACTCGTCTTTTCTCAATTTATTATCTTTATTTAATTGATTGCCTGATTGATTGATTAGTCGAGTCACCAATGATCATATGACAAGTCAATAACTTAAAGATATAGGTATTATAATTGATGGGAAAAGAGAACCAGGTAAGGTTTGGGTTAGGGTGAGGGCAAGGGCGAGGGCAAGGGTTAGAGTTTGGCAAGTTTTAAACCAACCCATCAAAGGTTACAATCCCCAACATCGTGTGATGGTGAAGTTGCATCAACTCATACTTTACTCAATCAATCAATCAATCAGTCAATACATCATTGGTTCGTATTACATTATATAAATACACCTAACAAAGAAGGAATATAAGATGGCAACATTACCCCAAAGTGGAATATTGATTGAACATTGTAAGTTTGCCATTGTCATTGAGGCAATGGTATGTGCTGAACAACATGGTGCATTGAAGATGGCTTGTGGCACATTTGCAAAGACATTGGAGGATATGCAGAGAACTTATCCAAATGATAAGTTGGGTTCAGTCGTGGCATTTGGTCATAATCTTTGGAAGAGTATCGGTTGCAAGGGAGGACCAGACCTCAAGAACTTTGAGCCGATGGGTGTGGCGCCAGCGACACAACGCGACCTGCTCATACACATACAGTCACTGCGCCACGACATCAACTTCACGCTGGCACAGCATGCCATTCGCGCGTTTGGCAACGCAATCAAGGTGCAGGAGGAGACACACGCCTTCCGCTGGGTGGAGGAGCGTGACCTGAGCGGCTTCATCGACGGCACTGAGAACCCCAAGGGCGCCAAGGTAGCCAAGGTCGCGCTTGTCAGCAAGGAGGACGACCCCGACAGTGAGTGTGGCAGCTACGTCCTTGTGCAAAAGTGGGAGCACAACCTGGTCGAGTGGGCCATGTATCCCGAGCAGCAACAGGAGCGAATGATCGGTCGCACCAAGAAGGACAGTGTCGAGTTGGACGATGACAAGCGCAACGAAACATCACACGTGGCACGCGTTGACTTGAAGGAGAATGGGCAGGGTCTCAAGATACTCCGACACAGTCTGCCCTATGGCACCGTGAGTGGCAAGCATGGACTCTTCTTCATCGCCTACAGTGGAAGATTGTACAACATTGAACGACAGCTACAGAGTATGTTTGGACAGTTGGAAGATGGCAAGACTGATGACATCCTCAAGCTGTCCACACCCGTCAGTGGTGGATATTACTTTGCGCCCTCCATCAGTAAACTAGCATCCATCTAAAGGTCCACCTACCAACAAAGGTTTAGGGTACTCATTGCCCTGCTTGCACGTCATTCTCTCGCCCCTGACCAGTGAAGGTGAAGGGTGTGGGATGCACATAAATGCGCAACCCACAGGATGGATGTAAAGGTCAAACGAACGAGTAAAGGAAAGATACAAGTATGGATGACAATGGATCTTTGTCCTTTGGTGGGTGTCACTCTAGCACGCACACGGATTGGCCCGGCTTGCCCATTGCGTCATCATTCCGGGGCACGCACAACGATGGAAGGATAATGGTAAAAAAATCGAATTAAAGTGAGTGGGCCCTTTTTTGGCCCGTTTTGACAATGTTAGACGGGCCGTTTGAAGTTATCCATTAGTGTGTTTTGATTGAAAGGGTCAGGATTGGATAGAGGGTGGGGTAATGCCAGTGATCCATGGTATCTGAATAGGTCATACAATCTATTATTAATATTCAGAGATGTTGTTTGTATGTGTGACGACTTCCCCCATCATATTGTCATTCCCTGTTGCAAGGGACAACGACCGCCTTTGATTGAGTGATTTGAGTGTGTTAGTTTGTTTATCTTAATGCTGTACCAGACACTCACTCAATCAATCATTTACTTGCCATACTATAACAAGAGATATATATAATATAAGATATAAGATGATGGACATTGTCAGACGCCTGATTCAACATTTGGTGGCGGCAACATTGGTTACACTTTTGACAACAATGCCAAGTGTGTCAAATGCATTCATGTCACATGATCAACAACAATTACAACAGACGATGAATAGTCATCAATCATATATTGCCATCACTGGATACTCAATGACAACATACTTTTTGAGTGGATACTGCCACTTGCCTCTGGAAGGCGGCAAGGCATACATGTACACCGTGCTGCCAGACTATACAGTACACTACGCGATATATAATGATGAAAACTGTCGAAGCAGTGCACTGGAGCACAACGAGACGATTGCCACGGGCAAGCAGCCCAACCACCCGTGGATCCAGGTCTACCTGGTCGACGAGGTCAACGTGACGAACCGCGCGCACCACTTCACCTGGACCTACTACGCCACCGGTCGACAGTGCAATGGAATACCGGCCATTGCCTATTCGCAACCCATTGGCAACTGTCTGCCGCGCGACTTTTGGGACCCGTGGGGCAAGTACCAGACGATCATGTGCCATCCCTCGGGCAAGACCTACACACAGACCATCTACGAGGATCGCGTCTGTACGGAGCGCGTCTCTGAGTACGTCAATGTGCTCGAATCGACATGCAACACTGCACAAGAGTCATGTGGTCATCACTATTCATGTCAATAGTGTGCTCGCTCTCGAGAGATATCGAGCTATATCCTCGGCAACATACTCCTTTCGTCCAGCCATCTAGACATACCATGTCCTTGCCATGCCTTTGCCCTTTGCCCTTGCCATTGCCACGCCTTGAAGTGCTAGCATCCAGGCTACATTACGCCCAGCACTCCCACACCGGCGCCATTACGTACTCTCTCATAGTCCAGGCCCGGGCAACAGCTCAGACAGACACTCCTTACCAACCTACTTGGAGTGGCAACCAACAGTCATGTTCATGTTCATGTCAATATTGATGTGCACCTTTGTAAATATATAGAACGACCAGCAGACGGTTTATAGCTCCTGCTGTTACCTACCCCATCCTATCTATCCGCCCCGCTGCCCTTTCCTTTCCTTCTTCCTATCCTTTCCTTACGTGTATATCTATGGTTGATTGTAATACTCTAGAATGAATTAATGAATGAGAGGATTAATGTATTATCAACCAACTCATCCATCCAGGACAACACAATAACAATAACATACCAACGTAGCACATTATCCAACCTTCGAAGGGTTGGTAGTCCAAGCCTACACACTCGCACACTCTTGGACACTTTCGAAACCCCTGGGGTTTGTGGTGGTTCCCCGGGGCCCTGGACCAAGGTTCACGTCTCTAATCTTAGACTACATCTAGATGGGTCATGGGCTCACCCAAGCTACACTTTAACCAATTAACCAATTAATATTACAAGTTTGGATCATTTTAATATCTTTGATCAAAGATCCTGAAGTTCCATTTAATATCTAGGGATGGCGCCTTTTTCAAAATAATATTATCTCTTTTCGACTTCATTCAAACTATGAACTTGAACTTCTCCCTATTATCTGTTGATTTATCACTATCCAATCAAAGCAATGTATACAGAGAAGGCAATTGAAATACTGAAAGAGTTGAAACGCTCAGAGAATCTACCAATATATGATGTAAGTATGGTTTGTTGTGAACAATGATCGATCATTGTTATTGACATGACACATTCATTCATTCATTCACTATCACAAGGAAGGTGCAATTCGAAAGACAATCGATGAGATCAATGCACTGAAAGCAGAACTTGTTCAGACATTGGAGTATGTATCGATCACTCAATCAAAGTTAGACAGGCCAACTAACATAACATTACACATAATATAACAGTGAACATGAAGAGAATAAGAATGACCCTTATATATTGGCACATTCAAAGGTGTTTCAAACAAGTATGTTAAGGAACAAACGTATTATATTGGCTTATTTGAATGAGAGATTGGAACGTATAAAGGAGTACAGATGGAGTTCTGGCAGTGGCATACTTGCGCCACAACTCAAGAGTGCAATGTCGCCCATTGAACTATCCTTCTTTGCTCAACACGATAAAATGCTATCAGAATACCATCAAGCCATTGGTCTAGACTTGACAATAGTATGTTATGTTTATCAACTTCCACCTCTGGCGTCGTCCCCCTCGCTCCCACAATCTCCATCTAACACATAATCATTACAATGACAACAGGATATACTTCAACCTCCAAAGGAGTTGTTCATTGAGGTTAGAGTGATCAAGGAGTTTGGTGAGGTAGTGCTGGCGTCGGGAAGCACTGTTAACCTCAAGCTACATACAAGTCACTTCCTCCGTCGATCAGATGTTGGTACACTCATCAGTCAAGGTGTTCTGGAGCACATTGTTTAATCTTTGGATTGGATTGTTCGATCGTTCGTCTGTAAGTCTGCACAGGCCTTTCATTATTGCCTTTTTCGGTTGGCTCGGTCGACTAGTCTCGCCCAAGTTGAGCTCCCCCTCGCCCTTCAAACACAAATGACGACGACTTCAAGTTCAGCACATTCATTCAATCTTTCAATCATTCAAACATTCAAACATACATATAATAGACGAAGAATGTTACAGACGACAGTACGCAAATACATAGTTGCAACTGCTACAGGTCAACTGCTGCGGCACAACATCAAAGCTACACCACTGATTGAAGGAAAGCAACAACAACAGCAACATCATCAACATGTACATTTAAATAAACTATGGCAAGACGACTTGCCATTGTCCATCTTACTCAACTACTCCAAACCAACGACAACATATCTATTCAACATCATCAATCAACCGAGTCATCACCATTATTGTACAAAGACAGCGACCTCAAGCACGGTGGCGCCACCATCAATTCAAGGTATGTTGTCAACATGAAGTTCATTCAATCGTGAACAACAATAGCTAACTATGAATGTGATGTGTAGACCAACAGATACGAGAGAATGAAGTGCGAAGGATAGTTGATCTGTTGATCAATGGCAGACGACATAAGGAGTGCGTGGCAAAGATGTTGAATGAACGACATTTGGCTGAGCAGGCACAGGCAGGTCAGTTGGATCATTCAATGATGCATCTGCTCAAACAGTATAATAGGACAAAGGATGAGGTGGCACAGGTCGAGCAACTACAACAGAGTCTGGCAGACTACATCGATCTTCAGACGATGGCCAAAAGTGAGAATGATGCATCGATGCTGGCCGAGGCCGCTGGTATCCTTGACGAACTATATGCGCAGTGTCAGGAGCTAGAGTTCAAGTCATTGATGTCAGGTCAGAGCGACCATGAGAGTTGCTACCTTGAGATCCACGCCGGTGCTGGAGGTACAGACAGCATGGATTGGGCAGAGATGCTACATGGCATGTACTCAAAGTGGGCCCTTCGCAAGGGTTACCAGAGTAAGTATTGATTGAGCGAGAGAGTAAGACTGGCTGGAATCATTCCACTTACTCAAACTCATACATTATTGTCACATCACATGATCAGTGACCTTCATTGATGAATCAAGAGGAGAATATGGATACAAGAGAGTTGTGGTCAAGATTGATGGAGAGTATGCACATGGGTGGTGTCGATCAGAGTCTGGAATTCACAAGTTGATCAGGATATCACCATTCGATTCATCAGTAAGTTGGAATAATTCCAGGTCTCACTCAATCAATCAATCAATCAAACTCACACTCTCTCAATCAAACCCGAAAATAGGGAAAGAGACATACATCATTCGCATCTGTATTGGTGTATCCAGTGGCTGATGATAGTATTGTGATTGATATACAGCCAAAGGACTTGGTGATTGAGACGATGAAGTCAAGTGGACCGGGTGGACAACATGTTAACAAGACAGAGAGTGCTGTGAGGATCACTCACACACCATCTGGAATAATGGTGACAGTGTCAGAACAACGATCACAACATCAGAACAAGAGTATTGCAATGGAATTGATCAAGGCCAAGTTGATGGCGATTGAAGTGCGAAAGAAGGAACAACAAGAGCAGAGCATGAGATCGGAGCTCGGTGTCAATGGCTGGGCCAGCGACAAGATCGTGCGTACCTACACCGTTCATCCACAATGTCGAGTCAAAGACCAGCGCACCAATCAAGAGACCATGAACTTAGATGCCATCATGCAAGGCGAAGAAGAGCTAGACATAATGATCAAAGCAGCACTATCTCAGACATCAAGTTAATATAATGACCATGGATCATTCATTCATTCAATCATTCAATTCAATCAATGACCTTTATTCAATCATTCAATCAAGTTGATGTAGCCAACCATGCGCGATCTAATCTCCTGTTTCCAGTCAAGTGGCACCTTCACTCATTCACTCATTCATTCATTCCAACATGTGGCGTCACCTGATTAGACAGCTTGCTGCGTTTGCTGTATTGTAGCAATGATTATTATAACATCTTTCGCCATTCGCCATTCACCATCCTGGCATGCAACGCATGTTACTCTACTCCATCAACAACAATCCATCAATCCATACTTGTCAACATGAGGGTTGGAATGTACTTTCAACCAGGTACCAAACAAACCATCTAGATGTACCATTAAAGGTGGACCACACTTTGAAAGTTCATTCAAAGGCTCAGGGCCTCCCTACCCTAACTTCTAACTCCTACCCTATCTATGTGTTTGAGTGAATGTGTAACTAATGAAACAAATAAATAATATTAATAAAATATCTTTTACACCCAAACACATCAACCTCGGGGAATTGATTGGGCTACACACACTCGATCGCCACATGACACTCTCCAACAACTCCGACTTTTTGAAGTTGGACCCACTCCCACAACCCCCTTCACAACCCCACTCAATGGGCCATCAAACATGTTGAAGAAGATATTTACATCAAATGGTTGTGAATGGGGGGTTGCATGTTTGCAAACAATTTCAAAAAACATGAAAAATCAAAACAAGATATCGTTATTTTTATTTGTTTTTTATTTTAATCAGTTTGATCACACCCACTAAATGTCGGTTACAGGGTCAACTACTTACATTACACTCATAGACACACACATCTCTTGGGCCAGCGCCATAAAGACCCTAACTCCAATCCAACTAATACCAACAAAAGCAACAAACAGTCTCACAGTAATAGTGTCCTCCTCAACAACACCATTCACATTCATATTTGGTTGCAACTACGACATTGTTTCAGAATCATTCATTCTATTATCCACCATCCATTGCCTATTATACAAGTAGCAGCGCGCTCAAAGCTATAATAGACTATATCTCTCGTTGTATATATAATAATAATATAAAAATACATACCATCAACATTTACCCAATTAATAATATTACCGACAATAACATAATATAATATAATGAAGGTCTCATCTAGAGTTGCTATCGGCGTCCTTTCCACCATCCTCTTTGTAAGTGTCATCTTCATCATCATTGTCGACCACGATGTGACTGTCCATCATTCATTCTTTCGCGAGATGTGAGCGAGCAAGTGTGTTTGGTTCTCCGACCTCGGAAAGCGCAAACATGATTACACGCACACTCGCGACATGATAATACTTGTTAGTCCATCAATCGATCAATCAACGAATCAAACGAATCAAACAAAACAAACAAAACAACCATACTAACATTGACATTAACATTAACATTTAACAGGGATTTGGTGTCGCTCAGATTGTTATGACATGGGCTTACCAGAACCTCAAGAGTGAGCATACTTGGGCATACTTTGCTAATGGATTCTGCTGTGTTGTCACTGGTATCTGTGGTATCGTCGCCACATTTGTTAGACGCGAGAGAGTCAGCCAATTGTTCTTCATCTTCTCGTTGTTGACCACACTGGAGGCCATCGTCGTCTACATCATCTACTCGAGATTCCTGCCACGTTACATCAAGAACAGCTGCGGCGGCGTTGTCTACTCTGAGTTCTGCCAGGGTATCACCCAGTACCTCGCAGTGTCCACCACCCTTTTCTGGGCTTTCATCATCCTGTTGCTCCCACTGACCACCTTTGTTTCCTGGAAGTACACCGTCGGAATGATGAAGGGAGATGAGGATATCGAGATGGACAAGAGAAGCCCATAAGCTCTCATTCATTCATTCTCACTTCTCTGTGTAATACCAATCGTATTTAAATAATAATAAAATAAGCAATAACACTTGCTTACCCTACCCTACCCTTGTCTCTGCCCTTGCCCTTGCCCTTACCACTACCTCGCTCCCGAAATGAATGTAAGAATGAAAGGTAAGTAAGGTAAGAACGAATGAATGAACAAATGATTGGTTGATTGATAGAGAAGCACGACAAGGTGGATCTCTATGAATCTGATCAAGGTTATGATCGAGTTCGTGCATGCCATGAAGTCGGGATTGTATGAATGACACTGTAGTGTTCATTCATTGAATGAATGAAAAGCACACGAACGAAGATAACCGAACTGACACATTAAAGATTCATCCATTCGAATGGATCTCTACGTGACCAATCCAATCAATTCAATCAATTCAAGTCATTAATGCAGTCTTGAAGTGTGACTCACCGGTTGAGAGTAAAGAATATCTACTAATTATTTGATTCATCATTCATTAATTCAGAGAGATATCTCAAAAAATATTATAAAAAGAGATATTTGAATAGATATGTTATAGATATTTGTGATAAATTATCTGATCAACAACAACAAAAACACTCACTCACTAAAAGTGTAGCCCTTGTTTTAGCATTAGACACAATTTGTAAGTATTGTAGTGGTTGTTTTGATGAGCTTGATATGATCGTAGGCCCCGTTCTCGGAGTATGGGGCTTTGACTATCCAAGGTCTTCTCTCGCCAATAAACCACTCCGAGCCAAAAAGGTCTGTTTTTGTAAAGATCAACTTTAAAAAATGAGGCCAGATATATCGATGTTGTTGTCGCAGTGAGGCTCACGACAAAGCCCATGGATATTAGACCTTGCTTTGATCAAAACATCTGCGACCTTAATGAACAACATACATAGATCAGGCCCCCTATCCCATCCTCCAATCAATCAACCTGAGCTTTGCATGCTTTACTTCACCCTGGGTCTGTGGTCTTATCTGATTTGGTTTGGTTTGGTTTGGTCTAGTCCAGCCCTCCACCTTGTAAACAGAGTTGATGTTATCGAGGACAACAACAACAACAACACTACAACACTACAACAACTACAATCACTCAACACTACCTACTTGGTACTCACACCAATCGTATTATTAAAGTTGCACCTTGTGCAAATATTTGCATTTCTTTGTTTGTTTGTTATCTATCTCTCACCTATTATCCGGAGTTTTAGTTAGTTAACTTTATTACCAACTACAACTTGTATATCTATTCTATAAATAACTCAAACACATATTGTATTATTATCAATCCACTCAATCATACTCATTCAATCATTCAATCAATCAATCAATTATTCATTCAAATACCCAGCGTTATAAATTACATCACACCAACAATGAGCTTCGTAGTTGGTGATACTTCCAAAACATTCACTTCTAGAAGAGTGGGTGGTCTAACTACATCAAGGTCCAGACTGCCAGTCAGTCAGATTCAATTTGAAGGTCAATCATCCCTTCAACTAAAGACAGCACGTAGGTCATCACTTACCAGCCCAACAACTTTTGCAAACTCATCAATGGTCCATATGCTGACTCACTTGGAATGATTCCAATCACTCTTAAACACACTACCAAAATTAGAACAAAAATTATATTCAATACCATCAAACAATGCGTCAAGATATACAGAGAAACTAAAGGATAGGACAACAGCTGGTGAGGCGGTATTCATGGCGCCAGATGGTACTTTCTACGATATCCACTATTCTCCAGCACTCAAACATAAGGCTGGATCAGTCAACACAACATCCACAACAACAACAACCACAACTACCAACTCAAACAACACCAACAACATCAACAACACAACATCTGAAGAGGATGATGACACTGAACTATCATTCGCCCAACAACTCACACATCTACACAACTCAATTCCCCAACTGGACGAGTTTGACAACTTCTTTGATTATGAACAGGCATATTTGAGATGGAGATACGCCATCGAGACAATATTGGGAGACATCCGTTTACCTGAATTATCAGGTCGCTCTTATTATCGTCCACGTGTTACCGATTATACTAGAGGTGGACGTGATACCTCTTCATCAGACTTTAGACCAAGTTCATCATCCTTCTCACAGGAAGCCGACTCTGATGATAAGAGTGATCCACTAAACAGTGAGATCGAGGATGATATCAATGCCATGAGGGAGTCGGTCACTGATTCATTGGACTCTGCCATCATCCGAGACTGGGAGAGCAACTCTGACCCCTGGGACTCGCACCTCTACCCTCACGAGCCACAGCCAGATGATTATAATACATATGAAGGTATGTTAGCCCCTAGTTCGACCATTGCCATGACCCAAGTCTAACCATTCACACAAATATACAGAGTATAGCGAAGCCCTTTCGAGATGGGCATCAGTTTGTTCACAACTTCCATTCTTTCCACCACATGCATCACAGTTGAAGGACTTGATTCCAATCCAGTCGATCACAGATGCCTCCAAGAAGATTGATGACATGTCTACTGGCCCAGGCAACAACCCAAACAATACATTAAGTCACGAAGCCTCAAACACACAAGCTCAACAAATCGCCGTCAAGTCTGGCGTCAAGGAACTATTGTTCCTGGATGTATGTGCACAACTAACCCAGGACATCATCGAATATTTACTAACATCTACCACTTGCCCACGATCAATCATAGCACTCCATACTTTCCAAACAAAGTATGGCTACAACTACAACAATACAATCATCATCATCATCACAAGAGTTTAGCAAGGATGCCATTCATGCTAAACTCAGTGAGACTGCAAAGAAGAATATTAGAACGGTGATAAGCGATATTAATTCAAGATTGTTCAATAGTGGAAGTACAAGTTCGAGTGGTGGCTCGACCAAGTTGTTCAATCATCGCCAGGTGACCCAGCTGCCAAAGATCCACGGCTCATTCCCATTGCCCATGATGTCCCTCCAGAAGACCTTCAAGGACTTTCGCAACACCCACCTTCGACGCACTGACCTGACAGCAGAGCAATTGAAGCGTTGCCAAGACTCGCCACCCGTGGTCGCCGGTCAGACCGTCCAGTTCAACGTGCCTGGCCACGACATCTATCTGGACCATGCCAAGTTGTCCGACCCTAACTACATTGCCCAACAACAACTTGCTCTGCGCACCTTCATATCGGCAGACCGATTTAATCACCTCTACTCTTGGTATCACCCCATGGTGTCTGAATGGATGCACCAAAGACACAAGGATGACATCGATATGATCATCACTTCCAATCAGCGAGGGGCGTCTCGCGAGTCCCTGAGTCTGGACAGCATCACGGATATCCTTAACGTAGGCATGTACGTGGACAAGTTCTCAGACCTGCTCGACTCGACATTTAGCGAGGACTTTGATGGCGTCAAGTCATACGCGTCGGTCATGTCCAAGGGCATATCATCCGATAACATTGGACATCTGTTGCGCCAGTTGGACGAGACCAAGAACCCTCTGTTTCACGCCAAGATGGCCTACCTCATCATGAACCTGTTCAGCGGCAATCAGGGATCATCCATCCTATCGACACTTGTCGCCAACAAAGATGTCCGCTCACTATCATTGCTGGCCTACGCCTTTGACTATGTTAGTCCATTGCCAGTTGACATGTATCCATGGCGTGACGAACACTATTCCCTCGTCCGTACCATCATTGGTGACTCCATGGAGACCATCATGAAGCTCACCTTTTGTTACTACTACCTATGTATCATTGGAAAGGTACTGGATGTCCATGTCCATCTATATTATTCCAAGTCCACAGTCAGCCAGACTAAAGTTGTATGTATCCCAAATTCCCCAGTCCATCCTGGAATGATCCCATACTCATCACCCACCCTCCCATTCTTCCAATCAATCAGTCTATCGCACATACTATATCAAGCATGTTGCAACAGAACACTCCAAATGTGTTGGACCGCTTGTTCATTGGAATCAAGCATCGAAGCAACACAGTATCCTCTTTCTGCCTGTTTATCTTGTTGCAACTGATGAGTAATCAGGAGGGCGTAGCTATCCACAACAGTCTAAAGGCCGACAACTGCTTCCTTTATGAGCGCATCAAGCTTGTTTGTCAATCAAAGATGAAGCATGTCCAGTTTGCTGCACGTCGTCTATTCGCACTGCTATGCAAGGTTCCATGGCAAGAGTACATATTCAAGGAATACAACAAGGATCCAGAGTCTGCCGTGCGCGACCTGATTGGCACGGAGGAGCTTCGACCTAGCAGTCTGATGCTTGAGCTACTTCTCGAGTTCTTCCAGGCGGCCACTCACTCATTGGTCGATGCGGCCACTGCCTCCATGCCAATCTCCAACACATCAACATTGGGCTCGACCTCTTTAAATGGAGCCAGCTCAACAACTCAAAGTTCGCCGCCAGTAGGAAGTTTGCCAGCACCAATTGTCACAACAGGTATCCGCAGCAAGTTCCAATTCCTACTCGATGCCATGTTGTTCCACTCACTCTTCCAGTATCTGATCAAGAACTCACGTGTCGTCAATGGTCAGACTCTGAGTATCTCTACCTTGGTCACACGATTGGTTGTGGTACATGGCTATCTTGGCTCGATCCAAGCCACACAGGATGTCAAGACCACTCAACGTCGCTGGGGTCAGACCAACTTATTGTTGTCGCCAATCGATATGCGCAACATATCCAATCGCATCAACGATACTTCATCACTCAATCTGAGCGGCAACACAGTGCCCACCACCAACAATATGGTGATGGCCTATCAGATCAGGACCAACTTGCTCAAGGTCACACGCATATTCCTCAAAGTGCAACTGGTGTATGATTTGATCAAGAGTGAGGAGGACTTCTTCTCGCGTCTGATGACCTACTGCCGAGACAGTAACAAMCCAGGCTTTCAACCCGCGAGGCCTGGAAGCTGTTGTACCAAACAATGAAGAATCATCCAGGAACGATCGAGAGCCTCAACAAGGACTCGACATTGTGGAACTTCATGGAACTGGTCGGTCCCAGCTCACACATCGCGGTGGTCACCAACGGCCTGCACTACATCACCAAGATGTTTGAGATCACAACCACGCTCACCAAGACTGTCGGTGGCGGCCCGAGCACCACGAGCAGTGGCGGTGGATTGTCCAAGAACGATGTTAAGGCCGTCGACAAGGACCTCAAGACATTGATTGGTCTGTTCACGGCCAAGCGTCAATTCATCAAGATCCACATGATCTACAAACGATACATTACCAATCATCCGGGCATGGCCTTCATCGAATTGGCCAAGTTCTACAACACAATGTACACGTCGTCCAACTGTGGCAAGCTGCTCAAGGACACCGTGAAGAAGGTGGAGTACAAGGAGGGTCTGGACATCATTGGCGCCATGTTCGATCCAACAATGTCACATCATCCAGGCGAGAATATGATGTCGAGTGTATCAAGTGTGCCACAAACCAGCACTCATAGTTCATCGACTTCCCATTCATCATCGTCTTCGTCGCTCTCGCTGAACACATCGTCATCTTCCTTGCACATTGGATCTCCCTCCTCCAAGGATTCAACATCCAGCGCTACGCAAGGCAAGGACGAGAAGGAGAAGCAATCACGATCCGAGTCCACTCTCAATGTTGCCAAGCTGACCGTATCATCATTCAAGTCCTTCCTCAGTCGTAACAAGAAAGAAGACAAGGGTGATTCAAGGACTTGATCAATTAGTTCGTTCGTTCATTCGTTCAAACATGACCAATAAAGTTCGTTTATACGCTCCTCCATCCATCCAGTATATTTGAACAAGGCGCGTGCCAAATGGCCAGCCAATCATCATAATTTAATCAATCGAGTTGGTCATATTGTCCTTTGTCTGGTCCAGGATGTTGTTTTATCATTAGCCATACCTCTTTTTGAGATCCTAGATGAGACAAAGCGAGTGAGGCGTGTTAATAACTCATTCATTCAATCAATCAATCGATCGATCAATCATAAACATACCTCTTTCTTTTTCTCCAAAGCAGTCTTCTCAACTGCATTGTTGTTATTATCGCTAGCCATCTCGATGTCCTCTTTTGTGATCTTGTGTTGACGAGTTGGTCCACCGCCAGCACTTGCATTCGCGCCAGCACCAACGCCAGCACCACTGACTGTAGACTTGACCTGATACTTTTGTCTCTGTTCATCCTTCCATTTGGCGACGGCCTCTTCGATGGCCTGCTTCTCGACATCTCGCTCGACCTCCTCCAGCAGGCCGTCCTCATCATCTCTATATCCATAATAGTCTGCGTCGACGCTCTTGTGTAGTTCAAACTTTGATCGCTTCGTGACGGGCACTTCAGGCTTCTCCAACATCTCCTTGACACCGGGTAGATTCCTCGCCTCTCCATAATACTTGTAGTGACCCTTGCCTGCCGCCTCTCGCCCATCCGCATCGAATATCTTTGATTGTGTCGCTAAATAGTTTGGTCCACCCAATTGTATAATCCTCTTCTCCCAATGATGCTTCTCTCTTCCTAACTTATTAATCTCATCATTCAAGTCTCTTATTCTATATTCTCCAAGTGATGCTATTTGAATGATTGAATGAGTGAGTGATTGATAGAGTGATTGATAGAGTGATTGACAGTGAATCACTAAACATACAATTCTGTATCTCTGATATCTTTCTTGACATCTCTCTGATGATCTGATGTCTCCATCTCTCTGCTTCTGTAAGGTTCTCACAGAGTGATGCAAGGTGAGGTCTCTTCTTCTCTATCTTATCCTCATCATTCCTCATCCTGAGGAATCTATTCAGCATTGACTGCGCCTTCTCTTCACTCCTTGCCATTCTTTATCTTATCTTATCTTATCTGTTACAGTTATATATACACAATCAATTGAATGAATGAATGATCTTCGCTCATGACCCTTTTGTTTAAACTTCATCAAACCCATAAATTCAACTTTTGACGACACTTTCGTCTGAATGACAGAACACGAATGATTGAATGATTGATTGATATCAATGAGTAATATAGACTTTAGTTATTTCTTGGCTTCTTGAATGGTCTCTTGGTTCGTCTGTTGGCACCTATTCCACTCTTGAAACTCTCGTCTGGCTCTTCACCGACCTCCTTTCTGTACCACTCCTCATCATCATCGTCATCATCATTGGCCTCATTGGCAAAGCGTTTCAGTTGCTTATCCTTCTTCTTCTTCATCTTCTCATCAGATGCCTTCTTCTTTGCCTCAACATTCTTATTCTGCTCATCAATCCTACGCTGCTTCTCAATCATCTCATCCTGCTTCTTGACATGCAATTCATCAATCTCTCTCTCTGACTTGGAGACTATTCATTCGTTTGATTTGATTGAGTTAGTATGTTATGTGATTGATTCGATCGAATGAGTTGAAGAACTTACCATATTTATGATAAAGGATGCCACCCTTGAACAGGTCATCCTCGACTTTGACGAGATCGAGGGACATTCTTGGACCAATCTCCTCAAGCTTGATAGCCTTTTGATTGGACTGGATTGTCTTCTTACGCTTGGTGTCCAGGAACTTGGAGTCAATGTCGATCTTGCCATCGTTGGCATCCTCATAGTCACTCTCACTCTCTCCAGTGCCACCCAAAATATAATCACTAATATCTCCCATATTCGATACATCTGGCATTCTTGATTGAATCACTCTCTTTACACTCTTACTGATTCCAGTCTCTGCCACCCTAAAGTTGATTGAGGTTAGTGATTGATTGATTGATTGATTGAGGTGATCATGATCAAACATACTTGATCTTGTAATGTCTAAACTCGACCATGTTGGTCTCCTTGTCAAAGTTGAACAACACGATTCTCTTGCACTTGGACAATTGAAGCTAAAGTGGGATAGTTCCAGGATTGAAGTGTGAGTGATTGTTTGATTACTTTGATCAATCACATGATTGATACTACATACTGTTAGGACATTGATGGATGGGAATAGGTTCTGCAAGAGTGTGGACATCATCTCGATGTGTGGAGAGCCTTTGGAGAAGTTGTTGAGAACGACGAGTGGTGCGGTCATGTACTCGGCAGTGCCAAGGGACGATGGTCTGAGCTTGGCCTTGTTGACGTCGGCCATCAAAGAGTACTCGGCGATCTTGAAGGTGATGGTGGGGCCCTTGGGCGACTTGCCCACGGACATGTAGCTGCCAATGTCAGTGTTGGAGAAGGTGACCAAGTGAGTGACACCATAGATGCTGGCCACATTGACAAAGTCCTTTGTCGTGTTGGTTGGCATCTCTTTCAGTTTTGCCGCTGTGTTTGGTTCCATCACCTTACGGAAATCAACCACCAACTGTTTGATCATCTTATTACAATCTCCACGTCTAAAGACAAATGACTTGCTAACTCCTGTCATATCATCATCCTCTTGATCTGGATGTGTATCATTCCTCGTCTTCTTCTGTTGTTTCTTATTAGCTCTCTTTTGTTGTAGTTTTTGATGTTTCTATAATTGATTGATTGATTGAATGAGTATGATTGATTGAATGAGTATGATTGGTTGAATGATTGAGTGAGTGATGGACTTACCTTGCCAGCAGCAGCACCACCTGTACCACCTGTACTATATGACTTCTTCTTGCCACCGAATCCTTTCTTGTTATCAGTCTTTCCCATGTCTGTATCTGTATGATTATATATATAAATGAATAAGATTGAAGTTTGAAGAATACCCTCAAAGTGTGTGAGGTCAACTCGACTTTCGTTCGTCTCAACACAAACACATCTTTTTGAAATTAATTGAATTTAATAATTCTTCACAAAGTCAATCTAATCTCACTCATTCATTCTTGTATCTACTTATACTTATGTACATGTACAATGTAGTATACTTATTGTTGGAGGAGTGGCTTGACTGATACGTGGGGTACTACTTTAGGATGATCAGCAATAACACATGTTATTCTGGATGAATGCGAGGTCCATGGACATTGCTGATCACTGATCTTGATCCACAGATCATTTAGGATTGAGTAGCGATAGTTCCATCCTTGTCCTTGTAGTAACAACAATGTTGATCTCTCTGATGTACATGTAACTAAGTTATGATGGCCAGGAATACTCTGTCCCAATCTACTTGGTGCAGATGCAAGGCGAGTCAGCTTAGCCGCCACCATTATCATCCTAGAGTTGGATGTTGACGTCGACAATGCCATGCTGTAGAATCTACCTTCATCGAACAACATGTAGAGCTTGTCACGGTGGATGGTGCAGGTGTGGAGCTTGCCCAAGAGACGGGTGTAGGACTCCTGTTTGGTGACCAGGTCGTATGTGGCGATGCAGTTTGGAGAGGAATCTTGATCAATGCAATAGATCACCGTGCCATGAATGAATGTGAATGATGGATCGAAGCCGGGTCTAAAATAGCCAATCCTTCTGATTTGTTGAGTCTCAATATTGAAGCTTTGAAGAGGTTTTTGGCGGACTTCTTCATAATTGTCTTCATCATTGTCTTTATCCTCGTTGTCGTCGTCATCATCATCATCGTCTTTATCCTCGTAGTCGTCATCATCATCATCGTCGTAGTCGCCCTCGTAGTCATCATCATCATCATCGTTCTTGTCCTTGACCTTGACCTCGTCCTGTTCAATAAAGCCTCCATGTGCCAGGTAGATCATCTTTTCTCCATCATAGCATGTAGATAATCTAATTGAATTATGGTCTTCTTTGTCGTTCACTACGTGATCATCTGAGAGACCAAAAATTTGGTTGCCAACTTGCCATCGATGCTCCGAGACGGAGTATAGGGAGTATGTTTCCAAAAGACTATATCTTATTCCAGTTGTAAACAAATATACATGTCCCCTGGCATACACGGCGGATGTTCCAAGAAGCTCTGGATGTTTGATCACAACTCCATCTTGGTCGGCATACTTCTCTGACCATGTGTTTTCCATTGGTGAGAAGAATGAATATACTCCATGCTCAATGCACATCACTTGATGATCCAGAGCATTGGTATACTTCTCAGATACTTCTAAAAGTTGGAAACACGTTTGTAACTTATCCTTGATGATATCAAGCATATCCACATCAATATCGACATTGAACGATGGTCTTGGCACATGATGATTGGACGTTCTCATCACTTGAAATTGTCTTTGGACCAGTTTAAGTAACTCATTGTCAGTGATTGTGATTGTGAGTGCCGCCTGTGATGATATTGTTGTTGGGAAAGAATGATCGATGAACTGATTGATTGAGGTTGAAGATTTGATTGATTGAATGACATCATCCTCATTCCAACTTGTGAGGTCTTGTGAACTTGATGGTGATGTAGACGTCACAGTGGCTTGCGACGGCTTGAATAAGTTCTTGATGTTCTTGATCTCATCAATGATATCATGTATGGATGACATTGTTTGTTGTAATTGATCATTGATTGGGGATGTTAGCTTATGCTCCTCAATTATTAGTATGTCATGTAGTTGTTTGAAATGATCAGTTGTGGATCTTGAAGTCTCCTTCAATACTTGATATGTTGTAGATAGTTGTTGTAGAGTTGACCATAATATATTTAAACGGGATGTTGATGATTCATTATACTCTCTTTGATCAATTAATGTTCTTAAATGTATTATACTCTCAAAATAATGTCTCTTATGACTTGTACTCAAACAACAATCACAAACAATACAATTACAATCAATACATATTAACCTTTGTTGTTTACCATGTATCTTACACATGTCATTATTATTATTATTATTATTATTGATTGTGTCCATCTCCATCATTATTATTATTATCTCTTTGATTGAATGATTGTGTGTGTACAAATGTTCAAAATGATTGATTGATTGACTGATGGTTGTGTAGTCAAGCCTTGTCATTAATGGGCTTGAATTATTATTTTTATATATATATATATATTATAATGTATATATATACCATGTATTATTATGGTACATTGGAATATTGATGATTGAAGGTCCTTCCAAATATTACAAATATTAGATGGGCTGGTCAATCCATCAATGTATATGTCTTTGATTGATTGAATGGATGTATAGTTGGCTGATGGTATAGTGTCGACACTATCCCATTCATCCATCCCATGACATCCCATACTTGATTGAGCTGACAGCAAACTCAAGCGTCAAACTCACACTCAAATACCAAAGTGCTTCTTGAGAATGGCAATGGTCTCATTGGCAAAGTTGATGAGGGATTGGATCATGAACATTAGTTCATCGACAGAGACATCTTGTTCCAGTTGAGCTTGGATCACTGAGAGTTTGCTGTCGAGTTGTTCGTTGATGTAGGTCATGTGGTCGTTGTGCTCGGTGAAGATCCTCAGCAGCTGCTTGATCAACTGCTTGCTCTTGGGCAGATCCTTGGACTCAAAGGCCGTCAGGCAGCTGGTCGAGACAGTCAATGATGCGCACCTCAATACTCAGCACGGGTATCATCATCTTGATAGAGCTGATCAATTGTCCATGCTTGTTATGTTGTGATATGTCTAGATTGTTGATGATCTCTATTATCTGTAGATGTAGTACTTCTTGGTCCTCATTGATCTCCTCCAGTTGTTTGACATAATAGTTGATCTTTGATATCACCGGTTGTTTGTTTATAATGCTCACCCTAGTGAACACTTGGAAGTATGACTTGATTGATTGTAATATTGCTGCTATTCTTTGTATTATTTGTCTTAAGTTGATTCGAGGGTTGAGGGTTAGCGAGGGTTGAGGGTTGAGGGTCGAGGGTCGAAGGTCGAAGGTTGAGTGACACTACTACATACCTATATCTTGTGATAATGATTATATCACCTGGGTTCTGTAGATCATCTATTAGATCATCTAGTGAACTTGTCAATGGTCTAATGTCTATTGCAGTAACAGCGGCATTATCTGCACCGTCCTTTGCTACCATTGCACGTAACTTTTCAAAGTCTGGTGATATAGGGCTGATTTGATCTGACATCTTTGTTGTTGTTGTTGTTGTTGTTGTCTCTTCTTGTTATAATGTATATATATAAACTGATTTTGATATTGATATTATATCTTGCTCGCACTATTGATGCGAACCTAGATCAATCAATCAATTAAGTTAATCAACCAATCGTCACTCCTAACTGAACAAATAAATAAATAAATAAATAAGATATTATTACAAACTTTATCTCTTCTGTATGTCTATGTATGTCTGTCTCTGTATGTGTATGTTTGAATTATATGTATGTCTTAACAATGTTTAACGAATAGAACACAACACAACACACTATTCTGCACAATATCTATTCAACCACAAACCAATCAATGTTGGATGATTCAACACAACACACCACACACAAACAAACAAACACAGATACATCTTACAACTACATCATCATCGCATCCCAGTAATGAAGTGGGTTGCACCCGCCTTCTGGAATGACCCTATCTGATGGGGCACTAATGAGAAATTCCATAATTAATTGAATGATGGGGTGGGTGCTCAGTAATTGATTGGATGAACATTTATGCGTGTCGTTTCAATTTTCAACCGTTGATCAAACACACTCACTCAATCAGAAATCGTAACGGACAGGTCATTGCCTTCATCACTCATACCTGAATACTTAAAGAGAGAGTGGTAGTGTTCTGCAAGTCCAACACACTACAAAGATGTACATACATCTTATAATTTGGTAGGGAGTATAAGGCACAAGGCACAACAAGATGTGATGTGATGATGTTGACCTTAGTGTAGAACATTGACAAGAGTTCTCCACTTGCCAATCAATTTGTAGGCATTCATTGTTGAACAACACAAGTGTGCATACATGATGTTGATGGCCATGCCATATATATATATTCAAAATCTCAAGTGTGGCGCCACATTATCGTTGAGAGAGCTCTCTCTCTTAATTATGAGGGTTGCATTCATGCCTCCTCCTCCCTTTATTCAATCAATCAATCATTGCAATCCAACGATATGATTATCAGTCATGATATATGAGCTTGGGCATATATGGACCAGTGATGGTAGCCTTCTTCCAACCTTCGCGCTCATTTGGTGTAGCAAATGCGTTCTGTACATATCTTACATTGTCAATTACAACATCGTCTATAGGTATACCGCGGGCGCAAGAGTGATGGGTCAGTATGAATGAATGAATGAATGATTGAATGAATGAATGGAGTACATACAATCGATATGAGTATGACCAAACACATGTACGGTCGATCCGGCCCTGCGCAATTGTTTGTCCAACTCGAGTGTTCCAACAACCATTGGCAGGAACTTATGTATGAGTACCTTCTTGGGAGGTAACAACTCACGTCTTGGTACAAAGTGTGTAAAGGTGATTACATTCTTTGGATAGTTACTTGCATTATCTCTCCTAAAGCCATCTATCAATGCTTCATTCACTTTAAGGAATCTTCCTGCCACCTCTGTATTTGGTATGTCCCATTTACAATGTCTAAAGTCTCCCCAACGAGGCTTCAAGTTCTCGTAGATCTATGTATATGTACGTCGGGGAGCAAGGGTAGGGTAGGAGGGGAGCAGGGGCCAAGGAGTATGATATGTCAGTTCACTCATTCATTCATTCATTCATTCAATCATTCATTCGTTCAATGTATCAAACATACCTCTTGTTGCTCTGCAGGTTGGAGGTACTCCCAGTCTTCATCGAATGATGGATGATGCCATCCAAGCATTGGAAAGATTGCAAGCTTGATGGATGGATGGATACAAGATGTTATGTCAGTCCCAGACGTCACTCATTCTCACTAACTCAACTCGCTTTCTATCTCCAATACAAACATACATGTTCATTGATTCTAGTTGGCGCAACATAAACACCAATACGTCTACACATATTGTAGATTGCCTCAAGCTTACCCATTGAGTCTGGACACTAAGGATCGATTAGAATATCGATTGAATGAATGAATGAATGTGAGTGAGTGATTGATTGAATGAACGAAGAAGGGAAAGAGCAATGATCGATCGATCATACATTGTCAGATCTTCCAACCCATAACTCATGGTTACCAGGTGTGAAGAATACAGCAATAGGATACTTTGTCCTTAGTATACTCAATGTTGATTCCATTATATTGATGTTGTCTGAGATGTCACCACAAACAATGAGTATACCATCGGCCACCACTGGTAGTGTCTTTATATACTCCATATTGGACGGGAAGTCCGTATGAATATCTGATACACAAAATACTTGTACCATATCTATCTCTTTATCTTATCTCTTAATCTTTCTTATCTATCTATATCTCTATATCTATCTCTTTGAGAAGTGAGTGACCTTTCTTTTATGCGATGTTGCTTCAAGTTCATAATAAGATGAAATTTAGGTGATCCTGATTTTTTCTGATCTTTTTGGGAACTGTGTGCTTTTACATGTTGGGTACCATCACTCTATTACTAAATGTGGTAATTAATGATTCAGGAAATGACGATTCAGACTGACGTGTTAACAAAAGACATGTCCCACGTGGGACCCACGTGAGTCTCTAGTGTCGTTATACTTTGCCATTAATATACATCTAGATGTTGAACTGATTGGTATTGAATGAATGGTAACCAAATTTGATGACGTAGCACCAACAATTAATTGTAATGTCAGACATTTCCTGTTTTGGAAATACGAATTTGAATCCAAAGGGTGATCACCCACAACAAGTAACGTTATTTGATTGGTAAATTGTACATATTAATTAATTAACTTAATACAAAAGCAACTATTATTTTCAATTCAACTTGATTGATTTTATTACTTGGTCTCTCATAGTGTCAATAAATAAATAAAGTGTCATTTCCAAAAAATTAATATTAGCGCCAACTTTGAACTTGTAAAACATTGGCGCCACTTTTCAAAATTGAACACAACTCATTCTTTAACTTCATTTGACAAACTATCCATCTATCAAATTATCTACAACATATACATATACATACATACACATACAAATATATTCACACAACAAAGATGAGCCATATTAGATTGACTCAAGTTCTGATTCACAATAATCCAGCGAGTTTCAACTCACCTCTGATATTCGACATCACATTCGAATGTGTTCAACCTATAGCTGCAGGTATGTCTCGAATGTCTCGAATGGAACATCTACATACATATACATATACTAAACAAATATATATATAGACTTGGAGTGGAAGGTAGTATATGTAGGATCAGCAGATAGTGAAAAGAATGATCAATTATTGGACAGTATATGGTTGGGACCAGTGAATGTTGGAAGCAACCAGTTTGTGTTTGAGGTTGAGCCTCCCGATTACTCGCGCATCCCAAAGGATGATCTGCTAGGTGTCACCGTCGTCTTCCTTTTCTGCGCATACAAGGGCGAGGACTTTATCAGAGTTGGCTACTACGTTAGCAATGAATATAGTGATCCAGAGTTGGCTTCAGTAAGTTCAATTCATACATTTATTCATTCAATCAATCGATCAATCATGTGTTGTTAACAACCACCTTACCCTTTGTCAACAATGTTACAGAACCCACCAGAGACACCAGATGTATCGCGAGTTGTTAGGAATATATTAGCAGAGAAGCCAGTTGTTACGGGATTCCCAATCCGATGGGACTAACCATTCATTCAACAACAACAACAACACCTCAATCAATCACTCATCAACCAACCACCTATCAAACCAACCTTCAGGTCCACATTGCCGTGTAATGCTGGCAGTAGTGTCCCACTCACAATCATCATCATCAACAACACCATTGCTCTATCAACTTACAACGTTCAGCGAACGATTTGATTGAGCTCAACTCTTCTTCCTCTACTCACTTCAAACCATTCACATCATCAAATGGTCAGCCAGTCAGTTCCCTCAAACGCAAACCAAAGGCATGCAAGCCAAACAAACCATCACTCAACACACGCAATGTGCACAGTCCAATGTACGAATATACCTCCAAGGCCATTGATTGATTATCAAGGCCAATGTTATGTTGAGCACATGATACGTGCGACTACTTCAACTGTTGTCAGTAACAGACAGGCAGTTCAGTAGGCAACAACAACAACAACAACGACATCGACAACAACAAACAAATTGGAGGGATGTATATAGTCATCATCGTCATCAATCATCTACTCGAAGTAAAAGGAGACAACATGCCTTGCACCACCTATATCTATTTCTATACTTTATCCGTTTATCTCTTGTTCACAGTGTGTTTGATCAAACACGAATCAAAATGATCGTGTGATTACAGCGAAGTTTCAGCGTCCCCGCCCACAAACACACACTGCAGATATTTGCCGGTTTGATTGGTCATAATAGTTCACGCGCAGTATTGGTGATAGACGAAGTGTACTTGCAGTACCGTACTATTTTGATTCTGTTATTGGTCGGTACAAGGGTCAAATGTTACGAAGTGATTGATTCGATCCTTGAGTGATAGAATGACTGAGTGAGTTAGGCTTGATGAACATCTGTAGAGTCTGACTCAGTCAGTCAATCACTGAATCAATCAATCAAACATATATATCAATAATAATAATAAGATGGAAGACGACTCGTCAAACGGTTATGAACACGATCAGTTCATGAAGACCAAGATTGGTCTAATCTTTGTGATATTCGCAATGACCTTGGGCGCCAGTTATGTTCCATTCGCACTCGGTCGATCAGGTGTCAAGAACTTGGTGGTGATTCTATCATTCATGACATGTTTTGCCGCAGGTATCATCTTGGCTGGTGCATTCAATCATTTGTTGCCAACGGCCAATGAACTGTTTGTGGCCTACTTTGAAAAGGTCCATCCAAACAACAAGTATGGCAACTTCCCCTACGCACCAACAATCGCAATTCTCATCCTATTCATGTTGATCGCATTGGATAAGTTGGTGGTGGAGAAAGGCGTGGGAGGCGAGGCAGGTCACAATCACATGGACCTGTCCGCGCAGCTCAACGAGTCGTCCAAACTGTTGGACAATGGAGACATCACACTTGGAAGTTATAATGGCACGTCCACTGGAGGAGGGGGTGGAGCAGACCTCTCGCGATCAATCACAGGTGGTGCATTTGGCAGTGGACACGGACATGGAGGACAGGATGGCGCCGACAACATGCACGAGCATGAGAGCATCAACAATGGAAAGTCACATGCCGCCAATGTTAGTCAGGCTTGGATATTCATGCTGGCGCTGTCTGTTCATTCAATCTTTGATGGACTGGGTCTGGGCGCAGAGAACGACCCCAACAACTTTTATGGTCTGCTGGTGGCCGTCCTAGCGCACAAGGCGTTGGATGGCTTTGCCCTGGGCGTGCCAGTCTACTACGCCAAGTTTTCGAGACTGCAGACGGCATTGGCATTGACATTCTGTGCGGCAATGACACCGCTGGGCATCGCCATTGGCATGATCATCTCGCACTTTTACACTGGCGAAGGGTCCAACCTTGCAGAGGGTATCATCCTCTCAATCACAACAGGCTCCTTCTTGTACATCTCACTCATCGAACTACTTCCATCGGGTTTCAGTCAACCCGATTGGATGAAAGTCAAGCTGTCACTCGCATTCACAGGCTGGGCCATACTAGCTGTACTCGCACTCTGGGTATGATCATCATCAATTAAAGAAGCAATCATTCACATCAACCTGATTGATCGTTATGTATATGTATCCATGTTTAATGTCCAGGTATGTGATTGATTGATTGATTTGATTGATTGATTGATTGATTGAGCTTAAATATTACAAGAAATAGTCAGGAGTGCGACGAGTGACATGAGGTTCACCTCTTCTTGGAGCAGGATCAAACTGCAAGCTGTGAGAGTTATCGTAGTGTGTCAGCAAAGGATCAATCAATCAATCAATCACTCGACTTCACAAGTAGGTCAATACTTACAAGGTATGCTTCATCTTCTCATCAATCTCCATTATTGCAGCTTGATTACCACAACGATAACAATAGTTGGGCGCACTAAAGATTGTGACTACGTTTTGATCATGTGCCCAATTGTATCCCTCCATGACCAGCTGGTGAGCACGCGCCACCAAAGTCAGTCCGTTGTTATGATTGAATTGCTCAGAGATGTCCTTGCCAAAGGTGTAGCCGGCGCCTCGAGGCGAGTATCCGAATCCGCTCCTGTCGTCTGGATCGGACCACAGCAGGTCACACATGGCGCCTTCGTGCGGCACCTCTTGAAGGCGATCCAAGTTACGAATATGATCCAATGTATCGATCGATGGAGAGAGTCCACCATGTAAACAAAACACCTTGATTGATTGAATGAATGATTGAGTGATCAAGTGAGTGAGTGAGTATGAGTGATCGCATTGATCACATGATCAATCAATCCAATCAATCAAACATACCTGTTTCTCAATGAGCGCAGTCAGTGGTAGATAGTCAAACAGGTCGGTGAAGAATCGCCACACGTTGGGATTGCCGTACTTCCTGAGACATTCGTCGTAGAAGCCGTACACCTGTGTGATCTGTCGGGATTCATGATTGCCGCGAAGGATGGTGAGACGGTCTTTGTAGCGAACCTTGAGCGCTACGAGCAGTGTGACGGTCTCAACTGAGTAGAAGCCACGATCTACATAGTCGCCCATGAACAAATAGTTTGTGTCTGGACAGTTGCCACCTATCTTGAACAGCTCCATCAGATCGTGGAACTGGCCGTGTATATCTCCACACACTGTCACTGGACAACGAACAGGCTGTACATTTGACTCCTCCAACAAAACCTCTCTTGCTCTATCACATAGATTCTTGACCTCGCTCTCGCTCAAAGGTTTACACTCCTTCAATATTGAAATGTATCTATCTATATCTTGGAACTCTCCCATTATATATTATTACTATTATTTGTATTTGTGTATATATATATATATAATAGGAAGTGAGAAGTAATAGTAATATGAATTCATTTCATTTTGGTGAACTATTATTAGGTTTGTGGAGGTTCATTGGGGTTGTTCAACCCTTACCCCAACCCCTACCCTTGACCTAACCCTTACCCTTGCCCTAACCCAACAATACAAACTAAACTAAATCAATCAATTAATCAATGTCATATTATTATTATTATTAATAATCTTGATCATCATCCTCTTGTCCTTGAGAAGATGGCGATACCAGACTTGCATGTAGATTCTCAATAAACTTTGGCATATCCAACTTCTCAATCTCCACAACAGCAGTGTCGAACGACTGGTACTTGAGCAATGAGTTGGTCGAGCTGGCAACCTTTAAGAAATTTACACCAAACACGCTGTATCAAGAATGAATGAATGATTGAGTTAATGAATGAACGAATGAATGAATGAATGATGTATACATACTTTGCTTGTTTGGATGAGCTACCATGTGAGCTAGAGATACCAACCAAGAGATAATTGCCAGTGTTCTCATTCAATGCACCAACAAGGAATGGTTTGGTCTTCTTCTTCATCGTCGCATAGGCATCCATTATATACAGTCCCAATTTGGTAAGTGCCATTGGGTGCACAAAGAGTCTAGTGTCCGAACCCTCTGGCAACAGAGCGTATCTGAATGGTCCTGACATCACCACAATCTTCTTCTCAATCACACTGAACAACTGTCTCGTGATCTCCTTCTGTAGGTATATAGCCTGTTTCAGACCCTCGACCAACAGGTCCAAGTTGCGGCTAAGTATGAATGAGCGAGTGTGTTAGTGAGTGATTATGATCGAGTTCTTCATGTCCAACTTCCAACTTCAAAATTCCAAACTTCCAACTTCCAATATCCAACTTCCAATATCCAACTTCCAATCAATTAAACATACTTTGAGAGGGCATCATAGGCATCCCAGAAGTTCTGCTCCCATATCTCTTTGTCGGTAACGTCGCTTTCGAGATTGTCAGACTCCATTAGGGCCGTCAAGGCGTGAACCATGTCTGAGGCGGACAGCTCAATTGAGCACTCATACTTGCGAACGAATGATCGGTAGTAGATCTCATTCAGGCCAAACTTTGGCGCGTGTGTCGCCAGCTGTGCCTTGAGATTGGTCTTGTAGTGGCCACTCATTGAGACGTACTTCTGCTTGACCTGCTCCAGTGGCAGACCCATCAGCGCAAACAGCGTCTCCAGCAGGTACTTTCCCTTGGCGCGCCACAGACGCAGCACACATGACACGTACTTGGAGTGGTACATGCTCTCGTAGAGGTTCCAGTGGCGATACAGCATGAAGCGGTAGTCCTCGGCCACGGTGATGTGGTCACCCTGTCCAGACTTGTCGTTGGGGTCGTAGGCGTTGAGCACGAGCGCCTTGAGCATCTTGTACTCAATGTCATAGTTGAGCAGGGGCACACGCTCGTGCACCAACTGATCGGTCACGCCCAGGATGGCGTACCAGAGCAGGCCGTCCAATGAGTCCTTGCTGAGAATTGTGCTGAGTTGATACATCATGGATGCCGAACTCTTGCCATAGTATGATTGAGTGGTGCGTGACTTTCGCGAATGTGATCTTGCTGCCGCTGCCCTCCTACGCCTCTCCTTCACTGGTGTATTATCCTTCTTCCTCTTGAGTTTCTTTCTCTTATCACTCCTCTTTCTCTTGCCTTCACTATTCTCATCTATTACTGCCTCACCATCATAATCATCATCCTCTGGTTCTTTGTCCTGTTCTTCATCATCGACTTCATCTTCCTCTTCATCATCCTCATCATCCAAGTCTTCCTCTTCATCATCATCTAAGTCCTCTTCATCTTGAAGTTCATCATCATCCTCTTCATCAATCTGCTCTTCCATGAATGATCCATCGTCAATGATGATCACCTATTGAGTTGAGTTGAGTTAGCACAATCCAATGTTCCGTTCCGTCACCATATTATCCATTCATTGATTCATACATGATTCTGATTGTCCACATTACTACGATGATATGGTCTGTGACTGTCAATGATATAGACCAATTGGTTCTCATTCAGATTGGTAAGCAATGACTCTATATCAATGTTACCTCCACAGTTTATCATTACAATTGTCTTGAGCTGTTGTTGTCAACCAAGTGAGTGAGTGAATGAATGAGTGAGTGAGTGAGTGAGTGAGTCCAGTCACACAGCCTGTGTTGACAATACATACCTCTTCATTATCCAACATCAATGTATTGTTTACATCGATAAGATCATCCAATCCTGCAACTGGCTTGATATTGAATGATATCAAATCAGACTTGAGTATATCCTATGATTGATTGAATGAATGAGTGAGTGAGTGAGTGAGTAAGTGATGATGGATATGGAAGTACCAATCAATCAAACAAACAATGACGACATTACAGTGAATATCTTGCATGCAGCTATAGAGTCACAATCACGTGCTACCAATACTAATACTGTCTCTCCCTGTATTGAATCATTCTTGAGTAGTTTATATATCTCATTGAATCTTGTTGGATTGGTGAGTACCATCTTATAATATACACTCAATCTACTATCTATCTATATCTATCTACTTCTCAAACTATGATATATATATTAACAAAACAATCAATCATTGAATCAACTGTTTGATTATTCGTTCTTGCTAATCAAGCGCAAATCGTTTAAGTGTTTCAAATTTTTGAAATGTCGGTTAATTGCGCGCCATTTTTTCGAATCCCATCTCCTTTTATCAGGTGATTCGTATTTTGTTCATTTCCTTTTGGTATTAATATCGATACATGATCATTGAGATAAACATACAACAATGAGAGAGATAAAACATTATATATGTATATAATAATATAGAACACAATAGAACATTAAAAGGTTTTCAAATGAACTTCAAAGATTGGAATTATTTTTTGGTTGTATTACCCAATAATGGGTAATGATCAGTTTCGTTGAACAAAGATAAAGATCTATCAGATCTGACCCCGAAGATCTTGAATATGTACTTCCTAACACTCTTAAATATCTCTCCCTCTCTTTGAAGGAAACGAGACCTGACACGAGACCCCTTCCCCACCACAACACTGTGTGAATGAATGAAAGAGTGCGAATGAACATGACATTGTTGAGTGAGTGTGGTTGAGGCAGCTGAACACCTGCATGCCTGTGACTGACCTCCTGCTGTCACCTGACATTATGTTCAAATGTTGTTGTTGGAGTCCGAGGTTGAATGTGTCAAAGAGAGATAGATAGATAGATTGTAGAGTCATGCAAGAAGATGATGATGATGATATCACATCGAATCAACTTAATATAACACAACACATTGAACATGATGTATCAATGGTTGAAGATGTGACGACAGAAGGAGATATGTTGTCACAATCCATTAGACAAGTGTTTGGAAACACTTATTTGATGAGAACAATTGGTTCACATGTACATAACATACATCGTCATCTATTGTTATCCAACAACATCAACAACAACAACAACAAATACAATAACAATAACAATAACAACAAGATATTCAGATACTTGGAGATTGATACTATGACGATGGTGACGAGAGGATGGCTACATCTGCTAAGATACAAGTTGACCAAACAACCTCATCTACATTGTTTGACCAGAGATATGATGCTGCCACTATGCCAACAACTGCGTGACTATGACCTCTTCCTACATCTATTCACAACCTGTAGTGAACAATTTGAATCGTTTCGCAACTCTGTGGTCAATAGCATGTGTGGCGAACTTGGTAGCATGCTCCCTCCACTCAACACACGCATCATCCAACATCTGTTCATGCATGGCTACTATGGCGATGCGGTCTTGCGCAAGGCCGCCCACGCAGGCAACCTGGAGCTGGTGCAATGGATCAATGAGTGTGGATATGCCGAGACACAGTGCATGCACTATGTGTTGGTACACGCCTGTGAGGGTGGCAACGTCGAGCTGGTCGACTACCTGCTGAGCCAGAAGCATCTGAATCGTCTCAACTCCTCGGCCAACCCCTACGGCCTCGTGGACATGGCCGCAAGCCACGGACATCTGGCCATCGTCCAACTGCTGATCAACAAGTATGGCGAGAAGTTCTCGAGCAACGCCTATGAGTTTGCCGCTGGCGATGGACATGTGGACGTCGTGGCCTACCTCCACGGCCTCGACCTGCCCATCCAATTCAGTCCAGAACTCTTCAACCGCGCGGCCTTTGGTGGCCATCTGCCACTCGTCCAATTTCTCTACAACAACGTGAAAGCGGAGAATCGCCAGTCACTATTCTCCGCACCACTGAGACTGGCTCTCAATCGTGGACATCTGGACGTCTTCACATTCCTGCACACAAACATGCCACAGCTGCTGGCCAGCGTGGCTGAATCAGACATAATCGGTCTGTTGAAGAGCAAGAAGCAGGAGGAGTTCAAGATCATCGCGCCACTATTCGAACCCACGCGATTCAATTGGGAGGTGTTGTTCTTTGCGAGTCTGGCGGGCTGCATTGACGCGGCCAAGTACATCATCGACAAGAAGTACGTGAACAACACGACGTGCCAATTCCGCGTGCGCACCATTAAGGACGGTCACTTTGACGAGCTGTTCCAACTATGTATCAACAATGGTTTTGGCATCGAGGTTGAAGGCAACGAGATAGACATCGCAATCGAGCTAGGATGTGGGGTGCCCACGCTCAAGTACATGCATTCAATGGCCTACCAAGCCACGACGCGTGCATTTGACCAGGCTTGCGCTGCGGGCAACATTGAGCTGGTGCTCTATCTTCACGAAAAAGGCTACACATGCACTGATCAAGCAATACTGAGCTCTGTACATCTGGGCCATGTGGACGTGGCCGAGTTCCTTCTGGCCAACAGGACTGAACACGAGTCACTGGACAACAACGTCTATTTCGAGCGACTGCTTCAAGGACAGCCGATCCTGCCCGAGACAATCATGTTCCTGAGGCGACATCATTCAGACTTGCTCGCCAACTACGTGGATCAACTCATCCCATTCATGACCAAGGATTTGGCCAACCTTGTTGTCGACCTTGGTCTGGTGACATGCACGCCCAAGCATTTGGGGTGTCTGATAAGGGCCAACCTGTACTCGCCACTGCGGCAGCTGGTCGACGTCAAGTCACCCAACGGCATTGCAAACTTTAGCAAGGATACACAGATGGAGTTGGCCAAGCTAGCATTCAGTCACACAGACACGATGTTACTCATACTGGACAAGTCCAAAGAGACCCTACATTCATTCAATCTCTGGCTAAATGGAGCCAGTCAAAGAGGTCTGCCATTGATGTTCTACATGCCAATGCCAGTTGCCCAGCCAACCAACTCTACAATATAATAATAATAATGGAGGATGCGACTAAGACTTCTTCTTCCATATCCACACTCAACGAATGATTGATTGATCAATCACTTCGTAAAGTATCACTTTTATTGTGGATAATTGTTCTAAACAATGATTGATTGATTGATTGATTGATTGTATACATAAAAGAGGGGAGGGATAGGTCCATGGACCAACCGGGTGGTCATTACCATTTTGTTGTTGTGTTGTGATTATTGGTGATGATTGTTGTTGGTCTACTTTCCGCTGAGTCTGTCGAAACGGTGGAGCTTGTGCTTGCATTGTGGGCACTTGTGGATGACGTCCTTCAAAGAGTCCATGGCGAATGGAATCAAGCAGCAACCAAAGATGCAACCAATGAAAATAAGAATGAGCACGGCGATCCAAACCATCGATCCACTGATGTACTTGGTCGAGGTAGTAATTCTGTTTCCGCAGTGAGAGCAAGTGCAATCAATTGGACTATACAGATAGGTTTGGAGAATGAGTTAGTCAGTGACATGTGATTGTTTGAAAGAGCGAGTGATGAGACACATACATTGACTTGAACTTGACATCGACGTGAGTGACGACGACAGTTTGGGTTCCAACTGGTGCAGCCATGTAGGCTTGTTGTGGAGCACCGACTGGGGCAGCGTAGACAGTGCCTGGGGGTGGGTATCCAGCCTGTGGGGGGTATCCAGCTTGGGGAGGGTATCCAGCCTGGGGAGGATATCCAGCCTGTGGTGGGTATCCAGCCTGTGGTGGGTAGGCACCTGGAGGTGGTGCATAGTACTCAGTTGGTGGACTGGCGTACATTTGCTGCTGTGGCTGATGTGGTTGAGCCTGCTCTGGCTGTTGGGTTGGTGGAGTTGATTCTTGACCCATTATTAATAATTTATTATATATTATGTATGTGTTAATTAATATAAATATATTTATATATATATATGTGTGTGTGTGTGTTTGTTATAATATTACAATGAGAGATAATAATAATAGAGATATATATAAGATTGATAGAAATGATGGTGATAGGTCAACGTCAGCACGTTTGTTAATGTTTTGACGGTTGAGATGCGTGAATGAATTGAGGCAAGATAGAACAATGTGAGTGTCTTGGGAGACAAGAAAAATTAAAAATAAATCAAGATTGATGAGTAAGAAATATACAAAACGCAACAAAAACTAACTATGTTGTTGTTGTTTGGTGAGGTTGGAGAAATGATAATGATGCTGATTTTAGGATACTGACAGTCTTTTATTTATCAAGATGGTTTGTTTGTTGCCCAGAGTTAATGTCACTCACACACACATAGTAGTATATCTCAGCGAATCAAAACAATCTAACCACGCTCTTGTGTCTCGAGGTCTTTGGATTGGCCAACGTCAATTGTATTGGGTGTACCCCATACTCTGTGCATAATTGTTGCCAGCACTATTCTGTGTTAGCATATTGCGCATGCGGATCAACACACCATAGTGGGGATGACCACATGATTCTTGTTTTCCCAAGACAATGGTGAGGCGCGTGAATTTGGATTGATCAAACCCCCAATTGCACACCTCTACCATCATCATCGCCAATATGTATTCCAGTCGGGACTGGACTGGTCTGGACTTGAACATATTGATTGATTGAATGAATGATTGAGTGAGGTGGGTAAAAGAAGAAGAGATGCATAGACTGATTTGACTTCTTATTCTTAAATCCTAGACCTTTATTAACAGGGTCCGTGTGGAACCTTAGATGACCAACCAAAGACATGTTTCAAATGATGGACCATGGACCCATCAATGATCTCGTTGAAGATCGTTGACGATGAATGAATGAATGAATGTATGGATACCTTGTCGTTGGAGTTTTACATAAAGTCATCGTCATCGATGTTATTGTACTTGTTCGACTTCATGTTCTCTTGCTTCATGACTGTAGTGTAGTTCTTGATTTCTAGTGCCTTCTTCTTCTCCTCCTGTGCCTTCATATCAGCCTTCTTTTGCTGATCTGCAATCGCTCTCTTATCATGTCTCTCCTCCCTATCCCTCCTCTCACGCTCCTCCTTCAACAACACCTCTCTCTCCTCTCTTGACTTTTCAATCCTATTGATAATCAATGCCACCTTCTTTACATTCCTAACAAACTTGATCTGGATATTCACATTGATTGAGTGTCAGTCAGTGTCATTCATTCGAACAATCAATGTATGAATACATACATTTCCCTCATTGTGGAAGAGGACTTGACCTGCCTCCATGTCGTTGGTCTTTTTGAGGTTGGCCCATGGGGTGTAGACGATGTTGACAGAGTTCTCCTTGCAGCCTTGGATGGAGTTCTGCTTGACTAGTTGACAACACTCATCCAATACATTCTGTGGGATGTCATTGATTGTCTCACCTCTCTTCAAACGTAAATAGACGTGTGCCGATGATAAGTTATCAACATGGAACCAAATATCCTCTGGCCATCCATACTTTATCAAATCTTCATTCTCATACTTGTCTCTTCCCATGTAGACAAGGTAGTCGGGATCTATACATTGTATTATATTGATTGATTGAATGAGTATGAGTGATTGGGATATATATATACATATACATACCGCATATCTTAAAGAAGAATACCATTTCTCGATGTTATGGTGGAGGACTAAAGATTACGATGTTGGCGTAATTAGCAATTGTGTAAGACGTTGCTTTAACTTTTAAGAACCTGCGTAGATGACTATAATACAGTCAAGTCACAGACAATACGCTAAAGGATTATTATTAATATGTTAATAATGATAAAGTTATATATATATATCTTTGTATCTGAACAACTGAATAATACAATGAACTAATCGATCAGTTTTGTGTCGTTTTTTGATCTCGGGTGTTCATGAAAGTGATAAAAAGAAGAAATTGATTCGAAAGTGATAATTAATTATAACTTTGTCTTTTTTTGTTTGTCATACAATACAATCAAGGCATTGCAGTTACGGTCATATTCTGGATCTTTGTCATTGATCTTGGTCCATTCATTTCGTTTGATTGAATATCGATAGTTGTTTCCAGTACCTTGGAGATAGAGCAATGTACCTTGCTCAGGTCCAGAGTAAACCAGGTTGTTTTGGTTACCTTCGGTCTCCGAATGTTTTGGTGGAGGTACAAGCTCATTCATAGTAGTATGATCCAATGAAGACAACAATGATATACTAAAGAATCGATTGTCCATCAATACCATGTATAACATGTCCTTTCCATCGTAGGCCACAGAGACTATCATTTCTGGGAGTGCAGTGATATGGTGGGATGATTCCTTAAGGTTGTATCCAAAGATTCTGTCAATATTGTTATCCACCAATATAATATAGAATATTATTGTTGAATACTGCGAAGCCTCTGGCGACGGGTTTCTGGAGCACGCCAACTCTTGAGAACTGTGGTGTTTCAATGTTGAAGGAATCAATTCGATTGAGCCTGATTGTGCCATGCTCAAATGAATATGTACTTGTGCCACCGAGTAGATAGATCAGTTTTCCTCCATCATAGAATGTGGCCACCTCTGTGCTGGCCGCCACTCCAACCATCGGGATGTCAAGTTGCCATTTTCGAGTGACCAAGGAGAATCGAGAGTATGTTGAAGAGGTGTAGTCACGTGGTCCAAACACATAGACATAGCCACGAGCGTATACCGTTGACATGGCCATATCAACGATCTCTTCAAAAGGTCTTTCATCTGGCTTATATGACTGAATGCTGATCCATTGATTGGTCGATGGTGTGAAGAATGAATAGGAACCATTCTCGATACACATGACCTGGCCATCGAGATCATGAGTAAAGTGTTCGGTTGGCTCCAGCAGTTTGAACAATGATCTGAGTTGATCCTTGACCGAGTCCATTGTGTCTTGATCAATCACCACTTTGTAGGGACGTGTCAACACATGAATTGTTGTATTCATCTGATTGACATGATCTTAATCAATGTCAACAATTCAATATCTGTGACCTCTGTAGATGTTGATGTTGTTGTCATGAAGCTGTCTGAATTGATCAGTGACATTCTTGCATGACTCTGTCATCGTATGATGTGCGATAGACAGTTGTTGAAGCATACTCCATAACAACTTCAATCTCGCCTTTGATGAATCATCATACTGTTGTTGATTGATCAATGATCTCAAGTGTTGTACATTCTCAACATCATGTCTCTTATGATGTGAATTGACACGTACTGAACATATTACTGCGCTACAATCAATACAAATGAATTCTATACTCTTGTTCTTGTGTTCCTCGCATTTACTACTCTCTATCTCTTTATTGTCCATGTTATGAATGAATTCCAACTCACACCTCTCTCGAGCGCACTTTGTTCGCAGCATTCAAGTGGGTGTCATGAAGATGGCAAACTCTTTGCCAATGTCGGGAACCGAGTGGATTTAGAAAATTGATACTGGTCCACTCATTCCGATCGACGCTGAATCGATCATTCCAATTATGGCCTTGGAGATAATATATGTATCTTTCTCCATCATTAGTATTGATCCACACCATGTTATTGCTTGATGGTGTCTCATCTTGGCAAAAAGGTGGCTTGGACAGATGAAATTGTAGTATATTTGTTGACAACGATTGGCTGATGAAATCTCCATTCTTGAGCACCATGTACAACTTGTCATCGCCATCATAGACAGCAGATACGCATGGCTTGGCAGGAAATCTATACTCTTGAGCCAACTTGTTGGTTATCAAGTCATATGAGTAGATTATGATTTCTTGATAATTAATGTTATCATCATCGTCATCATCGTCATCATCGCTAGCAAGTTGAATGCAATGGAGGACATTGTTTCGAAGTGCCACGAATGCATGTGTGATCCCACCGATCAGGTCACCGATATGAGTGTACCGCTGTGTGTCAATGTTGAAGCTGTCAATTCGACTCGAGAGAGTGCCATCCGGCTCTGTACCTCCGACCAAATAGATGAGTTGGTCGCCATTATAGCACAATCCTATATTCTCTCTACCTTCCATATCATCATCCACGCCAACCATTTGGTTCTGATGATGCCATTTACGATCAGCCAGTGAGAAGCGAGAGTATGTTGTGGCGTTCTTGAATCCTCCAAACAGATAGATATTACCACGAGCATACACATGTGCAAATCCTCTATTGGAGACGATCACATCTTCATGCTCCTGTTCGAACAATGTCCAGGTATGCGTGGTCGGTGAGAACAAGGAGTAGGCCTTGAGTTCGATGCACATGATCATGCCATCAAAGTCGTGCGTATACTTTCGATATGGCTCATAAATTCGGAAACAAGAACTTAGTTGCTCCTTGATTGAGTTCATTATTGTTGAGTTGATGATTACAGTGCACGGACGATGTATTAAATGTTGCACATTGTTCATCCGCTCAACATTGCTCTGGACCAAGGTTAGCAACGCCATGTCTGTGATTGTGATCTCAGAGCCATTGGATGTTGATGTGGCTGTTGTTGGGAATGTTTGATCCATGAACTGATCGAGTGAAGTACACGATGTGATTGATTGAGCAAGGGAAAGGGAATCGTGGCCATCATCAGTGTCTGTCACATCTCGATCGAACTTGCATGTTGAAGTATGTTTGAACAATGTGTTGATGCTCTTGATCTCATTGATTATGTTGTCAATGGTTGATGAAGTCTGTTGCAACCTATCATTGAGTTGTGATGTGATCTTGTGCTCCTCAATGACAAGCATGTCATGAAGTTGTTTGAATTGATCAATAACATTCTTGGATGTATCTGTCAATGTCTGATGTGTTGTTGATAGTTGTTGTAGCATACTCCATAACAACTTCAATCTTGTCATTGATTTATCATCATACTGTTGTTTACTGATCAATGATCTTAAGTGTTCTACATTCTCAATGTCATGTCTCTTATGTGAGCTAACACAAACAGAACATATCAATGTATTACAATCTAAACATATCAACTCATACTTCTTGTTATAATGTATCTCACATATACTATCTTTATCTTTATCCATCACTTTGAATCAAAATGCCTTACTGAAAGAGGCCGCACATTCAAACAACAACAAAACTCTAAAGAATTGCTTAATATCTATGATGGATTTATTCCTACTCCTTGGTAGGATCGAGATCTTTGTTCTGTGCCTCTTTGATTTGAACACATTGCCTCATCATGTTGCTTAGACACTCGGTTGACTTGGCGCTCTGAATGAAAGGATGTGAAAGAAGGTCGCCAACATTGGGTCTTTGTTCGGGGTCCTTGACCAGACACTTGGCAATAAAGTCGTTGAATGATGGACTCCAGTCCTTTGGATTGGAGAGCTTGGGTGGTGGCATGTTGGGCACCTCAGTCAGCTGAGCCATAGACTTGAGACCGCGCGAGGGCGGACGACCCTCGGCCAACTCAATCAACGTGATGCCAAACGACCACACGTCGGCCTTGGAGTTGAACGGCGCCTTCAGAATGAGCTCGGGCGCCATGTACAGAGGACTGCCAATGAGAATGTTTGACTGGCCGTAGGGCGTCTGAAGCTGCTGCGAGACACCAAAGTCGGCGATCTTGACCTGTCCATCTTCGTTGAGCAGGATGTTCGCAGCTTTGACGTCGAGATGCACGATGCCCTTGGAGTGTAGGTACCCCAGGCCGACCAGCACCTCGGCTGCCACCGATCCAATCTGCTCCTCGTCCAGTGTGTCACAGCACGTCTTCATCATGTCCTTGACCGAGCCGACGGCGCAGTAGTCCATCAGGATCCACAGCTCGGCCAACTTGGCGATCGATCCGTAGTAGGACAGCACGCTCTGGCAGCGGCACTTCTTGAGCAGGTCGATCTCCTTCTCGATGTCGGCGATGCGGCTGGGCGTGATGGAGAGCACCTTGACGGCTAGAGTCGTGCCAGACTCGCGGTGCAGCGCGCGGAACACAGCGCCGTAGCCGCCTTGGCCCAGCTTCTCCTTGAACTCGAACGAGTCCTCCAGGTTGGAGCCGGACCATTTATACTCGAAATCTACATGTGTTTTATGTACAAGGTTGAAGGGCAGACCTACGTTGGATGGCGTGCGACGCGACTTTTGCTTGCGCGTCTTGGTGCCGTCGCCACCGGTGGCGTCGGGCAACAGCAGCGTTTGACTGCTGGCGCTGCCGGGCGTGGGCATCATCGACGGGTCGATCACCGCTAGTCGCTCCACCTTTATCAGCAGGTCCTTCTGTGCGGGATTATCGTTCTTCTCACGCTCCTTGTCCTTGCCGTTGGCGCCGCCAGCTGCAGCGTTGGCCGGATCGATCTCCGGATACGTTGGGAGCATCGACAAGGGCGAGTAAATGACCGATATCTCGATGCCTCCATCTGCATCATCCACACATAGTCCTCTGTTTATCGTCTTCTTCTTAAATATCAATGTATCCTACATATGATTGATTGATTGAGTGAGTGGAATGATTCCTTCCTTGTTTGGTCCCGCCGCCAACATACTTTTATCTTGATACCATAGTTTGATATCAACTTCTGATCGTAGAGCCTGAGGTAGTAGCCTCGAGAGACCTTGCCTGTGATTCGATTGGTGGGCAGACAGAGCTTCTTGAGCAACTTGTACGAAGAGACGTGGTTGTCACCATCACGCTCACCGCCGACGATCATCAGGTTGTGATCCTCCAATGTGTGGAAGTACTCTGGTCTGTATCGCCTGGGGTTGGCCGATGCTGTGCCCGACATTGATGCGCGAGGCGATCGCTCGTCACCGCTGCGACTCAGACTGGAGTTGGGCGTGAGCTCCTTGTCCTCAAAGTCCAGCCACTGCTGTATCTTGAACAAAGCTTCGGCTACCTTGACGTCCTTGTCCAGTACCAACGAGCCCTTGCCTGGGTATGCCGGCGACACCAGCTCGTACTCGGGCTCGCGTCGCAGATAGAGGATGTCCTCGGGCTGCAGGTTCAGGTTCTTGAGACTGACGTTGGGCACGGGCCGGTCGTCATTGTTGAGGAATAGCTTGTTCTTGGGCGACTGATAGATGGGCGCCAGCTGCGAGTTGAGCAAGGACACGACATCCTGTGTCGACTTGCCCGCGCTGAACTTGCGCACACGGTACAGCTGGCCGGTGTACTCCATCGGCACCCACACCTTGATCAGTATCTCGTCGCCAACAGCGGGGCCCACGCGGGCCACCTCGGATGCGACGCTCGGATGCGACGACACCGCCGATGTCTGTGTGAAGCTGAGCAGCTGACTAAAGATCGACTCCCTGCCCTTGACCGTGCCCTTGTCCTTGCTGGTGTTGTGCTGCACGGGCATCGACTGGCGATTGATCGACTGCAATAACTGTGTGGATGTTGGTATGCCAGAGGCCGAGGACGACAACGAGCTTGGCGAGTTTGATGGCGAAGGTATGAGTGCACCATTGTCGGGAGGTGTACTGCCTGCCTTATTAACAAAGCTTGGTGGAGTCGAGAGTGGTGCAGATGTGTTCGATATCGATCGTGAGTGGGTATTTACATTGTTGTTGTTGTTGTGGTTGTTGTTGCCACTGCCACTGCTGTGGCTGTGACTATGACTGTGACTGTGTTGGTGATGATGATTGTTGCTGTTGTTGCCATTGTTGTTTAGATGAGTTAGATCAAAGGTGGGAGGGGGCATTGGCTGCAGGTCTAGGATGCTTGATTGATCGATGGTGCTGTATTTCCTCGCGGGCGATAATAGTACTGGACTTGTTGCTGTTATTGTACCATAGATTGAATCTCGCTTTGTAGACGTTGTTTTCTTCCAAGTTGATGTCAACGATGATGCAGTTGTAGTTGATGATGGATTGTTTGAAGCAATCTGATCTTGACTCGATCTGAGTGATAAAGATGATGATGGTGATGATGATATCGTAGGTGATGCTGCTGCTGTTGCTGTCTTTGTAACACTACTATCTACAATAGTGATTGCAATCGATGTTGTTGTCGTCGTTGAGTTGTTATTATTAATGTTACTGCTGTTGGAGTCTATCGTTGCTCCAATTGAATCAGAGTTGTTTGGTGATGGCGGTACATCCATTCTTTAGTATACAAGTATGATTGATTGATTGTGTTTGTCGTTATAATAAATAGTATAATTGATTGAATGAATGAATGAATGAATGGGTACTGCTACAACATTACAACCCAACTACAGCGTCGTGTTCAGAGGGTCTACGAATAGCCTTGGCAAGTCGGGTATGTATGAGCTTGTGTATTATAAATATATAAATAATAAATAAATAAGTTATTATCTGTATAAAGAGTTAAAGTATGAGACAAGCAAGGGTATTGGCGGGACACAATAAGTTTATGATTGATTGGTGTGCCTCAATTAATAAGACTCTAAGTGTGTCTGTGTCTTGTCTTAGTGTGGTGTGAGTTGGAAGTGAGTGAGAGAGATGTGGGCTTGGTTTTGATTCTTCTTTGGCTTCACGTTTGTGGTTTTGTTGAGGTAGAGTTGGAGTGACGCCAGGTCCACAATTGGGTCATGCCTGGCAATGCGAATCCACACTCACCCCACATTTGAAAATTCATAACCAAGGGTGATCACTTGCAACCCGACCGATGTTGATCGATCCCAACACCCACACTTTATGATAGTTGTTGTGATAATAAACATGAATGTTTATTTGATTGAGATGGATGGATGGATTCATGGATGGATGAATTGATGGTATCCAAGAACATCAACAACAACAACTACAACAATGAATACAGATCTAAATATCAAGATAGATGAATAAGATAATAATAAAACAGATAAGATATTTAGACTGAAATATTTGTTGACAATTTGTGACACAATGTCATTGATGAATGAGCCGAGGAATCGTCCAAGTGGTGTATGATTTGGCGCCACTTCAACTTCAAAGTTTGTCGAAAGTTTGAAAGAGTGAGAGACTTGGGAAAACGTGAACAAACACACTCTCAAGAGATAGTGAATTAGAGATAAGAGATAGAGATAGAGTGATAGGAACATGGACAAGCCGAAACATGAAATAGATACTTCTGTTGATGATGATGTTATATTGGATGTTGATGACAACGATGATGATGATATAGATCCAAGTCAACCATCACAATCAAAGTCAAAGTCTGGGTCACAGTCACAGACACCAGCCGACGAGATCAATGCAGAGAATATCGATCGTCAAGTGGAGGTGCCCGACTTCTTTGATCGAGACTTTGACAGCCAACCTCTAATCTACACTCAATATACACAGACTCAAACACAACAACAAACAACAACAACATCTCAACTACAACAACACAACAAGATCATAGAGTTGAGTCAAACAACAAAGACAACAGCATCAACAACAGCAACAATCAGTACTGACAAAGCGAACGTCAACATCAACAAAGACATTGCCGACAATGTCACTCCAGTGAGTTCAAATAATGTGGACACAGCAACAGCAGCAGCATCGGCATCAGCATCATCAATCAGATCAAGTGGCTCGCGTAGAACCGACTCACTCAATGTATCGTACAGTGGCAGGCTATTGGAGAAGCCTGATCAAGTCATGATGAGAGGCAGCAAGGATGTGGATAGCAATCTAGCATCTGATCGAAGAGATAGCAGTGATGATGATGATGAGGACAAAGACGAGGACGAGGATGAGGACGAAGAAGAGAGCAACATCAATGACATCAACCTCGTGGCAATAGAAGGATCAATCACATCTACACACTTTGATCAACAAATCACTGATCTACAACCATGGATATGTGACTCAATCGTTCGCGAGCAGACAACTCCCGATGCCCTGGTCCAGATCGTATCGTTTGTAAGTGTGATTGATCCACACTCAATCATTCATCAATCAATCAATCAATCAATCATAATCTAACATTACTCGCGCGATGTTAGGTCAAGCCAATGTCATGTGACAAGTTCAGTGGCGTACACTTCAAGGTGTCTGATGGCAGACATTATATTACATGCGTTATGAATGAGGCTTGTGTCCATGAACATCAGGTACAATTGCAGAGCTATCAACCTGATAGCATGCTTGGAGTGATCGTCTCATTGAAGAAGTATCTGATCTTCCCCAACGATGTACACTCTGACTTCTGTATATACGTCGATGACATGGACTTCCAGACACGCTCGCGAACCATCATCAACTTTGCCAATATCCTGCCCATCCAGTTTGAGACCAAAGTGGAAGAGTTGATCAAGAGGTAATGATTGATTGATCGTCATACAATCAAAACCTTCTCGAGAGTGTACTAACGCATGCATACCATACAGGTGTTCATCAAACAACTACTTTGTGTTATCCTTCCCAACTGGATATTGTCTGGAGCATTATGGCAAGAACGTCTGCAATCCAGACAACGTCCAAGTGTGCGCCGAGGAGTGTGAAATACCAGACATGGCCTTGGAGATGTTGATAACCGATGGTATGTTGGATGTGCGCGATTGGAAGTCTGATGAGGCGACTAACCCGATCAATCAATCAACCAATCAAAGACCCATGGATACCTGACAAGGACATTGCATTCCCATTTGTTGATGAGGTGATTGAGGAAAGAGACATCATCAACAATGACATTGACATTATCATCGACAACGACAATTACAACAATGGCGATGTGCCATCAATTGACAAATCATTGGATAATGTTCCAGTGGATAGAGACAGCACGGGCAGTGAGAAGGATGACACAAACAGCATGTTGGATTTCAACATAGATGATAATGACGATGGTGGTAATGAGCTACCTCATGCTAAAGTGGAGGTACACGACAAGGACCATAGCAATGTACCAGTGGACAAGGATAGCATTGGCATTGAATCACCTGGTCCATTGGCTGGCCGCATTGACCGCGACTTTGATATGGACGTAGGTGGCGGTGGCGGTGGTCATGATTACTTTGACGAAGGCAATGCTGGAAACTCTGGCGATGCAGCTTCATCTGGTCAAGAGGAGTTTGATGATATACAGGTGGTTGTGGATCGTGACCCTGATGAATTCCATACAGAGGTTGTACAGGAGATGGAAGAGGAGCTAGAGGCAGACACTAGCTTCGTCGCAGACAAACAATCAACTTTGAACCTTTACAACAATGTACAGTCAACATTCGATGTGGCCAAGGACCAGGACGAGAGTGATGAGGAGGAAGAGACGCAGAAGGCAAAGATAGTAAAGACGCAGAAGAAGAAGAAGATTATCAACAACAACAACAACACACCAAAGAAGACAAAGCAACAACAACAAGAAGAGGAGAAGCCTAAAGAAAAAGAATCACCATTAATGAAGACACGCAAACAGATGCAACAGGAAGAACAAGAGATGAAGGAGAGGTTGGAGAGGACAGATAGCGAGGATAGGCAAGAGAGAAGACAAAATCGACAACAAATACGTCAAAGAAAACAAGAGAAACGACAAAGAGAACAACAAGAACTACAACTACAACAACAACAACAACAACAACAACAGCAACAACAACAAAAACATAGTCAAGACTCGGACAGGGATATGGACAGTGGCAATTGGACAAAGAAGAAGTCAATTGACACTCAATGGGATGATGACATGTTCCTAAACGTAGATGTTGTGGTCAAGAACGACATCAAGTATCGACCTGCCAAGAAGACACCATCCACAGTCACCGCATCAGCAGCAGCAGCAGTCCCACTACACAAAGCCAACAAACAAGCGACACATACTACAAACAAAAAAGACAACAAAGATAACAACGACAACAACAACAACAAGAGAAAGAAAACTGATGATATACATATAGATGTATCGTTCGAGGAAAGTGATGAGGACAGAGAGAAGACGAAGAAGCAGAAGGCGGAAGTCGCAGTTAAAACAGAGAAACGATTCTCTTCCAACATACTGGAGAGTCTAAGATATGTATACGCCGAAAACGATTCATTACTCATTTAATAATAATAATAAAGATGTAGTGTCCTCGGCGCGGTGATCTATAGATATATTCTGGTGTATATACAGGTGCTCGCGAGATTGTCTCAAGTGAATGCTGGTCCACCCATGTAGTTATGCTGTCTTCTGTACTCCAGGTCGATGGCCTCTCTGTTAGACTCTCTGGCCTTGTAACGCATTCTGTTCATCTGGTCCACCTGGTCGGCGTCGAACTTTACATTCCAATCGGCCATTGCCGCAGCCTTCTCATTCTCAAATCGTTGACGTTTCTCTTGCAACTCCTTTGTGAGTGCCTCGCTATGGTCGAGACTGTATCCATACAACTTTGAGATGATCCAATCGCGGTACTGATCGATCTTATCATAGATGGAGTCTTTCTTTGGCTTCTCGGTGTCCCATGGATTGATTCCATGAGTCTTGTAAGCCATATCTACCTCCTTTGGTCCACTGGCGTATATTCTAGCAAAATGATCGTCGACTGAATGGGGATGATGTACGTTTGGTGAACTCTTTACTGCACTCTCATAATAGGAATCTGGTGTATAAAGGTTGATCTCTGGCTCTTGATATTGTGCAATTGTTGAGCGATCAATATAGGATTGCCAAAGATTTTGTATTCTCGACCATATCTGAGGACCAATATGAGGGGATGTGTGCATTGGTGGAGCAGGCATTGGTTGGAACATATTACCATACAATGTGTATAATATTAATCCAACAATTAAAGGTGACAAATATTTCATTGTCTTCTTAATTGTACTTTGGTCATGTTCATTTCTTCTATGTCTATTATTATTTTGTTGATGTTGTTGATGTGATACATTTGTTGGTGATGTCGTAGTAGTAGTTGTCTTCGATTCGGTTGTTGTCCTTGTTCTTGGACTATCACCATTAACCAAAGGTATTATTCTTTGTCTTGTACTCATTTTATTATTATTCTTCTTCTTCTTCCTTCCTTAATAATAATAATAATTTATTATCTTTACAATCTGATTATTAATTATCTTTAACAATAATGTATATTAATGAATTTATAAAGTGAAGTATGAGTGAGGGGCATTCAAGGATTGCCTGGCACAAAGTATAAGTATTAGTATGAGCGAGTGAAGTGAGCAAGAGTGAGTGGGATGGAAGATGAAAGGCAGAGTTCATTCATTGACCATCCCTCTAAGTATTGTCCATGTCCTAAACAGGCTTGTTGTCAACACCATCCAAGTGTGTGGTACCACACTCTCCAACCACATCCGAATTTTCATTGTCCTTTAAGGACTACCATCCAGATTGCTTGCTTCCCCCTCACACTCACTAACACTATCATTCACACACTTGGGGATTTCCGACAAGATAGTATAGCCCACACGGATTGGATTAGATTGGATTGATTCGTTAATGATAAATACACCTACCTATCACACTCCTTTGCATATGCATTTCCTATCCTCGTTGTTCATTTCAAATTTGAGAGTGACCAAATGAAGGTAAAGAGATTGTTCATGATAATCAACCAATATTTGTTATTCTTTAAATGGTTCGAAATAGCAATCATGATGATGTTGATGATGATGATTGTGCACCTGCCAATGATGATGGTAGAATGAATTGATTGTATAATGATCGAAGTTGATTGGAAATATGATGTATCGGTATTCCCGTAACATTATAATAACAACCATTGATACGCTTGATGAATGATGCCGCTGGCACTTCTTGTATACCATATGAACCGGCCTTATCCCTGAATTTTAATATAGTGTAAGTAAGTAAGTAAGTAATATTAATTGAATGGACATTATACATAAAATAACATACAATGGTTTACAAGTTTCAACATAATAGTTGATTGATTGATCACTGAGTTGGTCAAACTCCACGTCGGTAGACTCATGGAAACTGGTGGAGTTGTGAGTGACACCATTGTCCATACTGACAATGATATGTACACCACTTACAACCTGATGTTGTCTTCCACTCAATGATCTCAACATCTCTTTAGCATGTTCCATCGACTTTGGTTTCTCCAATATCTTATTATCCAACACAACTATACTATCTGCTCCAATAACTATATTTGGTGTCTTATTCTCCTGTTCGTATGAACAACGTTAGTTGGGAAGAGTTCAATACTAAGGTATTATATGATATGAACAATACTCTTTTCAAACGTTCAAAGACCTCTTGTGCTTTATACATAGCGTTGGTCACAGCATAGTCCACTATATTGTTAAACTGGGACTTGTCCAAGTTCTCTTCAAATGTTGAGGCCACAACTCTAAATCGTAGACCAAGATTACGAAGATACTCAACTCTTCTTGGTGAGCCTAGATAGAGATCATCATATCCGTCACATCATTTTATAATGTCAGCAAAGTGGATTGGATAATGATTGATATCAATCAATATATGTATATACCTGAAGCTAACACAATATCAAGTTGATTTAATTGTTCAATTATGTCCAATACCATTTGTAATTGTTTGGTTCACTGTCTTTGATGATGTTGGTGTTGTTGTTTATTTGTTCGTGTGTTTGTGTGTATGGTCTAAAGCAAGAAAGATGGAATGGTGGTGTGTGAACTCACACTTTTAATTTAACTTGAATCACAATGGGCGTTTGACACTCAAGAGGGCAACAACAATACTTCTGTGACCCAATCATTCAATCATTCTACATTATTGTAAACATACTTATATACATACTTATATACATACTTATAAACTTTATATATATATATATATATTATACAAATGGGAGATAACAGTGGATGGTGTACTATTGAGAGTGATCCTGGTGTATTCACAGAGTTGATTCAACAGATTGGTGTAAAGGATGTACAGGTAGAGGAACTCTACACATTGGACTCATCAGAGTTCTTAAAGTTAAAGTAAATCAATCAATCATTCATTCAATCAATCAATACAATCATTCAATCAATCATCATACTAACACGATTGAATGAATGATGTAGACCAATATTCGGATTGATCTTCTTATTCAAGTGGACAAAGGATGATGATACAAGACAACCAGTAGAGAATGATAGTTTGTTCTTTGCCAATCAGGTTATTCACAATGCATGTGCCACTCAAGCAATACTTTCAATCCTTATGAATAGTAAGGATATTGATGTCGGTGAAGAGTTGAACAACTTTAAACAGTTCACAACTGGTTTCTCGTACACTGTATGTTTGTTTGAGAAGATAGCGAGAGAGAGATAGAGAGATAGAGAGGATGTAACCATACTAACAATGTTTGATTGAATGAATGAATGAATGAATGATATAGATGAAGGGAGAGGCCATCGGTGATATGAAGGTACTACGTGAGAATCACAACAGCTTCTCAAGACCTGAACCATTCATCTTTGGATCAAAGCCAGCCAAGAAGGACGATGATGTGTTCCATTTCATCAGTTATATACCCTTTGAGGGAAAGATATACGAGCTGGACGGTCTCAAGAGAGGACCGATCTGCCTTGGCGAGTGCACCGATGATGATTGGCTCGAGAAGGTGTCGCCCATCATCCAAGAGAGGATCAACAAGTACTCACAGACAGAGATCAGGTTCAACCTGATGGCCATCATCAGGAACAAGCAATCAGTGTACAACAAACAACTCGAGTTCTTTGAGGCCAAGAAGAAGGCCACTCTGCTCAAACTGTCGCAGATTGACACGGCCGTAGAGCAGGCGATGGACATTGACAGCGATGCCTACTCGTTGCCCAACGACAGAGAGCTGCTGGACGCCGTCCTGCTGGACATTGACAACAACATGGAGTTGATCAGTCAGAACCTGATGATGGAGCAAGAGAAGTTCCGCAATTGGCGTGAGGAGAATGTTAGAAGGAAGCACAACTACATACCATTCATTATCAACCTACTCAAGATCCTGGCCGAGAAGGAGGAGCTGGTGCCACTCATCCAAAAGGCAAAGGACAAGGAGAGCAACAAGGCCAAGTAGTAGTGGTGGTAGTAGTTGGCAACAGAGGCCACACTCGCAACTAACATTAAAACAACTTGGATTGATTGATTGATTGAATAGGTTTATTGAGTGGACATGATCTCTTTCTTGAGATAATCATACTTGATGATGTGATTGGTTGATATCAATGGTTGTATAGGGGTGCTGTCGAATAGGAAGTTGAGGCGATGAATGGACGAGGCATCAGGATGGTTGGGTGTTTGGTCCAATCTTTGTATGGCCGCATACCACATCAAGTGGATGTTGACATTGTCCAATACTTCATGTGGCCATAGTATTGGAAGAGCGATTTTGAGTACATTGGCAGCACTGTATATCAATCCATAGAGTGTATCAACTTGCTCATTGATCTTCAATGGTTCAAACAACAGACCATTGCAACCATTTTTGTACTTATCCAAAGTATGGAACTGGTGGCGAAGTTGGGACAATCCTTCCTTGACCTGTGCTGTGTTGTCAGTCATGATCAAATAGTTCATGATCCAGACATCTAGGTGTGACTCATTCAAACCCATCACTCTTTGGAGGAATCTAAGTATCCTAATGTAATCGAACATATTCAAGTTAGATTGATTGATTAAATGAATGATTGATTGAGTGAGTGATTGATACATACAGGATGATGAAGAGGTCATCTATTGGACCTGAGTTGGATGAGTAGTAGGTGGCATACTCAGTGGTTTTGGCTTCAGAGAGTGAAGGAGCGAACATCTGGCATAGTTCATATATCTTGTCATCAAGTCTTAATGATTCTGGATGGGTTGGATCCCAGAAATGTTGGATCCCCAATTTGCCACTCTTTATCTCCTTCGGGCGACGATCAAACCTACGGGCCTTCCTAACCATATCATAGTCCGTAATCATATCGACCACTTGTACATCCCTCTGGAGAGGTAACATCAACTCTAAGATATGGTGTCTGATTGGTCTAGTGTGGAAAGAGAGGGAATGATCAAATGGCATGTCAATATCAAAATTGATGTTTGGCAATTGAGCTTGGCCATATTTGATCACGGACAACATTGTCAACGGTACTCTTCCATTCTCTGAGTGGAAGAAGTCCCAAGCTATTGAGTTGTATCCTCCTGGATATTTGATAGGTCTTATTAACGATCGTGTGTTGTTGTTGATGCTGAGTTGTGGGCTCTGATAAGGTAATAGATTATAAGACAGACTTGCATCTTTGTAAAGGGCTATGTCTTCCTTTGATGGTTGGTGGTTCAAGAAATATCTTGATATGATATCCTCGACTGACGCATCTTTTGGTAATTTAGATATTAAATACCCAATGTCCTCAATGATGTAGCCAATATCGTCTGGCTTGAACCTGGAATGTTTGGTCTGATCATTTCCAGCCAACGCAGCCACAATACCAACACAATGGGGAGGTATCCGTAGACGACTCCACAGTTCGGAAGGTCGGTGACCAATTCCATATATGCCGTTGTTATTGTCAAACCTGATACCATTGTTCTTGAACACCATCATTCGAGGTACACTTGTGAACAAACAATCAGTATCATCAGATACTATTCCAAAGGCCTTGTTATCCAATGCCCATTGAGGTAGATATCTGTCGGCCTCCATCTGGCATGTATGAAACTCCACACCCAAGTCTATCAATGCTTTCTTGAATGTCAACTGTATACTCGAATCACAATGGTCAGTTTCAGGAATATACCAAGCACTCTCGCTCAATCAATCAATGACCCAAAGTTTAGTAATACTTACTATTAAGTGAGTTGGGTATCCAACTTCTTCTTTGTGACCAATTCTAAATTGATCTTTACACCTCTTCATTCCATTGGCCACCGACTTGGCATCATTGACACGATCTCTATACCTTTTCCAGAGTACCTGGTTCTTATCAGGATTTGGTACACCATCAAAGAATACCACTGGTATCACTTCATGATCCAACAATCTTTGGAAGTAATCTATCACTGTTTGATAAATCTTTTTATAAACAAAGTTGATTGAATGAGTAAGTGTAAGTGTAAATGTAATTAGAATTGAATGGGATGTACTTACATCAATATATGAGTTGGTCTTTACACTCTTTTGAAGATGTTCAGAGTACAATATATTGTTGGCATCGTAACCAATCAATGAACCTGGTTTGATTAATACGGGGAAGGCATTATAATTCTTATTCTTATTCAAATATTGATTAATTGATGGTACTCCCATTATTATTATTATTCTATGTTATGATTTTAGTAGGTACTTTGATAAAGTTTAAAATGATAGGGATCATCATCATATACCAGAATGTATTTATAGCCAAACATATGATGACTGTTAATAAATGTTAACATGATGTTCATCAATGTCATTAGATATTGATTTTAGTATGGCCCGGAAAGTAATTAATAATGGGCCACTGTTGTTTTGTAAACAACTTGCTATGAGTTTTCCATCAGTTCAATCTTCGATTTTCTGCTATCAAGTGATCCCCAACACTGAACCTTAACAAAATAATATTCTAATCATTTATCATCCTTGATGTTCAACCTGGTAATAGAATAAGAACCAAAGTACATTAATCTTTAATAATGTTGAAGGATGCCCTCGCTAGCCCTCACATGACCCCCAAACACTTAAGTGTCGAACTCCGATTTCAAATTGAACCCCCAAAGAGGGGGATGTTAGTTCCCGAACGCGAAATACACTCGGGCGAGAGTGCTGAGAGTGCGACTCGCTTGATGAATCATTCGTCTTTCATTAAATTGCATTGTTACTTATACAAATATATAACAAATATAATATTATATTAGAGATTAGATAGATATGTCTGTTATAAATACACCAGAGAATGCAAGAAGTAATGAGACTCGTTTAGAGTCCAACTTGCAGGTCACTTTGGCCGATGAGACTGTTGATGCTGCAGAGGTGGTGTTGATCTTGGATGCAGGTTCACAATACAGCAAGGTGATTGATAGACGTGTACGTGAATTGAACGTCGCCTCAGAGATACATCCATTCAACACCAAGTTGCAACCATTGCTCGCTCGTGGCAACGTGCGTGCTATCATCGTGTCTGGTGGTCCAGAGTCTGTCTACTCGTCCAAGGCACCCACCTACGATCCCTACCTCTTCGAGGCCGATGTCAAGGTTCCCGTCCTCGGTATCTGTTACGGCATGCAGCTCATGACCCATCTCTACGGTGGTCATGTCGAGAAGAAGGATCATCGCGAGGATGGTGTTCACAACATCATCATCAAAGGTAGGTTCAATGTTTGATCGACACGATCAATCAATCAATCGATCAATCGTGCTAACTGTCATTGTCACGCACACTTATAGGCAACTCTGAGTTGTTCCACGGCATGCAACAGAGCGAGAGAGTGTTGCTCACTCATGGAGACAGTGTGACTGCACTGCCACCTGGATTCACAGAGATCGCCGTGAGCGAGGGAGGCGTCATCTCAGCCATTGAGAACTTGAGCAAGCAGTTCTACGGCCTGCAGTTCCATCCAGAGGTCGATCTGACTGAGAACGGCAAGACGATCCTGCAGAACTTTTTGTTCAGAATCGCAAAGTGCACTGGCAGCTACACATTGGAGGACCGTGAGCAGACGGCCATCAAGGAGATCAGGGACACCGTGGGCTCGGGCAAGGTGTTGGTGTTGGTCAGCGGTGGTGTCGACTCGACCGTGTGCGCCGCACTCATCTCCAAGGCCATCGGACCAGAGCGTGTGATCGCTCTGCACATTGACAATGGATTCATGCGCAAGGAGGAGAGCGCCAAGGTGGAGAAGGCACTGTCCGTGCTCGGCCTGCGTCTGATCGTGGTCGACGCCTCACAAACATTCTACAACGCCACGACCACAATCAAGGGCGTCCCAACCGCACAGCTCAAGGTCACCGTGCACCCAGAGGAGAAGCGCAAGATCATTGGAGACACATTCATGCGTGTGGCCGAGGAGGAGGTCAAGAAGCTGGGTCTGAACCCCAACGAGGTCTACCTCGCCCAGGGCACCCTGCGTCCAGACCTCATTGAAAGCTCGTCCAAGACTGTGTCTGGCGTGGCCGACGTCATCAAGACACATCACAACGATACCGAGCTGGTTCGTCTTCTTCGTGAGACTGGCCGCGTCGTCGAGCCTTTGAAGGATCTTCACAAGGATGAGGTCCGCGAGCTTGGCAAGAGTCTTGGTCTGTCTGAGGACCTCGTCTGGAGACAGCCATTCCCAGGCCCCGGTCTCTCAATTCGTATCCTTTGCACAGAGAAGCCATACATTGAGGAGAAGTTCGACTTGACCAACAACGTTCTACAGTACATCGTTACCGCACAGGCAGACTCTTTGGAGGACAGCGTAAAGCTGAGAATCGACACTCAACTTAGAGACATGGGCTGCTTTGATGCCGTCCGCTCAATCAAGGACATCAGCCCACTGCTGCTGCCCGTGCAAACTGTCGGTGTACAGGGAGATGGTCGTACCTACTCCTACCTCGTTGGTCTCTCACAGCAGACCCCCAACTGGGACCAGCTGTTCCAGCTGGCCAAGGTCATCCCCAAGCTTTGCCACAACGTCAACCGTATCGTCTACGTCTTTGGCGAGGTCATCAACTCCAAGACCACAGTGATCCGTCAGATCACCCCAACTCACCTGGTCCCAGACACCATCGCTCAGTTGCAGCTTGCCGACAGCCTCGTCAATGAGGTGCTGCTCAAGTACCAGCTGATCCGTTCGCTCAGCCAGGTGCCCGTCATCCTGCTACCAGTATCATTCGACGGCGACTCGACCAAGAGATCGATCGCCATCCGCACATTCATCACCAACGACTTTATGACTGGTGTGCCCGCCGTCCCACACAAGACCATCCCAATGGAGGCCGTCACCGAGATGGTTGACAAGCTGATGCAAAACACTCCAGGCATTTCCAGAGTTGTATACGATCTCACCAGCAAGCCACCTGGAACAACAGAGTATGAATAAACTTGCGATAAAGTCAAAGTTATGTCAATCATGGTAGAATAGTTTATTACAAAGAGAGATTAAGCATTGATATAAGGCTGATATGTTTGTTATGTTTGGGTATTACTTCGATTATGGCTTGGCCAGGACTAACCTTTCTCGTTGAAGTTTGGAATGGAGTGTGATCACATTGTCCATAAGTGATCTTGTATGTTTGAGCATTTGTTATACTCTGTATCAATGACTTTATACCCATTTGGATAGGTTGATGAGTTATATTGAGTTGTGGGTAATCCAGGTGAATCATTCTGATTGGTATGTTGAATGTTGGTATGCTGGACAGATCCTCTTCCTTCATATGTATTGTGACAGACTCTACTTGACTTATAGATGCTCCAAAACATTGAAGTTGGAGCATTGACTTGAGTACCAGAGATTGAACATTGATTGGCAGACTACAGTTTGAGAAGTATACATCTCCAAGTTCCAACTTGGTAAGGGAAGTTGGAAGGACACCTGATGGGAGTGGCTGGTTAAAGCAAGTACCAAACTTTAGGTCTTTGATTGAATCTAGTGCTCCCATGGGTATAACTTCATTGAATTGACGATGGAATGAAAGAGTTGATAATAGAGATAGTTGCTCTTGTCGAAGAGATATGAGTTGATCGACATTTCCTAGGATTAGAGTTGTGGCTTTAAGATTGCTCAAAGTGTTGACATGAATGAAGTTGTTGCCCAGGGATAATGACTTGAGTGAAGATATAGTTGAAGTATCAAGTTGGTGATTATATTGATATCCAAGTGAGAGTGATTGTATAGATGTAGATATAAGAGTAGGGGCCAAAGGTTGGTTAAATGAATTGCCACAGGTTAAGTTGGTTAAGGTAAAAGGAAGTGATCCAATGGGAAGAGGATGATTGAATGTATGTCCGAATGATAGTGTTGTTAATGATGTAGGGAGGGATCCAACAATAGGTTGGTTAAAGTAATCTCCAAAAGATAGATAGTTGATATTAGGAGGAAGTGTACCGATTCTTAACTCTTGATTATAACATTTTCCAAAGATTAATTGTTCAAGGGTTGAGGGTAGTACACCAGGCAGAATAACACGATTGTAATAGAATCCTAACTCTAGGGACTTGAGTGACGAGGGAAGGATACCGGCATTGAGTTCTCTATTGAAATAAGTTCCAAACTTTATATTGTTGATACTATTTGGAAGAGAGTTGGCAAGGAACATTGTATCATAACAATTTCCAAATTCTAAAGATACCAATGAGATTGGAAGGCATCCTGGGAATAACAATTGATTGAAATCATTGTCAAACTTCAAAGAGACAATGTTCATCGGCATAGCTCCAGGTACTATTTCTTGATTTAAGTTGAAGACAAACACATTGGGATCAACTTCATTCTCTTCTTCTTGAACTGGTGTACTATCTTTTGTTAAAGTAGAAGTTAGGTAAACATTTCTAACTCTATTATTATAAATTAAATGATAATAATGTTTTGAAATTAAACTTAGAGATATAATATCTAATCCATTATCAATATGATTAAATATATTACTAATAATAAAATATGAGAAGGTATCCATTTCTGTATATATATATATATATATATATATATATATATATATGTATGTAAGTGTGTAGAGATAAGTAGATAATATTAATGAAATAATATTATTGGTCCATCAATACTCAGTACTTTTGTAACAAGTTATGTTTCTCGTCGAAGGATCTCGAATCCAGAAATGGAAATAATGTTGTTGTTGACAACAATGTCCAGATCTTTTTTCTTTGACCCCTCAATCTACACTCACTGCCCTAGTTTGTAACGACATCTAGTGATAGTGGTTTGTGAATGTATTGCAACAACAAAAATAAAAATGGAGAGTAACATAATTGATAGAGACACAACAGATACAGATATAGATGATAGTAGTATTTGCTCAAGACATGGCAAGAAGAAATATAAGTTTATTTGTATAGAATGTAATAGTTTGTTATGTTCAATGTGTGTCAGTTCACATAAGAGACATGATGTTGAGAATGTACAACACTTGAGATCATTGATCAATGAAGGACAGTATGACGATACATCAAAGTTGAGATTGAAGTTATTGTGGAGTATGCTTCAACGACTGTCAGTGGCACATCATACGATGACAGAGTCATGCAAGAATGTCAGTGATCAATTCAAACAACTTCATGACATGCTTGTGATTGAGGAACACAGGATAACATCACCACTCAATGACAAGATTCAACAAACATCATCAACCATTCATGACATCATCAATGAGATCAAGAACATCAACAGTCTGTTCAGCCAATCGACAACCAAGACCGATGACTTGGAGATAAACGAGATCATTCAATCAATCAAATCATCAACATCGCCCAAAGAGTTCATCGACAAGACATTCCCAACAACAACAACAACAACAACATCAACATCTACAGAGGTCACAGATATTGAATTGTTGACAATGATTAAGAATCATGTCAATCAGATGAACACAACAATTCATGTGTTGACACGTCCCTACAAAGTGGTGATTGATCAAGACATGATAGACTCGGTCAAAGATGAAATAAGATCATTGACCAAACTGATGGAGCCAATCGAACACTTTACTCATGATCTCGATGGCCAGATCATGTGTATCGAGAATGAGAATGTGTCGTTGTTCTCGCCAGCGACCAATGGATGGACAGATGTGGATGGTGATTCATTTGAAAAAGCGAACTATTTCTGCTCGTCAGTATATGCTCGTGGTCATGTCTATGTGTTTGGACCACGTGATGACTGCCCATCAACATACTCTCGCTTCTCACTCGTTACTCGAAAATGGCAATATGATATCCCAATGGCTGGAGTTAGAGGCGGAAGACTCTGTTCAGTCTGCTTTGATGGAGACAAGTATATATACTTGGTCGGTGGCACCACTATTGATGTTTGGCCACAAGTCAATTTCAATCGAGTTGATTGCTTCAATATTGAAACTCAAGAGTTCTCAATGTATGGCGAACTATCACAATGCGTCTCTGCAGGCTATCTGTTCATCATTGACAATACACTCTATTATATCGACAGTGATAGCATTACAATATCAATCATAGAGTTCAACTTGGCAAGCAAAAAGTCGACCTTTATCAAAGGTATCATTCCTGAAACAGCCCTTTCAGTAGTCTTTGATGGCAATGACAGAATATACATCTTTCTCATGCATCGATTCATCAGCATGTCATTGTTGGCAGTGGACAAAGCAAAGACAATCAGGGAGCTTACACCTCCGCCAGCCAATCCATTGTACGGGGAGGAAAAATGGGCACGCAACACCCTGGTGTATTACACACCTGAGCAAGGAACTATACTCAATCTTCAAGGTACTGGAAATAACTATCGATACTCAATCAAACTGGACGAATGGACCAAGATCAATGACAATGATCCAATCGAAGATAGAGGTTATAGTGCATTGAGTCTATTGTATGACAATCCTGTCAAGCGTACTCCAAAGTAGACCCATAAATACATCATTATTCCAACACTCTTCATCGTTGTCATCGATGATCATTCATGACAACGATCTCTATTGCGTCGATGGATATGATTCCATAAGTAGAATCATCTTGACCTACGACCTGGCGACCAAAGAAAAGACTCGAATCCAACTGCCTGGCATGCTCATGTCAGCAGCCTTTGACGGTAAAGACATTTTGTACATGATGTTGGAAGACAATCGTTTCATCAGCATGTCACTATCGACCAGACTACAAAATAAATTGGACTCCCCAATCCCAGGAGGTAATGAATCACAACAAAACAATCTTGTATTCTATCCACCAGAGAAAGGAACACTCCTATTGCTTCAAGGCAAAGGCGCCAACTTCCGATACTCGACAAGACGCAATGAATGGACTTTAATCGATGATGATGATCCACTTGATGAGAGGCGCTGGAACACTGTATGTGTATTGTATGATAAGCCCCGCTTGGTCAATGATTGATTGGTCCAACCCATAAATACAATGAATGTGGTTCATTCCAACCCACACTAATCATTCATGCAATCGTTCTTCGAGTTGAGAAAGATAGTGATAGAGATGGCAGAGGATACATTGTGCGAGATACATCACAAGAAGCACAAGTTGATATGTATTGATTGTAACACTATTATATGTTCTGTATGTGTTGGATCACACCAAAGACATTCATTTCAGAATGTTCAACACTTTAGATCATTGATCAGTAAACAACAGTATGATGATACGTCATTGACGAGATTGAAGTTGTTATGGAGTACTCTACAACAACTATCAACAACACATCAGACAATGACAGAGTCATGCAAGAATGTCAGTGATCAATTCAAACAACTTCATGACATGCTTGTGATTGAGGAGCACAGGATCACATCAATACTCAATGACAAGATTCAGCAAACATCATCAACCATTCATGACATCATCAATCAGATCAAGAACATCAATACTATATTCAAACCATCATCAACAACATGCAAGTTCAATGATGATGATAGCATCAACGATGATGAGATCATTCAATCAATCACAACATGTTCATCACTCGATCATTTCACCGATCAAACATTCCCAACTACAACATCAATGCCATCAGAGACAGACTCGGTGACGATCAATATCACAGACATTGAGTTGCTGAGATTGGTACAACGGAATATCAATCAAATCAATAGTGCACCTCACATAATGACGAAGCCTGTGACTGTGGACATTGACACCAAAACATTGGATTCAATCAAGGAACAGCTTAGATCATGCTTCCAACTGTTGGAGGTCACCGAGAAGTACACTCATGACATAGATGGACAGGTCATGTCAATAGACATTGAATGCTATACATTGTACTCACCAATAACAAATACATGGACAAAGGTACAAAATGGCGTTGTATTTGAATACAGTTCCACCGCAGTGTACGCCCGTGGCAATGTATATCTGTTTGGAGGACAGGGCAGCGAACCCACATACTCGCGTTACTCTCTCGCCGATCGACAATGGCATCATAACCTACCGATGGTTGGAGAGGGTGTGCAGAGTGGATTGGAAGCTTCATTGTGCTACGATGGCGACCGAACAATCTATTTGGTAGGCGGTGAGATCCAAGATGCCATGGGCGAAATCATTAAGAGAATGACACGCATCGACAGTTTCAACATTGAGACACTGGAATTCAAACATATTGGTGACTTTAAATATCCTTCCTCGTTGGCATTCGTCATTCATCACAACAACATACTCTACCTCTTTGATGGATGCATCTATTTGGAATTTCAAGACGGAGAACAGTTTGGCTGCTACTTCACCTACGACCTGGCGACCAAAGAAGAGAACACCATTAAAATGGGTACAACTATGGAGTCATTGGCATATGATGGTGAGGGCAATGTTTACATAATATACAAGGACGACGGAAAATTCTTTCACTACTCGATATTGACAAAAATTGGCACTGAACTAATGGCTCCACCACCAGCACCACAACACCAGGAGGAGGAGTTTGGTAGAAACCTAATATGGTACACACCTGAGAAGGGCACCATTCTTTATCTTCGAGGCAAAGGAATGAACTGTAAATACTCAACAAGACTCAATCAATGGACTGAACTCCAAGACGATGATCCACAAGATGGTGTAAGAAATTGGCAAGCACTATGTTTACTATACGACACACCAGTAAAATATAATCCTAATAAAGATTACAATCACTAAATATATGAATGGAATGAGTTTGCAAAGTAGTCAAGGTGATTGAATAAGTTAACCGCCATAATTTTAAAATTCAAATTTGAAATGAATGGCGCCAAATTGAGGTGTTTTGTAATGTGTGGTTCACATGTTTGGATCACTTGAACACATTCAAACAAAACACACTTCCTTCAACAATAAAGAGGTAGATAGCCCAATATCAATCACTTGTTCTCATCGGTTGATATGACTGTTATAAATTAAAAAGTAACAAACACATAACAACAACAACAGCAATTACAACAGCAATTACAACAGCTATAACAAAGCAACAAACAAGGCACAGCACAATCAAAAAAGAGAAAGAAGCAGTATAAATTCAATTTCTTCGATCAATCAACATCTTGTTTACACATCACCATCACAACAACAACTCAACTATCAACTGTACAATATATACACATATATATATCATTCATAGTTGTTCAACAGAACAGTAAGTAGTCAGCTGACACTACTCACTCACTCGCTCAATCAATCACTCGTTCGCTCACTCACTAACTCGACTCGATCAATCAATCAATCAATCACATGATCATTCGATATACATATATAGACATAGACAAACAGACTTAAAGAAACAATGGATCATTCTGATGGAGGACTTTCTCGATTCCAGAAGCTAGAGAAGCTTGGTGAGGGTACATATGGAAAGGTGTACAAGGCAAAGGAGAAGTCAACTGGTAGGATTGTGGCTCTCAAGAAGATTCGTCTGGAGGACGACGGTGTACCAAGCACTGCCCTGCGTGAGATCTCTCTTCTCAAGGAGTTGCCACACAGCAACATCGTCACGTATGTATCATGTCGTCTTGAACGTCATCATGTCTTGGCGCTAACATCATCCACCTCATCACTAATACAATGACAACAACAATAGTTTGATCGATGTTCTTCATTGTACACATAGACTATACCTTGTCTTTGAGTTCCTCGATCAGGACTTGAAGAAGTACATGGACTCAGTGTCTGTGATCAATCCACAGTTGATCAAAGTATGTTGATCATTCATTCATTCATTCATTCCCCATTCCATAACTAACCAACCAATCAATGATATACAGTCATACATGTACCAGTTGCTCAGAGGATTGGCTCACTCTCATAGCCAGAGAATATTGCATCGTGATCTCAAGCCACAAAACTTGTTGATTGATCGTTTGGGAGCGATCAAGATTGCCGACTTTGGTCTGGCTCGTGCCATCAGCATTCCAGTTCGTGTGTACACTCACGAGATCGTCACTCTTTGGTATCGCGCACCAGAGGTGCTCCTGGGCTCCAAGACCTACTCGGTCCCAGTGGACATGTGGTCGGTCGGTTGCATCTTTGGAGAGATGTTGAACAAGAAGCCACTGTTTTCCGGTGACTGTGAGATCGATCAGATCTACCGTATCTTCCGTGTACTTGGCACTCCCAACGAGTCCATTTGGCCTGGTGTCACCGAGTTGCCAGACTTCCACGTGAACACCTTCCCCATCTGGACTGGACAGCCACTCGCCAAGTTTGTCCCCAATGCAGAGCCACATGCTATTGACCTCTTGAACGTATGTCTTACTCGCGCGTGAAACTTTGGCCACCATCCTCCTCCCAATCACACCTCACTAACCAATGACCAACAACAACAGAAAATGCTCCAGTACGAGCCATCAAGAAGAATCTCTGCAAAGGCAGCTCTCAACCATCCATACTTCAGCGATCTTGATGCAAGCGCATTCTAAAGGGTAGAATGTGAAGCGTACACTCGGCCTCAATCTCCCAACAGGCCAACCAAACATTGTTTTGATCAACCAACCAACCAACACCAATCACAACCAATCAATCAATCAACCAATCAATCAATCAATCAACCAATCAATCAATATCTACATCCTCTTTGTATCGCGTAATAAACAATACAACAGATGAACCTTAACAGCAACAATAAGTTTATTGATCCTTTGTCTTGAGGGCCATTGATCCTGGCTCACCACCCCATCGCCATCGGCTAAGCTTTCGAAGAGCAAGGTAGATAGCACCAGCGAATGCAATGGACAAGATGATGAAGATCGCTTGAGCGTAGCCAGGCATCCAGTCGAGGAAAGGATATGCAAAGTGGCCTTGTACATAACGACTGATGAGGAATGGGTAGAGGAAAGCATTGAGCAACGAGAATGTGTGAGTGATGTCTTCTTTGAACTGCGCTGTCGACGGGATGCCAGTGATAACAGGCACCTTGAACTTGTGGAACTGATGGTTGACGAGCATCAACTCGAGTAGTGCAGCGAAAAATGGCAATGTATGTTGGATATGGTTCATTTGTGATGGGTAGATATCTGCAATGTGCTTGGGGAAGATGCCTTGCTCATCAACAGCGATAACTGACCAGAAGAGTAGGGTGATGGCGATGCCAACAGGTCCTGCGTAGGAGCGATACAATACATCACGTGTCTTTAGAAAGTAGTAGTACTTTGTGGGATTCGTTGATGAATAGCCAATGACATCGAGTGCATCAACTATTGTGGCTGCAACAAGGAAGACGAACCAAATGAGCTTGATACACAGAGTGTGATGTTAGTCGATATCCAAGTTCATGTGTTGTGATGATCAACATTGACCTACCTGTCCCCAGAAAGTTAGATATATTAACACACCAATGTGATAGCCACCATTGAGGTTATTGTCTTGGTGGAACTTGATAAAGTCTACTATTCCAACAAAGACAAGGGCTAGTAACGTCAAATGTAATGGTATTGTCAATAGTAATCTTACACTTGCCATTTTTGGTTCTGTGTGATGATCAAACTAATAATCTCTCAATTTGAAATCATTGTTATTGTTTTAAGAATTTCCCAAAACCCATTAATTTATATTAAATAATAATTAATTAATTATTTTATTTTTTTGGTCATCGGGACTATAAAGATATTTACAAGTAGTTGTGTCGACACATATATATATATATATATAATCATAATTAATTACGGTTCGAAATATCTAGGTCCAACAGCAAATGTCTTTGGTTGATACCATATTCCTCCAGCAATTGAGTTGGATGTTTGTTGGAATGAATTATTTGAATTATTTCCAGAGCTGACCATTGTATGAGTAGCAATGAAGTTGATATTAGGAGTGAAAGACTTTGAAATATTCTTGAATAACATTCTTAAGTTATTATATTATTATTGTTAATTATTAATTGAATGATGATTTGATATTTAGAAGTGAATGGAAGTGATGTCTATTATATAATCGACACCGTCCATCATCATACCACATATTAATTAATAATAACAATTTTAAGTAAGTATGCACCCGCCAATGCTGTGAATGGTACCTTTGGCAGTTGATGTAGTTGAGTGGACTTTGAGCTCAACAACAACAATATCATTATCTTTGAATAAGGACCGATCTTGTTGTTATGTGTACATTTTGAGCTAAATAGAAGGTACCTCTACCATTCTGACAGAGTGCACCATTGTTCAGTTTCCCGGTCATTCAAATAATTTGGTTGTATATCCAAGTGTCGCCATCAAATTAATATTATGTGTTTGTTGTGTTGTTGAGATGTAAATTAACTGATAGACATTCATTCATTCTTGTTATTATTAACATTGACATCACTGACGTTCATCATCCACATTCACATTCATACACAATCAATTACACCATTCAACCCTCCCCCTTCCAACAATCAACCAAACACACACTTATGATTATTGATCCATCCAGGATGACTGGAACACTCGGGTGATATTTGATGGTACACACACACTTATTTGGTTTTATTACTATTATTATGTTCGATATTTGATAATTATATATATATTATTTTTAGAACAGTCCGAAGGCTTGCTTCTCCTTGTTCTTCCTCCATGCTGGAAGCTTAGCGAACTCGTCTCTTGGCATCTTGAACATTGACTGGAAGTCTGAGTCACTCAGATAGTTCTCGAGGTTGTTGGAGTCCAGATGAGCTGGCTTCTTGACGAGCTCACTCAGTGGGACGTTGGTAGTGGCATTGGATGGTGCAGCAGCTGGCTTTGGTGCAAGCTTGGCAGCTGGCTTAACTGGTGCTGGAGCGGCAGCTGGGACTGGGGCTGGAGCAGCAGCGACAGGAGATGGGGCAGCACCAACAGATGGTCTTGGTGGGAGCTTGGCAGCTGGCTTGAGTGGCTGTCCAGTGGCGGGTGAGACAGCGGGACGTGGTGGGCCTGGGGCGACCTTGGCAACTGGCTTTGGTGCAGCGGCAACTGGGGCGGGGGTTGGGGCTGGGGCTGGAGTGGTTGGTCCAGTCTGATCGGCGTACTCTTGCTTTCTGATTGAGAACAGCTTCTTCTCGGCCTGCTCCAACTCCTTCTTCAGTTTGAGAATCTTGACCTGAGCCTCCATCTCGTGCACCTTGAGTCCAGTGACGGACATGCTCGATGAATCAAAAGCAGTCTCCTCCTCCATCTGTTGGCCAACTGACTTGGCAGCCTCGACAAGCTGGGCGGTGGCGCCAGACACTTGCTTGGCAGCCTGCGACAGCTGTGAGTTGGAAGCACTGTTGATGTCAGCCTTGGCTCTGCTAGCAGCGACAAGACGGGCAGTTGTGGCAGCGACACCCTTGGCGGCGGCGACCAGAGTCTCCTCCTCAGCCTTTCCTTGGGTGGAGTCGTTGGCAGACACCACGAGGGTCTGGACAGATCCGGCGACGGCCTGGGCAGCAGAGATAAGTCCACGAGCCCATGTTGGGTCACGACGGTAGACGTTGGCGCCTCCCTTGTTGACCTTACCCTGAACGACCAACTCGTGTTGCACGGCGGTGGCACAGTTGACCAGGATACCGGTGGCACTGGTAATGGCACGGGCAGCCTCGAGGATAGCCTCATCGATACCTGCCTCATCAATGCCAGAGGCGGCACGAGCGTCCTCACGCTTCTTCTTGGCCTTGAGCAGGGCGGCGGTAGCCTCCTCAATGACTCTGGCGGCCTCCTTCAACTCCTTCTCGGCCATCTCCTCAAGGTTCTCACCAGCCTGGAAGAGCTTCTTGGCTCTCTCTCCACCTGGCAAATCACCAGCGGCAGACACGACCTCGTTGATGGCCTCAGCCACCTCACCAGAGGCGTCAGACAACTTGTTCTGTGCCTGGTGGTTGGTTGGGTCGGAACGGACGTTCTTGGCGGCTTGGATCAGCTTGAGGATCTTGTTGGAAGCATCCTTGGCTGACTCTGTGACGTTCTGTTGGATGACTGCGTCGTCTGTGAGACGAGTGGCACCCTTGGCATTCTGCAGCAGGGATCTGACTGATGCGATCGTTCCCTTGGAAGCCTCATTGAGCTCGTCTGGTGCAGTGTTGGTCGAGCTGACCAAGTAGGCAATCGACTCGGCCAATGACTTGGCAGAGGTGACGACGTCCTCGGCGGTGGCTGACGCGTTCTTTGGTGCGTTGGGGGTGTCGTAGTTGCCCAACTGCTTTCTGATCTCGACAGCGACAGAGTCCAACTCGCGGATACCCTTTGTGGAGGTGGATGAGTTGGCCAGGGTCTTCAGCGAGTCGATCGACTCGTCGAGGTTCTTGGAGGCAGTGGTCATCTGGCCCTTGGTGGTTGGGTTGGGGTTCTTCTGTGCGTTTCTGGTGGCAGAGATGGTTGACTGCAGCGATGAACTGACGTTTCTCGAGGCATTGAGGATATTCTGCTGCATCGATGGGTCAGAGGTGAGGGCGGCACAGACCTTGGTAGCTTGGGACAATTGCTGGTCGAGACTGGCAATGTGCTTGGCGTTGGTTCCGACCTCCTCGATGGTGGCCGACTTGATCAACACCTGGTTGGCGGCGTGCAGCTCCTTGGCCAGACGATCAATGTCAGCCTGGACCTGCTGTGGGGTGTGTCCAGTGGTGTCAACATCGACCTGACCGGCAGCGGCAAAGAGCGAGGCGGCATCGAGGTCAGAGGTGACTCTCGAGATGGATTCCAATGCATTGTCAATGTCACGGTCACCTGTGGCACCAGCCTTGAGCGCACTGATAAGGGTGGCGATGGTTGTGGTGATGTTCTTGAAGTTGTCGTTGATCTTTGCCTGCAGGGCAGCGTTCTTGTGGTCAGCGCTGGCCAACTTAGCGTCGTGGATGATCGAAGCGGTGGCGCCAACAATGCCGTTGGTGGCCTCAAGCAACTTCTGGCGGGCAGCGGCGTCGTTGGTGGCGGCGGCGGTAGTACGAGTGCTCTCCACAAGTCTTGGGATGATGCCTCCGACGTTGAGGGCGTTCGAACCGATCTCCTCTGGCTTGTTCTTGGTGGCAGTTACCAAAGATGAGATACCGAGAGCCAATGCCTTGGCGATCTCGGTGGTGTCGTCCTTGTACTCCTGGTAGGTCTTGCCCTTTGAGTCGTTGGCTGGCTTGAACAGAGTCTCCTTGGACTTGTTGATGGTCTGGATGGCCTCATCACAGTCACGTGACTGCATGACACCGCCCTTGACTGATGTGAGAATATCGGCGATGGCCTGCGAGGCGTTGTAGGCCTGCTTGGAGTCGCTGACATCGCCACCCTTGGCGGCAATCATCAACTCCAACATGCTGTCGGCCAACTTCTTGGACAACTGCAGCTGGGTCTGCTTGATCTCGGTGTTGGTGGTGAGCGAAGCCAACTCCTTGGACACCTTGACAATCTTTGGCAGAATGTGGGCGGTCTCCTTGGCAGACTTGCCGAGGTTCTGTGGTGCATCCTTTGGTGCAGCGAGGAACACCTTCATGGACGAGGCCAGCTGTCTGGAGATCTCGACCAACTCCTCTTGGCACTTGCCGGCAGTCTTGCCAGCTGGGGCAGTATTCTCGAGCAGACCAATGGCAGCGTTAAGCGAGGCAGAGTCAAGGTCGACGACGGCCTGTTGGATGATCTCGATCGACTCGTCGATGTCCTTCTGCTCTGGCTTCATGCCGTTGATGGCGACCAACAACTGTTGGACGGCGGTCGACACGGACTGCGAAGGCGGCTGAGAAGTGCTGGTGGACGTTGGCGTCCTTTGTGCCGGTGGAAACGCTCTTGCTGACGGCCATGAACTGGGACATCGAGTTGGCGACTGAGCGCGAGGCGTCCAAAAGAGCCTGCTCAGAGGTGGACAAAGAGTCAACGTCGATGGTCACGGTCTGTGCAGCGTCGACTCCCTCGACAGCCTTGAGGAGCTCACGGATAAAGTTGGTGACCTCTTGGCGAGCGGCGGTCAGCTGGTCGGCTGGTGCGACCTGGCCAGAGGCAACAGACTTGGCAATGTTGACAAGCTTGGTGGTTCCGTTGGCAACGTTCTGAGCCTCAAGCAGGATTTGCTTGGACTTCTCGGTGTTGCCAGTGGTGAGTGCCTGCGAGGAGAGCTTGCGTGCAGCGTTCATGAGGTTTGGCACGGAGAGAGCGAGGTTCTTGGCGTTGACGGCAGCCTCCTTCTTGTCCTGCTCGTTCAGAGTCTTCTTCTGGCACGACTGAGCGAGAGCTGCGGTGGCAGTGCCGACCTTGCCAGCGAGAGAGGTGACGTTGTCTGGGTTGTGGTGGTCCTTGCCAGTGTTGGCATAGATGGCGGACTTGGCACTCTCGACAATGTCTCTGAGGTCCAGTGCGGCTCTCTTGCAGTTGGCACCCAACTTCTCTGACTGAGTCTTGGAGTTGACGATCTGGCTGCTGTGATCGGCGAGGTCCTTGGCGTGCTTGGTCAACACCTTGAGGGCGTCGGCACGGATTGCGTGGTTGATATCGCCAGTGTTGAGCTGGACGATGCACTGCTTGACGATCTCGATGGCCTCAGCAATGTCAGCCTGACCTGGGACGGCCGACTGGATGGTGTGGACGAGTGACTTGACCAAGTTGTTTACATTGTTCTGTGTGTTGATCAACTCATTCTCACCCTCGCCTGGACGAGCGGCAGCGTAACGACTGGCGTGCAGCAGCTTGATGCAGCCATCTCCGAGAAGAGCCAGAAGCTTGGCAGTCTCGGCGGCCAAGCTCTTGTTGGGGCATGAGCCTGTGGCAGCATTGCAAGTGTCGACCAACTGTGAGTAGGTTGAAGCGGTGGTCTTGGATGATGCTCCAAGTGCCGATGGGTTGCTGCGTGCATTGGCTGTGGTCTGCGAGGAGGAGGCAAGCAGGGCCTTGGATGAGGAGATGGCCTTCTCGCTGTTGGTACCGTACTCACCACCGAGGTTGACTGGTGGGTTGTTGATACGTCTGATGTCGTTCTTGATGGTCTCAATAGCATCATCGAGATCCTTTCCACCTGGGTCTCCACCCTTTGATGTGGCGAGCAGGGCGGCCAAAGCCTCAGCAATAGCTTTGACGGATGATTGCAATGCAGACTCGAGTGGGGCATCACCTGGGTTGGAGGCCACAGCACGAGCACAGGAGACCAAGTTGGCAGACTCAGTGGTGATCTGCTTAGCAGCACCGAGGACAGCGCGTTGCACCTGTCTGTTCTGGGAAGCAGCCGACACTGCCTTGGCAGCGTTGGTGACCTGGGCGACTGAGCCGGCCAAGTCCTTGCATGTGCCTCCGAGCTGGTCTGGGGCAGTCTTGTACTGCATCAAAACCTGCTTGGCGGTGTTGCCGAGCGATCTTGCGGCGACATTCAGGAGCTCCATAGCGTTCTCACGGGTCTGGCCTGGAATGTTCTGGAGAAGACCGGACTGGGCAGCGTATGACTGAGCCTCCATATCGGCCTCGAGAGCTTGAACCTGCTCCAAAGCCTCATCAAAGTCCTGTTGACCGACGGTGGACGACAGGTCTTGGATCGAGTCCAAGAGAGCCTTGAGGGCGTCCGACGCGGTGTTGGCAGAGTTGGTGAGATCAGACTTGAGGATTGGGTCCTGTACTCTGGGGATGACTCCCTTGGCATCGGCCACCAACTGGTAGGCGATTGGGGCGGCAACCTTGACCTTCTCAATCAATTGGTTCTGTGCAGAGATGTCGTTTGGTCTGGACTGTGAGACGTTGATTGAGTTAACCAAGTCGGCAATCTCATGAGTGGCCTTGTTAATGGCGTTGAGGATGCGGGCTGCATCCTGATCTGGGAGAACTGGAGACACAATCTTGCTAGTGGTGATCAGACCGGTGGTGGCCGCACAGGCAAGCTTGGCGTTGGTTCTCAAAGCCTGGTAGGCCTCCTCCTTGCCAGCATCGCCGACCAACTGCTTGGTGGCCATGGCGAGACGCTTGGAGGCGTCTTGCAGCTTGGCAAAGGTGACTCTGTCGTCTGGGTTCTCAGCGCTCAGCTGAGCAACCTCGACAAGGTGACGAGCAGCCTCGGCGACAGCCTTGGAGCACTGGATAAGTCTGTCACGGACGGCTGGGTCGTCGGTCTTGAGTGTGGCACGCTTGGCACCGGCGATCAGGTGCACCATAGCCTCCTCGATCGACTTGCTGGCGCCGTTGATCACATCTGGGCGACCCTGGGCACCGAGCATCTGGGCGGTGGAAGAGAGAATCTGCTTGGCAGCGTTGGAGAACTCAACGTCGTCACCGCTTCTTGGCTGGGCCAACTCGGCAGAGTTCAAGAGATAGGCGTAGGCGTCGGCGATCTGCTTGGCACGCTGTCTCAACTTCTCCAGCGAGGCTGGGTCCAGGTTGGAGGACTTGGCTGTGGCAATCAGGTAGTTAATTGAGTCCTGAGCGGCCTTGGCCGATTGATTGAACTGCTTGCGGCAGTTTGGATCCAAGATGGTTGGGGCCAGTGCCTGGGCGGTGGCAGCGGCAACAACACCAGCCTTGCCAGTCTCGTCGGTGGCGCTCTGCATCTGGTTGCGTCTGATTGGATCGGTGATTGAGGTGGAGTATTGGTTTGACTGGTTGACCAGCTCCTGGGTGGCAAAGGCAATGGCCTTTCCAGCCTCCTGGAGCAACTTGGTCGTGCCTGGGTCGGTGATCTGTCCGGAGCATGCACCGTCCAGGTAGGCAGTCATAAGTCTGAGCTGCTCGGCAGCCTGGGCGACCAGGTTTCTGGCGTTCTCGTCGTTGGGGTTGGCAGCCAGATCCTTGGTGGCTCTTAGCAGCTTGGAGATGGCCTCGGCAACAGCCTTGGCACCGTCAAAGAGAGGCATCTCTCCGTCGGGGTCCTCACCGGCGGCAATGGAGGCAGCACGGGCAGCGTGCACCAATTGGTCGATGGTCAGAGCAATGTCACGTGCGTTCTGGTCCATCATGCCACGGTCCATTCCGTTGGGATTGTTCAAGTTGCCGAGCAGTTTGCCGGCGGCGGCAGCCACAGCCTTGGCATGGATGGCCAGCTGTTGGCGCCATTGCTGTGGGGTGAGTGCAGACTTTTGGCCAATGACGCTGTCTGGTGCCAGCTCCATCTCGTTGAGGAGGTTGGCGACGGCGGCAGAGGCAGAGTCGATGTTGGTGACCTTGATGGAGAGGGGACCTCCGAGGCCGCCACGGTAGCCAATCGATTGGCCTGGCACCGAGTACTGGCCCTCGCGACCACCAGCGCCATCAAAGCCAGACAGCGATGAGGAGGTGGATGTCTGGGAGGCCTGGCCTCTGATGCGGCCCAGGGACTCAACGTTGGCAATGTCAGTGTCGCCCTCCTCAATGACGACAGATGTGTCCTTTCTCTTCTTCATCAAGATTTCAATGTAACCTCCGAGCAACTGTGAGATGGCCTCACCCTCAGTGGTGATCACACTGACGTAGTCGTCCTCGTAGTCACCAAAGTCCAGAGTGAACGAAGCTGGTGAGGCAGCCCATCTACGGAGATGGTTCAGTGGGTACTCATGCTCGACCTCCTTTGTCTCTGCGTCCAGACGCAAGATTGAGTCTCTGGTGATACCAAGCAACTTTGGTACAGGCTTCTTCTGTCCCTTAACACGTTCCTATGATGATGCAGCAGTAAGAGGTTAGATGTTATGTCCTTTGTCCTTGATGTCTGTCAATCCATTACTACCCCAACATACCTTTGTCTGGAAGAAGGTGATACCGTATGTCTTGAGTGATCTGCACAGTTGGACGTATCTGAACTTGGAGTTGGACTCGGTCATACCGACCAGCTTTCTGAACTCCTTGTAGATGTCCTTCTCGGCGTCCTTCTTCTTGTGGTAGGAGGGTGGCATGTACTCCTTGATCTTCAAGTAGCCAGCCTTGTGCAGGTTGGTGTTGTGGTTGCCCAGTGAGATCTGGCACTGCAGGGCAGCAAACTGGATGGCCTCATCGTAGGTGCAAGGATGCGAACCCGAGACGATGGCGTCACGTGACTGTACGTAGACGAGATGGAGTTGGATTGGGTCGTCACGGTTGACGTTGAAGTCGTCGACGAAGAACTTCTTCTTGAGCAGCACGACGGCCTCGTCGCTGACGCCCTGCTCGTGGAGTGGCTGGGTGTGGTTGAGCCAGTCGGTCGTGGTGCCTGCACTAGTCTCGGCCTGCAGGGAGAACTCCTCATGGTTCTTGATACCTATTCTCTTTCCGACAATCTCAATGATCTCGCCCACAGTCAAACTGTCATCGATCAGCAAGGTCTTGACAGTCTCATCCATCAATCTAACCTTGAGTGCTCTGTGCTTCTTCTTGTAATCAATCTCATCCTAATATGTACAATCATGCATGTGTGTTAGACCATGATGCTGCTGCTACTGTTGCTGCATGTTGTTCACGACTTACATTCATCTTCAAGTCGTAGAACTGGAGTGGCTTGTCCAACTTTAACCAGCGAGCTGGACGCTTGCCTTCGAGGCCTGGTTGGAAGAGACCATGGTCCTCACCGCTGTCATTGATTCTCTCTCTGATCTGTGCACAGGCCTCATGCACGAACATTGTTGGAGCAAACTTCATGGCCTTGACTTGATTGTCGCGGACAATCCTAATCTTTAGTGTCAACGACATTCTATCTCTTTAACTTTGTTGTTGTTAAGTATGTGTGTATGTGTATATGTATATGTATGAATGTGGGTGTATGTGTGTGTGGATCTGGATGTCTATTAATGGTAATGTTTGTTGATTGTTAGAAGTAATGTTTGAATGATTGTTAGAGATATAGATCCATATACTTACCAAAAAAGGTAGTGTTGTGATGTTGTAGTGTGTGTATGTATGAGTCGGGTAGGGTAGTAATAGAGATAATTAAATAAATATTATAAAATTATTATACAATTACAACTAAGTATCCAAAAAGTATATATGTGTGTGTGTGTGTGTCTTTGGAAGTTTAGTTGTTTTATATCTCTTATCTCTATCTCTTATCTGTATAAGTATAGTCTTTGTATGTCAACAACAAAACATTCAGGTTGGCAGGTTGGCAGGTAGGGTAGACAGGGTAGGTATGGGTAAGTAAGAATGTATGAATAGAATGAATGAATGAATGGATGGATTGATTGTGTTAATTAATATCAAAACAAGTATCTATCTAATACACATAACATAGAGCTATGCTCAGGTCGTGGTGGGGGTGTGTTGTGCAAGAGGGGAAGAGGCAATCATGATGAAGTGAGCGAAACAAGACGCGCCGCCGATCAAACATGTGTTTGGGCCTTCATGTTTGATTTTTTCATCAATGCCAAGTGAAGCCACACAACGACCATTAAATGAATAGGGTGGGGTTGGTGATGGTCCAGACCCAGGCATTTTGGCAATGCATTGGGTCCATTCAGGTGATCATCGTCGTTGAGTTGTAAAATATTTGTTGTTGGTTGGTGGTGAATTCGATCGGTTCATTGAAATTTAATCACTAGTGTAGATGGGTATTGGGATACCAATCGTTGTATTTACAATGCCGATGGTCACCGGGTTCATTCAAATGGTTTGATAAGCTCCAATGACACAATAAGAGAAGTGACAGACGAAACACAGAATCGTAGTAACAAACAAGACAGTGATGTGAATATGAGAATGTACTTACGCTCGCTTGCACCAGGTATCGATCGATAATATTGACAGGTTAGAAGTAATGGTATGGTATAGTATAGGAATGATTGTTTATGAAGAACGATTAAAAGGAAATGGCATGGATGACAATGGATGGTAAGAACTGTCAAGTGATGGCTTTAAGTAGCAACGAAGGTATGGATCAAAGTATGATTGATGTGATGGAATTGAAGGATAGATCACCTACCATCCAGAGTGTGTGGTGGACATCGATTTAGATTCTTTGCGCTGTGTGTTTGTGTGTGTGTTTGGGTGATCGGTTTCCGGGTGGGTTGATGGATGGGTGGGAGATCCGGCAATGATGGTTGGTAGAGTGTGTACGGAAGTGATGATTGATTGATTGCCTCAATCCACAACATTTAGTGAGTGAAGTGATTATTAATGTTACCTTTTATTCAATTTGTGTAGTCGTGATTGTTATCAATCACAAAGGGCTATAGTTAGAAAGGTAGATGTAGGGGAGTGAGTGAAGGAACAGGATGGATAGACTTACTGACTGACAAACAGAACAAAGATTACATGTATATTTATATATTCCCTTCTTCTTTCGATTTAAGTAGTATATTGGGTTCCCAGAGATGGACATCCGATGCTGCAAGGCAACTCACTCATTCATTCTCTCATTTCCTGCCTTTTGTTATTGTAATAGACATCCCATAGACTGTTCTTTGAAAATTTGCGTCGGTAACAAACAAACAAACACACACTGGCAAGACGAGTAAATATCGGCTGGTCAATCAGCCATCTCCGAGTGTGTCCAGTCCCCGTTCATCGTCAAGATCGATGATGGTAATAAAACGACTCTAATACTATAATAGATAGACGTACAATCTGCCATCATTGGCGAGTTTATGGAAGCAATGGGTTTCCTAGAGGGTCGTTTCCGATCAAGATCCAGAGTGCGGGTTCTGTTGTTGATGATGTCCACCAATACTGAAGTTGGTGGGCATTTGTGGATGGGCGGCCTCCTTCTTCATTATTGAAGGCTGGTGAATGAGATGGCTCTGAGTGTTTGATTGAGCAGCGTATGTCGAAATCGGGGCCATGTTTGGATACATGTGTTGTTGTTGTTGGTGATGTTGTTGTTGTTGAAGTTGTTGTTGTGTTTGTTGAAGTTGTTGTTGTTGATGTTGTTGTTGTAGAATTGGTGGTATATGTTGTTGATGTTGAAGTTGTTGTTGTGGTAGCATTGGCTGACCACCAGTGTTGGTGTTGATTGAGTGTTGTGTCATGGCTGGTAGCCCTCCAACACTGGCTGGAGTGAAGTACTTGTATTGGCTAATCTCCTTCTTTAGGTTATTATTCTCGGTGGCCATCACGTTGTAATTCTTTACCAGCTCGTCATAGTTGAATGCAATCTGGGAGTAATTGTTTTGGAGTATCGTCAACTCATTCTTGAGGTGAGTCATCCTTAACAACAGGTTGGCATTCTCTTCTCTAATCTCGGATGCGGTCTGTAACATCTGCTTCTGCTTCAGACGTCGTTGTCGCTCGTGCTCTCGGTGTTGCTCTCGCCTCTTGGCAATTGAGCTCGGTGATCGGTTTGGCTTGGGTTTGGGTGGCTTGGCCCCGACTTGGGGCTCGGCACCTGTCGATGTAGTTGACGTGGATGTAGTGGTTGTGGTGGAAGTTGTTGGAATATATGTGTTGGAGTTACTTATTATATTGTTGTTGGCGAAGTTGGAGTTGAACTCAGTTGGGCTGCTGAGAATTCCTCGTGAATTATTGGACATTGGCGATGATAGGACATTGCCAGAGGAAGACTCCAATGAGTGGCTCGATGGGGATGGTGATGGGATGAGTGAATCGGAGCTGGCACCAGTCTCGGGAGCGACCTGACTGGCTTGTTGTGCGTTGTACATAGAGTTGGTTGTGAAGTTATATGGGGTTGGAGAAATGTTTGATGACTTGGAATTATGTTGTTGTAGATGGTATATGTTCTTGTTGAGGATCGGAGTAAATTGATTGAATGAATCGTCCATTGATGTTATGGATGGTATAGTTGTAGAGGAGGTTGTAGCGGAGGTTGGGGTTGGAATGCCCAAGTTCTTCAGCTTTTCAAAGTTGGCTTGATTGTTGTTGTTGTTGATGTTGTTGATTGATTTATCCGTGTCGCTGGTATTTGGTTCCACCTTGACAAAGACGATATTATTATTATTATTGTCGTCGGAGTTGGTAGTGATATTATTGTTGATTGATGGTGGACAGATATTGAAATTAGACGAATGGTCCATTTGTGGATGTGGGAAACGTTCTTGTGGTTGTTGCGGGATAAGTTGGTAGAGCTGTCCACTGCCGACTGGAACAAAAGACATTTCCTTGGTAGATGGTGGAGAAGGGGAGGAGTAGACTCTAGATGGGTCTCGTTGGATCATTGCTCTTGAACTCGGTGTGGTGTCGTGTTGATCAGAGCCCGCGGTCATCATACATTTGGTCGGTCGATTTTGTTCTGGGTCACGTTGCCACGGGGGATCTAGAACCAGTGGGCTGGATATTAATAGACGGAATTGGACAAAGTTTGACAGGTGATGTGTGGGTAAAACTCGTTTGTCCGCGTTTTTGACAAAAGTAGTTAAAGTGGTTGGTACCTACAATATTATATTTAATGACGAACTATAAAAAAATATATATTATAAATTATAGTTGTTGTTGTTTAGACTTATTCAATTATAAATGATGAAAAGATTAGAAGAGTCTGATGAATTAATGATGATCGACCCGGGTCAACGGAAAGGTGAGTGTGTATGTTGCATGGGGTACTGACATGGCTGAGTATGAGGGGTAGATATTGCCGATGGATTGATGGATAGATATAGTTATCAATCAATCTAAAATCTGGGCCACTGTTTTGGATTAGATATCCTTAACAATTAATTAAACACTCACACACGCGTTATCGATAAGGATTGGGATCTGGCCCTAGGCCTTCTAGATTGATGGAAAGATATCTTTTAGTTTATCAGGGTACCCTACACCCCCCCAGGCACACAGGATATATGTGATGACGACATGAAGTCATGGTGACGCATTAATGGTCCCTGGGGGGGTATTAATGGATCACTTGGAATAAACGAGATTAACATGACAACGGAAATGGACAAAGGAATGGATGAACGAAAAGGCGGTCCCAGCAAAGACCTAGGTCATTCAAGGATGAAGGGACGAGTGGGTATGAGTGATAGGGGGGTGTTGGGCGAGGTGGGGGTTGTCGATCTTTCGGGACAGACAAAATATCTATGATTGGCTAAGGATTGGATACCACCTATGGGCGAATTAAAGTTGGTGGGGGAAGGGTGTGTGCACCTAGAAGCTTGACTTTTAAGTCTGGTCAACGCGTTGTGCATCTAAGTGATTCGAGGAAACGGTCCACTTTGTCCGAATTAAGAAAAACAATTGAAGTTCATTCAGAATCTGGGGACTTAGTCAACTGCAAGTCAAGTCAAACATGGTTGTAAATCGAGTTCATTGACATTTGTTGACTTTTGAAACATTATCCATAAAAGGAAAAAACTTTATACTTTTCGTTCACAACCAACTCTTACCTTATTGTATTAACAAACGTTTCTCTGTTTGTTTGTTTGTTAGAGTAGTGGGCGTTGATGAACTTGAACTTGAAGTTGAGGTTGAAGTTGAAGTTGATGTTGAAGATGAAGTCGAGAGTTGGAAAGGGTGATGTGTTTTCGGTGTGTTGTGAGTTGGAATAAAGTGATGTCTTGGGTATGTGTAGGTTGTCTCCTATCTATCTATATATCTATTAAATATATCAGTCCGTCGGTTGGACCCTGATCTAATATAATATAAATTAAAATATATATCAAACTAATAAATAATTTGTAAATTGATAATTGATTGATTGATTATAGATTGTATGAGTGATAGATAATTTTATTAATGTAAATATATATAGAGTGTAATGTAATATAGAGTACTAATAATAATAAGTAATATGTAGTTTGTAATATATCCAGTCTTTCACAAATGATTTCTCCGATCGCATCCCCCTAGTCAACAGCTACAGTGATGACACCAGTAATGCCGTCGGAGACAGTGAGAGACTCTGAATATGATGATTGAGTGACAGGATAAATAAATGAGTGATGTGATTTAATAAGCTGAGACTGACTTGGAGGTGTTGAGATTGTTAAACAATGTAGGATGGAATTACCTTTGGGTTGTTGATACAGGAAGGATGGATGGAATCCAACTACCATCATTACTATTAGTGCTAGTTCAATCATCCCCAACCTCCCCTCAATGGTCCATCCATTATTCATCAATAACATCATCAAAAAAAACAAACAAACAAACAAACCAGATTAAGTCAGTCTGATGGTCGCTGTTTAGCGCAATGATGCCCATCATATGGTACACTCCCTTACGCATCGATCTAGAGCTAGGGTAGGTCCTTCCACATTATAACTCTCATTATGAGTGGATGTTGACTGTCAACATCATTCATTCAAACATTCATTCAAACATTCATTCCACCGCACATCTCCAATAACAATGCCCTTGCACCAAATCATAGGGGGGGTAAGGCCGTGTCTGTTATGTGTTTTTTGATGTTGATGTTGTTGATGCACGTGACTTACCAAACCACCACCATACATTCACACACATTCACTACAAAGACACTGAATGGAACGAATCGTGCTTGGAGAGTCGAGAGTGAGAGAGTAGTTATTTGATCACAAACATGGATCGCCTGTTGTTGAGTGTTGTGTTTGGTGGGTGGGTGAGACAGGACCTTATTCAGGTGAGGTTAGTCCCATCACCACATTCAACAACTATAACCAAAATGTAAATATTATTTACAGATGTGTTGGCAGTATAGCGTCGACGTTGTTAATTATTGGGCAAACACATACATGCCTAATCATATGATGTGTGTAAGCACTACCCTTTTACAGATCCATCCTCCTCTGTTTGACCAGTCATGGGAGGTACCAATGTTGGATTAAATTGTGGGATGTTTGGTGATTGGTGTTTGTTTAGTTGTGATAAAGTATGAATGTTAATGAGGTTTGTTGTTGTTCAAATGTCGGAGGAAAGGTCACTCAAAGGGTACCTCGCAAATAAAATACAACAACAATACAGAGTCATTTCGGAATAACTGATCTGAATGGAACTATTCCATATATCCTTGATTAACAAGATATTATTAGTATCATTTCTGAAATACGTCTGTAATAATTCAATCTTAATAATAATGAAGGAAGATCTGGAACCCAAGTCTGAGGCTCAAAATCAAAGTATGAATGAGGGGGCGGAAGATTCATTCGACTTTATGTCTCCTCATTGAACATAGATATATACATATATAAACATAAACTTGTTGTAATAACAACAACAACATGTCATATAGTAATGGTAGTAGTAATAGAGTGACTACTGGTAGTTCACCGCAGATAACATCACCGGCCGCACAGACGATGGTATCCTCAATGTCACATTTAGAACTTAATGATGCGGCATCAGATCGATTCGACTCGATAACAGCAACACCTTCACATGGTGGCACCAGCTCAGTATTATCGCCACAATCCGTTATGTTGTCACCGCCAACAGATGGTGCCTCACCAACAATAGGATCAATGCTGCGCTACTCCTCTGCCTTGAGCCATTCATCAATCTCAGGCCTCATACTCAGCGACAATGATGACGATGACAATAACAGTGAGTTGGGCGATCTTGAGATCACCATTGGTGAAGACCTAACATCATGTGACATCGAGCCTGACCTGCTCGAGAACCTAGAGGGTATGTTGTTCAGATTCATACTCGTGCTCATTGACTAACCTGTCGCTCACTTAAAGAGATGCTAAGTCATTATGCACCGACCGAGACAGTCATAGCCAAGGCCTTCAAGAAGGGCATCGATATTACAGGCTATTCAGACGAGGTCAGACGAACACTAGACCTCTACGACGAACAGATGAGGACATTATACAAGGATGCTGTACCAGATTGTAAGTGATACCAAGTCGTTGCAATGTATGATTGAATAAGACACTAACAACAGTCGACTCCTAGATGTAAACGAGAGAGAATCATTCACTCAGATGTACACTACATTGAAGGAGAGCAATGCTCTGTTGACAGGATTCGAGGACATGTTGTTGGGCTTCCAGAATGAGTTGACCAGTATCTCAACAGAGATGCGTGAGCTCCAAGAGAAATCAATCAACAAGAGTCAACGTTGTACAAATAGGAAGAAGGTCGTTGAGAAGTTGAACAAGCTCATCGATGAACTATCAATCTCAGATGATGTAATACAGTATGTACAATCATTCATTCATTCGTTCGTTCATCCAAACATACTTACTCAATCACTCACTCAATTACTACTAGTCTACTATCTGTTGGCGAAGTCAATGATCAGTACATGCAGTATCTGTCGATATTCAGTACAAAGATAGGACATATACAATCACAAAAGATGAATGAGGTGGCAGCAACAACTGATGTAGAGGCCAGTCTGTTGAAGCTGATACAGACGGTGGTGGAGAAGGTGTATAGGTTCTTCATCAATCAGTTCAATTCGATCAAGACCTTTGCCACCTTGCAGTCCAAGCAGCAGGAGTTCACGCTCTATCGTCAGGCATTCATATTTCTCTATCGACACACCAAGAAGTTTGCCAGACAACTGCTGGAGCAGTACAAAGACACTGTGGAGAAGATATACACTGGCTACTTCAAGAACTATGTCACCTTCCTGGAGAAGCTCCAATTCGATCAGACCTCCAAGAATGACCTGTTGGGAACACCAGACAACAAGGGCAAGGGTATGTCCTTCTTCACTGACTGGAACCATTCCAATCACTCTGACCTGATACTGATCAATCAAACATTCAATCAACATTTGTAGGATTCTTTAGCAGTATGAGTAGCAAGGTCAAGATCAAGTCGAGCATATTCACAGTGGACACGAGATATCAGATATTGAATGAGATTGAGGAGGCACCAATCAAGCCCCAGTCACTCAGTTCAAGTAGCTCGACCACTACTCAGGCCAATCAGATGAAGTACTCATACGAGATCATCTTCCGATCGATGCTATTCTTCATTCGCGACCTTGTAACATTCGAGAACATGTTCATCAATGATCTCTTCCTCTCCACAGTCGACTGCTCCACTCAGATATTCTCCAAGTGCGAGTCATACTATATGGTATGTCTTCCATCATGCTGATCAATCAATCAATCAACCAAGGTTCTAACATCTATCGCAAACAGGACAACCTTAACTCATTCATATCAAACACATACGATCCAATAGCATTGATGCTAATCATTTGTATCACTCATAAGCTTCAATCAAAGTCGGTGGCCAAGTGTGAGAGCTCCGAACGTATAATGAACCAGTCAACATCAATGGCACTGGCCAGATTGAGAACAGTGATGATGGAGAATATCGAGAGTATTAGGAATGCAGTGATCCGTGATCTTGGACCAATCGAGGAGAACAGACCACACTACGTCATTAGACGATATGCTGAACTCATTGGTTCATTCACCATGCTATTCAATCACATTCCCACCGATATACATTGTACTATTCGCGAATTCCTCGACATGCTACGCGCTGTAATCTCCAATCTCCTGATCAAACTGTCTGGCGAGTTCAAGGAGAAGACCAGCAAGAGTATATTCCTCATCAACAACTATGATCTAATATTGGCAATCCTATCCGTATGTAGTCAATCCATTCATCATCTGTGATCAATCAATCAAACTGACCAATCCAAATGACAACACAGGAGAAAGAGAACCCGATTGTGGACGACAAGGATTACTTCACTTTGATGTACAATCAAGAGTCAGAGGTGTTTGCGACTGAACAGTTGATGTCATATCCTTACATTCGCAGAATGATTGTATTTGTCAAGGAGTTGCTGCCTTTGATCAATATGTACACGGTGGTGGAGATCAATCACCCGGACCTCAACAAGGAGACACAAGAGGCCATACTCAAGGACTTTTACAGCAACTGGCGAACAGGTATCGAGGAGATGAACGTCATTGTCACACAGTTATTTCCCAACTTTAAGAACGGCACCAAGATCTTCCAGATCATCCTGGACCGTCTGTTCAACAGTTACAAGAGCTTTGGTCACATCGTCATCAAGTCATTCAAACAACTTAAGAGCTCACAGTACTTTATCCCAGAGACAGAGATGTCTTACGAGATTAAGAAGTACTATGTATCATTCGATTGATTTGATATAATATATTATATTATTATTGGCAAATCACTCATGGCTTGGCTATTCATTCATTCATTCACTTCGTACTATCATGTTGAGAGCATCGGTAGACTGGTCGAATTGTTTCCTCAATTGGTCACAGTCTCTCTTCAGGTCCATTGTCAATTGCTCATGCTTTTGTATTACATCGGACATGTACTGATGGAACAATTCCTTGTTTCTATCTTGTTCACTTTGAATTGTTTATAATTAATATCCAATTTAGACAACTCAACTCAATCAATGTACCAACCTCATAAGCTCAACCTTTGATCTAGTAATACTAGTAAAGGATCGTACACAATGTTCCATTATTTCATTAATAACATTGGTAGGTTGTTGTTGTTGTTGTACTTGTGATTGTTGTTGTGATTGTTGGTGTCCTTGTGATGCAGATGATATACTTGAGTATGTTGAGGACAACAATGAGGATGATGTTGTTGATGAAGGTAGACGAGAAGTGTCACCGACTGAGGCCCCAGAATCATACATTTGATATTGTTGTTGTAATTATCTCTATCTATGTCAATCACTCCATGATACAAATAAAGATAATAAGTTGTAAGTTACTGTTCACTTTGGGAAGTAGAGACATATTCTTGGAGATCCATTTAGAAGAAAGATAATTATATATCACCAGACATGTCCTGTCTATCTATAAGTCTATAAAAGGTAATCTTTCTTAAATCGGAACATGTTTAGATCTGTAAGTTGTGAACGTTACTACACAATTGTTTTGGCATAGGACACCAACATAGACAACAACAGTGTGATTATGTTAACGGAAAGTTTGAATTCAAAAACAATCTTGCAAGATGGAGGCAACCCATGCCCGATGGTGTTTGGTTTTTGGTTCCCCACCATACCTTTTTTTTGTTTTGCAATTATATCTGACCAAGTCATCAAATCATGTGACTGATGATCGGTTGTAGTGCACACACACATATTAGTAGGCTCATCCACAACAGTGTTACCCCCATCTCACTTATGAACTTTGCAAACACAACACACATGTACACCCATCTCGCCGCCTAATAAATCCTCCATCTCATCATTCATTGTGACAATCATCTCACACTCTCCCTTCATCCACCTTTGATCCATCCACACCCTTCATTTCATCCATACTTTGAAGCCAACATTCATTCTTATTCATTCATTCATTAAGTACTTCATACTATCTACAGTAATAACATAATATCAATCATCACTTCCATCCAACAACATCCATAATCAATCCAATCAATCAACCAAACAATCAAACAAACAGATAATGTCGACTTCGACGACAAGTACTGCGTCAACAAGTAGTACCGGAGGAGGACAGAGTATTGCCACGAGTGGCAAGTCTCCATCGGGAAGACATTTGAATGGAGGTGTTGGAATTCAACAGCAACAGAGTATGGGTGGCAGCGCTGGAAGTCCTGCATCGGGCTCCCCCGCATCACAGCCAGTCCCAGTGTCTGTGATGGCCACCTCCTCATCGCCATCCACTGGCCTAAAGAATGGCGGATCGCCAGCCACACCAAACGGCGCAAACGGTGTAAATCATAATCATATTAATAATAATAATAACCTGGAAGACAGCGCCTCATCCAGCAGCAACAATAACAATGCCTCTAGCATCAAGGCGGCTGGAGGCGGAGTGAGCAGCGAGCGATTGCGCATTGACTACAAGTTTGATGAGTATGAGGACCAGTTCTTTGCCAAGGCAATCATCAACGATCCGCTCAAGATCTCGTTGATCCCCGACCTGCTGTCGGTGCGCTCAGTGCCACGCGACACCAAGATCGCCGGCCAGAACATCCCGGGCGACCTCATCTTTAACAAGCTGTCGGTGGGCGTGCAAGAGTCGATCAATATCTTCAAGCAGGAGTGGACGATCATCACCAGGGACGCAATGCCCACGCCGGCCGCCGGTCTCAACCAGCTCAAGCCGCTCTCCTTCCAGCTGTACGAGGAGAACGACGACTTTGAGACGGGCACTCCAGCCGAATCCGTCAAAGACCTCAATCAAGAGATTGTCCAATCATCTGGCTCACAACTCTTTGACCCCAAGATCATCGACACGCTCAAGACCGCTCGTGCTCCCCTCTTCCAAACATTCTTTAGCGATGAATCATCCACCATCGATCCACCTCGCATTGGCAAGCCATTTGAAGATCCACAGTAAGTTTAAACAATCAATCAATCAATCATTCAATGGAACTATTCCACTCACTCATTCACTCAATCTTTCAATTCAGGTTCTTCCAATTCCAGGTTGAGTGCAGTGAGTTCAGGACAGTGATTGGTGACATTGAGCCATTCTTTGGCCGAATGTTCCTCTTTGATGCCAATGCTGAGCCCAAACATCAAATAGTTAGCGAGGTCTTCCACTTTGATTTTGGTACACATCAAAACCTTTTGCCTAAATCAGTATGTTGCCCTCGACTCGTCCAATCACAGCTGGTCCACCATCCACTAACTCACTCCCAATCAATCAATCAATCATTGTCCAATAACTAGACTGATGTCGAACCACCAGCAAAGATTAGAAAGGCAGTGTTCTCTGTTGTAAAACCATCGATACATGTCTATTTGATCATTTGCTTTGATAAGGTGATGAGAGGTGATCCAGAGGAGACGACAAAGATATACTTCAACTTGCCAGGCAAGCCAAAGGAGATATCAAAGTTCCAACAGGAGGTGGACTCTAGTCTGCCCCGTCTAGGCCACTTCCGCCAGCCCTTTGTCTGGGGCAGCGTCGAGCTCTTTGACAAGGACGAGAAGTTCAACTTCAGTCTCCCAGAGCAGATCCACAAGGTCGCCAACCTTACCAGGATCAAAGGCGAGCTCTATAACTTTGTAACAAAACCCGAGGTAAGTGATTGATCAGGGGGGGGTTAGATATGCGCGGATATAGCATGTGATCACTAACATGCCTCACTCACTCACTCAATCAATCAATCAATCAATCAATCAATCAATATCGGCAACATGTAGAAGAAGCTGATAAACTGGTGCGAATGTAACTTGAAGTTTAGCTTGCTGAATGAGTCATCTTCACCATTGATGGTGTCACAGACGATGATGACAAACACGACTACAGGATCAACACCAAGCCCATCGACTTCGCCAGCATCCAGCAATCAATCACTGGGCCGCATCGACCATTTGCTGCGCCCAGTCTACCAGCAGGCACCAACGCCACTGATTCGCGAGGTCTATCCGATCCACAACGCTGCCGAGCAGATCGATATGAACATCAGCTACAGCAACGTGTTGTACTTCTATCCCAAGTCGGTAAACCTCACCAACTTCAAGAGCGACAAGGGCAGCAGCGCACGCAACATCTTCTTGGAGATCAAGTTGCTGGAGGACGACACCAACGTCAACAACTCTGGCATGAAGGCTGTGTTTGGCACGTCGACGTCGCCGTTGCTGACGCGCCGCTTCTACACGACAGTCGTGTACCACAACAAGAAGCCCGAGTTCACTGACGAGATCAAGATCAATCTGCCGTCGCATCTGACTCCCAACCACCACCTGCTCGTCACCTTCTACCATCTGGGCTGTCGCCCATCCAAGAAGAACGAGAAGCCTGAGGTGTGTCTGGGTCACTGCGCCATTAGGTTGTTTGAGGAGGACAAGGTCATCGCTGACGGCAAGTACCGCAAGCCTGTGGCCACAGTCTTCCCACCCAAGTACCTGGACATGGAGCTGAAGGAGCAGACCAACTCCAAGATGTGGGTCGACAACAAGAAGCCCATCTTCAAGTTCCGCACTCGCGTCCTCTCCACAGTGTACCCACAAGACCCCGTGCTGGCCATCATTCTCAAGGATGGAGCCGAGGGCGATCACAACCTTCTGATCGAGACATTCAAGAGGGTGAGCGAGGTGCCCAACCCGCTCAAGCTGCGCTTCTTCCCCGTGCTGGCACGAATCATCTTCAAGTGCATCGTGTCGCTGTCCAAAGAGCTTCAGAAGCACGCACTGATCGCGCTCATCACCATTGTGGATGCCGTCAGCAAAGAGATGAAGGCTGAGGAGCGTCTGACATCATTCGCCACCTACATCCACAACAACAGCTCTTCGAGCAACACTCTTCACGAGTCCCTTGTCCTCACCTGGATCCAACTTCTCGAGTCCAAAGACGAGAAGTCAGTCCTCTCACTCCAATACGCCTGGTTCCTATTCGCCGTCATCAAGAAGTCAATGATCATTGATATCGAGATCAAAGGATTGTTGAGTATGTATATACATTGGGATCATTCCAGCCTCGCTCAATCACTCACTTACTCACTTACTCAATCACTCCGTCAAACAAATAGAGAATGGACGTAATAGAAGCAACAGGTTCTCAGAGGAGTATCTGCAGAAGTTCAAGACATTGTTTGAGTTGCTCTTGATTCAATTGAAGCAGGTGTACAGCAAGAGTATCATTGCCAAGTCTTTCATCACCAGTGTAGCATACTTTATCAACGATATGATGGACATCATGAACAGAGGATTCCTATTCCGTCTGGTATGTATTGATATTGATTGATCTGAACAATGGGCCATCACTAACCATTCATTCGACCAATCCAATCCACACATAGATCAACTCATATGTCACTGGACTCGATTGTTCCAACACAGTAATGGAGATGGTCAACCTGAAGTACACATTCCTCAAGGTGCTGGCGTCATCAGACTCATTCATTGCACTCAATCTTCCAACATCTTACCAATTCCCCAACATTGTAGACTGTTACCAACACTTCTAGTTCGTATCCATTCACTCAATCAATCACTCCAACTCACTCAACTAACTCTCTTCATTCCCTACTTGTAGCAAGAAGCATTACTTGATTGGATTGATATTGCAAGAGGTTGCGAGTTCAGTTGGTGCAGCAGAGAAGGAGATGCGTTTGAAGGCCATTTCATCACTCAAGGAGATTATGGCACGCTTCGACACTAGCTCATACTTCAACACGCCACAGATACGTGAGAGGATTGCTTCACTCTACTTCCCCTACGTCCTCATCGTCATTGACAACTTTGAGTTGATCTCCAAGTTTGACAAGGTCGAGACCAAGAACTGGCTGGCTTGCTTCATCTACGTCGTCAAGAACCTGATCAACAGCAGCACAAACATCATCGCCGATTGGTGGAAGAAGGAGGTGCAAAAGAAGAAAATCGTCACCTTCTTCAACATCCTCTCGACCTGCGCCAACATGTTTGACTACATGGAGCTGTCCAAGGAGGTGGTCGAGAGCAGCAGCAGCACGGATAAGCCCGACTCGTCGGCAGTGGACTCGCCCAAGGGCAAGGGCAAGGTCTCTATCAAGAAGGCCAAGGGCAACCCCGAGGCTACCAAGATGATGTTGGAGCAGTACACAAACAACCTGTCGGGCAAGAGTGAGCGCTCCATCTCGGTGACCCACTCGTCCGACCGTCTCACTCAGACACCTGGCGGCATGCGCGCCTTTAGTAACTCGCTGCCCATGCTCAATGTTGAGCCGGCCATCACGGCTGAGGTGATGGAGGTCATGGCTGGAAACCTGGCACACGAGGTCTCCATGACGATACTGAACTGCATCATTATCTACATCAAGGAGTTCAAGGACGAGCTGCACAGCCTGAGCAAGCCTCTGCCTGCCAACTCTCTGTTGCAGAAGCCGTCAGACAAGCAGACCGTGACACTCGAGCGACTGTTTAAGAGTCTCATCGTGTTGATCAAGAAGGAGCAGTCGCACGCCTTCATCAAGGTGGCGTTCCAATCGATCGCATCCATACTCACCGAGTTCAAGACAGCAGTGTTCAAGAACAACAACTCGATCTGCGCCGACTTGACTCCAGAGGTCTTCAAGTACTTCTCCAAGAACCACGCACCCAATCGCCAGGCTGCCGCCACACTGGCCTTCCTGATGATCCTGAACAACCTGAAGGAGTGCGGTCAGTTCTCTCGTATGAAGCTGCAATCCACAGTGTCCATCTCCAAGATCGTAAGCGACAGCACTCTGACCGACTTTGAGTACCTATTCGCTTGTCTCGAGTCCATCACCAAGTTTGTCAAGCAGTACTGCAACAACAACTTGCTGAGGAGTAGTGCACCATCCTTCACCAACTCCGCGGCATCCGGACCAGCCTCCTCGCCCACCAAGGTCAACCCGCTGCTCAAGTCCTCCCCTGTACAGCCCGTCAGTCAGCCATCGGCACCCCGTCAGCAGGCGCCCATCAGCCAGCAAATCGAGGAGCTGCGCGATCGTCTGTTTGGCGTGATCAAGAACAGCGTCAAGATCAAGCAGCACGACTATGATCCCGAGATGAAGGCCGACCTCTTCCACCAGATGTCCAACACCTTCTCCGAGAGTCCCGATCTGCGCATCACCTGGCTCAAGAGTTTGGCCAACTTCCTTCACCAGACACAGAACTGGGAGGAGGCCGCCCAGACCTACATCATCACAGCGGCCCTCGTCTGTGGCTATCTCAAGCAGCTGAAGCGTTTCCCCAAGAACCTGGCTGTGGACTTCTCCAACGTGTCGCCAAACATCACCTCCGACCTGATCCTGCCGGACTCTTCGTTGCTCGAGGCGGTCGAGGGTGAAGTGTGCCAGCTGGTCGACTTCACTGAGCCAGGCTTCATCGCTCTGCTCAAGGATGCCATCCAGGAGCTCAAGAGAGGTTCATTCTTTGAGTCCTGTGTTGAGACCTACCAGCTGTTGCTGCCAACCTTCCAGAAGAACAGAGAGTGGAAGCGCCAGTACGAGTGTTACTCAGAGCTGGTCATGCTTTGCAACCAGATGATTTCAGAGAGCACGATCAATCAACGTCTGTTTGCCAACTACTACCGTGTGGCGTTCTACGGCGAGAGTCTGATACCCGAGATGCACAACAAGGAGTACATCTACAAGGAGTTGAACTTTGTGCGTCTGTCCGAGCTGTCCGATCGTCTGCAGAAGCAGTATGGCACCAAGTTTGGCGAGGACAAGATCCACCTTTTGCCCAACAACAAGCCCGTGGACAAGGGCTCGCTCAATCCACAGCACATCTACTTCCAGATCGTCTCTGTCGATCCATACCTGCTGCCCGAGGAGCTAAAGGAGCGTGTATCCACCTTTGACCAAAACACCAATCTGAGTGAGTATCATCATCCAGAGTGTTACCGCGTGGCGTGGACAATCCAACCAACTAACATGACTTTCTCACGACTATACAGATAAGTTCATCTTTGAGGTACCATTCACCAAGTCTGGCAAGGCTCACAGTGAGAATATTACAGAGCAGTGGAAGAGGAAGACTGTGCTGACGACAGAGGCATACTTCCCATACCTGAAGAAGCGATTGTTGATTGTAAAGAAGGAGGAGATTGAGTTGACGCCAATCGAAGCATCGTATGAGATCATCCAGAAGAAGACACAGGCACTGCGCGCAGAGCTCAAGTCTGCGCTGCCCAACACCAAGACACTCCAGATCAATCTGCAGGGTTCATTGCTGCTGCAGGTGAATGCCGGCCCACTGGCCATCGCCAGCTCGTTCCTGGGCGGCACGGACTTTGAGAAGTACAACGCCGAGCACTACACCAAGCTGCAAGAGTCCTACAAGGAGTTCACCAATGCTCTGGCATTCTCTCTCAAGCTCAACAAGAACTTAACCAAGGCCGAAGACACCAATGGACTGGAGTTGCAGGCACAGTTGGAGAAGGGCTACAAGGAGTTCCGTGACAAGATCAAGCAGTATGTCAATCTAGATCAGACCGAGGATCAGAACAACAACTAGTTCGCCATTCATACATACATACACCTATCCTATCCTTTTCTATAACAACCTAATGTATTTAATAAAGCATAACCCTATAGCTAAGCTATAATGGACATGAATGTCCCAAGATGTGTTAGTAATTTTTTGGCGGCAGTAAGTTTGGGAGTGTGGCACACACTGAGGAAGAAGCTAAAAGACATCAACGATGCCATACGTAATCATAGTTAAGTTGATACGGTATGGCATTGGTGAGGGCAGTGAGCTTCATCGGTGTTGCACTGAAATAGTATATGTATATATTATATTGTGATGATGTAAGGTGAGAGGTGAACGGTTGGGCATGAGAAAAGTGAACAGAACCAACACATGGCTATGTTGTTGCAGCAAATGAGTAGAAGAGATAACAGGTTGGTATGAATGAATGGAAGATCGCGAGTTGTGCGTATGAGTAGGTGGATGGGGGACCAGAGGCACAACATCAACATCGACACACCAACAACAGCTTACCAGCAACAGACTTCAACGTTGACATGTCCACGCTCTAGACTTGTGCCCAGTGCTCACTGGACGTCCACACGTCAACGCCAATGCTCCACAGAGAGGCTCGAGCCAGCCACATTCGTGACCAGCGGGCCGTCGATCCATGTGCACTGACGGACCAGGACCTGTACAATGACGTGCTCTGTCCAAGCCATGTCTCTGACCTCTGTTTTAGTTGAAGCTGCGCACAAAAGAGAGGTGTAAAAAGCGCGAGGATAACAGCGCAGTAGATGTTGTTGTGTCTGAATGGTTGGTTCAGGGTCAACGATTGGCCGTTGTCCGCATACGGGCGGACAGAGTCCTTAACTAGAGAATGGGGTAGGGTAAGGGTAGATGTTGGAAGTGACTATGCAAGTAACAGTCGCGTCACTGGCAGTGAGCTGTAGTTGAGGGCACATGAATTGTGACTCGTCACATGATTGTTGATAACAATGTCTATCTATCTCTATCTGTTGTTGTTATTACTGTTGTTGTTTGTTGTTGTAGTTGTATGCTTATGTTGATTGTTTGTTGTACATTGATCGGAAGCCAAGCCCTAGACGTCAGTCACAACAAGTCTTTGGCGACTACCAATCGAATCCACTACCAACTTGCTATCGGCTCTCTCCTCTCCCTCAATCTTTGACAACAAGACAACTCATAGTCATCTGACACAAGTTCATGTCACCAACGCTGTTACACAACACGGAACAACCAAATATATATATATATAACATATTTATAACAATGTAGATGATGAAGTACTGCAAAAGTAAAATGATTCCAAATCCTTGTTCACTTCAGGGTTATTCACAACTTGCCACCACCTGCCAGAGTCATGATCTTTGTGGTTAATACTCAACCTTGTTCACTTTGGTCTCGAGACCATGGAATGATTGCCATCCTCATTGGTGTGTCTCTTCCACGTTTCTTGAGAGATGCTTGTCTATCCTTGTATTGTGTGAATATTGATTGAATAGAAGATGGTTGAATTGTAGCCACACCCTTTACACCCACCTGAGGTATTCGGAATTTCAGGGGGTAATTTCTCTGTGGGGATGTTTGTGCGTGAATGATGAAGGTTACAGGTCTGAGATAGTTGTAGACCTGATTCATTTAATTAATTTCCCAAATAATTAAACAAACAGATAATATTGTTGTTCTATAGATCAT